ATGGGATGGAGGGAAAAGCGTTGGGGGTGGGATGGATTATCGTGAGGGTAATGGACGACGGGCGACGGGGAGGGTATGACTGTGGGAGTGGGATGAAATGAATGAATGAATGGGTGGATGGATGGATGGATGGATGGATGGAAAGTATATACAGTATGTTGAGAGATATGGGACGGAAATACATTCCTGCCGCCGGTTGTAGATGGATACATAGATACTCGGTAGATGATGGTAGATAAGGTACCAAGGTACAGAGTATACTATGTAGTCTGTAAATGTCTATACATTGTATGGAACGGTATATTGTTTGCATTTGGTGGGGAATGTGCGGTGCAAGTAATATGCTATGTGTTAACGAGCATTACAGGAACAATCAAGATAGATGTAAATTCAATATGAATGACTTGTGAGCTACTCAGAGTCATATTCGTACTGTTCTACTTGTATTTTGTGTGAGTGTAGTGCGACAGGGGACAGGCGAAAGACGGAAGCAGTAGGGGAGGTGAAATGAGACAGTTGAACTGGGCTGGATTAGACCAGACTGGACTAGACCAAAGGATCAACTACGAGAGCGATATGTTTAGGGATCTGAGGGGTTACGACGACAAGGAGGGCGATGACGATGCTAATGGTGACGATGGTGAGGGTAATGGTGGCAAGGATTCATCCCATCATACTGACTGGGGGTGGGATGTGGATGTCTACGAGACTACGACTCTACTACGCCATTCCACATTACGACTGAGTATCGTCCCAACCCATTTCAAGTTTCTGATGCAACCATCCAGATCCTCCTCCATTCGTCTGTAAGTACTTACCTTGGTATGTGTGACGAGTTAGAAATGTTGTTCGATCGATGGTTGTCTTTCTTGGTTGTAACTTGTCTTCCCTCTGTGGCGTATCATTTGGGTCAGCTGGGGTGAATGGAGGCATCTGATTGGTTGACCTTATGATTGGGGGCAAAGCTGGGGATAAGGGAACGTGCCTTGATTCTTTGACTCCCATTCATTCATTCATTCATTCATTCATCCTCTACGTGAAAGACTACGAACTATAGTAGTCAACTACTAACTACTATACCAACTAAGTTGAATAACAACTTTGGATGGGACGTATCACCTTCCGTTAGTTAACCCCTAGTCAGTCTTTGTCGCCCGTTGTTGAAAGTTGCAGTTATCTCTCTTGTCTTGCTCGTGGACCGGTACCGGTGATACACTCCGAGTGACTAGGAGTTGGGAGCAATGGGCTTAACCTGTTGAGATGGGCCATCTCCACCACTAATACTCTCCACTACCCACTATCTACTGCCTTGTGCACTACTTCTCCACGAACTGATTGCGCCCGTGGGCCGAATAGAGAGTCGAGAAGAGACGAGAGATAGCGCAATCTTTCCCCCGAAAGGTTGAACGCTGCCCCATGCTATGCTATGCCATTGCAGCCATTCGTGTGCCATGCCATGCCATGCCATGCTATGCTATGCCATGCTATGCTATCCTATGCCGTGCCGCCATGCCACACCCACCCACCCATACTCTCACCATGCTATACAGAGTAGTTGGTTACTTACGAGTTACTTTGTGAGTAGATATGCTACGAGGATGCTGGTTATGCCCTGCTATTCTTGACCTGAACGGGGTAATGCCATCCCTCTACGGAGTATTAGTTAGTGCTTTACTAGGTAGTTAGTTATTACTGTACTTACTGTATTACCTGGTGCCTTGGTCCCAATCTGTTGGCTTGGGATGGTTGGGATGGATGGGATGGGATGGGACGGGTGGATGGTTGGCTGGCTGTGCTTGTGCTGCGCTGTGCTGCGTTCGTTTGATGGCTGACTGGTGACTTGACTTGCCTGGTGACGGGAGACTGGAGACTGGAGACTGGAGACTGGAGACTGACTCTTACTCCTCTGAGTCTTACCTTTCCCATTCTTATTCCCACTTCCCTTTGCCTATGCCTATGCCCTTCCCTATTGTTCCGATTCCCATGACCTGCAAATACAAAGACTCCGCCTTCCCCTTCGTCGCCTTCGCCTTCCCTTCCATCGCCCCCCAACAACAGCAACAGCAATAGCTCGGAACATCATTCACACCACCAACACCATATACCACACCATACTACCACACATACACACTGCGCGCCTTTTGCCTGGTTTTAACATACGTCCCCTTCGCTCTGTGCTTCCCCTCCCATACATACACGACGATCCTCCTCTTCGTGCTGTCCATCACTCTACCGAGCGAACCCACAGCGCACGCGCACATCTCCCGTACTCCCATCTCTGGTCGCTGATCCACATCGCCGATCGTCCATCGTTCCGATACACGCTACCAACCCATAACAACACCAAACGTCAAACAACCAACACCCGCGGGCTACTTCACTGCAGCTTGCTATCCGTCCTACATAACTTCACTCGCCCTCGTACTACTCTGCTCCTTCATCCGTTTTGCAACCTCACCCAACCCCTAAGAAAGACGGCAACCGCTGTCTCTCCTGCGAACTTGCCCCTTTCCGCGCCGCGCTACTACCATCCGTCAGACGGTGCCATTCTTGACTCAGACGTCAGCCTGCCTTGAATCGTCTCATCCCTTTCCGGACCGAACATCGCAATCATGGCTACCTTTACGAACTCCAGGCCAGTATCCAACATTGCTGTTGCCTTTGCGACACACGCCGCATCATCTTCCTCCACCTCCAACATGCCCGACGCTCACCACATGCCTTGCGACGCTGCCATCGCGCAGCCAGCGGCTCTGCTCACTCCCCCGAGCTCGATATCCCCGACGTTACCCGCACACAAACACAGGCCTGGAATGGCCATGACCGGAGTGCCTCGAGCCCCGTCTCACGTCGACTCGGACATCGACCTGCAGGATGCTGTCGAGCATGCCAAAGCGCAAGACCTCCCTTCGTCTGCCCTCTCTCGAGAGGCGCTGGCCGGTTTGGAAGCCGCAGGTCAGATCACGGCCGCCATGCTTGCCAAACACCATCTCCCCAAGATCTTCATGGGCCACGGTTCCATGCCAGTGCGCGACATCATGTCCCACCTGGCGCAGTCCGTCCCCGGCTACTCTAGGATACCACCAGCAAAGGCCCGTAGGCTGGTCGTCGCCGCGCTGGAACATCGCGCAGGCGGAGGACTCCACGGCGAGGTGGTATTCGAAAAGGTCGGCTGGGGCCGCTGGCACGTCAAGGGCCAACACAGCCAGTCTGGTCAGGGAATGCCCATCAAAGGTCACGGCGCATCTCGCCCCGGCCTCACACCCCCAGCCAGCGTCGACAGCAACGGAGGCCTCGCCATCTCCAAGCTGCGCAATGGCAACAACGGCTTCTCCGGATCCTGGGCGGCTGCTTCGATGCAGGACGACCAGGACGAGGAGATGGCCGATCGCATGTCCCTCGACGGCTCGGAAGATAGCGAGTCGGAGACGTCCGAAATGGATCTGGAACACGACCTGTTGGACGACGATACGGACGAAGAGGACTGGTCTGCCATCGGACCAGATGCCCTTCGTGCCAGCTTCCGTGGCCAGCGCACTCAGTCGCGCGACTACAACCACCTCTCCCGGATGACGAGCGCCCGCATGCGCACGACGTCGGGACAGTCACTGTCATTTTCTCCCGCCGGACGCAGCACCCCGACTTTTGCTGCCGTCTCCCCTCCTCCAGCATCCCGTGACAACGCGGGCCCCCTTCGAGCATCTTCTGGCGTTATGGGCAACACTTCGGAGCGCGCGGCCATCGAGGCCTTGATCGCGATGGGCTCCATGTAGAAAGACACCACCGCCACGACCAATACCACATTCGCCTGGAATCGGCGCTCTCCTCACGCATCATCAGGATATGATCGTAAGCGTGGAATTATCAACTTTGGATAATGATTGGTGGTTATTGGATGTCTTATCATTTTGCAATTTTTATGGTCATACCCTCCCCTCCCCCGATATCGATTGCATTGGGAAGATCCGTCAAGTGCTGATGCGATCCACAATCTGGGTTACCTGGGTCCTTCTTCATCGTTGTCAACAGCATTATTTCTATCGATATCCCCGGCTATTTTTTTTTACCAAATCTCTACTTCACTTCTTATTTTATTCTTCAACAGACTTTATTCGAGCGTTCGGATGTTTCACGCGGAGACGGAGTTTGAGGCAATAGGGTACAAGTGCCGCCTTGCATGATTCTGATTCACAGTACACGTCGCTGGCTGTGTGTCTCGGTTTTCTGCATGGGTGTTGGCATTTGGCGACCCTGCCAGTCTCGGGCTTCGACCAACACTCCTCTCATCCTCAACCACGTATCAAACTTTTGTATATAGCACCATCATCTACTTCTCCCGCGTCAAACGTCCGGTCAGCGCTGCACCCGACGCAAAGCAAAATACCCTTGCTCTCAACCAGCAATAAAGCAGCAGCAAAGAAGCAAAAAAAACTCACATAACATAACCACATACAAACATACATACCCAATATCTCGTACTACGGATTGTCTTAGCAACGAGCAAAGGGAGTGCAAGACAGAGGGACGGGCGCAGGGCGCCCAGCAAACCAGTACGCATGTAACTATAAGTAATATTAATAATAAACAAACCAAACTCCCGATCAAGCAAATCAATCAGTCCAATGATCTATCGGTGAATGTGAAAATTTGAATGTGTCTTAACTATGTTAGGTCTTTGGGGGGACTCCCATGGGTACTGGTACATTCAACATAGGTAACTATGAGAGAGGTGGTAATTACTGTAATTTCCTTCTTTCTCGCGGAGTCGTACCTCGTTTGGTCCATGTACCACCAAGAGGCCTCTGCTCGTGTAGAATTTTCTATCGTGGTGGATACACCATTTTTTACTCTAAGTAGTTCCCCTTCCCCTTTTCGCTAACCATATACCTACTTACACACGCAATTACACTGCAAGCAAAATAAGAGCTCGCGAAAAAAAGAAAACGGAAGCAAAAATTGACTGTCAATTCATTCGTCAGCTCATCCTTTCGTTCACTTCCAATATGCTGGTCGTGGCGTTCATAGCCTTAGTCGTGCGCGTTCGTTTTGTATGTAATACATAACGCATAGATACTACGAAGAAATGACAAACCGTGCACGGAGTACTATGGACCCTCTTTTTCGAAGTATGCATGTATGCGTGTGTATGTAATTGTTCTTTTATATATAAGGTATTAAAAATTGGTGTGATCGTGAAGACAGTCGTCGTGCGTTTTTCAACTTGTACGCCCTTTCTCGCGAGAGGGAGAGAGTGGACGAGAGGGGGAGAGAGAGAAACAGGAAACACGACGGATCAAATCGGTGGAAACAAAGTCCTGCAGAATATACATATGTATAATGCGAAGGGAGGGTAGTTATAACAGCTACGCCACCCACGAAGTCGTCTATGTATAATTTGACGTACTTCATGGGTTTTAGGGATACTTGTAGATGGAAGTGGATGGAGAGTGGTGTATGTATGTATGTACTAGACGGCGGTAAGGAAAGCTTCTGCTATGAATCGTTGGATGTAGTGTGATGGATCAATATTCGTCGTTCGTTTTTCCTGGGGTTGGAAGTTGTAGAAGGTGGTATGTGGTATGGATTTTCCAGGGTATATTGACTATTATACGAGTATGTACATATTTGTAGAAGTGCATGAAATCGCATATGGGTTGGCCACGAGCAGGCATTCATTCCTCTGTTCTACAGTACTGGTATTTCGGGTTTGTTGATTGAATCCGTGTATATACTTGTAAGAGAGCAGTGCTGTGATGCTCGAACCACTCTACTTTATCACAACGACACAGCGATAATGGGAAATGGATTCCCATCTACTGAATCGTAACTACCCGTCTATGGAAACATCACTTTTCAATTTTCACATATACGTCGTTTCACTCACTCAACCCATCGGCATCCGCTTAAAGAACTCCTCCCCGTTCCAACCCTCTTTCTTCATGCGAGAAAAGATGTACGTCACGCCCTCATCCCCTCAATTCATGCTTATTTGCTTTTTTGAGGGGAAAGGCTGCGTAAAAATCCATTGACCCCGCAACCGAACTGTCAGATCCAGAGCATCCTTGTAAATGTTTATGTACCTTGTAGAAAAAGAAAGAAAAGACAGTATTCTTAGGTACTTCACGTTAGTAACAAGTGTCAGGTAGTGCTGTGTTTTCTTCTTTAATATCTTTCTGGAAGGTCTGGGAACCTCGTACGTCGGCTGGTACGTAAGTGTACAGTATTCACGTCTTATGTAATTCTAATGGACAAGTGGGGATGAGCGCAGAATGAAGTGACATGACGTGAAGTGATGAAGATTGCACACACCCCGCACCACGAAGTTACGAAAGAGGCAATACCGCGAGCTCTTTATGACGGGCGTTGTGGTGCAGCTGAGCATTCACCGGCGAGCCAGTGGGAGAAGGGGAGCATGTCATCGGCCATCGCCGTCGAAATTGTGAGGATTTCGTGCGTATTTGAGTTCAAAGGATGAGGATTGATAGACATGTATACATACGAATTTTATGTATACCATACTGATATTTAGAGTTAAAATACCAATGCTCGTAGACAGCACTCGTTCTTTAAAGTTAGTAGTAAGTGGTGGCCGTCGTCGGCGGTGGGAAGGAAGCCACATGACATTGCATTCCCGCCCTGCGACCTTTCCCAAGGTGGGCACCAACCCGCATCGGGCAAGCATACAATTGATAAGAGAGGACGTAGGCGCACCAGGGTTTCGCTAAACGTTAGGGTAAGGTAGCGTAGCGTTGGGTATTGATACGAGTAGTTTAGAGGCAGAAGTACCGGCATCTGCTAAACGATCGTATAGGCATAGGAGGAAGGTTCGAACGGAGCGACGCCTTCGCCGCCGTCGTTACGGGATAGTTGTGTATGTTGTACCTGGGAGCGACGGCACGGCTTTTGGAGTATGGTTAAGAGTAGCAAGGGTGTGGGGAGTGTGGGTACCTTTTCCTTTCCCCCCTCTGCCCGTTTGGCTTGTATCGAATTGGCTTCTTGTTACGTGATATGCTGCCTGGAATATGCTCGGAGACTTCGGAGCGTACAATCGTAGATATAGTTGAGAATGAGAACGGGGGATGGGAAAGGTGGAGGTGGCGGCCATGTCTACCTACGCACTGTACCTCGTATGCATGTACGGCGGCGGCGAAGCCCGCTGACTGCAGGTAGAGGGGTAAGAGACATGAATGTATGTAAGTGGCTGATTCCAGTATTGCATACAACCGGGACAGTATAGGTCACGAGCGTGATGTAAGAGTATGGTGGTGAACGTTTACGATACGCTGAACGAATGCTTCGCTTCTTGCTCGCTTGGGAGGGGAAGGAAGATGCGAACAGGGAGGGATGTCTGCCCTACCCATTATCCTCGCACCTATGTTTGATATGAGTGGAGCAATAAAGCGCAGAAGCAAATAACTGCTCAAGTTGGGTAATCCGAGTAAGAGAAGCATCCATCCGTGGCGCGAACCTCGCGAAAGGGAAAACAGAAACAGATGACCCCTGGCATTTCTACTGAGCAAGTTTCGTGGGTGTAGAACGTAGATGCATGATTCCATGCGGTGGTTTTTCCATTGGCATTTATTGTTCGTTATGTCAGGATGGTTGGAAGTCTCGCCACGGAGATGTTGCCCGGAGCCCAAAGGAGTAATTGTTTGATCGAATACATACTGCTGGATGATTGTGATTCGGGGTTGAGTCGAGATGAGTTAGGCTTCCGGAAGTGGAGTGGAGTAGTAGATTGTGGAGTGGAGCAAGCGGTAGGTGGTGTGGTCAGTCAAGGTCAGTCTACTGAGGTATCTAGTTGTTAGCTGAGACGAGAGATGGGAGAGATATAAGGACCCCGCTTCTGCCCCTCCTCGCTGTTCTCCTTCTTCTTCTTCTTTTCTTCTTTCAGCAACGAGTAAACCAATCTCAATACCAAACAAATTACCACCCTTTAAACCTTTTTTCTTCTCTTCGAAGCAACAATCAAACATGCCTGGCTGCGGAACTGCTGGATGCACTTGCGCCGATTGCGGCTGCGCTGCCGGTGCCTGCAACTGCGGCAAATGTAAGTTCTCTCGTCGTTCAACATCCACCTACCCTCCTCCGTATCAATCAATGCTGATAACTCTCTGTGTAGAAATCAACAACCAATGTACATCTCCAATGACAGTAAATAACGTTGGCATCGACAACTGAGCCTCGACGACGCTCCGACTCGACAACTCCCCAACTACGATGTTTTCGATGTCCAACACCAACATCTATTTCTTTGACAATATACACTAAACGCGATACCCTACTCTTCGTCGACGCTCTTTACTCGGAATGGCAATCTTGTCCTTGTTTCCTGGAATGGTGGCTTGATGGTAGATGAATCAAATTTCGACAGATGCGCTTTCAAAGGGGTCCTTCCGCCGAAGACACCCCAACACTAAGAAAAGATGGGAAATGGAGATGGTTAATTCATTGAACATATACAAATATACATCTGCATACCTACTATCATTGACCTTTCGTCGTCTTCTGTGATGTCTGTGGTTCAATCAGGTGATATTGTAAGATGTGAGGGGTCGCTGTGCCGGGTGACTTGATCACAAATATTATGCTGGAAGAAATGGTTGTGACGGTGAATGATTTATGTGTTGGTCGTCTTCGCCCCCTCGACTCATCGTTCTATGTCTTGACCAGAATCGGTTGTACATTTCGTGTGAAACAGTGCTCGCTCGCTCGCTCGCTCTCCGTCCGGTTAAAATCGTGCTCTAAAGATCCAACTGACAGACTTGCCGGTCAACTTCTAAGAGTAAGTAAGCTCAACTGACAGCCCGACTCTTCCCAACATCCTCGAGGTCTATGATCTCTTCTTCGACTTCCATTTCCGCAGGCTCTTTGCCTTTCTTCGCGCCCTTCCCGGACACGCTCCCTCTCTTCCCTTGCCCCTTGGGCGCAGCTGTGTCGTCTTCTTCTTCGTCGCCGAAGAGATATCCCTTGCCCATGTTGCCCCTCATGCGTCGCTTCTCGTCAGACGGGAATGCCGTATGTTCCGATGCCTTGGCGAACGTCGAGCGTGCGGGCTCTACGTCACCACCCCCGCCCAGCATCCATGAGAAATTGGAGGATGTCAAGAGTGGGCGCGAGCGTGGGGAGAGTGACGCCGCTGACGCCGCTGTTGGGGGTTGAGCCGGTGGCGACATCGGCTGCTCTTGCTGAACGGGACTCGAGACTCTGGGAGTTGCTGGGGCAGGCGCCGCCGTCGCTTTTGCTTTCGACTGCCTCGATCGTGTCGGGCTACTTGCAGGCGGGGCACTACTCGTTCTCTCTGGTATCGGGGCTGTAGTTGTTGGCTTCGGGGACACTGTGCCTGATGCTGGGTCTTCGGTTGGGAGCGGGATGGAAGAGTCCTCGAGATAGACCTGGACGAATTGTACCTTTGCAATGGCAAGGCTGAGCGATTCCATCTGCTCTTTCATGTCCTTCTTGTCCTCTTTCGGCGTGTCGCTTTGATTTTTGTGGTATTCCCATAGCGACCCAACAGCGCCCTCGAGCATCTCAGCAAGGTTCTTGTTCCTCTTTTCAAGTGCCTCGATTCTCTTCGTTGCCACGCCCAGCTGTGCCCTTGTATCTTGCGCGGTTCCAATCGGGGCTGGTCTCCTGAACTCGCGACCACCCGATCGAGGAGTCGTTTGGCCGGACGCTGGTCCCGATTGTATGGCCTCTACATTCTTCTTGACCTCGCCCACTGCATCCCGAATGGCTTTTCCCACACCCCACTGAGAACCTCGATCCAAGACCCCCTTTGCAGCATTCTGAAGTAGTGACTCGATGCCTCCAGATTGCTGTGCCATGAAGGAACGTGGCGATCCAATGGCTGGTCTCGTCCGGCTGGACGCAAATGAAGGGGGTGGCGAGGGTATCCTTTCCTCTGGTGCTTTCTTCTCAATCGGCGGCGCCTTCTGGCCGTAGCGTGTGATGATCTCCGCCCCTCCTTCCGGAGTCAAGTGATCGCGAAGATATAGGGCATCTTTGATGAATGTGTATGCAGGTGCATCGGGCTCTGGGTATCTTAACAAAAGAGTAAAAACCTCGTTGGTGTCAGAGGCGATAAGCTTCCACCGAATGCGTAAGAGCATGGCGACAGATATCATGTCTACAAGTTCGAGTGTCGAATCTATAGCGAACAGCGCGTCCCACATTTTCAAGACAGAGTCTAGAGGGAACTCTCGACCGAACAGAAGACGAATCCATCGTCTTTAATAGTTAGCAACCCCGTTAGGAATGATGGGGACTTGTGACGAGAACTTACAAAAGAAAGATTTGAGGTACAATTTCGAGTTTGATTAGATGCTCTGATAGAGCAGGATCCGCCTTCGGGAGATACCGATCGAAGATCCGCGAACTTCGAATCAGCATGGGCGTGTCCTTACTCGCGGCGCCACTCTCCGCAGGTGCGTAAAACTCTTTGGCAGTCCTCATTACCAGTGTGAACAGGGTGTACGTGTCATGCTCAATGTACTTCGAGTCAAGAATCTCCGCGTATGCACGATTCGAGCTCCTGTTCTCGGGGCCAGTGCGGTCGACGGCATCCCTCTCGACGACCCACAGGATGGGCGCCAGGATCTCGTGCATGCCCTGTCGATAGCCAATGTTCTCGTTCATCTTGCAAAAGACGAACAGGACATCCAGCATCATGTTCTGCGTAGCAGGTTGCCGAAAGTACACATTGTCCGGCATGCATCGCTCGATGTCTTGGAAGATCTCCGCGCGTAGGTTTTCGTCGGCTCGAAGCGCGACCCAGGGGGACTTTCAGGTCTTAGTAGCGGTCAACATGTGTGGTTTGCGATATGCGATCGGGGATATTGGATGTACCTCTTCATTCTCGCTCAGCGGATCTACGGAAGATTCAAACTCATCTGGGTGTTGTATAGCACGGAGGTAGTGGGATCGAAGAGAGTTGTACGTAGACCGCGTCTCGGTGAGCTGTGTTGGCCATGTCGAACGATCTAGGGACTTGAATAGCAAGAAGATCTGGACAGACTGTGTCAATTGCGAGGAGAAGTATAGAGGAAGAAGCGAGGCGAACCTTCCAGCACACAGAGCGCAGCCCCGCCGTTATCTGAGGTTCCTTGTGCGACGAGACCGCTATCTTGAGGTCAGTCAAGGAATGGAAATCATCGAGCTGCCGCCAGAACTTCCTGGAAACGAGTTAATTTTGGGGTGCCAGGTGCCTGAAGGAGATATGCATACTCGACCTCGGGCACAGTTCTCATGTCTAGGTGAATGTAAGCACTCAAATGAGTCCAGGAGTGAGGGGTATGTTGGCCGAAGCACCGTGATGGCGAGCTGATACTTACGGCAATCAGTCCGCCATAATGCGATACGGAGCGATGGAGGTACGTGCGGCGGCCGCGGGGGCGCTGACAGGTACACATCACGTGGCGTGTGGCTTGCAGTTTAAGCTGAAGCTACAGGCTCGCAGCGCAGTCCATCAGCAGTCGGTACCTGGCTTGAATGTTAAAGGGCAAACCCTGTAGCTGACTGCTATTTCAAGTGGATGGCTTGCTGATGGGGATTCTGCATTTCCAGCCCTGTGGAATCGACGAGCTGGGCTCCGACCCGGTCGACAAGCATCCATACAATCCTCGATGTTTATCATCGACGTCAGCGGGAGGGAGAAGTACTAACGAATTCCATGCCGCAATCTTGGGGCGTGGAAGACACATGGGCAATTATTGATCTGCTGCATTTCAAACTCCGTGCTATGTGAGTACACACTGCACAGTACGCTTCGAGTCTGAATTGAGACCCATTCTATTCGTCGGCAGGCCCATTTTATTATTTGGATCATTCGATGGGTCAATGCTCTTCCAATTCATACCGTACCAGGAAGGGCTTGAAACCCATGTGTTATACCCGGGCATGACAGATGGGGAAGTCAAAACACTGTAACGATCGGAGAGAATTGCAGACGGCACACTTAGTCTCCAATCCCTGCTTGCTTCGTGGAGTGTTTATCGCAAGCTTTATCGCAAGCTCTCGTCCTTGCTCAATATTGTTATCGAATTTGTTAAAACCGTCATCGCGCAGTAGCAGTAGTAGTAGTACAGTGTTGCATGATTGCTGGGATATACAGTATTGTTTTGCTGTTTAAAATAGATCTATACGAGGTAGCTAAACTCCCCATCATCACTGTCTCCCTAATTGGGAGAAAAAGATAAACTCGAAACAGCCATTAACCTATCCGCGCAAAATGTGTTGAGGCGATGGTCAATCATACCATCGAGATCGGCTCCGGCTATTGAATTGGTACGGGGATTGTGAGTGCTACGGTCTTACGTTTTACCCCTAGAGCGACTCCGGAGCGCGCTCCTGGGTACTAACGTGAGCATGCAATTTTATCATACCGGCCAGGAATCGATGTTGATATGGAACCGCTCTGAATCGAAGAAATACCTGTTTTCACGGCATGTCTTGGAGGGAGGGCGACGAGTGCCCGCTATAAGGAGATTACGTCGCATGCCAACGGTGCCAAAGCATACCGCAAGCAGAGGGTGGTCGATGACGACGACAGCGACGACGCAGGTCAATCTGCTTTGTCTGGAACAGCATTCCGGAAGACGGCCATTGTCATGTTGTTGGTAAGATTTGGATCAATGGTGTCGCTACGGAATTTCTCGTGCTGGAGCAGCTCTAGCGTGCGCAGGGTCGGTCCGGGATGGCTGCAACCAAGCATCAGTCATCAGTACCGAGAGTAAGGAGCATGTACATAATACAGGGTTTATGAGCTTCCGGGGAGGTAGATACTAGATACTAGATAGCTACGGAGTACAGAGTACTTACTGGAGATATTTTGCGTATTTTGGATGCTTGAAGTACTGCAGGTAGCCGAGATAGGCGACGAATTCGGGCTGGTCAAAGTACTTTTGACTGGCGAGGTAATTGAGATAGGCAGGATTGGCAAGACACTGCACGAACTACGAGCACGTTAGCAGGCGAGGGGTTACGATTTAAGATTTGGGTAGAAAAGGGGGGAACGATGACGTCGCTACGGAGCGGAATTGGACATACCTCAAGTTCAAGTTCGAAACGTGAGAAGCCTCCGTAGCTTGCATCGGCGGATGGAGGTGCAGCAGCCATGGATGAGAATGGGTTGGGTTGGTTTGTATGCGTGAAGTGTTTGTGACTGTGGAGGAGAAAGAGTCTTGTCTCGCTGAACACGGTCGGTCGGCCGTTGGGCGGTTTAGTAGTGGGTAATAGGTAGCTAGGCCTTGGTAGGTATGGGTACGGAGTAGATAGGATAATTAGATGGATGGCTAGTCTGGTTGGTGTTGGTATCGTATTATTATTGATGGTGTTCGATAAAGGAAGAAAGAAAAGAGAGAACAAGAAAGGCGGTCAGGCGTGAAATTATTCTGTTCTGTGTGTCTGTTTGCTGGGATGGGCGGTGGACGGACGACGGAGGGGCTATTAGTCTACTGCTCTGGGGGGCTTCAGGGTCTCTCTTCCTTCCTGATATCGATTTGCGGGGGCGGCTGCTATCCCGATTAAGGTCCGCCAGAACGAGGATGAATGCTGAAGTGACCCTGTTCTCACCTTACCTACCTAGTTGAGTAGACTTTTGTGTCTTGTTTATTTGATATCTACTGTAACGGAGTGACTGTACGAGTAGGTACTAGGAAGTTACAAGCAGATTTGCGGTGGCCGTGCTGTGCATGTTCTATGCATGGGCATGGATATGGATATGGATATGGGTACGGTTATGGGTATGGGTATGGGTATCTGCATGTGCGAGTTCGCATGCAATATCCTGTACAGTGACTACTGTGTACTTTAGCTCCATGTAGCTGAGATCGCAGTCACAGCCACGGTTACTCGTAGCCTCGTACCTTCTCGGGAGGGCAGGGAAATGGTGAATGATTGAGGGCGTGATGAGTGACAAAGATGGCGAAAGCGGATAAAAAGAAAGCTTGAAATGGCGACTAGGCCGATGCCCGCGCGGTGGGTGGGCTGGCTGGCTGGCTGGCTGGCGATCGTGGTACCCTGTACTATGTAGGCCGCGGTTAGACTCCAACTACGGAGTGTAGAGGAAGAGTTTGGAAGGTGATGGTAACAGAAGCAGAAGTGATCGAAAGCAGCATTGAGAGGGCATGACTGTGTATGTATCTGTGGTCAATGATCAGAGACTTTGGTAGTAGAATGGTCTACAGAGCTACCTACCCTTGTGTTATATGACAACAAACGGAAGATGCAGCACATACAGGGCCAAGTATGCACTCCAGAGTTCATGACAGCAGGTGATGACGATGTGCGCCCACTTCCTGCCCCCTGTCCTTTGGATATGTATCTGCTAAGTTTTAACTATTACTCTGTACTCCGTAGAGTCCTAACTGTCTGTGTATGCCTAGGTAGAGATCCCACCTGACATTAATCCCATCGTCTGTATAGATGAGTTAACTAGTACCTAGGTAGGTATATGGACATATCATATATACTACCCTGGATAGTAGGCCACCTGGGTCGTACTTGATTCGCACCCAACGGAGTAATAATTGGTACCATGTTGACCATGTTGACTTTAGAGACAACTACTATTACACATAGATGGATCATTACCCTTAATTACCCATGTCAAACATTAAAAGGGAGTCTCTCAATTGCTCATTCTGGCCCATAACCTGCCGCATTCTCTCCAGCTGCCACCGTCCTATGTCTTTCTTTGCCAGTGCCCATGCCCATGCCCATGCCAATGCCCGCGTTATTGTATGCCATGCCTACTGTGTATGCCTCTAGACCTCCTCTTAGAAACGCCTCAAAAGCCCCTTGATCCCTCTCGTTTCTCCGTTGCAGATCATAACTCACATGCCCCCCTCTTAGGCTCTCCCTCTCCTACCCCTACCCTTCAATACGAGCTCCTCCTCCACTTGCGCCGACCACCTAACTACATGACTACCTAGTCCTGTCCATCGTGCCATCGCAAAACCGAGCCAGCATAATAATTATTATAATCATCTGCGTCCGTCCCTCCACTCTTCCTCCTCCTTGTCCTTTTGGCCTCAACCTCGATCTTGAGCATTCCTCTCCGAACATCGCTCTCTTGGATCTTGACAAAGGAAAACGACTGTAATCCAATACGTCTTTTCCAACGTCATCCATTTGCACCAACGCAGATTACTCACTCGTTCTCTTACTCTACTCTACTCTACTGCCGTACCCGGCTCTTCCCCACTCGCTCTAGCCATTCACTCCTGCCTAACCACCTACGAGTATTCCGTACCTTCTGGACCTCCTGGGTTTCTTTCTCTGGATCTAGCCTCGCCCAGTACCTACTGCTCCAACCCTAAATTACTCTACTTTCCCTCTTCTCTACCTTTTACTCCAGCTCTCCATTCACCTTCGCTTTCTCTTTACTTTACTCTCTCTTTCTCCCTCTCACCACCACCATCACCATCAATCACATTACCACCGGCCATTCACAGTCACGTTCACACTCACAGCATATACTCACCATCACGGCTACTACTTACTACCACTACCACTACGACCAACACTACTACAACAACAATAGTTACTACTACTACTACTACTACTACGAGTACGGAGTATCATCACCATCTATTCCAGCCATCCAACCAACGAGCCAACCGTGCTGGTCCCTCGGCAACCATCCACCCCTCCCTATATATTAAGCGTCTCCATACTGCCACTACTACGAGTACCACCACGACTACAGTCTACTACGACTGTCCCGTTATACTACGAGTAGCTAGCTGGCTGGCCATCTCTCATACCCCCTCTCCACTATCCCCCTAACTACGAACATTTACCCCTACCTAGACGTGCTAGGCTATTCGACGCGGCGGCCACTTCCAAAAAGACAGCGCTCCGCCAAGCCTGCCCTGCTTTTAACTCACCCGCCCGCCTTTTACCTTTACCTTTACCTCCTCCTAGCTCGCCCGTCCCATCTCATCCCCCCCAGAGCCAAACTAGACCGGTACAACGAAACACACCAAAGCATCCTATCCGCAGTCTTAATCCAGAGCTCTCCTCCCTCTTCGCCCATCCACCCGCCCACTCACGCACACATTTAACCCCCTTTTCTGGTTACAGACACAAATCTTTCCGCGGATCGTCACAGAACCAGGTCGCACACTTCCCATCTTGCGCGTCATCAACATTGCTTTCCTTGGAAATTATCCTCTACCGACCTGCGATTCCTACCCGTCACATTGCAGAATCCTGATCCCCTCCCCTGGCAATTTATCTTGATTGGGCGCGCCAGCAGGGTTGTTTACAGCGCACCATCATGATCGCAGAACCGTCAATGCCAGGTATGGGCTCCTTTATCGCTCGTTTCACCTACGGTGCCTGTGACGAAAGCCCAATTCGCTGACATTTCACCCTTTATCTACAGAACGGCGCCCCTCGCCAGGCCTCTCCCTCAACCTCAACTCCAACAATCCGTTCCGCAACAGAGCAGGCTCGCCCGCCATCCCTTCGCCCAATCTCAATACCCCTACGAGCGCTGGCAGCAGGCCCATGTCCCGCAACCCCTTCCTCTCCACCTTTGAAGCCGAGTTCAACAAGGAAGCCGCCAACACCAATCTCATCGATATGTCCGCTTCCATGAAGGAGTCCCCTAAGAAGGCAACTTTTGGCACCAGCGCCGAAGAGCTATTCGTATGTCCTCCCCTTTTGTGCAACGGCGGCCAATTGCGTTTGTTGGGTCGCACTGTACCCGTCGCACCGCCAGCCAGTTCCGCCACTCTGTACCCTCACCCTCACCTTCACCCAAGACCCCCAAGCTCTTGAAAACGCGCGTCCGCTTGGCAGCGCGTTGAAACAGCCATGGAGCGATTTTGTCACTTCGCGGATGCGTTTGCTAACTACCCCTCTCTCCAACAGAACAATCTCACACTCGACGACAAAGAGAAGCGGGACCCACCCCGTGGTAATCCACCTCGAGGAGGCCCGGTATACCCCAACGGCCGTCGGCCTTCACGTTCGGAAGAGGAAGAGCGCAGGCATCGCAACGGCCCCAGGGGCCCGCCACGACCTCGACCACCTCCAGGTTCGCGCCCCCCGCACGCCAGCAGCCCCGAACGTAGAGAGCCCCGCCGTCCCCGTCGAAATTCCGAGTCTTCGATGATTGACAAGGGCTCTCTGGGCCCAGAAGAGGAGCGCAGACGTAGGGAACGCCGCAAGTTGCGAGATGAGCGTTCGAAAGACGGTAAAAGCCGTTCTACGAAAGTACGGAGACCGCAAGGACTAGATTTGATTGACAAGCTCGATGTAACCGGAATTTACGGTCCAAGTCTGATCCACCACGACGGCCCATATGATGCTGTCCAACCCCACCGCAACCGCCAGAAGGATCAACGCGCCCCCATGCAAGCGTTCCCCGTGGGTTCTGCCAACAATGCCCTTGGCGGCTCTGGACCGGTCAACAAGCACATCGACCTGGACACTTTCCACGGCCGAGGTGCCGAGGGTTTCACTGATTTCGGTGCCGGTGGTGGAGATTTCAAGAAGCGTACCGATACAGGAGGCTTCAACCCCAAGGCTCGAGCCGACATTGTACACGGAGAAGAGACGGTCGGCCTCGGAACTTCCACGTTCCTTGATGGAGCACCCGCTTCCAGGGCAGCGATCCAGCGGCGCGAGTCTGAAAATCACACTACTTCGGCGGATGGTGGTCTTGGCCGCAAGAAATCAATTGCACAAAGATTCCGCGGCATTTCACAACCACGACGCTTCGGTGAGGGTGGCCGGATCACCTCCCCAGAGGCCCGCTATGGCGGAGGCAGTCCTGGAAGCCCACATGCAGTCAGTGCTGGTGGACTGTCTAAGGCCAATGAACGAAATCCCTTCTTTGACGAATACGATGCTGCATACGATAGGAAAGGCGCCGCTATCAAGGTGTCCGACGCTGGATCCAAGGACGCCCCTGCAAAATCTCCATCATCGCCCGGAAACCGCAACCATCTGACACGGACCCTGACTGCGGATAGTGCCGAAGTTCAGGGAGAGACAAAGTCGAATGGCTTTCTTACCCGAATGAAGAGCTTGAAAGGAGGAAAGCGGCCAAAGCCTGAACGTCCCGCTGCTTGAGCATCGCGAATACCCAGCATAGGACATGAGCCAGTTCATATTCCAAGCGATTGTTGGGAGCCTCTCATTACGGAAGCATAGACCAACGGCGTTTGTTTTCATTGCCACTTTCTGATACGGGAGCTAGTGAGGCGCGAAACGGCGCACAATTTGCATGACAAGTGGCATGCTTTCCAATTGGTGGTCTGGATACCTTCTCCTTTTGGGGTGTTTTTTTATTGGACCGGGCAGGAGAAAAAGGATATCTCTCAGACAGCAAGCTTTCTAATGGGTTGGGGGATTTGATTCTATTACAGCAAGACCGCACATAACCAGTTGCCAAAGTGAAAGCCAAAACAAAGTATGGCGAACTGAGAGTCAGCTTTTAGGGTTCTCAATGAAAATGATGAAAACGATCCAACGTAGCAATTGACTTGCTTCTTTGCTTGCGCGTACTGACAATTCCCGTGCCGAGGTGATGGAGCTCGAGACCCTGCCTCTAATAATCCAGCTTTCTATTTGATGTGTACATTTACAGGTACCTAACATCTAGTTACTCACTATCCCTGGTCAACAATCGATATAAAGGTCCGAGGCTGGGCAAGATCTAACTACATGCCTAGTTCTCTTCTCCACAAGCCCAAATCCGCCACTTCCGTATGCGGTTGGCGCCGATTCTACGATAGTATGGATTCGGAATCCGTTCCGAACCAGCGATTCTCCCTCACCCAAACACACCAACACCCACTCACTAAGCTCGCAATAGCATATATACAATGCCAAGACCATGACAGCAGACGTGTCGCCGTCGTCAAAGTTGTCGTCGTCGTCGCTCACCTCGCCAGCGAATCCCCTCCTAGCCGTGTCACTGCTCCCCGACGCCGAGCTCGACGGCATCATCGACAGCGTGCTCGACGGGAAGCCGACCACCACGTCTACCGGCAGAGCGAAACTTGCGTCCGGATGCGAGGAGCTCGATTGTGAGATCGGCGGTGGGTTGCGGAGCGGTGATGTCGTGGGCGTTTCTGGGGATGTGATGCTAGGGACGGGGGTCGTTGATGTGAGTTTATGCATCTACCCAACTTTTCTATCATATCCCACGTGCTAGGAATACGAAAATTGGAAGTTAAAGAAAGCATTGCTGATTATGGTTCTGCAGCTCTGTATGGCGTTCCTTGTTTCTTACCTAGTCGGGGAAAATGAGACGGGTGCTGCTGCTGTCTTGGATACCACGGGCAACTTCGACGTCATGCGTCTGTATTCGCAGATTCTTGCACGGTTGAAGAAGTCTCATGGTAGCGACGGAGGGGATGCGGGTGTTGAGGAGAAGGCTGCTGGAGTGCTGGCTCGCGTGAAGATCATGCGGGTTTTCGATCTGGTGGGTGTGAAGGAGTCGATTTGGGAGATTAAGGAGGGGCTGGAGGTGACGGGGGAGCAGGGTCGGGATGAGATGGAAAAGGAGGTTGAGCAACGGGGCATGATGCCGGCTGATGATGTTGCTGTGGGGGATGTGAGGGAGAAGGTCATTGCGGATAGTGAGGGGGAAGAGGACGATGAGGAGATTTTGTTCCAGACACAGGATGAGAGCATCACGCCGTTTGTGGTATCTGACGATACAGCTGCTGCGGGAATGATAGGTGATGGGAAAGACACCGTGCAAGTCGAGGGGAAAGTGGGATTCATTCTCATGGATAACTTCGCACACGTCCTCCTACCTCTGTTGAAGAAAGACGCTGTTCAAGGTACGTTTCCGCCTAATCTATCTACCCCACGATATGAAGCAAATGTTGATAACAGTATATCTAGCAAACGCATTCGCCTCAGCGCTCTTCCGCACAATATCCCACCTAACGCAAACCCACTCCCTCACCACCATCCTGACCAACCCAGCATCAGTCCCACGCACTACAGCATCACCGCAACCAAAACCCAACAATGAGGGCAAGTTCAACATACCACCCCACACCCCACATCAGACGCAGCGTCAACCCGTCCCACCGCCATCGGTCTTCTCGTCCAACAAGGCTATTCCGGCTCTGGGACATATCTTGCCGCAGGTACTTGACTTGCACTTACTTGTGTCGGAGATGCCGAGAAGAGAAGAGGATGCGAGGGTGATGGCTTCACGGGGAGGGGAGCAGGGCAGTGGGTATAGGAGGAATGTGAGGGGGGTTGAGATGGTGAGTGTTGTCGAGGTGTTGGCGGATCGATGGGGGGGGAGAGTTGGGGCTTGGGCGATGATGTTGCCGGAGGTGGCGGATGGGAGATGAGGTTTGAGGCTTGAGATGATGGATTGTAAGGGAGAAGTAAAGATACCCCATCCCCCTTGAATTGAGGGGATTGATAGATCATGTTAGGTTTCATTTGTTGGGAGCTCTTGTATATTTAAGCATAGAATTTTATTAGGTGAGGTTGTCTGCTTGCTAGCAGTTTTAGCACATACAAAGAAAATTCATATAGGGCCTCCTATCTATATACTGTAAAGAAGCAAATCAAGGTTCAAATGTACATGAATACTAACAAACAGATTACCTGATGTGGTAACGTTTTTTTTATATGGCATCGCATGGATGACGCCTCGTTGGTCCTCGTTGCGGGCTAGCGCTCCTCGGTTCTCTGACCAAGCTGACCTATCTAACCCTCCATACATTGTCTCCGTCCACGGTTCCTCCGCGTGTTATCAAACAATCGAATAGCGCACCATGTCGGCGGATCTGTTCGCGGAGTTTGGAGACTTTGGCGCAGCACCTGCACAGCAGCAACAGCAACAGCAGTCTCAATCATCACACCAGCCCCCTAAACCGGTTGCACCACAAGCCGCTCCATCATTCAGTTTCTTCGACGACCTAGCTGGTCCCACGAGTACTCCCCAGGCAGCTCCAGCAAGACAGCAATCACAGCCACAAGACCCGTTTAACCAAACATGGGGAACTCAACCGGCAAAGACGGACGACAATGATGACTGGGGTGATTTCGAAGGCGAATCTTCATCACAGCCTGCTCTCCCTGCGTCATCATCGACAGCCCAGGGGACGTTTGGTACAGCTCCGTCGACTCAATCTTCATCACAGAGTCAATTGAATTGGCAAACAAAACCTCCAAACCAGATCTCCGCTTTTGACGCTCCGTCAACCCAGAAGGCCCAAAGTCACCAGACGTCATCTCTAAACTGGCAGTCTACGCCCACATCCAACTTTCATGATGCTTTTAGTTCCCAGCCAATTCGTCAGTCCCAGGAGCAATCCCAGTTCAATTGGCAGCCAGCGCCGGTCATCAAGGCAAAGAAGAGCGCTGATCCCAGCGTGCTCTTCGATGCGGAAGATGATTTCGACGACGATGACGACTTTGGCGATTTCGAAGGCGACGACGCGGTACCTACGCCGTCGGCCACCCCAGCACCAGCACCAGCACCAGCACCTCGTTCAACTGGCATGGAAGACTTACTAGGGGATCTCACCGTGTCGGAACCGCAGACCAAACCGCAACCTCGTGCTCCAGCAAAGAAGACGACCAAAAACCAGGTCGGAGCATTTGGGACGACCGCACGTGCTAAGGAGCCCAAATCCCCCGTCAAACCAGCCCAGCCCGAGCCAAAGGAAGAAGACTCTTGGGATGCATTCGACGACTGGGAAGCTACGATTCCTACGAAAAAGCCCGCTGCGAAAGCGGCTCCGGAACCAAAGAAAGCAGCCACCCCAACGCCCAAAGAACCAGCATCAAGTCTCATATCATCCGACCTCAACGAAGCACAACCCGGCGAACTTCCCCCTACGAACGTACCTCCCCCAGCCGTCCTTCTCTCCCTCTTCCCACCCCTCTTCGCCGAAGCGCAGGACAAGCTCTTCAAGCCCATGGCCGCACAACCCATCCCCATGAGAAACAAACTCGTCTCCGACCCCTCCACGATCACCTACCTCCAATCCTTCCTTCTCGTCGCCTCCGTCGCCGCACGCATCATCTCCGCCCGCAAGCTCCGCTGGAAACGCGACGCCCACCTCTCCCAAGGCATGCGCATCGGGCCCGCCTCCTCGCGCGCCACCTCCGGCATGAAGCTCACCGGCATCGACAGAAGCGAAGCCATGAAGGAGGACCGCGAGGTCGCGGACGTCGTCCGCGCGTGGAAAGAACAGGTCGGGCGCCTCCGCCACGTCGTCTCCGCCGCGAATCAAGCCCGCCCCGGGTCGCTGGGTGCGGTGCCCGATTTGCAGGAGACGATGCCGGTCAGGACGCTGAAGCAGAGTGAGGGCGGGGTTCCTGCGCCCAGGCCTTGTATGCTGTGTGGGATGAGGAGGGAGGAGAGAGGGAGTGGGGATTTGGGCGTTGAAGATAGCTTTGGGGAGTGGTGGGTTGAGCAGGTTAGTATGCATCGAGGTATGTTGTTTCCCTTTTTATTCTTTATCTTCTACATGTTTTCCAAGTCGAATCGAAGGTGTTTAGTAGAGCTAACGTGCGGTTTATAGGATGTAGGAATTTCTGGAATCAGCATAAAGACATGCTTAGGCAACGGTGAGCATCGCCGGAGTTGGGATATAGCATTTGATTAGGATGGCGTTGCATGGCCTGGCACGGTGCGGCATATTCGCGAGAACATTGGCGAGATCTTTAGACTGTTAACTGGCTACAATCTACTCTTGAGTAGGCAGTCCTTGTATAAAGAAAAACTATTTGAAGTCAATAGGCTTCTGCAGCATACCTCCCTCTTGTTGAGGCCCATGAAGTAAATAGCTTCCCTTCTTAACGCGAGTAATGGTCCATTAGTAGTGAAGGTCCAAGCACGTGGAGACGCAGGGTCCCGGGAAAGGGACCCTTTCCTGATGCGATCGACAGTCCAGAAGAGCCAATCACAGTTCGTGGGGAAGAACCAGCCAACCAACCATGCGGAGGTCCGGCCGTCCCACCACCCAAATCGTACCCAGGGAATCGTTTAACACATGGGTATTTTGAGTTATCACAAGACGAGTCTATTTTGCGGACCGTGTTTAATCGAAGACAAGACCGGATCTATAGGATATCCGTGAGGTTTCCGGGTCTTGAGGATTTCTGGTTCTGAGGATTTTCGGAACAGCTATAGGTGGTGTATAAGTCGATCTCCGCTGCACGTTGCTACTGTTTGTGAATATCTACTTGCTTCCAGCTTGCTACTTGCTTGCTTGCCACCTAGTACTGAATACCTATCCATACCTACCCCTCGGTGGATCGTGCAATCGCCCAAGTAACAAGATCCAGCGAGTGTTCGACATTTACATCCACCTGTTGTTAAACCGAATGTGCTGGCTAGTCCTCCTTAGCCACAGGATTGGCGTCGAACGGGCAGCGGGCCAAAAACCCATCAGCACCTGCTGCTGCGAAAAGACTTTTCCCTGCAATAGATACATAGCAGTTTACGAGGTTTTCTCTGCTGCAGCTGCTGCAATTGCTTTTCCCACCCACGGGCCCAATCGGTTATTGGCAAAGTAATCAAATCAATCAATCAATGCCCCGCGGGCTGTGTGGGTGGGTAGGTGGGCGCAATAGTTAATGAAGAGCATGGCACAGCGACGGGTTCCCGGGTGAGGGACACTCGTCCTTGTGTCTTGTGTTCTGCATACTGGCGGAGTTACAGGATTTAGGGACTTTGATCGTCATAATCACAAGCCATCAACCGGAGAAACATCTTTGAATGTAGCAATTCCCATTCTGCTGCCCAGCTGGGTTGTTCTTCAAGTTAGGTAGGTAGGTAGGTAGGTAGGTATGTAACAGGTTGCATGTTCAATCTGCGCGTGACTGTTTGTTCTTTTCACACTAGACTCATTTGTTTCCCATGTTTCCGTATTGAAGCTCGTCTTGATGTCCGAAGAGAGATAGGCGGGAAGCAGAAGGGCAAAGTTGATGCTTGAGTAGAATAGAAGTCTGAAGTCTGTCTGTGCGGGGCAGAGTTTAGTCGTCTCTGGTAGTTTAACTGTTTTAGACTCGCGAAGAACAACTTCACCTCCAACAAGTCTAGCCACATCCCATCCCATTGCAAACTTAACAACAACTTCCCTCCACACCGTACTGCTTACCATTTTTCCTGTCTCTAACGTTGAAATCGCAGAATTCACCCAGTCTCTCCGTACGCCCATCTCTCTCTCCGTCTACTCTTGAATCACCGTTCCTTTTTTTCTTTCGCCCATCGCAGCTGAGACCGCCCAGATCCCGCGCGCCCCTCACCAACTTCGGTCACCTCCCACGTCCCTCGCCCACCCCAGAAGCAGCCTCGTTTCCTCCCCCAACGCAACCGTTTTTCACGTATATTTGGTGTGATAACATTGGTGATTGAGTGGTCATTCAACCGGGGATCAATCACCCGCTCCCGCCCGCCGTCGACCGATCTGAGACATCGTGAGTTCCCTGCAGGGCAATTCAGGGAATGAGCGCGCCACATGAAGATGGTAAGCAAAAGACCCGATGACCCCATTCTCTACACAGTACACCTCCAGACACCGGTCACGCTCCAAACCGACCGCACGCGTCGCTGTCTGCACGTCCGCCCACCCACAATCACGAGGAGCTCTTCACGGAACCGCCGCTTCACGCTATCGATAACCCGACTCCGCCGATGGGCCCCTCGGGGTTCTTCAGCATGGCTTCCAAGAGCGACTCCGATGTGGTTTCTTTATCGACCTCCATAGCGATATCCCTTCCTCTACTAAGCAACGGCTTATGTGCACCTTTCACCGCCCCGCCCGCTTGACCAGATTGACTAGACATGGGCGCCATTGCTAACCACATCTTCTCTCCAGGCTCGCCAAACCAAGAATCCCAATCCAGTCTCCAACCCACCCTACGCTTCGCCCCCAGCAATGGACCTCTCCCCAAGAACAGGAGCACGGGAAATCTGCTTTCACACGCCGCTGGCTCGTCACTAGGTGTCGATACCCGAAAACGCATGAGCATCGATGCTGGATCGTTGGATAGGATGGCAAGGTACGTTGCCGGTTCTGGAGAGTGTGCGATTACAACTGCGGTCCCCTGGTCGACATATGCGAGGGAGAACGTTTACTTACCATTCTCCAGGTCACCTATCGTTCCGGAGCACGAACATGGACTGGGAGCATCGGGCCTCAGGCGCATTCGCCAACAGCCAAGTCTGAGGCCCGTAGCTGGTCCTGGGATAGGCACTGGCTTGACTCAACGATCGTCGTCACTCAACATCACTCCTCCTATCTCGAGACATCCTTCTGGCTCCGCTCCCTCTGCCCCCGGATCTCCCACACTCGGTACGGCGGAGGACCTTCACAGATTTCCCTCGGAATCATTACACTCGTTTTCGTTCGCACATCAGTCCGAGGATTTCATACACAACAGGCAGAACGTATTAAAGCGGTCCATCGATTTCATGCGAGACAAATTAGGTTGGGCGGCAACAAATGCGAGCATCGCGAATGCTCAGGCGAAATTGAGTGGGGATCAGGAGGTGCAGAGCATGCTAGAGCTCCTGACAAGGGCAAATCTGATCGGCCAAGATGCTTCTGGTGCGCATGGTCTGGGTGCCCTGGGTCCAGTGACCGGCCCCGCTGATATGTCTGGCGAGAATATATTCGAGAAGAGCTTCCTCCCCAGGTCAGAAAGCCCGGAGAACATGGGAGAGAATGCATCACCGAGGGAAGCTCTTGGCATAATGGCGGCCGCAGGCGAACAGAGTTCAGACCAGAGCCAGAGCGCAGGATCTCCACCGGCCCTGAATCTCCGCATTGGTTCACCTCCAGTGTCCGATCAGGTATCGGATAGTTCGAGCCAGAAGACTGGAGTCTCAGCAACACCGTCGACACTGATGGGACCTCCACCTCGTGCGGCTCTGAAGCGGACGTTTACCGATGTCGCTCCACTGACCATCCAGAGCCAACTGAATGATGCATTGGCGCAGCCGTACCTGATTGGGGAGCAAGGACAGATCAATCAGATTGTTTCCCCAACGGCCGTACCAACAACGCCTCACGGATTTCCCAGCGTCCCTGGCCAGCATTCTGGAGGACCAGCACCTCACGGACACGGAAGTCGATGGGCGCCCGCTGCCCAGGCGATCTTCACCACAGAAGCCCATGCACCATGGACCATCACCGCTGCTAATGACTTGGCTTGTTTGGTTTTTGGTGTCACGAGGGCAGAGGTCCGCAAAATAGGCATTCTTGAGGTCGTTAAAGAGGAACGGCGAAAGTGGCTTGAGGACAAGCTACGCGACCCGGATTCTGGAACCAAAGCAAACCCCACCGTGCCCAGTCCACCTCCACCATCCACTACCCCAACAAACAATCTCAGAGTCGGGAATGGTGTCACAGCGAAGCTACTCAGCAAACCGTCGTCACGACAAGTAGCCCAGAGCAGGCGAGCAAAGACGGATGATGGCAGCGGTTCCTCGTATGCAAAGAAACCCGTCAAAGGCGGCTTGAATCACGAGTCTAAGGGTTCTCGTGGCGTCCTCCTCTGCGGTGATGTCGTCCCCATCCAGAAAAGGAATGGTGCAAGTGGCGCCGCTAGCTTGTGGGTGAAGGAGAAGCGTACTGGCTTGATCTGGGTGCTTGAAGAGATCGCCGAGGATGTGGTCTATATCAATGTGGATGAAGTGGGCTGCGTTTCCAAAGGCACAGGAGCCATCGAGGCCGTATTTGGAAGTGACCGATTACGCCGAGGCATGGATCTCAAGAGACTGATTCCTGCGATACCACGACTTCCTGGGACCAACACTGGAGCTTTGGATTACGACAAAATTGCAGAACTTACCACCTTCACCGCAAGAACAGCGAACAGCATCAACATTCCGGTTGCTGTAGAGGCGATAGGAAATGAGCTTGCCTTCCGGGTCTCCAGTTTCCCCCACATTGCTGGAATCGTTGTTTGTTCAGCGACTGATCTGAAGATTGCGAGTTCGAACTCGGTGTTTTCTTCTGCTCTCTTCGGACAGCCACGGCCGGAGGGACTTCACATCACTAGCCTCATCCCTGGATTCGACAAGCTTCTACGCGTCATGACCGATGAGGATAACATCGAGTTGATTGATGGAATTGTGATTCCAGAACACAGCTTCCGGAGAGCGAGGGCCCTGCTTGCAATGCGAGAAGGCAGAGCAGATGCTGCATCAATCTTCCTTAGGCCGAGCGGATTACCCGCCTTACATCGGGACGGTTCTGAGATCATGGTCGATGTGCAAATGAGAGTTGCGCGGAGTGAAAAGCCCGTTCGCTATGACGAACATGTCATCGAGGAGGAAGACGCAAAGCCTCCCCCTGCGCAGGAACTGGTGTTTGCTTTATGGGTAACCTACTCGCGACACTTACATGCGACGAACCATGGCGTTGGTCCCGTAACTCCCCTGCTCTCGCGTCCCGGCACACCACCCCATCAACCATCACCAGGGCAATCAACACTCATCCCCTCAGAAGAGACCGAATCCGATAACTCTCAATCTAATAGCGCCCCTGTCTCGTTACTGACACAGCAATTACAAGAGGCGGCCAAGCCAGCATCTCCTCCTGGACCAAAGGCACCGACGATTTCTCCAGACAAGTCCGAAGAAACGCCCAAGAAGAAGACGATCAACGACTTTGTGGTCTTAGAGGACATGGGTCAAGGCGCATACGGGCAGGTCAAATTGTGCAGGTACAAGAAGAATCCCAGCAAGAAGGTCGTGATAAAATATGTCACCAAGCGACGCATTTTGGTAGATACATGGACGCGAGATCGCAAGCTAGGAACCGTACCGTTGGAAATCCATGTGCTAGACTACTTGCGCCGGGATGGATTCAAGCATCCAAACATCGTCGAGATGTCGGACTTCTTCGAGGACGACATCAATTACTACATCGAGATGGTGCCCCACGGTCTGCCGGGAATGGACCTCTTCGACTATATCGAGCTTCGCGTCAACATGGAAGAGAAAGAGTGCCGAAAGATCTTCGTGCAAGTGGCGGAGGCCATACACCACTTGCACACCAAGGCGAAAGTGGTGCATCGCGACATCAAAGACGAGAACGTTGTATTGGACGGCGAGGGCAACATCAAGTTGATCGACTTCGGTAGTGCAGCATATATCAAGAGTGGTCCCTTTGACGTCTTCGTAGGGACAATTGGTAAGTTTCCAGGTACTACTCGTACATCTCATCATACTAACATGACAATCCAGATTACGCCGCGCCTGAAGTTCTTGCCGGAAAAGCCTACCGCGGAAAGGAACAAGACGTGTGGGCGCTCGGCATCCTGCTATACACGATCATCTACAAGGAGAATCCGTTCTACAGCATCGATGAGATCATGGACCACGACCTGCGAGTGCCGTACATCATGAGCGAGGAGAGCATCGGCCTGATCAGGCTGATGCTGGACCGAGACGTGGACAAGAGGATCACCATCAGCCAAGTTCTCGATCACCCGTGGTGCCAAATGGTCGACTCACCCTAGGAGATGGTCGTTCCATTACGCAAACCCCAAACTAGTTCCACCAAGCCTAGAAGAGAGAGGAGGAGATGGGACTAAAGGCTTCGAGAGGTCCACATGTGTCCTATCTTACAGGGTTCACCAGAAGCGACTAGGTCGATCATACTAGGAGGAAGGAGGAGAGGTTTTCACAACGAGAGACGCATATAGAAGCCCAAGTTTCCCCCCTTTCTGAACATTGCATTTTCCCCGTAGTAGATAAACGTCGAAGTGGGAGCATAATTTCCCCCTTCTTGCTCTTTACTCCCTACTCTTCGAGTCGAGGGATTAGGAACGGCGATTGGCAAAATGTCCTTTACATAGGTACCTATATAGTCGATTCCGTCCGATCGAGATGGTCCCTTTCCCTCCTTCCTTTTCCTTTCTCATTCGGCGGCGGTGGTGGGCTGTCTTTCTTTCTTGAGGCTTGAGCTGGAGACCTGACATAGAATGAACACCCCCTTTTGATACCCTGTGTGGCGCACTTCCACCTCACCTCGCCGTAGCGGTTTGCCTACGTACCTCCACCTGCACGTACATACTGTACGTAGTCATGTAGTTACCAGAGGAATTGATGAAGTGAATGAAATAATTGGAAGAGGAAGGAGTTTTTTTTAATGAGATTGGTGTGCGTGATTGGATTGAAACAATACCGTTCCGTGCTACATCAAAGTATAAATTCCAAGTCTTAGGAAGAAGGAACAGCAATTCAGCAGGGAAAAAATGTCGCAGGTTGATGAAAATGCACCTTTTATTCAATAATACTCTAAGCTACCTTTCTGCACAGTAAATCGTTTATTGATATGCCCCATCCGTCAAGCTATGCCTAGGAAAATCGGATAAAATGAGTCGATAGTCGCTTGTGTGTTCTCCTTGGGGGAAATATGCACTATGCATGGGGTAAGATTTCATGTACATGTATTCAAGGATGGGGAAAGGGAATGGTCAGATCTGATAGATTGTGCTGGCAAGGTCGGGTCGGGTATGGAGATGTGCAGGACGCTTGAGCAGATATGAGATAGTAGATGGTAGACAAGGATTGCCATAAGCTGAAATGACGTAGAACGATGGTGTGATACTCTTCGAACAGCGACCCTCAAACGCAAACAAGAATGATTAAGATATCACATACGGAGTATAATTCCATAGCATATTCCGTACTCCGTAGTTACAACAAAAAACACAGAGTATGTTCTGTGTGTAGTGTTTGTGAATTATTGTAACCTCAACCTAATAAAAGACCTTCTCTCGATCTCTCGCCCGGGTCGCTTGCCCTGGATGAGATCGTACAACACAGAGATACAATCATCATATCGCGCGAAATATCGCAGTTTCTCCCAAGCCCTCCTGCTGAACTGTAGATCTTTTTCTTCTTTTTCTTTTTGTAAAACATGGGCGATACTACCATAGTATCAACATTGACACATATGACAATGGGAAAAGCCACTGTTGAAGAGGATGCATCTCTTCTGCTCACCAGCCACACAATCTCTCATAGGTGTGGTTCTAATATTGGATAGAAAACTTTTCTGTGCATCCTCTTGCTAACGGGACATCCATCTGATGGTTTTGATCTGATATCCTTCTGTCTACAGAGGGTTGGCACGTCGGGCTGGCCACCTGCTAACTTCATGTATCTTCTATACCTAAAGTGTCTACTTAAAAATTTACTGTAGCCAGTAAACAATCTTAACTGCTTGCAATAAACCTCGCTAAGACACGGTTGTAGGCATAAATACTAGCATGGGGCCAGCCCGACGTGCCAACCCTCTGTACAATGGGCGCACTATTTCACCGCATGTCTGCAAGATTAAATGACGACGACGAACAATAGTACCAACCGATCGACATATTGACCAACTAAGTGCATGGTCCTTACCCAATGACGATAGATACTTAGAAAATAAGGACAGAACAGGACAGTTCGGATGAGAGCGGGCGTATGTGCGGCTTACGCTTCGGGTGGACGTGCGGGCATCGCGCTCGGTGCGGTGCGGTGCGATGCGATGCGGTACCAAAGACCATTGATCAATAGATTTCGTCATTATTGTGGGATGGTCGGATTGGCGGTCAAATCCATGTACGAAAGATAGTGGCTAATGCCCTGTGGCTAATGGTGGATGGGGATTGGGGATGGGAAGCGGATGGAGGAATTGCGGTCGAAACGGAATAGCAGCACAGCAACACAGCACACCGCACGTAGCGCATACCTAACTAGCAGTGAGCACATAGCACAGCACAGAAGTAGCATTGCAGTATTAGCAATAGCACAGCCCTGGAAACGGATGTACGAATACAACGTGACAAGGAAGAAAAAGAAAGGTTAAGGAATCCTTCGGGCGTCTCCGATAGGCCAGAGGATGTCGGAGGATGCGTGAGGATCGCTGCAGTGCCCTTTTCCGTACGACGGCTTAGTCGCCAGTCGTCGCTTACTGTCGGTAATGGCCAATCATGTGCCTCCACTCTGCATGTACCCTGTACGTACCCTGTCGCTTCCCTGTATACGACTAATACCCTGGACTACACCTCTTCCCTTCTGTCCACTCCATCATCTTCCACCTAACTACTTACAACTTACCCGCCTCAGCCTCAGCCTCAATCCATTGCCAAATCGTTCACTCCTCCCCACCATCATACCCTTCATAGCCGCATGACGAACCAGGAACGCTGCCGCAACTTGAGTCCGAATGGTACCCATGTTGAGCTGGGTGTGGCACATACTCGTCCTATCAAAAATAGCACCAGCCACAGTTCATTGACAGGGAACAGCCACGAAACGCCCTCTAACTCAATGCTTCCTCACAGGTGGGGTCGGCCAGAGGATATGAGAGAGCCATTTCCGCCGTGATGTTGAAGGTTCCATCTTGTCTCCTCAGGCATCGAAGCCTTACACTATCTATCCACTATCCCACCCAATCACTACTTCGACAATTGTGTGGTTGTGCGGGAGCTACACAGCTACAACAATACATTCTTCTTCCATCTCGCTCGCGACTATGCTCTCGCCAATTGCTAGTTCGTCTGCTGGAAAACCAAACGCGCCCAGTATTTGGAGCTTCGATTCAGGGTATGGCACACAGGAAGAAAACGCAAGAAATGGCGTGGTACGATATTCCTCTCGCACGTCTACTATTCCGGCGTCGGCGTTCCTGCCTGGAAACAGAAACCTTCATTATCAAGTCCCGTCCACTGACGTCTTCCAGTTCTACCACCAACCCAGCACTTCGACCAACAGTCTCCAAGCAAGACTAGAAGACAACGTCGGCCTAGAGTTGGGTGCGTTCTCCGATTTCCATATTGTATGTTTCAGACCCTTGCTCTTCTGTTTCCGTTGCCCTGGATTGCTATAGAATCTCACTGACGATCGGTAGGGTGACCAGGCACTACCCAAGATAGAAGAACTATCAGTTAATACGTCCTCATCCAAAGGCTACGTCTTCAACACCAATACCATTTCAAACGACCATCTTTATCTTCCCGAAATTGAACCCACTTCCCAAGGCTGCTTCACGTGCGATCTGTATACCGTCACCAACCCCGGCGAGAACATCCAGTGCGAGACCTGTCGACTACCAGAAACCATCGAGCCCTCGCTGCTCTCCTTCGATGCATCTTCCAAAGGAAAAGAATCTATCAAGAAAACAGAAGAGCGCACGCAAGCTCGTGCAGCGAAGCCGCAGCATCCTTCGATGGCTTTACAAACGCGCTGCTCAGCCTGTGAGCTGTCCTCCGTTATCGATCCCTCCGGTCCGTCGAACTGCGCATCATGCATCTCGAAGCAATATGAGCGTCTCTCGTCGATGTCGCCGTCCAGCCCCGATAGCAAGGTCAGGCGATCGAGGGCTGGTAGAACCTCAAAACTGCCACTGTCCGCCCTCACTACCTTGCAAGCCTGGCTTGACGCACACGCAGATAATCCATATCCGAGTGCTGAGGTGAAGCGACAGCTCGCTTTAGATTGTGGTATCACCGAGAAACAAGTCACGACTTGGTTCACCAATGCTAGGGCAAGGCAACTGAGCCCGCTGGACATATGGTTGAACGGCGAGAATGGAGATGAAGGTGCCGCTCCGGAGGATATTGAGCGTGCATCGACAGAGTTAGACCGTGTCGGTGGTTTCACATATCTATCAGACACTCGAAACCAAAGCCATATGAGGGCTGGGTCGATTTCGGGGAGCAGTGCATTCTCCAACGGACAGTCACGACCACAGCAATCTCGACGAGGCAAGAAGAAGAAGTACAGGCTCACACGGCAAGCCTCCCCACATAACGAACTCATATCACCAATCTCGAACACACCTATCATGGACAACAATGCAACGGGAGAGCAGGAGAAGTGGGAATGCACTTTTTGTCGTCAAAGGGTTGCTCCCAAGTCCTGGCGCCGTCATGAAGAGACACAGCACCATACCCGCGCCCAGTGGACATGCATGCTTTATGGACCTCGACTTACACAAACTACTCGATCTTCCAACACAGGCCAGCCGGAGACTTCGACGTCTTTCTGCGCATTTTGCATGTTGGAGAATCCTTCGGAGGACCACTTCCTCTCTCACCACCGAATTTCCGAGTGCGCAAAGCGCCCAACGAGCGACCGAACCTTCTATCGCCCTGATCATCTTCGTCAGCACGTAAAGAATTTCCACGGGGCGAAGTTGTTCGATTTGGCGCAAACAAGGTGGAAGAGCGACGGTGAGCGTGGCAAATGCTCGGAAAGCTGGACCTGCGGATTTTGCGGAGAACATTTGGAGACTTGGGGAAAGAGGGAAACGCATATCGCAAACCACTTCAAGGACGGACTGACGATGGAGAGCTGGACGGACTACACGCAACCAAACGATAAAGAATCGAGGAAGCAAAAGAAGAAGGAAGAGAAGGAAGCAAACAAGGAGAAGGAGAAGGAAGCCCACGGCCTTGCACGACTCAGTCGGTCGTTCGCCCGCCGTTCAACACGCAGCTCGCAGAAGACGGTCACTCAGCCGACGACGACGACATTCGCGAACACATTCCAGCCGCTACCCATAAGCAATGATGCGATGACAATGGGTTTTAGTTATTCCCAATTGTCACATGCTCCCGTGCTACCAGACATCAACACAGATCCTCTTATGGCCGTCAACTACACCGCCGGATATGATGACTGGTCCCACATGAATCAAATGCAGATGCCACAACAACAACAACAACAACAACAACAACAACAACAACAGACACACTTCACCACCGGTTTCACATATGACCCAATGGCCGTCACTGTCGACGCCAATTTCAATCTCAACGCCATGGACTTTAGCAATCCAATGTTCTTCCCCCCTGACTGGAATCCCCCTTCATGAATGTATGGACCCAATCACATGTATTTCCTTTTGGTCATGTTGCTTGTGTCTGCAATAGAGCGGAGGCGTTTTATCTTGGAGAAATGTTTTCTTGTTTTCCCTATTTCTTTATTTCCTTATTTCCAAATATTATTTTCTTTTATTAATAATCCCTCTAACGTTCCCTTTCCTTTTCGTCACTTTGAAGTTTCTTTTCGTAATGTATTCAATACGTCAAAGGTTCCGAGTTCCAGCAAAGGCGTTTTGTAAAAATGGCGCTTAAACTCTCGCGCTGAGGCGCAGGCGCCGTACTACCTGAAGGACATTTAAAGGCAAGTTCTTCAAATTCGGAGGGAAAACTTAGGTTCACGCTCTCTTTCTTTAGGGGGAATTATACGGCATACTTACGTAGGCGACGAAGGCTATGTTCGCCAACGACTGATTGCCTCAAGTATATTGGGGGATCTATCGGCATGCCTGATACGTTGAATGATGTAAATGACGATGAAAGGTCAATTTCAAATTTAGCAATTAGAGTCGAGTTGCTATCGATCAATTCTTCGAAAGCCGACTGTGGCTATTCTGCCAATATCTCTCCCTCCCCGTTGCCTTCCTTTCAAGCCATCAAATCTTTCCACAGGATTCTTCGCTTTTCATCTCCTCTTCAAACAAAAACAAAAACTGGGTATATGTGTCATCTCCCACTCCGCAATCCTGAACCATTTTTCTTTAGCCATCCATCCCCCCTCGCCCCCAAAACTCCATGTCGATAAATGCTGCATGCACGCCTGCAAGAAGGAAAGAAATGAAGAGAGCCCAGACGTCATCCGTTCTCCGTCCGCCGTAGACCCTCTACTCTCTCCACTCCTTCGCACACTTGGTACACTACACCCAACCATCAGCAACCATCTCCCCTGTCTCATATCAAAATAACATACCTTATAAAACGCGGTCATCGGCTCATCCGCACTACGGATTTGCAACTGGTACCAATACGCCTTATCGTTCCTGCACTTCTCGTTCGGACACTGCACCTCGGTCTGGTCGACGTTGTCCCACGCGCCCTTGCCGCCCAGGATGTCCTCGACGTCCTTGCGCTTGATCTCCTTGCGCTCGAAGAATCGCTTGTTGATGACGAAGTGGTACGGGCAGGTGAGGCATTCGAAGCGGTTCTGTCCGACCGATTCTTCGACGGTCGGGTCGCCCGGGGGGACTTTGGAGATCCGCAGCATGTTGCTGCAGGTTGGGCAGACTGGGAAGATCGTGAGTCAGGGTGTGTGAACGAGAGAGAGAGTGAGGGCTTACAGAGGAGCATGGTGTTGGTTTTGGTGTGGGAGAATTGCGGTGGAGGATACTGCGTTGCGTATGTCAATCGAAATTGAAGCCAACCGCAAGTCGTCCACTTTGTATGACAAAAAAAGCTCCCTCACAATCGATAACCAAAAGATGCCCGGCTGGCAGACCCCTGCTCGAGCTAAAACGCAAGTAAGTGTTCCCTATCAGGCATAGTGCGGGGCCCACACCCTGGAAACCACCGCCTCTCTCTAACTTCCGATCCGAACGACCACGACGACCTGCGGGCACCGCCACGCCCAAACCTACACCAAACGCCCTGTGAGATCCTGTTCTGTTTCTTGTCTTTTTCTCTTTATTTTGGGGGCCACTATTCCTGTGAGCGCTTTTGGATCCGTAACTCGTCATACGTGGTTTGTTTGGAGAGAATTATCTGGCTCCCCGTTTCTGGAGGTTCGAGAGAAGATTAGCGTCAATTGCCCGATCTCCCTCCCCCGCGAACAAAACATACCTACACCGCGATTCGAACTTGTTGCATTGCAGCACCGACAACACGAACTTCACCAAATTCTCGGAAATTTACATCCCTCTGATCAATCATGGCGGACGACGAGGTACCAAGAGCTACCTGAGGAATTCCACGGACTTTCACGCTAACGGCTTCGCATTAGGGCGCATCCCCCCGCGAGCTCATCTTCGAAGCATGCCGCCGAGATAACACTGCACTCCTGGAGGAGACGATAGAATCCCTCGCCGCCGCAGCGAAGAAGGCCGGAAAGAAGGAGGCAGAGTTCGTGGCGGAGACCCTCAACACGGCACAGGATGGTGTGGGAAACGGCGTGTTACATGTCGCCGCGATGTACGGAAGCTGTATGTACCCCGTAGCAGCTGTCTCCGGGCAGCGGTGCCGAAGATGAAGGGGGTTGAGATACTGACAGTAGGGCAGATGACGTTCTAGACGTCCTCCTCGACCAAGAGGGCCTCGAGATCGACGAGATCGACCGGCTGGAGAAGGACACGCCGCTGCACAAAGGCATCCGCTACGTCAACTCGCTCGAACAGTCGGACTGGCCCACCGCCGGCCAACCCATCATTGAGATCCTGCTCGATGCGGGCTGCGATCCGAGGATACGGAACGCTGCCAAGCTGAAGCCGGTCGAGCTCGTCGACCCGCGGAACACGGAGCTGAAGAAGATACTGCAGAAGGCGGAGTTCGCCATGATGGCGGGTGCGGATGTCGTCCAAGAAGATGACGACGACCCGAATGATGTAGCAAGCGATAGTGATTAAGTGGATTCACGCACGCATGGGTTTATAGAATATCGAAAGAATATCAGGAATGGGTATCATATTTTAAAGCCCAAAGAGGCTTTCCAGTTTAATCAAACGAGGCATCTATGAAGAGACCACCAGAGGGTTACGCGTGCGCTGGGTGATTGCGTACCCTGTCCATCGTGCGGATATGTGCTGGCAGAAGCGTAGATTGGGTTTACCTTTGTATCTGGCCTTGACCATGTTCATTGTTGGAATTGCACCCCGTCCGCCGAAGTCGAGCTGGGCTACGCTATAGTGGTGCTCGCGTGCCGAGCGTTGTGTCGTCGTTACTCAATCTCCAGAACCGCCCCTTCAATCTTGTTGCTATATACCCAATTAGCCAACTTGCCCTCCCAAAAAGCTGTCCCCCAGAACCCGTCAGATATCTTACCTCCGGTGGATTGCCAACAGGCCGGACCATCCTTTCCAGCATCTGGATCCTCGTCCTTTCCTTCGACTGTCCGAGACCGATGCTCATGTACTGCAGCATCGGCGGGTGTCCGACGTAGGAGGCGAGCGAGTCGCGCGCCATGTTGGACGTGAATTCGAACTTGGTGGTGTCGCTCGTGCCCGTGCCGATGTATCGCGCCGCAAGGCTTTCGAGCTGCTGTTGATTGCGGAGTTTGTCGGCCATGGTGGAGTCGTGGACTGGCTTTTACGGGTAGGAGGTATGGGAGTAGTGCATTCGCGGTGGGATGTGTAGATGTTTGATTTTTGGGAATTGGTGACGGAGGTTGTTGCGCTTTGCAAGTATCTGGGGAAGAATGCGACAAGTTCGCATCTGGGATTGAGAGAATGGGTGCTTAGTCATCGTCACGTATCGAGGATTCGCGATTCTACACAGCATGGTCCTTCCTTACACACTGCACAATTGATTCGAATTATATCTTCCTGTTGAACTCCTACTTATTGTTCTTGTATAGCATTAGACCAGGTCTTTGAATTCACATTCGACCGTGATCGCGCATCTGGATTCCCCATACTACTCAATAGAGGCGCATCAACCTACTCTACGCTTCACTCCCCTTTCCCACCAGGTCCAATATCCTCCGCGCAACGTGGACAGCACACAACATACACGATGTCTCACGCGCCTCCGACTCCAGGCGAAGAGCCGGAGCCCACATCTCCCGTCATCGACTACTCGCCCGCGACCGTAACCTACGACGAGCGCTTCGAGAACAACTTGATGCACGCAATCCTCAATCCCAGCGACACCCCGTCACGAACCTCTGGATCGCCTCCTCTAATCGACCCGACAACCTTGCCAGTCGCGCTTGATTCCCCTTTGCGCACACATCGCTCGCCAATTCCAGGAGTCCTCCTGACGCACGCAAATGGCTACCACACTGGCGGACCTGGACCCGCGGCCTCGATCGTGAACGACTTCGCGGAGAAGTTTATCAAGGAGAACGACATTCAGGATGTGGGGCAGCTGGAGCGCGTGGTGGAGGAGAAAATCAAGGATCTTATGGAGGTTGCGACGGAGAGGATGAGGGAGCGGGAAGAGGCTATTCGCAAGAATGAGGAGGTGGAGAAAGAGTTGAAGAATCTGGAAATTCAAAGGGACACTGAAAGGAGAGTCGAGGAGAAGTTTAAGATTGATAGGGCGAAGAGGAGGGGTGACAAAATGGAAGAGGATTGAACATGAAAGGATGCGCTGTTTCCTCTGTCGCGAGAGGGCCTGGACATGGCTTGATGCTTCGCTCGGTTATGAAGAACGGTGATGGTTCGTCTTGTCTTGTGCGCTTGTTCGAATGGATTCGTTCGTTATACGAAGGACAGGGACAGACTGCCACACTCTCTCTGTGCGCCACTCGCCTCTGGGCAAAACAAAATATCGCCAACAGGCGTGGCGGGACATAAATTTGTCCAACCTTCCCCGCCGCAGCCCTTCGCTCTGTTGGAAAGAGCTATCATGCACGTCTCCCAGAACGTGCGTGAAGCACCGAATGAGTTGAGGGGCTAAGTGCGCCCAACTGTGAGCCACAGCATGGTTCTCTATGCGAGAACACCGAACTTGGCCATACAACGCTACTTTCCACAGCAGACATATATATATATGGATCAGGCTGAGGCCGCCAGTACAACCTATCGTGGAACGCGATGCATTGCTCAGCCTTCAGTGAAGCTTTGCATTTTTCATTTGGAAATGGGTTTAAACTCATCGTAGCCAGAAAAATCCATTAATCTTTAGTCCACATTCTCAGCCTTCTATCTCGATAACACCACGTCCCATCGTCGAGTTATTTAAATACACCAGCCCCAGCCTTGCCAGTCAGCCTTACTTGAACTGAATCGCCGCCTGGAATGAGCCAGACCGATTACTTGCCATGGTCTTGGACCATCCAGTCGAAAAACAGCGATGATCATGCATGCCCAAGCGAGTCTTCACTGCTAGGTACATTCGCGGCGGTAAATGGAATCGTGTCACTGCTTGCTGTCATATTCGGACACCGCATCGTGGTAAAGAAGTTGACCTGTGGATGGTGCGGGGAGCGTGGAAGCCGATCCTGGCAGTACATGTGGATAGTACCAGTCGGGCTCCAGCTTGCTGCCAATGCCATCATCGCATGGCTTATCAAGAGAAGCGACGGCTACATTGCCGACTTCAAGGTATCAGAACTAATGTTGTTTCTCGTTGCGAGACCTCGACTGGGCTGGGTAGTGCTCGGAGCTTTCGCACTTCGAAGTCGCAAGATTAGGCAAAACGAGACGAACAGGGCGAGACAGAATCGAACACCGAACCGGAACCAGTACCTATCACCGCAGTCTCCTCCGCAAAGTTCATGGCCGCCAAGTCCTTTTGGTCCATCGAGTCCACCGTCGCCCTACGGTTCTGACACTGCACTGCTGTATCCGTACAACACGTCCCGGCGCAGCGTCGACAGACAGGATGCATCATTCTTCCCACCGACAGCCTCATCAACACACCTGAGCGACTACCCTTGGTGGTCGGCGTTCATGACCCAGTTCATCGGCGAATTCATGCTGCAGATCATCACGCTGTACATCATGGGCATAACCGCCAAGTTCGCCACGACGAACGGATACTACAAGATCCACAAGAAGAGTTATTGGGGCATCAATCCCGCGGCGCGAATGATGTACTCGGGCGCTTTGTATTATCTCGTGGCGGGCTCGTTGTTCTTGCTGGTCGCTGCCATCTTCATCATATACACGGTGTCGAGCGAAAGGACCAGGCTTCTGGGGAGAGGGAGTAAGGCGTTCGTTGCATGGACACTTGCGTTCTTGATGATAAGTACGTGGTTGGGGAGCTGGATCTTTTGGACGGGCTTTGTGCGGCTTTCTGGGCGTTTGTAAGTCGTTTCACTTTCTTTTTTCTGTGTTTGGGTAGGAGAGTCGAGCTGACTGGTTGTGCTTAGCTATTGTCCACCGAAGGTGATTGAACAGGGTGTTATCTGGACGTTCTTTTCGACTATTGGAATCATCTTTGGCACAGGCGTGTGAAGAAAGAAGTGACTGTTTGAGCTGTTGAGAACGATGGATATGAGGAATAGAGGAGAATCGCAGGAACCGCAATGATGTTCATGGACATAACAGCACCCTCGACCTTAGATGGAAACCGAAAATAAGTCTGGCTCACCACCGTGGAACCGTTACGATCACCACCAAAACACCTTTGTAGACAGGAAAATAACATAACAGTAAATAGTAAGAAGATAACAGAGATGTTGTAAAGACTACAATGTTTTAATATTTTGTTTTTCCTAACCTTTGTAATGTCTCTGTAGTTCAATAACCTCATCTTAGCCCAAGAGCAGCAATTCAAGATTGAACAATCGGTACGAAACATCACCACAGTGTCTTCTATTGGATACACCATCCTCAAAAATCTCAGTATCCAAATCACCTCAAGGCACAATCGAGCCAATTATGCCTTGTAAACTTGTCTCAGATCCCTAGGATTTCCCTTGGAAACTTCGCATCTACAGAGGGTAGGCGCGTCGGGCTGGCCACCTGCTTGTTTCATATATTTTTCGATACCTAAGGTAAGAGTGCACTGTAGCCGGTAAACAGTCCTAACAACAATCTTCAAAGTCTTCCAAAAGCCTACTGAGCTACCACCCCACCTACATATTGGCTCTGGGACCAGCGCAGCATCCGGAGTGCGATCCCGATCGAATTACAAGAATGTCGGTATAAACATCAGCCAAACTGTAAAATCCTTACTAGCCAAGGGCTCTTCTCTATACTTTGGGATGCTATGCTGGACCGATCTACCTCCACCAGAGTCTGTCCCTCGCCTCCGGGCCCGCTTTCTCGCATTGGAATCTGCCTTTACCATCGTCTTCTGCGCTTGTGTCAAGATAATTATGGATGACGTGTATATCCCTGGTTTCTTCCTATGGCCTCGCTCTGTTATCCCTTGGAAACCAGCATGCACCCATCTCTCACTGTCTGAGAGTGTTGGAGCTGATCTTTAGCTTTCCCCAGAAGAGCTTGCTGCTGCTTCAAAGTTTCGCCAGCATCGAGATATGCTCAAAACACAGCGCTACCGACAACGCCAGCGTGAGAAAGATGAAGCTGCTTTTCTTCAGGCAAACCTTGACCAACATAATGCTTGGAGCGTTAAGAACCCTAGAAGGGTTAATGAGATTGCTGCTACAGTTCGAGAAAAAGCAAAGGAATCCCAGCGGATTAGATGCGAGCTCTGCAATCACAATGCTGCTACTCAATACGCCCTTGACTATCATTTGAACACTGCAGCCCATGCTGAAGCTGAGAAGAATGGAAGCAAAATTTTGAAGCCGGTATCATCAGCAGCTCTGAATAAGAGAGCTTCCCGCACAGAGGCTGTCAAAAATCGCACATATTACTGTGCGTTTTGTGACAAGGTCTGCGATAGCAGCTTCGCTCTCCAGAGACACTATGGGTCAAAGAATGTGTGTGTGTGAGTGTGTCTACGTAGGTCATTATTGACAGTCTACTGTGTAGGTACTCTCTTCCTTGTGCGGCTTTGTTTATTTGTTTACACCCGCCGCCACCACCACTCACCCCGCGGCGGGGTGTGCAACGCACGCACGCACACGCACGTCCACACCGCACATCAAACAAACGGACGATATCTGCCTAGTAGTGGGGCATTTTCACAATAGTATAGCACCCAACAGACCAACACCTGGCCTGGCCCCTCTAGTAAAATACCGACACTGTTTTTTTCCGCCCTTATCGATCGATGGAGGGGCGCGGGGGGTAAGGTGCTGGTGGTGAGATGGTGAGTAGGCTGAGATGAGGAAGGGCGGCGGCGACAGCGCCGCGCGGTGGGCGCGGTGAGGTTATGATTTCTCTTTGTTGGTTTCCTCCTTCTGGGTATTCAGTTTTTGGTAAAGTGATTATTGGAATTGAATTGCCCAGTTGGTTGTTGTGTTGAGTTTGAGTCATCATCTTCACTTCATTGTTCTTCATTGTCAGGACGAAAAGAGTCAGAAGAGACATCCCAGGCCCGCGGGAGCAGCCTGTCATACAATGGAGTCAACGACGATAGTAACCAAACCACCTTGTCCCGCGCCGGTCCTCTCACGGGCGGTAACTGCGGGCGCGGGGTTTTGAGAATCGCTCCCGGATAGACAGAGTTTCAGGCAGTCGATAGTGTAGTGTTCCTAAAACTCCTAACTCGTAGAGTGGAGTGAGTCAACGAACAACGACAACAAGGACGTTTGGGCATGCAGGCATTGTCCGTCGAGCCCGATGGAAAAATCGTACTTGTCCTACGTAGCCATGGAAACGGAGCCGCAATAATGGTGGTTTAGGAAGGTCAAGGTAGAGAGAGAGAGAGAGAGAGAGAGAGAGAAGGAAAAAGGTTTTGTGTGGGTCCGGGGGGGCAGTGGTTATGCGGGTCACACGAGAGGGCATGGGCGTGTGGGTATGGGCATGGGTTTGAGTGAGTGATCATACGTGTGATGAAAGAGGGGAGAGGAAGAGAAAGGCATAGATTGACTATTGAGGGGGAAGGTTTGCTGGATCGGTGGTCAATTGCGATGATATTGAATGATGTATATGACTATGTGCTTGGTGAGGATTTGAATAAACTGAAGGGTTGAGAATTGCATTGAAACGTGAATTTGATAACTCTTTCCACTACTAGATGTTATGAGGGGTAAAGTTTGTATGATCTAACAAAGAGGAGACAAATAGGAAGACCTTCATTCACCACAACATCGCTACGATAATTGATCGAAAACATGGAGGCATAGAGGGGGAAATCCCGAACATCGTGGCAAGCAAATAAAGATTTTGATGTCCGCTGTTATCCATGCATGCCACGGATAGTTGGTTAGTGTTTGGGTCTAGTCTCGCGAGGGAGGCTAAGTAACCGCCTAACAGGGCTTAACGGGCGCATGATGCATGTCCAGTTGTTGATATTGACGTTCATGGGCGAGCAGGCGGGTAGCTACAGAGCGTTGGCACGTTTTAAGACAGTTCAATGGCTACAGTAGGAACAGTACACTCTTAAATAGATCCTTTAGGTACTCCGTACAGAAGATACATGAAGCAAGCAGGTGTCCAGCCCGATGTGCTAACCTTCTGTACGAGTAGACGGGGTAGGGCACAATGACCGCATACTTACCTTACTCCGTAGTCTAGGCGCTGTTACGAGGGTATGGGACAGAAGTGTGTTGCAGATGTGGCGAGCAGATCTGCAGGGCGGTAAATTCTTCGTTTTCCGCCCCTCACTATCTACTGTAACCGCTGCCAATGATGTATATTGGGATGCAATTCTGAGTAAGATTTGATGATGGTTGGCAGCGGTGAATGGGGAGTGATACTACATGTAGCTCTGTCTTGTCGTGTAACCAGCAGAACGATAATGATAATGATCAGGGGCATGGATGATTGTGGTAACGTAGCGTCAATACGGCAGTGGGTAGATATCAGTCAGTCGTCTAGGACATAGCATATGCTCCGTACGGGAAGTACGTGTAGTGGAAGTTGGGTTGGTAGCTGGTAGTCGGAAATGGTGGTGGTTTTTTTTGTTGGTGAAGTGAGAATTTTCTGCTGCCCGACCAACCAATGACGACGATGATACCGCCACTTTGTTACAACGAGTGCTACCTCATTGCCCTACGTAGGCAGGACGTAGTACCCCTACCCACCTCCCCACCCACTTTACTACTAGCCCGCAGGTAGACAGTACCTACCAGGCCAGGCTACCTCACTGAAAAAAAACCACTGCGGCTTTGTTCTTGGCACACTCGCTTGGCCACCTACCTTTATGCCCCGCACTACTTAAGAACCCGCTGGCTCTGATTCTTCCACTTCCTCTTCTTCTTTTTTTTCTTCGTCCGTCTCATACCATACACAAGCTGTATATCTGTTAGTCTTCCTTCCTTCCCCTCTCTCATCCTTTATATCATCTCTCTCCATCATCACGACCATCTGTCTTTGATCCATCCCCACTGACTTTCTTTTCTACAGGAGATTTCAACCTTTTTTCCACCACTCTAAAATCACACATACACAACCGTCAACATGGGGTAAGTCAAACTCTTCTCACTCAGCACGCATTCATCGCTCAGCGCAGCGCCAATCGTGCATCGTCATCGTCATCACCATCAAGAACATCACACTAACAATCATCGCAGTAAGGAGAAGACTCATATCAACGTCGTCGTCATCGGCCACGTCGACTCTGGAAAGTCGACCACCACCGGTCGTAAGCCTCCCCTCCTCGAACCCAATGCGGGGTAACAAATGCTCACAATGGAATACAGACTTGATCTACAAGTGCGGTGGTATTGACAAGCGTACTATCGAGAAGTTCGAGAAGGTAAGTCACAAAGACTCCCTTCTTTGGGATTTTCATTTCCCTTTTTCACCGACGAAAAACCGCCACTTTTTCCTCTCAAAGAGCCGCCCATGACTATTTTGGGCTTATCGCTGAGGGGCAATTTGGCTGGTGGGGTTGTGCGAACTTTTTACGCGCTAGCGCTATTCCCGATCGGGAACTCGCCAATCCACAACCCTATGACGCACATTTTATTTTTTGCAGCGCTTGGCTCATGCGGCTCGCTTCGCTACGGCCCTACTGCTGCACGACACAAGACCCCTCATGTTCATCTTCGTCTATCCCAAATCGTCTACCCCAGATCATTTGTCCCAAAGTCTCCTCTAAAGCAATTGAATCGATGCTAATTCCCAACTCAGGAAGCCGCCGAACTCGGAAAGGGTTCCTTCAAGTATGCGTGGGTCCTTGACAAGCTGAAGGCCGAGCGTGAGCGTGGTATCACCATTGATATCGCTCTCTGGAAGTTCGAGACTCCCAAGTACTACGTCACTGTATGTGGATATCTCCAGCTAAAGAAGTCTTATACTAATATTTTCTAGGTCATTGACGCCCCCGGTCACCGTGATTTCATCAAGAACATGATCACTGGTACCTCCCAGGCCGATTGCGCTATTCTCATCATTGCCGCCGGTACTGGTGAGTTCGAGGCTGGTATCTCCAAGGATGGCCAGACCCGTGAGCACGCTCTTCTCGCCTACACTCTCGGTGTCAAGCAGCTCATCGTCGCCATCAACAAGATGGACACCACCAAGTGGTCTGAGGCCCGTTTCCAGGAGATCATCAAGGAGACCTCCAACTTCATCAAGAAGGTCGGATACAACCCCAAGCACGTTCCCTTCGTGCCCATCTCCGGTTTCAACGGTGACAACATGATTGAGGCCTCCACCAACTGCCCCTGGTACAAGGGCTGGGAGAAGGAGACCAAGACCAAGTCCACCGGAAAGACCCTCCTCGAGGCTATCGATGCCATCGATACCCCCGTCCGTCCCTCCGACAAGCCCCTCCGTCTTCCCCTCCAGGATGTCTACAAGATCGGTGGTATTGGCACGGTGCCCGTCGGTCGTGTCGAGACCGGTGTCATCAAGGCCGGTATGGTCGTCACCTTCGCCCCCGCTGGTGTCACCACTGAAGTCAAGTCCGTCGAGATGCACCACGAGCAGCTTGCCGAGGGTGTTCCCGGTGACAACGTCGGTTTCAACGTCAAGAACGTCTCCGTCAAGGAGATCCGTCGTGGAAACGTCGCTGGTGACTCCAAGAACGATCCCCCCAAGGGTGCTGACTCCTTCAACGCCCAGGTCATCGTCCTTAACCACCCTGGTCAGGTCGGTGCTGGTTACGCTCCCGTCCTCGATTGCCACACTGCCCACATTGCTTGCAAGTTCTCTGAGCTCCTCGAGAAGATTGACCGCCGTACCGGAAAGTCTACTGAGAACAGCCCTAAGTTCATCAAGTCTGGTGATGCTGCCATCGTCAAGATGGTTCCCTCCAAGCCTATGTGCGTTGAGGCTTTCACCGCCTACCCCCCTCTCGGTCGTTTCGCCGTCCGTGACATGCGCCAGACCGTCGCCGTCGGTGTCATCAAGTCCGTCGAGAAGTCCGACAAGGGTGCCGGTAAGGTCACCAAGGCCGCCCAGAAGGCCTCCAAGAAATAAGCGATCAACGTCGCTTAGGTCTCTTGTTTTCCTTCTACTCCTTCTCCAAAAAAGTTCCAGATACCGGATTCTGGGGATGCGGTGGCTTTGGGACAAGGCCGTGATGAACTTTTAATTGACTGAATGCATTACGGTTGGGTGTCATGGCGTGGTCCTTCCATAGAATTTCATAATGAATACCAATGATGCTATGGTGGACACAACCTTTCTCTACTTTGAATGATTGATGTGATGCGATGTTTTTGCTTGATCTAACGTGAGACTTTCCCTCCCTTCCATATGTCTTCATTATATACCATTGATTGACTGTGCTGGCCGTGGTATTTGTTGAACAGAGAGCTCTTGTCGACAGTATCTTGACATACCAGTCTGACGCATCGTACGTATATCTCGAACTCATCCAAGACGACTGAACGACATAGGAAGTATCTCTATCACTCAATTGCTTTCCCACAAATTCTCAAATTTCAAACGTATTTCAAGATTCAGCTAAAACGATTGAAAGAGTAATGGTATCTTAACATGCAAGTCATCATAAATCTCCCGTCTTGACCGCCTCATAAAGCCAACTTAACAGTTCATAACTCACAGCTGTACTTCACGCATCCTCGGAGACCGTAGCCCACATCGTAACCCATCCCCTCACTTATCCACAACAAACTGCACTTCACCCTCGCCCCCAAACCTCTCCCTAAACGCAACCTTCTCCCCCTCCATCGCCCACGCCACGATGTCGCCCAACACCCTAGCCCCAAACCCGGCATGCGGAATCCAATGGGCCGTCCTATCCAGCACGATCGCCTGGCTCCCCCTCGTCAGGTAATCGCCAATGCCGTCGAGCCCGAGCCGGTGCTCAAACGCCGTGTCGTACTTTCCTTGCACGATCGTGGCAGGCGCCTTCAACGCACCCTGGGGGCCGTCCTCGAAGATCCCCGCCCCAGTCGAAGACGACGAAGAACTCTGGATCTCCGAGAGCGCGACGACGGTCTCGATGCTCTTCTCCCAGACGCCGAGGCCCAGCTTCTCGCGGTACAGCCTCGTCTTCTCGAACATGCCGAAGTCGTTTGCGCGGGCGCGCACGCTCGCCGAATACGTCTGGCCGCCGTCCTCGGGGCCAGTCTGCGTGGAGAATTGCTCAGCTCCCGGGCCCCCCGTTATCGCCATGGCTTCCGCGGACTGCGCGGGCGTCATGGGCTGGCTGAGCTTGACGCCGAAGGCGACCTTGTGCACGTTGCGGGTGGCCCAGAAGTCGCCCATGCGCATGAACCAGCGGGTCAGGGGCCGGGGCGTCAGGAAGACGAAGATGTAGAAGGAGCGGCGGAGCTGGGAGACGATGGGCTGCGAGGTCGCGTAGGCGGCTTTCAGGAGGCGCGTGTTGAGCGGGTTGGAGAGGTAGGTGCGGAGCATTTGCTGGGAGGAGGCGAGGCGGGTTGTTACGTTGGACTTTACTTGTGCGGGCTATGGGAGAAGGCGGTACTTGTTAGCTTGCTTGCTTGCATGCGTTTGCGACCGTTCATGGTGTTCGGGCTTGTGAGACCTTGGGAAGGGAGGAGTGGAGGGGAAAACTCACAATAACAGCAGAAGTAATGATCCATCGGTCTGCGAGCTCCTTCGCCTCTGCTGCGAGTCGAGTGCCGACTATGGCTCCCCAATCGTGTGTCACCATGACAAGCCTCGCTCCCTGCTGGACGTGTTTCTCTCTCATGGCGAGAATGAAGCCCGTCATGGTCTCCAGAACCTCATTCGGGCTGTATCCAGGCAAGCTGTCGCTTCCTCCATAGCCCGGTAGATCAACGGCGATCAGAATGTAATCAGCGAGCGCGGGATTCCCAAGGATGGATTTCCAGAGGCCGAAAGAGTCGGGGAATCCTAGATTGTAACATCTGTGAGAAAACATTCAAGTTGTGAGGAACTCTCTATTCGTCTTTCAAGGTACCGTACCATGGATGAAGATGGCGACATTCTTGCCCTTGCCGGAGGGCGTATCTCTCACAACATAATGCAGCTTGGTACCGTTTCTGAGCGTTTGAAATGCGTGTTTGAATCCAGGGAAGGGCGAGTTGCTAAGATCCCAGTATCGCTGTTGAGCTACATTGCGAAGAACGGATCAGCTTGGTTCCAAATGATGAGGGGGGTTTTCTTTTCTGCGGAAGAATTACTACTCACCAATTGAAAGCTGCTTCGCCTCCTCCCTGCTTGGTCGTTTGAACAGCACGCCGTCACGAAGAGTAGCGAATGCGACAAGCAGAGTGTAGTTGAACAGGCCGTATGAGAGGCTAAATGCCTCCCAGGCGAGCTTGCCTAGCATGCTTTGTGTCTGCGGTGTATCTCTTCAGCTGCAGCTGGGCAGACTGTAGAGAAACGGAAGGGAGTCGGTTTGCACAGCGTGTTTGTGAGATGTATACACAGTAAATGACAAAAAAGCGGCGAAGATGCAGCAGGTAGTTGGAAAGCTATGCCTAAACTAGCCCCCTACCGAGGCAACCCCACTTCAACGGTGGACAAAAGTGCAGCTTGGTATATATATCGAGGAGATAGGCCAGAGTGCGCCTACAGTAGATCAAATATCAACCATATACGGCCGTAAGAGGTGTTTTGGTACTTCTTGCGGTGTGCGAAGGAACGAAGTTGCAGTGTAGGAGTTTCCGTCCTGACAATGCCAGAACGGACGTTCAAGTAGGCTCATCAGCCTTAGCGAAAGGAACTGTCACATGCCCTGTAGATCGTATCGTCCTGCCCTGCCGTGTCTGTAGACGATCCGCTTGGTCACGACAGAACGAATGAAGGGACGCGTAACCGGAGGAAATGTGAAGATCTCGCCTGTCGAGCATTTGGGTTGGATGATGTGATGGCATTGGTCGTTGCATTCGCTTGTACCGAATACATCCCTGTCATCAACGACACTACCTGCACGCGAGCACCGTTGATCATAAACCTTCTCGGGCAAGATCACAGACAGGGCTGGAGCTAGGGCATAACTTACAAGTGGCTCGATTGTATATCCATCTGCTAGCTTTGTGAATTTCCTATAATACCTAAAGTGTCTATTTCAGAATGTGTTGTAGTCAGTAAACAGTCTTACGTCCTTACAATAAAACCTCGCGAATGCACTGTTGTGGGCATAATATCTAGCCCGGCGTGCCAACCCTCTGTACTTGAAGTTATATGCTCGTGAGTTCTGAACGGATGTTTGGATTGATACATCACTAACTACAGAACTTCTTGTGCTTCTCGATTGGATTGGATTGATATCTAGCACCTTGATTGGCCGGCCCCCTTGAGGGAAGTGGTAGTTCTGTCTAAATATACAAGAATGTACAATGCTTTTATACATGATGCTGGCGCCAGGTTCAATGCAGTTAAAATACATATCATCGTTTGTCTAGATGATGATAATAATGCTGGTAATTTTTCCCGTTCTAGACCCATTTTCCTTCGTACATACATTTCGTTAGAGAAGTCGGTCCTGGACACTATTCACAGGCATGTCTTCTGACTTATCGACGTCTTCTGTCTTCTTGACGTCTTCTGTGATTTTGAGCGCCTGATCCTCGGGAATCTCAGCAGCAGCCGTGACGTCTTGCACCGAACTTGGTCGCATTTCCCTCGCTGCGAGACTATCACCAGCGATCTTCCTCAACCACTGCGGGGCATTGGCGGCGCGCGTAATGCGTTCAGAAACCGCAAACGCGGTGTTCAAAAACTTTTGGACTTGTTCAGAGGCGTCATTCGTTACTGTCGTCCCCTGCGCCGTCGTGGGATGAAAGTGGTAGAAGGAAAGTGACAACTCCCCGTTGTTCTGGCTCAGTTTATTGCCCTCACTCGTGCTGTATCCCATGGGAAGGCCTTGATATTGCAAAGATAGGGATTGTCGATGCTGTATACCGCTAAACATATATTCCACTTGTCGAGACGTTGCATCACTTCGGGACTGGCCGGGAATCACCCAATTTGGGATGTTGAGGGTCAAAGACTCGGGAGCTGTCAAACGGGTTCCACTTGAAATATTGGCGGTGACGATTTCGGCGAAGTCCCGGATGTTGGGGTCCTTCAACGGCGACCGCAATCGAAGCCTCTGATAGGAGTCGAATCGAATGTCGGTAGCCTGGTCAGGCAGAAGGACATCATGGCATATCTTATTGAAGATAATGTTAACCGAAGAAAGCTGCGGTTGACCTAGAATGCGGAAACGGAGGTGGAGTCTTGGGTAGCTTTGATTGTCCTCAAGTCTGTTCGTCTGGAGTGGCGAAGGTATGAACATGTAGTCTAAGATAGGCGGGTTCGGTTGTGCAGAGTCGCTTTCGCTGAGGATTGTAGAAATGCTTGGAACAACGTTCGTGAAGGTGGACTTTGAAGCCAACATTGTGTCTGTATCTTCAATGTTGCTCCTATTCGGAAACAATGCTTGGCCATATCTAGCACTGATTTTCGTTTCAGCGACAGGAGCCCAGGTTGCTTCACCGTCAGATACGATGTCCTTGAATTCAGAACGGTGAATCGCGGGAACTTGTTGAACATAACTTTGCAGTGATTTCAACACCGCAGAATGGCTGACATCCTCGGGCGGTCGTACAGTTGTAGGTTCTATCCCAGACTCCTTGGCTGTTGATGGACCCACATGAACATTGTCATGATCTCTCCTGGAGACTGCTTCGACAGGATAAACATAGCGTGCCATCTGTGAGCCACGGAAGCGATAATCGAGTGAGTCGTTGAACATAGGTGGAAAGAGCTGTTGCTGAACCTGCTTGGAATTGACGTGACCCGTATGTAAGGTATAATCATACGTTTCCTTCAAAGGCAACATATTGACAAGTAGTCGTACTGCTTCTTGGATCGACTCGGAGCGCATGCCTCGTATGACGATCTGTGTAGTTGTTAGGACTGACGCTAGTTCCATTGGATGGGAAAATCATACCGCATCATCATGTATAACACGGAGCACAGTTCCACTCAGACTACTTATCTGCTCTAGTGCTTCTTGCGAGACGAGGTCAGACATACCCCCTTTACGATTGGCCATTGTGGCGTGCTCGTCAAGCAACCATTGATACGCAGACAGATCAAACTTGTGCGACTGAACTTGTGACAAAACTTCCTCAATGTCACTCGTTGTATACTCGGCAGAGCTTTTATCGGCAGTGATTCTTAGCACATTGTGGGGTGAGAATATCTCCACTTTAGCTTTGCGAGTGTTCCGGATTCTATCCAGCGCTGAGTGTTCTATGATGAATGTAAGCATGGAGACGAGTGGAAGTGCATAAGATAACGTACCCCCAATGTTCAGGAGTGAAAGCTGCCATGGCTTCAATGTCAGCTCCATCTCCCCCGGTGCCTCGATCTCTTCTAAGAGCACAACGTTCCAAATCGTCCGCAGAATTTGATCGATAAGCAAAGGCTTAGCAATTGGTCTCGGTTGTGGACCCTTTGCAGCTGCCAAACGGCCTGGCAGGCGTCTCTTGATGCTAGTCGTTCCAGGGTACCATTCTGTGCGTTCCAAAGTGTTCAACCGTCTATCCTCGACCAATTTCAGCTCTCGGAGGACCTCCTTCTTCACAGATCCTTCCTGGACACCCTTCATTACTGAATAGTATTTAGACAGTTGTTTTACTGTAAAACTCTTCTTTAACGTTTTATTGAGTTCCTTGAACGTCGCTAACGTGACATAGTGCGGTTCGTCTGGGTCGGAATGCGTTCGGGGGCGGAGCTTCTCGAGTTGTAGATTGACGTCTTCCTGGCCAACTCGAATTGATTCAGCTTTTAGGGCGTCCATTATTTTAGATGCATCGGTCGAGTTTTCGACAATGCCATCGTCGGGGGCGGCATTGCTCTCTTGCGTATCCGCTTTCCGTGATTTGTCCTCGACTTCTCGAAGTACAAGAATTCGTGCGTCCTTCCCCAATGCCTTGATTCCATCCAATTGCGCCGTCCTTTCTCGAATCGTCTTGCCCTTCCGCCTCCTGACCTTCCCTAAAGGCCTCTCACTCAGCTTTTCCCTTCGACGTGGTGTTTCGGCTTCAGTAGTTTCGACGGGAGCCTCCGGTTCGGCGGGCTTAGCAGGTTGAGCAAATGCATCATCGAAGGCGTCCCTTGGTCGCACAGAGGAGGAAAGACGTGAGTGGGCGGGACGGGAGAATGGGGAGACCCGTGGTCGCGCAAGATTCAGCTCGCAACGGATGCAAACGAATGCATTCGAGAGGCGAGAGGCATGCAGCATGAAGGAGAGAGTGGGAAAAATTCTAGGGTTGGGTGATCACAAAAGCATGCGACATGGTCATATCATTTCTACATAAAAGATCGGAACTTTTTTCGCCGCTCGGTAATGCCAAGCCCCGCAAGTTCGTTGTCGCCAACTCACGTGTCAGGGCGCTGGTAATGATCGCGTCTCTTCTAGATGACGTCCTTTTTATGGGATGGGCCGTTTTTTATATTGGAAGTTTCCAACTACATAGATCTTCCCTGAGATCGAACTCGTCTACCCCTTGGTGACGTTTTGCTCGATTTCTCTCTGCCTCGATCTTCATGTGTTGGGCCTGCTGCTCCAAGCTTCCTCTGCCGCGAACTCCCGGCGAATGTCTTCGTGTATCGCCAGGCCGCAATGTTTCATGCGATTTGCGATTCACACTGAGGCCTCGCCGGCGACGGCTTTCATTTTCGCTCATAGAGCTGGAACCATCGCCTGTCATGAAACGTATGCCGTGCTGCTGTGACTCGTATGGCTTTTCTCGATCTCCCCATCCGGTGCCGCCAGCGAATATGTCTTCAATACATTCGTCCGCCTTTAACTCTCCAGGCTGAGCTGACCAGTATGCCGCCAGCGTTCGCCTGTACATATCTTGTAGCTCTCCGGTTTCCTGCGTTCTGCTATTGAGAGATGATGTGACTTTCGAAGATGTCAGTACTGTAGAGTGGAGTTTCAAGAGGTCAAAATCTTACCACCAGTCTCCTCCGGATCGACCTGATCGCCCGACACAATACCCGCAATGCCGCTAAAAACCTGTGCGGTTCGCAGTGGAGGACTGATGAAGTTCTTATCGCCCTCTGTTTGCTTCATGTATATGCCAATCTTGAGCGTACTGTTGATCTTGCTGTCCTGCATGAGGTATCTCCTCGTAACTCCTGGCTCTTCACCATTTGTCCGGGATATCTCACTCGGCTCCACATACTCAGCAAGGTCGAGCTTTACGTTTCCCAAGTCTATCCTTTCTCCGCGGCCTCCACCTGCGTACTCCTGTATTACTTCGAATTCTATCCAGGCCTCTTGCAGCATGCCATTTTTATCGACCGTGAGTCGGACTGGGCAGGTAACCTCGTAGTCGTAAACGACCTTGTGGTCTTTTATAGGCTTCTTATCCGTGCGACCGCGATGCTCAGCCGCTGTTGAGTGTGTGAGGTGCCATTTTATGAAGGACGATCCGGAGACGAGTGGGACGTTGTTAAGGTCGATGAGCTGCAACTCGTCACTATCCCTGCCGGAATGCTTGCTTGATTGACACGAATGAACATACTTTGAGGTGTAGATCGAACTTGGGCTGCGCAGTTGTCAGCCAATGTCTTGCAATACAATGTATGTGTATGTCTTTCTTACTCGACGGGTCTTTGGTACTACGGTGACAGTGAGCGTCTGTGTCGCAAAAGCGACGGAGCGCCGAAGAGACATTCCTCACCGAAGGCTTGCATTATGGGGGGTGTCAGACAGGGCGGCCGGAAGTGTGGTATTATAGTGTACGGGATAGATATGTCGCAGCGGCGTGGTGCAATAGCAAAGCTGGTTTTGGGCTGGGACTGGGGTAGGCTGGATGGAGCTGTTACAGTTGCGGGTCTGCGGCGATAAGGTTGATGCAGCGCACGCACGAGTGGGTGGCACGTCCGGCCGTTTTCGAGACCTCCGAGCCACACACATACGCAGATGCCACTCGTAGACTATTCTATTAATGGCAATACTAAATAGTTACTTGTACAATGCAATACAACCCACCTACCAAGTTCAACCTAATACCTCAATGACCTCATTCGTTCATTCGTTCATTCCCCCACCACCGAAGCATCCCATCCAACATCATCTTTTTCCCATTTCCTCCTTTTAGACATTCAGACCTAACGTGCCTCCCCACTCCCCATGATATGTCTCATGTCACTGCAGACTCAATTGCAGACTGTGTCCTCTCTGCCTTCCTTCATCTTCCCGAGAAACGCAAACCCCGCATCCGTAACGATGGAGCAAAGGAATGGATTCCACTGGCTGGAATCGTTTTAGCTAAGGGTACAACTTCCCCGGATTTACCCAGAAGGCTTGCGTAAGCTTATATGCTCATGATTGCAGCGAAGATGGCGAATTGGTGTGCGCCTCTCTAGGGTAAGCCTTTTACTTATTAGTCCCAATAGATTGATTTGCATATTCCTTCGTAAAAGCCGAGCTTCTCTAGCCCGGTTCCTTCGCCGGACTATCGAAAGAGATAAGAGTTCCGGTACCTCGTAAAAATAGTCGGATTGACTACAGCATCAAATCAAAGATCCCAATTACAGAATGTTTAACGATCTCAACAACTACTGACCGTCATGCAGCACGGGCATGAAATGCCTCCCCACCAGCAAGCTCTCCCAGGCACGCGGAAACGTTCTCCACGACTGGCATGCCGAGATCGTAGCATTGAGGGCATTCAATCGATTCCTCCTCGATGAATGCCTAAGTCTCGTCCGCCCACCCCATACACCATCCCGCTTCATAGTCCAAATCAACGAGACCTCGCGGACTGACACCGAATTCCAACCCTTCAAAATCAGAGATGATGTGCAAATCCACATGTACTGCTCAGAAGCGCCCTGCGGAGACGCCAGCATGGAACTCGTAATGTCCGCCCAAGAAGACGCCACGCCATGGACATCACCACCTCCCACGATATCCAGCCCTGAAGACACAGACACCAGCAACGACACCACACCCCTCTCCGCTCTTCGCGGCCGCTCCCACTTCAGCCATCTCGGCGCCGTCCGCCTGAAGCCCTCCCGCCCAGACGCCCCGCCCACGCTCTCCAAATCCTGCACCGACAAGCTCGCCCTCACACAGTGCACCTCCATCCTCTCGTCCCTGACATCCCTCCTCGTGGCCCCGGGAAACGCCTACATCGCTTCCCTCGTCCTGCCAGAGAGCCAGTACGTCGCGTCTGCGTGCGAGCGGGCGTTCAGCGCCTCAGGTCGCATGTCCGCCGTCGACGAAGAACGATGGAAAGGCGGGTACCGCTTCCAGCCGTTTGCGGTGCGGCCGACCGCGCGGGAATTCGCTCACTCGAGACGCAGCGTGCCGGCGCTTGAGAAGGCGGTGCCGTGTAATATCAGCGCGGTGCATACGCCGCATTTTCAGGAGACGCTGATAGGTGGGGTGTTGCAGGGTAGGAAGCAGTTCGATCCAAGGGGTGCGAGTCAGATTTGTAGGACGTCGATGTGGAGGGGTGTGTTGGAGGTCGCGTCGATGTTGGCTGTGACGAGGGTTGTGGCGGCGCTGGGGAAGAGGACGTATGCGGATGTTAAGGGTAGTGGGGTGCTTGGTGCGCGGAGGGTGGTGAAGGACGATGTACGGAGAGAAGCGCTGGCGGGGTGGGTGAGGAATGGCGGTGATGGGGATTTTGACTTGAAGTAGAGGAATAGCATAGAAAGCATAAGCTATGATAGAGAAGATTGCTGCCCCTGTCCGTGAATTGTTGATATTGCATCTTCTTCACTGTATCATGGGCATGCACGGGAAATCATTTGCCATCCCCCATGTCTGACAGACGGCAACATCAGCATTGCAAGGCAGCACAATTGAAGTAAACTTCTAAAGGGAAAAAATGATCCCTTTGTATCTTGACATTGAATTCCCAATCGATCGAGTCAACCTCCCCCTTCAATCGCCTGAACCTTTCCGTCGAAAGAATTAAGGTCTACATATGGGAATTGAGAAAAAAAGGCATTACACAATCCAGTATCGAAACACATCTTTGACCTTTTTCTCGACATAAGACTGCGAAAACAAACAATATCCACCCAGCCTTTTCCCATCTTCCCATGGATTCCTAGCTCGCCAGCAGAAGAAAGAATGAAAGGTGAAAAGGAAATGAATCAAAACAAAACAAAACGCTCAAGCCGAATTTTCCCACACCGCAAGCAAGAGTCCTGGAGTACAGGACCGACGAACGCCTTAACTCGTGGGAAGAGAAGAGAAAACAATGGCGAGGAAATTATTGGTTCGGTCGATTAGTCCATCCCGTCGGTCCTCACAACGCCGTAGAGAGGGACTGAACCGTCGCTCACGCCCTGTGTCCGGTCCGACATCCCGTTGCCGAGGCCGCCATCGCCTGGAGCCCTCGGGCTGCCGAGGGCGGGCGTCGTGCTAGGCCACGCCCACAGCGCGTCGAAATCGATCTGCTCGTCACCGCCGCTGTCTTCGGAGTACAGGCTGGGGACACGGGTGGACTCGAGGGCGGAGAGGTCGAGGACGTTGGATAGCGACGGAGGCTTGGAGAGGGATGGATTGAGGGCGAAAGAGTCGAGGCTGAGGGTTGAGTCCGGTGGATTTTGTATCGGCGACAAGTGGACGGAGAGAGAGGGTTGCTGCTGCTGTAGCTGGTGCTGCGGTTGCTGGTCTTGTTGAGACATGGCAAGCACCTGCTGGTTCTGGAAGTTGGGAGGTGTTGATACTTCGGGCGGCAACGGCGTGGTCTGCATGCCGGGGTAGATATGAATGGGAACTTGGTGGAGACGGGGTGTCGGTGCTGTATTGTAGGTATCGTTGTTTCCGTTGTTTCCGTTATTTCCATTGTTGCCTGCCACTGGTTGTGAATTTGCTGGCCGGACGCCGTACAGCTGAGACGATATGCTTGGAAGGCTCGTCATCTCTTGCTGAGCTTGCCTCCGGCGCATTCTTTGAGCCAAGACGGCATCGCGGAACGTCCCCAAGATATAGACGAGCCGGCTAGCTTGTTGATCGTGTTCTCCGCAGTAAGACATGATGGTGATTGCATTCAATATGCAGGTATCTGAGGCTTCTACGCGGTAAAGGCTGGCAAACTCGTTCGCTAATATCACTAGAGCAGCAGCGAAGAGGAAGTATATGACGGCTGGATTTCTTCGAGAGAGATGTCCAGCATCGAAGGCATTCTGGACAAGAAGAATGGTATGCGTAGATGCGATGACACATGCCTCGCTGAACTTTTCCATCCTCAGGTACGGCCTAGGTCCACGGTTGCCAGGTGTCGATTGACTGGCTTGGCGTTGTGTTTCTAGGTTCAGTATATATAAAAAGAATGGCCGTGTGAGCAGGATTATCGAATGGCAATAGAACAAGTTGACGTGTAGGATCGCTGCGCCCTGACTAGGAGTAGCTGTTGCAGACTGCCGCCAGTGTAGTGTTGGAGGAAGAGCACGTGGCCATACTTTGCATATGTCGGCGATCTCTTGGGCAAGTCGTATACTGATCTTCCGTTGTTGGTAGACCTTTCGGAGGATCAATCCCAACGTTGAGCAGCTCCTAACCGCGGCGTCCAAAGCAGCTGCCCCGGTCTCAGCCATAGAGGATGGCATTGCAACATTAGGATTGTAGTCATTCTCGGCTGGGGGATCATTAGATTTCAATAAGTCACCAGAGCAGTCATCCTCGGATATTGCTGTGGGCCGCCCCAGAGAGCATGATAGTAGTCTGTCAATAACGAACAAGGAACGCCAGAGGTTCTTCCGGGCCATCTGTTCCTCTTCGCTGAAAATGATCAGAGTCTCTTCTCTATGTAGCCCGAGCGCCATAGCAGAGCGGACGGCCATCCCAAGGAGGGCGTAAGCGGTGTTGCGTTTAGATTTCGCAAGCATGTAAACCGACATGAGCAACAGTGCTTGAACGGACCAGAAGTCTTGATCTTCCATCCCGGTCATTGGGTCGTTGAGATGTTTGGCGTTAAGGTAAAATACCTCGGCCCTATCGAGATGCTCGCTCCTCAACTTGTCGATGATGACGGCTTCTGAGCTACCAGATAAGGGTGTGGCCATGGTCAACCCTATAGCAAACACAAGATTCATAATGCACAGCCAGGACGGCTCCGTAGCAAGCGGATCGGAATAGCATCTGTCCATGTCATCTAGGAATTTCGATAGCTCAAAGATCTGGAGAAGACCGTGGGTCTGGACGAAGAAAGCATCGATTAGTACTCGGGCTGTTTTCTTGTCGGGTAGTAGATGTGTATGTCGTGCACCCAAAGGTAGTGAGAATTGGCCTTCAACGATCTTGTGTCGACGAGGGTCATTTGTAAAAGTAGACGTTCCAGCAACGTTTTCTACCATCATTCGGAGTAGTTGTAGGAATGAAAGTGTCGCCGAATCACCAACATATACTAGCATTTGTTAGCATCAAATATCATCGAGAGGGGATTCAATAGCGTCCACTTACACAATCTTCCAGTTGGATCCTGTAGCATTCTAGTCTGTGTATAGACAACGGCTTCCTCATCTTGGCCACTTTGGATCGTAGTTCCACGCGACATCAACCGTGAGGGTTCTTCGGTTGCCTGGGTAGTGGAGAACTGCTGGAGAGACCGGGCCGCTGCCTCGACACTAGGCTTCTCAGCAGCAGCTTGGTCAATTTGCTGGAGATTGGTCATCGAATCGGACCTTGATTGCTGCTGCACCCCAACGAGCGAGGGGTGCTGGGTTGAAGGAGATGATACATGTTCATGCTGAACAAAAGGTGATAGTCCGTTTGAAGCTGCGGCACTGCTGGGCGTCTTGATCACAGTCTGGCCATTGTGACTGACATCGTCAATGGCTCGTTTCTTGGGTGGCCTATTCTCTCCAGGAGAGGGCGCATCTCGCTCAGCGTAAACGCATGTGAATTTCCGCTATAAGGGTGTCAGCAAGGATTGATAGTCATAGCCACGGATTAGAGAGCATTGGAGCTATTGTTTACCTTGTCGCAAGTATTGCATGGACACTGGCCATTACACTTTAGGATCTGTTAGTATAACTCGGAAAAGTGGACAACCTTGCCAAAAGTACCGAATACTGTGTTTCAACAGCGAAGAGTTACAGTTGGTGCAGGTGGACGTTGATATGAGCGGATATAGGCTGATGGGAATAGCATGCAGTTCTGCAAGCATGGAGGCTAAACAGGGGAAACCAATTGAAGCACGCTAGGAAGATGAGACTGGGTGGACGAATTCGTGACTGTGTATGGCGGATCGTAGCGGGAGGCGGAAGCAGGCCAGCCAACCAAGCCAATCAGCCCGAAGGCAAGTCTTTGGCTGGCTGGGATAGACATTGTCTCATAGGTTTTGCGGGGCATGGCTCGGAGACGTTGAGATGGAAATGAAAATCTATTGGACTTGCCTTTTGCTTGCGTCGCTTGCAACTCTCACAGGCCTGGGCAGTGCGCTGCCGTTGCTCTGGGGGAACCTTGGGCCGTGTCATGCCGATGGGGGGTCCTCAACCGGCCTCCCCAAGCAGGCGGCACAACAGAGAGGCGGAAGGCGTACGAAGGATGAGAGGGTGTGTTGAGTTGCAGCAGGCGATGTAATGTTCTTCTTCCGAATAATGTGTCGGAGCCGATGGGGTGTCGGTGGGGGGCAAGGCAAGGGTTGGGATGCGTTCCTTTGGATGATGTGGGAGTAAGCGTCGGATGAGGGAGGAGGATAGGATGATGGTCGTCTACTTGACGAGAGCGACGGATAGAGGTGAGATGAGATGTGATGTGATGCAAGAGCATTAGGTTGAGATGAGATCACATGCTGGTACGAGTAGTGTAAGTCATGTCGGGGGAAGGGTGGAAAGGGAAAGAAGAGAGTGGAGTGAGTTATTCTTGCTGCGTCGGTAGGCTGGATCCTTTCTGATGTTTTGACGGTTGTTGACTTGGACTGGACTGGATAGAGAGAGAATGGGCGGTGGGTGCGTGCAGTACGGAGTAATGTAAAATGAAATAAAAAAAGATTATGCCTGCAATTGGAAGATACTTGGGTGAATTGGGGTGGATTCGGAAGACGGGACGGATAGAAGATAGATGGACGGAGAAATCACATCACCAGAATGGAGGTGGTTAATTGGACAATTCGCTTTGGAGCTTTTCTTTCCTTTTACCTTCTTCCTATTGTCTCTGTCGGTTTCTTTTTCCCCGTCTCTCCCAAGGCTGAAAGAGGTGGAGGAGGATGATGGGATGGGATGGGTGATGAGAACATCGAGGACCAGACAGACGAGGATGAGGAGAGACTCCGACTCGAGACTCGAGAGATGATGGGATGGGATGGACTGGAATGAGACCCCGGCTCGGGCGGGATCGTGCACGGACTCTCTTTGTGTCCGAACTCACACTTTCTCGATCCTCATTCTTCACATTCCCCAGCCCTGCACTTACAAGAGTATGGAGTGCACTCCTTCAATTGACAACCATATCACTACCAGGTATTCACCATCTACGAAGTACTCTCTCTGTGATAGTATCTACTTTTCAATTGTATCAATAATCATAATTGCTCTTTCCGTGTCTCAGTCTATATGAGCTTCAATCCTCTGTCCTCTCTTTACTTCTCATATGTTCGTGTCGGAGACTTCCACTACGATACATATCCCAAGGACATCCCATCTATTCGTAATATACTCCGAGGACGATAACTAGGAATTTATCCACAAGTAACTACCTATCCGACGACCATCCATATTGGGTATATATGATACACCACCGGCGTCCTTATATCAGCTTCCGAGGCTTGAGACTTGTCGGATGCTGCCCCGCCACCACCCACCGCCCACGTCCTTTGGCCGTTACAATACACACCAAAGGTCCTTTACATCCACTAATCAACATCTCTCCATCTAATTCTCTCCTTTGAACGTTCATCCACTACCCAATTGTCCACTTCCGCTCTGATCGCTTGGTTGCATCCGCCCGGTCACGTTGCCGACCGATCTACATGCACGCGGACCTTGATACCCTTCCCTTCCTTCTATTGTAACAGCTGTATCCCTGACCCGCTGTGCTCTCTCTACTCTGCCGGTACTACTACTGGTATACCCGATTTATGATAATAGAATGATCAACCTAACCAAGCCTAAGCGGGGCGGTTGCAACGGCTTTCCACTATTCAAGATGTCTCTGTGCTCCTTCCTTTGAACCCTCTGTCTTCTCTATTCTTCTTCACATCTTTCCCTGCCCGGGCAGTTGCGTCACACCTACCACCATCCCCTCTCCAGCCAAATCCCTGTACCACCATGACACCTTATTTGGGTGCCGATAGCAATGGCACGACTCAATCGGCCGACAATACTCTCCTGAGTGGTACACGAACTGCTCTGGAGCACCTCCTGGGTCGAGCAGAGGGTTACATTCCTGATGAAGCCCTTCAACACATATCAAATGTACATTTCGCTACGGCCAACACCGGAAGCCCCTACTACCCAAGCCCACTCAAGCAGACTGAAGCTATATCCGCCTTAAAAGCGGTCGAGGGAGGAATTGCTGCTATGATCGCAAACCTATCGGAATCATCACACCGAAGTATCAATGTAGACCTTGAACGAGCCTCCGCATTTTTGTTCTCGACCTACTTGGCGACCATCGCAGGGATGGACAAGGCTAATCCCAATTCCAAGAAACTTCTGAAAGGTAATTGACCGCAATGTCGAGTATATGATAATCACTGACTCCTTCAATCAAGATACGGATTTGCTAAAAGCACAATCGATAACATATCGAAGACTGTCTGCCAATCTCTATGAAACCAAAAACCCCGGACAATATTTCCATTTGCACGGCTCTCTCGAGGCTACAAAAGCCCTTAACATGATAGGACTCGAAGGTCACCGACCGGATCTCACCGATTACCATGAGTGCATCAAGATAATCGAGGATCATGTCAAGCAATTCACCGTGGACGAACTCGAAGAAATGAACGCAAAAATCAAGCAAGCTGGCGTTACATGTCTCAAGTGGGAAGATTTCAAAGCTACACAACACGGCCAGCAAATGCTGCAAGAACCACCTTGGAAGATAGAGACCCTGGAAACGACCACTCCTGCAGTTCCCTTCCCACAAAAGTCATCCGCGGCACCCAAACCACAGATTATGTCCGGCATTCGTGTCCTAGAAATGTGTCGGATCATTGCTGGCCCGGCCATGGGTCGTGGTCTTGCCGAGTACGGTGCCGACGTCATCAAAGTCACTTCGCCAAACCTCTCCGATGTGCCTTTCTTCCAAGTAGATGGAAATCTAGGAAAACACACCACCGACCTTGACCTTCGAAATCCAGAAGAACGAGCAAAGTTTGAAGAGTTGCTCCAATCCGCAGACGTCGTCCTTGACGGTTATCGACCTGGAGCTCTCAAACGGCTCGGCTACGGCCCTGAGCGGCTCAACGAGATTGCGAAAGAACGCCAACGTGGATTTGTCTACGTCGCTGAAAATTGTTTCGGCCATGTTGGACCGTGGGCATCGCGGCCTGGATGGCAGCAAATCGCGGATTGTGTCTCAGGCGTGGCATGGGCACAGGGCTTCGGCATGGGCCTCGACGAGCCTGTAGTGCCGCCGTTTCCCATGAGTGACTACGGAACAGGGTGCATGGGAACTATTGCTGCCCTGACTGGGTTATACAATAGAGCAAAGTACGGTGGAAGTTATCACGGCACCACATCTCTGGTTCAGTACGACATCTTCCTGCTACAGCTCGGACTATACGATGACGAGATGATGAAGAAATTAAGGGAAGAGCACAACAAAGAGTTCTTCGACTTGCGACACAACGATTCTGTGGATGAGGTCGGCAAGCGTGCATTGAGCACTATGAGGAGGACGCACCCTGAGCTATTCGAAGAGCGACACATGCAGACGTGTTTCAGCAAAGCTTTCAATGCCGAGGTGCGAACAATCAGGCCTGTGGTGGAAGTGGAGGGAACATGGAACGGATTCCTAAGGAGTTCAAGGCCAAATGGATATGACCAACCGACCTGGGAGGGCTGGGAGGTCGACGCGGATATGTTACAATGAGCGCGTGCAGCATGAGCGAAGCTTCGCATTTGCATAATTACATCATATACCATAGTTTCTCGTCCAAATACAAAAACACCCATTTCATATCATGAGACTGAGACAATCTCTTGCCTCTTTACCACACCCCTCAATGCACAATGTGCTTCATCAAAGAAGACCCGTTCGCTCTCCCCGAGATAATCTCTGCTGATCCTCATTCCACCCAGACAGACAGCTGCTATGCATATGCCTACCCTACTCGTAGGGTTTTCCCTCTCACGCAGACACGCCCCACATAATTGGCGCACTACAGTACGATTACCGCGTTAGTCCAGTGCACCTTCCGATGCCTTACCTTTCCCTTTGCCTTCGCCTGTGTCTTGGCCCAATCAATTGATTCAATTCAATTCAAGTCCGTCTTACGATGCCCATCAATCCCGCATCAAAAAGTCTCGAACCACCATCGCCGGTGGCCCGGTAGACTTCGGTAAATCGATTACTTTCCCCACATCCCGACACCGAACAATTGCACACTCGTTTCAGTGATGGGATAAACAAATCATCAGTAAAGATGCAATGCATGACGTCGAATGCTTCGTTCTCACCTTCGTCATTCAATTGTACATCCCCTTCTCGCACACACATTAGCTGTTAACACGGCAGTACTTTCCACATTAAAACAACCCATCAACCATCGCCCAACCCTTACCCGAGAGGAAATAACTACTACGAGTACAAAATGCTTTTCCATCATCACATATCCAGGAAACATACTACTACCTACTGGCTACAGTGTAGTCTTCTACCCGCCAACCCGTCCGCTTGTTTGCCTGCCTGTCTGCCTGCCGACGCAAGATATTCTATGGCGGCAACGGCAATCGAGCAGCAGCATTGACGCGCGCGCAGGCACAAATGCCGATATGGCGGTAGTTTGTTAGTCAATCGGGTAGGTATAAGCCTGGAGGTTTGGTTTCGCTGCCGGTTGTCGCTCAACGAGTTTCTTGGGCGTAGATACAAAGTGGAATGATGTTGTATGGGTTTCTGATCATGCGTATTTAAGCCAGAGCCTGCTTCTACTACTGTTGCTTCCGTGACATCACATTGGATCACTGAAGGGTGATAATGATAGAGCATTTGTTGCTGCGTATCTGCCTGATCAGTGAGCATGCAAGTTTTTAGGTATGATCGAGCGCAATGTGTTTCGAATTTCTGGGGGTCTACGTCTCTCTGGATACGTATCATTCATTCTGAAGTTGCTATGGGTATAGTCTAGTCGCATTGGCTCGATCGGATATTAAGTAGTCTTCCTGCTGTTCATTGATACGGATTTTGTGGGCAGCTATCAAAGCTTCTGCTTGGGGATTCTCAAGTATCCGAGAAGCGACACCTAACTCAAGATGGCCAGTAGTCATCGTTCAAGAGCTTGCCCTTCGTACAGCTCCCGGAAACTTTGAGTTTTGATCCTCGAATGTGATAAATGGCGGGGTGGTCGAGTGTGGATCAGTAGGCCTAGGAAAATCTGTTGCTTTTCGGGTCCTGATGTCTAATGGTGAGGCAATCGACGCGCTTTTATCTGCTCGGGAGATTGCCGAGTCCACGGAGTTGGGATTGTCATGGCTTTCGAAGCAATATTTCGAGAGGACGGATTCTCTTTCATCAACGAATTCGACACGACCTAAACCACGAGGTGTGTCGTTAAGAAGTATTGCTAGAGGAGGAGATCCGTATTCGGAGAGGGTGGCGCCCGTTTCATCGATGAAATCGACACGACCTGGGCCAGCAGATGTGGCATTAAAAGCCGTTGCTGGAGGAGGGAACCTGTATTCTGGGAGTATGAAAATTATATTCTCGACGAATACGGCAGGACCTAAACCAGACGATGTGGCATAGGAAAGTGTTGCTAGAGGAGGGGACCCTGGCACGGCCAGGTGAAGTACTTACAAGTTGGTTTTGATAAGATCACTTCTGCATATTGATCACAGACAGTGTCGACTTCGACTCCTTCGCCTAGCTTCATGTTGAGTGCTCTCCTCTTCCTCTGGAGAGGGGGGAGTTTCCTGTTCTCGCATGCTTCTTACATTTTATGTGATTTGCAGTGTAAGGAGTTAGTAAAGGTCAGATTAATGGCCGTTCAAGACGCGCATAAGAGAACTTATCCACAACGCCTGCAAAAAGGGAATCTTGGGATCTCCATGAATGTTTCCCGTAGGATTTGACATCCAGTTACAATAGACGATGGAGACTACACACAATGTTCAGCCGCTTCAGAGGCCATCAATAGTGGGATCTAGTTGAAATGAACAACAATCGGGTTCATGCAGCGACTTACTTTTTGACCTTAGCGTGAAGTCTCGATAATGGAGCCAATCCAACAAATAGTCATCTCCTAATAATGCAGATGCACGGCTGACGGTGTTCCATGTGATCATCGCACTGGATAGATATATGTTCTAAGACTTTAGTATATCGTTGTTATGGAGGTGCTGCACATGATGGCGACAACTGGTCTCATCCTTATGATTCACGGACTGGTAGTCGCACTGAAGTCCCCTTTCAAAGAGATTCGGAATGGACCTATTTCGAGGCTCATTCCCCAGAATTCCACGTAGCCTACGGCAAGAGCATTCTAGGGACGCGCCCTCACGTCCAATTATACAATGTCCTTCGTAGTGTACCTAAAGTTCTCCTGCTCTCCACGTGGTACTAACTAGATCTTGAAAAATCAAGTTCTGTGCATGGCTAGTCACGGTACTAGCCGAGTTCCTTTACTCTCGTGGATAGATTGTTGTTTCTCAATCTCATACACCTACCTTTACAGTTTGGTATTTTGAACAGTTCGCTATGAAGCATTTTTACATCAAGGATACAAGCAAATGAGATAGTATCTATATCTGCTGTTAAGACTAGAGTGATCGCCCGTAGGATTTGGTAAGGGGCATAGACCTATGCAAGGTACGTTTCCTTTCTATTTAGGAAATTTTCCATTGTTTCTCTTGAACTTAGTAGTCAACCAATGTGACTAATACTAGGTAAGAAATCACCATCGGGTAGAAAAGCTTTCGTATCGGAAATCTCGAAGAGTCTGTTTGACTCGTTTCTCTGACAGGCGCTGTGTTCAGTTATGATACGACAGAATCTCTACTGTGGCGGTCTATCCCCATAGTGATCTGAACGACCACCTTGTAACGTAAAACAAGGAGAGGTCCATCACCGATCTTTACCCATTGAGCATGGCTCGGAGCTTGCGCTCACTCTCTGAGGAATGCCCACTGGACTTATTGCAATTTTTGACGTTCTGCACTTCATGACGTGTGTCGACGATTTGAAGGTAGAGACCTCGACGGTCATGATGAAAGCTATCATCGTATCTGTCTCTTTCTTCGATGTTTCTGCGGGCAATTTAGTCTGGATGAGCACCGACCTTTTCCTATCGAGATTCGGGAAATGGGCATATTGAACTTTTCATGCTGATGGTAGGAAACTTATGCCACCAAGTCCGCCACTTTGTTCTCCATGGTAATTCTTCTCAATCGGTGTTGCGTCTGTATTCTTATTCCAGTGTCTGTTGCACCGGGTGTGTTGACCAATTTCTTCTTTCCAACAATGTCGGATCTCACATTGGAGGAAATAAAGAAAGTACTAAAGAGTAGCTTTGGAGTCAAGTATTCTCGTCAGGTTTCAAAGAACCAAAAGCTGCCAGCCAGAGAGAAGATCGGAAGGATCGATGCGAAACCAAGGCATCGCCGCGAATAGGCGGTATGCTGAACAAGCAGATTTGGGGTTGGGTAGTATTGTTGAGGCATGGCTCTTGTTTTTAACCCGTACACATCACTCCAGTCTCGGCACGTACGCCGAGTGGCTATGTTGCTTGAAGTCTAGTCAGCGATGCGTGGGGTTCTTGGTTTACGAGGTGTGTGTGGACTTTAGGTAGAATAGTTGTTAGTGCACTGAACTGAATAATGGAAACTTCGGCAGATTCTTACTCCGCTACGAAAAGCTCACCGAACAAGTACAGGAACAAGTTTCGAGTACAAGGGTCGAAACGGCTCCCGTTCTATCTTTCGCATAACCATAAACATCTTTGCCGGCTGCAAGTAAGTCGTGACTGGGAATAAGGATCTGGTGGCCTGAACACCTCATAAGCCTTCGGCAAGGCGCCTGCGCCAACGCCTCGGCCATCCTCGAGTCTTCCAGGGGGCAAAGGCAAAGTACCATTTGCCATTGTTTTATCGTGACGGAAAGCCATATCTTCTCACATGACAAGCTCTCGGCCCTTTTCCGAAGGCAAATTGAAGATCGCCATACTCCAATGATGAAGATGGCACGACTAAATCTGCCTTACCTCTAGAGAGCAGCATGGCTTCATTTACTGAATGCACGAAATCGGCCCGCAAGCCCCGACGACCTGGTTTATGTTACACCAAAACCAAGGTCCAGTATCTACCCATCTGCAGGCAGTGGTGATACAATACATAGGTACCTAAGTTTTGTACTTGGCCTTGGGCTTCTTATAAGCTATGTGGATGGTGCTTTGCAACGGGACAGTCTTGGCATTTTTGGGGGTTAGTCCTTCGCTAGTTCTTTTATAGCTAGCGAAAGAACTACTTAGCTGGATTAGGTCGTGCTCCGTGCCGAATACGGCTTAGTATGCGGGGGTCCTCGAGACAATGATCCCCCAGAAGTTATCAAAGCTCTCGGTGGGCGGAGAAATTCGTGATGCGGAGAACTGATGCTCACTACTTACTCGTGCGAATTTCCAACACGAGAAACATCCAGCGAGTCCTGAATCCTGAATCTCTAGTGCAGACATAGTCTCGTAATAGATTAACAGCCGGTTAAATTGACTTCTTGAATTCGCAACAAGCAAGTTTTTCCCTATTCAGCTTTTGGTGTATGATCTCCAGTTGAAGAGAGTCTGCTCCATCCAATGCTTGGACAGATCGGTGTCCCCTACCAATCGTATATGCGCAATCATAGTCGATCTGGATTCTGGACCCCTCGCCCCAGTTAAAAACGATGATATTAGTGGAAAAACAGTCCACAGGCATCGACAGATGGTCAGGTCCTTGAAGCAAAATTGCCAACTTGGCATTCTTACATGGTTACCTTTGGAATAGCAACCGGTTGCATTCACAGATGTCTCCTTCCCCAGACACGGTAAGAGACGGGGCCCCATGGTACGGATCAGGCGTGATGTTCATGTTCAGTTAGTGCTTCCGGCACGCTGGACGGCACGGTTTGTGAGAGGGTGGACCTCCATTGACCATATATACACCCCGCGCCGTCCAGCGATGATCATATCTCCCATCGCAAAGATAGTCCCCTCACCTCCTCGAGACATCCATAAGCGTTCAAGTCAGTCAAGATGGCTCCCGCCGCTCCAGCTGATGCCTCTGCTGGTATCGTTGCAGAGTTGATCAAGAATGATCACGTTCGATGGTGGAACAAGCCCAATCTCCGTACCCTATACCTCCTACTTGTCCCTTTCTGTTTGTTCATTGAATCGACGTCTGGCTTCGATTCGTCCATGATGAACGGAATGCAAGCGCTCAAATACTGGCAAGATTTCTTTGGCCATCCTAAGGGAGGAAAGCTGGGTCTGTTGGTCGCTTGCTACAATCTCGGAGCTTTGACCAGTATTCCCTTTATCTCTATTGTGTCTGATCATGTTGGACGACGATGGAGTATTGTTTTCGGATCAGTCATCATGATTATTGGATCGATCATGCAGGGCTTATCGGTGAATCGTAAGTCAAATATACGTCAGATATTGGAGACGAAGTCGCTCTAACGGAAACGTAGTCGCAATGTTCGTCTTCTCTCGCATTTTCCTCGGTCACGGTATCGTCTATGCTATCGTTGCAGGAGCTGCTCTCCTCGGTGAACTCGGACACCCCAAGGAGCGAGCTTTCCTTGGATCTATGTTCAATGCATTCTACGGTGTGGGTGCAATCCTTGGTGCAGGCATCGTTATCCGCACGCTTCTGATCCCTAACAACTGGAGTTGGCGCCTACCTAGTCTTCTCCAAGCTCTTCCATCCGTAATTCAGATTGGCTTCGCTTTCACTGTCCCCGAATCTCCACGTTGGTTGATCTCCAAGGACCGTGGAGAGGAGGCACTTGCGATCCTTATCAAGTATCACGCTGAAGGTGATGCCTCAAACGAGCTCCCGCACGTCGAATATGCAGAAATCAAGCGCGCTCTTGAGATCGAAAATGAAGGCCGTCGCCGTGGATGGGCCGAGCTATTCCAGACTCCTGGAATGAGGCACCGAAGCATGGTCGCCGCTTTCTTAGGTGTATTCGTCCAGTTCTCGGGCAACAACCTTATTTCACAATACCTCGTCCCCATTCTCGCAAAGATTGGTATCACCGACGCGCACACTGTTGTCCGATACAACGTAGGAACGCAGGCTTGGGGTTTCCTCGTCGCTCTCACCATGGCAAGCATTACGCCCCGTTTCCCTCGTCGCCGCATGTACCTCCTCTGCGCTTCTTGCTTGTTGTGTGTCTACACTGCATGGACAATTGCCCAAGCTAGGAACCGAATCACGAAGTCGACCAGCAGCAGTTATGCAGTGCTCGTTATGATCTTCCTTTACCAGCCCGCGTACTGCCTTGGATACAATGCTTTGACCTACGTTTACCTAGTCGAGCTATTCCCCTACTACGTCCGAACAAAGGGTCTATCGTGGTTCCAGCTCTTCGGCCGTTCCGCCGTTATGTTTGGTAAGCAATATGTCTCCGTGATTTTCAAGATACATTAATTCTAATCCCACTACAGGTAGCTTCGTGAATCCCATTGGATTGGAGAATGCCGATTGGAAATACCTTATCGTTTACGTCTGCTGGCTTTGCTGCGAGGTAAGATATGCCTTCCGAGGTGACGCTGCCGTCTAGGAAGTGACTGACCTGAGCCCAGATCGTGATTATCTACTTCTTGTTCCCAGAGACATACGGAAAGACCTTGGAGGAACTCACTTTCCGTAAGCTTATATTGCCCCAAAGTGCACGACATCAATGGCTAATCACATCACAGTGTTCGAAAGCGAACAGGAGGACCGAGCGAAGTTGGAGCAATCTGCACACAAAGCACTGGGTGCCGAAGGACCAGTGACCGAAGTGGTCGAACACCCAGAGAAGGCGGCCTAAAGAAGATATGCTATACCGTTGCAGAGTATTGGTGTAGTCATCTACTACGCCTTTCACAAAGTGGAATCTTTGAATATGTAAACATATGTTGGCCATATACATCAAATTTGTGGCTCAAAAGCATTGCTCTCTGTAATGAGAACCAGAGAATGCAGCTGCATAGCAATCTAATAGGACCAGCGAATAAGCGGCCGTTATTACTACCAATGTGAATTGACGTCGAACTGAAGATGATTTGATTGGCCGTATAGTGTTTAAGTCCTTCCTGACTGGGCTAGACGAGTTCCCCGGCAAAAGTGCCAGCCGAGTGTGTCCCGCCACTTCGTACAAGTAACGTCGTTCGTCTCGCGACGTCCCTGAGAATAACAACAACAACGGAATTGTAGCCCAAAAACTGGGAGTTTACGTCCCCTGAAGCCATATAATCGTCCCATTTTTACTATTTTTCTTATTGCGATATCATTTCATCATCATGGTATCCACGCGACATCACCCTTCAGAGTTCCCTCCACCAGAGGCGTCCCCCACCAAGAGCTCCTCGCCCCGGAAGAGCTCTCGCAGATCAACCGCGTCCCCCGCTCCTGAGGAAATCCCAACGTCGTCGCCCACTTCTCTGACCAAGCGTGCTGTCTCAAACGCTGTCGCAAGCGCCAATGGCAATGGCAATGCCAGAAGCGTAGGGTGGTCGCATACAGCTTCCAACATCACCATCGCGTGGGTCACGGTCTCCATGCCGCTTGTTATATGGGACATATTATACCTCTTGTTGCGTCCACACACTATGACAGGAGGCATGCTTCAATGGCCGATTTGGAAGCCTTATGAGATTTACGCAAACGTTGATTACGTGTATGGACAGCCTGGATGGGACCACAAGGATGGATTTGGAGGAGCGCAAGCAGTATTGAACCTTGTAGAGGTTATTTTTTACGGACTGTACATCATGATTGTGTACAATCACGGCAAACCGGCTGCGGGCGGTCGCGGTTTGCAAGTTGGCGTTAAGGGTTGGCTTTCGGGAGGTGTTCGAATTGAAGGGAGGAAGGGCAACCAAGCGCTGATCATGGGCTTCGCAGCTGCAGTGATGACCCTTAGTAAAACAACACTTTACTGTAAGTCTGATTCTTCGCCAATGTTCTCCAATTTCATGGACTCATACTTAATACAGATCTCAACGAGTACTTCTCTGATTTCAAGAACACCTGGCACAATGATTGGTCCCACTTCATCTTCCTTTACATAATCATGAAGTAAGTTCACCTTCCTGGTTCACGTTGATATCTCCCTTTCAGTCTGCCTGTTTCCAAACAGACAACTCTGAATTGCCGCTAATTTCTTGACAGCGGCCTATGGCTCGCATTCCCAGCCTACATGACCGTCGTTTTCGGCGCGGACATCCTTGAGGGTCTTGACCTTGCAACTGAATCATCAAGTGCCGCTGCGAAGAAGAAGTACTAATTAGCATCGCATTCCTAAAATTAATACCCAACACTCGTTCTTCGTTAAAACTCTTACCATTCATGTGGAGTTCAAGGAATTCCACGGCTGCTTTGACCTCTGGCCCTGTTGAAGGCCCACATAGTCAATCGGCTTATTCTTATTCGAGCGAAGAGTAATCTGACCAGAGCGACGATGCGTTTTAATCTTTCTGTGAAGAGACGGCGCCAAAACGTTCGTGGTCGCTTGTCGAGCACCGTACTTGTACTGTCGCGTGCTGGCTCATCTGCGCCTAGCAGGGTGGCGGTCTCTTGCACGTTGGCTTCGTCTTCACCCGCGGAGGTGAGGAACGGCACGTCCGGATGATTTCTCTGGAAAGGCTCACTGGCAGTGTCGTCCCTCGAATCGATGAGCGTCAGCATGCCGCTGTCTTCTCGGTGGATGTACAGGCTTGGCGGGCCTGGCTCCTCCCAGCCATCGGGCGGCAGAGTGGCAGCGATGCTTTGGAAGTTGTGCTTCAAATCATCCAGCATCATCGGGTGCTGAAGGGGTTCCGTTGTCGGCACCATTATCGTATGGTACTATGGTTGTCGATGAAGTTGTTCTGGTGTGCGGGGGAAGTCGTTTGGGGGGTAGTATGTTGACGTTGGTTTGTTGTTTTGATCTCAAGTGAGAGAGAGAGTTTTGATGTCTGCTTTAGCTTCTTTCTGCACTATCGAATTTTTAACTCATCTATCATAATCACAACCATTTGAGAACCCGTTTTAATTGATATATGTGCATCCAATCGGTTTGAGCAAGTTACTCGCCAACATGTTCATGTTGCCTTAGGTTGCTGTCTTGCCAATATGTACACTCGCCTCTTAGCTCACTTTCACGCACTTTTGGTCTCACATGTAAGATAGAATCTCTTTTTCGGTATTTGCTATTTTATCCTTTCTTTGGGGGCTCAAATTTCCTGGGGGCATTCCATCTCCAGAGTTCATGCAGCACTCTCAAATCGTGCCCAGTCAGTGAATTCCAGGTGATCCCCCAGTTTGATGCTCATCCAGTGATTTCCCAGACAGTGTCAATTCATGCAATCGTCCTAAAAGAGTGCCTACTTAGATTCGGCTATTACCAGGACAATGACAAGACCTCACATGACAACGCAGCACTCCGCGTAGCACTTGCGACCCCACTTCTTTCCAAAGTCCTTGACGGCGTCGGAAGTAGTGCGAGCCGGGGGCGCATTGAGGGCGGCATTCTCTCTGAGCTCAATACGCTGCCTTTCCTCGTACTCGTTCTCGAGTTTGTTGACCGCCTGGCGGAGCATCATGTTGCGGTGTCTCTCGGCCATCTCGATGACGTCGATGCTGAGGACACGACCATCACGACGAGGAGCCACGGTTGCTGGCTGGGACGCCTGGTAGTGGCTTGGACCGGGGACTGGCGACTCCGCTCCACGTGCTGGCTGACGGTGGTGGACGGCGGCGGGTTCCTGGATGATAGCTGCTCCGACCTCACTTGCAGCGGCTGGGGGGTTCTCCTGCTCCAGATGCTCGGTGCTGTCAGCCTCGAGGGCCTTCATGGCGGCACACCGGGCGCGGTACCTGGCCATGTCGGAGGCGGGGTCGCGGCGGGTTGGAGACGCGGTCATTGGAGCGTACTGGTACATGCGCTCTATTTCAGTCATGGGAGTTGGCGTAGTTGGGCGTGGTAGCCTAGTGCGAGCAACGTAGGTTGGAGGAGGGATCACGATGTTTCGCTTTGGGAGCTGCTTGCGGCGGGGGGCCAAGCGGGACTCGTTGACGTCCGCGGTGTGGTTGTTGGGGTTGACGTGCTTGCTCTGGCTATTGGAGTGAGAATGGTGGCGGCCTCGACGAGAATGAGGATTGCCGTTGTTGTCGTAGATGTCAATGAGAGCTTGATAGCTCTCAGCTTCCCTGATGGCAGCGTCAGTTTTACGTGTACTGATTGCTGGTATGGATGCCTGGTCTCCGTACGGGTACAAAATGCTACGGGGATTGCGGCGCGGGACTTCAGAGTCACTGAGCTGGCTGATTCCTACGTTGGCGTCTTGAGCTAGAAGTCATATCAGTCTAATGCAGTTCTGTTGTTGAGGATCTTGGAAGTGAAGTTACCACGCAGAGTGTTTTCAGCGGCGCCAGCCTCTCCACCACCTGAGGGTATGTCAGTACGCCAAACTTTCTGAATATCTCACTTGAGAACAAGGACTCACGAAGGACTACAGCCTCGTCAGCGTTCACGTAGGTAGAGTCGTCGCTGTGCCTATGCTTGGGCGTCGAGTGAGCGGCGAAGCTCTGGCGGAGTGCCTCTGAGAGCGATTCAGGTGAGGGCGTGACACGGCGGATCGTGCTCGCGTTGCTGTACGAGCTTTCGGGTCGAACAGGGGAACTATCACCTGAACGAGCCTTGGTTGACGGGAGTAGAGTCGTTGCCATCTACAAAGAAAGATCAGTACGCTTCTTTTTGATGTTGTGAGGTGGTGCGTGTGGTGTGGGTGGAAGTGGATGGAGAAGAAGCGAGGGGGAGGGTTTTATTTGGAGGGAGGTTTTAGTGCTAGGGACAAGGTGAAGGACGAGAGATTATCACTTCGCTAGTGTGCTTTTTCAGCGTCCAGTGATGGACGAATGAGGGACCGAGCGGCAGTGTTGTCAATCGTCATCGTGGTAAAAGATTGTCGTCCGTTTTTCAAATGTGCGAGGTCGTCACTGAGAAGAATGGTATCGATGATGGAAAGGCACACATGTATAGTTCAGGAGAGGGTATTAGCAGAAGTCTAAAGAAACAGGTATCGTAAATGATAATGCATTCCCAAATATGATAAAAGAAATAGTATCCTGCCGGAGTAAAGTTATTAGAAGTGACAGTGCACTACCAAACCTGACAAAAGAGATGATCAACGGCCAGAGTAACAACATCAGAAACGACAGTGTATATATAACCAAACCAGACAGAAGGAAAACAAACAGGAAGTGTATTTCCGGAGTAACATGTTCAGAAACGACAGTGTATAACCAAATATAACAAAGGAAATATCGGACTGGCAGCGTACTGCCGAATTGGAACCTCTAGAAAGGAAAGTCCATTGTCAAAGTATGGGCGAGCCTGTCAGCTCGGATATAGAGGACTTATTCTATAGTTGATAGGCGATGAATGTACCAGCGCTGCGTCAAGACACACAGCATTGAATACAGGCGCAACTGGGGTCATGGTCTTGTGGTCGCCGCTGTCGTTGACTCTCATGACGTTGATCCGTCGGTGAACGGGGAATTCCTTCCATATGAGCGTTCAGTACAGATCCTTGCCCCGGCAACGTATATCCTGGTGTAGTGTTCGTGGGGCGTCCTGATTGCTGGGGTCTTTCTTGGTCCCTTGTTTCGGTCGGTTGGGGCCTTGATCCCTTAGGATGTTCAGTTGGTCTTTGGAGGTTGTCGCTCAAGCGAGGCTTCTTAGGATCGTTATCCCGGGACGTATCTTCTGGGAGAGCAACACCACGTTGGCCCTTCATGTCTGGATCGTTGTCGACCATGCCTTTTAAATCAAAATGCGACAACGGGTCGGGGTTTGGTGAAAGCTGCTTGGAATGTTGACCCAAGCTTTCCCGGTTATGATATCTAGCCCTCGATTGCGGAATACTCTGGATTCCATCTGGATTTCTTGCTACCAATGTTAGGGGTGTCACGGGTTCCTGGAGATTCTCCCTCCATTCCCCAACTTTATCGCGATGTTTGGGACTTTGATCTTTCAATTCGATATCCCCAAGAATAGGATCTGGTGTGGTATGTCTTGATGACCTGCGAGTATCGCGAGATTCTCCCTTCTCCCGCCTTTTTCCCTGTCGAGAACTCTCTCCATGCTTACGATGAGAATGGCCCGAGGACATTGGTGGAGGTGGATTGTCAGCAAAAAGAGGAAGAGAAGTAGGTTGGTGTATTCGATGATTCCAACTTGATCATGCATAGAAGTGGATTTAGAGAGTAGAGAAAGTGTGTTGAAGACATCGCCAGGAAGCTTTATATATCATAGTGTAGTTGGTCATAAGTTCTGAATCTGATTGCTATGACTTAGATATTTAGAGCTTCGCTTTGTGACTTGGACGAGTAAGGACTCACTCACCAAAGAGTCAGTCAGATAGCAAACAATTGATTGCGCAACCCATTCGCTCTAAATGGATTCCGTGGTCAATGTCACAATCACTGTCATATGTAGTCAAAAGCGTCGATGTTTAGCGAATTACTGGAGTAACATTACCCAGGGCACCTGACACAAGATTCGGTTCCCATCTATGCACCTCCTTATACGCCTACGATGCCTTGGAAATCCTGCACGCCCCTCCTCATACCTTGCTCAAATTCCCACACAAAGTTGCCCTTGAAACCACTTTCGCGAATCCTCTTCAAAATCCAGAGCTCGACATTGCCAATTCTGTTCCCTCCAGCGATAGCTTGTTGGCCACGGCCCTCAAAGAAGATGAGAGCATCATTATATCCGATCTTGTAGCCAGCCTCAAATCGCCAATGTTCCCCTCCCATGTTCGGGGCATGATGTTGCCAGTAGGACACATGCTGATTGACAGCTGAGTACATTCGATCATTAAGATTCCGTCTTGCGCGCTCCACAATCTCCGAGATCTCGTGTGGCGGGGTGCTCTGGAAGTGGTGTGGCACAATAGCACCGTTGTTAGCTTGTTCCGCGAATCCCCATTCGCCACCTGGGAACCAGTCCATTTTCCATGTCCAGAAGAAGGCACCACCACTTCGCGCTTGGTATCTCTGACTCTGTGCCTGTCCGAACTGTTTGACGAGCTCGGACTTCGGGGCGTCACCAGACTTGGCCCATGAGTCCTCGGTAAGGACGCAACTGTACTCTCCGACAATGACTTGCACGGCTCCTCGATCAACAACGCTGCCCTCTCTGCCATCGAGCTCTGCGAGCTTGTTGTTGACTTCGGATATGATCTGTTGCGGACTCTTTTGCTTATCCTCATCGGAAAAGGCCCAGTAATAGTGAGTGTCGATTACAACCGGACACGTGGGCTTCGATGGATAAGCAGAATTCTTTTTCAAACTGTACTCGACAGCTCTGCCCAGGTTCCAGCCATCGGAAATCGCAACGGGAATGTTGGGGTTGATGATAGAAATAGCATCAATGCAGTCATCGTACCACTCGTACATATGCTCACTGTCCCATTCAGCTTCGTTCACAATTTGAACACCAGCAACATCAAGCCCTTTGTTGATCTCTTGAGCAATAAATTGACAACACTGAACACCTAGGTTTCGATTGGTATGAGAAGTCCACAACTCAGTGGTGCCGAAGTTAGTTCCTGAGTGTTCATTAGGATTGGCACCCCCAGGGAGGGCATGGAGGTCGATAAGGGTGCCGATGGAGTGAGCACGAAGGCGAGATATCAACGTCCAAATACTCGACCATGCTCCCGTGTAGACGGCAGCATATGGTTCAAAGGGGGTTCCTTGGGTGAAAGAAGGATCTAGATCGAAGTAGCCAATAGGCAATCGAATGGTCGTGCCTGTGTCAATTTTAGCGGTATTTTGATCAACTGTTGTTGAGACTTACACTTTGCAGTTTCTTGTAGCCACCTGATATCTTCGTCGCTTACGGCGTCGGCCCAACGCTGTTCAAAATGCTTCCGAGTATCCTCGATGCCGATTTTATCGACCCAAGCCTTAACACTCGCCAGTTCACTGCTTCCAGAAGCATCATCGGGGAAGCAGGAAGGGTGTAGCCATCGTTCGATCACGTAAATAGAGCCAAGATTGGTGCCGTGGTGGTAGCGATAGCGGAGGATATCGACAGGTGTAGGCTCTTGAATATAATTCGGGCCGTCCGGGCTCGACCGAGTTGCTGACTGGGTGGACTTTTTGTTGCTGTCGAGAATGTCTTCCAGCTCTGCTTTCGCCTTCTTCAAGAATCCTTTCATGATTGAGATTTGCAACTCCTAACACACAAAACGCGGATTGTCATGCACGTGCTTAGTAATCGTGTAATGATGGAATGCGAGAGGATGTATGTGTTTGACAAGATCAAACAGAATGCCAGGAGTTGTAGGTTTAGGTATTAGTATAGGTGCGATGAGGAGAGAGAATGAGATGCTGATGGTTAGTGTATAGTCGGATAGAGTGGGATGAATGCAAGTTAGCGGATACTTGTACTTTGTATTTTTCCTGGTTGGATCGGAAGGTTGTGGAGAAGCTGCGCTCCACTACATACCAGCGACCACCATGTACACCGTACACCATACGCCTGTCACCCACCCAGCTCGTGCTTGCATTTCTTATCCACGATATGACGTATTGTACTGCTGAGCATGGTTGGATTCTTTTTGTATGGAGGTCTAATCAATCCCTTGCTGGAACGATTTTAGAGGCGCGATTATCTACAGACGGCTGTCACGTCGGGCTGGCCCCTTGCTAGTATTTCGTGCCTACAACAGTGCATTCGCGAGATGTTGTCGCGAGGAGTTAAGACCGCTCTTGATTTGGGTATAGAAGATACATGAAGCTAGCAGGTGGCCAGACTGACGTGCCAACCCTCTGTACATTTTTGATGAAGCTATACTAGAAGAGGTACGGAGTATATAGTTAACTCTTTCGTTTGAATGTCTTGAAAGGTAGATCTAATGATAGATGGACGTTGTGTCTATTCCGTAGTGTTTGGAGATTCAGTGGCTGAATGGGGCTGGAGAACGCGCGCGCCTTTTGAGGATCTGCGACCAATCGGAGCCCGTCATGCTACACCTACCCACCACCCCCCCATCTATGCCGCCTCGTTAGGTAGGTACCTGACTTATTAACTATTAGAACGCGACCTCACTCTTACAAACATACAAACATCACTACACTCTTCATATTGTAACCCTTGTGTTTCTCCCATTGCACGCCCATAATTGAAGAGCCCACTATCCTTAGCACTTCTGACGTTTCAATTTCCTCCTCCATACCCTGCCATTGACCCCCGCAATTCGCCACAACATCCAACCATTCTCGTCTCAACGCGTGTCGCTCAGTTCACGCTGCATCCACCCATGATAAACGCCACCACGCCTCGCAAGACGAGCATGTCTGCTCAAGACAGTCCTTCCAAGTCATCAGCTCGACGCGCGCTGGGCAATCTCACTCCCCAAGCTATCAATTCGCCCTCTAAGCACACATACGCGTTCGAGCCTTCCGATATGATGAGATCAATCAGTCCGCTCAAGCATATGCAAACCCTTTCCCCACAACTCTTTCCAGAGAAAGAGAACCTCCTCCAGACAAACGCGCTCCAAGCTGGCCGGAAGAGGGGCATCGACGAGGTCGAGGACGCGGAAAATGTTGATGCTCAGAGCAAAACTCTTGGGACACGCGACTTTGCTCGTACGGGAGCCGTGAGGCCTATTACCACTGAGGCTCTTCACTCGTTACCGGTAATTATGTTACGCGTAGCACACGCCGACACGTAGCTAACAGCTTCTCTAGGCCAACAATCTGAACGAACCAGGATCGCCGACAGTGGTCAACACACCTTCTCCAGAACCCGAAAACAAACCAGAACCGAGCAACTCACAACAAAGCTTCTCTGAGTGGTTGGATTTAGCTCAATGTGCCAGTCAACCTTCCGCACCACCTGCCGCCGTCAATGATACCCCCAGCAAGGTCGAAATGCTGCGTCTTCGTCTTGGATTGGGCATGTACAAAGTCAAGACCAATCAGGTTGGAAGGCGATCTTCAGAGATCATGTCCAATTGGGAGAGTGCTTCTACCAAATCAACATCCCTAAACGCTTCTACCGACTCAATGCTCACAACTACAACCACCCATCAATCGATACCTGACGTTACCTTTTCGCCCGCAAGCGATGACATTGTCACACACGTACGTGCGGCTTTACACCCCGGCAATCCCATCCCAAAACTCTCTGGAGGCCCCGTACTCTTGCCGACGGGCTTCTCGTCACGTAAGATATACCAAAGCAACATTCCTTCCTCCCCTCCCACAGCAGTGTCGCCTGGACAGCTGGCATCGCCGATGAGAACAGGGCCCGGGAGTCTAAATCAGAAGAGACCTAATCGAGTCCTGGAGGATGATGAAGATAGTGAGGACGGCGGGGATGTTCTTACAGTTCATCAAAGGCTACAGAGGCAAATAAACCCTACATTTGATCCTTCCGAAGCTACCAACAGTGCCGCCAAGTCCGGTTTGGCAGCGAAGGGGCTGTTAGAGCTTATGAATGATCGAAGGTGACACATGGGAAAGATGGATTAAAGAGAAGAAAACAACACTAGCATCGCGCAAAACTTCACTTTGTCAAGCAAAGGACTTGAGCATAATGTAATGAAGGCGTCCTGTGCATCGATGGATATCATTAGCATTTTATCATGAAGACACGTCGTTACAATTGAAATAAGAGCATTTCAAGAGCAAACAAATCACACGTTCCTCAAAGTATTGGTAGTCTACCCCACTAGCGCCTATGTGTTCAACATCTAGCTACTCACAAGGCCACCTGAATGAACAGAACAACAATTTCGCCCTGCTTTCGTATTTGAAAGTCAAACAATCATGCGACAGTTTGCATTCACTGGCCAATTACCCTGTTACATTATTTCTCCAAGCGCACCCTAGCACTCCTGGATCATTACCATCAGTCACTGTTGTGCAAAGTGAGCAGTCCCTAGTCAAGCTCGACATCCACTGAATCACAAACAGCGAAGGAAATTCAGGTACAGTCCAGGTGACCGGAAGTTCTCTTCATACTTGTTGAATATGTCTATGCATCCTTATATATCTAGCAAAATCAAACGTTCCATCTCGTAGCTACATCCCCCCGTTCCAGCTCATCAAGCGTCCTATTATCTTCCTCTGCCCTCGCGTCCTTCGCGGAAGCCCCATCCGCCATCACAAAACTCCCCCCATCAGATCCAATCGTCAGTCCCGGAGGCGCATGCACGAAATCCCTCGTCTTCGCCTCCCTCTTCTCCGTCCCGATCCTCACAAGCGAATACCGATCATTCATATCATCCCCGCCATCATGTCGCGACCCAGCGCGAGAAACGTGCGAACCGAACGCCGACCGTATCGACTGGAAAGGCCTCGAGACGGCAGAGAGCACGACGCTGAGTTCCTTCGACTTTGCGCGGAACAGTTTCGGGAGGGAGAGCGTGCAGGCTACGATGATGCCCAGGGCTATTTCGGCCCAGGACCAGAGGCCCATGCGGGCTAGCTCGTAGGATGTGTCGCGGTACTCGCCCTGGTGGAGTAGTCTGATCATATATAGGATTCGCATGCCTGAAGCCAGTGTAGCTCTTGAAAACGGTTAGACGACTGCCTAGGTAGACTCAGCTTTGGGCTGTGGAACACTTACAAAAGACCTGTTCCGAAGAGTATGATGATACCGGCCTTCTTTTTAGCGTTGATACGTAGTTTCCACACCGCGCGTACGGGGAGCAGTAGAACGACCAGATCCGACACGATATTGAACGCAGCACTAGCTATAATCGATGGATCATAGTGCGTAACCTTCCGACGTTCGTAGTAGTCATCCCGAATTTTTCCCTTTGTGTTATAAATAAACAGCAGCAACAAAGTGACGGTGTAAAAAATGAACATGGCAACGATGGTTCCCCATCCTCCGTAGAACATGACTTCATTCCCGGTGCGTGAAGGAACGAAGATTTGAAGGTACTGCAGGACAATGGCGGTTTTGATGAGGAAGATGCAGGGGCAGTACAGAGCTTCGGATATGTCGAGCCACTGTTGGCCGTTAGAAAAGTTGAGGAAGGCAGTATAGCATGGGTACTAACGAATAGTTGCTTAATGTAATCGCTCACGCGCAGATTCCATAGATGAACACCGGCTCCATAATGAACAGTGAACCTTGCTAAACCGAGACTGACAGTGAAAATAACCTGTAGTATGATTAAGATAGTGTCTTTTACAATTCACGATTGGAAAAGCGTACGAAAGCCAATAAAAGGAAGTCTAGAAGGGTCGTTAGAACTTTGCGATGTCCCGATAATGAGATTCTAACATACAATCGGCCCACCCTAGTTTGCGAACAATCTTCAGTCCGGTATAGAGCCGAAGTAGTATGAAAATTCCCGGTATTATAGTGAAGAGGGGAACGCAAACGAAGTACCACTTCTGCTCTGGAGAGGTTCGAGTCAAATGGACAGTGACTCCAGGTGGAGCCTCCAAAGCAGGTCCATCGAGCAGTTCCTGCGTAACGTCAACCATGTCGAGTGCGGGGACATTGCTAGAATGAATTCCAAGTGAAAGGTACCTATATAAGAGTGGCTGAAGGCGAAACAACAGGATAAGGTGCCTAGAAGGATTGAAACCTTATTGAATTCCCATATTGCTGCCACTGGGTTCGTATATGCTAGTAAGATGCCAAGTCCGATGAAAGCAGCCACACGTGGTGTCAAAATACCCATGTGTCTCATGGGGATCCTGTTAAGATGGAAGCTGAAAATAGTCCTAGGAAGACTAGTGAGGTTATTTGACTACAGAGACATTACAGAGGCTAGACAAACGAGAGATTTCATATTGTAGTCTTTTCAGCATTTCTATTATCTTTTAAATATTTACTGTCATATTATGTTCCTGTCTACAAAGGTGTTTTCTGGTGATCGTCATGCTAGGTAAGCCAGGCTTATTTTCGGTTTCCATCTTAGGTCTAGAGACAGGGTATGTATGCAACGGGACATAAGCAAGGCTGAAATTGATTTCTTGAGCAAAACACTGGTTGGGTACTCGTAGCGAGAGAATAATATGTGGTCAGCCAATGATGCAATGCTGCACTGGAATGTTTGGAGAGTCGAGACTTATCACTTTCGCTCGCAGTCACACAGGAAACAGCAAGGGAGAAATTGGAGTTCCGATTAATTGGTACATCAAGGTAGCGTACTTGCTAATTGGATCAACTCAATTCCCCGTGTGTTTACATTAAGCTTTTGAACTCGTTGACAGAGAATGCTTAAAACACTCGCGGAGTATTGCAGGATGGACTCTCACGTTCATGACTACCAAGGGCAACAAACGTCAAATCTTTGACAGAAGGACTCTCGTGTTCTTTTTATTCTTCTAGTAACTACTTTTACCGACGTAAAGAGACAGCAATATCTATGCCCTTATCCTAGAATATAAATCTTGGAATCGCCATGCCGCCAACCCCGACTCTAGAGGGCAAGGTAGCAATAACCAGCTATTTTTCTTTTGATATAAGATTTCTAACATCAGAACAGACTGTATTTGTCACAGGAGGATCCAGTGGGCTCGGCTTAGAGATTGCCAAAATTGTAGCGGCTCAAGGTAAGCTACGAAGACCTCCACCTGTTGTGTATACAGTCTCACGGCGAAAAGGAGCTCATGTTGCTATCTTCTCTCGCCGCCAGAAAGTCCTCGATGCAGCGAAGAAAGAGATACTCGCGGTGAGGCTTCACGAAAACCAAGAAGTCTCCGCCATTGCGGTAGATCTCAGCAATGCCAAAGCAGTATGCAATCTAGAGTCTCACCCAGCTGGCCAGTGTAACTAACTGCAATACCAGGTCAGGGCTACCTTCGGCTCTCTAAAACTCGTACCCGACATTCTATACTGCGCTGCCGGAGGCTGCCAGACCGAATGTGGCTTTCTAACGGAGATCAGCTCAGAAGATCTCGACAGCTGCATGCGCAACAACTACTACACCGCCGCCTACGTATCCCAGGTCGTCCTCAAGATATGGAGAGGGGTAGAGAACAAACCTGAATTGCGCGGGAGAACAAAAGAACGACGGATCGTCTTCATCAATAGCGTAGGGGCGTTCGTGGGATTACCTGGATATACTGCGTACACACGTAAGTCAGATCCGCATGCATTTCTCTCCTCCCGCCAAAGCTAACGGATATGTAGCTTCCAAGGCTGCAGTCCGCGGTCTCGCCGATACCCTTCGAATGGAGGCCCTTTACTACTCGAACCCTGGGACCAAGTACACCATCCAATGCGCTTTCCCAAGCAACATCATGACGGACGCCTTCATCGAGGAACAGAAGAACAAACCGCAGCTCACCAAAGAGATGGAGGAGACCAACAAAGACCTGGACGAGCTGAAGAAGAAGCTACCTTCTGCCGCCAAGGTCGCCCAGTACATCGTGAGTCGTCTCAACAGCGACGACTTCGCGATCTGCGACTCGTTGGCATCGGAGCTGCTGTGGTCGAACATGATCGGTCCTTCGCCGAAGCGGGGACTCGGGGTTGCTGATTCGATTCTCTCGTTTTTGGTCGGCACGGCGATTTGGCCGTTCCAGCGTCGTAGATGGGATAAGATGTGTGTTCAGGCTGGGCAATAATGAACGACATTTGCTTCAAGATAGTGTTTCTGGAGTCTTTCCATAGTCTAATAATGTGATATTTGGGCCTCGATTTAATTTCCTGATGTAGCCATCGTTCCATTAGGTAAACATGATTCAAATGGACAATCTTAATGTATCAAAATGTTGCATAAACGTTATCCTAAACGTTATCCTAGCTTGCACGGAGTCAGCCAAGATAGTTGAAGATATTTGGACGTTTTCATTCATGCATTTTATGTGAGGCAATTATGATCTAGAAGACGATGATAATAGGCGAGAGAATCAACAGAGAAGCTTGCAGTGTTGGGATCAAGAGATTTAGTTGATGTATGTGGGCGCAATAGTCGACCACCGAGTGAGTTTTCAATTCTCTTTTAACATTTATCCGTCAGAGCACTTGCGAAAGCAGATTAACACTAGCTGATCCTATGAGAGAAAGTGTGTTAAGATGTGCAATATCAAAAGACACAAAAATGATTGACCTATGTCTAAGACTATCATTCAAGAGACGAGAAATCGATACGAGATACAGAACAGTACTGACACTGCACCTCACCTCCATCCTGGGGGCCAAGACTCTTCTTCGAAATTCCTAGATCGCGCGAGCGTTTTCCTATGAGGCGAAAGATGAGGGAATTTAACATGTTAATGTCACTTTTGTTTGTACCAGGAAGAGCCCGATTGTGCAGTTTAGAGAAAAGGTATGATTGATTTTGCAGAGTTCGCTATCTTTTCCCCCTTTCTTTCACTTACAATGCTCAAAACCACCTTCCTGTAAGGTGATATGTGTTTGAAAATCTTGCGTGAAGTTCGGGCATGTCTTCTTACACATATATTTTAGTAGCTGGCTTGCTAGAGCATATCTTTATCATTAGCTATATCATTGCCTGTATCGTTCATGACGGTTGACCTGTATGAACAACTTGATCATAAGGGTTCAGCGCCATTTCGTTGCATAAACAATATGCAACTTCCAGACAAACTATCGCGATTGAGCCGCGCAGCACTCAGTCGCAGAAGCGGGATCTTCATGCCGTGTCGTCGACGACGAGGATGATCCCGAATCGTAGCAATGCCATTGCGGTAAAGGGCTATTTATCCAGCGGGGAAAGGAGCAACTGGTTTCACAAAGAGATAGGGCGATGTGTTCAAACATCAAACATCACTGTCGCTAACCATTCTGATGACGGCGCAGGTATCGTAGCAGCAGCGTGCGTGATCCACTTGGAGTCTTCAGTTCAAGATAACACCTGGGATACGCTTTGTCCCCGGATAGATAGATATTAAATGACCATGCGAGAACATTGCGGGGAAGTCCTGCCGCAAACCATACACGTGGATCAACAACCGGTCGATGATACCGAAAAAGAGACATCTTGATTGGGGGTCTGGTGCATTTAGCATAGATAGGTAACGTTCAAGTGACCAATATTTTGCAATCCTTTTTCGACATTGCGCCGATCGCATCCATTGCAAGTTTCTTATCGCGGACGACTTGCAAGACAGGGCATGACAGTGCAGGCAGGGGAAGGCTTGCTGTCTGGGATGCGACGTCGGTTCCTTTCAATCTAAGCGAAAGTACGGATTCACAATTCCTTTTTTTGTTCGGTGCGAGGTGCATGAACGACCTGCAGGTATGGAACCCGAACAGGCAGCGGGCATTATTAGACATTTGTTGATATGCCCTTTTCGATCGTGATGCGCGACTTCAGGAAGTTTAGATTAAGCAGCTCGTCTTCCCGTTCTGGTGGCTGGCTGGCTGGCTGGCTGGCTGCGAATCTCGGATTGCATTCGCCATAATGGATAGGAATAACCCACGCGGAACGAGGGATCGTATGTTTTCAACACGGTCCGGGACGGCTTTGTCTTTGTGTATGAATCGATAGGTACATTGAGAACACGGGCCTATTTTGTACGTTCGGTGATTCCGAACTGCAGGTCCTTGTTTGGGGAAATGGACATTGGGTGGGTGTGTATTGTATAGACGAACAGGCGTGCAATAAGCAATTCGTGGCTTTCAACCCTGCGAGAGTTAATCAGAGGATAACCCAGTCATACAGGAAGAAGCAAAGCAACATGGCTTGACCGGCAGGAGCTACAGGAGGAAATGATCGCTGGTGGTACCCCACGGGTGCTCCCGTGCAGATCGCGCCAACCGGTTTCGGCGTGTCTTCGCAGTCGGTTCTCACCAATCCCACTGAGAAGTGAGACACCGGCCACGAGCGACAATTAACGATAACGGTCGCAAGTTTGCGAGATGGCGGAGGCTCAGTGTACCTGTCTGCACCAAAGGGTGTGTCGCGATGACCCCATTGATGGGAACACAGACCACATTTGGTTCGGGGGAAAATCTGTGTTCGGATTTCGTAATGAATGCGTGGGATATTATGATGTTGGGTGTACGGCTCGCCATACAACACACAGGTCACGGCATCAGCGAGGGATGTTGCGAGCCTTTTTACGACCAAACCAACGAGGATCGTGAACGTGTGAGGCCTGAAGAAAGAAAAGAAAAAATTAAGTAAACGTCCCCAGTTTTAGCCGAAACGAAATAAGAGACGGTGGCCGGGATGGTTCGGGTTTTACCCTATAGTTTTGTAAACCCAGGTCACGATCTCTTTTGAGTCGGCTACAAGGCGCCATGTCGACGTAACATGACCCATGGGCATACTCCGTCATAAATTTTCTGCTGTGCCCGGACCACGACGATGTAATGAAGTTGTGAATCGGAATGTAATGCTTCTTACAAAAAACGTGGGATACAAGAGCGCGACCCACGGACGATGGAACAGGTCACAAAGAGGAGGGTTCCCGACAGCATGGAAGTTGCTCTCATAATTTGAGGGTGTTATTGTGTACGCCTCAGGATTGAGTCAGAGGTCAGGGTCAGGGCAGGTGATGAGCGCGTTGTCGCTGTTACAAGGCTGACCACCTACTACGAGGTAGGTACAGGTAGAAAGGGCGTTGAAGAGCACATTGCAGAGCGGGAGAGGCTGCAGCAAATTGCCAATTACGTGCATTGCTTGTTGTTTGGTCGAATCTTTGCCTAATCGGATGTCCTGTACAGAAGCAAGCAGAAGGCTCAGCACCGTATCAGAGGCCAGGATACATTGGAATGCGTAGTTCAATTCGGTCTGTGATTATCAGGCAGGGAGCATAAGACCGATAACTATATGGAGTAGTACTCGCAGTAAAGCAGGACAGCTTGGTAACGATTGTAGATCATGTCAACACTGGATGGTAGGGTACTGGTTGAAAATGGAGGCATCATGCTCGGATGTCCCAGCGGCAACGACAGAAATAATGGAGGTGAGTAATACTGAATGTCTTTGGGAGTTGGTTATGGGTTTTCATTACACATTCAACCTCAGTCTGTTATGCTGAGGGGTGGGCAATGTGCACCACTGTACCCTGTGTCGAAACGGAGGGCGGCGCGCGCAAGGACGATAACATAATAGCATAGCATAGTCACTATAGCCTTGGGGAGCGTGTGATGGAGAGCGGCAATCGGCGGGCGACATGCAACGACTCAGGTAGTACAGTAGTTAGTACTCGTATCACTGGCACAAGTAGTCGGGTATGCTCCGTAGTGGGAAAAGAGTGATGGTAGTAGTGGAATGGGGATGAGGAAAGATGCGTAAGTGTGGATTGTGAGGTGTGAGGTGTGAATTGTGTGAGAACCCTGAAGACCGCGCTAGCACCAGAAGGGTCTCTGGCGTGTAGTCGCGCGCAAAGCAGACGCCCACCAATCAGAGGCGGCGGCAAACTGTGGGGGTACCAAATTACATGTGTGATAATTACAGAACTGATACGATGCCATCCCATCCTCCCATCCAGCACCCATCCCATGCCCGGTCGTTATTCCCTCTACCCAATACCCAACAGGGAGAAGACAGGTTGGCCCAGGCTCGCGATAAGCTCATCCTCTGATGCCATTCGCCATTCGCCATTCGCCATTCCCCGTCGCCATTTGCCATCATGCCGTTCCACACAGTACACAGTACACAGTTCACATGCAGACACACACCCAGGCAAGATACCCGCCAGCTTGGGTTCTGAGAACCCCTTCCCTTCAACCCCGAGATACACACGCTGCTTCAATGCATCTGCTGCTGCTACCGTACTTGGTACCCATTGAGACACACCGATCATTTCTAGCTTACCTTGCCTCTCGATAGATGCTCGCGACAGGGGGTCGATGATTTCATTTCTCTGTCAATGCGCCGAGGACATGATTGGCTGGCTGCTACTCGTGTGGATGGACAAGGCCGTTGCAGTCCTCAAGAGTACCTGAGCGGATCCGACAGTCGTGACATGTTGGAATTGTAAAGAATCCCTTCGGGCTCCACACTTGTCAACGAGAAGAGTTCGGACTGTTCACCTCCCTTGCCCAGCGGCGGCTAACCTCGGATGCGCGTGCACTAACCAAAATGTTTTGCAAAAGTGTGGGGTTTTGGGACATGTTTTTTTCCCCTCAGTGTCGGACCGGTTTGCTGTCCCGGGCTGGTCTGGTGTCTGATAGCCACATCTAGGTAACTGTGTAATAGGTGTAGGTATCCGTAGCTGCTCTTGCTTTCAGTCTAACGGAGGGAGTTGTCGTCTTGAGCACGGCCCCCCCGGGTTGATAATGCTTTTACATGTCGACAATGCGGAGTACTAGCAGACAGCTTCTGCGTTATATTATCGGACATAGTAACGAGAGGTGGAAGGCGGCAGACGGAGAGTAAAAGGCGGCCTGTGAGTGTGACGAGCATGGCGAGGAGAGACAGAGATATGGCGACATGGGCGATTGACACGACTTGGCCGCTCCTGATAATGATGACCGCGGCCACAACCACCACGAATACCAATACCAATAATACTACCACCAACAGCCAATACCAACAACCAATTGCCACCGATATTGGGCGACATGGCGGACATGGCTGCTGACCGCAACTGCAACTGCAACTGCAACTGGCATTTTCCACCACCTGTCAAAAAAACACAGGGCGCATCTTCTCCTGTAGCACAACAGCAGGCCACGAATACTATTACAACTGCATGCAGCACTTGTTCTACTCATTTTACTTTTTTTCCATTTCGATATCCGTCCATTGAAATTGAGGCGGGCTGAGAGCCTGAGACGAGGCAACGCACGATTAGGACCATTTTCCCAATCGTTTGGGCGACGAAGATCCAGCCATCCCACGCATGCCCATGTCCTTACACCCCCTTGGCGCCGATTGGGGCGGTGGCGTCTTCGAGAAGACTACTACGCTGAACAGCCAGGTCCCTCTGGAGTTTACTGTGTCCTACTGTGTCCTACTAAGTCTGTGGTATCCATGTACGGAGTACTACGAAGCACAGAATTTATCTATCTACGGCACGATATCTACAGTACGGAATCAGTAACTACACAGTACTACTCCGTACTTGTGAATCGTATCTCCTTGATCTATTGAACATGTGAACTATTACATACAGCAGCACAGCTTCTTCTGTACATCACAACCCTTGGACCATGATAATGACCATGTCTATCACTTGTGCCCTGCGTTGTCCTATCTTGTCGGATGTCCACGCCCATGTCTCCAAGTCTCCCAAGTCCCCATCTGGCACATCCATGCTCTTCCATGCTTTATCCCATGCCCTGCCATGCCCTGCCATGCCCCTTTCTGATGCCCACGACAACGCCCACCCACACACCCAACCTTGCCCGCAGGCTACTGGTCCGATAAGGAACGTCTTCCTACCAGTGCGACTATCTACTTGCAGTATTATTCTTGTCATCTGTCCGTTCTCTTCTCTTCCACTATTACGGAGTACTCCCTCATACTTGAACTAGAACCTACACACTACACACAGTACACCCCCCTTCTCCTCGGTACTCGTATCCGCCCCTCCTCCTCCTCCTCCTCCTCCATAATCTTCATTCTTGCTCCCTTCCTATCTAATCTCTAGTCTCCTTTCGTTTCCCACTCCTTCCTAGTCTCCTACTTGTTCCTCTTCCTATCCCCCGTAGCGTAATTTTGTATCATTGTACCCTGAGAGCGAGCGCGCTTGGTGAACCTCCACGGGTCCGAGCACCGCGCCACCCCATGTTCCCACCTCTATCTACAGCGCAGAGTGTGTGTAGTACTCCGTACCTAGTAGGTACCTAGTTACTCCACCACCACCACGACAGATCAGAGCATCCATACCATTATCGCCCACCTCCTTCGAAACATGAATTGTTGTAATGATCCAGCCCCATCAGACTGTGCTTGGGCCAGCTCTTTCTCCCACTCTTCCCCGGCGGCGGGAACTAGTTTCCCTGATATCGTGCTAGTAAAAAAGTAACCTCCATGTACCTGCACATCCCATCCATCCCATCCATCCCATCACCCATCCTCGCCTTTTTTCTCTCACACCGTCCATTCCCTCCACGCACTCCACGCACGCACATACATCTTCCTCCACCTACCCGTTGAACGGTACACCTTCCTTCCTTCCTTCCCACTTTCTTACTTTCTTACGCCGTACTTCTTACTTGCTTCTCATTTCTCACCTCTACTTTCCACAACAAGGAATAAAACCTTCTCATCCACCCACCACGGTCCCTTCCTGCACATATTCTTGTGCTCCCTCACCCATTCAACAGGCGTCTACAACAGCCTCAACCGGATGCTCCCGTGCGCCCCAAACTTACGGGTGTGACTGCATCCCTCGCTGGGTCTTATCCTTATCTTCTTGTGCATCAGCCTCACCAATCCTGGTCTGGTCCATCCCATCCCATCCCCTTCTATATAGTACCACTCCAACCCACCCCCCGCTGACGGGCTCCGTTGTTGCATCTCTTGGCTTCTCGTCTTATCAATTTTATACATCTCTCTCTTGCTCTCTCTCGGCCTCTCGGGCGTCGACTACATTTACTACTCCTACTACCTCTACGTTCATTCTGCCCGGCCTTCCATGAGCCGCCTATCAGGCACACACGAGCTCCACGACTGTCACAGATATATGTTACTGTTTCCTGATGTTCCATAGCAACTCGCAGGCACTGGTCCACCTGCCTGGGAAATCCGCTTCCGATAATCATGTCCAATTTCCCCGCGGGGAGTGTGGTTTCATTGTGAAGGAAGATGAAGCAGGCAAAACTACCCGGCAGCGTTGCCCCTGCCGGAGCTTCTTTCCTGCCGACCCCGTGGTGCGTACTCAATGCGGTTGCGGACACCAGGCTTGGTATCATGAGGCCGAATCGCTCTCTACCGTCACCATGGAGGAATATGCTACCGTGATCGAGGAGGTGAAACGATTGAAGAACGAGGTCAAGCGGTTCGAAAATCTGGAGCATGAGTTGAAGCAAGAGCTGCACAGAGAAAGATTGATGCGCGAGAACTATTGGCGTACCCAAAAACAGGTCGAGAGGTACATGTACGAGAATATGCGACTGTTGAAGGTTTCCATGGACGACAAGGTCGAGGCCGTGGTAGATAAGACGGAGGAATGCAACGATCAGATCAAGGCTGTCCAGGAGCGTTTGACTATCGTGGACGAGGTGACGATGGAGTTGGAAAATAGGCTTGATCGGTCCGAACACACTGGTTCACTGTCATCGAGGGAGGCTACACCAGGCGTAATGACACCAAGAGCGACACCAAAGGTCGCAAGCCCGGTCCCTCCCGTTCCACAACTGCCGCTATTGATGCAACCGCAACACTCACTTGGCCCACTGCCCATCCGATCAGACAAGAAATATCCGTTATCTTGGAGCGTTCGTGTCATCTTTGTCCCACGCAAGTCACAGAGATTCGCCTTCGACCCCGACAGCACGGGTTACCGTCGCTGTGCCACACGGAAACTCCAACACAATCTCGATTTCCCAAGCCAGGACAGCTCCTGCTTCGCCAACCGTATCGAGAATGCGTTCAAGGGAATTTTGCGAGGAAGGCCTTGGATGCCTATGATTGGCCACCGACCAGCCGATGAACCTTATGGCCGGATGGCTCTACAGTTACTCCCACCCGACCTCGTCTTGAGAGATGTCTGGGACTATCCTTTCCTCGAGGACCACTGCATCGCTCACGATAAGATGCAGGGCGACGTTCTCTACATCACTCTACAATACGAGGATGTCACGTGGAACGAGATCCGCTTTCTACCCGCCGTTGCAGGCGCGGACGAGTCCTGTTGGAGACCCGACGAAGAGCTTGACGGTGCTGCGAAGTACAAGAGTTTGGATTCGGAGATTATGTACGATTTCCAGGACCCTCCGCCGACATACTCTTCACGCACTCACTCTGTCGCGGATAGGCACTCGTTGGCAGACCGACATGCCATGGCGGAGAGGCGATCTCTGACAGATAGAGCGTCGATATCAGAAAGAACACCGTCCAGACTGGACGTCCTCGCCGACTCGGCTTCATTGTTATCCCGTGCCAGCACCGACAGAGGGCCATCGCGCTCGACGTATTCACCAACGTCTGCTTCTGAACGCAACAGTCTCCGCAGCTTCACCACCGGTACTGAAGAGACGGACGACGAGCATCGAGACAAGAAACCCAAACTCCGATCGAAGCAGTCGATGCCCAACATCCACAGCACCCAGCAGCCCATGTACGTGTCCGGACGCTCAAAGCGAAAGATGCCCGTTCGAGAGAAGGGCCTCAAAGAACCTCTTCGCTTCAACGTCACAAACGTCGCGAAATGGCGACCCAACCTCTTGCACCCTCACTCCTCGAAGGGCAAGGAAGCTGTTCAGGAATCTCACTGATCTTCCAACCCCCCACGGACAACTGGATGGGTCTGACCCCGGCCCATCAGCCCCTTGCTCTTTCTCCTTCTCCAAAGAGCTCTTTTCTTTCCTTCCTGTCATGCTAGCACTTAGAGGCGTTTTTCTTCAATCTTTCTTGAGTTGGAAGGAGGAAAAGACCCACGTTTTCTTTTTCTTCGGAACCGGGATACCCAAATGGCGTTCTTTCTCATTTGTCACATTGTATGATCAGACACTTTCGATCGATCAACCGGAGACCACCGCTTCATTTCTCCCCCATTTCCTCCATTTCCCGTACCACTCTTCTTTTCTTCTTTCCCACCATTTCGGCTTGGCACGAGCCAACCGTAGCTTGTACGAGAAATTATAGGGATCACCTTTTTTCCTTTCTTTATCTACAGGTTATATAGATGAGGGTTCGGTCGATCTGGTCGATCGATATGTCACGCGGGCGAAGCAGCGATGTCTTCGAAGGGACGGACACACACACACACACACACACATACACACAACGTCGGTTCGGTGTGTATGATAAGTTAGATATCAGGTACATCCTCCCCCTCTTAAAGGAAATAGTTCCAAATCTACATCATCTATCATCCACTTTGTCGTATCTTAAATGCCACGTGCCCACCAACGGCCCAGTATCTTGTCGTCAGCATCAGCACAGGCGTCATCACCATATCGAAAACAAAAGCCGAATCAAGATGGGTATTTTGTCAAGTGCCATGTATACTGTACCTAAGGGGCCCCCGATGCCACGTGTGAAGTTGAACACTCAAAAGTTCAGGGGCCCGCTCATGCGCACGCGACAGTCCTTAGATAGGCGGGTGAGATGGGATTTGGTCACTTGTTGAGTACCTACAAGCACACACAATCAATCTTCACGCAATCAACTACGATACTCTTACCCAGAAACAGAACTTCCTCTTCGGGGTAGTGGATGGTGTTAGCATGGAAACATCCAAGATCACCGACTTACCTTCTAGGAAAGATAGCCGTTGGGCGGCGGGCTGGTGTTTTTTTGAATTGTCGGTGAACGAATCTCACGAGACTTCTCACGTACATACATTACCTCCTGTTACCCTCACTCTCTCTCTATCGTTGAATCAACGATCGTCTTCTCAAGCGCGATATCACAGTGGTGCACCCCACACCCACAATTTACAGATACATACAGAATACTAAAGTAGATAGTTAGAGCGGGGGAAAAACCACCGATCGCCTTATCTTGTCGGGGGCGTTATCGTGGCCCATATCGCATCGGCATCGTTTGTCGTATCTTTAGCGGAGCGGAGTCGCAACTCTTTGGGCGGCGGCGGCGGCGGCGGCGGCGGCGGCGACGGCGACTGCGGCAATGCCAATGCCAATGGCAATGGCCTGTTGTTTTGGAATTGTTGCCCGCGTGTGTCTTTTGGGGGTTTGTGTGAGGGTGCAAGGTATGTGTGTGTGCTTACTTGATGTCGAGAATAGATTGAGGGAAGGAGAAAAAGCAATGTTTATAAATGTATGAAGGGATTAAGAAAGATACTCCGTATTATTGTTGGGATGGAGCGGAGCAGCTGGGAAGAGAGTGAGCGTAGATGTGAGGTGCAAGTACGTGTAGATAGAAAATCGAGATAGCTACTCAGGTTGTTAGATGGGCACGAGTAGTAAAAGGCCATGTGTTATGCTGGTTGCTACTTGCCTTGGTTGCTGGTTGCTGACCGACGTTACATTCGCGAGGTGTAACTTATCTAGTCCTCCGTCCACCGTCCACCGTCCACGGCGCCCGCCCGCCTGCATGTGGGGATGATGAGGGACCAGTCAGACTCCCACCCCCATCATTCATCGCGATGCACCGTCATAATCAGCAATCGTCCTTCCATCAGTATCACCATCATTGTTAGCAGCTACAGCAAAAATAGTAACGCCCTTATAGACGGAATTACCGCTTTGAGATTGGATGTTGTAGTGTTCGTTTGGTTAGCTGGACGGGAGTCCCGATTTGTTTGGTATGCCTGCTTGATGAACCCGGGGTCCAGGCTGGAGGATTCGCCTGGTGGCGTTAACGGTTCGGCGGGTGGTTTGTTACTTTATTTCCATTTCCATCTCCATGGCTTGCATACGGAGGCATCAGAATGGACGCTTCATAGAGGGATTGGAGCGACGGGAGAAGGTGTGTTGTACTCTTGGGTTCATCATGATCAGACCAGACGGTTAGTTATTGGATGTGGGGAAGAGGTTCAGCTCTAAGGGAAATATGCTATGAACTAAGAATAATTATCCACTTTCCTAAGGGATCCTTATCCACCTTCCGTTTTCTGGGGAAAGAATAAGCAGCCATTTGTTACACACAAGATAGCAGTCACATCCATCCATCCATTCATCAACCCACCATTGTTGTCGAGCATGGCTGCCTACAGTGTGCTGAATGCATCCTATCAATGTCTCCACAGAGTGATGCGATTGCTATCAAAATAAGATGGCGAAGGTGGATACTGGAGAATGAATCGAGGAACGATAACGTACAGTTTGTGTTGCATCTCATAGAGGAAATCGAATATATCTGGTCTGGTGTCGTCGTTTCGTTTCGTATCAAATGCGCAGGGCAGCGGCATACTCAAAACAGACCTCCCGATGTCAGTACCATCCCGCCCTTATCAACCCCCATCTTTTATGGTCTGCTTCACTTCTCCGCTTCCTTTTACTTCCTATTACTACGATCACTCGTACCCAAGGCCAGTCCAGTCCAGTCATGGTTCGTGCCATTAACACAAATTGAACGTGCCCCGCAGATCTCAACCTTGCATTCGCCCGCCAGCCGGCAAGCGACCCCAATCATGGCTCCCGTCATGGCTTCCACACCTCAACCCCATCCGTCACACGCGCATTCGACCGCTCCCTTTGTATGCCTATCAACGCGGTGAAACAAGGTTACAGGCCCGTTGCTCAATCCTACCATGCCCAATGCCCATGCCATATCCATGATCCGACCATCCAACGATTCCAATCCGCCTAATCAACGGCTTCCCTCCATTCGGGCTCTCGCCAGCAGAGAACCCCTGGAGGCGACAATTAGGCCTGCAACGACACATGCAGTGACAATCCTTTCCGTCTTGTTCAAGTGACTTGCCTTTGAGCGTGCCGTCAGAGCTCACCCGAGAGGTGAACATCACCGTCAAACCTTTGGGTGTAACACTACCACTGCTGCCAATAATACAAATGTCTTGAACACGCCGTTCCCCTTGCCTGTCTCACCGTGACTTCTTGAAATCCTCAACCTTCCCCTTGACTTGACCTGACGACCCTTGCGACATTATGGCCGCAACCACAGAGCCAGAGTTCTCCAAGAACGACCTCGCGGTATCGGCGTCCAAGTCCTCCTCCAAGGATCTCGAACCCACGGTCCTCGAGGGCGACACCCAGCATCTCCCCTCATTCGAGCACGAGAAGCGACTATGTTGGAAATTCGACATCCGGATCCTGCCCACGCTGGCCGTCATGTACCTCTTCAATGCGCTCGACAAGGGCAACCTGGGCAACGCGAAGACGGATGACATGGACAAGGACTTGCACTTCAAGAACAACCAGTACAACATCATGCTGTCCATCTTCTTCATCCCCTACGTCCTGTTCTCTCCGCCGATCGCCATGATCGGAAAGAAGTACGGCCCCAGCAAGGTCCTGCCAATCTTGATGTTCTGCTTCGGGTCGGCTACACTCTTGAGTGCCTGCGTGAAGAATTGGGGTGGGATGATGGCTTTGCGATGGTTCCTTGGTTAGTATCCTGATTCTTATGAACTTGTGGGATGGTGAAAGGTCGAGCTTCTGGCGTTGCGCCAAAAAGCTTGGAAAGCTTGCTCCGCGTTCCGACAGCATCGTACTCGTGAGGATGATGACTGACTTGTAGCAGGTATGGCCGAGGCCGCTTTCTTCCCGCTCGTCATCTACTACTTGACGACTTTTTATCGACGAGGCGAGCTTGCTAGACGTCTGGCTATCTTCTATGCCGCTTCGAACATTGCCAACGCTTTCTCTGGACTGTTCGCCTTTGGAGTCTTCCATATCAAGGCTAAGCTTGAGGCATGGCGGTATCTGTTCATCATTGAAGGCACGGCGACCATTCTTTGTGAGTATCTTGACCTGGATTAGTATGTGGACCAAGTCTAACATTGGCACAGTCTCGTTCTTCGTCTTCTGGTACCTTCCCAAGTCTGCCTATGAGGCCAAGTTTTTGAACGAGGAAGAGAAGAAGCTGGCTTTCACCCGAATCCAAATCGATTCCTCTTCGGTCGTTGGCGAGAAGTTCGTCCTGAAAGATTCGCTTCAAATCTTCAAGCACCCCTCCACGTATGGCTTCCTGCTGATCGAAATGTGCCTCGGTGTACCAATTCAATCCGTTGGCCTCTTCATGCCCCAGATTGTAGGACGCCTGAAGTTGGGCAAGATCAAGACGAACCTGTACACCGTAGCGCCCAACATCGTCGGCGCATGCGTGTTGATCATGCTCGCATTCGCCAGCGACTTAACGAGACTGCGCTTCCCCTTCATCACGCTCGGCTTCACGCTCACTTTCATCGGCTTCCTGATCTACGCTGCCATTGACGTCGAGCACAACACCCAGGTCGCCTACTTCGCCTGCTTCATGATGACCTGGGGCACGTCTGCACCCTCCGTCCTCCTCTCGACTTGGTACAACAACAACGTCGCCCACGAGGGTCGCCGCGTCACTCTGACCAGTATCGGCGTCCCGCTCGCCAACCTCATGGGCATCGTGAGCTCCAACATCTTCCGCGAGCAGGACAAACCTGACTACATCCCCGCGCTCGCCACCACGGCAGCATTCGGCGCGACGGGCGCTGTGATCGCCGCGCTGTTGGGCGTCTACATGATCTTCGACAACAGGAGGAGGAACCGCGCGCAGGGCATTAATCTGAGTGCTAGGGATGTCAGTACCGAGAAGCTGAGGGATGGGCCGAACAGTCCGGACTTCAGGTGGTTTTTGTAGTCTCAAGGAATGGTGGATCTGTTCAAGGTGGTAATAGTTGGGAGATTGAAAGCTAAAGCACGTAATGCAATGCATGAATGATTATTTTCTCTCTAGTCTGATTGATGTTTGATATCTTAGTGGACCTGTGGACCTTTCCTTTCTTGGGTACGATCATGTGCGGAGGTCATTGGGACATTCCAGGTGGAGCCTTAGCAATGCCTCAGTAATGCCTCAGTGATAAGGATAGGAACATTAGGAACCGAAAAATGGATTCAGTGGCAGGTTTACCATAACACAATCAATGAATGTATTCCTTACAAACTGGTGCTTTTTATGAGTCTGCTCCATTGTTCGGTTGAATAGAAAGCGGATAGTGCAGGCCCCCATCGCAAGGCTACTAGCGCGCATCTGGAGATTCCGCGGCTCGACTCCCGACGTATCTATCTGGCTTATCTCGGGGAAATCGAGCTAGGTCCTCTCCACGTGATGCCTCATCAGGGTACCGTCACCCAGCCACGCGGTGTCCCCAAGCTCCAGTCATCAGCATCAGCGGCAGCTCGAGCTGCCTTGTAGACTTCAACGAGGTGACACCTCAAATAACTACCCTTCTCTTCCTTTAGAACACAACCTATCTCTATTGTTAGATTTTAGAAACCTACATCTTCCTCCGACAAGCCCGCATTCCCGACACCGCCTCAAGGCACGAGACGTCCGAACAGCCTCCCATCATGGCGGTCAAAGCAGTGGTTCCGTTCTTGGTGGCCATGATGCTCTTGACGGGTGTCTGCAACACGCTTCTCACTAAGTATCAGGTAAATGCCCGCATTCTTAAGCTGTAAAGTCTCTCTGCGAAGCTCACACATGCGATAGGACATGCAATGCGTGAAGAACTGCAACCCCTCAAAGGGCAAGAAGCCCGAACACTTCGAGCAGCCCGTCCTCCAGACGCTACAGATGTTCATCGGAGAGATGGGCTGCTGGCTTGTCATCGGTCTCTTCTCCGTCTACCAGCGTTACGTCGCCAGCCGCGCCGGATACGAGAGCATTCCCGAGGGAGAGGAAGGTGCACACACGCCAGCACTTTCGGATGAGAGCGAGACGAGAGAGGTTGCGAATCCGCTCAGGCCTGCTCATAGTGACCCCGAGGGTCGGATACCGTTGACCGGTACGAGCATCCTGCTGCTTGCATTGCCGGCGTGCTGCGATATCGCAGGCACGACGTTGATGAACGTTGGGTTGCTGTTCACTGCGGCGTCGATCTACCAGATGACGCGAGGAGCTCTCGTTCTCTTTGTCGGGTTGTTCAGTGTTTGGTTCCTGAAGAGGCATCTTGGGTTGTACAAGTGGTTCGCCCTCTTCGTGGTCGTCTTCGGTGTAGCTATAGTTGGCCTCGCTGGTGCGATCACCAAGGACGACAAGGCAACTCCTTCGGCGATCTATGCGGTAGCAAGATCGGACCAGGCTTTGAAGACAATCATTGGTGTCTTGCTCATCGCCGCTGCGCAGATCTTCACGGCGACGCAGTTCGTCCTAGAGGAGAAGATCATGGAGAAGTACGACATGGAGCCGATCAAGGTTGTCGGATGGGAGGGCACATTTGGATTCCTTATCACTCTGTTGATTATGATCATCTTGCACTTCTCTATCGGGACCGGGTACTTCAACGCGCGCGAAGGGCTGTACCAAATGACTCATTACCGGGCGATTGCTGTGAGCAGCGTCCTGATCATGATCAGTATCGGGTATGTTATCTCCTTACCGTATTGTACGTTCATACACACAGCGAACTAACACATCATTCCAGCGGCTTCAACTTCTTCGGCCTCTCCGTCACACGCACCGTCAGCGCTACCTCGCGCTCGACCATCGACACCTGCCGCACTCTCTTCATCTGGGTTGTTTCCCTCGGCCTCGGCTGGGAGACCTTCAAGTGGCTACAAGTGGTCGGTTTCGCGCTTCTCGTGTACGGCACGTTCCTCTTCAACGACTTGGTCAGGCCGCCGTTGAAGGCGTGCGTTGAGCGCAAGCATGAGCAGCTACTGCCAGAAGACCCAATCGAGCATCATTAGACATCTCATTGTACATAATCATGGGCAAGAGGGATTGTTGAGTACAACGCATATGACAACGGCGTTTAGAGGGGCTTTTACATCGTTCGTGGGATTGTTTGTGTGGCTAATTTTGGGATCGTTCGCGCCTTGCTTCGCAATTTTGTAATTCATATAGCGCAAATCAATATTCTTCAGTGGATCGTTGGAACACAATCGTGAATGTGATGTATGCGATGGTACTCGTAAAACGGCCCGCAAATCAGAAGCGGCCTGTGGCTAGTGCACATTGTGGCGCAAACACATCAAAATGGTCTGTGGCTGGTGCCAAGAACACACACTCTCGCTTATTTTGCGTGTTCCAAAATCCCCGCCGGTCGCTCAACACCAAACCGACAAGCACCAACGACGATATCCTGAACTTCAACGCCGGAGGTTCAGACTCGACAATCACTCGATCGCAAACATGGCCGCCAACCAGGGAGCTATGTGAGTTCAATCCTACCTGCGCTGCAATCTTTCGAACACATTTACTGACGGTGACGCAGTTCCAAGAGGAGGAAGTTCGTCGCCGGTATGATATACCCATTTATACAATTTTTGAAGGACGTTATTGGGATTGGAGAGTCTCGACAGACTCGGAATCAGTATCTTCTGCAATTATGAAGAGCTGGATGCGAGTCGTCGAGTGCTTCGTCAATTCACAAGGCCACCGCACGCAGACATCAAAATGGAGATAGCTAACATATTCACCCACAGACGGTGTCTTCTATGCCGAGTTGAACGAGTTCTTCCAGCGCGAGTTGGCCGAGGAGGGCTACTCTGGTGTCGAAGTCCGTGTCACCCCCACCGTCACCGACATCATCATCCGCGCCACCCACACACAAGAGGTCCTCGGTGAGCAGGGACGCCGCATCCGCGAGCTCACCTCCCTCATCCAGAAGCGCTTCAAGTTCCCCGAGAACTCCGTCTCCCTCTACGCCGCCAAGGTCTCCAACCGCGGTCTCTCCGCCGTCGCTCAGTGCGAGTCCCTCCGATACAAGCTCCTCAACGGTTTGGCCGTCCGAAGGGCTTGCTATGGTGTCCTCAGGTTCATCATGGAGAGCGGTGCTAAGGGTTGCGAGGTCGTCGTTTCCGGAAAGCTCAGGGCTGCCCGTGCCAAGAGCATGAAGTTCACTGTATGTATTCGAAGGCTACGTCGAATTATGGATAAAGTACTGACAGAAGTGCGCAGGACGGATTCATGATCCACTCTGGTCAACCCGCCAACGACTTCATCGACCACGCTACCCGCCACGTCCTCCTCCGACAGGGTGTCTTGGGTATCAAGGTCAAGATCATGCGCGGCTCCGACCCCGAGGGCAAGGCCGGCCCCTCCAAGTCTCTCCCCGACTCCGTCACCATCATCGAGCCCAAGGAGGAGCAGTCCGTTGTCCAGCCCATGTCGCAAGACTACGGTGCCAAGGCCATCGCTGCCCAGCAGGCCGCCGAGCAGCAGAGGCTCGCCGAGCAACAGGAGGGTGGTGAGGCTGCGCCCGCTGAGGGCTACACTGAGGAGCAGCAATAGAGAACGACCTCGGTTAGCTTTGGGAATATGACAAAAGCCGGTGAGGCACTTACAAGGGCGTTGAAGATGTAACGGCATCATGAATGAATTACCTTACATACATCTTCCTTTGCATTCGGGATGGGCAACATTTGACCAAGGGATGTTTTCACGCGGACGGAGTCTCTTGAGTGCTGTACTCTTTTCAAACAAAACACCTGAAATATCAAATATGGCTTTAGACCAGTTGACACGTTCAAAGTTCCTTTTGAGTGTTACGTGGTGTCGATTGCTCGTGCGACAGATATTTGTGGTATGTACGATTGATCCGACTCGTCGGAGACTGCAATTACGATTTTCCTTTTCTTCACTTCTGTCCAAACATACCGTTTCCGCCGTCGCAAAATTGACATTTTCGCATAACTCCGCCAACCACCCCTTGCATTGCTCGCACACATCGCTACCTGCCTTTCCATTACCCGTCTACGTGAGTTCCATTACGGCGTCAGCCATTATGTCGAATTGTTCTGTTACTCCCGTGGTGATCGCACTACAAATACCCCAGGTTGAGCCAATCTACATGGGCGATGTCTCACTTTCACCCGTATCGTTACACAAATCCATGCTTTATCACAGTCGCACAGAGAGTACTAGCACCACGCACAACGCCAGCCACGAACCATACTTTCACTTGATATCAATTCGCAGAAACGCGCTGATCAGACGTTCAATTGATATAACTTCTACTAACCGTCCCTTCACTAACCTCACTCCACTGGTATCCAAACCAAACAACAACAACCATGGCTTCACTCACAATGCCTGACCTCCACTCTCCATCGCCACACAGTAACCTCTCTCGAACACATTCCATGATCTCCTCAAAGCCACAGAAACCAAATCCAAATCACCCACTGCCTCCACTACCTCCCCCATCACCACCACCCCACCTCTACCTCCCACCGACACCGAAATCCCTCCAGCGGAACCACAGTCTCAACATCACACTCACCTACCACCAACATCCCACGTGCAATGCCAACAACAACAAACCCACCAACACCACCAACAGCAACAGCAACAACCAAGACAACCCATCACGCCCACCAACCCCACCACCACACACAGTCCCCATCCCACCACCCCATCACCAACAAGAAACCAGTCCCCCCAAACCCCCCAAACCCCCAAACCGCCGCGTCCGCTTCTCCCTCCCCTCACCACCACCCTCACCCTCCTCTACCTCCTCCAACTATTCCTCCTTGTCCGTAACAAGCACCACCAGCACCGAAAGCACATACTCCCCCTCCCCGCCACCCTCCCCAATCAGACCACCCAGACCCCCATCCCCAATCTTCCAGCCCTCAACCGAGGAATTCTACCTCCGCCCGCCGTCGCTGAGGCCCGTGCGCGTGCGGCGGCAGAAAAGTAAGAAGACGCGGCCCCTCAAGTTGGAAGGGAAAGGGGACGATGGCGGCGGCGAGGGGGATGAGAAGGGGGGTGTGAAGTACGTTTTCAAGCGCAGGACGAAGAGGGAGGAACATGGGTTTCGGTTTCGGTTCGGGGAGAGGGTCGGTGGGGTTGGGGTGGTGAGGGGCGCTAGGGGCATGCCTAGAGAGGATGAGGAGGAAGGGGATGGGTCACGAGGAGGGTGAGGTGAGGTGAGATGGAAGGAATAGGGTGGGAGATTTCCTTCGCGAGATGTCGGTGTTTCTTTACAGTGGATTTTGAGGAGATGGCGATATGAGAACGCGTTCGTTCTCATATCGCCAAGGTTTCAATTTCTAATCCTGAGAGCTTTCTTGTGACCTGCCACTTCGTGAGCGTGGTGTATCGTAGAACGAATGGACAAACGCTGTGCTATACTACTCCATGCTATGTGTGCATATATACAATGAAATGACTTCTTACATATACCCATATTGGGGGTAAGTAAAACATGCCAGCAGAAAAGATTAAACGTTACAGTGATTAAGATGCATTTCACGACGGGGGGATTTAGAAAAACTAACGAAGACTTTGTAGAAGCGGATATCTGATTGATATATCTATGCTGTATCTATCACTGTAGTCTACATATTTGTTGACCTCACTATCTCTCCGCTCCATCAAACCGCACTTCTTGGAGGATTGCCTGGCGGTAAGAAGTACCATTGTTCTGCTGGCGGGTCTGAAGATGAACTTGGGCCTCTGCCACCAGTGGTGCCGCCCTATTGTTGCTGATCCCGTTGAGAGATGCGTAGTGGTATCTCGGAGGGCTTCCAGACTCACGGTAGCCTAGCCCTTTTTCCATGATTGATAGAAAGGAAAATCAGGATTGATCTTTCCCAGACAAACGTCTTAATGCGTAGAGAGAGTCCTTTTACGTTTCAAGTGTCCATTCGACGCAGAATGCATGCCGCAGGATACCGATTCCCACAAGGCCCAATTCCATCTTGCAGACTTGGATAACACCATTGATCACTGGAAACCCAGAATCTCGACATCCTCTCATCCAGCCTGGTAAACAGGATTCTCAGTCTGTAAACACACCAGTCAGTAAACCACTCAACCAAATTATTCCCATCATTACAAGTGCTCACCTTGTAGTAAATCGTCTTCCTCGGCTGCATCTCCATCGCATGTCGGTACGCAGACTTCGCAATCGCCTCCCTTCTCTTCATCTTCTTCTCCGTGACCTGCAACGCGCGCCTCTGGTCCTCCGAAACACCGACGAGGCCCATATCCCCGCGGACAGCGACGCGGCGGTCGCTACCACCACCGCCACGTGAGGGCTTTTCGTCCGCTTCCTGTGAGTCTTCCTCGGCTGAAGCGGCGATGGCCTTCAACTCATCTCTCTTCGACCTCTGCTGCGGGCCCTTCGCCCTCGTCTGCGCGAGCCCGGGCTTCGCGCGAAGAAGCGTGGCATCAGACCGAGAATTAATGACCGCGCCCGAAGGAAGCCTCCACTCCGTCTCCGACAGCCTTACCGCCTCACCCTTCGTACTTTGCGGTAGCTCAGCGTCCTCGTCCTCGCTCTCGCTGCCTGAAAGCTCCCAGAACTCGAGGAGCTCTGATTCAGGAGTCAGGTTGATCATGCAGTGCCCCTTATCTCGCATGTGGGTCTGCACGCCGTCCGCCGTGCCCCTTTCCAACCCGCAGTAGAGACATTGGTGGTACTCGAAGACGAGGGTGGCGAGGTATCCGAGGAAGGATTGCATGTCTGAGAGCTGGTCTTGCGAGGGGATGAAGAGGCCGTGTGTTGAGAACATGTGCTCGACGTTTGCATCTAGCGTTGGCGAGACGGTATTGCAGAAGAGGCATTGGGTGGGGGGTACAGTTTTTGACGATTCTCCTTCTGTCTCTGTGGTTTCTCCTGGTATGGAATCGGATGAGCTTTGAGGTTCGGGAGATGGTCGCTTTTTGTGCTGCTTGTCGCTGTCGCTGTCGCTATTGTCGAGTCGGATTGTGGGTACCTGGCCTGTGGTGGACTGTGTGAGATATTCTCTCTCTGATAGTGCTGGTAGTTCAGCTACGCGACGCCTGAGGTTATGGATACTATCGCAAATATCAGCTTCTATAAAGAGTAACAAGCCAGGAGAACAGTAACAGTAGGAATACTTACTGCCAAGGCTGTCGCATGTGCGAGCGCTGAAGCTCGCTGGATTCGAATTTCAAGTTGCAAGTGTTGCAAGGAAATACACGCGATTCCGAAGCCATATTGGGTGTATTTGTTTTGGTTCTCGATTGGTGTAGGAGGGTGTTTAGAAGGGGTACTTTGCGTAAACTTGATCTGGGACGCCTGGAGCTGTCCCTGTGAGAAGCTTGGGTGTATGAGCGACTGTTGCCTGAATGTATTGGTAGCGGCTTTTTTAAGGCAGAGATTCGAGTATAGTTATATAGTACTCATATGCTCGGTCGATATCATGATCGAGATGATGGAAGTTGCATTCATACTAGAGATTATCCATATCCGGCTAGCGGCATCTTCGAGCGGAGGCTTGGATTGGTACAAGCCACAAATGAGTCATTATTAGTCTACTTTGCTCACCCTCGAACAGAAGTCTAATGCAAGAACAACATTACTGTCTACTGATCTGAGTGGCTTATTCGATTTTCTCTGGTGATTGTAACTTCAGACTCATTTACCATACATCACAGTATGTACGGAGCAATTACGTCGGAAACTTATCGGGCAGTTATTCGCGTGGCTATGTCTTGAATTCGGCGCCCACACCAGAAGGATTTCGAGGCATGTCCTCCTTCTCTAGCAAAAAAGTCCCTGAAAGTGACGACCGCACGTCGCTACCGAACTTTCATCGCTGAACCTTCAGTGACAGTAAACAGAGCTGTATCATGTATGCCTTGTGGCAAGTTCAGCTTCACAATCAAATAAAACACGCATTCGAAAGAAACTCAGGTTTCCCGTAACAAGACATCCACTAGTTCATTCGACATCATAAGCTAGATAGATAACAATGCCATCCGAACCCATGCAAGACATAACCCATGCGGGTATCAAAATGCCATATGTAACAAACACAAACAAGAAAAAAGGCTCGTAAACACATCATCAATGTGGGAACAAACAAGAACCCAGCGCAGCAATGCACCAAGTTGCTGTCATCTCCGAGAAAGCATCATTGCATCTCAACCTCGATCTCCTTCTGGACATTCTCTGCAGGACTCTTGCTCGCACTCCTGCCGGGACTGACTCCCCTGCTGGTTTCCTTGACTCCTAGTTTGGCGATTCCAGCTGCGAGGGTCTGGCCTGCTTGGCTCATATTGCTACCCAGGCTCTGGCTCCATTCTGCAGCCGAGGGCAAGATGTTCGAAGGCGCACGCATAGTTGTGCCTGCACCCGTGGCTTGATCTGCAGTTTCTGTGCCCGTGACGATTGGATCTTGTTCTGGCGGCAGTGGCGTGCTAGTGCCGGATCGTACCGGTGTGATTCGACCATTGGGGGGAGAGCTGACATTGCTTGTTTGTGGTGTTAATGCAGGAGTACCACCATACATCGGCTGAGGTCCGTATGGAGTATTCATATCCTCATCTTTACACCCAAAGACTTCAGCCCACCATCTGGTCTTGCCATCCTGAGGGAAGATCATACGCTCTTTGCCCCGCACGCTGTCGTCGACTATGGCGTCGTATTTGGGGTTGATGAATTCCTGTTTGCGGCAGAGGAAGTAATCCCAGACACTACGGGTCCTCTGGGCAGCACGTGCCTCTACACGCTCTTTCTCATTGTCAAACAGGAAGGTGCCGTACTGGCAGGAATAGAGATGGTATAGTAGGCGACGGAGGAAGCGTTCATTGAATTCGAAGCGCGTCGGGTACTGATACATGAGCTGGTACGTCGCATCCAGGAACTGGTGGAAGACAGGTGACAGTTCGTTTACTTTTGTGATCCGATGTTCCTCTGCCGTTCCAATGACGGTTGGAGGTTTGGGAGTTCCGTCCGATGGTGCGACATCTGAGACTGGCTGCATTTCGCCGCCATTAGTCTCCGTTGTCTGAGTCAGTGATTCACTCGACTCGTTGTGACGATTGAAGAGACCTTTGGCGCCGCGAAGTGCGTTCTCGAAGGCATTACCGCCGCCGCCCAAATCACGCTCCACACGTTCGTTCTCAATGTCGAACCACTTCTCACTGCCCAAGAAACCAGAGCGGTGGCGGAACATATGACCGAACGAAAGCCAGTCTTTCTCTACCAGCACGATGAATCCCTCCAACGTCCGATAGTATGGATCAAGACAGATCTGACTGAGCGCACTGAGCTGACTTGTCCGGTCCCAGCCGTCCGAACAATGAATTAAAACATGCGAGTGCATCACGCCAACGGTGTGAGCAATCAGACGAGTACCCCTCATGATGTTATCAATATGCCTAATCCATCCACTCTTGTTGAGTAACGATCGATTTGGTGGCAAAGAGGTAATATCTGTATCCTTCAAAGCATCGATGACAGTCTGAAGAGATTTTCGCATAACGTGAATATTGTCGATGCCCAAGTAGGCTTTCTCTGCGTTGGGATAGTACTTCATCTGCTCGGACCCCAGGCCAACAGTCTGCATCGCCATAGCGTTAAGAGTGGGTCTGGCATCGACAATAAAGTTCTGTTGCTGTGCTCCGTAGACCTTTGGAAGATCGCTCACATCTTCCGACGACTCAGTAAGATCATCCGTGAGCTTCTGCTCCGCATTCTCATTCTCGCCGTCGTTGACCCCAATAAAAGAACTGTAAGTACTCGCTTCGTTGATGTTCACGACACTCGAATCTGGGCTAGATCCTGCTGGGTTCGGTGTACCGGGGCCTGATGTTTTCCACCCTTGGTTGGTCGCCCAAATGGCCGCTACCAGCTTTTCGTCCTGCGGATTGCGTTTGCCTTGGATGCCTGGCTGCGGCTGGGAACTCCGCGTTATCGAGCAGTTATTGATGGGATGTCGGTATACGAGGACTGGTATGCGTGCTCGGGAGCGATAGTTGCCAGCATAATTGAGGACGTTATCCGAGATTTTGGTAGGTACGACCAGGAGTTCAGGGTAGGTTTTGGAGTACTTTGACTGGGTTAGACGAGTATGCGATCCCTCTTATGGTGTACAAACCTTGTAGTCCTTGTTGATCTCGGAGATTCTCCATCCCTTCTCTGAATCTTTGGGGCTGATGCCTAATCGCTTCCACTCCCGCCGAGCATCGTATATCTCCCAACCATTGAACTTGTCTTCCGGAGGCTTCGGCACGTATGAAAATGCTAGGAGGCGATCCAGACGCCCAATCTTGCACGAAAGTCCTCTTATACTATCGTAAACATCGCGCGCTCTCTTGTCGTCTAGGAAGTGGAAAGCAAAGAACGTGAAGTCTCGACACCGTATGCGGATGGATGGGCTCTGGTGAGAAGCGGGAGGGGACGGTCGGAGTACGCAGTGTGAAATCATAGGATATGTGATCCATACTTCTCGAGGTCGCGGTGGTTTGGTAGAGGGCGGAGCGTCCGGAGGTGGGGGAGGCAGGTAGTTGAACACTATGTGGTGAGGCATGAGGTGCAGGTTTCCCTCGAAGCGGGTGCCCCTCCGCCACATAGTGACATCTTCCACCTAAATAAAATCAGAAATGTGCAGCCTAACAGTTCTACAGACATGTCCACCTTGCTTATGCGTATCTTCTCCATTGTGAGTTGTCTGTGAGAGGTGACGAGGAACAGTGCGGGGTTGTCGTTGGGCCCACGAGCGCGGGAGGAGGTCGAGGTAGAATTCACAGAGACCAAATCCCTGTGAAGCGCTGGCTAGAGCTAGGAACAAGCTCACGAGGGCAGTAGAAGTATGGTTTGCATGCTCAGCGTGGAAGGGAATTGCTCGCCTGCCACCGTCATAGTTAGTCCGTGCAAGTTAGGAAAGCACAGACGGAATGTGATCCTTGGCACTCAGCCCTATGATCCAAAAACAAGATATTGGAAACGAACACCATCACCACGGTTCACTAGGTCCCAGTTGAAGTGTCTCATAGCAGAAATGATTATTGGAGAACTATATGTACACGCTACACTTTTAGCTGTTATTGTCCCAAGTTATCTGTCCCTGAAACACACGTGCTAGACCGCATTCCAATTTGTCGTCGGCTGTTCACGTGCAATAGCAGAGGTTAATGGGTTAGGTGTGAGTTTGAGAGCATGGGACATAACTAGACAGGGAGCCAGTAAGGAAATAAAGGAAAAGGGGAGGATCCGAAGAAAAGCACACGACACAAAGGTTTTACGCAGAGGTCAGTTAGCTGATGTCGAATGGCCAAGGGGACCAGTAGCGAGAAGAATCCACTAAGCCGGAGGGGGAGGGGGAGGGGGAGGAACATCGCTGGGAGGAGGCGGCGGTGGAGCACTGCCAGGCGGAGGAGGCGGAGGAGGAGGTGGGCTACCAGCATTGCCAGCAGTGCCATATTGGAAGAGGGCTCCGAGACCAGGAGGTGGAGGTGCGGACTCGTATCCTGGAGCAGGATATGAGCCAGCGCCAGGAGCACCGGGAGCACCAGGGGCAGCAGCTCCGTATCCATAGGCATTATAGCCATACTGTTCAGCACCAGGAGCGGCGGCAGCAGGGGCAGCCCAAGGAGCAGCATTATAACCAGTGCCACCGTAACCAGCACCGGCACCGGCACCGGTACCAGATCCGGCACCAGGTCCAGCTCCAGCTCCAGCTCCAGCACTGGCCCAAGGAGGAGGTGCGTTTGACGATCCACCATCACGGTCATCACGGTTGTTGCGAGCCCAAGGAGCGGAGCCGCCAGTTGGACCACGCTCCCACGGCTTGAGGGTGCGCGGCTCTTCATGCCCACCACCACCATAGCCATCGGCGCCACCGTTGTTGTTATTGTTGTTGTACTCGAGAGCTTGCTGAGGACGACCACCTGCACCACCAACTTCAGACAAGAAGTTGTCGATCTCATCTCCACCGCCGATTCTGCCCTGGTTGCGGTTGTTGTTGTTATTGTTGAATCCGCCGCGATCATCGTTGCGCCAGTCTTGGCCACGCTTGCGCTCGGGACAATCGCGAGCCATATGGCCAGCCTGTCCACAGACACGGCAAATGATGCTGGCAGTGTAGTTCTGGCGTTGAGGGCAGTCGTACTTGCGGTGACCGATCTCTCCGCAGTTCTGGCAGGCCTGGTTCTCATCGTCTCGGAGGGTACCGTTAAGTGCGGCAAGCTCACGAAGCTGGTTGCGCTTGAGCTCGTTCTGGCCTTCAGGGATGGAAGCGGCCTGATATGGAAAGTCAGCGAGGTCAAAATATTTCAAGAGAGGGATGTAGCTTACAGTTTCAATGACGTTGTGGATGAGCTTCTTTGCCTTGTTGACCTTCTCTTCAGTGTCGGCCATGATGAGACAGTGCAAATCCTCTTCTTGGTTGCTAGTGTGAGCAGCGTCAGATCGTCCTTTGCCCTCCTTGACAGAGCCTTTTCCACGGATGGCGATTTTGGCGCCGGATTCTGTCTCCATCTTCTTCAGGGTGTTTCCACGGGGACCAATGAGGAGGCCAACTGTTAGTAGGAAGAACCTGCAGTTAGTGAAAGTGATCAAAATGTAAGGGCAAATGGAGCGGTAAGGTATTTCAGGGTTAGTGACATAGCTGTACTGCAGACCTGCGACAATGAAATGTGACATCCAGAGGCCTGGTCTGAGCATGCCTGGTCAAAGGTAGAGGCAACAACGTGGGAAGGATTGATAAGCAAAAAACAAGGGGTTAGAGGGGTTAGTATCATACTGAAGTTAATCTCCGGGTAGTCATTGACTGGCACATAGACCTTCTCCTGTGTCTTAGTAGGCCTCCTGTAGTCGGCAGGCGGGTGATAGTTGGGCAAGGTCTTCATGGCCTTCTCTACAAGCTTATGGCGTTCGTCTTCGAGACGCTTGCGGTAACGGAACTCGCGCGTGTTGACACGGCGTCCGAAGTTGTCATATTGGGGCGGTGGGGAGGGGGATCTAGAGGTAAATGTTAGTAGTGGACTTGAGAAGAAGATTCGAGGGAGAGTGCGTACCTTTCGCCATCAGCGGGAACCACGTCATTGATCTTCAACTTCTGGGTGATCTCTTCGATACGCAGATGCAAGGTGTACGCGTCAAGTTGTTCGATGGTCATATTGGAATAGATGGCCGTGGGCAGTCCCATGAGACCAGCAGCCTTGTTCTCACTCGCATCGCCCCAGCGGTTGCGCTTCTTGCGCGGCGGCTTCGGTCCACCATTCGACTCAGCTGTAGAAGTTCTTTGTTAGACAGTTGCCAACCATAGAGGGTAGACGGAGTGAAAGACTTACCTCGAGTCGGGCTACGACCGCGCTTCAAGTCAGACAAGCCGTTTGACGGAGCGGCAGGATTGTATCCATCAGCCTCATCGTCTCCGCCGAAGCGACGACGATTGCCGAGAGGGATATTGTTGGAACCGGTGATGCCTTGATTGCGCCAGGCCATGTTTACGGCGACGAAACTGATTGACTACTCTGGTCAGCAAATGATCTTGTTTGGTGACAAGATGCGACGGTGGTGGTGACAAGTTGCGAAGGAGAGGAGGAGGTGGCGGACTTTACCTTTACCTGTCAGGAAAAGCTGTCGCGCGCAATTCCTTGGCGCGCTAAACTTAAAACGAACAGCGCGCCTGCACTCCGCAATTCTAGTGACACTCGACTTTACTCTGTACTGTCAGTGTGTAGTCCGTTAGAATGAACCAAAAGATCGATGATTCTAATTCATAATTTTCATCATTATTCGACTTACAAGCCCGCTACACGAGCTGTTAAGTAGAATCATGCTCAAACCCCTTACATGATCAACCAATCCAGCGTTCAAATTTCAAGTCGGTCTTCCCCAGTCTCGAGTAGTCCATACAGCTGCCACAGCATAAGAACATCCTCTCGTATAGCTACCAACTCCTAAGATGCTTACCAATTCACGATCTGAAAAACATCGTCCGATATACCAACACATCCAAGCAAAAAAGAATAGTATTAGAATGCACATATACCATTTTCCAAACCCGAATCCCAACAGTGCAATAAACAAGAGAATTCCCCGTTCCGTACCTATTTCTAAGCAAACTTCCCTCTTCGTCATCGAGCTAGCTGCCTTGCCCCTCACCAAACCCCGAGCGACGCAGCTAAGCTATAGCTATAAAAGCTTCGGTGGGGGAGGTGACAAAAACCAGTTCGATATAAACCAATTCCACTTCCAATCCCTCTTCTCCAAAATCTATAAAACCAAGAACAAATTGTTGAAATCTATCCCACACAGTACAATACAACCAAACCATGGCCTCCCCAACCCCCGACATCACCCTCTACACCACCCAAACACCCAACGGCATCAAAATCTCCATAACCCTCGAAGAACTCGGGTACCCCCCCCTCCCCTTCCCTCCCTCTCTTCCCCCCTACAGCCACCCCCAATAACAACACAACCCCCCAACTAACACACAGCCCCTCACAGCCTCCCCTACAAAGTCCACAAAATCGAATTCTCCAAGAACACGCAAAAGGAGCCATGGTTCCTCGCCATCAACCCTAACGGCCGCATCCCCGCCCTGACCGACACCTTCTCGGACGGCAAGACCATCAACGTCTTCGAGTCGGGATCCATCATGCAGTACCTCGTCTCCCGGTACGACACCGAGTACAAGATCAGCTACCCGCCGGGCACCAGGGAGTACGTTGAGATGACGAATTGGCTATTTTTCCAGAACGCTGGTATGTAGTTGCATCGGACTCGGGGGAGGAGGTCATGTGATCGAGGATGTATGAACGAATGCTGATGAATTTGATTGATTGAATAGGTGTGGGACCGATGCAGGGACAAGCTAGTACGTACATACACAAAAACCCCCAGAAAGCATCAATCAGTGACGACCGACTAACGACTCCCTCCAGACCACTTCACGCGCTACGCCCCCGAGGAAATCCCCTACGCGAAGACGCGGTACACCAACGAGACACGCCGCCTCTACTCGGTGCTCGACACGCACCTCAGCACGACCGGATCCCCCTACCTCGTGGGTGACAAGGCGACCATCGCCGACATCGCGCACTGGGGGTGGATCGCCGCGGCTGGCTGGGCGGGCGTCGACATCGAGGAGTTTCCGGCCGTCAAGGCATGGGAGGAGAGGATGGCGGCGAGGGAGGGCGTGGAGAAGGGGAGGCATGTGCCTGATCCGCATACGATCAAGGAGTTGATGAAGGACAAGAAGAAGTTGGAGGAGAAGGCGGAGGAGAGCAGGAGGTGGGTTCAGCAGGGGATGAAGGATGATGCTAAGAAGCTTGAGAAGTGAGTTGATGTCCAGTCCTGACACCACTGAGGGCCCTCCTGGGGAAGAGCCTCGTCATTATTCTGTCTGTCTTGAAGAGGGGGTGAAGGGGAGGATCTGTAGATCGAATTGGCGTGATTGCTGTTGATCCATCTCATTTGTCTATGTTTGCCATTCTGAACATCATGCAGATTGTAGGGAATCGTTATCTAGACCTGATCTCCCAGTCATGAACAAATTCAAACCTCTCGTTCATGGCTTTCTTGAGACCGGAGAGCAACGTCCCCTTACCTAATAGGTAAAAGGAAAAGAAAAGGAAAGAAACCCCACCACCCAATTCAATTTGTCTAGCTCTGCTCTGTCACTACGAACTATGTAGTCCGCCCCACAGAGGTACATACAGAGAGACAGCAGAAATGGTGGAGAAATGTGGAGCCCACGGGTAAGTACATACGCGCAAGGGCTGTAGTTAGTGATCCCCCCCAGATCAACCAAAACCCCAGATCTACCACCGTTAGCTCCCGGGTTAGCAAACGGTCTTTTCTGCTCACTAGTTAGAATTCCCGGGTTACGACAGAAAACAACCAAGCGTTCCCGGTGACAAGCACGAAGACAAGACCGTATTCCAAGTGCCAAGTTCCCGCTGGATGTTGAGATTCGGGCAACGATTACCAGATTTTCGTTGCGTTCTCTCTGGACTTCTCCATACTGACCAGCAGGCCAGCGTACGATGCCTGTAGGTCGTTGACTATGGAAGTGCCTCGCCCCCAGGAATGCATGTACCTGCAAGCTTCTCGACCACTCGTCACTGCCCTTCAACTTCTCTACACCGAGACTTGCAGCCTTAATGCCCCGTGTTATCGCTCTAATTCGTAATCGCCTCATGCAAGGTCCTCCATTTCCGGTCGGAGATGTGCAATCACTCAATCAACGCGCAAAAAAAACCTCGAGAAATACGAACGTCAGAATTGCGAACTGCCCAGCTAACCCGTAACCAGGCTTCCGTCCAGACACATATACCTACTTACCTTTTGAGAAAGAGAAAAAGAGAATGGCGTGTAAAGCCCCACGGGGAATTACCCCAAGCCATGCATCGCGTAGCTCACGCTTATAGCCGGGAAACGGCGAGCCGTTCACGCTCCTTCTCGCTATCGTCTTCCCTTGCGAGGCTCAATGCAGTTCAAAAAGCCTCCAACGGCGCTACTAGCTCGATGTAGTTGGGAAATGCATCGAGTCGCTCCTTTCGTCGTCTTCGAAACGATTGGATTAAGCACTTGATTACCTGCATGCCAATACGCACATCTGTCCGTTTTCCTTTCGCGCCGCACTTCTCGAAAAGGCATGACCGCTATAACTTAACGTCCCGTACTATAGGTGTCCAAGTCGCACGATAGTGGCACTTTGAACTCTATTTCAACCAAGGCGGCGCTGTCCGGTGTCAGGTCCGCCGCGGAATGGAATGGGCGAAAACCAGGAAATTGGCCTTCTCACACCCAGGAGGCGCTTTCAGCAAGCTATACCAGACTCGCAAACTGGTGCGGCCTAGGTGACTTCGAATGCTATAAAGGAGTGGAGTGATATACGTAGGAGACGAATATATGTCTCTCGCTAAGCCTGTGTCGCCTCACAAGGTGGTCCTAACTCAACCCAGAGTAACGACAACTCAGCTATAGTAGCGTTGTAATATGAGACCATCTATGCAAAGGCTGTGGGCTCGGGGTCAGGATATCTCAATTAAACAGAATGTACGCCTATCTGATGCATCATAATCCTCACCGTCCGCCAAGTGGTGCACGTACGGGTCATTCGGCACCCCATGGCAGCATAGAAAGAACGACTTTCTATGCCCTCAAGAGAAAGAATCGATTGCTACATTCCAGAAGGCCTTGGTGCGCCACCGCATGCGATTGCCAAAATTAAAAGGAAAAAAAGAAAAAGAAAGTATGGACCGGAAAAGATGCACCCTAGTCATTGCGGGGGATGCGAGCGAGTGATCAGCACAAGGGTATCGGGCTTCGAATTCAGGCAAAAAGACACTGAGAGATTGTGGGTGCAGTGAGATCTCTACCTGGTGTCGCTATGAATCTGCGATTGAGGCCTACAAATCCCAGGTATCCTCTAGGAATAGTATGCGATTTTCCCTGTTGTGGTCACACAGAGGTTTCGAGCCATGTGGATTGGAAGTCAGAACTACCATAATTGAGCCAATGCAAGCCTAACATGGCCCTGCATGGCAGGAGCAGCCGTTGTGTTTCCCTAATGCATGTGAATGTGGAGACTTCTGCCGGTATACGTGCGCGTGTTCTCGTCGCTCTGCTGCCCAGCAGTATGGCGGGTTTGGGGATAATTTGACGTCTCTCTGACCGATTTTGGATTCGTGCCTGAGAGGTCTTCAATCTACGGGCCGTGAAGGCATATGAAGAGGAAACACAAATATGCAACTTACCGTCGTCATCTTCACCATTATCATCATCACCGGACTTCGAGAGGCGTAGTTTCTGGTACTTGCATATGTATCAAGAAGATCGCCATGGCCAACACATTTGCTTCTCTGCATTTGGGATTTGTCGATTGCGGTCGCCATGGAACATCGGCCTTTTGCTTGAGGCGGGAGGAAAGCTGTTCGAAAGCTAGAGCTCACGGATCCTTTCCGAGACAGGGGCACGATCGTGACCATATACCAGGTGTGTATATTCGGAACGACTTATAGGCAAGCCATTATGGATTAGGAGAAGAGCGTACCCAAGAAACGCAATATCTGGACAATACCATCCAATCTGCACCTTGGTGTAACTGTCGAGTGGCATATCATGCCTAAACGACTAGGAACTACTGCAGGAAGAACAATTTTGATGCTACTAAGCGTTCTGAGAAGAGTGCGTGCGTAGTACTCCGTAATGGCATAACAAGTTATTAGATACAAGTGCTGACCTATTGAGCGGCCGTTATGCTCCATGAGAAGTCGCTGGCATGTAGGTACATAGAACGGCCAGTGTGATGATGCCGTGATCAACGGCCTGAAACTAAAGTCGGGTCTGCACATGGACCACAGCTAGGCTCTGGGGAACCTGGTCTTTGTTGTATTCGATATGCAGGCGTCGAATAGCTTCGCAGGCGAGTTATTCACCGTGGTTTCAGTAGATGCATTCAAAAGCAAAAGAGACGTATTGTTTGGTCACTCGTTTCATCATCTGCATTGTGCTTCACTTCGTATGCCTTTTTGAGCCCCCTGCAATTCGGTTGATCGTCACCCGTATGCTACTTTGGCAAGGCGTTAACGGGGCCAGATGGCACAGCTCCAATAATCAATGAAAATTGCATTAGCCAAGCAATTGCCTTACTGCTCAGTGCTGAGCAGACGTCCTGAGTGTTCCGGAGGAAAGGAGATAGGTCTATAGAAGAGGACCGCTATGCACTCACAGGCCTGCTGGCTTGCCACAAACTGGATATCCTTTTAAGGGGTTTTCGGAGGCACCTCCTAAGTTGATTGCTTGCACCGACCGACAGCTCTCTAATTGGGAATTAGAGAGACGGTCAGGCGATGCAAGCCATAAACATGGAATATTGTGAGGATTGTAATGTGTATATGAGGCGGCGAGCGTTGAGGTGAGGTAGGGTGTACGGCGGTGGTGGTGAACACTATGCTGAAAAGGTCAAGGTGATGGAGGTGTGCTAGCCCTTTTTGCGGGGGAGACCGTCGTGGACTGTTACTCAATTTAACCGGTCGCCCCTGTGGTAGCCTCTGCGTGCCTCTTGTAGCCTCTGCGGGCCATTCACAGTCTTCCGGTTAATCGGCTAAAGTGGTTATATTCCCCGCAAGAGAGAGTTGGCCGTCTCCCTCCCAGCGACCAGGTGCTGCAAGTACCGCTGTAACTACCCCCCCGTTCCGACCCCCCAGATCGTCAAGCCAATCCTCCATGGCTGAATTAAATGATGGCGCATTTTGATATTGCTCTCACTGATGATCTCGCTTCTCGAAGTTCCTCGTGGACGCATGGAAGCTTCAAGCCACAGATTCCTGACCCTGGTAACGGCCTATTTGACCAGGGAATGATTCTCTCGGACGTTGTTCCTCGGCAGGTCTAAGTGCGGTGTGAGGCCCACATCATCTGTGCTTAACCCCAAGTATCTCATGACTGTCCCAGACTTTTCCCCAGACGGCTTCATCTCTTACTTCCAATCGTGACAATTCTACCGTTTTGACGTTTCCACCATGGACTCTTCCGCGGTTGATATGAATAGACCCGAACGAAAAGCTTCTGCCCCCGTGAAAAGGAGGGTCAGCAGAGCCTGCGATCATTGCCACCGCATGAGGACGAGATGCAACGGCCAGGCGCCCTGCTCGCGATGTATCGGTATGTGACTATGTTGTCTTCATGCTACGACGGCCGTCGTACTAATATCGTGAAAGAACTCGAATATGTGTGCCAGTACAACAGAGAGAAGAAAAGGAGGGGCAAGGTTTGTTACTCCGCACGACCCTAAATCCCACAATTCTTCGGTACTCACAGTTCTGCAGGTCCCCCGCCATATTCAGAAGCAAAGAGAAGAGGCTGCACAGATCGGCCAGGGCTCTCTTCAAGATGAAAATGGCCTATCCATCCAAACTGGTGGTCATTACGATAGGGGTGAGTTGATGACTGAAATGGATGAAGAAATTTGGTCGCCCACGGAATCTACGCCGATTGCGCAACATTTTCCCAGCGGCAAAGTCGAGGCACACAACGTATCGTCCCCAGAGTGGCAGAACCTTGCTGCAGGTCAGTTTGACTCCATCAATCGTTAAAAAAATTTGTCCGCTCATTAAGTGATCAAAGGTACCACTTTTAATCCTCCAGTCAATAATAATATGATGATCGATCCGCTCCTCTTGGGTGGCGAGATGCACGGAATGCCACAACAGCAACACATGCACGTTGGCATCCCGCGCAACGAAGAACTAATGTTCGCCATGCATGAGATGCATTTGGTTCCAGAAAACGGTACTCCAGTTACTACGATGCCTCCGGATTTTGGAAACATGGGTTATCCTATGCACTTCGCCAATGTTCGACAGACATCTCCCCACAGTTACGGATCAGGCGATACAGGCTCACCACAATCCGGAGTGAGCGTCAATTCTTCGCACCATGGTGGCAGCGGCAGCGGCAGCGCAACGTGTAGATATCCGGTCTTAAAACCTTTATTGCCTCACCTTGGCAATGTTCTGTCTGTGCCAATGGCGTGTGAGCTCCTGGAGTATTACTTCCAGAGCTCCTCCTCAGTATTTATGGAACCAGTCTCGCCGTACATCTTAGCCTCGGTTTTTCGAAAACGCTCGTTCTTGCGACAACACAAACCGAGGAAATGCAGTCCAGCTTTGCTGGCCAGTATGCTCTGGATCGCCGCACAAACGGCCGAAGCTAGTTATCTGACCGCGTCGCCATCCGCACGGGGTATCATTTGCCAAAAGCTATGGAAACTCACGGTCGAGCTGTTGAAACCTCTTGTGCATACACCATCTGGGACCTCCGGATTTACTCAGGGATCGGGTGGCATGGTCAGTCCTGCCCCACACGACGCATTCGGCGTGGACAGGGTAATGGGACGATATGAAGGGCGATCAGATGTCGGGATGCCACCCACTAGCAGTCTCGATGATGTTGCGACATATTTTAATCTCGGTTTGGTGACCTCTGCAAGCGAATACAAGGCGGCGTCGCTTCGTTGGTTCCACGCTGGATGGAGCCTGGCAAGAGAGATGAAATTAGGTCGAGAGATATCCTCTGATCCCAGAGATCGCGATCCAAAGGCACAAGACGGCACGGAGCAAGACATTGGCATGACGGATGGATCCAATCCGACATCACAAGTCCCGGTAGGAACACCGGCGGCCGCGATCATCGAGGAGATGAAGGAGGAGCGTCGAAGGCTGTGGTGGCTTCTGTATATGATCGACAGACATTTGGGACTTTGCTATAACCGACCTCTAGCAATGCTAGACAACGAATGCGAAGAGCTGTACCAACCTGTTCCGGACACAATATGGCAAGCCGGCGAATTTTTCACAGGAACGTCCACACCGCGAAGGAAGGGACTCAGCTTACAATGTACTTCCCACGATGTATTCGGCTTTTTCCTGCCCCTCATGACAATCCTTGGCGATATCGTCGACCTCAACGCACAGAAGAACCATCCCCGATTTGGTCAGCGGCGGACATCAAGTTGGGATCTACAGGAATCCGAGATCACACTCCAACTCGAAAGATACGCATACAGTCTTGAGGAGTTCAAGCTTCAATATGGTTGTGGATCTCCAAATGACGATGCCGGTAATAGTATGAGTGGAGCGTCCGATCAAGTTCGAGGTGAATGGATACATCAGACGAGAAAGGTAGCGGCGTATGCGACACATATCATGCATGTCCTCCATATATTGACACATGGTAAATGGGATCCGGTATCACTCCTGGACGACAACAATCCATGGATATGTTCGCAGTCTTTCTTGAAGGCGACATCAAATGCGATTTCCGCTGCTCATGCCGTGGAAGAGATCCTCGAGCTAGATCCGGATCTTTCTTTCATGCCGTACTTGTTCGGAATGGTAAGTTCTCCTCCGATGTGTGCCGGGTGTTTCTGGGGTCCAGAAACACGCCTCTCGTCATCGTAGTAAGTTGCTGACTTGTGCTTTTGCAGTATCTTCTTCAAGGAAGCTTGATCCTTCTCTTACTGGCGGACAAATTGTCGACGGATACCAACGAGCGAGTCATAAAGGCTTGTGAAACCATTGTCCGAGCTCACGAGGCGGCTGTGGTGACATTGAACACCGAGTACCAGGTAGGTCTTGGCCAGGTCGCTATGGAAATGCAGTCAGAACTAACATTTCATTAGCGAAATTTCCGCAAGATAATGATTTCCACGCTCTCACAGATCAAAGGCCACGCTCACTCTCGGGAGATGACTCCTGCAAAGCGGCGAGAGGTGCTCTCTTTGTATCGTTGGACGAGCTTGGGCAACGGTATTGCAATTTGAAAAGATCTGACGAAGGGATGATGGATGTATGAATGTATTATAGCAAGCCTTACATTGATTTTTTTGGGATTTTGGCGAAGCGATGGAGCGTGGGCTGGACTTTCGGGTTGCATGGCATGTCGGGGGAAAGGGAATATCTGCATAGTTTAATACCACGAACACATTATCACACCGGCAAATACTTGCATTATGCCCAGGTATGGGTCCCACCATGCTTAAGTGCTCACATACACCTGCTAGAAATGTCCAAACACATCAGAGCATTCTGTGTTGATAGATTTCCGGTTATGGGAGGCGGCAGAAGTGAAGGTTTTCGGCGGTAAAAGCCTCGGTAGCACGAGAGAAGTGCTGTCTGACAGAGACTGAATGAAGAGATAAGAAGGTAAGATATGAAAGAAAGGGAGGAAATCCAAGTTTCAAAGTGTGGGATGTCACTGCCTTGATAATACCACCGGGCATTAAACGCACGTGATTACCAGATTGGGAATGAACACCACCGGCTATGCAACGGAAAATGCGCGTGGGCAGTTTCAGCGAAGAGAACAATAAATACGAGTGATGTACGAAGCACTGCCGTGATCACCTCGACTTCAGAGTAGGGTGGAGAACGGTATAACTTGCGGTAAACATTGGGGGGAAGTTATACTGATATTGGGGAATCGGCCAAGCATTGCTCGGTTCACGTCCTCCTCCCTAGTCCTCATACAAGGGTCTGAGAGACGAAGGAGGCTTCTAGCGTATCCGACCAGGAATTACATCCGATGATAACTTACCTAGAAGGCCTCCAGCGCGGCATGTGTGGGGCCCCATGCCTCGTATTATATGGTCACGATGCACGGCCGATTGTTGTTGGTGTTGAAGGAAAGAGGGACATGTCTATTATTCATTTCGAATACTCGTTATTTACAATGAAACCCTCACGGGTACGAATGCTATCTGGCAGAACTGGACGCAGCGTCGGCAATGAGTGCCTGACCTGAGGAGGTCGGTCGTGCAGCTATACCTACCTAGGTACCTAATGGAAAAACAAAGAGAAACGCAAATCAAAATCATGATACCATTATAGACTTTTCTCGACATCCATGAGTTCCCGAATGCCCTCTGCAACCGCAGTGACCTTCTCCTGCGGTAGCCTCTTCAGCGGCCGGCGGGGGTATCCACCATAACCGAAGTAGGACTGAATGGCAGATTTGGTACCTGGAATGGCAGCCTTGGTAAGGACCCAGTCGCCCTTGCTCAAGACCTTCTGGAGCGCAAGAGATTCATCATACTTGCCCTCTGCCCACAGGTTCCAGACCTTGACGCAAACCTTAGGAGCGACGTTGGCACCGCCAGCAATAATGCCGGACCCGCCGCTGGCTGCGGTCTGAGCCGTGAAATCAGCCATGCCACCGAAAGCCATGTATCCACTTCCCGTGCTCGTGGTAGTGACGGCGTTTGTCGCCAGTGCCACTCTTGTGAGCTTTCCAGTGTTTCCACAGGTGAACTTGGTTCCGACGATGTTGGGGTGCTTGGCGAGCTTGATGATGAGGTCGCTGTCCATGTCAATGCCAGCAACGGCACCTGGGTAGTTGTACAAGATCACGGGTAGAGGCGAGCCGTCCGCGACCTTGGTGAAGTATTCCACAATGGCCTCCTCATCAATGGCATAGCGGTAGTAGCTGGGGGGCACCAAGAGGACGTATTCTCCTCCAGCAGCGGCGGACTCCTTGCAAAGCTCAATTGTGAGTTTGATGCCATGCTCGGAAGCTCCCACGATCACTGGTACGTTCTTGTATCCGGCCTCGTCCAACGCCTCGCGTGTTGCTCGTGTGACGGCAGTTTTCTCACTGCGGGAAAGATGGACGGCTTCACCATTGGAACCCATGGTCACGAGACCAACGAGACCGGCCTCGGCGAGGCGTACAGCATGCTTCTTGATTGAGGCAATGTCCAACTCTTCTGTGTCAGGGTCGAAAAAGGTCATGGTCGGCGAGTAGATGCCCGGTCGAAGAGGTGTGCGCTCGGCGGAGCCGTTGGCGCCATTCGAATGTCCGTTTGTAGCAGTCATGCTGGAAAATGGGTTGTTTAACGAAGGTTTTTCAGTGAGCAGAGACAATACAAGAGATGAGGGGAATCGTGAGAGACACCTGAGGAGAGGAAAAGGGAGTTGCAACAGCGAGAGAGAAACCGGCAAGTTTGGGAGCTCGGTGGGTGTTTTAATATAGGGCGAGACGGATGGCAATTGACGCAAAGTAGGTAGGGCAGTGAACTAGTCCGCAGCCCAAAAGAACATCCCACCACCTCCAGACTCCAGAAAGTGTTTTCCGTACGGTACAAGTGCAGGCATATTCGGAATTGTCAAGATGACGAGTGGAGAGAGCTATCATTCGCCAAAGAAGAGCATAGTTTGACAAAAAAGAAAGCTAGAGGAGAGGGACACAGGGTCAGAAGTCCGGCTTGCGGGCGAGGTCGAGGGCCGAATGGCTGTTAGCTAGCGAGTTCGGCGGATAACTGCGCGAAAGGCGGGACCTGTTGCGGCCTTTTTGACATGTCTCATCTGTCTGGCTCTTGGGGAAACTCTTGGGGTGGAGAGTGGGATTGACTAAAAACATCGCGCATCGTGCATCGAGCATCTCATGGGATGACAAGCCATGCATGTATGTGTATGTGTATGTGTATGTGTATGTGTGTGGTGGGATGGTGGAATGTCGGACATGTAGCGACAGACAGGCAGGCATAGACAGGCATAGCTACCCCCGGAACGTTTGAACCTCTGGGTGTGGAGTTGGACGGGATAAATATTTCCCGCCAATCAGCGACATCTAAAGGTAAGTAGGTAGTTACGAGTACCAATGAACGTAGCGTGGGGTGACTGGGGTTGAGTTAAGCAGGCGTGGCAGGTTGTCTGGTCTTGGCCCTGGGGAAGACAAGAACAGTCGTAAATGATGGTTTCGGCCGGTAAAATTGTGAGCGAGCAAACTTCATACCCCTCCGCTCCCTCCCACCCCTCCACATGATCGAACGGCGTTCATGGCAACTAAATTTACTGCTAGTGAATCCCTACAATAATTGGTATCAATTGGTGTGGAGGGTCTAGAGTTTTTCCAGGCACATGAGGCGCATGCAACCGCAATGAAGTTTTCCCGTCTACTACCGCCCCTGTACTACTGGGCAAATGGTTGTTGTAGTGTCGTATACATGATCATGTACCGTACATATTTGTTATTGTTGTAGAATATTGATGACATTTGACTGATCCCTTTCTTCCGATTCCTCTCTCAAAAGATTCCATTTTCTCCTCATCGTTATCCTCATCCTCATCTTCATCTTCTCCTCCCCCTCTTCTTTCCCCTCGTGCCCCTCTCTCCCACTTTCAGACGCCGACGAGTTTTGCCGATCTTCATCCGCTATCGATAACAACATTTCAAACACCGACAGCCGACGAATAGCTATAGACACCATCAACAAGACAAGCTCAGCTCCCACACGCTCTCACATCATTGCCTTTTCGCACTCTTTCAATCTCCTGATTGAGTGTTCTAAGCTGCAGCTTTACGATATAGATCTACGTGAAAAAAAAAGGAACCTGAATCATAGCAGCCATGGCTCCCGTTTCGGTATTGATGGTATGTGCAGCTCTCTGCCCCGCTCCAATGACCTTTCCATAGCTTCTGGGGTCGTCATGATCCTGCATTGCTTTTTCCACGTCACACACTGTACGCCTTGTGCTTCTTGGACTTCATGTATGATAGGCTCTGTCATGTTCTCCGCTCTTTAATCCCTTGCATATGGGAATCTGCAGCTCTCACACCGCATCCGTTCTTGGGATGACAAACCGCGAGACTGAATTCCACCGTTGACATGCAATTGCTAGGTCGGTACGGGCGAGTACACCACAGGATTCGTTGGAGGAGGTGCCTCAACATCTGACAAGAAGGTTGGTGTTGTTGGATTGACACTCTTCGATTTAAGGAGACGAGGCAAGGTTGGCAACTTGTCAATGGTGGGCGTGTCCGGCAACAAATTCCCCGCTATCCGTGAGCATTAACCCGAGCACATATTGTTATGTCACAGCAGTTAGCTAATCTTGCTTGTGTAGGCGAGCATCTCCAGAAGAACATTTCCGAAGCATATAACGGCCTCGACGTTTCTTTTGAGGAATTCCCAAAGGAGGGAAAGCGAGACCCCGAGTCATACAAGGAGGCTATTGATGCGCTTCCCAAGGGCAGTGCCAGTGAGTGCTTGCATAAAGGACTTTTTAACCCCCACATGATGCTGACGACATGCCAAAGTTACAATCTTTACGCCCGATACCACCCACTATCCCATTGCGCTCTATGCCATCGAACGGGGAATCCATGTGCTGATCACCAAGCCCGCGGTCAAGCTCCTCGAACACCACCAGAAGCTTCTCGAGGTCGCGAAGAAGAACAATGTCTTCGTCTACATCGAGCACCACAAGCGTTACGATCCCGCATACGCCGATGCCCGATTCCGCGCTACAAAACTCGGAGATTTCAATTACTTCTACTCCTACATGAGCCAGCCTAAGTCCCAATTGGAGACATTCAAGGCGTGGGCAGGAATTGACAGCGATATCTCGTACTATCTCAACTCCCATCACATTGACGTCAACGAGTCTATGGTCCCTGGCTATCAACCCGTGCGCGTAACCGCAAGCGGCGCCAGAGGAATTGCCACAGATCTCGGATGCGACCCTTCTACTGAAGATACCATTACTCTTTTGGTCGACTGGGTGAAGAAGGATGAGCCTGGAAAGCGAGCTACTGGTGTCTACACAGCCGGTTGGGCCGCACCACAGAAGGCTGGTGTGCACTCGAACCAGTACTTCCACTACATGGCCAGCAAGGGCGAGATCCGTGTGAACCAAGCGAAGCGTGGATACGATGTCACTGACGACGAGGGCGGTCTCCTCTGGTACAACCCGTAAGTCTTGAACTGAACTGAGAAATGACCTGGCGAGTACTAACAATTGTGTCAGATTCTACATGAAGTATGCGCCAGACGAGGAAGGCAACTTTGCCGGCCAAATCGGTTATGGCTACATTTCCTTCGAGAAGTTCATCGACGCGGTCAACAACTTGAATGAAGGCAAAGTCACACTTGAGCAGTTGGACGCTCGCCCCCTGCCAACACTCAAGAACACCATCGCAACCACCGCCATCCTTGAGGCTGGCCGAAGATCTCTCGATGAGAACCGGCCGATCGAGATCCAGCAAGAGAACGGCACTTGGTCATTGAAGTAAAAAGCACCTCGATTCTATTTATGTATATTTCACGATCAAATACCATCAACATATCGATACGTCCATTTAGACGAAATCTGATGTTATATTTTCCCAATCTACGATCACATTGACAAAGCCGCAACAAGCTCGCTTGACAGATTTGTTGTTTGATTCGTTTTGTTCTAACAATAAGACAATCGATCTTTGTTTTGGCATTTGACGTTTTGGCATTTGACTCTTTGTCAAACGATACCCTTGCGATATCAAAAGTAGAAATGGCCCTTGAACACAGTCTCCTCTTCCTCCGTCAATAATTATATCATATCTCGATGATGCTCAACAGGCATCCTTTACTTCTACGTACAGTACAGGACTCCCCAATACCAATCTACGAATCACTTACAATATGGAGCCCCTTCAAAAGCTCGTCGCCTACAAACTTGACAAAATCCAGCGCCAGTCTATGACCGATCATGACATTGCAAGACCCAAACTTGCTCAAGTGCCTTCAAACTCCCATCCCATATATGACCTCCGAACGGATTCAGTTCACGAAATCGAAGATCCCATCGACACCCTAGAAGGCAATGAACCTCGCCACACAGCCAACGGATTCCTCCTCGCAAGCAGTGTCCCCGCCACCGGCACCAAAGCACCCCAGACCCCAGGACGACGATACACCATCGACTACTTCCTCAAACCCTCCCCCAACACCTGCGAAGCAATCAACCACTACCCAACCCCAACCGCACCTCCCATCATCCCACCCATCACCTCCGCCTGCCTCCAACCCATCACCCCCTCCCCCAACCCCCCTCCCACCCTCATCCTCGAAACCGCCAACTCCTCCATCACCCCCTCCGACTACACCACCATGACCTCCACAGGCTATGCCGGCTGGCTAACCCAAGACGCGCTCTCCCTCTCCCTAGACCTCCTCTCGCAATTCCTCTCCTGCCCCACCCACTCCATCCTCCTCGCAAACGCAGAGTACGCCCGACACTGCCACACCATCGGCCAACCCTCGCACCCCGCCTCGGACATAAAAGGCTACGAACACGTGCTCGCCGCTCTCACCCCCGCAACCCACATCTTTCTCCCCATCAGCGACGGCTTCTTCGCCACCACCTCCGACAGCGCAGACCCAGTCGGAACACACTGGACGCTCCTGTACATCACCCGCAGCACAGAAGGCACCCACACGACGCTCAAAGCCCTGTCCTTCGACTCCCTGACCGGCCCGAACCCGAGCACGGACAATCAGAACCACGAAGCGTCCCTCGCCGTCGTCGCGGGCGTCAAGAAATTGCTGTCCTACTCCCCCCCAACGCAGACGAGGAGGAGGCGGAGGGGGGAGCCGAGGCCGCCGAGGCCGAAGGTGACGACGTCGTTGAAGCAGGTGCCCTCGCCGAGCCAGTCCCGACACAACGCGGCGGCGAGGAAGGACGGCAGGTCGGCGTGTGGGCCGTTTGTGTGGGGTATGACTGCGTTTTTGGCCCGGGCGATCGTCGAGCATGCTGAGGGGGAGAAGGGGGGAGAGGTGTTGGATGTGGAGGCGTTTTTGGATGGGGAGTTCCCGGGGAGGTGGGGCGCGTTTTGGGATTCGATCGAGACGAGGGGGAGGATTAGGGGGATGGTGCTGAGGGAGATGAGGGAGAGGGTTGAGCGGTGTGGGAGTTGGGAGTGGGGGGAGTATTCGAGGTTTCTTGAGGGGGAAGGGGTGAGGGTTGGTGGGTAGATGGATGGAGTGTTGGTGGGTAGTTAGGGAGGTCGCGGATTTTGTTTATATTGGGATGCTGGTGTTGATATTGATGTTGAGGGTTTGGCATGTGGATTTGATATATGGATATATGGAGATCGTCCAGCTGTGCATATGGTAATGATAATTAGTTCAATTCATATCAGAAAGGGGAGATGTTTGTCTACCATCCCTTGACAAAAAGATCAGTGACAAAGAAGAATGAGATGAGAACAAAAGATGAGTGGAGTAGAACAATGCACAAGAACATACACACACACATAGTGGGAGGGTAATTGATTTGCTTTGGAGGTAGTTTCGTTCATTCTATCTCGCTCGCTATCGTAAGGGCGAGTGGAATTAGAATTTTTCCCAAATCGTCTTGCGTATATTCCAAGTAAGTCCACATCAACGTACGTCAATACAAATCTATCGATCGAACAAATCCACCTCCTCATCAGTCCCTCACTTTCTTCGTTGAGATTAGCAAAAAGAACACATATACGACACATGCACATAACGCTTCCCCGGTTTCCCCCTTTGTTCGTCTCCTTCTCCTCGTACTTTGTACACACAAAACAGTTCTAGCCAGGTAAACAGTGATGACGATGGCACGACAAGCAAGTCCCGCTCTACGCCTTCTTGACAGCTTCGTCTAGGCTGTTCAGCATGCCTTGCACCTCCTTGACCAGCGCCTTCCTCTTAGCACGAGCGTCGGGGTCACCTTCCGTCTCCACGCCATCGAGCTTCAGCAGCACCTGCGCGAGGACGGTCTCAGACAGCTTCTTGTGCTCGAACTCCCTCTTCGCCTTCTCCTCAGGCGGGTTATTCAAAAACGTGACGCACAAGGGCACGAGCTCAGTATGGAACTTGGAAGCGATGGCGTCGAGCTTGCCGATCGGGGTCTGCGGCGTTGGAGGTGCGCGGCTGGGGGGAGGCGCGGAGCCGGATCGAGGGGCCCCTCCGATGTGCGAGGGGATGGGCAGGAATTCGGCGTTGGCGGAGCTGGCGTTGGAGTATCCCAGGCCTGGAGTCGATGTTCCCGTCGAGGCGCCGCCTTTCTTCTTGTTCTTCTTGCCGCCACGCTTTCGGGGCTTCTTCTTGCCGGATTGCGGACCGCCTCCTGCGCCCGAGTCGTTGGCGTCTTCTGTGTCGTCTTCGTCTTCGTCGTCGCTCCAGGAGCGGTGCGCAGTGCCTGGCATGCCAGTGTCCTCGGAGCCTGGGGCCATGGTCCCCGTGCCTGCTTCGCCGATAACGCAGAGGATCTCGCTGCCGGCGCCGTCGCCGCGGAGGCCCTCTTCCCTCGCCGTCCGTTCGTCGTGCTTGAGGTTCTTGCCCTTGAAGAACATGCGTATCCTGCTCGGGTCGCTGACTCCGATCTTCTTCGCCGCGGCCTCGCGCACGTCGCCGATCCTCAGGCTGCCGTCCCGGATGCTCTGCACAGCGAAATGTGTAGGATAGTTGGTGCGGCCGTTCTTGAAGATGAGCACGTCGGTCTTGCGGTCTGGGTCCTTATCGTCCCAGTCCACGATCTCGGCTGCTCGTGATGAGGCGCGGTGACGCCCGCCTTTGCCCGTGGCATTCGCCAGGTCTTCGGACGTTATGTAGGAGAAGTCTTCATCGCCGACCTGGTTTCCACCAGTGTTATTTGAGCGGCCGAAGGGCGAGAAGCGTCCGCCCCAGTTGCCGCCTGTGCGAGAGAACCACGACATGGTTGTGAAGATTGCGGCGAGGAGGATAGCGAGGGTGGTGAGGTAGGCGGGGTCGTTGAGTCGAGGGTTCGTGAAGAATGCAGTGATGTCTTTGCTGCCGGTATTGTGAAGTAATTCGTGGAATTTGAGGTAGATCTGTGAAAAGGCGTCTGTCGGTACGTCGTTGGAATATCCTGGTGGGGAGGACTCGGAGCTAAGTAGCGGGTGATTTTTGAGAGAGTGGTAAGACTTCTTTAAGTCGTCGATCAAATTATTGAACGACGCCACGGTGAACGGCCTAAGACGTGAGTGATCCTTACAAGGAGGATCTTTAAGCTTGGTGGTAATATGTTTACAGAGAAAACGTAAGCATGCCACAAAACCGGGTAGCAGGTTGGTGCAGAGCTGTTAGGTGTGAAGTTCGAAGGTCGTTAGTGAAAGATTACCCTTGTGGAACGTTGCGGCGTCTGACGTCTTTCCTCCGAAGAAATCCCGGTCGTCCTCCAACCAGCGATTATTACTATTATCAATTCTTATCGACTACAGTAGTTAACGTTACTGGACATTCCTCGCAGTAGGGTTTTTAGCATTTACCACACTTGTATAAATGCCAATTCAAAATCGCAATATCTCCGTTGAAGATCGCCTTTGAATGTTGGCGTGTAACAATGCCTCATGACCATCCTCAATCTACCACACTGTCAATGGATGAAGCAACTCGATGCACCAGGACTGTCAATCGGTCATATGATCGGCATAGTTGTGAAGTCCGGAAGCCCTGCATTGCTCCGTTGGCTCCCAGTTATCCAAGTATTGATCACGATGTTCGCTTCCCAATTCACTGATCCCTGCAGCGGGAGCTAGAGCTGCACCTTGATGTCACTCCCACAATGACGACGCATGGAGACCTTCTTAAGTGATATTGAACATTTATTTCGAGTCGTTATAGTTGTACAGAGTGTATAGAGAGAGACAAACATCTCGTGAAAATCATGACCCAGTCTCGGTAACTTCATGCTTGACATGGAAGAAGTATCAAGAACGTCAGCATGGAACTCCTGAAAACACCCAATTTTCCTCCCACCAGATTGATTAACTCCATCCATGATTATCGCCCAAGGAATGACCATATGAAACAGTGACTGAAGAAATCCGACCAAAGATCGCACAAGAGGAAAAGAAAAGAAAGGAAAGGTCATTAGGTAGGTCGTTAGCATGGATACCCTTACTCGGCAATTGACCACGCCTCACGCGTCGAATCAAGTGACGACACAATGGAGCTGATTGTCTAAGTCGTCGATCGCGAATGTAGCATATCGGCAACACCAATATGCATACTGCCAGTTCAACACTGAGTTCCGAACATGTCTTGAAGTCCCGTGAATGCCTGGCGCGCGACACATGCTCAATAAGCCGTTTACTTCGCACGCTTAGGCGTGGCCAAGAACGCGAGCCTCGACTGGCTGATACCTCCAGCACTCTTTGGAAGACGACGAGGGGTTTTATTGAGGGTTGATGGGGTCTTTGGCGGTTTGATAGGGCTGGCTTTGAGCCTCTTCGCTCCTCGTCCTTCATCCTCCGTTGGTCGACTATTCTCCTTGTCCGAGATCTCTTCCAATGAGTCCGCCTTGCGCTTCTTTGCATCAGTCAAGGAAGACGCATCGCTCTTACGCACCACGCGGATGGTGCTAGCCGAGACTGGTCCGAAGTCGATGTTCTTGTCGGATTTGAAATCGAACTTAGCAGGTGTATTGTCTGATGCGCCGCCGAATGTGAGTCGGCGGGAAGGTGAACCAACCGTAGTGTCTACTTCATTGGGCAAAGCAGGATACTCCACACTGGTGAGCTTGGGGTAAAGCACAGCGCCTGTGGGGATCTCAGAGCCAGCTCGGAACTTCATTGGGGATGGGGATTTGCCCAATGCATCGTGGGCAGCTCTCTCAAGAGTGCTAGTGGAGAAATTGACATGTTTTTGGATGGGTGCAGTCTTGGGCACATTTGGAAGTGCCTTGAGGAGATCAAGTCCTGCTGGCGGGGTTACGTGTGTGCCAGCAGCAATCTTCGACGGATCGTCCGAGAATTTGCGGGATGGGGTGCGCAGGATTGATCGAACACGCTGTAAAGAGTTGCTTGTCTTGCGGAAGCCGTCTTTCATGGTCTGGCCTATATTAATTGGGGACAGGAGGTTCTTCACGGAGGGCGACTGAGCCAATGATGGAATCATCGAGGTGGTCTTGATCGCCTTAGCACTCTGAGATCGTGCCATAGATGACTTGGTAGGTGTCATGAGCCTAGCGGCAGCTTGAGGCAGACCAAAGCGGGAATGCTTGGGACGGCTCGCAGTAGGAATGCCGGAGGGTGTCGATCCATCTCGCGAAATCGGACGGGTTGAAGCAGCATCATCTGTCTCGACACGCTTTACTCGCTTGGCAGTTGGTCCATCTTGAACTGGAGTAGGAGCCGAGCCATCACGAGTGGAAGGGCGACTATCTCGTGCAGGCGGAACAAATCTCACAGTGGACTGGGGAAGCCTAGTAGTCGATGGGGTTACATCAGGCTTCGACTGAACACGCTTCGGCATTGGTGTGGCCTTTTGCAATTTCAGGGCTGGCTGGGAGACCGAAGGTTCATTCATATCCATCTTTGACTGTGTGCGCTTTAGCTTGTTTGGCGTCTTAGTTGTAGGAGTCGTATCCGCCTTGTCCAAGTCGGCCTTGGATGGAGAGCGCTTCAGCGAAGCACCAACGGGCTTGAAGCGGCTTGGATCAGCGCGAAAGGCAGACGGGTGATTGGCGATAGAGTCCATTTTCTTAAAGTTTGCCATATGCACATCGCTAAAGCGGTTCGATTTGCCCTTGGGCACAGCCAGCTTGCGAGGAGAGACATCGGCGGGAGCAGAAAACTCGTCGGCCTTAAAAATGGCGCGTCCGGGTGTCGCCGTGCTATTTGCGGCGCGGCCATCATTCAAAATGCGATTCGATTGAGGGCTCAATCCCGGGATGGGAGACCTGAACCTGAATCTAAAGTCTGGAGAAGAAACAATATCATGAGTCTTGTTAGCAGCTGGAGCTGGAGTCCTCGAAGGTGTAGTGTTTCCTATTCCAAGGCCGCCCAACTGTTTTGGTGGTGCCGTGCTAGGGATGGCTTGGAATCCCAGCCAGCGAGCCTCATCGAGCATCTTAGCGGTCGTCGCGTGATGTTGCGCTGGGTGCATCTCCTCTCCCGCAGGCTTGATACGGCTCGTCGGAGTCTGGGCAGCCATCACAGACAAGGAGGGTTTTGGAGGAGAAGCGTTTTTGAGTGGTGTCGCGGTTTTGGTAGGTTGGGGGAGATGAGATCGCGGCGTAGCTGGCGCCACTGTTGGGGTCGCGGCGGGCGTCGCGTCAACATTCTTCTTCGCGGCCTTCTTGGGAGTTTTCATGGCAGGCTCCTCGCTTTCGAGAACTGAAGGGAGACGTTGGGGTTCAGGCGAGGCTGTCTGCCAACTGTCATCGACGTTGTCTGCCGGAGTTGGCGAGCGTTGCTAGCGAAGCGGTGAGTCGGGTCATGTCAACAACGCGTGAGTTCATCTAGACAACATACCTTCAAGAGCCGAGCCGAGCGGCGCGCCATGATGGGCGATAGAGCGATTGAACAGAGAGCAATGGAGCGAAGTTGTCAAGATATTGAAGTGGATAAGAGATTGGTGGTGGTCTGTGGGGGACGAGGATGTAGGTTCCTTGAACAAGTGTGTTGCCCGAAGACGAAATCGTCATCGCTTATTGAAGTGGGGACAATGTTGCCATAGCAACAGGCCAGACTCAACCCTCCGAACGGCAGCCAGCCGTTGACCCGCACTCTATCAAGCAAAGATAATAATAAAACCCTTCTCCTTCTAGCCACCTCAATGGACAGGCTTGAAATTCAATTGAGATGATGCTTGTAGTTAGTTGATCGCTTAAGACTTTCCCTTGTCCTACCAGGCGGCCCTGTTAAGGCTGATCGTGGGGCATTCCGCCGTCTAGCTCCCGTAGAAGCTTTGCAAGGAATGTCATCGAGCCATCTGATCTTATCATAACCTCTCCTCGTATTTCTTGAGGTCAGTTCACCAAAATGTCACATCAAATTCCAAGGAAGCATGGAACGCGAACGAATTGCAGAGTATGACAACTCTATCCTACTCCCAGAGTCTTGCATGTATTCTAAAAGCCTCTCTTGTCCCATCTCGTTCGCCCTAAAGCGTTGCACCTAACCTCACCAACCCCTCCCCCTCTTCTCTCCTCCAAAAACCACCGCACCAGGCTTCTGCAGACCAATCTCGACATCTCTCTCCACGCCCTCCTTCACAGCGTCTCCCTTCTTTTCCTCCTCTTCTAGCCTCTTCCTCTCCGCTTCCACATCGTCTCCCTTCCACACGAAATTCCCTGCTCCGCCCCGTCCCGCGCGTGCCACGGGAAGCTCCTGAGTATCGGGATGCCAGGGCGTCGAGACGTTGGGCTTGCTGGTCGGTGCTGGCGCAGCGGTGGAGTCGGGGGTGGTGGAGAAGGTGCCGTTTGTGCGGAGGGAGGTGGGTTGGTACCAGTTCTGTGTGCGGTGTTAGGTCTGAGGATGTAATGGGAGAAGTGCGTGAAGGGCTCCAGCTCAAACCATGTCATGATGAAGACAGGTACCGGAGCATCGCAAGATGTATGTGATACGAAAGAATGAACGTCATGAACATACCCCTGCGCCGCCGCGACCCATGTGTGCGTAATCAGCGGGTGATTGCTGCTGCTGTGCGTTCTGCGGTTCTTCCGAATGCGCCGGGGGTGCGGCAGACTTGGTGAGAGTTTGGTTGGCCTCAATGTCCTATGCACATTCTTCAGAATTTCTCCCGGAGAGTTTGGATGGTTGAAAAGGTGGTTTTCGTGTGTTGGGTGCATACCTCGGCGGCCCTCCTGTTTTGCTCTTTGATCTGCTCCTCCGTTACGATGTTGCCTGCACCTCCACGACCCCAGGTAGGCATCTTGCTATGTTCGATGTAATGAGTTAATTGGAAATATACCAAGGTTTGAGGACTGCGTGGTGTGTGGAAGCAGCAAGAGTGTTAGTATTAGTAAAGTGTGAGTGAGTTCGATTGGAAATAGACGACGTCAAGAAGAGAAGAGATGGTGTGAGAGGAAAGAAAGGATAGGATGAAGCTATGTGCCTGGAATTGATGGTAGTGATGAGTGGGGCGCCATCACATGCATAATTGCTTTCTAGGGTCGGACATTTATTACGAGTCTTCAGCTTCTGCCCGTGGATTGTCGCGCGACGTAGATCACTGGAAGATCTTGTTTGGGCTCAACCCAATCTTTCGTTTTGCTACCCATCCCATCCATAGCCAGTCGCGGGATGATGGGCCAATGGGTTGGGAAGTGTGGGGGATGAACCTCCCGATAGCTTGGGTGAGCGGAATGTGTCAAAGGGCCTTGGCGGGCGATAAGAGAAACCTGCAATCTGCCACGCGCGAACAACGTGAACAACGTGAACCATTGATCCAGATTATATAGCGAGCAGGAGGGTACATCAGTCACGTCATAGCAGGGACACCTTTTTGTGAAGACAGGAAACTTGAAACTTGATTTTCGAACAGCAGACTAAATAGTGTAACAATCGTCTTTGCAGCAGACGAATCTGCCCTCAAAGGAAAAGAAGAGTATAACAACGTACTGCCGAACGAGCTACCCACCGTAGTGGATGCACCAAACAAGAACTAGAAAACTGAAGAAGAGAGAGTATTCTGCCAGTAAAAGCTGCGTGCGTAGGCAGCAGCATCGTCCGAAGACAACGCATTCGAAGTATAACAGTTGAAGACATGTAAAAAAAAGACATGTAAAATATATAATAAACCGGCCAACCCATGTACTGGTGAGTCCAGACAGATCCAAAGCCTTCCTCTGCCACTCAACCAAACGCCTTCCCTTGCCCTTGTCATAACGTCGTAGCCAAAAGTATTGGACTGCTTTATTCTCGTCCCTCCTGGACTGCACGGAGTACAGGATAGAGATTGTGCTCGTCTTCACTGACGCGAGGCTTCGAGTCATCATCCTCGTTATCGCTGTAATCATGAGCGTCAAGTCTTTCCTTGATGAAGGATCTGAGCTTCTCAATGACACGGATGTTCTCAACCCAATATTGCTGGGAGGCTTCGCCGGCTTGTTCGGTCGAGGTAGATGACACCTGGCTGGGGGAGCGCATGGAGAGTGCGGGGTCAACCTTTGGTGAGCCAATCGCCAATTGATGGACGTTGTGGTGGAGGGCATCATGTTCAGGGCTGTTGCGGGACTCCTTGGGAGTAGATCCACCGTCCTCGGATGTGTCCATCTGATCACTGCCGCGTCGATCGGGAGCAGCCTTCTGGAGGAGGTTGCCAGAGTATCGTCGGCGGCCATCAGCGTCGAATGCGGGTGCGAGACCAGAGGAAGGAGCAGCAGCCGACATGTCAGACATGGCACTAACAGATGGCAAAGTTGGGTACATGCTTCCGATAGAGCCTCTTGAGGTAGGAGAAACGGCAGAGTTGTGTCCAGATCCAGGAGAATGTTGAGAGCCGTAGGATAGAACACTGGAGGCGGGTGTCAATGCGGGAGTGTCGTTGGCGGTGGATGCGACAGCAGTGGCATGTGACGATTGAGGATGCGTGGTGGCCAATCCTGGTGGGGAGTGGCTTGAGCGGTAAGTAGCGCCAGTGTGAACATAATGGGCACCAGGCTGTTGAACACCAGCAGCAGCGGCATGGTTGGGGTTCTCATACACGGTGCTCTGCAGTTGCTCGAGGAACTGGTCGATATTGAGCAGATCACTCTTGGTCCTCAAGTTAGGCAGAGGCAAGGAGTAGGGGTGCATGGGAGGGTGGGAAGGCTGAGCGACCATGGTGCCTCCATGGCCGTAGTCGGAAAGTCCTCCTTGGTAGCCAGCACCCAGGACAGCAGGGAGCTGGATTCCCTGGAGCCCCATGAGCCTTTGGCCTACATCGTAGTACGTTGAAGGGTCGATGGCGCGGCGTTTTGCGTCACCGAAGAACTCGTTCAGAGCATCGTAAGCAGCACGCTTACGGACCTCATACGAGTCGTTGTTCAACTGCTGGGCCTGGTTGACAGCATAGTACACAGGGCCGTAGGCAGAGTTTTGAGGAGGGCCGCCGTAGAAGCCGCCTGGAGCACCCCCAGGATGCTGCTGGCCGTAGCCTGCGCCGGGACCCATGGAGCCATCGCCTGGGTAGTATCCGCTGGCTGTAGCAGCAAGGGCCTGCAAGTCAGTGACCACTGTAGGGCGTTAGTTGGATTTGAAAGAAAATTGGGGCATGCGTCGAGGGAAGGACTTACTCTTACCGCCCTGACCTTGGTAGCCGGGAGCACCAGGGTGGCCGCCGCGGTTGGGTTCGGGGGATCGTAGAAGAACAGAGTCGTCAGCGTGGGTCTTGACATGCTTCTTAAGATCCTGAGGGCGCTTGAATGCCTTGCCGCAGAAGTCGCACTTGTGAGGCTTGAGGGGAACGTGTACACGGATATGCGAGGTGATGTGATCACGCTTCACAGTCGTGGTACGGCAGTTACCCCACTGGCAAGTCAGGTTCAAGTTGTTTGTGCTCTTGCGACCGACATGGCGTTCGCAAACATGGTCCTGTTGAGCTGGTTAGCGAGCGTGCTCTGCCAAAAATGGTGATCACGTGAATTTCGATGCTGAAGTGTTGAGCGCGACACACGAATGATTCCGACGGTTCTCCTTCGGCGCGTCGAAAATAAACGTGTCGCAACACTGATGCAAGTGCACCTTGAGGAATATTCCCAGGGAGCACGAAAACGCATCGCGATAGATCTATACTTACATAGAGCTGTTCAGCACTGGGGCAGCGCTCGCCACAGTTCTGCCATTGGCAAACGAGCTGGTCACCGCCAGCGATGCTGGAGGCAGCAGGCGTAGGAGCAGCGGCTTGTGTGGGAGTACCTTGAGGCTGTTGCTGTGGTGTAGTGGCCTGTGGAGGCACAGTGGCCTGGGGAGCAGCAGCGTCGCTCATTGTGAGATATTCAGACTGGTGTATGGTGTTGAGATGCGCTTGGCAAAATTTGATGCCGAGACCCTTTGCTCGATTGTCTATCGCAACACGCGCAGAGTGATGGGAGGACTACCAGCGATAGTAAAATGAAGTGATAATCGTGTGTCTCTGGATTGCTTTCGCAACTGTATTGCGAGGAAGTAGATTAAAAAAAAGACGGAGTCTTCTTTACTGAGGAACCAGGTGCGAGGTTACTGCAGATGGAGAGTAGAGAAGAGTGAGAGGAGAGAGAAAGTAGGAAATCGGAAAGCGCGGGGGGGAGGGCTTGGGGGAAGGGAGGAGTACAAGTACCAAGAGGGAAAGAGCGGAAAGGCTGGGCCCGCTCGCCGCTTCCCCCCAAAATCAAAAAACCCAGCCAGCCCAGCCCAGCCCGAAGTCTCTTCTTAGTCGATGCACCAAGGAAGGAGCTTGCCCCTTGTTTGGTTCAACAACAAGGCCCTAACCGTCTAACCACTTAACCACCTAAACCACCTACTGTGTAGGTAGGTAACCACCTCATGTAATAAAAAGAAGTTCGCCTCCTCTGATTACACAGTAACTACACAGTAAACTACACTTAGTATGACTCGACCTCTCACCTCGTACCAAAACCTTCATCCAATCTCCATCTTCCAATCTCCCCATCTTCACCAGGCCAGGTTCTTTTGCTCGTGTTGTGCCAAAAAATGCTCAGCCCCTGCGACCATTCCTCTTTTGTACAGTCGACCTCAGCCAAGCCTTGGCAGTTTTCGCGCCTTCCTTCATCCGACCATTCACCATTCGCCATTCAGCACTCACACACACTCACCCTCACTATCCTCATCTCATTCTCCATCTCCTCCCCTCCTCCATACCACGAGCAACTATTCGCCTCAATAGTCAACCACTTCATGCATCCATGCATGTCCTCGGCCTATCCTACTCCAACCTCACCCCTCCAGTGTCCGTAGGTGTAGAATCCCGTCTCGCCCACTTTCACTTTTATCCCTCATTCCAGCGGCGGTGAGACGGACATTTCGTCCCTAGAGGAATAGATGATAACTGTTATGAAGAGGAGGGAGTCCAAAGAGGAAAACACCTCATCGTCCGGCAATACTCATCCGTCAATCCACATCTCATCTTCTTCTTCTCTCCCTACGGTCCTACGGGTCTCCCTCCTCACACGGTCGCACCCCCGGATTCAGTACAGAGCCATTCCCCCTAACTACCACTACCCTCCCTCACTGTCCACATGCTCGCCGGGCTCTCGCGCTGACACCGGCCAACCTCTGGAACGCGTGTCGATCAGGACAAAGCCAAAATCCTCGGCATGATCACACTGAGACGGGCCAAGGTACGGGAATTCTTGTCGGGAGGAGAACTTGGCTGGCCCTCTTCCGCTCTTCGTTCTTCCTGTGCTACTAACATGCTGTCTGTCCCCTTGCCCCCTTCCTCCCTCTCTTTCTGTGATTTCGTGTGCGCAGCCAGCTGTGCAACACCATCACACCACCACATTCTGCCTGCTCTCTTAACGGCCACAGCAGCCCTGCGAATGTGTCTCATGACGTCTTCACAACAGCCACACATCTCATCGCGTCTCCATAGCCGGCGTTTCTGCCCTCGCGTCTTGCAGTGTGCCTGCGCTTAATTACCTCACCATCGTATGATCCTACTATCCAATCAGATACACCTCTTAAGCACTTCACCTCTTTACTCTTGCACCTGAACAACATCTGTACTGTTTGCAAGCCTAAATCCTTGCCAGTTGGTGCGGACAAGATATATCTGTTTCCAGTTCTATACTCGCTGGCTTAATCTAATTCCTAGCATCTGGATATTTCTTCGCGGATTCACCAAGTTCTTCCAGGATCGGATTGTTCTTGTCGATGGAACGACAACCTCCTCCGTACATGTCCGTGAGAATGAGCAATGACTAAAAACAACGAACTGTGTCCATACACGTAGGGGGCAGATGTAGTGCGCTGGACAGCAGCATCATGCTAACATGCAACAGAACACGGAATACTTCGTGGTTTCTCACCAGTTTGCGCGGCTTCTACCCAATCTTTACACAAAGAAGAAACGTAAATATCCCTATGTCAAGGCCCTCTGTGATCTGAGAAAGACGAAACAGAGAGAAACTCTACAGCGTCCGTGTTCATGAAGCCTCGTTTGCAAATATAGCATTCTCTTACCAGTGGGTCCATATTATAAAACGAGCTGGTTCGACATGTCACCAGTTCCGTACAATGAAACCTCAATATAAGGTTCGACATCAAACACAGGCCAATGCTCGCAAGCACAACGAGCCGTCATATGGTGCACGAGGGACAATGGCCGCTGGTGATTCTACCACTGTTCCACATTCCGCAGACTACGACCCCCTCATTGTCACACTTGCCTCGACGGATCCCAATTGTGGAGTACGAGCTTCACAGTTGAGGTTTGTCAACGACGTCCGGTAACTTATAATCGCATTTTCCTACGTCCGAGCACCTTGCAGGGCGTTGAAAATTCATCAGAAGCAGGTCAACCAATCCCGGCGTATTTGCTAAATCAACACAATATTGAATTCATCATTATTCCTGATTGCGATACCAATTGTCCTTTCCACTCTGCCGAGACCCCGTGGTCTTGGTTCCAAGAGTTTCCAAGAGCTCCGATATGCCGAGAAAATGCCCAGCTTTTGAGCAACACAATGGAATCTCTCGAAATCGTACCCAAATTACCGCAAAAAGCATTGCAATCAACACTTGTCTTTTCAATTACAGCCTAGAGAGACCAGGCTTGTAACTTGCGATGAGTGTCTGTCAAATGTCTCCGATATGCTACAAGATGAGCCATCTTTTCAGCCTCGACCGACAATTTTAGATAACCAAATCAATGTACCTACACCAAGGCTTTGAGGCACGATCTCCACACCTCGAGTGCCGTCTCCCGTTGAGGTCCGTCATCGTCATACTGCGAATTGGTGAAGCCACCTCAACTCATGCCACAGCATTACGCCACATGACCCACATTCCAATCATCCGCGCCTACGCCTGTCAGTAATGCCTTAGACCATGTTGAATATGAACAGTTGGTATTGCAATATTGGCAGAATCAATAGTCATACTATTGCAGCATTCACTAAGAATCAAAGAAATGTCCGAGGATGCACCGGCCTGTAGCACCCATCGTTTATATTGCTGAATGCAGCCACCACAGTCGTCAGCTTTTAGCTAACATCTGCAAATGCTGCATATCGTCCTCCAGGATCAGTTAGCTACTGCAGAAACGCGAGCGTGTTGTACCGCGAGCATGTTGTACTCTGTCTCCGCCACACCTGCCCAAGGCCATAGCCACAGGACGACACGCAAGCCTGATCCCCGACCGTGGCAGCTGTGCATATGAGGGCTATTAGTCAATGTGATATGGTTCCTGCGGGCAACCACGTGGTATCTTACGGACGAAACTGCATATCGATGCTCTTGGAAATGTGAAATGGTCAGCCTGACTCTAGAGCAATGCATCGGTATGACAGAGAATACTTTGCACACGAGGGAATGACCTCATACCAAGATAGGTCACCATGAAGGTTTATGGTACTGCGACTACACGGTTGAACTATCATCAATTGATAGCTCACTAAATACGTTGCCGCCAAAACGGTGGGACTTGGTCTCCATCGTAGGTACCGTCGTCATGGGCCATATTCTAGAACGATAGAACGGCGGAACCCCCAAGAATCGCATACAGACTTCTGCACAGCGTAGAACGCAATGACAGAATGCCACGGACAACCGGCACGGTGGAATCTTGGAATTCTGGAGTTGCCGAGACTGACACAAGGGAGGGGGTCTTGGAATTCCAAGAGCAGAATGCGGAGTGCGGAGTGCTAGGCGGGGTCTGGTGTTGTAAACATTATTAGAAAAAAACATACTAATAAGAGTATCTAGATATACATGAATATTATCTAAGCAATCAGAAAATCTTGAAGAACGTGATATTTTGGAATACCTCCTCAAGTTCTCTTGGGTTACCAGTGAAACAGGCAGAATTCGTAATGTTGATATTCGAGGGACGGAAAATTATGTGTACTCCGCCACTAGTTCAGAACAGCTCCAGAATGACTTCACAAATGAGCGAAAAAATCCTATGAAAAGAAGACGCTGCTCGTCTGACAAAAAAAATGTTCATACGAACTGGCAATATCTATTAGAATTCTGTATAAATGCTACTACAAAATTATCATTCTTCTAAGACCCTTCGTTTTTCACATAATCAAGCGTTGTCCCATAAGAAGAAACTCCTTCCAAAACCATATCGTAACCATATCTCCATAGTAATACAATTTCCCTCCACCTCCCCACTACTTCCAGCCCATACCTCAAGCCAATATAAGCCTAATCCCCTCCTCCCAGCAATACCTCACCCACTCAGCCTGTCCATACCGCCGACAACCATCACGCAGCCCCTCCTCATCCCCTCCGTCCAAACCCCCGTGGTCACCTCCCTCCAGCCTCCAGATCCTCGACTCCAGCATCTCCCGCGTCTGCTGAATATTCCTAAACGTGTTCCTCTCGAACAGCAGGCCCAACGTCCGCAGCACCATCGCATCCCGCATCTCGGCCGTGTAGCTCTCGCACCCCAGCACCCACAGCGGCCACAGCATGGCGGTCATGGGCGCAGAGTGCATGGGCACGTTGAGGACTTCGAAGTGCAGCTGCTTGACGAGGGACTGGATCGCGGGGGAGTCCGGGTCGTGGTCCCAGCTGCGGAGGAGGTAGATCCGGGTTGCGAGGCTGTATGCGTTGCCTGCCGACACGCAGATGGCGTATTCGTCGTCGTGGGGAGGTGGGGAGGTTGGGCTTGCGTTGGGGTGTTGAAGGCGGCGGGGGAGGGGCGCCCAGTGTTCGAGGTCGTGGAGGAGGGTTTGTGCGATGCTGGTGGCGTGCGATGGGCTTAGGGATCCGGAGAAGCGGGCGTCGATGAGGGCGGCGCTGCGGCCGAGGAGCGCGAAGACGATGGGGAAACAGCCCATTGCCGGGTCGAGCCCGGAGCCGTCGATGTTCTCTTGCGATGTGCATTGTTTGTCTGTGAGCCAGTATTCTTCAGGGAGGTAGGGGGCTCGGGCGCAGGGCACGCTCGACATGATGTCGAAGTAGGCCAGCATTCTGACGGATATCGCTAGAATTGGCGAGTTGGGTTCGTTCGCTGAGATGTCGCTAGAGTTCGACCGGGCTAATCGATGGCGTTCCATGACGAGGAAAGCGGTGCCCTGTAGGATGGGAAGTGCGTTTTCGAGAAGCTCTCCGTTGATGAGCGCGGTGGCGGCGAGTTTGAGCGAGGCGGTGATGAGGACGTCCAGGCCGTACGAAGGTGGCTTTTGCTCGTTTGTTGTTATGGAAAGGCAATTGGATATGCTGGAGGTGCGTCTGGTTCTACGTCCCAGGCTGGCTTCAACTCCGGTCCTGACGGCGCGGAACGCCCTTTGTCGGATCTTGAGAAAATCTACCTCGGGCACGCATCCTTTAATGAAGAGATGGGTGGCGGATGATAGAAGTAATGCGGCACGCACGCCGGAGTCGGCATTGTGTAGGGCCCATATGTGCGCGTTGTTGATGTCGTGGGAACGCAATCTGTTCAGAAACACCAAGTTTGGTAGTGTGGACACAGAATGGTCGTAGAGGTTTTTGTCCAATGTGCTATGTAGTTGAAGCCTGTCCGGGAACGCCAGCATACAATGTACGTCGGAAAGATAGATGCTTCCAGTCCTGAGCTCGAGGGCTTTTGTATGGTTCTCATAGCTTCTCGAGAAACCCGAGGGTTCAATGATGTTGTGCTGTCCTTGGTGTTGCTTCTTGAGGGCACGGGCAGGCTCGTCGGTTGGAGAAGGATCATTGACCCATCGGATCTGGAGAGGGTATCCACCGCATACGACACCTCTCACTTCACATCTCTTGCATGTTGGCTTCGACTCGTCGCATTTGATTCGGAGATGCTTGCAATCCACACAACCTCGAATTGACTGTCAGAATAGCGAACAGCATTGGGGACGAACGGTGGGGACACACACCAGTACGCGACCGCCTGAAGAAGGATGACATCTGAGCAAGCTCAACCGCACACTGTGAAGCCCACAATGGTCACTCCTTGAACGTCCGCGTTCTTCAATATGATCGGATTCGTCGACACCATCGATACAATGCCCATTGGTTTCACGGTTTCGCAGCGAAGTGATGGACACTTCACATCCCATAGACGTCGACAAAAAATCATAGCCCGAGCCTCTGGGTACTGCATGCTACGTACAGCTGTCCCATTCAGGAACACCACGACCGGCCAATCGTTGCCGTGCGAACTTCGGCGGCCCTCCTCTTATCATGCCAAGACAGCCATGATGACTCAGTTGTGTGGTGTTTCTTTATCTATGATGATAAAATTTCAACCTTGAGTGAGGGCGACGGTAAAAGTGCGGGACAATTGGAACATTTTCTACTCCGCGTTCGAGGGCGTGGGGTTGATAGCGCATAATTCCGCGTTCTTCATCTTCTCCACTGGCGTCTGGACTTGGGATACAGCCGATCGCTTGAACGGACAATGTCGACCGTATGGCAGACTTCAGTGGCCGTGTAGTTTGTATTGCAAATCGTGCGGGGTGCCAATGATAGATATGCGATAAAGGCGGTGGCTAGCAGATGCATCTACGAGTGCAAGCAAGTACAAGCACAAGTTGGGTCCTCCTTATCTCTTGCTTGATTGATGAACTACGAGTACCTAGCCCAATGTTTAGCGGGATGTTCGGAAAAGGGCACCGAATGGCCGAGACGGCTTGAGCCAGCCATTCAGAGAACAAGGAAACTGTGCAGGCACATGGGCGACAGGGGTACAGGATATCAGCGCTGAATGAGGTCTAGTGTCCATCATGGAACCATTCGTGACCATCTCTCCAGACCCAATTCGGAATATGTAGCTAAAATCTATGTTTGTACAAGCATGAGAAGAGCATCAACAGCTATAGCGAACTCCATATCAAAGTAGGGAATGAGAAAATCGCACACCAAAAGAAGCTCCACGCTTCAACGTACTAAGAAGCACATTGCAAGATAGCAGATAAGAATCTATCCAGATGCACAAGCTCCGATGAGCAATCGGAGGCATGCAAAATATAAATATGAGGTCGCTCATGGTCCGATTCAATTGTTTGCATCTCTCAGCAGCCACTTCAGCTCGTTGTCTCTGCCATCATGAGGTCCTCTCTCGCGGTGTCTTTCTTCCTCTCTTTGCCCTTCCACTCCCTGGTGGCAGCAGCACCCAGTGTTCAATCTCCTGCCCGAACTGTATTCTCTGGATTGAGCCGGCGCAGTAACAATGAATCCTTATGCCCTGCTCCCGTCGATATCCCTACGGTGGCTAAATTGCCATCGCCATTCACTCCTCTATCCGAAGCCGAATTGTCGGACGTGAAAGCATGGCTATACGACCCTAAGCAGAACCTCAACTTGACATCCACCAAGAGCGAGACCCTGTCCCAGACCGACAACTACATCTGGATCATTGAGTCCTTGTACCCGAACAAGACCGATGTTCTTTCATACCTGGACGGAAATGGCCCCCTGCCCCCTCGATATGCAAGAGTTGTCATCAACGAGGGTGGCAAGGCTGATCCCGATGTCTCTGAATACTATGTAAGTCCGACAAATCTTGACGACTAGAAGGAACGTGAATTGACGTGATTAGGTCGGACCTCTTCCAGTCAGCTCAGAGACGACGATTCAGACCCTCGACTACTTCTACTCTCGCTCGGCACGCGTCCCATTCAATGCCCGAGTCGGTGATGGTCCTAGATCTGCTGCTATCGATGAAATCGTCACCAAGACTATGTCCAGCATTGCTGATATCACGTTCAACTTGACTGGCCTGCAGTACTATGGCGCCGATGATGAGAGGACCAACGCTGCCTACTTTGTCCAGTCGCCTTCCTCCATGGACGGCAGCACTTCGTACGTCTGGACGCCATGGCGTCGCGCCGGACTTGCCCCTTACGACCAGCCTTCCGACTTGTATGTCAACTTCGACATTGGCGGCAGTGACCCCGCGTTGTACAAGTGCAGGATGATTGTTTATAATCTTGTCGTATATACATCCGTCGAGGACTTCAGAGAGGCATTCGAAGCTGGAAAGATCACACAGTCACCTCCCCCTTCGAGCGATGAATCCTTCTTGAGGAAAGATCGCAAGGGCCCGATCCGTGAATTGGAAAACCGATTGGCTCCCGTCAGTGTTGAGTTGGATGGCAAGCGATACAAGGTCGATGACGAGAACCGTTATGTCGAGTATCTCGGATGGTCCTTCTACACACGATTCGATCGCGATGTTGGTATTCAGTTCTTTGACGTCAAGTACAAAGGAGAGCGAATTCTGTACGAGCTTTCGCTTCAAGGTCAGTCCTTCTGGAGGGTTTTTATCCATATATTATATCTGATTAGGTTTCTAGATGCTGTTGCACAATACGCTGGCAACAATCCCTTCCAGGCTGGTACGGCTTACAACGACCGTTTCTACGGCATCGGCATCGATGTTGGTCGTCTCATCCCCGGTTATGACTGCCCATACCACGCAACTTACTGGAACGCGACCTTGACCAATGGCGAGTCAGTAGTCAACAAGAAAAACGGACTATGCATCTTCGAATCTGACATTGGTTTCCCGGTGACGCGACACACCGACTCGACTTACACCCAGAGCACCAAGGGATCCAAGTTGACAGTTCGCCAGATCGCTACCGTAGGCAACTATGATTACCTCTGGGACTACCAATTCTTCGTCGATGGAAGCATAGCCGTTGATGCTCGCGCCTCGGGCTACGTCCAAGCTAACTACTACCGACCTGATGATGAAGGCAAATGGGGACCACGAATCCAAGAGACCATTGCAGGAACCCTTCACACCCACGTGATGAACTTCAAGGCCGATTTCGACCTCATCGATGCGAACAACACTTTCCAGAAGACCGACATTATCGTAGAGAACATTACCCAGCGTGAGTCAAGACCCACATAATAATCATACCAATACTAACCAGCCATCCAGCATGGTACCCCGAGCTCGGCACCTTCGAGCAAATGCGCTACAACATCACCGAGCTCGCCAATGAAGACTCAGCCCTTCTCGAGCTCCCCAAGAACGGACAATCCATGTACACTGTCATCAACAAAGCACACACCAACAAGTGGGGACTTCCCCGAGGCTACCGCGTGATCCCCGGTCTCTCCAACGTCCACCTCGCCTCGCACACCAATCCCTTCTTCCTCAAGAACGGCGAAGCCTACAAGCAAGCCTTCGCCGTCTCTCGTCACCACGACACCGAACCCCACTCCTCGGCCGCCCTCAACCAGAACCTCCCCGCCGACCCCATGGTAGCCTTCTACGATTTCTTCGACGGCGAGAGCCTCATCCAGGAAGATCTCGCGGTCTGGTTCAACTTAGGCATGCATCACTACACTCGCGCTGAGGACATCCCGAACACGTTGATGACAGAGGCTCACAGCAGTGTCATGTTTGCGCCGCAGAACTGGGGCGATGTCGAGCAGACCGTTGATCTGACCAATGCTGTTATCTTCAACAAGCGCGAGGGTGATAAGAAGGGCAGTGTTGTCCCTGAGACTAACGGAGCCAACCCGCCCAAGTCCTTCCCATTGAGGGACGATGATCAGTTGTTGGGTGTGTTCTAAATGTAGATGGTTGGAACGAAAGGCAGATAGAGGAAGGCTGTCTACTGCAAGGCAAATAGTCTACTGTAGACGTTTGCGCTGCTGGTATCAATGTTTACAGTTCTTCTGTGCCTAAAGTATATAGTCTTAGAGTATAAAAAATGCATAGATTAGGTACTACCTTTATCTGTCTTTTGTGATATGCTATATTGGTTTTTTATCTTAACATCCTTATGTTTGAACCAACTGACATTAAAAAGCCAATATGTATTGTTTCCACTGTTGGCACTGTAGAATATCAGATCATGAACAATAGCGGTACGCCGTCTGCCCCTCTCCTCTCCACCCATCTTCCAATAATGGAGATGCGCTCCTCTAGCGTAACCTTTAAGAAATAATTAAAGTCTGTGTAAACGCACCTCCTTGTTCCCATAAACCTTCTGTTCCCCTTCATCGAGAACTCGTTTTCGAATGTGGGAAACAAGACTGGATTACACACCGCTAGGCTAGGTTGACGGATGGTGTTTGCGTAGAAAGCTAAAAGGCCTAGAGGTGTCATGCGAGCAATCTTTTGTAGAGGAAGGCGGTGTATATTTGAGGTGTTTGCACGCTTTGTACGATTGAATTTTGTACGATTCAAATAAGATCTACGGTGGGAAACAAGGGCGAAGAGAGAGTACGTGGGGGATTGAGGGAGTGAAGGTGGGAGCGTAGTCTAACTTCACGATACTACTTAAACCCACTCCCTCAACCACCAACTTCTCAATCCCCCCAAAAACCTGTCAAAACCAAAATCCAAACACGAAAACAACCGCCGGAGAAGCAGACTTCTTCACGATGAAGCTCCTCACAACAGCTACCATTCTGCTCCCCCTCCTGACCCTCACAATCGGCACACCTCTCACCAACACCGCCGTAAACCTCACCTCCAACCCCCTCGAACCCGCCGATGGCTCTTGGATCCACCTGTGCAAATCGCACAAGTGCTCCGACATCCACACGCCCTGCATGACCGTAAGTCAATCTCCCCTCATCTCCCTCTCCCTCTCTGCCATCTCCAAACATCCAAAGTGAAAGAGCTCCGCACCTAACGACAGCACTGCGGCAGGCCTGCTGCGCAACCCCGTACTACAACCGCGAGTGCCATGCTCCGAATACTTTCAGGCAGTGCTTCGAGTACTGCTGCTACTACATGCGCGGCCGGGACCAGGAGTGCGGGAAGTGCTCTTGGGGATGTCCTAAGTAGTGGGATAGAGGGCTTCTCCACGTGCTGACTGCTGCGGAGAAATTTGCAGCTGCTGAAGGGCGGGGTGAAGGGATGAATCGAATGAGGAATGGAGGCACTTTGGTAGATTCTGATGGGGAAAGAGAATGGTCGGACAGGGTCTATCACGGCGTGGTCGGTTGTGGAAGGGGATGGGTGGCTTAACATGACTATGATAGATTTCTGACAAGACGGCTATCAGGGACTTCAAGAGGCAAATAAAGACACTTTGGTCAGCTTAATTTTCCATGGTTTGTGATGTGGATATGTAATCGTGATATATTACTTGTTTACAACTAATTCGACTAGCATGAACTTATGGACGAGCAGGTCACTTCCTAGGCAGCGGCCCGCAACACATCGGAAACTGCATAATACGCAGGCTTCTTGTTGAAGTCATCATCGAGAAGGCATGCGTTGCCCCATCCAGGGAAGGTATACGGCACCCAAGAAACGGGGTCCCAGAAATCCCACACTGTCACGCCGACGCAATCATCCGCATCGACACATGCCTTGACCGCATTGGCGTATCCCTCCGCCTGCTTTGCCTTCTTCTCGGGCGAGTCGGGGAGCTCGATGCGGACGTCGAGCTCAGTTATGGCGGTCTCGACGCCGAGCTTGTTGAACTGCGCGATCGAGGCGCTAATCTCCTCGTACTTGGGTGCGGTAGCCATGCGGAAGTGGCCCTGCAGGCCGACACCGTCGATGGGGATGTCGCGCTTGATGAAGTCCTTGACGAGCTCGGCGATCGCCAAGGACTTGTTGTTGACCTTCTCGATGCCGTAGTCGTTGTAGTATAGCGTGGTTCGCGGCGAGGTGTACTTGCGCGCGAACTTGAACGCAAGCTCAATGTACTCCTTCCCGAGCGTCTTGTACCAGAAGGTCTCGCGGAACGTGCCATCGTCGTTGAAAGACTCGTTTACGACATCCCACGAAAAGCAGGTGTCGTAGAAGTAGCGCGCCTCGACTTTGATGTGGTTCTCCATGATGGAGACGAGTTCCTTCTTGGTCCAATTGCCGAACTCGAGCCACTCCGGGGCTTGCGTGTGCCAGATGAAGTTGTGGCAGCGGACGGATTGTCGAGCCTTCTTCGCGGGCTTGATGACCTGGTTCGCGAGGGTCCAATTGAAGACTCCGCGCTGAGGCTCGATGTGGACGAACTTCTGGCCATTGGCGGGCGTGACCTGATCGAACTCGGAGCGGTTGTGCGCGATCGAGACGTATCTAGTGTTGTTCAAGACGACATTGTCGATGGCAGTTCCGAAGTATTGAAGACCGGCTCTCTTTGCAAGCACAGCAAGGCCAGGGTATTTATCTTTCGGTCCGTAGGGGCCCTTTCCAGGTCCCCAGGTTGGGGAGGAGGTTGCCAGAGGAAGGGCGGCAAGCACCGCAGCAAAGATTGAGAGCTTCATGGCTGTGAAAGGCCAATTGGTACGACAACGAGAATGGCGAGGCTCACAACGTGTATTGCCCTGGCTCTCAAAATTTGAGGTCCGTAGCTCTTGATTATATACTTAGTTCCCCCCAGTCTCCAGGTTAGAGGAGTGGACCTGCAATTCGGTGTCATCACCAAAACATTGCCCACATTTGCAAATTGAACCGGTAACCCGTTCACATCACAACCAGAACAATCCAAACACCAGGCTGGGCCGTTGAGCTAAGAAGGAAGAGCAGGAGATCGCCGCGGGTAAAGTGAGGTAGAGTCAAGTCTTGCAGGGTATATAAAGTGCGGCGAAGAGACTAGACCAAAGTGGTAGTCTTGGATGGAGATGGTCCCTGACTGGAGTTGAATCTCTGTCAATGTCCGCCATGAGAATAGCCGGGGTGGCGTGCGCCCATTGATTTGGATCGCTCGTAAGTCATTTGGATGTTATGAAACATATGTAGATTCCTGCGGTTCAGATGATTGACTTCTTGGAGGTCATTTTATAGTACTAGGCGTGGTCATGTTAAGTTGTAGGACGCAAGAACACGCTTCGGAGGAAGAGCATCGCGGCCAAAGTCTAAGATGGCAATTACCCCGCAAGGACAATTTCCGTCGAGCCGTAAGCCGTGCTGTCACGGAACGGGGATATTTGAGGATCTAACCGTCTAGTAGTGATTCTGTCATACCTAAGGTGCTAAGGCGACAAAGAATGCGCTAAGAATTGAACAGGCTAAATTGTGTTTGTCTTCCAGAAGCCTTCTATTTCTCCTCCCGTTAGCTCATATTCATACACATATTGACGTGCATGGTTTCGTAAGTGTTGCGCCTGGCGATGATCTTGATTCGTTGTACGACTCTCTATGAATTTCTACCCTCTAAGAATTCCCAAGGCCCTATAAATGACGAGACTAAAGATCATGGCGAAGCCATCAATCATACCACGCCCACAAAAACACCTTCCTTCTGGAGTTCTTCAAATGTAAGTTTTGGCATTGGGCTAACCTTATCTGCGCTCTGGAGGCAGCCTTCAACTAGTCCCCAGAATTGAGCAAGGTCGACGCCGCGGGGGATTCTGCAGCCACCTTCGCCAGGAGCGAGCTTGGTGACTTTAGTACGACCCAATTCGCCGACATCAGACTGGGTTACCGAATGGACACCTTCTGTTACCACTTCAACCTGGAAGCGTTCCCCTCCCTTGTCGTCAAAAATGTCTGGATGAGTTACCGCTGCAACGGCGAGTGGATCATGCAATGGCGGTCCTTCCGTGATTGCAAACACTTCCGCATACGTTCCGGCGAAAAATGACATTATCTGTGTGAAAAGAGATCGAAGTGGGGACGGCGTGCTCTTTGAATTCGCAGAAGACTCGTCTAGAGGTCGATCGGCCCCGAACAATTGCGTATACCGGACTGTTTTGGTACCAAGGACTTGATGGCTGAGGTCAAGGGGTATCAAGGTGGTTTTTGCCTTCAGGTCGGGATGAGAGAAAATAAATTGAGATGCTTCTGGATCACACTGCTAAAGGTAAGCTGACGATATCATTCGAGAAATTGCTGAGGAACCTACGTAAATCTATGCATTGTCAGCGGGTATCAATCAAGACATGGAGCAATCAATTCTTACGTTGAATTCTGCATATGCGGTCCAGTTTCCAAAACGTTCACCTTCGCCCTTGACTTTCCCCATAGGAGCATTCGTGAAGCCTCCACCAACGGCGCCGCCCATTATGCTTAGACCTTTGATATGCTTCGCCAAGTCGGTGTACTTCTGAAAGAGCAACCCGATGTTGGTCAAGGTACCAGTAGACACGAGATATGCGGTATTCGGAGGCGTCGACATAAGCGCTCTGTACATAGCCTCGAGATGGCCAACATCGGTAGCCGCTGGTTCAATCGGCTGGGGCAACAGTGTGACGCCATCGAGTCCGGATTCTCCATGTATATCAGCAGCGTGAACTGCATCGCGGACAATCGGCTTTGCTGCGCCGGAGTAGACCTTGACTTCACGCTTTCCCAGTGCTTCGAGGACACCTCTTGTGTTGAATGTTGTTTGATCAAGTGAGGCATTGCCGTGGACGGTGCTAACACCTAGTAATTCGACCCGGGGGTCATGGGCACTGATAAGAAGTGCATATGCGTCATCCTACAGCAAATCAGCATCATTGAAGCTCGTGGAATCTACACATATAGCTCGTCATACCTACATGTCCTGTGTCGCAGTCGAGCCAGAGGGGGATCTTGCCGCTTGCGGGGGAAGCCATATTTGCAGCCTGCATCTACAGTACCTATAGCGTTGGCAGCTTGTGATTGAATCAATTGGTAGAAGCTCTGGCTATCTGATGTGGTTTTAGAATAGTTTAAGTGAACGGAACACGAGATGCAGGGTCTCGAGATGGGAGTGGGAGTCCTGCGGGCAGTTTTAGTGGGCACGTGGGGAATGAGTGAGGGGAGGGGTTTAGTGCTTCGGCAAACGCGGAGGCTCTTCAACCAAAAGGTACATACATACATACGTAGATTGGTGATTGGTGGGGTTTGACGTCCTTGCAGCATTGGAAATGATCTAACCTTATTGGGCTTTGTCTAGATATGGCTGGCTCTCTCTTTATTCTACGAAGTAGCAAACAATATTTATAGTTGGACGTCCCTCCTTCTTTGTATATCCTGTCGAACGATTCCTTCATGTACAAACAGCACTTCACTGTGCTTCACTTCTCTCTCTTTCTCCATGCAAAATGGTTCGGCCACAGGGCTCTTCACCCATCAAGAATCACAAGCACCGGCTCAAAACCGCACCTCAAGTCAAGGGTCTTAATAACAAGTTTGCCCCACGTGTTGGCACACGACGTAGCAGGCGATTGCAAGGATTATCTCCCACCCAAGTATCTGAAGTTGAAGCTGAAGCTGCAAAGGTTGATAAGCCAAACAATGTGCGCCTCGCAAACCGGCTTCAAAGACTCCCTTCTCCCCAACATGAGTTCTCATGGGTGCGCTTGCAGGAAGATTCTGGAGCCGAACACGACGAACTAGAAGACACACCCCCTTTGCCCCCATACAAACAGTCCAGTCGACCCCCTTCACCCAAACACAATCTCTTTGTTGAAGGGAAACATCATGGGGGTACTAAAGCTCCAGCGCTCGAGCAAGAAATCCCTCACTCTACCCACCAACTCTCTGAGAAAAACCTTCAACTATTGGGAATATTGAACGGTGAAGACATGGGCCCCGCAACCAGCACTCAGATTTCCAGACGAACCCCATCACGGCATTCTACAGCCTCACAACCAGTGGAGACGGAATGGACGGCTCGCACTGCTAGCACTACCTCTAAGTACCGCAAATCAAGTCTTCAGGCCGTGCAGATCTGGATGCACGTTGACCCCCCTGCCCACATCCAGGCCACGATCGACCTCATCATCGGAGCTGAAGTCACCGAGCAGCGCCGAGCCAAACTCCACGCCATAGCCGAACAAGTTCGCGACGAATGTCGCGAATGTGTCAGGTCTGAGGATAACGAGGATTCCTTTGCTCATATACTCCTGAGTGCCATCAAGGCTTTGAAGGCCCTGGGTGAGAAGAAGCTTTCTTTCAAGCCATCCGCCGACTGGCGACAAGACCTCAAACCTGTAAAACCTGTGATTAAAGTCATCTCCGCCCCACCGCGGAAGCGCCAGCGGACTGATGCTGGCAACAAGGAGCTCGACACGCAACCCGAATGCTTAACGACCAGTGTACCCACCCTTGAGCCAGCCAACAAGTTGAGCGCGATGCCTCCTCCAGCTCCACCGGGATTCTGGGTCAAGACTCCGCGTCCGGACTTCTCGTTGGGCATAGATCTCACCTCTCTCATTGCTGATCTCTCGTCGTCAAAGCGCAGTAACTCAAGGGCAATGAATTTCTTCGAATGGTTAAAGGAAGAGGCGGAGCAACCCGAGTCAGAGGAGACGGTCAAACCAGTACTGAACCCCATACCCACCGCACGCGGCTCACATCTCACATTTCCCTTTGCTGTTATTGAGTGCAAGGCCTACTCAACCGGTAAACAAATCTTCGAGGCAGAGAACCAAGCTGCGGTTTCCGCGGCTTGTGGTCTTAAGATTCAGCTTGATCTTGACGACCTGGCAGCTTGCGATGCAACAAGTTCTGATGCTCCGCCCGCTTCCTTGAGGACTGATCCGCCTCTGTTCTTTTCTATCTGTACCCAAGGCCCTATCATCGAAATCTGGGCCCACTGGACAGTCGTTGAAGATGGTGTGCGCAGGTTCGAGTCCAGTCCATTGGATAGTTACAATGGGCTTTTCCTGGAGCGGGGGAAGTCCTTCATGGTTGGACTGAATAACATTGTTGTTTGGGGTTTAGGCTCGTTCATGAAAACAGTCGTGAAGCAACTAGAGAAGGTGGCAGAGGAGTACGATTGGTAGTGTGGTAGTGTCCTGCTAAACATTTGCAAGTATGTTTTCAATTGGCTACAACACACTCTGAACAGCTAGATTATGTATACAAAATATATGTATCTACAACCTACATCTGTACAATTACGAGTACACTCGCAAGGCCTCAAGACTACTAAGTGGCTGGAGTATACTCCTGTGGAAGTGTATGTGTTAATAAAAAGCACAAAGAAATGATCGACCATCTGACTTGTAATTCTCGAAGTTGAGTAGACCCACCGGTTCACACTATTAACACCAACGCAATCCCTTTGCGGTGAACATAAGCAAGATCAAGGACAGAATAAAACGCAATGCTAGGAAGAAAACGGCGCTTCATCTTCTCTATTTTGTTTCGGATTGTTCTTTTGCAGAAACAACACTCTACAGTAAAGTCTTCGAGCAGTTCTAGGGATACGGCATCCAGGACTTTGACGGGGCTTAAAAGCGACCATCAGCTCTCCAACTGATTTGACCTCAAAATTCCACGTCTATGTTACTACAAGTATAAGGGAGGTAACAACCAGTCAAATCATGAGAGCCCGCGGGACGTTTACCCTGACATATCGATGTGTCGGAGGCTTGGTGAGGGGATGCATCATACAAAACCAATACTTACGACCACCTGTATTTGTTTGATTCATTATTCGCTCTCTTTGCAGATCATATCTACGGCACGTGATGCACTCCTGTCCGTCTACCCTTCCGAATCCTCCACATTGTACCCAACACCATGCCAGCCCAACCGACAAACACCCAAACAACGAGAACTCCAAAATTGAGGCCCAGATGGCTCTTTGTGCCGAACAGAATCGTTCTGATTGCTTGAATCTATACTTGAAGTCAACTTTCCACCCTTTCAGGGCTTATAAGACACAGGGGATACACTCACGGCATGGTAGAAGGGCATACAATAGCCATACTCGTAGAAGTCCGGCATCAATTCCATACTTGTAAAAGAGCCGCATACATTTGAGATTAGCCAGATGTTCAGGAAATATGGCGCCCATTTCATCCCGATGATGGTGAATGTGCTTTCCATGACCAGTCCGCACGCACCCATCGTGCACCAATTTAGCATCCAAAGGACCATGAAGCCGGAGCCGGCTGGGGTGAACTTCCCCGTGACGGGTATCGAGAAAGCCAGGAGGCAGAGGGTGTACATCAGGGAGAGGATGAAGTAGGATGCCAGCGAGCTGATGGTGCGGGATACGATGTGTGTTTGGAGAGTCATGAGATGCCCGTGGAGTTCGGCGGTGGCTCGAAGGATGCTGAAAACGTTGAATGTGAACACTAAGAGCTGTTGCACAATTAGCATGGGGAACGTGTTAAGACGCGACGAAGGAAGACTTACGAAGATTAGGCCAGTGTTTATGGAACCGAAAGCCACCGATGGATAGAAAGGAATGAGATCGACCGGCATTACAGCATAAGGTAATGCAAGGCACTGCGGACAATTCAGACTGGTCTGTAAAGCGGTGTCATTCAGCCCTGAACGCAGGAAGGATGCGGTGGAGTTCGCAGCCAACCCAGGGATGATTTGATTTGCGAGGCCCATGATAGCTGGAATAGCTACTGCAAGCGTGGTGACCTGGTTGCGAGCAGAGGCGAAATATAGAGTTACAGCCGATAGCGGATTGTACGATGAGTCCCCATTCACTAGAGCGGCTCGTAAACTAGAAGATGCATTGGCGGAGATTTGGAGTACAGCCCACGACTTCTCGTCCTGAATTACGTTCTGACTCCAATTCTCATCTTGCTCCACACTGTTGCCATTACTGATAATATCCCAGCGTAGATGCGGACCTGGTGAAATAAGTGATGCTTGGATGCCTTGAATTAGGCCTGTACCGAATGCTCCATCATCGAGATTGAGGGCAGTTACCTTGAGTTTGGATACATCATTGTTCGGAACCAGAGATCCAAGGACCAATGAGAGACAAACCCAAAGCAGAATTATATTGTAGATTATAGGTAGAACAAGACTTGGGACCAGTGATTTCCGCAAGGTGGCGCCTTGCGGTGAGAAGAAGGTATATGAATATAGTTCAGTGGACTGGTGAGATGACTCGTCCTGGCGAACTGGCGACTTCGTTTCTGGAGTCGCGCCTAACATCTTGATGAAAATGGGAGAGAGAACAAGGGACGTCGACTTAAGGTTCTACATTTGAGCACATGTTGAACATTTAAATGGTTGATTGAGCCAATACATGTGCAGCCTCTTTCCCATTATGGAAAGGGTTGATTACGATTGAGGTTGGTAATCCTGTCCAAGAACTTAAGCTAAGACAACCACAATGTCATCCGTGCCGCTTTTGAGGATTTAGCTCTAACGGCTGAATGTTTGGCACGGAGACCTCGCAGCATCCAGCTATTTGTAGGTTGGTACCTCGTAGGATTGGCCATTCCAATTGTCCGACCAATCCGATGAAGAGCTTGTCTGCCACATCACACGTCCCACCTGGTCTACCGCCATTCAGTCTCGCAAAACTGCACATCTCAATCATCAATTGCAAAGCTTTCAAGAACGTGGTCGAGAATTAAATGATGAATTGACCGTTAAAGCAAACGCATTATCTTCCATTTACTCACCGTATCTATGCTCACATCGTTCTACAAGTCCACCTTGCATTTTCACAGCACCTAGGTACACACATCTATCAAGCTAATTTCAACAGGTATGTATCTTTTGCCCCGTACTACCTAGGATATTTATCAATAACTCAAATGAGGTAAACAAGCTTTTATTTAAATAAGTAGATGTAATGCTTTCTACCTTGTAGTTTAAAAGTACTACATAGATAAAGATAATAGTTATATGTTAATGCAACAAGTACACCTAAGTACGCATTGCAAGAAGCATAACATAAATACTTTGTCTAAGATGATTCCATAACCTCCGCTCTGCTCCGGAACCAAGGGCGTCTGGCAAGAAAGAGCTCAGAACAAAGTCGCTTTCAAGACCGCGCTTCCGCCAACGATCACCAGGGCACTGATACATGCCAATGACTTCTGTGAATGCAAGCCAGCTCCGAAGGTTGCATCGAAAGGATTGCGCCGTGAGCGCAGACTAGGATTTTAGAGAAGGCAGTTCAGAATAGTGTACTTGTTAGAAGAGTAATTTTAGAAGATAGATATGCTCGCGATTTTACTTCATTTTCACTGTGATTTATGCTTTTGAACTACTGTATGCCCTCCGCATGACACTTAACTCACCACTTCATCTTGCACTTGAATCATCTATAAACAAACGCAATAGTCACCTGCGTGTTCTGCGGATAAGGTGAGAATAAGGTCTATGAATCAATTCGAATATATTAAGAAGAAGAATATGATTGATAAATTGACGGACTATACCCTTTAGTACCAGAAAGAAGTCGCTCGCACGCAATGAGCAGGTAAATGCCAAAAGAGGCTAAGCCATTGCTTTGTCTTAGCCTAGCTCCAACAATCGTCCAGATGTTACTCAGCCAACCCCCCATGCCCATCGCTTTCCTCAAAGCTGACAGCGTCGTTCTCTTACTTTCCTACTTCATAAAATAAAGAGCGAATATGACTGTGCCGATTTAGCGGACACGTAGCCAGTATCTCAATCGATCAACGGGGGAAAAGGAAAGAATGATTTGCCGCTTACAATAACGAAACTTCGACGCTTGATATTCCGGGGACTTCATCGTGGCCTTTTTGAGGCAACATTCGCTTAATAGTTATCATCACCAGTGATTGAAAAGGAGCTGGCTATCTGAAGAGGAGGAAATTTGCTTGCTGTACTGTTGCATTTACGCTCGTCGGCGAGATCTCTGGAGGGCAGGCAGTATGGTGCTCGGCTACGAATTCGTAACTCTCGACGACGACCAAAAGCATGCCAGGAGGATGCTGCTCGAGTTTTATCCATGGATTGCTCAATGGTCCGTCCTGACTGTCTTTCTGATATTTCAATTATGCTTTCTGGCCTCCTGGATCGGGAGGCGTGGCCTCGAGTCTCAGATGCGGCCGCGGTCTCCGTCGTTCAACAAGCGTGACGGGGTACTGCTAGTATGGCTTCGCAGGGCCCAGGAAACCTTCCATGCGTGGGTGTGGTGGATGCATAGGCCTCTATTTCGAAACTGGGGGACGAGGGGTGAATGGATCGGAGGCGGCATTTGGTTCATATGGTTGATGAGCCTTTCCATCATACAGACGGGCAATGGTGCGTAGAGACTGATGTCCCCGCTCAGACGATCAAAACTAATTCAAGTACAGACTTCCTGCATTTGACCAAACGATTTGGCATCATTGGGGCATCTCAGCTTCCCTTGCATTACCTTCTGGCTATGCGATCGCCATGGTCGCCCATCCAGATGCTCACACGGCTATCCCACGAGCAGCTCAAGTCGGCCCACAAGATCCTCGGGCGCATCGTATACGTGCTGTTCATTCTTCATGCCGCTTTCTACTTGTATTTCTTTATCGCCGCCGGCGTCCTCGCGAAGAGGATTAAGGACAGGGACGTCATATTCGGCATTATCAGTCTTGCATTCTTCACCATAATCAGCACCACCGCCCTCGAGCAGGTTCGCAGACGCAACTACCGACTATTCTACATCTCACACATCTCTTTCGCCAACGTGGTCATCCTAGCCATGTTCCTGCACGTCTCCCACATCAGAATCTACGTCTGGGAGGTCATCGCCGTCAACGCCATCCACCTGCTATCACGAAGCCTGAGCGTGAGAAAGCGACCCGGAACCGTGAAGCTCCTCCCGGGCACGAACCTCGTCGAAGTCCGCATCCCGCTCTCACCGGGCGACCCGGCACTGAAGTGGCTCCCAGGCCAGCACGTCTACCTCACGAAGCCAACGCAGAACGCCGCGACCCTTCCCTTCTACGAAGAGCTCCTCCTCATGACGCAGACTAACCCCTTCACCATCGCCTCGCTCCCCTCAGAGGACCGCCACCTCCTCCTCGTCGCGAGACCCCTCAACGGCACGACCAAGCACCTCGCCGACCTCGCGCGAACATGGTCGTCGTCGTCCCACGCCAACGACACTCCCCCGACCATCCCGCTCGCCATCGAAGGCCCCTACGGCGCCTCGACGCGCCTCCCCGACTTCTCCGCCTTCGACGAGGTCCTCCTCGTCGCGGGCGGCGTGGGCGCCACGTTCATCGTCCCGCTGTTCCGACACGTCACGGGGTCGAAGGTCGCGAGCAATGCGGGCGCACCACACGTGCATCTCGCGTGGGCTGTGCGGAGTCTCGCGGAGACGCGGTGGGCTTCGGATGCCTTTGCTTTGGCGGGAGATGGGGGAGACGAAAATGGAGATGGATCAGTAGATGGCGATGTCAAAATTTACGTCACGGGGTCGTCGAGTACGCCAGGTCCGCAGGTCGGCGCGTCAGAGGCGGACATCGAGCTCGCGGAGAACGAGCAGTTGTTGTCGGGTGCGGATGAGGAGGAGGCTGGTCCAGCGGCGAAGGGCGTGACGGTTGCGAGAGGTCGTCCGGATGTCGTGGGCATAGTTGATGAGGTGTTTGCTAAGGGGAGTCGAGTCGCGGTGTTTTGCTGCGGTCCGAAGGCCCTGACGGAGAGACTCGGCCGCGCGATGGAGCCTTGGGTGAGGAAAGGTTATGATGTTTATTATCACGATGAGACGTTTGGGTGGTGAGGTGTTTGAAGTATTTTCATAAGCGTGTGTTGTAATTATACATAGGTTGGTTGAATGAGCCCATACGAGGGTTGTATTTGGATGCGTGGGTGATCAATCATGTATATTCCCCCCCTGCTCATATATGCTCCATATTTTGTTCCCAGGAAACCCTTTTAGATACCTGGAATCCAGGTTGTTGGAACTTCGATGTCGCCATCATAACAAGTAGATATATCCATCCGGCTGAAGTTAAGATGGGGGACTCTCATCCTCGTCTGTTCGCTCGGAACCAGGCAACTGGATCGTTTTTTTTTCTCTTTGCCGATTCCGCTACGAAGGATCGCCGGTTCGCAGGAGTTTGATCGGAACGTTTGAGATTATCCATTGCGCTTGGGCTGCATTGGGAAAGCGTTGTGGTGGAGAATTGGGCGAGTGTGATAAGTGTTCTGGTCATTGTGCACATCGTATGGTATAGCATAAGATCCGGGTTGCATAAGTTAGGTATCTAAGGCTATTGATTGAGCTTACTATTTATCGGATGCGGATCGGGGAAACCAATTAGTTATGCACTGCGAAGGATGGATCTGGAGATACATTAGTAGGTGCAGGAAAGTGGACATGACAATTCTCCGATGTTGGAGTACGAGTGCATAGATGTAATTTATTAGATCAGACACACATAGATATACGGGTACGCAACGGCTGGCGCTGTCAAAACGCAACGAGATGAAACGTTGCGATTCTGCTAACGACTTGAAACTTAAGTGGACTGGCAGATCTGATCATCATGACAAGACCGCTGCTGGTGGCCGTTGAGTTGAGGCTGTCTCCTTTTTTTCATCCCAATCGATCCGTTCCGGAAGAGGGAGGGAGATTGGGCACGGTCGAGCACGAGCATTAGGTTTAACCCCAATATGGCCGTTCCCCTTGTCAAATTCTTCCCCATTGCTGGATTTGATTCGATGGAATTGGATGGCCTGGACAATGTTCTGGGATTCTTTGGGTTGTGTTATGATTATTGGGAGTAGACTATGTACCTAGGTATCTATGGAGGGTATCTGATGTGCGTGTGTACATGGGGGGTTGCTATCAATTCACCCACTCAGCTGCCTTGGACGTGGTACTGGCACTCGCATGGCCAGTGCCAGTGCCAGTCCAACCAGGGCCATCATCCACTCTACCCAGCAGCCATTCACCCAATCATCCACTCTTGTCTCTCGTGCTCACTCCTCAATTCGTTCATCCATTCATCGTCCACCCTCACGATTCCCTCCTGTGCACGCGTTCATTTCACCCTCTCCATTCCCCAACTTCCTCATCCTCGTCCTCCTCACTCTCACACACACCAGCCACTGTCATCACCTTCCGGACCTTCGACTGTGCTGGGTATTTTCCCTCCTCAGCTGGAACCTGTCACTCTTTGTCTTTGTCTTTCTTCTTCCTCCTGTATTAATTGATCCCGTTTCCCTTTCGCTTTCCCCGTCCTCGTGCAGCGACTTGCAGGGATCACCCATTCGCAAAACAATCCTCCCCCCAATCTTCATTCACTTCGACTTCTGCAGTAACGCCGCCTTCTTGTCCTACAGCTGCACCCCTCATATGACCTCTCTCGCATAACCAATTTACACATTCCTCCACCGTCCTTTTATTCCTCCCGAGAGATTCACCTCTGCTGCAGTCGTTGCAACACACCCCACGGCGCATACCAAACCCCCTTCCGGCTCATTGCTTCTGCGCGCCCCTTCTTCCGTGTCTGAGACAAACAACCCTCCTCCGCCACAAATCACGCCTTTCCGAAATACCATCTACCACGCGACAATCTTCGTAGGAAGACGGCATTGCTGTTGTTGTAGCGTCAAGCTCATCGGCCGCCTTGCGTGATCCATGGCTCTGGCATCGCCCCGCCAGCCGCCGCCCGTACAGCAATTGACGCCGCCGAGCAGTGCTCACGGTGGGCGGGGATCTTGGGATTTCGCGGTGCCTTTGAGCAATCAGGTGCGTATTGCAGACAGGCCAAAACTAGGCCCCTTCATCCCATCTTCCTGTCGTCACGCCCGCGCGCTACTGGCGCACTATGACACCCGTTCCCGCCATAGTGCCTTCCCAATCCCACCTCTAGATCTACTCTATCCCACCGCCTTGGATACTACCCTCAAGTTCGAATGAGCTTTCGAGTTGCTGACCTCTGCTTTGTTTGGTGTAGAAAACGTCCAACATCGACTCGAAGCCTTACATGTCGGAAGAAATACCCTCCACGCAACAGTATCCTGTTAGCCAACATCTACCATCCCAACCCAATGGCTACACCAGACCATCTCGTGCCAGTGAACCTCGACAGCCTTACGGCTTTGAAGATGAATCGAATTACACCGCGTCAAACATCGTGACCGAGTTTCAGAGAAGGGGGACTGATAATACACTCAACGGCAATGATACAGAAAATGCACCTCGCGAGAATTTTAAGGGGCAGGAGAGCAAGAGCAGGAGTCGGAGCAGGAACACATCGCGGACCAGGAACAAGAAGAAACTCGCAGTGGACCCGAAATGGGCCGAGGTCGAGAAGGACCACTCGAACTGGATCCACCGAGACAAGCTGAAGGAGATCGAGACCAAGGAACTCGAGGAGGCTGGCTTCACAGTGGGACGCGCGAGTCGCTCGAACAGCCGGTCACAGAGTGCTGCCAGGGCCTCTCGTGATAGAAAAAACTCGGCAGCCACCACAGAAAGTGCCCCGGCGGCAGAGGAACGAAACGAACGGCGCATGGTTTCTCCCATCCCGGCAGAAGAGGACGAAGCTGAGTCTGAGCGGGTCCATAGTCAGGGTCAGTGGGACCTCCGAACACCAGAGGAGATTGGAGCAGAGGAGCAATTCGACTGGTCTACGCGGACCCATCACGCCCTTCGTCCAAGCACTTCCCGAATTCCAGTCGCAAAGACGAGTCCTGCGCCTGTCCCCAGCACTTTCGTCGAGCGAGATGCTCCTCTCCCGAGATCGAGGTCTAGCAGCGGCGCAAACTGGAGCCCAGATGCGAATGCAATTGCAGTCAATGGTGCCCGTGTCAGAAGTGGAAGTGTCTCGAGCCAGGTCTTGCTCGATGACCCGACCAGAATTTCTGGGGAAGTTCTGCGATCTCCGCAACACACTAACTTCAGCAACCCAACTTCCCCTATCACTGGATCACCGCCAAAGGCAAAGACTCCTGGAAGGGGAGCCCCCAATTCCGGTGCGCGGAAGACCAGTGCTCAGCGATCATCGTCCCAAGCCAAACCACGAACCACTTCCGTTACTTCTCCGAAGCGCCCTGGTACCAGTGGTGGCTCCATCTCTCGGCCGACTACAAGCCATAGACCGGAGGGAGAAGCTCCTTGGATTGCTACTATGTATAAGCCGGATCCTCGTCTCCCACCGGACCAGCAGATTATTCCAACGCATGCAAAGCGGATGCAGCAGGAACAGTGGGAGAGCGATGGCAGGACTGGCTCCATGTATGGTCGGGATTTCCGCCTACTCAATACGGATGAATTCGACAACAAGCGCAACTCCCAGATCCAGCCTTTGGAGCTGGACCGTGTCAGTAAGACCCCCAGTAACGAACAATGGCCTCTTCCGAGCCCTACGAAGGCGAATTTCGACAACACGCCCAAGTCTCCCACCAACGACCAAGGTGGTTACAAGCTCACTCCGACAATACCGCAGGGTCCACAAGCAGCTCCCCGCGACGAGAGAAGACAGAGTCAAGCCTCTGCTCCCAAACCTCCAAAAGCAACCCGGATGCCTGAGCCGCCCGAGGAAACGAAAGAGAAGAAAGGTTGTTGCTGCATTGTCATGTAGATTTTCTACATCATTTATACCCATTCGTATCCCTACAGAGGGACTATTTTCATTTGTGCCGGTGTTCTGGAGCATGACGGCGCAGCTATTATACCTTCGGTTGTGTGTTTTTATAGTACCCTTTTCCTCGCTGCCTGATAGCGTACAGCGGCCTGCTGATATTCCTATGTCACACTCTCACACTCTCTAGTTTTCTATCAAATCTCTCGTCTCATTTGTCGTTCATCTGGTAGCGCCGCATTGCTTCGAAAGTTTTCCAAAGCCGGCCCGTGCATCTAAAACCAGCTCTTTCTTTCCCTCTCTCTTACTGCTTTTCCCATTTCAAGCGTTGATTTTTCCCTAATAGCCGTCAAAGGTCCGTTTCTTTCTTTATTGCAGGAGTTCATGCGGGCTATGGATCTCGAAAGTCTATCTCGGTTCTGATTTTCGTGTCAACGGTCGCCGTCACCACCACCATCACCACCGCGTCCCACGAAGGTATTTGTCGACTTTTCTTTTTCGAAGCACAAAAATCGGATACACTCGAGCTCTTCGTTTCCAATTGCGAGACCTGCAGGTTCTCGAAGCATTTGACGAGCTCGAGTGAGAGTCTTTTTTTTCACGTGAGAGGATGACTGATTGAGGATCGGACCTACGAAGAAGAGACAGACACACACTCTAGCTCTGGTAGATAGTTCGGGGGGAAGTGACTAGGGCTTAGAAGCATTAAGGTAGCAGTTACAAGATGATTGCAGCTCCGTTGGCGAGCAGAAGAATTTGAATATTGCTATGCATGGCTCGTAACTTTTGGATCGCTCACTGTGATGAATCCCTTCGTAAGCAAGTTGACTACATGTGTGAGGGGATTGTTGGAATTGGAGTACACATGGCCTTTCACATCCTTAAGCACCGCCGAGAAAGTCCATCATTAAACTCACTGTAGCTTACAGTCAAAGTGTCTTGAGTTTTTCAATAATATTGCGCATGTTGCGCCTCATTTATATCTCTTGTTGTGAGACGGTAAGCATCACGTGATATTTGCCAAGATATCTATCGTTCGCTTTCGGTAAAGCTCGCCCACACGCCCTCGCCAATTTTAACGTCGAACTTTTGACGTCTGCATCGACTCCTATTATTTTCTACTCCTTGTCGAATTATTCTCAAGAAACTCTTCGAGGAACACCCGACAGATCCAAACACACAACAATCATGGTGCGTACACCTGCCTCACCCAGGATCTCCTGAGCCTCTCGCATGTCCCACCATCACACCGCCGCCGTCGTCGTTCTCCAACGACTCCCGCTGCGGGGTGGTGGCCACCTTCCAACATCGCGAAGAAAACCCTCCTACCTACATCAGAACCCCAAGCTGACAGTTTTCCCACCTACAGTCGGACGGAGAAGAGCCCACATCCCCCATCGAGGCCGCCGCTGAGGTCGAGGTCTCCGCCGATGCCGCCGGCTCCGGCCAGATGTCCGTCCTCGAGGCGCTCAAGGGCGTCCTGAAGCTCGCCCTCATCCACGACGGGCTCGCCCGCGGTCTCCGCGAGGCCTCCAAGGCGCTCGACCGCCGCCAGGCCCACATGTGCGTCCTCAACGAGGCCTGCGAGGAGGAGGCCTACAAGAAGCTCGTCGTCGCTCTCTGCTCCGAGCACAAGATCCCGCTCATCAAGGTCCCCGATGGCAAGCAGCTCGGCGAGTGGGCTGGTCTCTGTACGTTATCCCCCTCCTTCTAATGCATCGTTTGGTATGCGAATCCGTTGCTAACAGAATTGAACAGGCCAGATCGACCGCGAGGGCAACGCCCGCAAGGTCGTCAACTGCTCCTGCGTCGTCGTCCGCGACTGGGGTGAGGAGTCCCAGGAGCGCACCATCCTCCTCAACTACTTCCAGACCGAGCAATAGATGCGGAATCTTCTTTAACCATCCGGCCTGGTCTCTGATTTGAATTTTATGTTTCCGCGAGCTTGCCAACTACCGATCCACGCCATGTGGAAAGCAGATACATTGGAAGACGGAAACCAGTCTCGGAAAAGGGAACAGATGAAAAAAAGATCTCTCGCAAAAAATGGGTCATATAGACAAATAAAAATGGAAATAGTTTCTCTGGTGGAAAAAGAGCAAAACCTTGCGTACGATGCGTCGATGCGTTGTGATATGTAAATGTGAATGTGATGCAATAATATACATATCGAACCTCTCCCGGGCCATTGCACCCCACAGCACGTCCACAGTCACAGATCAAAAGTCACAGTCAACATCAAGCATACGACATAACCTCACAATCTCACACTCCACACTGTACATTGTCATCGAACACTGCCATCAAATTTCTTCTATGTGACTCGCCGTCCTCTCTCTCCCTCCTGTACCTCCTCTCCATCTGTCTCCGTCTGTCTCTCACTGTCTCCGTCTATATACGACGACATAAATCGACCAAACCCTCTTCCCCTACCCTCTCCACCCTCCTCCATCTCCTTTTCGCATGTATGTAATGCAATGCATGGTACGGTCTATACAAATCTTTCAATCAACACCTCCCCCATCCACCCCCCTTCCAGATTTCCGTCTTTAGACCTCCCTAACGCTCCCCACACCCCCGCCCCTCCCAGCAGGAATCTCCGTCTCCACCATCTCAAGCCCGCTCAAGCTGGGATACCTCTTGCTAAAGCTATCGACGTCGAACTCCGCCTCGCCCGCCTCCGTTGCCGCCGCTTGTCTGCGGCTCGCAACGGGTGGTGGGAGCGGTTTGTCTTTGTTGAGCGGTATGGGTGTGGAGCCGCCTGTGCGGAGGGCTTTTGGCTTCGGGGGCGCGGAGGGGCGGGGTTGAGACTGGAGATTTTGTGGTTGGGACTGGGGGCGTAGTGTTGGGGGTGCGGAGGTGGAGGATGGTGGTGGGGGGTGTTGGAAGTTTGGGGAGGGTTGTTGTGTAGGCTGCTGTTGTTGCTGGTGATATTGTTGTTGGGGGATGGGTTTGGGTATGGGTTTGCGGGCGACGCTGGGGGGTGGTGGTTGCTGTTGTGTTTGTTGTCGTGTGGCGCCGGATTGGTCTTGAGGGCGTAGCGGGAGGGGTTTCCCGCTGTCGGTGTATTGCCCGTATCCTTCTGCCGTGCGGGTGGAGGTTGTCTTTTGGCTGTCGTCTAGGAGGGACCGGACGCGGTTTTGGATCGTCGAGGCGCGCGTGGGTGCGGCTTTGCCTTTGCCGTGCTCGCCTTGCTCGGCGAGCCGTTTGCGATATTCGGCTGCGGCGTTGGCGACGCGCTTTTCTTCCTGGGAGAGGCGCCGTCGTTCGAGCTCGCGGCGGACTTCGGGGGGGAGGTCCTGGGTCTCGTCGATGGCGCGGTCGTCGTCGGAGAGGTCGCCAGTTGCCTCTGAGCCCGCGATGGGGGTGAGCGCCTGGCCGGTTCGGGGGTCGATGTGCTGGTCGGTTGGCGTGAGCGGTGGCATGGGCTCGCGCTCCTGGTGGCTCGTGTTGTTCTCGAATTTCCTGAATGCTTCGCCGAACCTGCCTTTGACTATGCTCTTGGTTCCGCTGGTTATTGAGGACAAGCTTGCACGCTTCGCGTGCTTCGATAGACTGCTGCTCCGGCGGTGCTTCTTCTGGCCCGTGTGGTCATGCTCCATGGATCGCAGGAAGTCGACGCTCGAGATGTTCTTCTTTCCTTCGTCTGAGTCCGAGTCGTTGACGTTTCCAGACGACCTTCCTCGTGTTAGAGAGGGTGCGTCGAAGTTCCTTCCAGGGGCACCTTCGCGGTCACGGAGGTAGTCGAGGTTGGATTCCACGTGGATGGTAGTCGGGCGAGCATTAGCATTCGCCGATTTTGACCTATCGATCGCGTTGCCAATCTCCAATGCAGTCGGGCGATGGCTCTCCAATGATGGACGTGATGATGCAGGCGATTTGGGGATCGTTAGCGTGGCAGTCTGCGATTTTGACCTTGCTTCAGACAACGATGGCCGCGATGGGAGTGTGAAATCGGGCTTTAATGACAGCGGACTCGGTTGTGGCTTGTCGAAGGTCCTCGGTGTGCTCAGAGCACGTGCGTGATGGGACGAGTCTGGGACCCTCCAGATTGGCCTCTTGTTGACATCCGGATACTTTCCTGAATTCGGTGGTGGAGTAGGCGACGGTGATGTCTGGATGCCAGTTGACACCATATTCGGGCGTTGCGGGTTGGGTTGTAGGATTGGAGGTTTGGGCTTCGGAGCTTCAATGGTTGTAGGCTGTTGCTTCTTTACAGAGGCACTTCTCGAAACGCCAGCAGAAGTAGGCTTTGAGGCGGGGTTTGACGAAGGCGCAGTATCAGTCTTTGAAGGTGGTAACATGCCAAAGGCATCGTCCGCCAGCGCCTGTGTAATCCTCTTATTCATCGAGTCCGGTTTTGGCTCTGTGAGAGGAGGTGACCCTTGATTGAATTCGAATTTCTGGCCCCGGTCGTGCAACAGCGAGAACTCGTCCAGTGAAGGGAATCTCGCTGCAAGTTCATCGGCGGCAGCGCTTCGGACCTGCACGTTCTGGGAGTCGAGAGCGGCGAATGGGTCTGATGCCGTTCCACGCATGGGAGACGGGCTCGGCTTCGCAGAGCCATGGTTTTGCGTTGGAGCAGTAGGTCTGCCCCGCCTCATGGGGGCAATGTCTGGTATACTTTGTACATGCTGAACCGGAGCGACCTTCTGCAATCCTACTACTGGCGGAGGAGATTGTATCGGCTCGTTCGTGGGTAATTGCTGGTTCCTTCGGTCTTCGGATTGGCTACGGTTAGAGTAGATCTTTATTTGTTAGTCTCCATTCTGTGCAAAAAACATGGTTCGCTGACTGACATCTTTGATTGGGACGTTCCTGTGCCGCATAGAGCAAACCTCCACTACGACCTGATAAATGTTGGGACGATGCTGTGGGTTTTCACGCAACATCGAAGCTGGCCCAAATCAGTCTATACAATCCAAGACCCTCCTGAGTTCAAACGTACCGATAAACTTCTTTAAGCGGTCTGAAAATACGGGGTATGAGGGAAATTTGAAGGTTGCGTTCAAAATGGCCATGGTTCCAACTTCCTCAAATGGCGTCGTGTAGTAACACAGTTTGTACAATAAAACACCTAGAGCCCAGATATCGCTCTTCTCGTCAATAGGCTGTTTCCTGTAGACATCGATCATCTCCGGACTGCGGTATTGTAATGTTGTGTGCCGTTGTACGTCGTCCTCGATCAATCTGCCCTCGGCAGCGGTCGTTGCAGCGGGACGCGGAGGAGCGGTGGATCCAAAATCACAGAGCTTGTATATCCTAGAAGATCCATGTGCTGTTATCAGAACGTTCTCCACCTTCAAATCTCGGTGTAGCAGTGGTGGCTTTAGGTAGTGCATAGTTGCAACTCCCTCAGCGACATCCGAGAAGATGTGCAGAATCTCTGGCTCGGTGAGCCTGTGCTGCAATCTTGTATTCATGAAGTCGATGAGACCTCCGCCGGAGCAGTATTCCATGAGCAGGAAGACCTCGAAACCTCCGCCCTTGAGTTGCGAGGCATGGGAGTCTATGTAGGTCACAATGTGACGATGCCCCTTGAGCTTCTTCATGGTCTCCACCTCCGTCCTCATATTTGCCAACGCCTCCTTGTCTGGTACGGCAACTCTTTTCAGGACCGCAATCTCTGGGGTGCGTTCTTCCGACTTGGGAACACGGACCAGATAGACATGGGCAAAGCCGCCTTCGGATAGGTATTTATCGATGGTGACTCTGTGGTTGCCGACCTGGACCTTCGTCCCGGGGGCAAAGGTGCCGGGAGGGGCATTGGAGGCAGGCACTGGAGCACGATAGGCTGCCTGGTGGTGGTGGGGGACTGAGGAAGCAGCGGAGTTGGCATAGCGAGCGGAGGAAGACATTGTTGGGGGTGGGGGGGGGGGGGGGGGGGGCCCGCGGGCGATGCAGGAGGAGGGAAGCGGTCGATTGTTCTAGGGGGCGGACATTCGGTCACGATTCTGGGATCCAAAATGGTAGAGGCACGCTCAATGCGCGTGTGCGTGTGAAGGGACGATATGGAAGGTCATCAGGATGGGAGGAGGATGCCTGGGCGGTCTCAGAAGTTGATGGTTGATGATTGACTACTGAGCTCGGTTGTATGGCAAGGAACTGGCACCGCCATACCCCGTAGAGCGCACGCACGCAAGCCACAACTACTGACTACACCAAACTACTTGAGGGACTACTCGCCCCACGCCTCCGCTGTCGCCGACTAACGGAGCTGGCCTTTCCTAGTGATAATGATGATGATGAAAATAAGAAGAACAATGATCGAGTCAAGTGTGTACTGGGAACAATCACGGGGAAGATGTAAGGGAGTTGGTCTCGTGGTTTGGGGTTGTCATCACAAGTCAACTTTGTTCTTTTGAGACCAGTCCATTGGTTTGTGAGAGACCTCTCCTCATGTGACTATTGATCCTATAAAACCTACCTATCATTTACTACAAAGCAAAGAATGTAATCTGGAGACATAGATGCGAAAGGCATGGTTATACGAGACGTTTTCGCCCTAGACATAAGTAAGACTGTGTCAGCAGCGAACTACCTTTCTTTTTGGATTCCTTTGGATTCGATATCGTGTTAGGCAGTAGAACTGACTGGAAAGGAAACTCAGTCGACTATGGGCACACAGCGATATAAATGCTCTGCAACATGCATGCTGTACCGTACAAACTCTAGGGGGCGGACAGAGAACCGGAATGTACAACGTTGAAACGGCGAACAAGGCCATCGATCCGTCCCTATGAAACAAGTACAAAAAGGAAACTGCATTCGGAGGATCCATAGAGGAGGTATACTGCACGTTTTGAAACAAATTTCCGTTGCCTTTTGGTGGCGTTCAAAAACAGCGGCGAGGCGTCTCTCGCCAGAAGTTTCCATCAGACTTCCAGAAACATCGGGATTCTGAAACGACAGTAAATCATACAAGGCAATGGGAGTATGTACTCATAAATATGCTCTACACCTCAGCTTACCTGCACATAATTGTTGTGCTGGGCATAGATGCGAGAAAGAGATTGCGAAAGTCGAACGACAGGTGCCGTCCGCCTTTGTCTAATAGGACACGAAATGTACGGAGTATATTGGCTAGTCATCGCATAGTAGATATTCTTCAAGGTGAACACAATGTCTGGGACGACTCTTTTTGGTAGTCCGGCCATTCTTGGAATGCGCCTGTTAATCGGAGATCGAGAATCACGTTTGTTTGTTGCTTTGATTGTACGTACGAACAATCACCTAACGGACATGAACCCGTGATGTGCATTACTAGAATGGACTGGACATTCAAAGTCAAACCAGGTCAAACGCAGTTCGCACATGATGCTGGACTTGCGCAAAGTGGGTCTGAGATGGGCATCGAGCGAGGGCCTGCCTCAATGTGAGCATTTAGGAGGGTCTGCATGCGCGGGAGAGTGACTCCGATGGCTGAGGTGGTCCATGGTAGTTAGGGGGAACAGAGCAGATCGGGCGTCTATACCCAATGTACAATACAAGTACAGCGAGGGCGTGAGGCCGGAACAATGGCGCTGGAGATGGTGGTTTCGCGATGGGAGCTTTGGCATCGCCGGACAGGGGTGGGCGTTGCTGCTTACGGTCCTGATTTAAGGGAGAGACGCCATGCAATTGGGTTCCGGTGAGACCATAACGGACCTGGAGTGTCTAGAAGCAGGTGACAATTGTCTATCAAGAGTTGATTTGATCGTCCAGAACAGAGAAAGGAGGGGAGAGGGAGTGGGAAAAGAGGAAGAGAACCATGTGGATCGTGGTGTATGGTTTCTTTTGACAGCGCCCGCCCGCACATGCAGAGTCCGGCCCGCGATCTACGATACCAGGCGGGAGGGCAGGACACGGGAACGCGACAGGGTCAGGGAAAGCAGAAGATATGCGCAAATGTCAGAGGAGGAGGACAAACTTTAAAGAAAAAAGAAAAGAAAAAGAAGAAAGAATTGGACCAGACTGGACTGGATTGGGCTGGACAGGGCGGAGGACAACGGAGTGTCGCCCAATCCGCCCAGCTAGTATGAGGTTTTACATACATACTCCGTAGTTAATTACTCGTAACCATAACCATAACCATAACCATAACCATGACCATCGTTAGCAATGCGATGACCATAAACAGTAATTACCATCTCTTTAGTTAGTGTTCGTACAAGACTACAAGTTGCGGTTCCCATGTTTGAGGTCTTGTATCAAATAAGGTAGACTCTAAGAGACAAGAGGCGGAGAAACGGAGGGAACGGAGAGTGTGATACCGATCTCCCCCAGTCTTGATTCACCAAACAAAGCATCGCACCGAGTGGTTCCTTCACCATCATGATCATAATCACTACCATCCATCATCATCGCCGTACATAGACAGTACATAGTTACTCGTACTATACACATTATACAGCCGCCCATTCCCTAGGTCAGGCCTACCCTTCCCGTCCCGTCCCATCCTTTCCCTCCCTTCGTCATTGCAACCGCCTGCCCAACCGCCCATTTAGTCTCTGTGTTTGTGTCTGTATGAGCAGGTAGGAATGCTGGCTTGCTTACCATACAAGTACAATACAATACTACCATACATACACCACCTCCTTCTACCTTCTATCCTAAACTACGACTAAATCCATAGAGCACAATCACCTCTCCGTGCTCGTACAACCTCCAACGCTTCAAAGAGCCTGGTCGCCGTCTTCCTCCTCTTTCGTCTGACCTTACTTCACTCAAATCCATCTCGTTTGCTCTCACTCACCTCCAACCCGCCCCAACTTGCAATCACCAACTGGCTAAGCCTGTTTGTTTCCTGCATTCTCACCGAGTAATACAAGGTCACAATCCTCTCTGGTCGCTTAGACGACCCACCAACTGCGTGGCTAGTTCCCGATTCGTAGCTTGGTTTGGCTGTTCGCTGTCGCAGCAGTTGCAGTCGCAGTCACAGTCACAGGACAGGGACCGACCGCCAATCACCAAAACACCCCTCACGACCTCACAACCTCACCACCATCTTACAACAACCTTACTACCTCACAACCTCTCGCCCTCTCGCTCTCACAACCCTAACCTACAACCGACGTAACTGTCTACATTGCTTCCAGCGAAAAGTCCTACCTTGCCTCACGCAAGCTCGACCCTCACTCGTTACCTCCACCCTCACCCTGCCGCCAAACGCATCCTGCAATCCCTCATCCCATAATCATGGCTCGCTCCCGCCGGCCACAACGAGACACCAGCGTAGCTCGATCCGACACCTCCGCTTCTACTTCCCCCGAACGAGGGGTGGTAGACTTGGACGATGACAACGACTCTCTCATGCTGAATGCGAACGACTCCCAGTCCTCCCTCGCTCCCTCCGTGTCCCCCGACTCCAACGAAGAAGCCGCCCGCCGCGCCCTAGAGGAGAGATGTCGCGTGTCGCCCATATCCAGGTTACCTGCAGAACTCATGATCCACATTTTCTCCAAGCTTTCGTCCACGGGAGATCTATTCAACTGCATGATGGTGTCAACGGAATGGGCGAGGAATAGCGTCGGTTTGCTATGGCACAGGCCCTCGACAAGCAAGTGGGAGGGTGTGAAGAACGTCATAACAACAGTCAGGACGACCAAAAGCTACTTTGAGTACAGCAACCTGATCAAGCGTTTGAACCTGTCTGCTCTGAACAGCGATGTTAGCGATGGCACTCTGCAGCCACTCTCTAGCTGCAAGCGCGTGGAGCGCCTCACCCTTACCAACTGCTCGAAGCTCACCGACTTGAGTCTGACGGCTATGTTGCAAGGGAATAGGAGCCTTCTTGCGCTAGATGTCACAAACTTGGACGCCATCACAGACAAGACCATGTTCACGCTGGCGAGCAATGCCATTCGCCTGCAGGGGCTCAATATTACAAACTGCAAGAAGATTACGGATGAATCGCTCGACGCTGTGGCCCGCGCTTGCCGACATTTGAAGCGAGTAAGTTTAACACCACACACTTTTCGTAGAGAGCGTCGCACTAATTGACCTCAAGCTCAAATTGAACGGTTGTAGCCAGCTCACCGACAAGGCTATCATCTCGTTCGCTCTGAACTGCCGCTACATCCTCGAAATAGATCTGCACGACTGTCGGAACCTCGAGGACGAATCAATCACTACCCTCATCACAGAAGGACCTCATCTGAGAGAACTACGACTGGCTCACTGCTCGAGAATAACTGACCAAGCCTTCCTGCGTCTTCCATCCGAGGCGACTTATGAGAGTCTCCGCATTCTGGACCTCACGGACTGTGGCGAGCTCCAGGATGCCGGTGTGCAGAAGATTATCCAAGCTGCTCCTCGACTTCGCAACCTCGTTCTCGCGAAATGCAAGCTCATCACGGATCGTGCAGTCCTGGCCATCACACGTCTTGGCAAGAACCTGCACTACATCCATCTAGGCCATTGTGCTCGGATCACCGACACTGGCGTCATGGCTCTCGTCAAACTATGCAGTCGCATTCGATACATCGACCTGGCATGCTGCTCCAACTTGACAGATCAATCCGTGAAGCAGCTCGCCACACTCCCCAAGCTGAAGCGCATCGGATTGGTGAAATGCAGCAATATCACCGATCGCAGCATCTATGATCTTGCCAAACCGAAGCAGTCCGGACATGGCGGACCCATAGCCCCAAGCGTACTAGAGCGAGTTCATCTGAGTTACTGCATCAACCTCACCCTGCCAGTAGGTATTTCTGATGCTCTTGCTGACCATCGCTAACCGTCCCAGGGAATCCAAGCTTTGTTGAACAACTGCCCACGGCTCACACATTTGAGTTTGACTGGCGTCCAAGCTTTCCTGCGCGAGGATCTCGTGGTCTTCTGTCGCGAAGCCCCACCTGGTATGTATTGTCCGTCCGACTATTCCAACAATAGCTGACAAGTTTGTAGAATTCACCGAGCACCAGCGAGATGCGTTCTGTGTCTTCAGCGGGGTTGGCGTAACACGGCTGCGCAACTACCTGAATGCAGACGCTCTGTCTGACAGCCGTCAAGGGCGTGTGCTCTTTGACAATGACGGAACCATGTTCGACGACGGCGAGGAACCCGAGATGATTGTCAACGTCACTGCTCAGGCAAATGGCATGGCAATCGACGAGATGATGGACGAGGACATTGGCGGCGATAGCGAACTGATGGATCAGAACTAGGTCCAGATGAGGTTTGGTCATATTGGCTGACATTGCGTCCTGTCGTCCACCTCATTCCCAGCCCCCAACAAAGGGTAGTCGACATAAAAGTTCATGGTTCTCACTCACGAACAAAGAGGCACCTTCATTATTCCCCATCGGTGCCACTGCCGAATTCGGTTTACTAGCATTAGCGATTCCTTTTTAACCTTTCTTATGTTCATATTGCAGGCATTGCGGGAATACACAGGGATCCAGACATCTATTTCATCATTTTTTTGTTCTTAGCACATGAGTTTTCAGTCACGGCCGGCATTAGGTGGGGTCTCATACTCTGCGGAGGAATACGGTGCATGATGGGACGGGCGACGACGAACGGCCGCATGGGGTGGATAAGAGTGTGTTTGATACCCATGTATACGTGCGAGAGGGAGAGAGACTGTTGTCAATCAAGAGGGAGGAACCAAGTAGTAATTACTTGTAAACACAATGAAATCAATAGAGACTATTGTCGACGGTCAAGGACATATGTATATTCGACCTCTCAATGCCAGTACGTGAGCTGCTATAACTACACTCTCTATGTCCACCACAACCGATCACTACACTGTATGTATATACTCTCTGATCTACAAGGTACACTGTACGCGCTCGCCAGCAAAAAAAAAAAACCATACCCTCTACCTCCTACCTCCTCTCCACCCTCGCCGCAGCAACACTCCTCTGCCACGCCCCGAGCACGAAATCCCTAATCCTCTCCGTATCCTCCGCCTTAACCGGATAATGATGCCCCATCTCGCACTCCAGCACCTCGCTCTTCCCCTCACCCACCTCATACGCCCCCTCAATCAACAGCCTTCCCGCCCACTCCCACTCATCCTGCATCCCCTGCACATGCACCGTCGGCGTCCGTATCCTCCCCCCCTCAACCCGCTTTCTCTCCTCTCCAGGCAAGCTCTCCAGCGCCCGCAGCGCAGGCGAGGGCAGAAGGCCAGGTGGAAACGACCCACACACGCTAACACCGAACGCGAAGTCCCTGCACCAATCCCCATCCTCCCCTGATGACGCTGGGACAGACGCGAGGATCTCAGCGGCCTGAAGCAAGCCCGCAACCACGCGCGTGCCCTGGCTGAACCCGATCAACCCCACGACCTGTGACCCCTCGCGCCGCACCTTCATCACCGCGTCGCGGATCACGGTTTCCGTTTCCTGCGGCATCGCTTGCACGCCCACTTCTGCGGGAGAAGTAGAGGAAGGGTTGGGGGTAGGCTGTGTCCGAGTATCCGGGGGCAACCACCGCTTAAACGGCCCGCAGCCCTCGAAGAAGGGGAGGACGCCGGGTCCTGCGCTGGAGGGGAAGGGCGCTTCGAGGTCGAGGAGGGTGAAGTGCGGGCGGAGGTGGCGGGACAAGCGGGCGAGTTGGATGGTGTGGATTGTGGAGTTTGAGCCTGAGCCGTGGAAGGTGAGGATTGTGGGTTTGGGAGGGGTGGGCGAGGGGGAGGAGGGGGAGGGGGTTATGAAGGTTGTTGTCATTTTTGAGGTGCGTTGGAGTGGTGGTGGTGATGTTGTGTTTTGTGGATGGGTGGGTGGTTGAGTAAGTAGTTATAGATAGAGAACTAGGGTTGTTTTACGGGGTTACTATGCGTCGGCTCTTTCGTCTGGTGTTTGGGATATTGAGCAAGTTTGGTGGTTTGGATTTTGGAAAAGGTAATTTCTCTTCAAGTGCGTAGATGTAGTGGTGTTGTTCCTTGCTCTTGTCCTGATATTCACTGGTGGATAGTTTTCTGACGATTGACTCTCTCCGCAACTGGGGTGATGCACCGTGGCCGAATGGTAGATAAGTCTCTTTCCCTTCTCATTACAATTAATGGAAATGCTTTCCGGTCGGTGGCTCCGTGGGCGTGTCCTGTTCTTTCAATCCGAGCTGTATTTGGGAAATTGGTCGTTAGGTTGATTTTCCTCGCAAGATCTCGTTTTCCGTTTGTCGTTCTCCTCCAAACTCAAGCCGAGCTTCGGAATAATGTAAGCCAGCCAGCCAGCCAGCCGCGTTTATTACGTCACTCCGGGTTCTTGCTCGCTTCGCAGGTTTGTGTGGTTTCTCCAGGTCACGGGTGTGAATTAAATTAGCCGTGGGTTCAATGCGGATGGTGACTGTTCTTTCGGTCGTCTTGTGTGGGCGGTAGTAATGCAAAGGTACGGAAACATATGAAGGGTCCAGACAGCTGCGATGAGGTTCTGGGGAGATAAGGTAATTCGGGGTCCGAGGTGCAAGGGTTGCCGGTTAGAGGCTAGTAAGTGGTGCTTGCAAGGGTGTACGCTGAGGATATGATATAAAATCAAGCACGAAGTGGATGTGTAGGATACAGACGTAGTGGTAAAATATGATAGAAAAAATAACTTCACATAAAGAGGTATGCCTGTGGACATAAAATAGTCTGCTGTTTCCGACAGCTTTCTCGACCTGCTCTTACTCGCTAGGTGTGAATCGCTGATATCCAGCCTTGCAAAGGAAAAATTGTATTGTACATCATGAAGAAAATATGTAAAATCAATGAAAATGAGTCCAGCTCGTGTTTTTGGAGCCAATAAATTCGGAAACAAAAGAACGAAACAGGGAGAAGCTGGTTAGCCAGAAGCACGAAAACTCCACCTGTCGAACAGAGAGGTACGACATGAAAACCCCACACATCCTTGCTATGGAGTCGGCTCGGAATTCTTGAGCAAGCTCGTCCTGGAGGCCGTACTTGGGGATTCTATACTCGCTCCTGAGCTGGCCCTGTGTCTGTGAAGGCTATGATGGCTGTGAATACTGTCCGAGTCGTCCTTGACCTTCTTTAAGATTTCGCGGCCAACGTCTGACTTCCCAAGACGAGCAACCAACTTAGTATTCTCCCTTTGCAGTTCGCCAATTTGTTCCTTGAGCAATTTGTTCTCTTGCTCGGCTAGATCAGCTCTTTCCTTCCACTCGTTTCGCTCCCGCTGTAGCTTGTTAAGTCGATTCTTATCAGCTTCCTTCTGCTGGCGGGCGAGCAGTTTCTTCGTCTCCCGTTCACGGCGTTGTTCAAGCTTCTCCACTTCACGGTTGAACTTCTCTTCCTGCTTTTTGCGCTCGCGGTTGTGTTTTTCAATCGCCTTTTCCATCTCTTTAGCAGACTTCGCATTAGCCTCGCTCGCCTCTATTCCTTGCCTTTCTCGAGCTTGTTCGAGCTTTTCTCTCAGTTGCATTCGCTTTTGTTCAATCTTTTCGAGTTCCCGGCTCATCTGGACATGGTTTTGCTGTGGATCTGAGACGGCGCCCGACTTCTCCGATACAGATGATGGGGTTGGCATGCCATCATCCAGACGCACGCCCTCATGAGCGTCGCCAAACTGCTCGGCTGAAACCCAAGAGTCGACAGATGATATAGAAGACGCGCTGGAGCTGCGAGAGTCTGTTCTTTGCAGCGGGTTCAAAGAATCTGGGATATATGCACCCACGGCATCTGTCACGGCGTTCATGATACCAGGTTGGCCATCATTTGCTATATGTGATGATCGTCTTCCTAGGCCAGGAGTCAATGAGTTATCTGCAATGCTGGTACCGACTCCAGCTAGTATTCCATTCCCGTCCGAGATTGAGAATTGTCTGTGATCGGCATGATGTAAAGTGACATCTGCGGCTCCATCCAACTCTCCATGCATCGGAACATCCTCTGTGGTGACTGCCCAGGTCAGGAATTTGCCTGCATCTTGTACAATGCTGGAAGGTGTATTTCGCTCCACCATGAAGCGCGGAATGCCGCCTCCAGGATCACTCCGCGTGACCATGATCCATTCCACCGGGTTTGTTTCAGGGTCATCTCCGGCTACGCTGTCTTGTCGGTTGATGTCGTTTGATTCAGATGCAGCAGATTTGCAGAGGGGTATCTCTCGGATCATTTCTATAGACTCGTAGAAGCCGCGGACGAGGCCTTGTCTAGGTGGGGCCTCTGGATGTGTCACGGGTATGGAGACCACCATAAAGTGTCGAGGAACTATGCCGGCTACCTTGGAAGCTTCGCTAAGCGCATTCTCGGACGTAAGTAGTAGTGTGATGAATTCTCGAGGGGCGACAGGACCGGGGAACTGGGCGGAGAGCTGATAGACTGAGCGCGCGTGGATGTCAGTGCTGGTTATGCAGGCTAGACAAGCTTCTAGTCATTGATTAAGAAAGGGACAGGCGTACCTTCAAGCTTTCCTACACCCTCTACATTTATATCTTCGAGCCTTCTGTCGCCACCAATTCCTCTAATGTTTCCTTCTCCAGGGCCACCTTGCACCTCTAAGCTTTCAGGGAACTCTCGTATCATGGCTCTTTTCCACTTCGCGAACCCTAAGCCTTCATGCACGCTTGTTCGAGCGAACCAGGCACCATGTCTATCATTTCCCGCCATTTTGTAAACCGATATCTCCAATGGATTATCCTTTGCGGATAATTTCACTGGCTTCCCCCATGCCTTCTGTAGCTCGGCTTGCTCCTTGGAAGGTGGCGGCCGTCTGACTTTCGAGACTGCGATTTCCTGTAGGACTGTAGCTGGGTGAGCACCTGGGCGAGACCGCTGTGCTTTGTCGAATGGCGTTCCATTGGGAGGCTCGGGCACTGAATTCGCTATCAATTCGCCTTTGCAGAATAGGTCGGCAAGGAAGGTTTGAAGTTCGTCGAGGGGTACATCGCTGTAGTCTTTCGGACGTAAGCTCTCGAGAGCCTGGTGAAGCTGCTGTGACATGTCGCTGCAGTGTGAGTGCTGGCGAGGCTCAAGACACCTGAGAGACACCCCTCTCAAAAGTAGCCGTATACGAGGAGCAAGTTTGTGGGGTTGAGGTGTGGCTAGTTTGGCGCACTGTTTCTAAGCTGTCTCTAAGCTGTCCCTTAGCTGTCTCTATTGGATGCCGCGATCTCCGGCACGGTGATGTGTGGCTCAGCGACGAAGAGTGAGATCACGACTAAAGAACATGGAAAGGCGGGTATCGAACAAACAAGCAATTGCAGACAAGACAAAAGGCATAGGAGAATAAGGTTGGCAGAAGAAATCCTATCAGGCTGTAGGGCAGGTAAACATGGCATTCACGCGACCAACTTGAGGTAAGGGTATCGTAACTCGTATGTTTAGTGTCGAGGACAGGCGGAGAATGGATTGTCCCGTAAGGACGAATAGCCAGTGCTGGATCAATGATGATGATGACGTATCATCCCTGTTCCCCGCGCTAATCCTCAGATGCCAAGACTGACGGCTTCTCCTTTGGGGCTGGAACAAGGCGGAACCTCACCAAATGCCCGCCCACGCGTATCGGGAACGGCGTATCCCCTACGAATACGCCGACGCACTACGCCGTATCTAACAATGTGTACGACCATTTCATTGTGGATCGTGCTTCGGGCAAAAACCACGTCCGATTTTGCGACTAATCAGTCGGCTTTGTTACGGGGAATCTCCTGGTCGAATAGAGAACTCAAGGGTCTTTTCGCACGAGCTTCGTACGAAAGATGTTTGAATGGTTTCGTACAAGCATTTGACAATTCGAGTTCCAATTGGCAATTGGACAATTGTTTTATTCAAGAACAATGTGGCATGTGATTGCGACCTGCACTGAGGATTCGAATACAAATAATTTGAATGCAAATGAGAGGGGTATCAACGCGCGCACCATAAGCACCCTGACCGTTCCACCAAATCTGATATGTATATATGCAAGGAAATCCGCATTTACAACTATACAAGCACGTACAACGCGCACATCTGAGTAAAGTCAGCTTGGAAGAGCACGGGCTAGGGTTGGAGATGGCATACCATAGAGAGACCAAGAATCATGGAGCACCAGAACAGAACGTTGTTCAAGAGGGTGCGGCCTTTGACGAATCGCGACCGCTGCACCATCACGATAGGCATTTGAAGCATCATGGCAAAGAATCCATAACCACGGAACTTCCTGGTAATGCAACCCATAACAAGTTCATGAGCTAGAGCACTGATGAAAAATGTGATGGTCGTTGCAAGCGGTCGTGACATATGCCCTCGGGAAGCGGAATAGACATGTCTCCGGAAGAAATGATGTACGGGCTTGTTCCATTCTCGAGAGAACTCAAGCCAATCGCAACTGTTCCACCAGTCTGCATAGAATTGCCGATCCGCGAAGCCTTTAAAACATCAGTAAATTCATGCCTGCGGTAGGGAGTCAATCAACACTTACGGGTGATCTCAGCGAATGCACCAAGAACATATTCGAAGATGACCAGGAACACGAGCAAGAAGGTGACCATGAATGGGAAAAGTAAACGGCCAATGGTCTCGCCCAGGATCAATCCGAAGTCTGAGGCATTCTTGGATTCCTGGAGCCTGACAGCCGATTCATCTAGTACAGGCAGAATGAATTCTTCTGCCGTGACAATCATCAGGAAGATGCATCCGAAGACGGCAAGCATCTTGTAGAAGACCTCCATAGGGCGGATTCGTGCCGTTCTTGGGTACTCGATCTCATAACAGAGTGTTGGGCAGAAGATGAAGTCAACGTAGTTTGCCCAAGTAAGATTTTGGGGATAAGAAACGCGACCTAGTGGGGAAGCCAGTTCAAAAGCCAAATCCTCTCGAAGTTGTCGAATCTCCTCTTGGTTCGCATCGTCATGTTCCTCAGTTGATGGCGACTGTGGAATTTCATGGAGATGAGTGCTTGAACTTGGGTATCGGTATGCAGCTGCTTTGGAAGCTTTATCCGGCGTATCTAAATCGTTAAGACGGCGTCGTGTTTCACTAAGATGACCGTTGTAGAAAGCATATGAGTGCATCTTCATGAAGATTGCTAGAAGATGTAGCGTAAAGAAAACCTGTGCGGTCCAGCTCCAATCGCGAACAAACGGGTAGGAGGTCCAGAAAAGAAGCCACAGAGCTTGATAGATGCTCTGGATTGCCATGCCGCCCTTGGACCAGCGAAGTGCATCCTTGCTGTTCATGAACAGTTTGTGGAGTGGAAGCGAGATCGCAGTGCTACCGACCATAGCGCCGTCAGCGATTCCCAACTCCCACACCTTGTCGGTGAATAAAGCCCATTGCCTGATGAACAACGGGTATCCTGTTTCCTTGTAATTTCGTAGCATGCTGGTGATGACCATGATCGCTAGTCCAATCCAGAACAGAACGAAGAATCCACTGAAGTCTTGATAATCGCTTGAAGGGTCGAAATGTGAAACTCGGTCTACATATTCGATAGTGGGGAATATGCGCTGTTTCTGTTGCGCGCGGATTTGGCGGCGTGCGGAGGATGAAGCTTGAACTGATGGCGGCGCATCGGCCGGTATAGGGGTGCTGCGACCGCTAAGAAGAGTCAGTCAATGGGATCTAGATATATAACCCGAACGTTGAGTCGACTGTAACGCATCTGCCAGGTACAACGTGGCCGTTCAATTCTGCTGGCTGAATACCCGCGACTCGCGATTGAAGCTGGTCGGGTTTTGCGCACACCAAATCGACCAAATGCTCTGTCCACTCTTGTCTTCCCAACTCACCTCGATACATCCGAGGATATCTCCTTGATGGTAGGGTTTAGGAGCTCTTCGCTGAGGTGCGGCTTCAGTAGTTGGATGTGGTTAGGCTTTCGAGGCCGAGGCTGGTGATATTCGCCATTTCCATTCTGCTGCTTGGTGTTTATGGAGGTAGATTCGGCCATTATGTGGAGGAGGTTGTGCGCATTCTGTTCAATGTCGGGTGTGTGTGGAAGGAACTTGAGTTATAAACGGTGATGCTGTCAGCCCAGACAATTCGGCGATCAACGCCTGTCACAGATGGCAGTTCGGCGTCAGAAGAGGCAGTGAATGCCCCAGGGTATGCAGAAATGATAGGAAAGCCAACGTAAGCGGACGTTGTTCGGAGGACAAACGAGGAAAGGAAACGACAATGAAGGTCCTAAATCGGCTATTCGATGAGAATTTATGTACGACGATGAGCTATTAGGTGTATATGGTGAAGCAACTATAACGGAACATGGACCATGGACATGGACATGGGAGAGCAGGGTCGGTGGAAGAAACGGCAACGCGCGACCCGACGCCCATGACCGATGACGATACAGGACACAAGACAAGCGGACCCTGGCCGAACTCGTAGTAAGTTGCGAGGGTGCGAGGGTACGAGGGTAGGTGCCTGGTCAAGCTTAGTGGCGGCTAATCGATTCTCCGACTACCGATCGATGCTGAGCGTTGTCCAGTTCGCGATTGCAGTGTAGTAGCAAATCACGAAAAGGATCATATTCGAGAACTCTTGACGGCCAATATCCCAAATTCGAAGCCAGGGAAACCCTTTCGCCTGCAACCCCGATTCCCAGTGACGACCGCACCGAGCCTTGGTGGGGTCCTCGAGACCGCTAGATGGCTTCCTGTACGCCAAGCATCCCGAACAACATCTCGAAGTTTATAAATCAGACATACTGATGGATGTCTAGTGAAGCAGTTTATTCGGAATGTGCGAGCGGCGAAAACTATAGCAGATGAACGGGCGGTAGTCCAGAAGGAGAGTGCTGCAATCCGAGCGAGCTTTAGGGAGGAGAGCCACGACTCCAATGTGAGGTGGGTCCATAACCCAATCCATTATGGTCGAGTAGTAATTGACCATGAGAAGGAGGAACAACGTTGCGAAGCTTTTATATCTTTTTACTTTGGGAGAAAGAACGCATTTTGGACAGATAGAATGTCTGAAATTGCTGGCCTCCCCCCGCTTTGCGGACAAACGATTGGGCTACCTGGGAACAATGCTTCTGCTTGACGAGAACCAGGAAGTCTTGACATTGGTTACCAATTCCTTGAAGAAGTAAGCCGCAAGCCATCATTCCAGCTTTCTCAACTAAAATGCCTGTCTAGTGACCTCAACCACCCCAACCAGTATATCGTTGGCCTTGCCCTCTGCACCCTTGGCAATATCGCATCGGTCGAAATGTCTCGAGACCTGTTCCCCGAAGTAGAGAACATCATATCAAGCTCAAACCCATACATTCGACGGAAGGCAGCGCTATGCGCCATGAGGATATGCCGGAAAGTGCCCGATCTGCAAGAGCACTTCTTGGAGAAGTCCAAACAGCTGCTTCAAGATCGGAATCATGGAGTATTGCTCTGTGGCCTGACTCTTGTGACGGATCTTTGCGAAGCAGATGAAGCAGAAGACGACGAGAATGGCATCAAAGAAATGTTCAAACCAACCGTACCAAGCCTGGTAAAGATATTGAAAGGGCTCTCAACATCTGGTTATGCTCCTGAGCACGACGTTACAGGCATCACCGATCCATTTTTACAGGTCAAGATTCTGCAACTCCTCAGGGTGCTCGCACGTGGGGATGTCTCCGTCAGTGAACAAATCAATGATATTCTAGCACAGGTACGCCGGCTTCCATTATTTTCAATGATTCAGTTCTGATTAAGCTACCTAGGTTGCTACCAACACGGAGTCGTCGAAAAATGTCGGAAATTCAATTCTCTACGAGGCCGTTCTTACAATCCTAGACATTGAAGCGGACTCTGGTCTCCGTGTGCTCGGCGTTAACATCCTCGGCAAATTCCTTTCGAACCGCGACAATAACATTCGATACGTTGCACTGAACACGCTTATCAAAGTTGTCGCCATTGAGCCGAACGCTGTCCAGCGCCATCGCAACACAATTCTTGATTGTCTGCGCGACCCTGATATCAGTATTCGCAGGAGAGCGCTGGATCTGAGCTTTACCTTGATCAACGAGAGCAATGTGAGGGTCTTGATCCGAGAGCTGCTAGCTTTCCTTGAGGTCGCAGATAACGAATTTAAGCCTGTAATGACCTCTCAGATCGGCATCGCAGCGGATAGATTCGCCCCGAACAAGAGATGGCATGTTGACACCATGCTTCGCGTATTAAAACTGGTAAGTCTGTGTGTGGCCTTTCCTGGGATGGAGTGCTAACAGTAATTTAGGCAGGCAATTACGTGAAGGAACAGATCCTCTCTTCCTTCGTCCGTCTTATTGCAACAACCCCTGACTTACAAACGTACTCGGTCCAGAAGCTTTATGCCGCTTTGAAAGATGATATCTCGCAGGAAGGTCTAACGCTTGCGGGCTCCTGGGTGATCGGCGAGTATGGAGATGCTCTACTTCGTGGAGGACAGTATGAGGAGGAAGAGTTGGTGAAAGAAGTCAAGGAAAGCGACATCGTCGACCTTTTTGAGACCATTCTGAGCAGCAGCTACGCTGGTCAAATCGTCACCCAGTACATCGTCACCGCTGCGATCAAACTCACCACCCGACTAAGCGACGCTGCGCAAGTGGAAAGACTACGGCGATTCCTCCAACGATATGGCACGAATCTCGATGTGGAAATCCAGCAGCGTGCTGTTGAATACGGCAACCTTTTCGCTTACGACCAGATCAGGAAGGGTGTCCTTGAAAAGATGCCCGCCCCTGAGATTCGTGAAGAGCAAAGAGTGCTAGGAGAAGCGACCAAAAAGAAGCAGACGAAGGTTACGAAGAAGAAACCCGCACAATCTGCCACGGAGGATCTGCTGCTTGATCTCATGGGTGATCCGGGTACAGACGGGGGAGCTACAACTAATGGCACTCAGGCTCAAAGTGCCGATCTACTAGCAGACATCCTCGGTGGAGGAGGGCCATCAACTTCATCGCCTCCGCAAACAACTTCCCCACCTCCCAACAACGTCAGCTCCATCATGGATCTTTTCAACAGCGGCCCTTCGGGTTCTCCAGCACCTGTCCCATCTCAGCAGCCCTCGGCACCAGCGTCCATGGATCTCCTCGGTGGCTTGTCTTCACAACCCACTCCATCCCCTGCGCCCGCCTCATCCGGGCCACCAGCACACGGTGTTTACAACAAGAATGGCCTGACGATTACTTTTCAACTCAAGCGCGATGCAAATGCTATTCAAGTGCTTGCACGGTTCCGTAATACTGGTGATTTCTCGCATCTTAGTGCTGTCAACCTTCAAGCCGCTGTCCCCAAAACGCAAAAGTTGCAATTGCAGCCTATTAGCCAGGGTGAACTAGATGGAGGACAGGAGGCCACTCAACAGATGAGGATTACAGCTGTAAATGGGGTAAGTTCTAACCATCCAACGTTCTATGCACGCATCACTAACCGATTACAGCCTCCTCCTGCTCGATTACGATTAAGGCTCCGACTTGGATACGCCAATGGTGGCAATCCGGTCCAAGAACAACTCGACTGGTCGGAGCCCGCGTGATTACCATTATATTTCGGACTTAAGAAAGGGGATTAGCTAGTCTTTGGCAATGCTTGGGGTCACTTGGTTTCATAGGCTCATGAGCGTGCGCGTGATAGAACATTGTGTATACAGCGACGAAAGCGTGGGAACATCCACGCAAAAACAGCACATGTGACAAGTTTGCATGGCGAAATATTCATCAGAAATTAACTTTCTATACCGAGACTCGATTACGTGGCCCATGATCTCTTTAATCCCCTTTTTAACGATTTACTTTCCAAACACCTTGAACGGATGCGCTTCGGTATTGAACACCCATTTGTTCTTCCCCGCTTCATCCACCTGCCACTCAGCATCCGGAGCCTGGATCAGATAACTATACTTCAGAACCTCCGCAAACCAGAAGCTCTCCTGGAAATCCGTGAAACTGCCACCGCCTGGTACATTCACGTTACTAATACTACTATACCCGCTGCCAACTCTCGTCGTAGCATTGATCGCCTCGAACGCACTCCACGCCCAATCCTGGTACTTTGTGTCCCCAGTGGCGCGGTAGGCGTAGTAGAACGACTCGATGACCTCGGGCCGGAGCTGGTATCCCGCGTTTGTGATGTAGAACCCCGATTTATTGAACAGCGCCTCCTGGCCTTGTGGCACGAGCGAGGCGTTCCACCCGAAGATCTCGGGGCCGATGCCCGTCGCGGTGCCGACGTATGTCTCGTGGCAGCCGTTGACGAGCTCCAGGCCGTAGTCAATGTATTCTTTCTTGCCGAGGACTTGGCCGCCGAGGATGAAGTTTCCGCCGTCGAAGCAGGCGAGGTGCTGGGAGACGAGGTTGAGCTTCGTGCCATCATACATGGCGAGGAAGGTGAGGTCGGGGCGGGAGGATGGGTGCGAGGTGAGGTGCTTGATAGTGCTATCTGCGGCGACGATCCAGCGGTCGCGGTAGAGTTCGTAGCGGGCTGGGTCGTAGACGTACATCTTAATGAGGTATTCATAGAACTGTGTGTGTTAGTTGTATGTGATTTGGGTAATCTCGAAGGAGGTTGCGTACGGAATCAGCGCCTCCAACCCAGCCGCCACGGGCGTCGACGAAGTTGCCCGTGGCGACATCGATATTCATGCCTAGTAGACCAGGGAATGGCTCTGAAGATGCGGGCTTGGGATTCAGAAGATAGCTCTCTGCCTTCTCTGTGAGTTCGGCATACGTCTTGTTTCCCGACAGATCGGCCAGTCGAACCCATTCGAGAACAAGCGTGCCAACAGTGGCGAGGCCGTTGTTTGACCCATCGTTCGAGCGATTCGCGAAGTTGAGAATGTTCCATGGTACGCCTGAAGGGGTCTCGAATGCATAGGAGAGGTTGTTGGCCAAGTTGATGGACTGTGCTAAGAGAGCATCAACATTTGCTTTCTGTACGCTGTCAGGTGGGATTCATTCGACGTTAGAATGCAACGGATTGTCAATGCATTACATTGTCCGCAAGATCCGATAACGGCCCAGTTAGAAAGTCGTAACCTGAGAGTAATCCACCCAAGTAACGAATTGTAGTCTCGAAAAGACTGACGTCGCTGTCAGTCTTGCCGAAGTTGATCTTGGGGACATGGTCGAGAATTTGATTGACAATCTGCTTCTCGCCCATGATCAGCGCAGTGCTGAGTGCGTCAATGGCACTGGCACCCCAACCATTTCTATGTGGTGTTAGCCATTGGCATGTGTGTAGCTGCGAGGGACTTGCCTCGAATTGCTTGATCCGTTCTCAAGTGGGTTGAGCTCGTCATTTGGAAACGCGTACTTGTAGTACCCGTCCCACGAGACTCGAAATGCATCTACCACCGCTTGCGCGCGTTCATCGGCGCTGAGAGAGCGTGTCTGCCTATATTCTGGCAGATCTAGGGGCGCATTGTGGGGTAGAGCAAACACGACTGGAAGCAAAGCTCCTATGGCGAGAAATTTCATACGTGCCATTTCTGCCAGAAGTGTCAAGTGGAAGGAAGAGAACAATTATCAAGACCTTAATTACTCAGGGGTAGTACTTGTAGGCAGGTTAGGCCCTATATACTTCCTGTACGCCAAATTAGATATGACATGGTGTTCAGACGTTGTCGCTTTGAAGACAATGTGACCCATCAGGGCGGAGACCCGTCGGGGCGGAAGACTGTTGCTACTCTAGTATGTATGTCAATAACACTCTCACTTTCCCCCGCATACCCTGATGCTACCAGAGCATAGTATCTAGTTAGATGGTTGGCTGGGATCATGGGGGGGCATGTCTCGGACTAATCATAAACGCATAATCGTTTTGAGGATGGGAGTACAACGATGGGCGAAGCCGGGAGCTGTAGTTGCGCTACAGTTATTTGCAAGGTTGTCAGCAGACGCGTTACGGCTCAACATGCCCATTAGCTGTCGTCATTCAGCATATTGTACTCAGCAAGACCCATAAGTTTTCTTGGGTGAGAGAGGCATGTATAGCCAGGAACGGCAGCTGGATACAGTCCTGTGGCGTGGGGTCAGTTCCCTCGTGCAATTGCCAACGTGGTGGACTAGCACGAGATGGATTCGATGCCTGTCGCATGATTATTGGAATGCTGCGTTTTGAGTCCAATCTCCATGTTCTGTGCGACTTTTCTTGTGGCCCGCAATCTTCAAGAATGCGGGGGCGCGATCTCCAGGGGTGAACAGCCTGTGAACGGCCGTGCAGCAAGGTTACTGCACAGATCGTGCGCCATTCCCGAGGGGGCCATAATCTTATTCCAAGTCCGATCATTACTATGTAGATATCAGTCTCTTATTCTTGTTTGGTTCCTGTTTAGCTAGCAAGGCTTCGTCACATTCGAGGTACATTGGAACGGCAGGACCTGCCTAGCCTCATGTAATTGAATAGGATGTAACCCTCAGCATAATATTACTGTAAAGAAACTGTATCGACATGGGGTATTGGATTAAAACTATTGGGTGTCCTTGGAGCACAGCAGCCTCCTGCCCAACTTGAAGAGATCTGCACGACTTGGCTGGCCTGATATTGTAGTCTCCTGCATAGTCAAAAGGCGTCCTAAAATTCCGGTGGGGTTGCTATTGGTTCATGTCCAACATGTGATGCTTCGAAGTTCGAGGGTTATCCGGAGGTCTTCAAGAACTAGCTATACTACTTCCTCCAACTCGAAGCATTACACTGTACCCTCCATGTCAGCGAGGAACGACTCAGTCCCTCCCTGTCAGATCTCGCTTGAACACACGCGCTGTGTGCAACCCGGTAACGTCATAAGAAATACCCGACCACGAAAATTGGTCCTTCATTCGAAAAATCCGCCGTCACTCTCTTCACCATCATCTTCGACGATGGTATCGTTGGTATCATTTGTCGCCTTAGATTTAGTGGTCGGTTTGGCCTTTTTGTCTGTGTTCGACTTGTCCGTTCGTTTATTGCTCTCCTTTGAATTGGCAATGGCCGCCTTCTTAGGCTTCCTATTCCGTAAGGTGTTTAACGTATTGCTTTCCATTGCTTCTTCGATAGCTCTCCACATGTCCTTGTTGCCTTTTGGACCGTCCGTTTCGGTAGGTAATGTGGCATGGGTTTCGTTCGAAGTCGTGTCCTTTTCGCCTTTCTCTCCCTTCGGATACAGAGAGGCGTAGGGTTCTAGCAGCGGATGGTACATGGCGTAGTTTAGATCTACCTCCGCATTGTGAATCTTCTGTAATAGCCCGGGTCGTTCCGTTTCATCTTCGAGTGTTGATAGCTGGCGTCGCAACTTCTTGAGGGTCCTCTCGGCTCTCCTGCGATCTTACTCGACTTAGCATACACGCATATAGCCAATAAATAGGACGATAACTTACCAAAGAACCTTACTTGATGATATTTGCTGATCATCTTGTTCTTGAAGACAGCTTCTCGTCCTGCGGTACTCTTTTCCACCAACTCATGTTCCAAAGTCTCCAACTCTCTTTCACGCTCTACCCTTATCCCCGCTGGCATCCTATACTTTGGTTGGTTGTCCACATGCTCCAGCAATCGCTTCAGGTCGCGTATTCGACTTTTGATCCCACTCGTGGCATTTGCTTTTGGTTGGGGTTTCGGATGATTTCCGGCCTTGAAATTCGAACCTCCAGCTTTGAAGTTCGATCGCGCTTTCTTGGATGAACCCTGGACATTGGCGCTCGCGCCGAGATCTTCGGCATGCTTCCTTTTTTGCGACATCTTTGGTTGATTGAGCTGTTAAGGATTGATCGTTGGAGAAGTTGGATGTTTTGGAAATTTTAGCGGGGCGGCAGAATCGCTCACCGCTTGGATGGCATGCCAAGCATGACTATTGGCCATCCCAACCACCTGCCAGTCACTTGTGGTGAACGTTCAGGCTATGCTTCCACTTGCTTAAAGAACCGATCAATCCGAATCATTAGCGTTCGACTTTTTATGCTTGTATGGGCACAATGCAGTTTGTGTCTGGTTTACTGGTGTTCTGAAGCATAATTGTACTACATGCCCGCGCTCGCCTCGTTCATCCTCAACGCGAGATATCGACAACATGGAGGCTGCCATTCGGTGGTCACCGCATTCAACCCAGCAAGATCCACGTTTCTTAATAATCGATGTCGCTGTCAACCGACTGCGATTGTGTCAAATTGATCATATTGACAAGGGTAAGGTAAAATACAAACAGCTTTGCGTTCGCGACAAGCTCCCCAATTACACTGCCTTCGACTGGTCAAAACGAGATGAGCACATAGTCGCAGTTGGATCTGCTTCTGGCGAGGCAGTCATTGTATCAATGGATGCAGACCATCCACAGATTGACTATAACCATACTTTTCCGATCAAACATCAACGTAAATGCAATTCTATAGCATTTAGTTCTAAGAACTTTCTTGCTACCGGATTGGATAGAGTTAGGAATGATGTCTGCCTCAACATTTATGATCTCAATACCCCGACATTGACCTCAAGCTCCGAGCCGTATAGGAAACTGGCAAGCTCCGAGGCAATCTCTAGTATCAAGTTTTTCAATAACCAGCCCGATACTTTAGTGGCCGGTGTATCGAGGCAATGCATTCGCATATACGACTTACGAGGTACCGCATGATGTTCGACAGCGATTATATGCTATCCGCTAATTCACGCAAGATTCCGGTACATCGGGAGTCGCACAGTATCCTACTCGTCAGGTCCACAACATCGCTATAGACCCACTAGACGAGAATTACTTCATCTCAGCTGGGACAACAGGCGATCCATCCGTCACAGTTTGGGACCAGCGCTATGTGAAACAAAGAACCTCTAATGACTCCACGAGCAACGGCGCGGTGCTTGAGTTCCGCCCGGTAGTCGACAACAGCCAATCAGCCACTATCTGGAGTCTTCGATATACCGGGACCAAGAGAGCTACCTTTGGTGTTTTGGCCAACACTGGCGAATTCAAAGTTGTCGAACTTGCTCAACATACTCATCGACTAGAAGCTCACCAGGTAGCAAGTGCGGGGCCATACGCGCAGGCCTGGGCATCTCCACATTATACCAAAACATCCCATAACTTGAGGTATCCATGGTACGACGAAAGATTCCGTGACAATGAGAGATCGCGTGTTGTTGCATACGATTTCATGACGTCTGGTAGCCCACTCAATGGACAGTGTGCACTCTCCCTTCTACCAAATCGAGAGATCGAGATTCTCAAGGTACCACAGCAAGCACCGACGATTAATTTCACGGCTTTAGATGAAATCGCTCGTGATCGAGGCATTGTGGCCAGGCCAAGCATGAGACATGGAACTGTAGCAGAAGACTTGATAGACCTCCAAAACCAAACGTTGAGTGAGAAGCTCGGCATCTCACCCGATCCGAAGGACAGTCTCTCCGGTAGGCTAGATAAACTCACTATCGACCACCCGCATCGTACTATTCCACTTGAATCGGCAACTTTGTCAAGCATGCAAATGCATGAGGACCTCCTTACTCTGGCATACCCTGATGTGCAGATACCACTCGGAGACCATCTGAAAGTACTACAGACCCAGAAGAGGCGTTGTCAGGAAGGCTACAACCTAGATTGTCGCAAGAACAAAGAAATCGTTTCCAACGACCCTTGGCTGGTGGATGCTTGGAATCTCGTTGAGCGACTGGACGCACATGCATGGGGAGATGGCATGGTTGGTGGAGATCTGGATCTCAAATACCTTGGAGTGTTGTCTATATGGACAAACAAGTTGCAAATGTACGATCAAAGAATGATTGACCCGGACGCGAAGACTTCGAAGACTATCTTCGTAGAAGCTGTAAAGGAAATTGTTACGGCCAAAGAACTCCCTCCTTACTCCGGCATAGGAACGCGCTATCCAGAGAATCGCCAATTATGCCTCTCGCTTTGCGGATGGAATTTATCCAAGAAAGGTCTTCGAGAAAGGTGTTCAATATTGATGGATGAAGGCCAATATTACAAGGCAATTGTTCTCGCGGTATTTCAGGGATATAAGGACGTCGCTCTTGATCTGCTGAAAGAATCCATCCAGCAGAAGAAGTTGGAAAATGTTGGCTTAGGCGCTGTGATTGCTTGCGACTCGGCCAATGAAGATCAACGCCATATGTGCTCTTGGATGGCCGAAATGACCGACGAGCCATATCTTAAGGGACTACTGGCCTATTTCATCAGCGGTGACTGGACCACTGTAGTTGAAATGACCCAGCTTGCTTTGAGTGACAGGGTGGGTGTGGCACTTAAGTATTTGAGTGACGAAATGCTTACTCACTTTCTCAAACTTGCTACTACCGAGACGATTGCGTACGGAAACATTGAAGGCCTCCTCCTCACCGGCTTGACAGAGAAAGCCATGGATCTTTTTGAACATTACATTGCTAAATACGGCGACTTGCAGTCCGCTGTGTTGATACTTTCGCGCGCCTGTCCATTATACATTCAGGATGCTCGCTGGCCTTTATGGAAAGATATCTACTTGAACCAGATGCAAGTATGGCGAACATTCTTGGAGCGAACGCATTATATCAAAGAACACAATCTGAAATGCGTATCACGCGAAGGAAAGAGCATCAACAAGCCTTCGGCTCCGAGTCTGGCGATTCGATGTCCCAATTGTCAACAAAATCTTGCTCTTCGCAAAGATCTGAAGACCTCCCGGCAGTATCTGACACCCCTGGGTGACCGTACAAAACCGCAACATACAGGCCCAAAGCAGCGACCACATCCGCCAAGGGGTACTGCATCATCGCCGTCACTCGCTTGTCCGAATTGCAATGCGCAGATGCCGCGTTGTGGTTTGTGTATGATGTGGTTAGGATCGCCAGATCCGAGCAAAGTGGGTGCAGCGCAGGCACTCAAAGAAGAGGACCTGGAAGCCAGACTGATGGTTTTCTGCATGAGCTGTACTCACGGCTTTCATGGTCACCATGCTAGAGACTGGTTTGCTAGGCATGCAATGTGCCCAGTTCCCGATTGTCAGTGCATGTGTGGCTTACTCAAATGATGCAGGAGGTGTCTCTTGATGGTACATAAAGACGTTCTACGCTACATCTGGGAACATTATGATTTTATGCTGTTCCTATGGCAATTAGAAGTCTTTCCTGCGCACATCGCGCATGCCATTGGGTACAACGTACTAGAGATCAAACGAGATAATGCGGGCCAAGCAGCATCGCCGATCCCGAACCAATATGAACGCTTTCAATGATAGAAGGCCGCGAAGCGTATCTATGAAGACCGAGGTTTTTTAACACTTTTAGTTACTCCTCGGGTTGGGCCGAGGAATGGGAGATTATCGCCCTGTAGACATCACAGAGCAAACCTGTATTTTCTAGTATGACCGACAGGGCGATGGTGCAATCAAAAACGATAATACAGGAAGCCTAATTACAATAACAATTTCACATAACCAAGTTCTTTTTGGGATCTTTTCTTCACGTACCCTGGGAAGCCTATCAACCTGTTTTCCTGATGCAGACGCCATGGGAGGCCTTAGTTCGCCTTATGATGGCATGACTTATCTCAGCAGGATCCATTGGAACGTCGTCCTCTTGAACGCTTCTCCAGAACAACAACATACCTAATTTCCATTGTCTAGCTGCACTGTGAATTCTCGCGAATGTGGTGATGCACTTTCTTGGTTGAAGTCGTAGAGCAAATACCATGGTTTGTGTACCCCAAGCCATGGCATATGGGGAAGCCTTGCTTGGATCACGCAAGTAGACGGTGCCGAGAGATGAAAGAAGACATTAAAATCAACTAGGCTAGGTATCTGGCGAGACAGTTAAAGTTGGATCTGGGTACGAAACATACTATGCTATCAACTGGTGTTGAAGCATTTCGAAGGATCACTCTTCGTATTAAGGCTGCCGATCAACATGGCTTGGCTTACTGCGCCTTAACATAATGATATCATACTGTGCACAACGCAACCTTAGGCATACCATAGCAGTCCTATAAATACACAGACCGCTAGACCAAGATGTAGCCACATTTGAACCTCGGGGAAATCTTAGGACTAACGTGACGCCTTTGTCGGATTATTAAAGACATAACATCGACAAAGGAGGGAATCGAAATTCAATTCACCATGCCGTCGTTCAACAGCGTTCCATTTCTGGCATTGGCGGTACCCTTTCTATTAAAATCAGCCCAATCAGTCAATGTCTCGTGCGGCTTGCTCGAAGATGAGACACGAAAATTCACCGAGTACAACGGCACCAAAACATACCCCATCCCGGCCCTGAAAATCGACGGGTACACCGACGAAGGACACCCAAACAAGCTATCCGAAGACGACGACAACCAATGGAACCTCATCTCGCGGGTGTCACATCCTTTAGGATCCAGCAGAGACGCATGGAACCGCATCTTTGTCGACACGGGGAACAGCAACACGACTGACATCATAGGGTGCATGGAGAGCACGAGTCTGACCGCAACCACTGGCTTCGCGTTCTCGGAGAAGGTGCTCAGGCGTAGTCTAGAGGACAAGGGAGACTGCAAGACGATGCTGGGAGAGAAGTGCGTGGAGGCGCTTGAACGCCAGTACCACGACTATGGCGTGGTTGCCATGAAGACTTTTTCGTGCATGAAGCCAATTTTCAACACTACCATACCGAAGGAATGCTCGAACGAGTTAGTGAATGGTCAAGAAGGATGGCTGGGGTCGCTGTTTAGGACTGGTGAGTTTCGGATCTTCACATCATGCTCGAAATTTGCAATCCACTAACGTCGCGGGCAGGTGTCGGTCTTAACTACAGCATCGAAGAACGGTGGGTCGAAGCCAATTGTACATCTGACGACGAGAATTTCCAGCCTTGTAAGACTTCATCCACGTCATATGTACCCGCAATATTTTGCTGACTATATCGCGTATAAAGTGAACAGTTCCATCTCCGACACTGGCGGCATCGGTGGCCCGTACAATGTCAGCATGCGTTTTCCCCAGCCCACATTCTTCACTTTCTTCCCCAACCGCACTAGCGCAACAATGTGGCGTGGAGAGTGGGACGACGAACACGACGTCCATGTTGTCATTTCTTGCTTGCACCCGGAGGAGATTCGAGAGGGTAGTGAGGTGCCACCCACAGCGGAGGAGATTTTGAAAGCGGAGGGCGTCAAATTCAGCAAGAATGCACGCTCGAAGGGTGCGGCGGCTTCCATGAGGCCTTTTTTTGCCTATGCTGGCCTCGTTGCTGGTGTGGCTGTAGTACTTTTGTAGAGTGCTAGCTACAATGAACAATATCTTGAATCATGATACCGCAAACGCATGTAAAACGTACTCTTCCACTGATGCATCAATCTATTGTAGCTTTGAACCCTGATATATCTCTTTCAACTGCACAACTCCTTCACAAACGATCATTGGACATTGACAACGGGTCTTCCTACCCGAAGGGCCGCCCTTGAACTGTAGATGGTAATTACTTGCCCATATACCCGTGCGCTCATAGACTGTAAACCACATTAAGCTGATACAAATGCAATCCGGCAGTTGCGCCTGTCGGCTGCGAAAGTCGCTACTCGCGTCACAGCGCGCTTCGGGATGGTTTAGCGTCTCTCGGCTTACAGGTTGTCTACAGTAGCGTGCGTGTGCTCTCAATATACCTACTTGTAGAAGCGGCTCGAAAGCGCCGCGGCTCGGCTCTCTTCCACCCGTGGCATTGCAAAGTCAATCCCAACGTCAGATTGCATCCGATCTTACGACTTTACCAAACCAAAATCGCCGTTACACCGTAGATCGATGGGCACTTGTCGCAGGCTAGGTATGCTCCTCATGAAATCCTAAGAGCCACAGGACACCACGTTACAGACAACGAGCCGTATTGCACATTTTCTCTTCTTCATATGCCAATGTGACGGGGAAACCACCTGCCGCACTCTCGTCCTACAGGTTGCCGCGTCGAGTCTCTCATGGTTCGTTGGCACTGCATGTGCAAAAGAGATGCATATGAATCAGCATGTGCTCTTAATAAGATGGCAAGCTCAACACCATCGACTTTGATGATTACCCGGTACCTCCTTATGCGTATAATTGCACAAAATGTGGGGAATAGATGGAGACGACTTCTTCCTTATCCAGGTAATCGAAGGCCAGTTCCATACATCTATACAGTATGAGTCAGGGATGCATGGCAACAGCTCTTGGGAGTTTGAGGTTCATCAGGAATTGGTCGGTGCTGATGCTCGTGCTGTAATCTAATCTTATGGGCATGCAAGCAGGATTTCGGGTCCTTGAAAACACGGCGGGCATCCCCCAATTTCAGATCTACAAGTCCAAGAACAATACAGCTTCTAAATGTTGAGGCTAAGGGTGGTATGTCACATCGACATTTTTATCATTCGCATGTTTGCATACTCTGGCCCCGCCCAGCAACATAGTCCTCATGTCTTCCATAAGGGAGAACTTCACCTCTTGCATGAATTTCTAATAAGTCTCGCCGTGTATGGCTATTTTCTACTCCCGCAGTTAGTCATCGGGACTATTCAGTCACCATGTAGAGTCAATTTGGCCCTAAGTCTTGTTGTATGAGCAGCATAGCAATTGTGATGTCGGCGATTCACAACTGATCAAGAGTTCCTCAAGGCAAGAATGAAATTGCTTTCATTTTTAGAGCATCATCACCTCTAAAACAGGCGAATTCGCGCTTGCTTTATACTAGGCCGACTTGAGCTACATCATGAAATGCGATAGGATTCCATTTAGAAATGGTCTTGCGAAGTGGACGACTCAGCTTTTAATTTCATTAAGAAGAGGCATGTTTCAATATTGCGATAGGCGAAAGTGCGGCAGACTAATGTACTTAATTGACATGTTTAAATTCACGTGGATTGACAGGGTGGAGCTCAAATGGCTCTGAATGCAAGCGACCTTTTCAGCGAACATATTGTCGCGTACATACGCCTCTATAGTAGAGAGCATCACAGACATGACCCGCAATCGGTGGATAGGTAGGATAAATAGATATTTGCCTCTGTCGATAAGCCTCTGGAGGTAGGTAAATGATGCCTCGATCTCTCTCCGCAGCCCTAATTGATCTATCTGCCTTGCCTAGCAACTTTTCCCATACCCGTGATCCTCGAATAGCCTCATCTATCCTGCTACATCACTATATCAACTGAGTACTCTACACGAATAGTGCTAACTTATTGCCGCAGCAACGGAACACAGATTCTAAGACAATCTGAAAGAGTTCCACTGGGCTCTGGCAATGCACGATCCACCGGAAACACCCAGAGTGTTTCCATTGCAGCCAGAACCAGTGTAAACTGTTTGATAGCAATCATTAGTAACTGTATCATACTTGATAACCGCAAGGCAGAAGAGAGCATTGCTTACGTTTGCTGCCCTGAAAACCTCCAGTGTTGATGAAGAAAGCACCTGTTTGGCCGTCGATGTCGTAGCATCTTCCTGAGACTGGAGCCGCGTGGTATAGGATGTTTCGATCATTGTTGCTGAACTCAATGGTCAGAAAGTTTTGTTTGAAATGAAAGTTCCTATCTTACCAATCATCCATAGAACGGTACTGGTTCAACTTGACAGTATCTCTAGCCCCTAAAGAGAGGCCTCCAGACACTGGCTCTGGCATAGCAAGAGCTGGGATAGCAAGACCTGCGGCCAGGACGAAGAACCTCATTGTACGTTCGTTGGAAGGTTGGGGAGTGCTGGTATTATGAAGAAGAAAATACTGCTGTGAATCTCTAAACATATGCTGCTCTGTCGGCCTTTTATACAAATCCGCAAGACAGGAAAGTCTTTACTGAGAAACAACCCCAGAGAGAATATTTACATGCTGATAGCGACTCCACTGCTGAGGCAAATACGAGCGGCGATCAAAGTCTCGATAGTCTTCATTCCTTAGCCTCGCTATCCTCTCCTCAGTAAAGCGCTCCCATAACCAAAGTTAAAAGATCAGACTATAGGAAGTATAGCCTTGTCAAGGACAAGGGCCTCGTAAGCGCCTTTGCTAAGCTCTGTGAGCTGACGTTCGTCTTTCGTTCGGAAGAAACCATCAAGCAGAGGCTTAGCTGCCCAGGAACCTACGAGTTCCAACATCTACCCGGAAATAGCTGCAGTAGCGTCTTTAGCAACGAGTACTTCGCTACAAACTGTACCAGACAAGAGGCAAGATATGTCCTTAGTACCTTCGTTCTTCTCATGATTCTAGGAGAGTCACTCAACCATGGCGTTGAAGGGAAGGTAGTAGCAATCCATATATCACGATACCGAGCTTGACCAGCGGGAGCATCATGTGCATTTGGGTCTGTTTGGGAGTCAAAGTAAGACAACTTCCAAAAGACATCATAATAGAACATTAGATAAGGGGCACAATTGAAGACGTCGAATGACTCTGCGGAGCCTAATACCTTTGATACAATAATTGCTAGCGAATCGTTCCGCAACTCCGTGAATGTGAACTTTTCCTGTCATGGTCTAACCCATGGCAGTATTTAACACCAGAACTAGGAGTTTCTCCGCATCCCTCGAGACGATTTTAGTGGATTTTCTGCAGAGATGGGGTCATCAGCCTGAGAGATCTTTTGCGCACAAGTCGATGCAGAAAGTGTTGTTCCCTCATAATATGAGATATCAGATAGAGAAAGTACACCTGGCTCTGCGGCCCCACTGCCATGATAGAGGCTTCTCATTCAGGTTTACCCGACTTCAAGTTTGTATTATGCAGGTAGTTGTAATGTGCTACCTGAATACAGCTTGCATGTTGATTAACATTGTTGCGTCAACCAGCACAAGTGCACCCTGCATACAACTTGCATATTAGCTGACCTTACAGCCACGATCAGCACATGTACTAGCCCGCATTTTCAATGTAACATCGGGCGCTCCTTTCTCTACATCAGACAACCACAACCAAGGCTAGGCCGACGAGATTCGTACGATTCGATATGCTAGTGCGATTCCCTCGGTCCCCCGAGATATCATACTGGCAAAGAAGATATGAGCGGTTTAGATGGCTTCTCCTCAACCATTTTGCTATCAAAACTTTTGACATGGGATGTTAGGGCTGTCAGGGCTCGATGCTACTGATGGTAGCCCACTATTAAGCTAGCTTCTCCCTCTCATGTTCTTATTGAACATTTTCCAATTGCTACGCTCCATAGTAAATTAAGTTTGGATCAATGAAGAAAGTATGGCGATCGATGTGCGGGAAGTGCGTTCGTTTTACAACTGTTCAAAACATGGCCCTGAACCATGCTGTGATGCTGAAGTCTAAGTACTGTCTATACTTATCGCGTGCGCAGCGGTTGACTCCATCTGCCTCGCGCATGTTTGGTCTTTCGCATTCTAAGTGGCTTGCGTTGGTCAGTGAACCTTCCAATGCCCCTAGTAAGTTTTCCCTCTTGATCGGCCAGTTTCATCGACGCGCAGCCGAGACATAATTTGAACCTGCGCCTTGCACACTATCAATCCCATCAATCGATATAGGATGATCGAACCTGGCAGGCCTTTCCTTTGGACTTTGGTAGCTAGCTATCCAAGTGATCGCTATTTATGTATTCATCTGATTAATCAACATCGACCTCTAAAATCTCATCTTTGAATAATTAAGTATTGTTATAATATAACAATATATACTATAATGTAGATTACTACCTACAACCTACATATCAAAACACTGGCAATCGCCAATACTACCACCAAGACGCCATCCACTCAGCAATGTAGGACACTTCCAAGCCACGTCAACGCTAGAACATTGGAACAACAAGTTCCACAACCTCTCCATCGTATAGCCGAAATCTGGCGCACTCATTGAGTCTGGCCGTCCTTGTAGATAACTGGGTTGATGCGCCCAGCTATTTGTATCAGCGAAGGCCTGCCACAGATCATAGTATACGGCTTTGCCAATACCGCGAATACGTGCAGCAGAAACAATAAATTGGCCCTTATAGCTAAGAAGGACTTTCTTACAGAGGGTTGAGTTGTATACCTGGTTGTAGACCTGCGGAATAAAGCGTAGGTTGTCTTGCCAGCCGAACCTGTCACTGCAATTCTCACAGTCGCAGAGACGACCAGGCCAACCAAGGTTTAGGAATCCAGTCTGAGCACGGCTGTAATAATTGCTCATATAGGTATAGAACTCTCTCGGATTGTGTATACCGGCCTGTAGGAAGATTGTCTGTCTTGCGAGATTGTCCCACCTATTAAGGATATGGTTGAGGAACGTTTCACCCTCTCGTCCAATGTTCGGTAGTGTGATAACATGATCGGCTCCTGTTTGTTGCTTGACGTAGGTGTTGTTGGCCTCTCTATCTTTGATGTAGATTGTGATGCGCGCGTCGGAAAGAGCTGATATGCTCTGCAGATGGTTGATGAGCTTACCTACTTCGTCAACGGGCTCCTTGTACATGCTCAGTACAACTTCCAAAGGCAACTCTGGTACGTAATCTTGGTCAAGGAGTGTTGGAATGCGACGCTCCTGTCGCTCAGTGAAATTCAGAATTCCATACGCCGCCCAGAGTGTGGTTATGGTGATACCAAGCAAGTGCCTGCTAGACTTATTGTTTGGTGAGCTTGATTTCAATGCTGACACTCCAGGGTAGTGAAACTGCTCCATGAGACTATCAGCGTTGCCATTTTCTGTTAATAACGTCGAAAGTGGGCTTATAAGCTCATATTTGCCAGGACCACTCCAAGGATACTGCAAACGAATACTGGATCCACCGATGTAAGCACTGCTGCCAATGTACGCCATCGCTAGCAAGAAGCAGAAAAATTGGTATGTGTTTGTGTACGAGCGGCCCATCAATAGTGTAGAATAGCATCCTACAAGGCCAGTGAAAAGTGCCAGAGTTAACGCATCCCAGATGCGATCTACCGGACCATCAATCGTCTGAGAAGACGTGTCAGCTACTTCGCTATGCATAGGAAGCAACGTCGATTTTCCTAGTAGCATTGCTACAGCAGATGCCGAGGCATTAAGGGTGAGCAATGGGATGCTTTCGACGCCGAGGGCGAAAGCCTGATGGCCTGTTTCGAATACCATTATCCAAGCTACGCCTACCAGCGCACCTGGAAAAACATGTAGAGTTGTCCGAACTACGTTCTCCGCAACTTCCTCTGGATAATATTTGACGACAAGTTTTCGAAGGCCTCGGGCAGCTCCAGCAAGCAGCATGGCCATAATTGACATTGATAGGTTGGGCACGGTGAGTCGGTACTCTCCGAATAGAAGTGCCGCACCCACTAGGGTCAGAAGACCGATACGAAGGAGTTCGGCGTACGTGTGTGGTATCGCGCGGGTGATGTAAAGTAATAGGTTCTCAGAGAACAGGGCTATAAGCTGGTCGAGATGAGTCAGTCTACTTATAACAAAGTGCAACAAACGCGGGTGCATCTTACTGTGATCATGGCCAGAGTTGGTAGATTGTAAAAATGCAGAATCGCTTGCAGCATACATATCGTTGACAAAGATGTGAAGCACATCGATGTGAAAAGGAGTGATGTTCCTCTTGTCATCGAGTTCCAGAGCTGTAGGTCTCCACGAGAAAGCTTCTGAACATATTGCCATCCCAGACGTGGCCGGAACAGAATGATAGCAGTGACAGCCAGCTGATTAAAGTAAAGTTGCAGAGGATAATGTATATTTTGCTCCACTAGGAGATGCCTTGCGCTTAACAATGAGATACTGGCACAGAAAACCCAGACGAAGGGTTTATAGGCCTGAAGAGCGCTACACGTAACAAATGGGGGTCTGCATAACGTCTGCATGCAATGTTCATATCTTGTCATGGCCGCTCGGGGAAGTAGTAGATTGCCAGTGCAAAATGAGGGAGCGACAGAAAGGAGATTGTATGATCGCGGCTTGGAATAGCATTCTCTGAGAGTGCTGGGGCCGCCTTATGTTTTTTGCAGCATCTAACCCACGAGAAGCGTCGTGGAGCGAACGTCGGTCTGCGTCTTCTACATGTCTCACCCATTTCAAAGCGGCCAGCATAGCTTGTTCCATTGCAATACGAGTATGTGACTAGTGTATATGTACAGATGTGGCGCGGACGGCTCGCCGGCTGCTACTGTAGTATTTATTCACATAATCGAAGAGTAGTAGCCAGTTCAGGTATAGATAAAACATGAAGCTAGTGGACGGTTGACCCAAAATGCCTACTCCCATACAATACGGGTTGCACCCTGGCATGTACGCCTGTACCCACCCTCCCCTATGTCGTTGGCGTCCACGGAATGATTTTCAATGCTTATCTCTACCACTTTCCTACCGAATCAGTATGCCTTTTGATGAACTCCCTACAGAATTAGTCTCCTTTAAATCAACTTGGAATGCATTTACAGGCTTCTAACAGTTGCTACACGATCTACTCTAGAGGAGTGAATGTTGATATCACATGACCTCGCTACATGATCACTCACGTGATTCGATACGTGAATTGTGCGTTAACTACAGGGGTTGACACGTCGGGTTAAACACCTGCTAGTATATATGCACCCTTAAACCTTAATTAGCTGTTATGTAGCAAATAAGAGGCTATAGATGCATATATTGTTCCTTGTATCTGCTAATAACGCTAGCAGGTGTTCAACCTGACGCGTCAACTCTCTGTAGTTGAAAACCCTAGCCTCAGGACCTTAAAGTATGGAGACTCTGGGCGCTTATTTTAACTTATTTCGAGATATTGTGTTATTGCTGTGCAACTCGCTTCGATACAGATCCTTCTAAATCTAAGATTAACTCCTTTCCTACAAATAGCTGGAAGGCTAGGGTCTTCTTCACATGTGTAGCATACCGCCCGAATACTTTATCAGACTGAACCCCGAAATAGTTTGATGGATAGCGGCAAGTAGGCGATATCCTGTCTTATAGATACTCTTTCAGGTGATTGTTTAAGGCGTAGTCATCCCAAAGATTCTCATATTAAATGATTGTAATCGATCCCGTGAACGCTATTGTATCTACCGCACGAAGCTCTGAACTCACCCATATACAACATCTCGATGCATACTGATCTTGGTTTACTGTACGGGGTACACTCTCACTGTTTACTACAGTGTCCAATTGTAATAGCTACATAGTCTAAATATTTTGACAATTCTTTCACATACGACCATTGGACATTGAAAACAGGGCTTCCCGTTCGCTCAGCCATACTTAAGCAATGTACCGGCGGACTAGTAGTTGAGTGGGTGACCATCAGCGAATCCCCGCTGTTGTATGTTTTTTGTATTTTTTTGGCCAATTTTTTGAAGTGGAGATGGAGTGGAGACGGAGGTCTGTGTTGATGGTGGACATAGTGGTAGGGCCGAATGGGGAGGTTAAGCGAAACAAAGTGGTTGAATGGGGAACTATGGAAACATCTCCGATGACTTTCATTGAAAGTTGATGGAGAGTTCTTGAAAAAAAATTGGTAAGACAGGGACGAGGTATGAGAGTTGTGGCGTGTTCTCCCATAGATATCAAAGCAAACGTCTCATCACTCTAACAGTTCTCCATTTGTTCTCTTATGCGGAAAACAGGAATTAGCCATGTATCAGATGAATCTGTGCCGTTGATCCCCTCTCACATGCAGCCTCAATCATCCCCTTTCCTTTCTTTCAGTCAGTATACTATTAGCTGTGGGCTGTCAAAAATCAAGATATCAGATCTTTATAATACGGCTTGTGATTCTAGAGAACTGTAAACTTAAAGTTGGGGCTATTCTAAGTAATAAGGATATTTAGGAAACATTTAATCCTTCTATATCGAAAGCCTATATAGTATCATGAGCTGAACCGATTACATGCGCTACGCTGTTGCGTAGCTTGCATCATGCAGCTCTGATCTGACGTGTGCTTGATCAACAGACACCCCTATGTAACTCGGGCAAAAACCTACCTCCTTTTGCCGCCTTCTCCAAAGTTGAGTCCCGATATAGTACCAGAGTTCTAGCAGAGCTAAAAATCAGTGTTACCGCTGCTTGAAAAGACGATGTGGTAGGACTTGTTCACACCATCAGTTGTCTTCGCAATCGCTTGCTCCAAGAATTTGTCTTGAGCAGCGGCAATCTCTCTTAAACCGGAAATACCTCCATCCTTTTCCATGGCGGAAATAACCATTTCGCATATCTCACGCTGAGACGAATGGGTGGCTGGAAAAGGCTCGACCAGGCTGTCAACCAGCTCCGTGATTTCCTCAATCAATTGGCCCCATTGCTTCTTTAGGTATAGAGCCCATTTTGCTCTTTGAAGTACGCCTGAGCGGTTTTGGCGCTTAATAAATAGCTGCCGCATCTTTTAGTAAATCGTCTAGAGGTTTTACCCAGCAAACCTTTTTGAAACCTTTGCATGCGTTCCAAAGAGTCAAATGAATTGTTGTCATGGGAGGCTAGAATACTACAATGGTTGACTCGAGAAACTTTCTCTCTGGATATGATACGCTCGAAAGATCCCTTCAGTGTCTATGGTGATAGGGTGGATGCTATGAGAGTTTCTGTTAATGTTGTATTTGATATTAGATCTAACCCGCCATATCGAAGAGTAAAAGCTATATCAAGGGTGTCATTAAGAAATTTAGATCCTCGGGAGAGAATTTCGGGCAAACACATTATAGATTAAACATTCGTTGATCAGTTTTCAAGGTCTTTACTCTGGACGTCCTTCGCAAAAAAGCCTTGTCCAGGATTGAATCGCAGTTTGATAGTCCCCGCCTCCTTGTTCAGCGGTTGAGTGATGGTTGCGTTGGCTTGGTCCATTAGCTTAATCACCTGTTCATGTCAGTCAACCTTTTGAATTTGTGACTTCCAATCCGAATCGCCACTCACCTCTTCATTCTGCATGGCGACACCAATGCTGGAGAAACTCGCATCGTAACTGGCGCCGTTGAGGTAAAACGAGTAAACACCAAGTCCAACAGAGAGAACGGAGAACAGTATAGCGAGGCCGTAGGATATAAAGAGGTTCTGTGGCTGGTAGTTGTACACTGTGTGAGTTGTCTGTGAAGTCACGTTGGTCGATGTATATTTGCTTAGGCAACGAATCAGTGAACCGACCAACGAGTAGAATCTTGAGATGCTCCAATTAGGAACTTACCAAAATTGCGAATCCGTAAAGAGACTGATGGAAGTATTAAGAGCAAGCTGCTCAATGTCTTCGCCAAAACTCGTGTTGCGGAGATTCTCTTTGTTGACAATCTCAGGCGTCACGAATGAAGCGACGTGGCTAGCGATATCCATGGTCATATTGCGGAATTGCGAGTTATACGACAGAGTTGATCCAAACACTTCCCCGTCCATCGTGATATAGTCGTCGTAACGGGACTGCGTCGTATGATACCACCCCGTGCCAACAATATATTTCGTTAAGGCTGCGAAGTATGCCCCGTGGGCGCTCGGGTCCGAAGTGTTTCTCAGACTACTATCAAAGTAGGCTTCGCCGTTGATCTGGTTGTGCCAGGTCTTTGTGATATTTTCCACCCTCGATCTCCCTGATATAGTGCCAATGGAGAACCCGAGCGTGGCGTTCCAGAGACGACAGCTGATGTATTCCGTATCCGACTGGTACTCCGACGTGGTATTCTTCCGTTGTAGTGCCAACAAGATGCTGTCGTACAGCTTGACGTACCCTCCCATGGTCAAATTATCATGTTCATCATATACTGCCAGGTAACCGATCTCCCCGCTCTCAAATCCATCAGTCGTGGGCCATTTTGCGCTGTTGTTGCTTGACAGCTCAGGTGCGTCTACCCATCTAGATGCAGCTTCCAGTAGCCGGGACTGTTCTGTTTCATTGGCGGCTTGACAACGAACTAGAGGTGCATATGCAGTTACCGCATACGATATATTTGGTTTTGAAGAGGGAGAGTCAAAGGGTAGTATGTTCCCGCCATATGCGACGGCACCCGCGACCCTCTCAAGCTGAGGCGTGGGACCCCACCCATTTCGAGAAAAAGAAAACTGGACTGCGTTATCAACATCTAGGGTAAGAGCTTGAAGCATTTCGGAATCAAAATTTGTCTGTTGGCGAACAGATAAAGTAGCTGGAGCGAATAAAGTCGGTACAGGAAGACACCTGGACACATTCCATGTCAACATGAGAGTTCGAAGCGAGCAACGGCATACTTACCAGATAATAAGTGCCAGCAAAACACCGATTTGTATGTTCCTCCAAAGCTCAAGGTTGAAAAATGAGAATGGGTTGCCTTGGATATCGAAAGAAGAATTGATGGTGCGTACGGATGTATGGCGCTTGCTCAAACGTCTCCAAAGCACTTGTAAATAAGCGATCCCGACTGCTATCTTTAAACACAAGCTCGTGCTTACAGCAAAAGCGTTGCCAAATCTTGAAGTAGTTAACAGCTTGCCCATGTTCTGAACTGGAACATATAAATACCGTAGTGACCATTGTTGTCTCCCTGACGATCCAACTTCTTGGCCGTTCAATGTGCTGTAATAGCTATGGTGGCCGACAGTCAAGGCGACACCAAAAAGCAGCGAGACCACCATTATAACCGGTGATATCCAATGTATTCTTCGAGCTGCATATTGCTGCTGTTTAGTAGGACTGACGGCATTGGGAACCAGTGCATAAGATGTTCGAGGGCTATTTGGCGCGATCTTGTCGGTCAAGCTATCCGGATGATCCTCAGACAATCTGATTGCTTCCTCTTCTAGACCAGGTAAATCTATAGTGAGACTATTAGAAACCTGCTGGTCAGTTATTCGATCTTCCAGAGATATCTCATCGTACTGCCAGTGGGGTAATGACATTATTTCAAGCCTCGAGGAAAAGTCGATGAGGGGAAAGGTCTCAGCATGGAGCCAGAGATAAGGAGGGGCTCTGGATTAGTTTGTACATCACAATCACTATGTTTGCACAGCTGGTAGTTGAGATCGTGGGCTGTGTAATTGGCTCGGGTCCGAAGCTACATCTTTCTTAGAATGATTAAGCGAGGCTATGTGAATACACGTCAACAGGGGCCTGAGATCCTTAATACGACATACGCGCTAGCTAAAGCAACATGATGGGGCCAAAATGGCATGAGACAGCCTCTCCCTTCAACTACTCAGAAATATCCTGGGAACGAAAGGATCAGTGGTAGGCGTTGGCTGTGGGCGCTATGCAGCCAGGCAGCACTCTGTACATTTATTGGTGAAGATCTATTTCATTGCAAGATCGCCGGATGTGCATTCTTATAATATGACCAATGGCCTGTCTCGTACGGTTCAGATGCACTCTCTACAACGAAAATCGAGCATACGAGTACAACTCACCGTTCACAAGGCTGTAGTGCTAAGCCACAAGATGGCCTAGAGATTGGCTTTTGCCACTGAATCCTTCAGCCTTACTGCAACAACACAACAGATGCATGCATCTTGATGTCTCGACCTATGGCGTGTTACTTTAGAAAGACACTTACTTAGCGATATTACGTGCGTCTTACTGGAACGAATGCTATTTTATAGTATGCTTTTCTTTCAGACCACCTAACAATGCAGTATCTTCAGTAGATAGCTCGATCTGATCATTGCAGATACTTATTCGTCCAGACAGGAAGACAACCGACGCTTTCGTAGACTTTTACATATTGACGTTACGCTTCTCTCGAATTTATTCACCTAGCTCCAACTTATGGGCTAAATGACCTGCATTGTCTCGAGCATCTTGCCCACTGAACTCTCTCCTGCACAATCAACCCCTGTTCATCTTAGATGTAGAGCAGAATATACACTCAACGCCGTCAAAAATTTCTACCTCATGCTCATACACTTCCAGGAATGACATTCAACTTAGTGGCACAGGATAATGACCATTTTGTCTTTGCCCGCAGCTACCAGTGGGGGAGACTTCTTACGAGAAGGAAGTTACTGATGGAAACTTACATCAGCTATGTTACGTGATCACCATACACCACTCTTTCTCCCACATAATGTACCGTATGACTCGACTTCGGAATCCGAAGGTTAAAAACGCTCCTTGTATATGAAGCTATTCTGTGTGCATCCGTTTGTTAGTTAGATTATTGATGAAACACATCTGGGAGTTTTGACCTCAATCATGCTGTTTGTAGAAAAGAACACCCTAGCGAAATGCGTATGACACACCCTAACCCTGCCGACGGAAGTCTTAAATCGGTCAATACCCAAGGTGTTGCAGGGCGATATCTTCCAGCGATGTCACGACGTCAGAGCACATTGCGGTTTCAAACGCTCATACGACGCGGTCTGAACAACTTGCCATATTCACAAACCCGGGAAGTACTTGGACGACTACATCGCTCATTGTCGGACCTGCGGTCCAAACCAAACCAGGCGACAGGCTGATGGACCATCCGGCAACTTTTTGGAGAAGATGGCGGCCATGGAGAACGCGCGAGCAGTGTTTATTTCAACAGATGCTCGATATCGAGTCACCCCACCGCTCCTACCTGGTTTTCAATCTGTCTTCGATAGGTTGAACAGTGCCCATCTAACTGGCAACCGTCTTGCTACTGCTCCTAATCTGCCAATCATCATCCCCGATGACGGAACCTCAAACGTAACAGTACACAAGACTTTTATTACTATAGAGTCGAAGAGAACAGACTATACACGTCCATCTGAGTTTCTGGAAACCTTCTTAATCCTCTACTACTATTGAAACATAATGATCTGAAACCCTTTAAGCAGATAATAGGTCTCTGGCTAGTACAAACACCTTGGGTCAGGAACATCTCTCCTGGAAGGTGCACTGATAATAAACGACGAATAGCCCATAGAATCAGCCTTTTATTGGGCGATATCGTGGGGATATAGACTGTGACTGGTCAAACCCAAAGTCAACTAAACAGAACTTGAAGTAGAAGACATCGTGTATAACTGCAATCTCATCAAACCCCCTTGAGTCCCTTCTACTGCTCTATAAGGTGTCCACAATTCTTCGCCCACGCTACTACAAAAGACAACTCCTCTGGCGTCGGAGAATTGTTCTGACTGTCACGTCTGGCCACACGTTAGACTATCGTGCCAAAGAAAAAAATGTTAAATACCTTGTGACCTCTTCTCGTTCGCCGGTGGACATATCTACTGTCTCATCAAGGCGTGCGGGTACGCCAACGTTGGTTCTGGTTCTCTGTGGAGTGTCAATATGTTTCTGTCACATAGATTTTCTACACAGATACACGAGTAGGTGTAGATTACATCTCCAGATTATCCCACCATGCACGTGTGTGCTTGATACATCAGTGATCGTCGACATCGATTACATCACGGATGAAGCCGTTACCATTACAGCAACTAATGATTATCATTAAGTTGCATGTCTTCTCCCAGTCGTCATGGATCTTCCTTCACAAGCATTCATCCAAGATTACCGTATGCGGTTAGATAACTTTCCTTCTATGTATAAAGTGTAACTCGTATTATTGGCAAGTTTATAGAGCACGTGATCCAGGGTGAATGCCAATACCTACCCAGATTGGTAGGTACATACAGGTACGGAGATTGTAGATAACCGAGGAAGATCGCAATTCGATGCCAATCATGTATCTAGGTAGGTACTTGAATCACTAATCCCTCTCATAGGCAGAGGTAGGAAATCCAAAGTATTAAGCGATTATTGCCTATCATATCTATTTTTTGTCCTACTTCTTCTCCAGTAACGTCTATCCATTATGAAATGGATAAGATCCCATTTCCAACAGATTCAATACACAAAAGGTCGATCCAGGAACCCGGAAGCCGCCGATAGCGATGACTATGCAAAGCGAGAGCTCTCATCGTTAGTAATACGAACGCAGCCCAACGTCCGTTGATATGTCATGCGTCTTGCGCTCACTTCCGGACTTCTGAGTTTCCTTGGACAGCCGCAAGCTTATGATTTACTGCAATAGGATGTACATAAGATGTTTCTTGGTAATCGTTCTTTTGAAAGATCGCTGGCAAGGAAGAAATGGATTATGGTAGAGATCAGCGGGATTCAGATTAGGGATTCTTGGTTATGTGCTGGGATTGATATCCGATGCACAACACAAGGTATTTCTCCCCCCAAGATGGTCTCCCGTCTATAATGGAAAGTCGTTTTCTTCTTCCGGCATCTCGAAGACGAAATCGAAATTCCGGATTTTAATAAATCGACTTTCGAGAATCTGGTAGCGAATACAATTCGCGTGACAAATCGCGTATGTGGCGTGCTTTGATGAGGTTCAACTTCGCTTTGTTCCTGAGTTGTTTGTCTTTGTGCGCATTATTCGACCATTTTCTGTCCACTGCATGGTATTCACTATTGCGGCTAAGAAAGTTCCACTCTATTTCGTTTTACACCGAGCGAGAACAAGGGACAGAAAAGACATGGGACAGTTCAGGTCACAAGGGACATAATTAGTCCAGACAAGAAGAACACGAGAAAGAGGGGAAGAGGATTCCTTGGTTCTCATTTCGAGATTGGGACGTCTAAAATCTGAGTCAGCCGTAAAGAGCACACAGACTTCAATTGATGATTGTTATTCTGTCGGTTCCTTGATTTTGCATTCCTGTAATATTTTTTATTTGTGTGGTCGTTCATGCGTATCGTGTTCTTGGACATTTAAAGAGGAAGGAGGTGACGTCACAGTACCTAGACCCACTCCGTGGCCCCCTCCCCCCACACTTCCAACAGACTCGACGCGACACAAGACGACGACTGTGTTGTATTGTAACGACTTAACGAGGCAAGGAGTGACAATCGTGTGGTATCTGCTGCTTCTTACTTGCGCGGCTCTTTTCTCCGAGGTTCCTTTCCAAGGTCACAATATCCAGCCCAGCACAATAAACTGCAAGGAACCGGTCAAGTGTGGGCCCAGGGGACTGCGGCTGGCTTTACAACAACTTTTTTTTTGTTGTCTTGTTCGTCGCGATCGATGGCCATCGGATACGACCACCACCCACGTGGACACGCCAGAGGAGGATTCGAATGCACACACAGATCGAAGCACAGTAGTCACGTAATTACAGGAGAAGGAAAAATAACGAACCAGACCTGGCCATGTCATCCGACTGTGCGTGGAAAATAGCGCAGCACAGTTGCACAAAGGCCTCATCAGTCAATGACGAGAAGCAACCCGCTGAGGTAATAAGAGGGGAATAAACCTTGGTGGTCGACAGGAATTGCCGGAATACCATCAGGCAATAATGGCTTATGGCTCATGCATGTTCCCAAATTCCGATAGATACGGTACATGTACCTAATAACCTATCATTAATAATAGTTAATGAGGGGAACAGTAGTACCGTGACTGGCGTCTGGGGTGGTGGCCTCATCTACGGACTCCTCTTTTGCTCCCCTTCGGAACGGGGTAGAAAGCAGCAGAAGGCACGAAAAAAAGTTAGACGCTCGCTCAGATGTATGTTCCGCGCTTACAATCATTTTCGCGCATTTCGCTTCAAAGCAATAATGTAATCCCGAGGTGAGGTGAAGTTGCCCTTCGGGTCTCGAGCGGTCGACGACGGCCGATCTTATCCGTCAATAATCGCTGATGGTTTGGCCCCCGGCTTGCGTGGGTGGGAAAGCCGACGGAAGAGGGGGAGACCTTTTTGTGTTGCACGGTGCGCGCGGGTTGCTTTTCCTTTTACTCCACAATAATGTCTAAATTGGAGTAAGTGGGACTATTATTGAGCACTACGATAATGCTCCGAGGTACGGTAATTAGTTGGAATTTGTTAGTTGTCGAGACGTTACATGGCGAGGCGGAGGCGGAGGAGGGGAGGATAGCAGTGAGACCCTCGCGTTATCTTCGGAACGAACTGCGAGATGGATACCTAATTGAACAGAACAAGGCTGGTTGTAGGTAATTACCAAGATATTATCTACTTATACATACGTATATTACATACATGCTTACCATTTCCCATATTCATTTCCCCGCAAATGTGCGGAATAGAGTACATCGATACAAGAGTAAAGCCACTCACAACTACTCCGTTCGTGGTATTTTATCAACATTCGAAATGCACCTGTGCCCAAAATACAGCTCTATTGAGGAATACATACCTACGTCTTCTCGATATTGAAACTAAAAGACCCCTTCTTCTCCTCCCTTCTCCCCGCACCTCCGAACCTCCGATGATGTGGGGAAGTATAGGTGCATATTACTCCGTACTCGGAACTCAATTCCTCTTTCCAATTGTAAGTGAAGATGATAGGAAGAGGTAGACATCAAGAGAACGGGACGGGTGCATTGGAATACACATATGTATACAACGCTGTTACGTGTGCTTCTATGATGTACTGCAATGTCATACCTCTACCTATCAGTTCGAGAACCTATTCCGCCTAGGCACTTGTATATTGAGGAGTGGGAGTGAGAGTAAGAGCACAGTAAACAACATTTGAACAACATCGGCACGGAAATTGCTGTGGTTCGTGGAATTGATGATGAGGGGAACAACATGGGATAGAGGGACATGGTAGTTGTCGTTGTCGTGAATGGACACAGGGCAGGGCAGGACACGATAGGATATGACAAGCGAGTCCAGGCCAGAGGCCGACATGATCACCCATAACCGAAAAGGACTATGCTCTACAGCAATACTAATTATGCTATACTTGTAATTGCAGCAACCGAGAACACGGATAGCAAAGAAACAATACGCACAAACAAATGTTCGTATCAACTAAATTCATCAACGGCCGCGGTTCGGCTTGTCTCTATCTACACTGTATCCATCGTTCTCTGATCCCGTCTTTCGCTGTGTGTGTTCCATATCTCGTACCGGTATCATAGTCCGAACGACACTAACGAAGTAGTCAACGGAGTAAAGCACCGGATCGAAACTGTTGCGATTGCTCCTTTCATACAAGGACAAGAACAAGAACAGATAGCCATCCTCCCCACCCCACTAACCACACAATACCACGCCGCCGCCTCGCCCAAACTTCCAACGAAGCGAGGCGACAACAAAAAGGGAGACGTCGCTCCTTCGCCCGCCGGCTCACTCGCTCGCGCCGGGTTAGCGCAGTAGCGGCACATCTATCGCTCCCCATGAGGCGCGACGCCGAACTCTAATTGGGCGTCTAGATTGGCGATTGTGAAGGAAAGTGTGGGCTCGTATTGTAACTCGTACTGTATGGAACATGGAGGAGGACTCGACGGCCCGATCGCGATGACGCCAAGCAGCGCTGCTTAAACGCAACGCGCATGCGCACGCGCACACGCGCACGCACGAGGACGGATTATGGACGACACCCCACACGCGAGGGAGATGCGAGACCCGGCACTTTTTTATTTTTTTTTATTTTTTTTTGTGTGTGCGATGGTGATGGTTATGATCGAATTATTATGATCATTTTCTGTCCAGTGACTGTGGATTGGTGTGCCTTTTTGTTTGGTGGGGGATTCGAAGTCAAGAAGTTACCTTGACCCCCATAGATGCCATCCAGGCACAGGCACCGGAGGAATGTGTCCATCGTTTGCAGTCTCTCTCTGTCTCTCCTCTCCCACACTCGGAATGCAATCACAATAAATATTATTTTTTGTTTTTTTGATGTTCGATAGTAGTAGTCTGTGGGCAACTCTAACAATCGCCAATCGCCGATCACCCATCACGCGAAATCGCGAAGTTAAAGACAATCTGTACTCTACAACGCAGAGGGGCACTAACTACAGATTGTAACTCCGTAGTGAAGTTAGTGGGAGTTGTAATACAATCTAAGACTATCTGTGGGTCCTCACTAAGAAATGGTGCCGAGGGTCGGATCACGATAGTGTGAGTGTCTACGAAGTATACTGTATTGTATGACTCTGAGTAAGAGTTGAGGTCAACACATCATTAATCGTACAGGAGACTGTAAACGTAGTAAAGCCGTAATCGGTACGAAAGGTGCGAGTCAAAGCGAGAGCTCTGAATCAGGATGAAGATGAGATATGTTTGGTGATTTATTCCTGTATGGGCGCTTACTGGGATGGAGATGGAATTGTAGATGTAGATATACGCATCCTATCTACCTACGATCTTCAGTGTTTCTGTGCTTTCAATTTATTTTGTATTTTGTAGGATTCTTGGTTTCACAGAGCGTATGATGAATGATGCGCTGATAGACGCCCCATTATTGGACTCTTCTGTGCGTACTCTGTAGTTGATAGTTGAGGTACTCATAGGATATCACGCACCAACCCCAGATTAGGCATCACCATTCTACAATCATCGTTTGGGCGACAGACTGTTAGATGACAAGCAAACAATTCCTATCTATCATCGCTTCAAATAGAAACAGTCACCTATCTTCCGTAGGAGCTTACACAACACAGTGACGATCGTCCGTGTGAATTCAGACAAGCAATCGAATATTGCGTGCTTTTGTGTGCGTGCGTGCGCACAGAGCAAGAGTTCTGGCCACTACCTACGCAATATTGTAGCAGCAGCATCAGTGCGATTGTGCGAGGTGAGCAACAGCAGATCACGAAATGCTAGTCACCAATTCTCCAAGCGGCGTGCATGCGTGCGTGCGGCGATGGTGGTGGCACGGGATGTGGTGTAGTTGTCTGGACCTGACCTTTTGGACTGTCAGTCGGACGAGACGAGAGCGATAGAGAGCGGGGGCCGGGCCTGGAAAGCCATGATGGGATGGGATTGGGATCAGGGATCCCTAGGTGGGCGGATGGGCGGGCTGCAAGAGGAGCAGGCAGCGCGGATCGCGGGATCGGCTGGTTGGGTTGCTGGATGGGGGTAGGAGGAGGATGGGATGGGATGGATTGCCGATGGAGATGGGCGTTCAAGGTACAGCGAGTACGAGTGGTTAGTTCTTCCCGAGCTGTTGTCTGGAATGTATCTATCAATTGTGGTTACGAGTATTTATATCGTACTCCGTACTCTGTACAGAGTAGTCATTACTAGTAATGTAGGTATCTATTGTATATACAATACTCTGGAGAATTGGCAAGGCGTGATCACTTGTCGTTCTAATTAAGACTATGGGTGATGGGTAGGTTCAATTATTGCGGCACGGGCAGATATTCGGATTACTGCATTTGCGTGTATTGTAATTAGTGTAACATACGTATTATATCAAGCATCTACTGTATCCGTCGTATTATTGTATATTATTGGGTGGCTTCTCGCCCCATGCTCTGGTTTCTGGCTTGCGGGGGTGCCGAACGAAAGCCACCTGTTTTCCCACGCGCCTCCCATCCAGGAACCAGCCGGACATCCCATGGGACTGAACCGACGAACACAGCATGGCACGCACATCATGGCATCGTCATTGACGTCGACTTTACCGGAATCGATGTGAGAAAGAAAGTTTGAATCATTGATGATGGATGGATTGCGTGCATGCGCATGCGCATGCGCACGACAACGCCATGGTGGCGAGAGCATGGCATAGTTGTTGACCTACAGGTCCAGGAGCAGGAGAGGTGAGGAGAGTCAGCAGCATGTCGGCTCCACAGAAACGCGGGATAGAGCGCGCCTACAGAGTGTGCCCATGACCAGCGCAAGCAAGCCAGGCAAGCAAGGCAAAGATTACCTAGGCAGGGCATGGCAAGGCAGAGAAGGAGATGGAATAATTTACAAGATAAGAAGAGAAACGGTGGTCACATTTTAGTTTAGCTGATGAGTGTCACTGTACGTGGACCCCGTCGGAGAAGTGTCCTGAATTGCGTGTTTCATAGGGCCAATTTGCGAGCCCGACCAGTCAGGCTCTAAGAATAGAGATGGTTGAGGAGAACATAACAGCGCGCGCGAGAGGAGAGAGAGACGGAAGACGGGAAGGGGAAGAAGTGAGCAGAATGGCGAATGGCGAATAACGATGGCGAAATCAGGAAATGCCAACTGCCTGTTCAGTTCAGTTCAGTTCAGTAATAGTTAATCTTGGGAGGGGGTGTCATGCGAATTGCTGGGCGTGCTGGGGAACCCTCTCAGCCATCAGCCACCATTAAATTGTTCGTTCCTTACGGGGACTGGGCTGGACGGGACTTGGGACCTTGGGAGACTCGAGCCAGCCGGAGTGGGAAGTGGGCGAATGTTGGACATGGACATGGGACATGGGACATGGGACATGGGACATGGATAGGGATTAGGGATTAGGGATATGGATATGGGATATGAAGGTGGATGCGGATGTGGATGTTGGATTGGATGTGGTTATTATTGGGGATTTATGCGCTGGATAGTAATGCAATTGCACTCCTATCTATGAATTCCTTTATCTTCTGGGTAGTCAGGTACTCAGTACCTACACAATACTCCATCTCTATAACTATATGTATACGTATCCTATACTCCGTACTTCGTAGGTGTATGCATTTCTTTACAATAACTTACATGTATACAATAGACAATCTACGTTACGGGGTTATATGTTACGGCTAGACCAAAGCGAGTCGTAGTCTAGCCGCAGCGCGAACAGGACGAATGACCATCCAGATTGCGGACTCGCACTCGCACCTGCACCTGACGGCTTCCTGATTCTGAATCCTGAACGGGGACGGGGCCCTTGTTGGGGGGTTTGGGCGCCGCGCGTGCCTATCCTAGTCTTGGATGGCCGTCACCTTTTTGTTCATAGAGGCGTGGCAGTGGCCGTGGCAGTGGAGGTTGGATACAATACAACAGTTATTATCTAGCCGTCCATGGTGGTACGGAGTACTCGTGCTTGGTGGCGGAGGAGTACTCGGAGGAGGAGGAGGAGGAGGAGGCTGTATCATACAAGTCCGGTAGTTGCTGAGTTACGGTGGTATTATCTATCCAGAGACTAGACCTAGAACCAGGAGACATCTCAGATCGGTCAGTAGTGTGAGTAGGTAGTTACTCGTATGTTTCGTTGGCTGTCTTGAATTGAACCCCGTGAGATCTAAAGTGAACCTGTGACATCTTGACCTGAACGCCCCCCCTCGCATTCTTCGTTGCTCCGACTTACCTTAACTTTTTTTTTATTTTTTATTTTTTGGATTTCCCTTCCATCATCATTTCCTCTCTCATCCTCACTCATCTCTTGCTTACTTGCTTCCAAACCCTGTACACATCAGATAGGCCTGCCATCCCCGCTGAAACAGCGCAGCCGCTGCTTTCGAAACACACCCGGGCCAAGTGCGCTATATCGATCGAGTAAGAGGGAATAATAACAGGTACTTCCACTTGTCTTGTCTCCAGCTTGTCTTGTCTTGTATTAGAGAGTATTACCTTGCCTTGCCTACGCCTGCCTACCCTATCCACTAGAGGCACAGGTACAAGGCACAGGCGCAGGCACACACTATACATTCCACCACTCTTTTTTGGGAGAGAGGGGGGTGGGAAAGCACGACGCCGCACTGAGGTTAACTTCGTTCGCTCGCTCGCTCTCTCTCTCCACTCACGCACGCACACACACGCACACACATCATCCATCCACTGGACCACACATCACACACACACCACCTCACTACCCTCCTAACTCCTCCTCCTCCTCCTCCTCCTCCTCTCCCTCACCTCCGCAGCAAATAACCAATACACTCAGATTCCTTCTTTCTCTCTTCTCTTCCTCTCCCCATACCTATTCAACCTCATATCACTTCTTATATCTTTTACCTCGTGCGGCTCAAGAACACCCATTCCACTATCCACACACCCGCGATCCACACACCACACTACCCCCCGTTATCGTCACACGCTACCATTATCTCCGCCCTCCGATCCCTCGGGGCTGTGTAACTTTTTTTGGTCTGACTGCTCGCCGTTCTGGGCTGCTTTCCACGTCGACGAACAAAGACCTCAATAATTATTTCACTCAACATGACCGTCATTAAGGTACGTTTTGTTCGCCTCAGGCTCCTCGCAATTCCAATTCTCTCCTCTCCCAATTGCATTGTACATACATTCTTGATCCCCTTAAACTGACTCCCATTCCCACCCTCCAGGAACCGATCGTTACCCGTCCCGCGAGCCAACACCGGCATTCGTCCAGCATGGCTGGATCTCTCCCCAAGTCGCGCACGCATTCCCAATCCCTCTCCATAGGTTCCATGCACCAGGCACACAGGGTCACGAGGAGGAAGAGCATGTCGTCCACTGCCGCGAATAACATCGCCGCAATGGCCGCTGCGGCCAAGGGCATCTCTGGCGCACCCCTCGACCCGGTCGCTGCCTCCTCGCGACGCTCCTCGAAACCTGCATCGCACTTCCGTGGTCCTGCTCTGGGAGGTTTATCTCCCATGGCAAGCAGTGTTCCTAATAATGGTTCGGGGTTCAGCCCCGGTAGCTACAGTGCGGCCGCCAAGGCCGAAGCTGCGGTTACCGATGGTCCTCCGCTGGCCACGATGCCAGACAACGAGAAGGGCAACTCCAAGTCGAGAATACGGCGCGCAAGTGAAGGCTCTCGTCTCTCAAAGGGAGAGGGCAAGCGCACCACCAGCAACGACCTGAGATGTGAAAAATGTGGGAAAGGGTACAAACACAGCAGTTGTCTGACCAAGCACCTGTCAGTAGCCCTTCCTCCCCTGCCTGTCCCACATACTTTCATGCCTCTCGAACCGAATACCCCCTTCATCATCACCTTTTAGCAAGCATACACTTTATTTTTGGTAGTTATTCGTTCGCGAATAATTTTTTTGATTTCGGACTTTTTTTTTGGTTTGGAATTGTTTTGTTGACTTTTTATCTTAGTTGGGAGCACACCCCGGAATGGCAGTACACATCCAAACTGCTCATCTCCAAGCACCAGCAGGTGCAGCTCCTCGAGGCCGCCTCCGTCCTCGTTGCCATGAATGCCGATCCTGAGGTCGGTCGCGACAGCGACCATTCGTCTGTGTCGCCGCCCGCCTCTGGCACATCTGACATGCGCGACGATTTGAGTTCCACCGACACTACCCCGCCCCCGCAAATTGACGATCATGCTGTGGGTTCCTTGCCGCACTCGCATTTCGGTAACCGTTCAACCAAGCGCTACTCGACAAACAGCAGCTCTGCATACAGCCAGTCCTACCAGTCTGCTATCTTTTCCGATGGCGTTGGCGGTCACTTCCGCCAGTGGAGCAACGTGTCTGACCGTCCTACAACCTCTGGTACCTCCGTCGCAGGCTCCTATCATGAGGATGAGAATGACCAGGCCGACCTCGCTGCCGCTGTTGGCTTGTTGAGCTGCTCGTACGGCACCCCCAAGTCAGGCCCCATGTCTCTGCCCCCTGATGTCCCTCCCGTCCCACCACTTCCAGCGAAGTTCTTGAGCTACAATAACCATGACTCCATGACGGGTAGCACGACCATCACCGCACAACAATCCAGCATCCGCGGAAACTATGGCTACGGCCGCCATGAGAGCAAAGATGTCGACATGGACGACGACAGCTCCGCCGATGATGACGATTATCGTCGTGCCAATTCTCGCAGCCGCGGGCGCGTTGACGATGAAGACGATGGCGTCTTCGGCCGGATGGAAGAGTAGAGCGGCAATTTCGCCCTCGCCTAACCCACCCACGATTGTCACGAATATTTCCTGCGCAAACTTTCTCCTTCCCCTTCTCGTTCCATCTAACTGTTTTTCTATCCGGCTTGTAACACAATGAATCAGCAATACAGCGATCTATCTCCGCAGACCGCCTGGTACCATTTCGCACAGCACCGATGAGAGGGCCTTTGGCGTGCCGCTTCGTCTTCGGGCATTTTTTTGGGACGCATCTGAGCTCTCGAGGTTAAAGCTGTGGGTCTTCGGCCAGGTTCGAAATCCTTCTTGATTTTTCAGTCGTCTCGCGTTGAGAGCCTTTATTCCTACCATGACGCTCATCATATCCCGGAGTCCTTACTCTTTCCTATCTTGTTCCTATATTCCTACTTCCACCACCAGTCATCATCCACGAAACCATATAAACCATATAAATTTAAAATCTTCGAAACAATTGGGGGACGACAAATAACGGCTTGGAGATCTATATCCCGAATTTCCTTTCTGGAATTTCCTTCGAACAACTTGTGGATGAAATAAAGCATTTCAAATATCTTTTTTTCCTCTTTTCTCTCTCTTTTTGGCTCGGAAGTTGGACGTGAGGAAGGAAGCGGGGCAGACAGATATGGGAGATGGCAATGTTCCCGGACAGATCCTTTTTGTGTATATCCATGTCCGGTGGCAAGAGTCGTGTGTCGTGCGTTGGTGGGTGGTGGATCGGTGGAAAAGAGCAATACAATCCTCCAGGGTCATGGGTTTCCCCCCTCCTCGTGCGTCCGAGCTCGCGCGCCCACGACTGACGACGACGACGACGACGACGACGACGACGACAAACATCGAAAGGCCCATTTGACTTTTGTCGGAGGAACTATTGTAGGAAAAACAAAACATATTGTGTTGCCGCTTCAATCTGTCGTCTCCTTCATTTTTTCATCTCTTGATTTTGGTTTTTCGCTTCCATTCGGTTCAAACAGCGTGAAGTTGTGGAGCCATGGATCCCAGTGAGGCGAGACGAGACGAGACGCATGCTGACTGACTTGGTTTTCTCTGTGATGCAAATTGGCCTTGACTGACTGACTGACTGACTAACTGGCTCCGTGGATGCTGATTATAGGACCAGATCGTACGGACGTGAACGGCGATATCCACGACGATGACGACGACGATGTAAATGACGACCAGGATTCCAGATGACCAGTAGAGAAGTGACGACTCGACTTCGAATAGAAGGAAGGCACGAGAGGATCTAACAAGAAGAAGAGAAGGATAACAATAAGAGGAAAGAAAAGAAAAGGAATGTTTTAAGAAAGAGGAAGAGAATATCTAAGGAACAGGGAAAAGATGAACACAAGAGAGAAAGAAGAAGAAAAAATAGGGGATACAAGAAAGAGGAAAAGAAAAAGGAGAATACAAGGACAGGAAGAGCAATATTAGGAAAGGCAGAAACGAAAGAAGTGAAAGGAAGAAGAGAAATTCTAGAAGGCAAAGTTCTGAAAGGGACAGGGAAGTCTAAAAGAGAAAGAGAAGAAGTCTAAGAAGAGGTAGAGAGATTGTACAAGCAGTAATGGTACAGGGCAAGGAAAAGAAGAGGGGGACGACAAAATGACAAACAAGTAATCCTACAGCATATCTATACATAACTTACCCACGCAGCAGCCTACACATAATATATGCAGGGACGACGAGGACGATGCACCACCGACTGAAACCGACGACACACGTACCAAAAGTGGCAGATATCACCCATACCTTATATATACACTCAACAACCCACCACCCAAACCCCCGGGGAAGGTCGAACACGGGACGGAACAAGAAGAGACCCACAAGCCCAAACACCCAAGACATACGTCATTGCCAATGAAACCACAGATCACAGATCACGGGTCATGGATCATAGAAAGATCGTCGTTGTCGTCGTCCACCGTCCATCAATCACTCACCCAGTCACTCACCCAGCCTCTCGCGTACACAGCGTCAGCCAACCAGCCAGCCAGCCAGCCGCGTCTGTGACAGGCGTCCAACCCTATCCGATCCTTATCACCATCCGAGAGCAGTTGCAATAACGGCGTTCCCGTCTTTTGGAGCGGGATGGTAGGATAGAGTTGGTGAAGGGAGGGGCAGATCAAGTACTTACTCATCTCTCTTGCATCCAAGCGAATGGGTTGAGCACTTGGTGAATGGTCGATTGATGGGGATTTGTCCTTTCTTGATAACGGGGGCCGGGGGTTGAGTGGATTGATGTGGGGAGGGGAGATCGGGAAAGTGGAGTAGGGAAGTCAAGCCGTTAGATCATTCGTCCTTGCGTTGTCCTCCGTACGGATTCGTATACGCAAGAGCGATACGGTTTGGGGAGGTCGTTTGATGCTGAAAAACATACTGACGATGTTGCAAAGATAACCCCTCCGCGGGAGAGGAAATTGTGAGAGCGGTGTGAATGCTGAAACTGGCTCCCCTTCGAAATTGAAGGGATACTGATTTTTGAAAGCTGCTGCGAGTTACGAATATGAATGAGATGGGTGGTAGTAGTGGTCATTCATATCGTTTATTCTGAATGGATTGTTCACCTATGTCCGTTCCCCCTCATTGATCGTGATCACGATCACGATCACGAAACCGATCGAGATTGCGAGGAGAAGATTACGAATTCTTTAGAGGCACAGGAAAACCAACCAAAGGATTTTAGGGCTTATTTATATGAAACCGGGATGGGCGGTTATCGTTGGCGGCGGGAGGCGAAGATCGTCGGCCGTGTAGCATTGGTGTTGTTTTGAGTGGTTGGATGGTTATGTTGAAGTTGAAGTTGTCCTGTTTCGTGTGACGAAGGGACGTCATGCATAGGTGTTTGAGCGGGAGAGAGTGCAGTGGGCTTGTTTCTCTTGTGCTGTGCCGTTTTGTGTTGAGCTGTTCGAGGTGGGTCATTGAGTTGCATGCAGAGTACCCTTATCATTGGAGGGGGATGAAGGAGGAGGGAGGGCACAAGAGGGGTGTTTAAAGTGCTTCGAGGCGGGAAGGAACAAGACGAGTGAATGATGACGGAAGAAAGGATCGTCGGTATAGTTGTCGTGTTTATGGAAAGTGGCACGGAGGACCGTAGTGGGATAGGATAGGATGGGATGGTCCCAGGATGGGGAAGGTCGAGCGGGCCGGATGAGCGATGGAGGAGAGACGATCTTCACGCGGGAGATAGAGATGGCTTTAGGGTTTGCTTGGTAGTGGCCTTGGGAAGGTTTCCACTGTTGGAGTCAGTGAACGAGTTTATCGAACTTTGATATGCTCCTTGTGTATGAGATGAATTACACTATGCTAAGTTGCGATTCTACATCTCATGATACTAGTGAATTAGAGATCATAATGGTGAGTGGGAGGAAGATACGTGCTACAGTAACAACCCTAGGATCCATAGGTACAGATGAGAAACTGCACTGGATGTGCTAGATGCTCCTGGCATTATTCAGAAGCGAATCGATATATATCTTCAATACTCGATGGAAGGAAATGTCTGATATCTATGTAAGTATATTCTAATTATACTCATCGACATTTGTTTCCCACATGCGATTTGAACAGAAGATACACTTTACTGTCTTGCTCCAATGGGGATTAGCGCGGCCCTCGATGGTCCAAGCTCCCAAGGAAGAACCGGCGCGGATCCACACGCGCCGGCAATGACGTTCAAACAACAAACCTCGCCTGCCCAGTCTTCAGACTTCACAACAACCGCACACAGGCCGTAAAAGGCGCGTAATTCCATCGCCGTCGCGCATCGCAAACCTATATATACACGTTCCATCTCTTCCGCGACGCCAAAAATGCCACCCACCAGGCTGACAGATCGGGAACCTCCCGCCGTCGTCACCAACAGCACAAAAGGAGCTACCGCGCCATTGCGAAAGTCGAGACTGCCAGTATACCTTCGTCTTCCTCTCCTCGTGTCCCTCAGCCTCATCATTCGATCTACCCTGTGGACATTTGCGTCGGATCTCACACAAAATGAGCTTGGATTTGTGAGCAAACGGGAATCTGAAACATCCGCGGTAGTATCGCATCTTGCGTTCAAAGTCTTGTTGCTGTGGGCGGGATGGGCGCTCAAATTGGACTGTAAGCGGCTTTGGAGCTCACATTTGCCAGTCTTTATTTATTAATCCTTCTATACAGTCTACGACGTCAGCGCAGCAACCGCGGTCTCAATCACCCCTTATGCTTACTTGATCAACACGTACTACGGCGTCTCCAGTTCCACTGTCGCGATCTTTGTCGCAATTGAGATCCTGTCTACGGCCATCCCAACCTACCTGTTGCAACGACGCTCAGCTGTCCACAATCCCCGCGCGGCCTTGCGGAACCGCTTCCTCATCGATAGCTTCCAAGTGCAACAGTCCACTAGCCTTTTGGCCGTCGGTGTTTATGTTACCGTCTTGTTCACGGCCGTCAAGACTGATCTGCTAAACGTCTGGCTTGTCACCCATTTCGACATTCCTACCCTGGAGAATGCGCACAGTGAAACTGTCGCTACCCTCGCCGCCAAACTCCTCATCATCGGCGTTAGCGCAAAGGCCTTCCTCTTGAATCCGTCCATCGGCGCCGAGTCCGCTTCCGGCTCGGCCACTCCAGTCGAGGTTTTTGACCCAGCTACTTCAGACTTGCCAGCCACCATTCGACACAATGTGTGGTTTTGGAGCAAGCGTACCAGGACCTTGATCTCTCAGACTGCCTTTTTATCCTCGTTGCTCTTCGCCAACACCGTTCAGCGTGTCTTGACTCTGAAGGGTACCGAATTGGCTGGAGCCGCTGGCTATGCAGGACTTTGGGTCTTCGCTACGTTGGTAACTGCCGGTTGGTGGGCATGGATTGGAGATACCGAGGCTTGAGTCTCCTATTTGGAGGGCTGAGCAGAGACCCCCTATCGGAGGAGTGAAATTCAGTTTAGTTCTATGGAATGACAGGGAAGTTGGTTTAATGCAACCAAGAGGAGGATCAACGAATACCGTCGTTTGAAATTCTGGTGTTCATCTTTATGAATGTACGGGAATTTGCGGAGGCGAGGAAATAGTCGCTTGCGACATCAGATACCATTTTTTTTACTTCGGACTTCACTTCAGTTCAATAATGTTTTGCTGACTACATTTTTGATGAGTGAATTTCAATTGTGACGGTCTAGGCTTTTATACATCCCTTGATATGCCCCGAACGCTTCCCCTTTTTTACCTTGCTCCTAATAAGGGCTTCACTTTGGATGTTGAAGTGGGAAGTGATTGATGCTGTCAACACTGCGGCATAATGATTGAATCAGAGCTCAGGCTGAATCAAATAGCATAACAACGCGGCAACAAACAGTGCCCTCGTACAAGTGAAGAGTGATTGTCTACAGGATTTAAAAATATACATGTACCATTCTACGCACTTAGACTATGCAAGACCATCGCAACCCAGCATTAAACATCACTGTTGAGCCCACTCACACCTCTTCCCAACAATCACTAAACAAACATTGTCAAATCAATAACAACAACCAACAAAGAGTGGATAAACAATACATTAACAATGCACATTGACCTCATCTTTTTCAAGGTCTCGAGCAGATAAACCGTATAACTTTCCCTTCCTTACAACCCTAACAACCTACTATCAACTATATACCACAAAAATGTCTTATCCTGCATCTGAGCCTTCATCACCCAAGACGCAAGATGTTTCCATCTCGGAGACGCAAGTAGATCCTAGTTTCGAGCTCTTGGACTCTTTGGATGGAGAAATCTTGCCATTTCCCGGGCGATGCACTCCCTCACCCGACGCAGACATAGGTCAAAGTCTGAATAGCCTGTTCGCCAATGACGACGATGTGCCCGATCTGGACCCAGCAGACCAAACCTGCGACAGTACAAACATTGAAGCCGAAAAGCCAACCGCAGGACCCTTTCCATCTGATGTAGACGCTCTTCTAAAAGAGATACCCTTCACCGACCAGACCTTCCTCGAGCTGGACAACTCCTCCATCACCAATAGAGACTGGTACAGCATCCTGGAAACCGAGGCCGAAAGCTGGTGGAGCGACGGGATCCTCGACGTCGCCCTGGAGCTCCTCGCCCGCAAGATGCAGTGCGATCGCCAGGGCATCGCCATCGCACCGTCGACAATCTGCTCCATGATCGCTAGTATCAACCGCTGGGAAGCCGACGTCGACGAAGAAGAAGAAGAAGACCTGGGCGTCACCTACCGCGCGGAAAAAGAGCGCTTCGAAAATCACAACTGGATCTTCCTACCCGTCAACGACGGCATGTTCAGCATGACCGGCCGCGGGTGTCACTGGTCGCTCGTGGTGGTGGACCGCGCACGCCGTGTCGCGACGTACTTCGACTCGCTGTTCCTCGACAGCCCGAAGTGGCACGACTACGGCGAGCGTCTCGTGAAGGGTCTAGGCAGGCTCCTCGGCGAGACGTATGCGTTCAAAGTCGACGCAAACAGTCCGCAGCAAGACGAAGACAACAAAACGGACCTGGATCACGGCCCCTGTGGCCCATTCGTGTACGAGTTGACGCTGAGGTTGGTCACGGGCGTGTGTTGGTATCAAGAGGAGGGAAAGGGCGAGATATGTACGATGGAGTTGCCAGACGAGTTTGGGAAGTCGGCGGAGTGGGGGGTGGATACTTTGAGTACGAGGTATGATGTTTGGAACTATATGTATCAGGCTAGGAGCGACATCATCGCTGCTAGAGAGGCGGATACACCCGCTGAGACGAGTGCTCCGGCTTGAATGGGCTTGTTGAGATGCCTTTTTGTCCTTCTTTGTCTTCAAGCATCATTGCCTTCACATTGATCCTTCTTTTACCTTGAATTTTCCTTATCCTGACGCCCGCCCAGCTAGCAATCAACATTCACACCCGTAACCTGAATATTTGCACAATATATTAGAAGTAGATAAAACATTCAAGACTGTCATCTACGTTGGCTAGGACTCTAATTTCATTAAACGCTAATCACGATCGTTTCAAAGGCAACCACCTGATTTTCCTTGGTTTGCTTGTATTATAGCAGAATGTAACTGGAAACCCAGATAGGACGGTTTGAATGATCCCGAACAAGACGCCGACACTACCGAAAACTATCACTGCATGAAAGGTCGTGATCTTTTCAAGACTTCTCCCGTCTTTCCACAAATCCCGGAGACCTTTTGGGTCACGTTTCAAAGTAAACTGCTGAATGATGGACAATCTCCTGCCGAATGGCTAAAAGTCTTCGGTTGTGCTATAGCTTGATCGAAGTCGGCCATTCTCTGGTAAGAGCTTGCATTGCTTTTGGGTACAGAGTCTCTCAAGAAAGGAATCTGTCACACCGGTTGTGATCTTGCATCGCCGCTTCTCGTTCAAACGAAACTGTCGCCGAGATCTACGTGTACGAGCAAATAATATGTTGTAGGACAGCGTCATCTCCTCCACCGCTGAACTGAGGTCTTCATCATTTGTTGGGCTCTCATCAGCACATAGTCGCTGCCAAAGTCTACAATGTGCATGCATTTAGAATAGCTCAGAAAAGATAACGATGGAGAACGTACTTATTTGTCAATGTAGACTTATCGCCCTTGTGCAAGACGCAGAAAGCCGGAAGTTCGAAAAGGTAGAGGCGTCGCTTAGTTTCGTCGAAGCTCAAATGCGCAGTAAGACAGGCTGTCCAAACAATTTCAATACCAACAGCATCGAAAAGCGTCGCATTCAAGTAGGTAACATCAAGTGTACCTCGCCGGATTGCAGCTGATGGAACATCAAAGATGTCCTGGCCAGGCAGCGTAATGCCAAACCCATGTAAGATCCCTGTGAACGGTCTCCCTATGCTAGGCGAAGCAAGGAGCCCCGTTTGCAAAAAAAAAAAAAAACACTCGAAGCCATGGCTTTCGATGTTCAAACTGTTCGTATTCTCGTGATAAATTTTAATGGATGGCTTGTACAACATCGGTGTCCATCCTATCAGGGAGAGCATCAATGAAGACAGCTGTTCTCTGCTCGGAAGATTCCCCACGATATGTTGGGCGATTTCATCTAAGCTTGCATCTTCGTTTTTGACGACATGGCTCACGGCCAGTTGGGCTAGATATGCTAAGACAGAGTTTGATGCTGCTTAGTTCTCTCTGAACAGTCCTACACTAGCTGGTTTCGATTTCTCGGTTTGCATCTCGAGAGAACCGATGCATATTTGCAGAGCCGAATTCTGCTCACTATGCGATTGAGCTCCATCTGTGGCTGCTTGAGACAAGTCCGTAATCAACTCACGTAAGAATTTACCTACGACACAAGTCAGCCCTCAGGGTGGTAGCTAGCTTTCAACTGGTGGTCAACTACCGGCCATTCTATTGAGAATGCTGATTACGTTGACTTGGAGTGCTCTTCTTAAACCCAAGAGACGCCTACCGTTGGACAGAAAGTGAGGCCTAGCTCGAGGTTGTCACCCTCAAGAACTCAGCCGGAACCTGCATTTTGATATTCGACCAATACCATCAGGGCAACGAGAAGTAATCGTCACTAGCCAGACAAAGAGTGCTGTGATAGATACTTCTGTGCTAATTGCAGCAAAGGTAAGTCTGAGAATTATGCTAATTGCAAATCGTAGAGGCTAACAATACAATATAGTTAAACCTATACGTAATATAAATGCATAAGGTCTAATTTGTAAGAAGCAAGATTGCTATTTAGGCAGGAAAGTACGAAGAGGCTAAGGCAATACACAAAAAGGCACTGGTGCAGAGTAAGACTATTTATAGACTAAGGTTGTAATATAGTATCAACCTCTGTCAGTCCGTGTTAGAACCTACTGCTGCTCATGCACTAATCCAATCTAAGAGTGTCCAGGAGGGTTGCTCAGCAATACCCCGGATTTATTGTTGTAACTACAGCGCATTACTACAGTTATAACACTAGATCTCATCTAAGAAATATCCCCTAGGCTCTAGTCCATGACAACTTGGGCTGATGGGCAGAGGAGTAGCTATCCTTGTAGATAACGGAGACGAGTGAGAATAACTCGGCCCACTTCTCGATGGAGTGGTTGAACTCAGCCTGCAGGCATGAATGTTTTTAAGGGTCAGGCGATCCTTCCCGGATAACATAGTTCGTTGTTCTGCTGCAGAAATCACATCTCGTAGCTCTGTTTCGGGCATTCTAAAAGGTTTTATCTCTTCTCGCACGCTGGAAACAGATTCGTACACATGAGCCACGCGAAATAATAATTCCTCAGTGAACGGCTTCCCAGTGAAGGTGATCCCGAATCTATATCGATTAGTAAGAGTTTTACTGCGAACAATTATAGCTACTCACGGAACATTTGGAGCTACGTCGATGATTTTCCCACGGTGGCAAGTAGGTTCAGTATCGTCTGGGTAGAATCCAAGGGGAACTGTAATTGCTGGTAATCCCACCCGGGCGGCAAAGGTAGTTGGAGGGTCGATGTTCGTTGGATGAACAATTAGGTCCAGTTTATGCTCCTCAATAGCCCCAATGATGCCTTCTTTTCCAGAAAGACGCAGCATCTTCTCCAGTGCTTTTTTGTATGCGTCCGAATTGTATTCCGGTCCTTCTTGAAGCCATTCCCAACGCTGGATATCACGTTCTGGGTAGCACTCTTTTGGTTCAGACTTAGTGAAGTTGACAAGGTCACTCAAACTATTGATGTTGTTGGGATTTTCAACGAGTTCTCTCAACCACTTTTCGATGGAGTGTTTGAACTCAGCCTGCAGGCAGGCCCGCTTTTCGGCACTATCCCATGCATCCCACTCTTTGGCCGAGGCAAAGAGTACATTATCCACGATCGTTACTCCTCTTGACTTAAGCAAGCTCAGCGCCTTATCGAACTTCTTCATGACAATGCCATCAGTCTCCGCGATTGCATCCCGGGGAACACCGATGCGCAAACCGTCCAACCGTGTGCCTTGGCATGCATCTGCGTAATTAGGTATGTGATCAAATGGTATGGAACTGGTAGCATTGTCGTATGGGCTCTTTCCAGAGATAGCTGTGAGTACGTATGCAACAGACTTTACAGTGCGTGCCAATGGACCGACCGTATCCTGACGATTAGAGAGGGGTATTATGCCGTCTCGGGCTACAAGCCCAATGGTTGGAGCCATTCCAACAACGCTACTTCTTTGAGCCGGAGAGACAATGCTGCCGTCAGTCTGCTATCCGTCAGTTGATGGTCGAAAGCACAAAGCGTGACATGGTAGATACCTCAGTGCCGATTGCGGCAAAGGTAAGTCCGAGGATCGAGCTGATTGCAGATCCAGAGCTACTTCCGTCAGGGTCGCTGCCTGGATAAAAGGCTCCGTATGTTTGTCTACCGCGTGCACTCCAACCATTGCTCCCATTGTTTGGCCCAGAACGGAAGTTTGCCCACTCGGATAGGTTAACTTTCCCGAGTAAAATCGCCCCAGACTCGCGTAACTTGGTCGCGACAGTAGCTTCTCGAACTGGCCGAGATCCTAGCAAGGCGTAGGATCCAGCAGAGGTCGATGTTTGGTCGTCGGTGAAGATGTTGTCTTTCAAGAGGATTGGGATTCCATGCAGAGGCCCGCGTAATTTTCCATCGCGACGTTCATTATCCAGACTTGCTGCAATCTTCTCTGCATCAGGATTGATCTCTAGGACAGCATTGAATTCATCGTTCACTTCGCTGATACGACGTTTGTATGCTGCCACCAGCTGGACAGAAGTGAACCGCTGATTATCTAGGCCTGTAGCTAGCTCTTCGAGGCTTGCAGTACGGAGCCTGGGCAGATCAAAGTGATTTTTGGTGGCGGACATGGTCAAAGTTGGGTTGGAAAAAGAGAAGAATCGGTATAGGAAAGAAGCTAGGGCGATGACGAATATTTTAGTGATTCGAAACGCGGCTGGCATTGCTGTCTCGCCACCGAGTATGGAAGCAAGTAAGAGTGTGAAGTACTGCGGGTAGCCTGTTTGTAGAAAGAAGCACGGGGCCCCACAAAACCCTAAAAGATGCAAAGTATCATTTGCCCCGACCGGTGTGTCCATCACATTGCTACAGAGAGTTGGCACGTTGGGCTGGCCCCCTGCTAGTATTTTATGTCCACAGCAGTGCCTTCGCAAGTTTTGTTGCAAGGACTTGAGAGATTGTTTACTGGCTATAATACACTCTTAAATAGACACTTTTGGTATAGAACGTACTTGAAGTTAGCAGGTGGCCAGCCCGACGTGCCAACCCTCCGTACAACACTGTCACACCCACGACAGTATGCACACCATATTGTAATCATAAACATGTATCTCGCTGCTAATTGAACCAGTCAAATATGGAGACACTGTAGTCGGGTCGTACTGCCACATTACATATATCTAGACGAGGTCTGCCCATCTTGGAGGGCCGAACGAGTCAACACAATTCATCAGATCTTTGAAATACCATCTCACACCAGCCCACCAAAGTCAGCTCAGCCGCAAGCCAAGTTTCAGCCTTGGAAAGCCTTCATCAAGATTGGCGAAACCAGTATTGCAAAGAACAGCCCAACTTCTGCAGAAGGATCTGAAGTACGCATTCTTGCTGAGCTGGACGACAAAGATCTCGGCGGCTAGTTGTATGAGAATGCAAGACGGTACGTAGTATTCCCTGCTATGGAAACAATTCGAATAGAACCCAGTTGTGTGAAACTTGAGAAAGTGTGTGATAACATTGGCTCAGATATCGAACGGTCTTTGGGGTCGTACAAGAACTTTCCTGTGGCCTAAAGAGCTCTCAATCCTTGGAGGTATATTTAAAGGACCACATGCTATTAGTCTTTGAAAATGCATTATATATTGTCAAATGCTCTAGAGATCCATTAACAGTGGCTAATATCTATCTATGCTACCTGTCCACCGATTGCAGGTTTGCCTGTGATGCTTCCTACTATAGAGGCGTCTATACAAAGCGAAGAGCCTATAGAGTCTAACGATAACCACTACCCCTTTCCAATGTATCTTGACAAGCTATCACGTATGTTTGTCACCAAGATAGTTGCTGTTGTTGGAGACGACGACGGCAGTCAGAAATAAGCAGAGAAATATTCGATAAATATGCAATTTCAAAGCACAATCCATATCACCCAATACCACCTTTTCCAGGTGAAACTGATCATTTTCGTTCACTTACCAGTCAGGAAAGACATTATTAGGCTTCAAGTCTAGTCCAGGATCGGTCAGCAGAGAGGCATGAATATCATTCAATGCCAGTCCGACCTCTTTTAGGATTGTTTTTCTTGCACTTACTGGGAGGGCTAGGTATTTTCTACCAAAGAAAGCAAATCACTCTTAGAATATTCATACACAAGCACGTTTTCCTTTTCGTTGTCATCCACGTGGATTTGGAGACGAATATTATTACGGAACTCTGCTTTGAATTCTTGCATGAGATCAAAAATTGAAGGGGAAACATGCTTTAAAACGATGGGTTCATTATCGCAGCTAGAATAGTGATCTAACTCAATTACTTCTCATGCCAACATTCAGAATAACGAACATGGCCTCTGACCTACAGGGCAAGGCTAAATTTCAGTGCTGGTTTCGTGGGATGATTTTGGAGGATCGTTGGGGGCGTGTACTCGCGCCCAGATTCACATACGAGGGTTGAGAACATTCTCGCAGTTCTAAAAACATGAGCACGATATGGGATCATGGACAGGTACGGTATATTAGTATGATAGACGTAAGCTACCTGGCTACCTCACAATAGCAAGCTCGGGCCCACAACCTTACATCGGCATCTTAATAAGGCTTAGTGTGGTATCACGTGGTCTAATTCGCGCCCCAATCGTCATCAACCTCTATGCATCGACTTCAAACCCGCTGCCTGACTATCGACCACAACACCTCTCTCGTTAACCACATCATTACGCGCTCCGCCTTCCTGGACTCCAGCTCTATCAATCCCAAAATAATTCCCATAGTCGGCGGTTCTCCAGTATATCCCTAAACTTCCGCGACACCTACACACCCCTTCACCATGGCGGATTCGGGAGCTTCACAACCAAAGCCGAGCAGCAGCGTCAAGCTTGTTCTTTTAGGAGAGGCCGCAGTCGGAAAGGTGGGATAACCTCTATATGCTGGGGTCTTTCCAAATTGCTAATGCTTCAAGCAGTCTTCTCTTGTTATGCGCTTTGTGAACAACGATTTCCAAGAGAACAAGGAGCCTACGATAGGCGGTACGTCTATACCATTCACGACTGTCTCCAGGTCACTTTTGTGATCTTTCAGCTCAATCACACATGGTCGAAAGCTAACATGTCAATCATGTAGCCGCCTTTTTGACCCAGAAATGCAACCTCCCATCCCGCACCATCAAGTTTGAGATCTGGGATACCGCCGGCCAAGAGCGTTTCGCATCTCTCGCACCAATGTACTACCGCAACGCCCAAGCCGCACTGGTCGTATACGATATAACCAAGCCCTCTTCTCTCACAAAAGCACAACACTGGGTCGCCGAGCTTCACCGCCAAGCATCGCCCGGCATTGTCATCGCGCTTGTTGGAAACAAGTACGATTTGGCCACGGAAAACGACAGCGCCGATGTAAATGATGCGGATGCAGTTCCCGCAGCGGAGGGCGAGAACCCCGAGGAAGAGGAGGAGAGCACTGATGCGAGACGTGTGCCTACGAAGACGGCGAAGGGCTATGCGGATGAGGAGGGCTTGCTGTTCTTTGAAACCAGTGCGAAGACGGGACAGAACGTTGCAGAGGTTTTCACAGCTATCGCGAATGCCATTCCAGAGACGAGCCTGAAAGGACCGAGGGGAGTTGGAGGCCAGACAAATCTTGGCAGGCAAGAGGATGCACGAGTGAATCTAGGAAGCGCGAGGCCAGAAGGCGCAAAGGAAGGATGTGCGTGCTGATCCGTTTGGAAAGTCGAGTGGAAGGTATACGGGTTGGAAGTGTGAGACATAAGAGCGGAGAGGAAGAGGATAGACACAGATGGAGTGGGGTTGGTATTTATTTGCTTCATGAAAGCGAGGTTTTCTTATTTTGCGACTCCTTTGTTCCAAGAGACACCCCAACACGTGGTAACGAGTATTTATATCGTGAGAGCACATTGTGTGCATTCTTGTTGAAACATTCCCTTTATTGATATTGTGACGAAGGTTCCGGGTGTAATCATATGCTTTGGGATTATCTATTGCCGATGCTTCCTATAAGTCTTATCATTCGATCGTGGATGTGGAGGAAGACTAGTTGTCCTTATATAACAAATCAACGAATCGGACACTGTCATTATGTGCTGTGACATCAACCCTCACTACGATAAGTACTTCGCTCCCCCAATATCTCACCAGCACCCCATTTCACTTATATTTTCTTTCCGTACCCAATCCTCATGCCCCATAGTTATCATGTACTCACAGCCTCCCTCTAGAACACGACCAAAAGCAGCAAGGGTAAGCGAAACAGCAGACCCTCCCTTGGCAAGACTTGCCGTATAGATAACTCTGATTATCAAGAGTGCAAAAACCACTCCTATGCACCAATGCCTACATTATCCACATGACACATCTAGGTAGATAGGCATATAGGAAAGGTAAGGGAGCCTAACAATCCCATGATACCGGATCAGTGTCACCGCCACACATCGACTACAAGGCTGCTTGTCTACAGTGAATACCGGTAGTTAACTTGTACTTGACCCTGCCACAACAGCTTCCAATCTCTGGGCGTCGAGGCTGTGTACCTTTCATGTCTATCGACAGCGCATCGCTAACCCGATCTCTCATAACCCAAGTGCCTGCATATCGACTAACTAAACAACCAATCCGGATTGTGTATGCACACGGGAAAACAAAACCCCGGTAGGATGTCCATGAGTCTTGTAGGATCGCAGACTCGCACGGCCGCAGCATAAGAGAGGCGCGCAAAATGGTGCCAAATGCGGTTGGAGATCTCCCGCACGTGGGCTGTTTGACCGCAAACCCATTGCGGTTAGATTAGGCGAGGCGGAGGGGTCTGACTGGGTGTGTCTTGTTCACCGTAGGCCTTGAATGGAGATTTGTGTCAATGGCAAGGGTTTGGCAGGGCTTGGGTATACGAACGGGTACTCGGGATGATAATGATGGGTGGGTTTGGTGATGGGGTATATGATGTGGTGTTCGGTCGCGTCAGGTTTGGGAGGGTTTTGATGTACATACATACTTACATACCTCATACCGCTTCGTTCCTGGATTTCGTGAAAAGGAATTTTTTGAATACTGTTTTGAACATTAAGGATTCTGAATTCGTCACGTTTTGACAGAAGGAATTCTTTTCAAGTCTGGAAGAATCCAAGCCGGGGAATGAACACAAGACTGTAATCATGTCTACGAGAGGCTACACAAATGGTGAGTACCTAGTTAAAGCTTTCCGACGACAGCTATTGAGATTTCCATACAATCTGTGAAACCGAGACTAACCATGCCACAGCGACCTGTGACACACCACTGGACCTGTATCCGAACGCGACCATACTCCAACAGATCCACGACTGTCAAGCAGCCGCCAACACAAGTTTCTGCTGGCCGCCCAACGGCTCCAGAATATGCACACCTGCAAGTGAAGTTAGATGTGCGAACCCATTCCCTTATTAGCCCCAACACAACGATGGAATGCCAAAATTATGTTCTTGTGACATACAAGTACTAACATACTCTCCTCGCGCGCAGGGTTCTGGCCCATAGAATACTTCGACACAGAAAACGAATCCAAAGTCGCCATACAAGACGACCTCTCCTCGGCCTTTCTCTTCCTCCGCGAGAACACGGGGAACCGGACCACCAGCTTCACCGAATATGGATTCGACTACAAGGCCGTTCCGATCCCGGGGAAACCCTACGAGAAGGTGGTGAAAATCTACATGATCGAGCGGCGGTTCAAGGGGCAGAACGCGACGACGAATGCGTTTAATTACGAAATCCACGATGCGCAGACAGTGACGTTGGTGAAGAGTGCAGAGTGGACTTCGACGAGGACGAGTGGGAGACTGTCGGGGAGCACATCGACTTCGTCGGCGAGTAGTGGTGGGGGTGGTGGGAATTCACTCAGTGGAGGGAAGGTTGCTGCGATTGTTGTTCCTATCGTTCTTGTCGCCACTGTTATCCTTTTCTTCTGCTGTTGCAAGGCATGCTGTTGCGGGCCGGCGAAGAACAGATCGAAAACGAAGCCGGAACAGGATGCAGAGGCCGCAGCCGCGGGATTGCAGAACGCTGCAGCAGCAATGAGACAACAGGGACCATCTCCTGGGACTGCATACACGAGGGATGCACCGTTGGTTGGAACCGGACCTGGGCAGATTGCTACTTTGGACCCAGCAGTAAACAACCCGAGACGGCAGTCAACGGACGCTGTGCCAACATACGATGCGCCGCCGCCCAAATATGTACCATGATCGACTACTAGGTCAACAGCGAGCTCCTAGATAGCAAACCTGCATTCTTTGTCCAAGACGAAGAATAAATGCTGAGTACTTACGCTTTACACGACGGTAGCGACTTGAAAGAAAGGATCTGAGAGGCAGAGGCCGCAGGATGAAGATGTGTCCGAAAGCCATCAGTCATGTACCAAAACCAGTAATTACAGTACAGACTCTAATGGGATTTGGTCGAAGGTTTAGCGGAATGCAAGGCCCGTGAGACACTTACGACGAAATGAATTGCGTATAACTACTGAGAACTATCTTGTACCATACCTATAATTTGTAATAGCTCACTAATGCCTAGAATAGCATGACTCTAGTCGTTCCGAATCCTGAGATTGTTCGATAAACCCTGAGGTATCTCACCTTGGCAAATCCTGGATCTGGTACGCGACACTCTTCTGAATCATAGCATCTGCAAAATCTTCCAGGAAAAACAGGTTTCGCGCTGAATACTTTTGTAAGAAAAGAGTTTTCCATTCTGTTCCCTTGATGGTAAACAGACTTGGTTTGAAAGCAATAATTTTCTTTGTCTGGTTTTGCAAAAATGGCCATGGAAGCACCTTTTTAGAGTAGGCAGGCTCCATGACCAAATGAGTGCTTGTGAAGAATTGCAGTGAGGGTGTAATGCAGTAATCTCCACCAAGTGCGGCGTTGAATATGAGGCATTCACCACGAAACCATCCCTCCAAATCAGCATGCATTGGATTCTGACGATCATAGTTGTATGTCCCTGCATCGAGATGGCATAGACAGAACAAGGCCTCTAGCGATGCTGCATCCCTAATTGACTTCTGCTCTGCGAGTTAGCTACACAGCTAGTCGTAATATGACACGCATCTTACTAGCGCTTCTGAATTGAGTTGCATATCGCCGGGAATATTGGAATTCCACAAGACATGGGGGTGCGGAAGAGCCACCCCAAGGAAAGCTATCCTAGGACAACAGGGGATCCAATCGTACAATTGCAAAGGAACTCTGTCAGCTCCTATTCGATGCACAGCCGGGCCCCAAACAAGTAACTCCAAGGAACTGGCACCGTTGTTGAAATGTTCGAGGAATGAACTGTAAACTCCTGGGAGGTCAAGGTATAACTCCTTCAATTGGGATATCGTGCATAGATGCTGGGGGATGACGGAGATGACCTGAACGGACCTGATCATAAGCGCTGTTAAGTTGGGAAACAGGCAGCTATGCTTGTGGGAGAAGAGCGCCTCAATTTCGACACATTCGATGAATTGAACAACGCGAACAGAGGGAAGCTTCTGGCGTAGACGGCAATTGAGCTTCAAGCCGTGCATGGTGAGCCGAGTGATCAGTGGGCTCATCGATGAAAGCTTTCCGATGTTCAATCCAGGCCCATGCCAGAAAACGGAGCTGTGTTGGCATACTGATGAGATAGTTATGTGTAGTTCCTGCAGTTTTGGCAATCTAATGATTGATGATCCCCAAAGATTAAGCACAGAGCGGAATGAGCAAGTGGTCAAGGCCAGACGCTCTAACTCGGGAAGCTCGCATGTGGTCATTATTCGATCGAAATCAGACTCTCCAGTTCCATAGTTGAAGATTGGAAACTCAAGAACTTGTAAGCGACTTTGTGTTCGCGACAAACTTCTTAATGAAGGGGCAGAGATCCCTTGAGGGGCATGGTTTGATGATCGGAGCCTATGAGGCAAAGTCAGGCGCTTTCTTCTAAACAAGACTTCCTCTCCTACCGGAAAGTAAGCAGATTGACTGGGAGAGACTCCACGAAGCCCCTCAATATGATGTCGTCGGCAGCTGCTAAAAATGGATTCGTGCGACGAGTCAAGTGCATTTCGATATGACGAATGTGTGCCATGCCTGAATGAGCCGCCCAGTTTACGTCTCCCCACAGCAGAGTCGATGATCCAGACTGGATATTGACCTTCTTGTACCCAAGGAAGTAGCAGATCTCCTGCAGTCCCTTGCAAGTTTGTGCAACACCCAGGAGCAAGTCCTTTTGACTGAGCTGGGCAAGCCGAATTAGCATTTTGGCAGGCTATCAGATGAAGTGGGGGCGTACTTGGGACAGTATCATCATCTTCAACTCATTGGACAGATGCGGTAGGTGAGCAGGATTGTATCCCGTGTCCTGTGTGGCGAGCATCGTGGATACCGAAGCTGTGGATGTCAATGACTATCTGCGGTGACAGGCTAGTTGATGGGAACGAACTCTGAGCATTTGATAATCCCACGATCGCCCCTTCAGCCTCCGAGACAGGCATACCTATCTGATCCGACATGGCGGCAGATGAATAGGTCGTGAGTGAGGTGAAGGAGGGATGAGGTGGAATCAGAATTTGAAATGTCTTGTGAGGTCTTTTGGACGCTCCTTCCCTAAATTCTGCACAAACGACATACCACTCACCAATGGCAAAGAACGTACTAAGATCACGTAAACTCTCTCAATTGATACTGGCAATTCTATGGTACCTGTTCGTAAATGAAAATCTATCATGCCTCGGTCCTTCACCGTCTCCTCACCTATCAACAGTGTCAGGCCACTGCTCCACGATACCTTCCTCTCCCTTCACCAACCTCTCAAGATTCATCCTAACACTCCACTTGACATACCGCGTCCCCTCGGGAACCTTCCCTCCCTGACCGACCTTCATGATATCACTACCTCCCTTCTCCGCAAAGTGATGGCTGAAAATCGGCGGTTGCACCGTTACGCACATCGGCATGGTCTCCTTGGTCGCGCCTCGCGTCAAACCGTTACAGTAATCCGAGAGAGCGAAGTCGTACCCTTTCGTCATTTCCCTGACGCCGAATTCGTATAGGATCTTGCGGGCGCCGGATTGAGTTACGGCGTAGGCTATGGTGCATAAGGTTTCGTTTGCGCGGTGGACGAGGCGGCTGTGGGGAGAATAGAGGGTGCCGATTGCATCGAGAGGGGCGTAGGACATGGGCTTCAGGTACTGGGGTTCGGGAACGGTAGGATCGTCGCTGAGCATGATTCGGTTTGGAGAATTGGGAGAAGAGGGAGGGAGCTTTGCACCGCAGTGCCCCAGCCAGAGGATGTCCCAGTCGAGGCCATAGGGTTCTTGATGGGAAGTGCTGAGTTTTGATATCGGTGGGAGGAGAAGAGTGGAGAGTTTGGCCTGCTCGTTCTGAGATAACGCTTCTGAGGAAGGTGGAGGCTTGGAAGAGTCGTGTTCGGATTGAGAGAGTATGTCTTGGAGTTTACGAGCCGCGTGACTGAAGTCTGATAGCTGAGATCGGATTCGAAAGTCCCAATCGACATCATCTTCAAAGATAAGTGCCGTTGTGAGATTCTGCTGGATGACCCTAAGCTTGCTTAGATAGTTCTATACATCAGAAATCGAAGTGGCCATACTCTCGAATTGCGTTCATGTGTGCCCTCCAACTTCCTCGATTACCTTCCGACATATCTTGGTGGTTACCAGGTGGATATGCCTTAAGCAAGATGTCCTCTGCCCGAACTCCATCTATCCAGTCTAGAGAAATGCCGCTGTAAGATGCAGCTAGTGAGATCGAGTCTTTACGGTCTGTTCTCCATGGTGCGTTGATAGCAAATATCTTCTCGAACTGTATTTTGCGTTAATGATGAGATCCAAATGTCTCGGAACTACCGACTTACACCCAATGTATCGTTTGCTATCCCATCCTGGAGTGTCTGTTTTGAATGAATGTACTGCCTCGTGAAAGAATACCCATCGCGAGGACTAGGAATGAATTGATACTTCAGCACCAGAAGAACGAGAAAAAGGCACACTACTCCCACCAGCCATATCCGTCCGTGGCTCTGTGAAGGCATGCTGATTCCTGACCGTCCATCAGGACATTGAAACCAAGCTGCGGATCGTCAATGCCATAAGTACCGACATGTCATCTTTGAACTGTGAGGAATAACACTCTGGCAGATGACAGCTGACATTGCAAAACGCAAATCCGGGATCTTGGAATGCGTGTCTCGTCGATCACATAGGTACAAAGTACTTGCATATTGCAGGCTAAATGAAATCCCATTGCGCCCAGTCTGACGCACGTGTGGGGTAAATACAATACACATATACCCAAAACACCACCCAAGGCCGTAAGGCATTGTGCCACTTAATAACATCCAGATGACAGGAGAATGGACAGCCCAAGATTGGGACAAGAGCTCGGCGGGTAATAAAAAGTTCCGATGCTGCCGTCCTGGCGCGTGTTGACTTATAAGTCCTTTGTGGCATCTCTTAACTGTTAAGTGCTCTATCCGCGAGATGCATCCGCCTGCCCCATCCTCCATACACCCACGAAACGGCATCTGCCATGTCGTTGGAATAAGGTTGCCAATCTTGAATAATTGATCAGCGCGCGAAAAACAGTATTGCAATAAGGTCGTCGTCTTACCTTTTCGAATAAAACCTCGCTCCCTGTATTTCAGGTCTCTCCACGACATATTCTCTGAAAGACCCGTTTGTACATAATGGGCCCTCCTACCCCGTCGAGCAACTATACTGACTTCGCCTTTAAGCTCCTGCTCTGGAGTCGATAACCGCCAATTCTCCGCGACTTCCTGGCCTGGCCTGGCAGCCCAGGGCCTCGGAATCTGCTTGCCCTTTGCACCTTCGGATGGTTTCGGTACCACAGTAATGAACATTCGAACTTCAGCTCCCGATGTATCACCATCTCTTTCCTTGAGTAAGGAATCCCAATTCTCTGGCTGAGCGACCCTCTTGCGTCGATGGTCGTAGCCCGAGGTTATAAAGTCTGGATTTGGCGTGATGTACTCGAGCTCTTTCCATCCATCACACTTTATTAGCCCTTCGATGTCGAAGTAAGTAACGACATCTCGCCAACCCTCGACCAGGCCATGTCCGTGGAAGCTGTCTTCAACGACAAGACGCTCAAGATTCAAGCCGGGCAGCAACGCCAATGCATTGTGGAAGAAGTAGGTTGGATAGTAGTCTGCTCGGCCTGTGGCATAAAGCGGGAAGGGAAATGCTTTGATGCGGATATGACGTATTCTTGTGATGACGGATTGATTGGCGTCGAGCAGAGTTTCCAACATCGACTCAGTCCCGAAAAAATGGAACTTGATATTCAAGGGAAGAAACCGCCAAGCTTCTTGATTTATCTGTCGGCAGGTTCGCAGTAGCGCAGTGCGATGATCATCAGTGCGACGGCCAAATCCATGGGAAACCGTGAATGATGAGAACAATGCTTCATAGATCATTTCCCGAAGCTCCAGCGGAAGCGTGAGGAGATGAGCTGCCATGATTGCTTAAGAGAGTAGTCTGGTAGACAGATGTATATCCCTACTCGCTGATACAGGACAAAAGAGTGAAGCTGAAAGCGTCGGAACAGAGATCAATAGTAGCAGAAACGTCGAGGAAGGGGGATTTGTGTGTCGGATGTGGTCGCAGGATTTGAAAAGTCAGCTCAGAGTCCCTCACAAGCCTAATAAAGCACTTGCTGATAGCGACATCCTGAGTTACCGGCTGCTAGGTAAGCCCGGAGAGTAATAGCTTCGATTCACCCACGGGTAGATGCTGTCTTGTTCAGGATAAGCGCTAGCAAATCAGATGACTGCCCGCTCGAACGTAGTACACGCCATGATAGCACAATGAGCACCCCGGCTTGATGCAGGTAGCTACCGGTCAGACATCCCCGACCAGTTAGATGTCTGTCACATATCCAGAACGCTCGACGATAAAGCCTTATGCAATTATATGAGTTTGAACGCTACCTGTCTATAAATGCTCGCCATGCTCGCCATGCGCCAATGGGTATCCGTGCAAGGAAAACAGCCTTAACTTGCATATATTATACTTCTCAATCTTTTCTGTTACTGGGAGTAATCCATCGTACAGCTCAGTCTGTCTTGTTCCAGCTGCGATCCTCCTCTTGAAGCTTCTTCCTCTGCCATTGCCACTCAACAAGGACTGGTAGGAAATGCCAGAGGTCGAATTCAGGCCACATGCAATCCAAGAAAACGATCGATGTCTTCTCGTGAGCTTGCCAAAGCATAAAGTCACTCAGCCTCATCACGCCAGAAGTTCGAACCAGTAGATCTAGAGGTGGAGCACCGGCAGTGAGCATATTGTCATTCAATGTCTCCGCGGTGATCGTTTCCGGATCCAAGAAATTCCGACCTGATGTTATGGATCCGTCCTTTTCAACCGAAGTTGCAGCTGTAGACGAAGTCGCAGTAGAGTTAGCGTCATTCGCCGAGTTCAGGTCTTTGGATTCAGCCGGAGAGGTTGAACGCGATGTTGGTTCGACATCCTCCGGTACTGTATTGAGCATTTGCTGACGAATATGTTGTGTTATATGTGTCTCCGAGAACGAACGCTTGGATGGTGATTGCATGGAACTTAACGGGACACTGTACGATTCGACAGTGTGCCTGACCGCCGATGCGATTTCGTCCCTCGAGGTGTAAGGAAAACACACGTTCAAAATCGCCCTAGATCACAGTCAGTGTTTGCAAGCCATATCTAGCCATAAATGAACACACCTTTTGTTGTGGGCCGTCAGGGAAACTGCCTTGTCTATAGCCTGCAACACGTCTGGCTTCACCAGGTCACGGTTGCCCAGGACTCGAATCGACGCCCCATAACGGTCAAGAAGAGCTCCATGCTCTGAGAGCTGCTCTAGTTTTACTTTTGCCATATGCATGAGAGCATCCACCTCACGTTTCGATCGTTTGAAATTCTCGATACTGAATGCGTAGATGGTCACGACTTTGACACCCGTTTTGTAACATACTTCGAGGATCTAGACCCAGAGATTAGTCTTAGGCGTGGAAGAGGAACATCGTGTAACACATACTCTAGCAAGTGCTTCGAATCCCAAGCTGTGGCCTTCCACCGTCTCAATGTGATGATTCCTCGCGAATCTCCTATTTCCATCCATGACGAAAGCTACATGTTGAGGAATTGGCCCCTGCTTGAGGGCACCGATGAGGAGCTCTCGCAGCTGTCGAATTCCCCAGGCGACTGGAGGAGAAGAGGCGAACCATTTTCGGATTCTCGAATTATGCAATGAGTCGGTCATGTCGTGCTGTAGAAGTTTGTTGATGTGGTGGGGAGATGTCTTCGCAGTAGTGGAGAAGGTCTAGGGAGTCCCAATTGATGGCAGGTACGTAGAAAAACAAGGTAATGAACAGTAGTAGAATCACGGGTTGCGCGGCATCTCGATTATAAGAATATCGATCAATGGCGATTTAGGGTACGTCAGCCCTGGCAATGCTGGGGCGGAGCTGTTTACTGTGACCTCGGGACGCGCCAACCAAGAAAGATAATTCACCAAGTTCACGCTCGGGCGCTCTTCGGGACGCCTCGACTTCCTTGAGAGGCCACATCTCGCGATGTATTGTATGACACTCGATAATAGTCGAGAACTAGTTGATATGATAGGTTTTTGAATATTCAATACATCATTCCTATTAGAGATGCAGATATGCAAGCCAGCAATCATGTCGATCCGGAGGACGATGCCCAAATTCGTCACGTGGTAGAATCGGAGATTCGGCATCGCCAAGGCTCGAGGGCCGAACCCTTGCTACGTTCCATTCTTAAACTTGGATCTTTCTTCTTCTCACTTACTTGATTGTTTTTCCCAGGCTCTTCCAGTCCTTTTCATCCCAACTTCTCCGAGTCTTGGCCTTTGTACGGCCATCCTCTACATTTCATGGGGGACAAAGGACAGGATACAGTTGTACAGCTGGCTGAGCAACTGTTGGAGGGTTTCGTCTCTCTAAGTGCAGAATACCAACTGCTGTTTGACCAGCAGCGACAGCTGGAGAACAAGCTGTCATGGGCAAAGCAACAGGTAAGTCGAGATGAGTTTTTTTACATATACCCCTATCGTGATGAATACATTTAGCTCTAGACCTGACAGCCGCATTGCGGTGTTGGAGAAATTTTCATACCATTTTCTGATCCTTCCCATTTCACCTTTCTATCTCTACACCTCAATACTTCGTTCGCAACTAACGGCGAACAGTACCTTGACAGCCTGAAGCGTCACACACCTTCAACCCTTTCGCAAGACCACCTTGTGTTCCTCCAGGACCTCGAGCGCGCCGGTGCCGAGCTACCCCGCTCGCAGGTCGATTGGGTGGAACAGCTTGCACAAAGTGATGACATTGAAGGGCGAGGTCGGGCATCACTCATTCGTCAAGCTGAAAATGCTGCGGTGAAGCTGCGGAGTACCACTGCGAATGATGGAGTGAAGATATGGAACGGTCCATCCGCCGATGGCAAACAGCGGCCGCCGCTGCGTATACAATCAGATATTTCTTCTCTCGAAAAGGACTTCACCACAACAGGAACACCCAGTAAGCTTGGGTGTCCATTTGCAGCGCGGAGTGGCAGACAAAGTCCACTCGCAACACCTCGAAGTTCCACTTCGCGAATGAGCTTTTCGGGCCGACGCTCGAAACGGCCCTCGTTCACGGATCCTATACGAGCCGAGATATGTGGAAACGACCACCAAGCATCGCCTACTGCCTCTGTAGATGGGTCAGCGGCGGTGTGTCCAATTCGCTTCTTGGACCAGCATGCGCCAGAAGAGGTTGCGAAGTACTTCGAGAACCACAAACATGAGATCCCGAGAAGCCATGAAGTTTGCATCAAACGATTCCAGAGCAACACCGAAAGCATACAGCAGCTGGATAGAAAGTACGGAAACATGGTCAGCATGATTCAAGGCCTCGGTCAAAAGCATCAAGAATATCTACCACCAGAGCCGGAAGAAGACGAGGAGCCCGAAACCGAAGCTCACACGGAACATAAGGTCCAGAAGTGGGCGAAGGCAGTTTCTGCTAGCTTGCAAAACCTTACGCCAGAAGAGGCAGAGTCTAAATCGCCAGAGAGTGCCCCTGGAGAAGCACGGACTGCTCACTTCGATCGACCTATGAAGGAAGTACGAGTCGGAGAATCCCCAAGCCGACCGTGGGGCATCTCCATTCCAGCGAAGTACACCAACGCAGAGAGCTCTTCATCCGTTGGATCTGCTCCAACCGCGTCGCCTGCCCTTCCGATTGACTCTATCCCTCCACCATCTTCAATGCCCGCTGCTGTGCAGACAGAGAACCCCAAGCCGTCGAAATGCCCCTTTGATCACCGAGCAATGGGAATGATGTCCGGCATGCCCCACGCCGTCGATGCCAACCATACAAGCACACCGATGGCAGATGCCACTGATCCAAGAGTTCCCCCCGAACCTGAGCCCATTGATATCCCAGCGCATGAAACTACATCTAGCCCGCCCCCTGAACGGCCGCCTTTGAATGACCAACCGAAGCATGAGAGCGATTCGTCCCCTAAAATGATACCACAGTTGGTCTTCAACGGACCCGTCTTTCTTGGATACCCACCCGATCAACTGATGATGATCCTGCAGAACAGCAATCTCGGCGGAACAATGAGATGATTGATATCTCCGCAGCAGCATATACTAACTCGTATCGCATTTGTATAGCAAGGTGTTCAGGAGTTGCATTTATTTGTCTATGTTCAGGTGAACTATGGGTAATAAAGGTAGTGTACTCAAACTACCTCGTTTTTTGTTTGTTCATTTACGTCGTGGTTGCGTCTCGTGTGTTCTTCGTGACTGTCCTATTTCTACATGTTTGCTGTAGATTTGCAATAGGTGGTTGCAGCACTCTAGGCTGACTTACGCCTGGTCCCGCGGGCATGTGTCCCTTGAAAGGATTATATGACTTGACTTGTTCGTTCAGCATACTTCCTTTCTTACGAGGTGGCTCATTTAGTCTTGGGCTCTGTCATCCACGTTCGGACTGCTTTGGCGCTTTCGTGCGCATCTCGAAACACTGCATAGCGGGAGTATCAGCGCGATGCTCATTCGGCAACTGATATCATCATGAAGACTCACACTTGCGTTCGTTCTCATCAAGTCCTCGCATGAAATCAGCACCCTCGCCCAGTGCCCCACGTGGGTTGTGAGCTTGATCAGCGATAACAGCGGCTCTGGCCTTGAACGTCTGCGCTTTGTCACTATCTCGAACTCTATGTCGGTAGCTGGAACTGATGTACTCACCTCGCTCAAGATTTCGACCATTTCTTCTTCCTCGAAAAGCTCTAATATCCGCGCTCCGAGGTTGTAGAAGTGTGGTGCAAGGGCCCGCAGATCGACCGTTCTCGGATCAGCCTTCAACGCGTTTAACACGCGGGGTGCGAGAGCAGCTGGGGGATCCAGGGTGACGAGGGAGGACGTATTCAAGCTTTGGCTATAACAATTTCCGAATAAGAATCATATAAACTCATTTTTCTCTCCATCATGAAGATCACCAACGATTGATGAATGTTGCAAAATTCGCCCTCCTCACTTACCTCAATGCCAGCATCTCCCCAAGCCAAAGCGGCAGCTCGACTTTCGAGCCCTGCTTCATGTCGCCGGACATGTTACCCTCGACGTAGCCCAGACCGGGGACTGTAAGCTCGAAGGTACACGGGACCTTTTGCGCGTCGGTCAGGATCGCGTCGACATCGTAATACGACCCCATTCGGTCTGACTGCGACCTCCCGTCAGTGGCAAAAGAAGTAAATAGAAAGAAAAAGTAAGCATAGATAAAGGACCGACGATATTCCCGCAGAAGCCGCCAGAAAACCCAACCAGATATTACAAACCCACGTGAAGTCACGTCGGACAAAAACAACCTCGAGGGTTCTCTCGGCGACCTACCTAAGGGCGAGAGCGTGGATGGGAAGAGGGGGGTTGTGTGTGTGTGCCACAGCAGCAAGCAATGCAGCGCGAGATGCAGGAGAAGGCCGAGGGGGTTTAAACGAAAGTATGTATGTGCAGTTCTCTCATGGTCGGTGAACAGGGTCCCAGATGAATGGATGTAGACATGCGTGTATGTACATAAAGATAGAAACGGAGAGAAGGACATGCGAAGGAAAAGGCGTGCAGGTGCGTTTGCGGCGAAGCACATACAAAACAATACAACAATACTGTCCGTATGTATGTATGTACAGCACAGTTATCTACGTACCTGGTTTGTTTTGCTGTTGGATTGTGTAAGATGCGATCTGCCTGCCCACCTAGTCTACCTATCAAGCAAAACAGGCGCCTTGTTTTTTTCTTCTCCCCCAACGGACGCGCAATGCCTGAGATGCCTTGAGCGGATCTCCGTTAGATGGGATTTTAGTATAAGAACACAGGTCGCGTGGCCTCCAATGTTTCGATTGACTTGTTCTCCTTTGTGTCGCGTTTGCTCGGGATAAGCTTCTTCGATCTCCTTCTTCCCTGTAAGTTTGCCAATTCTATCTCTTTTTATTGGAAGGTCTTGCTGGTTGTACGTGTGTGTATTTGGACGTGTATGAACGTGTAAATGCATGTGTTTGGAGGGGGATTTAGTAAGTTGCCTAGCAAGCGGTTAGAGGAAGTGCCCGGACCAGCCGAAGACCGTCATAGCTTCCCCTTCCTGCTGTTAGTTGGGACGAGATGACCTCGTCTCGTCTCGTATTAGAGATCTCCCAGGTATTACTGGAGGGGAGTTTCGTGCCACTGACTGACTGGTTGACTGACTGTCTGTTAGTGTTAGCGACTTACCTGCCCTATGGACTTGGACTTGCGTCAATCGGTAACCTACATGAACTGCCCCAGCTACGACTACCACCACTACTACTGCTAGTCACCATCACCATCATCATCACCACCACCACCACCTCCTCTTCTACTACAACCACTACCCCAACACCTTATCACCCTCGCCCTCCCTCACCCCATCTCGCCTCTACATCATAGATCGCACTTGAGAGTTTCAGTTGCTAGCTCACGGTAATCCCCGCGAGCACCTAGCCAGGGCTCCTGTTACTGTATGTATGTCACGCACACAGCACATTCGCAAACGCACACCCATTCACCGGGGTCGTTGCTCCTAACAATCGCTTCTGCATTGTGCATTTTACCCATGCTGCTACTGCTGCTTCTGCTCTTCCGTTATCCATCCTTACATAGCTGCTGATCAACATACAGTCCCACAATTCCTATCCCTCAACCGCGCAGGCGCCCGTTGCTACCTGTTCTTTGATGAGCACGCCCCGCCTCAACTCCCTCTGCCCACCCTGTAGCAGCGTTTCACACGCTCCCCCGAGCTACAACTACCTTCTTCATCATGGCCGCCAGCGACCGTATACCGCATCTCATGAGCGCCCTCGATGTCGGAACCGGCCCTGATAACTCCCGCGCAACCTCTCCTGGAGGCGACTGGCGCCAGCCGAATGGCGGCGTCAACGGCATAGACATCGACAAAGCCCGCAGTCGCCCGCGAACCTTCCCCTACTTCGAGTACCTTCCGTATGATACCGAGGAGCAGAGCGAGAGATTGGAGAACTTGGATACATGTCTGAAGCATCTCTATATCGCCGTCTCGGCTGGTGACTTTGCGCCCGGCGCTGTACATTGGACGCGGGAGATTCGGGGATGGCTGTCACTCAAGTTCGATCTGCCGCGCAGCACAAGGGTGAAGCTGATACAGTTGTACTATGAGCTCGCGCTCGCTCCAGGCCTCGACTATCTAGTCGCTGAGCGTTTTGCGAGCATGTTTATGGTGTTGACAAAGTAAGCAACGGTTCTCTCACGATAGCTTACTCCTGAGCAGGCTGACATTGTTATCAACAGGCGGAAGCACTATCTGCGTCCCGGAAAGGACCTGGTCCTTGATTGGCGACCTCTGTTCCGCGAGCTCAAGCTTTTCGTTCTGCCTTCGGAATCGGGAGGCTCCCACCCACCGAATGTGAAGCGCAACATTCGCACATTGACGAAGATGTGCACGTTCGCACAGCTTTACTTCGATCCACAGGACATACCGAAGCTCTTCGAGGAGCTTCTGCCATATTATAGTACATCGTTCTCTGAGGGTGCGTTTGTCGTAGTGGGCCTGCTTAACCTGTTGCTCCCTACGAATTCTCCACCTGAGGGTAGGCCCGACCTACTGCCACAGGAGTACCTACCTACGTTCTTCCACATGTGGTCTCTAGTCAATCGATCGAAGCTGCTCGATGTGCATTTCATCGATGTTTTGTCACGACTCGCCCGCGACTCATTGGGCGCAAAACACATTGCATACTCGCAGCATGGTATTTTCACAGGGGAGCAATCATCACAGATCTTTACAGCCATTCTTAGATTGCTTGAGATCCCTGTCGGACAAGCAACTTCGCCGTACGCACAATCTGTGGATTTGGGCGCTGGCTTGGCCATCATGTTAGATCGAGACACGCGGAAGCACCCGATCGCACATCAGATTGCAAGGTGGATCGTCATGTCCATGTCTCCAGCATGCTTGGAGCACCCGGATTCCGTTTTGAGCAAGCTCGAGGGCTTGATCCAAGCGGTCGAAACTTTCTTCCACCCCTCCAACTCAGGCAGCTGGACCAAGTCCCTCTCGCAACTCGTATTCTTCCTCTCTGACTTCTTCGTCATGCGTTGGAACCGCGAGCGTAGCGGAGAGATGGAGGTTCCAGAAGATCGCAAACTAAACGATGCCCTCAAGCGACGATTCGTGCTGTGTCTTCGGGAAGTCATCTTCATGGGCATTTTTGCCAAGAGTGCAACGATGGTGAACTATTCACTTTCTTCACTCCAGATTCTGGCCTACCTCGAGCCCAATCTGATCCTACCAGGCGCTTTGCAGCGAATCTACCCCGCTATGCAGGGTCTTGTTGAGGTCCATCGTACAATCTCATCCATCCGGGCACTACAGATGCTCTCGAAAATCATGGCACGCACGAAGGGCTTCCGGTGTCATGTTACATCGGTGCTAGGCCTTGCACTCCCTGGTATCGATGCCAATGATTTGGAGAAGACGCTGCATACCCTGTCCTACATCCAAGGCGTCTGTTACACTGTACCCTTCCACGATCTCACAAAGGAGAATAGACGTGTCACGGAGGGCGCAGCCAGAGATGGTACGGCGACCCCGATGGAAGAAATGGACACTGACACCGGAATCGCCGTGGGGTGGATCACGGAACAGGTGGAACGTCTCGAGGCTGCTGGCAGCAACATCGAGATCGACTATGCAAAGGAATTAAGTGACCACGATGAGGAGATGATCTTGCGATCGTCAACGACTGGCTTGGCCGAATTCCTTCACTCTTTCTTAGGTCGAGTCTTCACTTTGTTGGAAAATCTGCCAGATGCCTCGCGAGTTCGTAGTGGATCTCCCGAGGAGAGCATAGTCAACACTTTGCCAGCCGCATTCACTCCCCTCCTGTCCGCACTTTCCCCTGATCTGTTTGACATTGCGTTGGACAAGATTGCCAACTTCATCACAAATCATGTCATTCATCAAGCACGTGATGCCATGGCATTCATATGTAATGCATTGGTCAAGATCAACCCAGAGCGAGCACTGAAGCGCTTGCTACCCAATCTTCTCGCTGGCATTCGCACCGAGATTGATGACAATGGTGCTGGTTCATCTCGAACAACAGGGTCCGAAGTCCTCCCTCGCGACCGAGCCTTGGTGTGGAACATCGCCCTCCTCAGTATGTGCGTCGTCCACGTCGGTGATGCCGTCCTGGCGTACAAGGAGGAGCTGTTCGAGATTGCAGAGTACATGCAGCAAAAGTGTCGAGGAACACCTACCGTCCATGTGTCCAACTACATTCACCATCTTCTGCTCAATCTGACAGTGACTTACACGATCGATTACTCGATCTACGAGCCCGAAGAGCTCCAACAGGGTCTCACTGCGAACTCTTGGGGAAGGATAGTCGATCCCAAGAAATTGACTGTGAAATGGCACAAGCCATCCCCTGAAGAGATTGACTTTGCGGTCCGACTGTTTGAGTCTCAGTCCAAGAGTGCTATCAATCAGCTTCAAGCCCTCACTGGGCCGGATCCGCCCATCAAGCGTGATGGTACCGGAAAGGACTGGTCCGACGAGCTTTCAAGGAACCTTGTCTTGTTAAGGCTTCTCATCTCTGGTATTTCCGTGCTATTCGACCCACGTCATGATCAAGCGAAAGACGATAAGGCGCCTGCTGAATCTGACAATGGGTCCGATCCCGATGCTATGGATACCGAAGGCATCGACGACGATGCAGGGCTCGGAGAGGCGGAGGACGAAGAGGTCAAACCTACGTTCCAATACGAAGCCGGCTACCCGCTCAAGCGTGATGATGACAATTACAAGCTGATTCACGATCTTCGCCATCGCATAGGCGAGGTGTTGCACCAGGTGCACCACTTCATGACTACCAAGCAAGAAGACGACGTTCTCTGTTTCAACTCTCTATACAATGCCTACCGTTGCTGGTTCATTGACGTCGGTATTGAGCGCTCTGCTCACGTGCTAGACAGAGTCACCAGGCTCCTCGAAACAAATGAGCTTCCTTTCAAGTTCAGTGGATTGAGAAAGGAATATCCTCGCCCCCTATTGGTCGGTCGTGCCAATGTATACCACCTACAGCGTCTTCGACACAACGCCAATCCTCGCCCGAAGACAGATCTCGATAAGCAGTTGCTCTTGGATCTTGCTGAGTCGAGCGTTTCTCTGTACACGGAAATTCGTCGCACGTCGCAAAGTGCCAGCGAATCTGCTGTTAAATGCATACTAGGAGCACGCCCGCTTGTCATCCCACCTTTGCTCGAGGCGTTGACTAAAGCTGTTGCTGAGAACAACTACCCACGCATTAAGGGTGCAATGTTCTCATTGCTTTTCGGTAGTCTTGCGAAGACCATAAGTCGAGATTGGCGATTCACGCCTACCCTAATTAAGGCGTTCATCGAAGTCACAGGCGCGGACAAGCCTTCTGTGCAGAAGCTCGCTTCCAACGCTACTTTCCAAGTCATGGACATGGGCAAGGCGCTGGAAAGGATGGTTATACTCGACAAAGACATTGTTGAGTCCATTGCTTTCGCCATCGGGACGGACCAGCAAGAAGCAGTTCAACAGAAGGTTGAAAAACGACGCAGTTACATTAAGAGAAAGAGAGGACGGATAGAAGAGAAGAAGTCTAATCTTTCCCTCGAGCTGGTCGAGACCTGCAAAACAGCTCACTGGAAGAAGGTGAGCAGGACTGCTGCCATTATCGTAAACCTCACTATGCGGTACGAGACCATTGCGTCCGAAGAGATGATCGATCTCGTGACCATGGGTACAATCGACTCTCATCCCAATCTTCGCAGTCTTCACGCCGGAGCACTGATTGGACTGTTTTCTGTCATCCAGACGCGCGCAATCACCGGCCACAACTATGAGCGCTATTTGCTTGGTGACGAAGACCTTCCCGACAAGATCACTGTTCCTACGAAGTCCGATCAGCCTGGCTGGACCGAAGAGCACCTGGCTACCTTTGCGAAGCCCGAGGCCAAATACTATGTCGACTTTGATTATCCCGGATGGTTGGTTTGGAACAAGACCATGCCGGGTTATCTTCCGAACGCGCCGCCGTTGAGCTACGATGATGTTGAGAACCGAGTCCGTGCAAGAATTGGCAAGCTCCTTGATCGACATTGGTTTTCGACATATTTTGCATATCTTAAACAGGAACCACGCGACTCTAGTGCGGACAGATTCCGGATGTCGAGCGCCATGATGCTCACGCATGCATTCGAGTTGCTCTTCAGCGGTCTCACTGAAGCGAACTTTGAGGATATCAAGGATCTGACACAGTCTGTCTACGGCGATGGAAGTGATAAACATCAACATCGAGCCACCTCTGAGATCATGGGAGCTCTGTTGTCGACTGCACCAGATCTTCCAGCTGAGCAGCGTCAAGAAGTATGGGAATACGCATTCCCCATCGTCCGCGGTATCTTCCAAGATGGACTCACGCCCGAGAACTCATCCTATTGGACTACGTTCCTCCACGTCGTTCTACAATCCAAAGACCCTAGGCGAAACTGGCCCCTTGTGGATTGGCTTTCAAGCTTCCGCTTGGACATGGATTCCAACGCTGCCTTCAAAGAGTCCTCGAAGATTCACCTGCTCCAACAGTGCATCAGCGACATTGGCTGGCACTTCCGACTGGAGAAACCCATCCTGGAAGACTTTATGAAGCATCTTGACCACCCTTACAAGGGTGTGCGTGAAGCTATGGGTCAGACAATTGCCAGTATTTATCGTACTAGATATCACGAGTCGTATAAGGACGTGAAGACGCTTATGTCTGCCCAGAAAGGTGCGTCATCGCTGGGTCTGAAGCCTTATGAACCTGATGAGGAATACTCGGCAACAATCACAGAAGTCTTCGAGAGGTTGGAGAAATGGCGACATGAGCGTACACCAGGTCAACAAACACCATCATCATACACATCGGGAGGCAAGACGGTGCTTCTTTGGCTTGACTCAACACTCACATCCTACGAGTGCATTCAGCTCGTCAAGTTCTTCCCAGATGTCTTCATGGAGCAGCTGCTACACATGATGGACATCAAGGAAGACCCTGAGCTTCAATCTCTTGCGTACCACGTCTTCCGCCATCTCCCCAACATTCCCCACCGACAAGGCGAAGATGCGGGCTTCATCGCAGCTCTCATCCGCATCGGCCGCAACGCGACATCCTGGCACCAGCGTCTCCGCATCCTCATCAACATCCAAGTCATCTACTTCCGGCGCCTCTTCCTCATGTCCGAAGAGCAGCAGCGCCAGCTCTTCGACTGTGTCTCCGCCATGTTGGGCGACCTCCAACTCGAAGTGCGCATGGGCGCCGCGACCACCCTCTCCGGCATGATCCGCTGCTCGCCCGTCGCGCTCCGCGACTCCATGGTCGAATCCCTCAAGTCGCAATTCACGCAGATGCTCGCGAAGAACCCGCTCCCCAAGCGCCGCAACCCGGGCACCCCGACACCGGACCACAACAAACTCATCCTCACGCGCCACGCCGCCGTCCTCGGCCTCGGCAGCCTCATCCAAGCCTTCCCCTACATGAGCCCCCCGCCCGCATGGCTGCCCGACGTCCTCGCCACCCTGGCCCGCAAGGCCGCGAGCGACCCCGGCATGGTGGGCAAGAGCGTCAAGAGCATCCTCGCGGACTTCAAGAAGACGAGGCAGGATACTTGGCATGCTGACGTCAAGGTAAGTTCTCTCCTATTCCTATCCTTATTCCTATGCCCCACCGAGCACCCTTTCAAAGCAAGGGAAAGAAGAAATAAGAAACTAACTGTTTGTGATTCTAGGCTTTTGAGACGGAGCAACTTGAGGATCTCGAGGGCGTGCTTTGGAAGAGCTATTTTGCTTAAGCTTAAAAAAACGACAAAATCCACCTATCGCGAAATGAGGTTAGCATTGGAGGAATAGAGTTCCTCCGTTTGTTCGTCTTTTTTTTTATTAGATGCGAACGACACACAAAAGAAGAAAGCTTTTGCATTTCTTGAGTTGAGACTGGAGAGTTGAGAAAGTCAGACAGCAAGAATTGTATTATAGATATAAATAAACGATGAAGAAATAAAATTAAAAAAAACAAACACTTTTTGTGAATGACTTGAGAACGACAATGCTGGAAAAGCGAGCGCCTCATGGAGTTTTGAGAGGTGGTTAACCATATTAGATATAACTCACAGTGCTGGAACTTGACAGTCGAACATAAGAAGGCTTGTATCGTTTCTACTTGATATAAGTAAGCCTCTGTCTGGGATGTCTGAGGGGTTGAACTGGGAGAGGCAAAATTAAATCATGTGGAAGCTGTTTATTCATTTTTTTGGAAGCTTTTTGGTCTTTCTATGGAATATAGGTTTAGCGTGAAGTGTTTTTGGGTAGAGGGGTAGAATGTTAAGTTCTGTAGGGGCGGATTTGATGATCCTTGGTTTTCTATTCTCTCGCTCTTCCTCACCCTCACCAATGTCTTTCTTGTTTCCGCGAACGTTTGCTGCTGATGCTACCTTCGTGGTACTAGAAATTATCAATCCTCGTCCCGATGCCCCTCTCGTCGGCCAACCTGACGAGCTGGGACCCAACGACCACGTCCATTAGTCCTAGACCCACGCTCTTGTATATGACATTCCCCTTATGCAACCAGTCGGCTATGGAATGATTCTGCTTCTCTTCCTGACCCATCGCACCCTTCCCCTTCTTCACCTCGCCCAACTCGACGCCACTCCCAGTAGAATCCGAATCTATACCCTCGCCTCCTTCCCTACGCCTCTGCTCCGCGTCTCTCCTTAGCATAATCAGCTCTCCAATCTCCACGACCTGATCTCCCGTGATGCCCGCCTTTATGATCTCGCCCGCCTCCTTCAAGCATGCCTCCACGGAATCCACGATGATCGCCCCTCCTGTCTTCGCATGCTTGTGGAAATGATGGCCATGTTCCGGCTGCACGTTCTGCTTCAGGATGTCCGGGTGCAGTTCCAGCATGTGCGGTTTGTAGGATCCGATGGCGGCTATGTAGCGGCCTTTTTTGCGGCCCTCGGTGTTGGTGAGGTAGGCTGCTGGGAACAGAGGCTCGACGGAGGGGGTGGTGCAGAATATGGCGGCGGATTGGCGGACGGTGTTCTTGAGAAGGCGGTCATATTCTTGGGCTTGTGGGGTCAGGATGGAGATCTTGGGGCGCGCGAGGTGCGTTTCGTTGGCGAAGATGTTGATCTGCGGGAATGAGGCTGGGGAATCGTGGGGGGCGTAGAGCGATTCGATCAGGTTGTGGGCGGTCATGTAAGACCGGTTTACGATGTTGAGGTGGTGGATTTCGGGACCGCGGAGGAGGAGCGCGAGCCGGATGTGCCAATATGCCTGACGGCCCGCGCCAAAGACGAGGAGGTCGTGCACGTTGTGGCGTTTATTGAAGAGCATGGTTGAGGCGAGGGCGGTACGGAAGGCGGTGATTTCTTCGGCGTTGATGAGGGCTCGTGTGCTGCCGTTCTTATCGAGGAGGGTGAGGGACCCTCTTGGTGTTGTGCTCTGCGAGCTTTCGAGAGATTCGGTTCGCGCGACGGGGTTGGTGGAGGATGCTGTTGAGATGGTGTTTTCCGAAGAGAGGGAGAGAGAGTCCAGGGAGGGGAGAGCAGAACCGGTGCTACTGCTGTCGGTTCTCGACGGTTTGGAGAATGTAGAAGGCGCATCTGGACCGGCGAGAGTGACAAGCTTCACTCCGAAGCCTTCGTTCGAGGAAGCTGGCATAACCAGTGTGGTTTGGCCATCTGGACGTTTGAGCTTAGTACGAAGGGGCTGGTAGGTTGAGCAGCAGCCGTTTTGGTCATTCTCGGTCGCGGTCGAGTAGTAGTGAAGAGCATCGGCGAGACTCTGCTGGATGTCGAGAATGTCTTCCTTCTTGAGGCTGTATAGGAGCGTTCGGACATCCGCGTCGGAGAGTACAGTGAGCGGCATAGCGCCCGGTTTGGATTACTACCTAGCAATTTGTGTAAGTCTCCATGATGGAACAGTAGAGGGAATGGTATTCATACTTGGATAGTAAGGACAGTAGTGCCGCGGTTGGATGTTGTTTGTATCTAAGAGGTGTATGGACACACAAAGCTGAAGGTAGTGGGGGAAGGGGACGGGGAAGGGACGATCGATAAGGGTCGTCGTTTGGGTAAGGTGGGGCAGCTAGGGGGGGTTCATCTGGTCTAAGTAGGCAGTAGGTTAAAGGAGTCCTGTCAGGTACAAAGTTGGGCGGTCACGATTTAGATTATCCGCTAGTGGTCAAAGTTTGTCGCCGCATAATTGAGTGAGTAATCCATGAAGTTCATGAAGATTCATTTTCAGCCATAAAACGCTAGTGCTTTTGACTGTCCTAAAACACCAAGGCCATATTCTGAGCCCTACATGCAAGTAATGGAGACGCCATAAAAACCATGAATACCCACCGCCAAACGCTTACATCAATTCATTTAGATCTTGATGGCGTTCTCGATGGCCTTCCTCTTCTTCTCAGTGCGGGCGTTGGCCTTGGCACCCATGATACCACCGCCCCAGTGGCGGGTGGCATCCTTGTGCTTCTCGAGGTAACCATCCTTGATGGCAGAGGTGAGCTTGGAGAGCTCGCTCTTGTCCTCGGAGCGGACCTCGGTGAGGGCGAGGACGGCAGCGGTCTTCTGGTGGACGACCGTTCCGAGCCTGGCCTTGCCCTTGACTATGGCGTATGGGACACCCATCTTGCGGCAGAGGGCGGGGAGGAAGACAACCAACTCAATGGGGTCAACATCGTTGGCGATCAAGACGAGGGAAGCCTTCTTGTTCTCGACGAGGCCGACAACGTGGTTGAGACCGAACTTGGCGGCGTAGGGCTTCTTGCTGACATCCTCCTTCTTCTTGCCCTCAGAGACAGCGGTGGCCTCCTTGGTGAGACGCTCCTTCTTCTCCTGCTTGGTCTCAGGGCGGTACTTGTTGAGGAGCTTGAATGCCTGGGTGGCGGTGTTGCGGTCGAGGGTGTGGGTGAACTGAGCAATCGCCGGGGGAACCTTCAAACGGAGGTTGAGGATCTTCTTCTGGCGCTGGAGACGGACGTAGGCGGGCCATCGGACCCTATTATGATGTTAGAAAATTTTTTCCAATACCATCGGACTTTTCTGACTTACATGCGAGCAAGGTTGCGGGCGGGCTGGAGGTCATTTCCGATGTTGAAGTTCTTAGGACGCTTCTCGATGAGAGGGTTCTGGATCACAAAATTAGCACCCACGCGATGAAACGAAAACTGAGGTTGAGAATGGATTGCGAAGACTTACCTTAGGCTTCTTGGAGGAAGCTCCCGCCTTTGATTGCGGGAAAGCCGCTACCTTCTTTCCTTTGGGAGGCATTTTGTCCGAGGCTGATCATAGAGAACAGAACCGTTAGCGATATTCTGTCTCGTAAGAGAGGGAGGCTTGCGCCATCCACAACTCTAGCCTTTGCAAGAAAACATAGTTTCCAGAACAAACATTGCGAACAATTTCTTGTATCGCAATTGTAGTTTGTATTTGGGGGGAGGAGGGTATTGCGATATGCTTACCTTGACCTGTGGTTAGTTAAAATTGTCGGCGTGGATGAGGTTGAAGATGCGCAAAGGAAAATCGAAAGTTCAAGTGGGCTGGCGTTCGGTTAATTTTCGTCTCGGGGCCGGCAGAATAGTTAATCCGAGTAGGAACGAAAAGGTGATGAGGGCTAACCAGATCTTGCTTTGGTCTAGACGGTTTTCGTCTTTAGCGCATGCCTGCAGGAAGACTGACCGCCCCCTCCAATCAAGACACACATCAACAGCGATGAATTCAATCGACTAACATGATGCTTCGAACCGACCATGCGAAGGATCTAGTGCCACTTTTCCTGGCGTGGAAATCATTCTTGACTTTCCTTGCAATTGTCTGTCCAACGCCCGGATATGACACCTCAGGGTACATACTCCTTAATGAAGATGCTCAACAGCCTACCAACTCGTCTGTGATATCTTTCATTGATCGACTTTCCCTCAATCTCTTTCGTTGGGATGCTATCTACTTCGTCAAGGCCGCCCAGAGAGGCTACGAGTACGAGCAAGAATGGGCTTTCAGTTGGGCTTACTCCCAATTGCTAAGAGTTATTGGAAACTGTGAGCCCTTTCCTTGTTGACTTCCATAGTTTTCCTATGTGCTGAATATATCAAAGTCATTCCAGGCTATCCAGATGCTCCTGTACGGAAGTACGTGTTGGCCGGATTTGCCGTGTCAAATATCTGCCACTTGCTCTCTGTGCTTGTTTTATATCGTCTACTTTCTCTCATCCTGGCGCCATACCAGAACCGCAAAGTTCCATTCATTGCAAGCTGCCTTCATATCATCTCTCCCGCCAGCATGTTCCTGATCGCCCCTTACGCTGAGGCACTCTTCTCTCTCTTAAACTTCACAGGGATGCTTCTCTACGTTCTCGCAAGAAACATTACCTCAACCAATGGAATGGCTACTGCACACCGGGATGTAACCTTGGTGGGCTCAGGCTTGATCTTCGCAGTAGCAACTCTAATCCGGAGCAACGGCTTATTGAGCGGCTTGATATTCTTGTATGATGTCGTACTTGCACTTCCAGACATCCTCACCTTCAGGTTGAACAAACAGGACGCTCACCGGCTGTTTGTGACATGCATCGCTGGCGCAGTCCTCCCATTCGGACTCATACTTCCCCAGTATCTTGCATATTCCGAATACTGCGTAGACAAGACTGGCGATGGAAATGTCAGGCCATGGTGCAAGAAGGCTCTGCCTAGCATCTATTCGTGGGTTCAGGAACGGTATTGGTAGGTAACGGCTTCACTGGCTCGATATCTTCGCTAACAGCTTCGAATAGGCATGTCGGCTTCTTGAAATACTGGACTCTTCCAAACTTGCCACTATTCCTGATGGCTGCGCCAATGCTCTGGCTTATGATCAAGACCAGTGTAACTGTAATGGCATCTGGTCATGGTCATGATCAGCTGAAGTCTAATGGGAAGGCTCAAACAAAGGAGGACTCGCCACCAAATGATTCTTCGACAGCCATATGTCACTTTCCGCAACTGGCATTACCCCAACTGTCACTTGCACTTCTTGCGACTACGAATTTCCACGTCCAGATCGTCAATCGGATTTCTTCCGGCTATCCGATCTGGTACTTAATCATAGCTACGTGGATAGCTCAGACAGCATCCTCTTCGGCGAAAGAGCAGACGAGCATGAAACCTCAGTGGGCAGTGCGATTCATGGTCTTGTACGGAATTGTACAGGGTGCTTTGTTCGCGAATTTTCTTCCCCCGGCCTGAATCTGGCAGCGACTGAAGCCATAAATTCGAAAAGTACTTCCAAAAGCCGCGAGGCGCCAAAATTGTAACATTAACCTTTGTAACGATACCATATCATACATTGCATTTTCCTGTTCGCTCTGTGAGGCACAACCAGCCACCACCTTCACGAGCTCATATCCTAGCTAGGAATAGTACATGTACTGTGTACTCTTTAGTAGTCGCTGCAAGTGCACAGAACTACCCACCACGTTTGCTGGAAATAATTACCCTAGTCAATCACAGTTAAGAACATCTCAATTTTCTGGTCTCAGCATGAAACTCTGAAATTGTTCCACCATGGGTGATATCAATAATGTACTTCGGGGGCAGGTTCGCTTGATGTTGCACGTTGAGTTGTGGAATGACAGCCATGGTGATGCGGGCCGGTACACCTCTTAAGCCACCGTTGCTCTACGTGAGCAGTGCGTGTCTTCTGAACATTTTCCGCAACTGTGGGTATGAATATCACAGTGAAGCTAAATGATCGAAGCGCGGTCTAAGCCATACCAGGGGTTCGGTGTGGTTTACTTTCACGACCGTAGACCGTATGTACTCCTTATGACAAACCGATTTGCTTCTGGATTAAAATTTTAGCTAGACTTATCATAGAGACTTTAAATGAACCCTGCAAGGCATTTTAACATGAGTTTATTCATGCCACCTTGGTTTTAAGTCTGACAATGGGCACAGGGGTCCAGAAAGCTCCAACACATCCGTCAAATGGAAGTAGCTGCGCAGCATTTCCACAATACAATACGAGTATTCACGATCAAAAACCTGCTTTGGTCCTATTTCTAGCTACACCGTTCTGAACTTTGTACCTGCATTAGTCTGCCAACGGCACGTTTGTGAGACCACCATTCCCCCGTGTACAATGCGTGCAACACAAGGTGCGACTTGCCAATCATTTGGCCCAAATTTCCACTCTACGAATTCTACTATTCCTAAAGACGTCAATCAATCGCTCTTGTAGACCGTGGGCGTTGGATATCTCCCAAATAGTGCATTTAGTAACGAATAGTGTACTTGCAGCTAGATTTCAATTGGCAATGATATACTGTTTCTGTTATCGATGAGCTCAACTCGATCATCCGTCACTACACAAGCTAGAAACTTTCGCTTATACAAGTAATAGTCATCCTAATGCGGATGCCGTACAATGGTCTCTCTTATTGCGGCATGTTGCCTTGTAAGACCGCCTCTGCCGTCTTGCAATCTATCAAACTTGGACGGAATTTTGTCTATGCAACGCTCATCAATAGATCTGAACAGTCTGTACCCATGCCAATCTTCCTGTCGGTGGCAACAGAAACTGTTATATCAAGATGGGATGCCCGTATCTCTGACCATAGGCCATACTTCGCTCGCTTTACCATTTCCGCAATTCCCTCACAATGAAGCTTCGCTACTTGTCTACACTCGCTTTTCCTTTCCTTTCTTTTGCAAATGTCCTAGAAGAACGTGAATATTGCTATCAAGACGACTGTCTTCTTGCACTCAAAGGCAGTGGATATGGATATGGTTATGGTTATCCTGTCAGAGCAACTACAGACTGCTCTAAATACATGACCACGACATACACGAAGGATCCAAAGTATGCTATTCAGGATTGAAACTGTATGATTCATTTCACTGACAAGATAGACCGACAACGATAACGACAACATGTACGATCAAATTCACCTCCAAGCCTCTATGCTCCACCTTGCCAAACGATAGCGTATCAATCGTACGTTCGTCGCCGACGGACAGGCCTGCCCCTGTGATGCACCGAGCACCTCTTGATCAATATTACACCCGCGATCGATCCACCACCTACGGAACCGTCCCATACTATGCCACCACAGTATGTCCAGGGGACCGATACGCCAGCGCATGTTCCTGCCTGGGAGTCACTGCAACAGCCACTACCGTGACAAGAACAGTCAGTATCTCCTTGTGCTTGCCCCCAACTGTATCACTGACATGAAAGTTATAGACGAAAAAGTTCACTTTGACGAAGACTATCACGAATATAGTTACTGCCCCGTGTACGACGGCGGCCCAGATTAGTACTACGTACAACATTACGATGACCTTTAATGGCACTACGTCTACGACCTCACTTATCATGACTTCCGATCCCGATAATACGGGCACTGGAACTGGTACAGGCACAGGCACAGGCACAGGTACAGGTACCGCTCCGGTCACCTCGCCGTCTGAAAGCCGTTCGCCCACGGCCACAGATGTTGCGACTGCTACCACTGTTACTACTACTCGATTATCCCCTACACCACCATTTCAGAATACAACGTTCTCTAGGAGTACAAGCACTAGTGCCACGGATGGTGCGAACACGACAACAGCCAGTTTCAATACTACCATCACGGGTACTAGTACCAGTACTACTGGACTTGCCAATATTACTACTACTATTCTGAATACTACGACAACTATAGTACCAACAACAGTGATCACCTTCAACTTGACGGTTAGTCTCTCCAATGCAACAACCTTCGTTCCTCCCACGACTGTTCCAACATCGAACATTACTCGCTCTGCTTCCAACACAACAACTCCTGCAACAGCAACAGCAACAACGCAACTCCCAACGGACACATCTCCCACGCCAACAAGCTGCCCCATCACCGGCCCTAACATCGTCTTCTGCAATGGCACATGTCCCGACGTGAGCACCGATCCCCAGAACTGCGGCGGCTGCGGCGTGCAATGCCCCTCCGGCAACACCTGCACCAACGGCGTCTGCACGCGTCCGCCCTGCGACTCCCGCTGCGGCAGCCTGCGAACCTGCGGCAGCAATTCGGAGTGCATTTGCGGTGTTGAGTCCGGCGGCAGCGGCCTCTGCTTCAACGGCGGGGGCTTCTGCGACGACTACCAGAGGTGCAATTCCACCGCTGACTGCGGCCTAGGAACGGTCTGCGTGCCGGGCACCTGCTGTGTAGGCGGCGGGGGGCTGTGTCTGAATACGAATGGATGTTCCAATGTGCTTGCGGCTGGGTTGAGCCATCGTACGAAGAAGATGCCGACGTTTGGACGGTTGACTATTGGGGAGCTTTTGAGGCTTGATGGTGGTATGGGTCATCGATAGAGATGGTAATAAGTGGGGTTATTGCGACTTGGAGGGGAGATGTATAAGTCTACTAGGTAATTAAGTGGTATCAGATGTGGTGGAGGTTCGATCCAGGTTTTGTTCATAATCAATCATATTGAGGTATCACTGACACTTTTACATTCTCATGTACACAGGGTTGGCTCATTGGGCTGGCTCCCTGCTAGTATTCTATGCCCACAACAGTGCATTCATATCGCGGAGTGTTTGAGACTGTTTTTAAGACTGTTACTGGCTACAGTACACTCCTACTTCCATGGAAGATACATGAAGGTAGCAGGTAGCCAGCCCGACGTGTCAACCCTCTGTAGCGTTCATGATAGCTGCAAGGCTAGATAATGAATGCATGACACTATTATTCTCAAGTTATAGGAAGAAAATAAGCTCTCTTTTTCAGTTGTTCTTCCTTAGTTTTATTCTATTGCTTATTGTCAGAATATAAGATCAATATAGCAAGTAGTTTCTAGAGAATGTCAACTGTTCCGAACCACAATTGCAATGCAAGCCGCGCGATCAGTGAAAGAGGGGAACTTTTAGTCTTTATGCATCTTCATCCGGACTTGCCGTAGAATGATCATCGAGTCATGTCGTGGCCCCAATCGAGAATGTTTTGGTTGTCGTTGATGGATCTGGGGTGCGTGGGGTTTCCGGGTCGGGTTGTCGGGGTCGCTGTGGAAACGAATTGTTGTGTTTACTTGGCGGAAACAACGCAACCACAGGCACGAGCTATGCAGAGCAATCTCAACCAACAACACTGCTCACTTTAATATCAAACATCCTTCCCATATAGCCATAACACGTTTTCTCTGTTTCTTACTTCGGGGGTTTGCCCTGCGATCCCGGCCTTTACTTCCTCTTCTTCCCACTATTTATTTCTTCGTGACCACTGCATTGCTTCAAGATGGCTTCGATACCAGCAACAAGGCCAACCGAAGGCCAACATCGACGCAACAAGTCATCTTCAGTTCTAAAGTCTATCATTGCTCCCAAGAGCCACAAACGCTCCCCTTCCGATGGCAGTGCTCTGAGCCAGGCCCAGCCCGAAGGTCGCCTTTACAACCCCATCGCGAATGCCGGAGCATCCTTTCTGCCACCAGACCATCCTCATAACCAATTGAGGAGCCAGGTTCAGAATATTCCTATCCAACCACCGTCTTCACCGAAGAAGTCACAAGACACAAAGACCGGCAGCCCGACAAAGAGCCTCCACAAGAAGACACTCAGCTCTGTTTCACTGCGTTCACTGGGAAAAGACAAAGAAAGGGACGCGAGAGCTAAGGACCGCTCCAGGGACAACAATCACTCGCGGGACAAGAGCCGAGCGCGCGAGGACACCACAGCAACCGATAAGCCTAAGAAGACCAAATCAACAACAAATCTTGCTGCGGTCTTTGGCAAGGCAAAGCACTCCTCTACAAAAGAACCCGTAGCCCTCCCCAAAGATAAAGAAAATACCACCCCACCGAGTTCTGCTCGTGCAACTGAACCCGCGATCACACCTATCTGGGCACAGTTCAGCTCGCAGCCTTTCGAGGAAGTGACTACCACTAGCAAGGTTCCTCTCAACGATCGCCGAAGCATCGAAGACGAGATGAGGCTCTACACCCCTTCGAATTACTCTCCCTCTAAGCAGCGCAACTTCTTCGACTACGGACAGCCTTCACTGCAGAAGCCTGCTGGCAAAGAACGACCAAAGTCGACCTTTCTACCTAATACTTCTTCCAATGGATTGTTCGAAACCCTGACGAAGAAGCGAAGCACCGAGCGAGCTCCATTGGGTGAGACCAAAGGCAACGGAGAGAAGTCGACATCTTCTAAAAGCATCTCTGCTAAGAGTATGTTACGTCGTTCGAACTCGGATAGCAAGAAGAAAGATGGAGCTTCAAAGCGGGATGCAAGCCCTGGGAAGAAGCCAAACCGTGTCATGGCCGCTGTCGCTGCTTTCAATGGCAAAGCGAAGGAAGTCTACATTGGGCCTACCCCTCCCCCAAAACTTGATCCTAAGCAGATCGATGCCGAATTCGAAGCCGTCCTTGTGAGTGTTGCTAATATGTACTTCTTATTGTTACTAGACTAACACGGTGTTACAGGAGTCCCGTAATATCCCACAACATCAGCGGACGGCAATGCGTACATTAAAGCTTGAGGTCAAAGCCGACTTTGTTCGCACACACAAGCTTGACACTCCACAGACAATGTCTCGTGCAACATCTGCTCAGGGTTCGATGACAGATGTTTCAGGAAATAGTAACACCAAGTGGACATCTGAAAAGGCGCCCAAGTCACGCGATGGCTCCGATGAAGAGGTACAAGGAGACGGCAAGACTGGTGCCTCTACCAAACGGGAACGCCCCAGGAGCAGGACCTTCACCTTTAGCAAGGGCGATTCCCCAACCAAGAAGGCCAAGCCCGAGCGACCCGGAAATGAGAGAAAGACATCTTCCAAAGCAACCCCAATTCCCAAATCGCCCTCCACACGCTCTTTGGTATCAAATACTTCACAGAAGTCTTCGTCCAAGAGTGCCAAATCCTCCAGTCCCGATGAATTTGTTACTTATATGAAGAAGACGACCAAGCCTCAGGATGTGGAAGTTGGGAAGCTTCATAAGCTTCGGCTCCTTCTGCGAAATGAGACCGTGGAGTGGGTTGACTTGTTCCTACACGAGGGTGGCATGACCGAGTTGGTTGGGTTGCTCTACCGCATCATGGAAGTCGAATGGCGCGAAGATCACGAAGACCAATTGCTCCATGAAGTTCTCCGCTGTCTCAAGGGACTATGCACTGCGGATTCAGCGCTCAAGCAATTCGCCGAGATCTCACCCAAACTCTACCCTGCCTTGCTCGGCATGTTGTTTGATGAAGAACACAAGGGACCCTGCGAATTCACCACCCGCGAGCTTATCATCCAGATCATCTTCGCCCATATCTCCTCTGCTCACGAGTCTGAGCTTTCTTGCCGCGCTCGTGAGCTGCTCACTTACCTGAAGGATCCTGTTAAGGAGAAGGAATCCTCAACGGTACCCTTTATTCTGCAAATGCACCAGCCGCGCCCATATCAAGTCTGGTGCAAGGAGATAACAAATGTGACCAAGGAGGTGTTCTGGATCTTCATTCACCACCTCAATGTTGTACCGTTGCCCAGGCAGGAATCCGAGGACACGGCTCCAGCATCGTTTGCGAAGACTCACTTCCCAGGACCTCGTGCCATCGTCCCTGCAGCACCATATGTCGGAGGAGTGGAATGGGATGCGACTAACTACATTGCCACACACATCGACCTTCTCAATGGAATCATCGCTTCTCTGCCTACTCGTGAGGCCCGTAACACCTTCCGTCAAGAATGCAAAGTTTCCGGATTTGAGAAATTGATGGGTCATCTGCGTGCTTGCAACCCCAAATTCTATGGTGCTGTGCACGATGCAGTTAAGGTCTGGATCAAGGCCGGCCTCGAAGATGATTGGGACGTGAAGACGGTGCGAATGGGTGCTGGCGATGGGAAAGGTCCTAGCAGCCCCGTGAAGGCATCGCCCACTAAGAAATCCCAGCCACCGCCCCAGATCCAAGCACCAAAGATGGACCTTGGTATGGGATTGGGATTCGACAAAGAGATTGGTGCAGTCGGAAAGAAGGATGACGACGACTGGTTCTGAGATGTCGACAACCGAGCAACATGACGATATTTTTTCATGACACATCTGGTCTGATCAGCAACATCGGCACTGATGGCATCGGCACAGACCTTGTCCGAGGTATTCTCTGGCCATCTTATATTCTGGATACTGCCTCTCACGACTCCTGGATATTTGTGAACCTTCGGACGCCATCCTCCCGGTGTCTTGCTTCGCCTTCGGGGTGAGGTACATTTTTTGTATATTTTTTGTTCCTTTCCTTTTTTCTTCCTTTACGAGGCGTCGGACTTGTCACGGGTAATGGTGTTTGATTAATGGGTTCTGACTGGTGCTTGTATCATGGGACCTCTGTCTCCTTTTCACCCCTTTTCCACATGTCCATCCTCCACTTGTGGTCCGGCATGCATTATTTTGCATTTTTTTCCCTTTTCCTTTCCATTAATGACTCTCACGACACGATAAGACACGGCCATGAACGACGAAACCAAATGCTGGAAAACAACAACTACTAACACAAGCAAGCAAGTACAACAAAGTCATGGACGGTGGTTTTCTTTTTTATGAAATGAATTAGCATATCTTTACGGAGTAAAACATGTGGGGAAATGGATTACACTGAGTTCTTGAACCTTTTTTGCTTCAATGGTGCTGTGCTAGATCTGAGAGAGTGAGTGATGGAGGAGAGTGGTGTATGTTGTTGATTACTACTATGAGGTATGTATGCACGTGTGAGTGAAGTGCCCCTTGATATAATGAAGGGCACTCTTTTTCACTCTCTATAACTAAGTGGGGGGGGGGAACCAAGGGGGTATCGTAAAAATCGCAAAGGAACTCCTTTTTTGCCCGTCCGTCCGTCTGTTCGCTACAAGGAAAAGACTGAGAGAAATGAATACTATCAAATCCTACGAGGAGAATGAATGAACAAGTACTTCACCTCAGTTCTTCTTCTTCCCCTTCCCCTTCCTCCTCCCAGTCCCTTTCTCCCCAACCTCCACCGACGCAGCCTCGACCTCCCCCTCCTGCAGTCCCAACACCTCGTTCCCCTGCATTTCCTTCAACTTCTCCTGCCCCGATATAAAGAAACTCAGATCTCGATTCTGCTCCTCGAGGTCCCTTTTCTGCTCCTCGGCCGCTTTCGCCCTGTCATCCGCGTCCTTGACTTTCCCCTCTAGGAACGCGATCCTCGTCATCAGGGCCTCGTTGATCGTCTGCTCTTCTTTGAACTGCTTCGTCAGGCTGCGGGCGAGGTCCTGTGCGGAAGCCGCGCGCGCCGCGTTGCGTGTGTTGTCGCGCTCGAGCGCCGCGATGCTGGCCTGCGCGTCAGCGTGGCGGGATTCGAGGCGTGCGAGGGACGCGGAGAGGGAGGCAGCCGCGCGGTTGGCGTCGTCGGCGGAGGAAGCGGCTTTTGCGGCCTTGTCGGCGGCGCGCTCGACTTGCTCTTCGAAGTAGGCGCGCTGCGACTCGAGCTGCGAGGTCAGGAGGTAGGCGTACTCCATGCCCATGTTGTCGAGTTTCTCCCGCGGCACCGTGTCGTTGGAGTAGCCGGTCATGCTGGACGGGGCGTACGTGGTCGAGGTGTGGGAGGCGGGAAGGTCGACGAGCTTACCGTCGGATTTGTTCTGGATGAGTCGGTGCACGTAGCCGTCGCCCGCGTAGTCCCAGACGTGCTGGCTGACGACGTCCATGGCGTACGTGTGCGAGGTGGCTTCGTAGTGTGCGAAGGCGTGCGCCGAGTCGTAGCGTCCGCAGCCGATGTTGCCGCAGATGAGGCAGATCCAGAGGTTGGCGGTCGAGCCGCACACGCTGCATTCATTGTCTGGGGTGTCGCCGTCGCGTAGGCTCGCGAACGCGTCGTTTTGTGTGTATCGGCAGACGGGACAGCCTGATCCCCGCCACTTCTCGAGGCATGCGCAGTGGAAGACGTGTTGGCAGAGGATTGTGAGCAGCCCGGTGGTTTCGTCCATGCGTTCGAGGCAGACGGGGCATGTTGGCAGCTCGACGAGCGAAGGGGTCGGCGGTGCGAAGGGTTTCGTGGTCAGGGAGTGTGAGTCGACTGTCGATGGGAGGGGAGCAGTGGGCTCTTTGGTAGAAGCAGGCGTGAATGGATCGTTGGTGAGGTCCGGATATGAGGATGGGTCGTGGTTGGTGCCATCCGATGATGTTTGGAAGCTTATAGACTTGACGAAGACGACATGGCAGTATTCAGGCTGGTGATCATGGTCAGCAATGCGAAGAAGCCACAGAATGTGCATAAACTTACCTCCATGCTATTAAATGTTTTGCCATTCCACTCTTTCCGCCACTCTCGCGCCTTCTTAGCTTCCCGGAACTTCATCAAGACCATATACTTGTTCGCTCTACTCGTCCGCACCAGACGGAAATGAGTGACGTGCTCCCTCGTCTGCTCTCCCATGAAACCTAGCAAGTCTGAGGGTGTCATGTACGATGGCACCGCAAGTATGCATAATGTTGTGCAGTCCTCTTCGTTGAAAGCGCCATCCTTGACCTCATCGTATAGACCGGGTGTCTCCTCTCCCTCTCTATACAGATGAACAACACCCCATCCCACTTCTGTGTCCTTGAGGTCCGAAGGTATGAATTTGCCCTTGGTAGCTAGTCCCCCGGAGCTCGTTGCATGTGAAGGTTGCTTGAGCGCCCGGATGGTGCCTTCCTCGCTTGGACTGGGATTCATGTCGATGCTCTGGATGGAGATGGTGTCGAAGCGCCAATCTCTGGGGGCAAAGCTTTGCGTCCGCCTGTGTGCCGGTCTCTTCGGGGGCTTAACGATCGGTACGGGGCTGTCGTGAAGCTCGGGGAAGGTTTGTTGAGCACGATGACTGAAGCGACGGGGAGCTGGCGGTCGTTCGCGGGCACGAGTGAGGCGGTTCACGTCGCTGCTTGAGACGGGAGATTTGGAGAAACTGGACTTTGCCGAGCTGGGAGTAGGTATGCCCCAGGGTGACGAGCCGTGTGAGGGAAGACTGGAGGTGAAGATGTCGGTTTGTGGAGGTGGGGTGTACGTCGTTTCTGGGGAAGACCTCGATGGGTAGAGTTCGAAAGTAATGTGGAAGTAATAGGCGGGCATCACGAGAGATATAGTAGTTTGCGCATCTCAACGGACATGAAGTCTACGTTAACGTAAGAGAAGAGAGCGAATGGTTGGAACTGAGGTCTCGCGATTATGTTAGATGGCGGACATGTTTTGGTGGGACGGGAACGATTGCGGGCACTATTAATCCGCATGGACCATGGCGCGCATGGGTAGCTCCAAACGACTACCTGGACCGAATACACCAACATACAAATCAATCACATAGACAATTAGTTGAGGATATTGAAGCAATTCAAAATGAGGTAAACCATTTGCTTAATTTTTTTTAATCATATTCTTGATTCATACTAAGTGGCCCATCAAAGGACCATGTTGTCACCTAATGACTGCGTACTACTACTACTATAGTGTTGTTGTCTTCCGCATTAAGGAAGAAGCGTGCTAAAGATGAAAATGGGAATCCGCAATCAGAACGCCGGAATATGCAACGTAAGCCTGCCCAAACACCCATCGTTGAAGTTTGCTGGAAATCGGTCCAGTGTTTAAAAAATGATGCAAATAACGCCGCCCAAAGGAAAATGTAGGATATATCTAATGTGTCCACCTGTCCGGTTCCGTTTACATTATGTTAGAGTAATGACGTATCGAGTCCAATTGACTCTGCAGACCGAGCGCTCATCGAATCGAAGGGGATCGCATAAGGGGTATTGCTTTTTCAAAATCATGCTCAAAGGCTATGTGAAACTCAAAGGGAAATTCGCGAAGACCAGAGTTGGCTATACAGGCTCTGGTTCAATGATATCGTCAACGTCGTCTGTTTCGTATCCTTTTTGGTTGACGACTATTCTGCGTCCTCGTTGGTCAGGAGGGACGCCGTCACGCGAGGCTCCGAAATCTAGGACCTACAACGTGCTTGTTAGCTTCAGACTATGACTCAAGGTACCTGCAGTGCTTACCTCAATATATGTTCGATTGTTCCGTTGAACAGCGGCGACGCATCGGCGCTCGTTGAATTTGACTTGCCAGACTCCACTCAAATCGGTCAATAGATCCTTGACAAATTCGCCGGTCCTGACGTTCCACATCTTCAGCGTTCGGTCAGAACCAGAAATGACTTTCTGGCCGTCATGCTGAAAGCAGGTGATGGCTCCTGTATGGGCGCAAAGGGTGCTCTTGCATTGTCCATTCTCAGGATCCCAGATGCGCAGTGTTGAATCGGCCGCTGCCGACACGAGGCGTTCGTGACTCAGATCCAGAAGTCCAACAAGCGACGTGTGACCCTCAAGGCTGTACAAGCATTGTCCTGTCTCCAGAGACCATACTTTCACGAGGTTGTCCATGGAACCGCTGATGCACCTGCTTCGAGCATGGTCAAGAACGACGCTGTACACTTTCTGGCTATGGCCCTGCAGGCGCTGCAGTACCTCTCCAGTCGAGATCTTCCAGACACGTACAGTATGGTCGTAGCTGCCACTGACTAGGGTGTCACCGTGTGCTGCGATGGCACGAACGGAATGGTGGTGCCCAGAAAGAGTTCGGATGAAGTACGGGTTGTCGTAATCGTTCTGTGGGGGACCTGTCTGCATGATGCTTCTATCGCCAGGCTGGGGTAGTTTCCACACACGCAGTGTGGAATCGCGCGATCCTGTAATAATCAGAGGCTCAGTTGGCATCATGATCGGCTGCCCATCTGCAGTCTCGCCGATTTCGGTAGGCTTCAAGATGACTAGGCATCGCACGGTGGATGTGTGTCCCTGGAATACTTGTGTGCATTTACCCCGCTCGATGTCCCACACTCGCACCGAACGATCGGTCGATCCAGAGACCAAAGTGTTGCCTTCATATTGGAGTGCCCAAACGCCTCCTTCGTGGCCCTCGAGCCTGTTGCGTAGGGCACCAGTCTTCGTATCGTAGACATTGATATTCGTATCGTCGCTACCGGTAAGGATCTTGTCTGTATCGAACTGTAGGCAGGTTACTACGTGGTGTCCATGGGCGCGGAAGGCGACATGTTTGGGTCGGGTGTCCTCCTCCATCCAGCTCTTTCGGATCAGATGATGGCGTTGATACAACGACTTGTAGAGGTGCATCGACCTCAAACTGGGCAGGCCGATTGGTGGGCTTGGTATCGCAGCGGCAGCAATTTCGGCGATGGCGATTGGACCTTGTCGGAGCACTGCTGAGCGCGAGAACATGGGCACTTGCGATTTCGATGACGACGGTGCCTTCTTTCGTTGCTTCTTTGCAGGCCCATGCCTGGAGGTGGCCTTTCTCTTTGTTCGTCCAGAGAGGCGGAGGGAGGTTCCATCACTCTCGGTATAACCGCCTATACCGTTCGAGCCAGATGAGCCTGGCGCAGGCGAATGCTCCGTATCGGATCTCGAGGTATGAGCCAGGCGTAAATCTCGCTCATAGCTCTCTGTTGAGTGTGGATACTGCCAGCCCCAGCCTTCTTTGACAGCGCGTTCAAGTTCTCCCTCGGGTAGTCCATAACCATCCTTCTCGAGTAGATCCTTCCATGCCGTTTCATCCGTGTCAACAACATGTCTCCATTTCTTAGACACTTGAGCAGCACTACACATGCTCTGCACGTCTAGATATTTGATGATGTTGAGACTAAGTTCAAGAGGTAGCAAGGCTACAAAATCGCATTTCAGGGCTGGGTTTACAACGTCAGCCACGAAATGAAGGGTTGGCTTCGTGCATCTACGAAGCATTTGGAACATGACGTAGGTTTTCATCTTTTCCGGTAAAGAATCGAAGGAGTCCAGCATCGTAGGTATATCCATGAGGGCAGGCGTAGGTAGCTGTTGATTCATGTTTAGCCCGTTACGTGCGTCAGAGAGGTCGATAAGTTTGTGGCTAGAAGACGAGAAATCATCGTTGGACCTATTCCTGTGAAGCGAGCTCTGTGAAATATCAAGGCTAGAGATATCGTTCGAATCGTCATCGGCATCGCCCGAGAAAGAGTTATTAGTATTGTGCTGCGCGAGACTTGCTGCAGCAGTTATCGGAGACAAACTCGGACTAGGCAAACTGGCATCTTGGGCGGCAAGTGTGTCCAGAGGCGCTGGTCGAGCAGGGTGGCTGAATGAAGCATCATCAGCCGTGAACGGACCGATAGGTTCGAGGTCGGTCTCGACAATGGGAGGTGTGGCGGCTATTCCTGGGCCATCGACGATCGAAGAGGAGAATGAGTGCTCGTTCGAGGAGCGTTGCATCCCAGATCGTGGCGAGTCCGAGGAAATGTGCTTCGCAGAACTTGGTGATCCGGTAACGGGTTGCTGAAGCTGCCACGAGGCCGAGTGGTTTTGTTGGGACGAAGATCTGAGGTTGGAGCGTCTCGTGGTCACTTTGGGTCGTGGCATCTTGAATGAACTTGGCCCAGACACATCTGTATCAGGCGTAGCAGGAACTACATCTTCCATATCCTCTGGAGTGAAATTAGAGTTAACGTGTGGGCCGCTTCGAATTCGGTAATCTTGGATCGAGGGTCGTGGTTTCTTGCAGCGGCGTTGCAAGCTCGCAATCTCAACGGCTTCGGCGATAGACGGAGGAGAAGACGATCGTTTCTGGCGGCTAGATGGGGGGCGAGCTACTGGCGTCAGGGCGGTCGAGGGTCGAGTCATCCGGCTAGGCGTTGCGAACTCGGGGGGTCCGCTGAACGACTCTTCGACCTGTATCGTCCCGTTTGCGCTGCGAAGACCATCGTAAATAGAATTGTGCTGAGTGCACAATAATCATTAGTATAAGATCAACGTGAAATTCCAGTTATGCATGGAGAGGAGGGGTTGGTGTCCTAGGGCTACCCAGGTATCTATGCGGAGCTTACCTCGCGGATCTTCTCGTCGCTGTCACCTGCTTCCTCGAAACAAGCCTGACCGTTGCCTGTGCTAAACATGAATTTCCGGATGGATTCTGGTGCTGGGGCATTTGCCAAGGGATACTCTTTCGCGTCCCGATCTCTCAGATTCCGCGGAGCTTTCATGAACATGGGAGGAAATGAAGTTGTGGTGGTTGTGGTAGTCGTGACGACTGTCGTGTGTGTTGCCGGTGCGATAGAGAGTTGTCCGATAGTTGCATAGGGGTCTATGGCTGGCTTTTTGGATATTGCTGATCCGGGCTCTTGTGAGCCGCTTGGCGGAACGGTGGCCATATTGGTCCTGTCACGACCTGGTACGAGGGCCGCGAAGTGAAGATACGACGACAAAGAGTGCTCCTGGACAGACGTTTTCCGTAGTCGTACACCCTCAGTGGACGGCTAGATATGTCCACTGAAGGGTGATCTGAGAAGGGGGTGGAGGCGAAGGCAGAGGCGAGGCTCAGGACGTGGCGACGATGGGACGGGTCGAGCTCGGCGGAGGACGAAGCTGAATTATTCCTTAGACAACCATCGAGTGCAAGTAAGAGACAAGTCGAGCAAAGGCTAGGACCTGAATATTAGAGTTTCTTGTGTCTAGTCGTAGAAGGCGTCTTGTAGTCCGCAAACGAGCGGCTGACAGGCGGCGAAACAAGGAGTCGTGATTAGTCTTTGTAGGAGATGATAGACAGAGGAGAGACGGAAATCGAGAGAGAGAAAGGTGAGTGAAAAAGGAGAGGTGAGGTAGAGTGAGGTTGGAGTGGGGTTGGAGTAGGATAGGCGACTTTGGCGGAGTGGGTGGTGAAGTGTAAGTGGAAGTGGAGTGTCCTTTGAGGGGGGGAAAGGGAATAGAAGGCTGGGCTGGGCTGGTAGAGGTAGAGGTGGTTTGAAGGCGGGGACGAGGGCCGGGTCTAACAGGAGGAGGAGGAGGAGGAGGAGGAAGGAGGAGGAGTAGGGAAGAGATAGCCGGGGGCTTGTTGGCCACACACACACACTCTCTCTCTCTCTCTCTTCACAACTCACGCGCGCACAAATACCTTGCTTTACCTTACCGCGTCCACCTATCTTCTTGTACCTTTCCGCTACAGAAATAGGTAAATACCTTGTACCATTAGTTATTCCGTAGAACACGATGAAGAAAGGTAACAGTATTATTATCACGAGAGTAATACTCATTATTAGCAGGGCTATAGCACATACATTCATCACTGTCCTATACTGGCTTTGCACCCTATTCTCCCCTGACTTCTAGCAACAATAATAGCAACAATAGCAACACTCGGTAATGATCATGACGATGATGGTTATTGCACAATACAGCTTTTGTTTTATTCTATTCTACGGATAGTGATACCTCGAATGCACCCACACACGCTCGCTACTGTTACCTAGGAATAAGCACCTGAGATCACGTTTTCGCCGCCATCCTATTTTTTCCAAATCAACATCCCAGTTTGCTCATTTCTCATTATTCGCGGTCGCGTCATGCAAAGCTGGATTGGACGGCACGACGGGTACTGGCAGGCTGGGTGGCTGCACGCATAATAAGCTCAGCATCAGCATTTGCATCGTTTCGCCTAATTCATGTTCAGATGATATATCGTTTCTCCGTTCTCTCCTTTCCTTACTCCATTCTGACATTCTTCTGCCTACTTGTATCTGTCACAGGTCAGGGCTCATCACCGCCAGTATTCATCTACTCGGAACGTTGCATATACATCCTCGGCGAATGACCTGCACTGTACCGAATACTTTGCGTCCTACCATTTTTCCGCTCTGCCAGCATGTTCTTTGTACAATGCCACGGACGCAAACAACTATTATCGGCAATGTCCTCTCGGGAGCGAGCGCGCATCTCCTTCGAGGCACAGAAGCATCAATCCATCCATCATCCGTTTAGGTATTTTGAGCGTCGCGATGCCCTTCGGAACATTCCCATTCCGCGATCGAGTCACCACCATTCCTTCCCCATTATTATCCTTGCTTCTACGGAGTGCTCGTATGGGACTTCTGACGAGGACTTGGAATACGTATCGCAAACATGTATCGGTGGGAATCGAAATCCCAAGATCCCGATCCCGAGGCTGCATCCTCCTGCGAGTCCTGTTGTAGCCTCGTGTCTCGTGTCTCGTGTTCCGAGTGAGCGAGCTACTTACTGGCCGAGGAAGAAGTGACCTCTCGTAGAATAACACTGTGCTGTGCTTTGCTCTGCTGCTGTGCCTCTCTGCTGCCTTTGCGGGTGGCCACCGTCCAACATCCAACGTCCAACGCGCCAGTTTTGCCCGAATGGTGGCAATTCATTTTTAACGTAGCTCGGACCCGTCCGCTGCAGGCATCTTCCCCCAACACAACCCCCAATATCCATCTGTGCTCGTCTCATGTCGCCAAACCTGGCAACATCACTGTCAAAATGTGAAAGTTGCCCCGAGCAAAGTAAACCTTGCGCTTGCATTCATAGTGTTCTCTACTCTCCTTCCCCTGAGTCGTTTCAACAAACAACGAGCCAGCGTTAAAGGTCAATATGTATCAACCATTCTCGAATTTGCATACCAGTACGGAGTATTACACAGTAGATTGGAAAATAGCGGCGCCACGGAGGTCCTTTGACTCCTTCACCAATCACCGCCGTCAGCTTACAACGCCGCTCCTTAACCCCATCCATGCTAGTGTCCTTCTGCCTATCGACTCCATATCGAAGTTGATTGTCCTCAACTATTGCAACTATATACTCAACACTACCTCGGAATTGCATGCAATAAACATTAAGTATGCATCCACTGATCTTCACGCCTTCAGAGTACTGTTGTCGTGAACTTCTTGATTGCTTCCAACATTGGCGCCACTATTCACCCTTTCCTACATACATGCTGAAGACCAACCCCGACATTGCAAATTTAATCTTAGAGAGATAGGTATATTGCTATGCTGGACGGCAACTTCATGAAAACGATACTATCATTGCGCTGCTGTAGGAATAAATTCTCCATGGTCCAGAGTTCTTCTATATTCCAGAGTCAGGAAATCAGAAGCAGCAGTAAGCTGGGTTATGGTACTGCAGAATCGCTGATGGGATGATAAACCCTATGGACTTAATTCACAGACAGGAGGCAGAAGAGAATCATAGGAAGACCATGATAGATGAGAATAAATCGCTCTCCTCTGTTCGATCAAATGCAAAGACTACCTGGTTCAATGGACTCATCGCTCGCAAAATTGACTGCTATTGCTACTTGAAATCGACAGAAAGATGCCACTGATCGAACCTTTCGCTTTACCACATTATTTTCATGCATTTTTATTATGCCACAAAGAGATTCCTCCTACAATCATTCTCATGTATTGTTGAGGGCTCCCATGGTTGTGCGGGTGGTGGTCGAGCTCGAGGTCACGATGCCCCTTCGTGCCTTCCCTCTCAACCGCGACCTGACGTAACCACTTGCACCGCTCATTTTCTTCCCCTTTCCTCCCCCTCTCCACCTCCCTCATATTTCTGTTCCTTCAACTCAAAAACCATCTGATTCTTTCTGAATTCTCACTCGAAACCATCGTAGTTACCTTAACTTTCCCCGTGGATGCCTCTCCGAGATGGCTCCGAAGTCCCAGAAACAGGCACACGGCACTCTCACGACTGAGCCCACATTCGTCGTGAAACAAACCAAATCACAGACAGCACCATTGACTGCAAATGAGCAAGCGACCAGTGTGAAGCAAAGCCTGGAGCTTGTCCAAACTGTCGTTCACGCTTCAATCAGCACTCTACTCTACCTGCGGCAGCTGTTCGACGAAAAGTGCTTCGATAAACAACGGTACATCATCAGCAACAACCATACGTCCTACAGAGACTATGCAGAGGGCAAGAACGCAATTCCCCTCCAGCCCGGGGACGTGCCTGGCAAGTACCTGCAGATTATGAGACGGAACCGCAGCTCTCGGTTGAATCATCTCATCGATTGGCTGGCAAGTGTAATCTTTAGTTCCCTCATATCGAGCAATACTCATGCCTTCCAGGAGCATGGTGCTTTTAGAAGTCTTCAAGACGGGACGCTCCGTGCTTTGCAGCTCTCCATCATGGAGAACCCTGACGAGTCTGACAAAGTCCTGGAATTGTTCACGTTCACATTCGACGACAAACATACCAACGACGGTCTCGATAAGGAAGGTCCCATCTTCCAGTTAGGCAGCATCAACAGTAGTCGTATCACCAACCGCAATGTTGCATCCAAAATCCAGAGTTTCGTACAACAGATCGTTTCCTTAGATTACTTTGCACCACGTCTACCAGAACTTGTCGGCATACAGTTTCACTTATTCCTAAATGAGGAATGTGCACCCGGTTTCGAAGCACCGGGATTCACGCCCTCTGAGAATCTCTTTGTGCTGTTCCCGGATGTTGAAGATGGTGTCAAATCGTATCATGTACCTCAAGTTGATGCCGGCTTCCACCAGATCTCCCTTCACTGCACTCACCGAAGCCAGAGTGACGACAGGGATGGATCACTAACACCATTTCCCGGGCAATTTGCCTACCGAATTTCCCATGATCGATGCCAATATGTTCATCTTGAAGCAGAAAAACAGGATCTCGATTTGCCCACCGATCATGCTCAGCGTAACGCGAAAGTGACGGAAGAACCTGTGCAAGACACACCCATGGAGGATTCAAGTAGTACCGCAAGCGAGTCCATCGAGCCTGAAGCTCTCGTGTATCGAGAGAAGCTTCAACAAATGGTATGTGTTCCCTTGCTGGATGAAACACGTTTGTAACGATGATTTAGCAACAATCGCTCTCCGCAACTTATATCATCGATGATACACAACCACAAGGCGAACCGACGCAGCCGAGTGTATCCATCGCACGAAATCCCATGCTCCTCTCACAAACCACTCTAACGCGCTTGAACGTCAATCGGACCCGTCCAGACACGACACTTCCCCTCTCCCAAGAACCCAACCCGTCAACTGACGAGGTACGATGCGTGTGTGGTTGCGATCAGTTTGAAGCTAAGAACAATGTACGTATCGCAAGTTCGCTATTGATTCACACTAAGAATGTTCAGATACTGTGTGAATTCTGTGGCAAATGGCAGCATATCCACTGCTACGGCTACGAAAGCAAAGACGACCTCCGGCTTCCCCATGCCCCAGAAAAGCATGCTTGCTACCACTGTCTGCTGGGCGACAATAATATGGCGATGCGTAAGGTGAAAAATTTGGCAGCCATTCGTAGGGTTATCCATATCATCGACCTGCATGGATACTTCAATCAAAAGCAACTGAAAGAAGCACTGGGTAAGTGGAAATGGCGATAGATGAATGATCATAACTGAAAATAGTTAGGACATGTAGTGACGAATTTTTCGAGAATACTAACCACGCTCGTCAGCGACAACTTCCTGATTCAACCTCAAGGCAATCGGCGAATATGGTCTGAAAGACCGTGGGAGACTAATTGGTCGGCGATTAAGGACAAATATTTCAACCCATCTTCAGAAATTGCACACTTTGTAGGACCCCTGATCTACAGTCTTTGCTGTCCATGACTGATACCTGTGGACTAGTACGAGCTTCCGCTTGCTACAAAGAAAGGGCAAGTCGTCATGGGCGAAGATGATGCTCTTCCGATTGCCAATCGGCCCATTGCGACTGATGATCAAGAGCCTCGACCCGCTATACGCATGCCATACCTTCAATCCAGCGGGAGACCAGGGGATGCATCGACGGAGAAGCGAAAGCGGAAGACCCCAAGCAGTAGCAATATCGATCATCCCGCGAAAAGGGGCTGCAGCCTCTGGTCCTCCGCGATTATCGGTAGCGGCCTCAATGCCATGACGCCGCCGAGGGTCCCCTCGAATGGCGATCACTCGTATGTGGATGGATGAAAGGACAGAGCGTAGATGGATGTTTGGGGTAAGAATGCTTAGGGCGTTCGGTTATCGTCCACTCTGTTTACTTACCTTGTCAGATAGGACGAAGTTTTCGGGGCCTCAATCAGCCAGTCAGTGCGCATGCTGGGCTTAACATTCACATATAATACAAGGGTAGGCTAGCTGGCGATGTGCTCACATCTTCGGAACGTCGAATGATGGCTGGTACTTTGTAGAGTTACACGGCATTCCAAGGAATGAAGTATCAAGAGCGCGACAGCGCAGACCGCTATTGTCGGCTTGGTGACACAAGCTTTTAATTAGGAGAATGGGACATGCAGATATTCACGACGCTTGTCAAAGAACGCACTCAGTACTGCAGTACACAACGGTGCACGATTTGCACAACATTGCACAACAATGTGAAAGCTGAACCACATATGGCATGATCATGAATGATGCATCCGCTGCGACTGAAAGATTCCCATAAGCACAGAAGAGGAATGGGTCAAAGCAAGTGATCGATGAACGCGGGACGTACGTACAGTACATGGATCGTTGGCTTGATGGCGTAAGCCTATCAAGTCACCACATTACTGGATTGCCTCACTAACTGTGGACGGGCAAAGTCCCCTATGATCACACTGTGTTAACTCTTCGTTTTCCTCGCGGACGCCATCTCGGGCGGGTGCGTTCAGGGTCACGATATCTGGTCACTCCGACAGTGCTCACAAAGAAAGTATAAACAAAGCCTCCGATGTGTTTCAACAGCCTTACAGGTAACGCTCATGATACACAGCAGCACGCTGAATGATGGAAAGGGGAGGTCGGTTAAGTATTGGCCGCTAGCAACACCGAGCTTGCGGGATTCCGACCACTGCACTGGCGCAGATGGGGACAAGCTGAGAAAGATTCGGTGTCTTTTGGTGCGGCATGTGGGTGCCCAGAGCATGGCTTGTGTACTTTTTTTTCTTTTCGGGCGCGACCCACGCTTCCGACGGGGTGAACCCAAAGATGCTGTGGTACGCTGTGGTGACAACTCGTTCTAGCTCTCTTATCCAGTCGTGCCAGGCAAGCCCGGTCGCCTGCAGGACGTGGAATGTCCCTGAAACGTCCACGCTTCCATTCTCTACCTTTCAGCAATGCTCACAGTCGATTGCTGGAGGGCCAGATATACGAGTTGGTCTTGTTCAGTTGGACATGTCACTCCACAGATAGCAGTATGAGGTCTAGCGGGGACGGGAACTCTGTGCGTGCGGTAAGTGGAGGAAGGAAAAGGGTGGAATGCGGCATGCCTACATATATTGTATGCATGATGCTGGGGAACCTGGAAGACTGTTGCTGGGCAGTTGAGCTATTGAGGCCATGATCCGCGTTTGGAAGCCAACCATATCGTGGCACGCCACGCTGTGGGGACTAGCGCTTTTGCGCGCGGCCGTCCCCTGGATTTTCTCAAGGTTCCTCCTGGGTGAACAGATGGATCAGATGGGCAGGTGACGGCGGCAACCAGGGGGACAGGTATACTGTGAACCATGTTGAGAGGACATAGTTACGAAGATACATATTGTGCTTACCGTCAAGCAGGAACATTCCATCATTGCACACAGCGGGAGAGATATATCTTGCTCTTATCAGAGACGGCATCCATCAGTCTGCGCCGTTCGTATTTAGGGGTTCCTCGCGCATCCCTCTAAACCCGCTCAGTCTGTAGCCGCCTGTTGACCTGCAAGCTAGATCCAGGTACCGGTATTCTCGGGTGAGCAAAGTAGCCCAGAACAAGCACAGAGCAACAGCCCACAAATGGGAGCGGCTTGCCTTCAACTCGAGGAAGTCGTTCATCCTTTCAGCACATCTCTTTCCATCCACAAGGGCCCCCCGGAACCCTCAACTCCAACTTTATATGCCCCCCGAAACCTCGATCGAGATTTTACGAGTTCGTTTCCTTCCATTGTCGCTTCCACCACCACGCCATCGAACCCGAATACGAATGGGAGATAGACTTTAACGATTCCACGACTCAGTTCACTCCCTATGCTGCAGGTCGCTAAGCGTCCAGTTGTCTTAGACTTGAGCCACCAACTTTACTTCCTTTAGCAAGCCCGAGGCTGTGAAACTCCTTACACCATGGGCCGTCCCAAATTCTCCTTTCCCTTGCCTGGGAAGAAGTCGTCGACGAAGCTCAATGGTGACTACGAGGTACACGCAAACGGATACTCTTCAACCTCAATACCGCAAGGCTCCGAGTGGCCGTCTCGTCCCGAACCTACCACTTCTCGTTCAAAGGCAGAGCGTGTGCTTGGAACCGCCAGCAACATGCCTCTTCGATCCTCCAAATCCCAAACCTCGCTACAGCAGCATCCTGGCTACATGACGATTACAGTTTCGGAGGCAAGCTATGGTTCAGATCATACCGATAGGTCGAATGGCAAGGACAATGGCAACCTACATCCTACAAAGCGGCCAGGGATGGTCCACAGGCCGTCGTCAAACATACTCGGGAGTGGGTATGGTGAAGACAGCCGGCGAGGCTCAGGTTCAAGTTCGATCAGCCGCCGATTACATTCAAAGGCCTCGAGCTCCACCATGCGTTCCCATTACGATCCCCAAAGCTCCCCCCTCTCTATATCACAACAAACATCTGCATCGGCAGTCCGCGACATGGCACTTACAAAGGGACATCCTCAGATCGCACTCGAGGCTGGCGGCAATGTTCATGCACTGAGCCCTCCAAGTCACCTAGATTCTAAAGGGAGCTTCCGCAAGAGCAAACCCGCACGACTGGACTTGTCGAAATTGTTCCCAAAGCCTAGGAGCAATACTGCTTTGGAAACGGGTATGCCGCTTTTGTCACCTAACAAAATGGTGAATTCTCCTACAGCGTTGTCTTCTGCCTCGGAATTCTTCCCACGGCCTATGACACGAGAGCCATCTCCGCGACCAAAGGGACAAGCGAAGTTGACGAAGTCCCCAAGAGTACAACATCAGCCTCAACGCCCACCCTCCCCTGTCCGGGTGCACAGGCGTGACGAGTACGATAATGCCAAGATCAATGTACGACGCCCACCACGAGGAATCCAGCATTGGTTCGAGGGTTTCGATGATGATGATAGCGACGACGATCAGGAAGAGAGTAATGAGCCAATTGCATACTACGATGCCGTGGCCCCGAACGAACGCCATGTCGATTTAGCAAAGGAGCAATCATATGGTGACTATGAGGCACGCTCATACACACAAGACACCTATCAATTACCCTTGAAGCCCCGAGCAATACATCCAATCAAGAACCAATTCGCCCAGGCACATGCCTTGAACGCACATCGTCTCAACTCTCCCAGCCAATTTTCCGTTCAGACCCAATCATCGTTGACCTCGAATCGAACCAAGGAGTCAGCGTTTTCAAAGAGCAATCTTCAAGATTTCAGCGTTCTTTCCATGTCATCTTCGGAGGACGAGGGAGAAGATTCGCTCCCAATGCCCAAATATCCAATGCGCGATAGCATTGGCAGCACTGATGGCCATGGAGAGATCGTTATCGGGCAAGCTCAAGCATTCGATGTTCGCCCTAATAATGCACGCAGAGCTTCCGACTCGAAGATGAGCATGCTCACGACGTCGACCGGCGCTGCTACTATTGAAGTGATGTACACCCCTGAGCCTTACACGCCACACGCCTTCCCAAGGCCACCACACAGCAGCAGGCGCTCAAGCCATGTGCGACAACCCTCAATGATCCCAGAGGACGAAGATGTTCGACCAAGGACCGCAGCACCACCGCCCATGTCACCTTCGTCAAGCAGCATAAGAAGTGCGAGAACTTCTAACAGTGAGCCTCGATCTCGCGTCAACCAGCGCAAGATGATGGCGGTGACAGAAGAAGAGGAGGCGTTGCTTGAAATGATGCGAAGGAAACGAGCAGCCATGGTCAAGCAGAGCTTCTCCGAGGGATATGAGACTGCACTAAAGCTGGATGACTCTCGTCATCAGAATGAAGGAGATGACAGCTATCGTACATCCGGATTCTTGACAATGGACAGCCCATCCTCTGGCCCTGTGAGAGTGGTGAACAACCCTCCTCCCAGAAAATCCTCCATGGTGGTAGCCGCTCCTCTCCTGCAGCCGCCCCCTCGAGGTCGCCCAGCCAAATCGGCACGCGACAGCAGTGTTGGTACCAGCATGCTACGTGATAGCTCATCGTGCGATCCCGAATCTGACCGCCAGCGCTCCCCAATAAGCAACGTCCGCACCAACTTGCCTCACCAGCTCGCGCCTCAACCTGTATTTTCTCCTCTCGATCTCTTCCCCTCTCCGGCAGCATCACCTACTCCTGCGGCCACTGAGCCCAGCATGGCATCCCCTACCACCATAGACCATGCATCTCCACTGCCCTCTCCTATCACCCCGGGTCTTCGAACCGGCGAAGGCGACGTAAATGTCAAGGTCGCGAGCAGTGAACCATCGTGCAGCGGTGACCACGAGAGCGACGATGTCCCTATCCTTGAGACGGGTGTCATTGGCCCATCATCTTACGTTCCCATCAAGCAAGCCGAGTCCCAGCCCAGCAATCATCAACGACGCCGTACTGCCAGCAGTGGCGCAGATGTCCCTCTCAACCCGACCCGCAGAGTTTCGCAGGCATCCAACGTACCCCTCGACCTCGGCGCTCTCTCAGAGGCATCCTCCCCAGGACCCAGCATCAACGACCTTACCTTCCCCGCCGTACCCACAAAGAACTCCAGGCGTACAAGCGCCATGACTACAACCAGCAGCCTGCGCAGCAGTTCCCAGGCACGAAGCTCCTCTCCGAGGGTCCACCACAGCGACCGCAGACAAAGCCGCACAATCTGCAAGGACAGCTCGCTCGCCAGCAGTTCAAAGCGAGACAGCGTCGTGGTCGGATCGTCCAGCACGCGATGCAGCGTCAGCGAAGATGTGCTGGCTGCATGGGGAAGCTTGGGCGGTGGAAGGATCAACGGAATGTAAAAAGGGGATTCTTTATTACTCCGTTTGCCTTCTCTGTCCCTTCCTTCTCATAATTCCTCCTCTGTTCCTTTTCCCCCGTCTCCGATCCTGAGTTTACGCCCCGTGTTCTCTCTCGCGCGGGATATTCAGGATCACGGGGCACGACCAACGTATCATTATTCCTAAACTAATCTCATCACGACCTCACTTTGACCTTTCTTCCTGACAGAGTTTGTCAACCTTTTGTTTTATTTTTCGATTTTTTTCTTTTGTATGCAAAAAAGGGAAGCGTAGCATGGCGTTGTTCAAAAATTTCGGCTTTTTTCTTTTCCTTTTGCCCTTACTTGGAGCTACACATGAGGAGGTAGTTGCGTCCGTACTATCTCATAACTACATCTCAAAATAGTACCGCACATCACGAGATGTACAAACTATTTACTCTTTCAAAATTATATTTTCTTTAATTTCTCCTTTCGGAATATTCCCTTTTTTCCATGCATATCAGGGTTCCCCAAAGCCAGGCAAACCACCACACCACACGACTGACCTGCCTTACCTAACCCCTTTCACGCCCACTTCATCCTCCTCCTCTTCCCTTTTACCTTCGCCTCTCCCTTTTCTTATTTTTTTGTCGCTCAGTCCGGTCAGGTCGGGTCTCGTCAGTATCAAGGTATCCTTTTTCCACAATCTCGGGTATTTTTCCTTTTCTTTGTTAAAGCATAGATATTAGTCGTTTACAAACATTTGCATATAGCGGGTAGGATTAGGGTTAGGTCTATATTGTTGTAGGGTTATACAATAGCATTTTTTTTTATAATTTATGAGATTGTGTTAACTAGTCTGGTTTATCTCTTCATACATTCGTACAGATAACTCGAGATGGTGACGCTGCGAACTTGCGCGCAGAGACGGAAACAAGAACCATCCGTTTAAGAAGCTGTCGTGCGAGATTCTATTCAATCGGGATTTCAAAGGAGAGGTAGGAGACGTCTACGTAAAGTAACGCCAAACGACAATGCAGAGCGAAATACAATCGTGGTAGGAATGTTTACGCCAATTACGCCATCATTTCAATCATCAAGAAAAAAGCACAACAAAAGCAACCGCTCAAAAGCAAAAACGATGTGAAGAAAAACAGCCAGCTGTCTTAGATTTCCAGAAATGCCAATAGGAAGGACAACGTAACGCTTTAACACCGTCCGCAGAAAAAGAAGACGACCTGTCATGAAAACAGAAAAACAAGGAAACTGAACACAGCAAAGAGCGCCTTGACTGGCACTTGAGAAAACTTCCCATGTGCACGATTGCTGAGGACCGTCCCACAACACGAGTCTTGACTGTATGTGACATTATTCGCCATCGCCGCGACCTGGAACACCGAGCCATTGAAGTTTCCATAATTATAGTAATCCACAAGCAGCCAATTCGGCGGACGCCCCCACATGGAAGTACACTGCTCGACGTTTACGCCCAAGCTTCCGTTCCCTGACACTGCGTTGACGGCATCGAGGAGCGTGTAGGCGGGTATCAGCATGGGTCCCACCCCGGGGATGAGGTCGCTAATCTCGATGTTCAGGTTGTGGTTGACCATGTACATCTTGTCCCGGGAGACGTCGTCTGGCTGGTTAGGCGGGCGTTGCTCGGTGCAGGGGAAGGATGGGTCGGTGGGCGAGAAGGGGGTTTGCCATTGGTATGAGAATTCGTCGAGGAGCCATGGGACGGCGTCTTGGTTTGCGAGGTAGTCGAGCATTACTACGACGCGCTTGTTCGCGAGGATCATTTCTGATAGTGTGGGCCATTGGGTTAGGTTCGCGGTGGGGACGCTGGGGTGGTACAGGTATGGGAGCATCCCGGCGGCAGTGAAGGGCTGGATGTATGTCGTTGGAGATACTCGCGCGTCGTTGCCCATCATGATTGCGATGACTTCGTATGGATTGTCGGCAAGCCATCCCGACACAAGTTCGAGGTAGGCTTCGAGGGAACCGGCATTTAGAAGATTGCAGTTAGTATGGCAAAGTTGGACTGTTCCGTTAAGAATGTGAGTCTCAAATTGTACTGGTATACATGTCAGTCAATGTGACTTTGACGATTCGAATAATGAGCATGCTTACACCCTCGAATGCCATCATTGAGTTGTGTCAGAACCGGAAGCGCCTGGTTACTAGCAGCGTTATGAGCTACTGCAAATGGTGAATTGTGGGCGACCACCATGGAAACATTACTGAATCTCCGGTTGCAAAATTCGACATGGCCATTGCACGGTTGACTGTTGGTTGGTTGCGGAGAGAATGAAGAGGTACTTGTCGCATTCGAACTTATCGATACGGTTCGACGTGACACTCCCACTATAGTTGTGATTGATTGAGGGGCCGATGAGATTTGAGTAGCATTCGGTGATATTGTAGGTTCTAATAAAGCTGCGGGTAAGAGGTTGTTTGAGAGCGCTGTAGGAGTCGAAGCGGATATGCTTGTAGAAGAGGTCTGCGCAGATGCGAACTGTGCATAGAAGAGTTGTAAAGCAGGTAGGAGTCTGAATAAAGACATGAGGAATACGAGATTCAAGCGATTGGATAGGTACGTCTCCGAATACGAGAAGTGACCTGGGAAAATGCGAAGCTCAAAACGTCTATTCTACGAATGTTGCAGCATTCGATAAAAGGTGTTGTTGCGATGTAAAACAGTACTCTACATGCTGCCATCGACTTTTTGTTTGGTGAATTGCAGGAAAGAACTGTTACTGGCTTCGTCGCAACCGCCTCCGATGTTTCCGCCATCATGACTGCCTTCCGAACCATCCGTTACGACAGAATGGTTATCATGCGAGAGGTGTAGTCAGATCCAAGCGTTCATAAGCTTCTAGCGCCAATGTATGAGGCCGATATATCGCGGTTACGAGACCCAGGCCGCGTATTCGGTATCGCTTACTGTAAGACAGGATGTCGACGTCACTTCCGGCGAAAGGCATTCTCGGATATAGATCTTGGCCCAGCACGACTCGGAGAAAGATTTAATAAGAAAGGCTATTAGACTCTGCGGGGCGAAGCTCCTATTGAGCAATTCATGCACTGTCCAATCAATATGTCCTGGTTAGGGTGTATTCAAGTTGTATTTGGGCGAATTTCATGCAGACAAGCATGTAGTACAGTCAATAAATCCATCGAATGGGTATTGTAATATTCCTTTGTTTTCATTATCATACGTTGACTATCCTTCCGGCATTATGTTATCGTATCCCCGACCACATTCGCCTATTCACCTGGTTGCGTTAAGACTTCACAAAGGTTTGACGCCTGCAACCTATTCTCGAAGAGCTGTCTAAGCAGCGCGCTTTCCAGTGAAAATCCTCTTGACACGGACAGCCTTGCAAGACGGGTTCTGGGGCTCGGCCTTTCCGTATACCCAGTTCAAGGAGTCGTTGGTGTAGGACTGGCTGTAGGTGGTGCATGCAAACCACCTCTCGATGGCCTTGAAGTCGCCAGGCTTAGGAGGAGTTACAGTATCGTCGACGTAGGTCTGAACGGTCAAGTAGTTCTTTGTGTCGAATGCTAGAGTCTGAGCACCGTCTGGTCCGGGGTAGAATTGAGGGTGGCCGACGTTCGTGGAAGGGTCAGCGAAGAACTGTAATCCGGATGACACTTCAAAGTCGTTGCCAATGAGAAGATAGGTGAGGTAGCCTGGTCTTCCGAGACCTTCAGCGGGAGGGTCGATGTTGCTGGAAGAGTTGAAGCGGAAAGTGCTTGGGGCCTGGCCGGTCGGGTATGAGTCGAGTGCGTCGCTGAGGCACAAACCCTCGATGGCAGCACCTTCATGGCATGCCGTGAGGGTCTTGCTGTTGACGGACGCATCGTCCGACTCCAAGACGAGGTAGAATGGAGCAGATGGCTCGTCGAACTGAGCGACAGCGACGGTGGCGAAAGCCAGGGCGAGGGCTGGGACTGAGAACTTCATTTTGATATTGTAAGATGACTGAATGGGTAGCGACCGACTGTAGAGGGTATTATTGAATTAAGTATTGCTGGAGGAAGTGGCTTGTAGATCCTGATCTGACAGTGACGTTTTGTCGCGCGGGGAGGGTGCTCTTTTATACTGAACCTTGAACATTCTTGCGCCTTGCTCCCCAGCGTGGCCTACATACATTGGCCGTTTCCCCAGTAATTGATGCTGTGAGGTCACTCGTCACACTGTCGATCACCCGAATGTTCATATGGTGTTGCAGCATTACCCCAGTTTCTAACCGAAACCCACCTAAGTATATTGCAACACCTCGTATTCCAGGCCAGCCGGCTTCCCTATCTAGTAACTGCAACCTCGAATAGGAATATAATAGCTCGTCGAAATACAGTAGTTTTCGTGTAGGTCGCCGCCTGGCTGGTATCAGAATAAGCTTCTCCCTAGTACTGTGCCACATCCGTCTTATCCAGTGAGCTATTTATACGAAGTCGATAATTATCGATAAGCTTTTTATGAGGGCACTGCAGTGATGTAATTTGGATGTTATTGAGTTTTTGAGTACCTTAAAGGTGCATTATTGAGAGATATGCATGACTCCGTCTTATTCTATACCATAGCCACCGCTGACCCTGCGCCTTGATTATTTACGCCCGAAGGCCCGACGTGAAAGTGTAAAAAGGCTTTCAACGACTGTCGTACGACTTGTGGAATGTGTGACCTTCAAACCGCCCGAGGTATCCTTAGCGGCGACGAACTGCACCGCCCTCACTTTGAGAGATAGCGGTACCAGAGGCCTCCCAGGTCTCGTCAGACTCTTTCTCGCGAACAAATACGTCGTTGGCATTAGCTTTCTTCACTAGCCACCAAGCAAACCATGTGACCCAGCAAAATATTACGTCGAAGCCGACACTACTCACGGCCGGGTGGTCTAGCAATGCATCTTTGAGACCATTGTATCCTCCATAGCGCACTGCAGCTCCAGTCGAGTTGAGTCCAAGCAGAATACCGCCTCCGATTGTGAGGATCCAAAGGAACTTGTAGACGCGATTCGCGAACTGGACATTGGGGTCATGGAAATACTTCGCTGGTAGGAACGAGCGGATGATGGGAAGCACCAAGAGCGCAACATGAGGCGTGATCAATACGGGGAAGAATGAGTGACCGTACCAGTATTCCTCCGCCGCGAGCAAGAACGCTGGAACAATAGTCGCAACGACCGCGCCAAAGTTGAGTAACCATGGGCCGAACCACCGCCTATTAATACCACCTGAGGATTGCACAGGCGGGGGAGGAGGACTAAGCAGTTGCGCGAGAATAAAGAGGTTAGTTGCGAAGCTAATCGCAACTATCTGCCCTAAAAGCATAAAAGTCCAAGTATGTGTGATTCCACGGCGTATTCCTAACTTCTATGAGCTAATCGTCAACATGTTGCCATCACGATGTTCGGGCTTACCTTGTTGTTCCAGGTCTAAACCAAGGGCGCATGCAAAGAAGAAAATTTGGCTACTCCACCAGAACCGAGCATAACCCACGAGCGCGATTTCCCAGGCTTCTTTGAACAGTGACGTTTCTTTCAACCATAGACCCCAGTGCTTTTGCTCGGGAGTGAGATCATAATACGACCTCCACATCAACCAATTCCCGTATGATGTGTAGAAAAACCGAATCATGAAGTACCAAGTCGTCCCCAGACTACCTATGGCAAGGAGGATGAAGAGATAGACATATTTTTTGGGAGGTGGCCGTGCCGTCCTTGATTTCTGCAGAACCGTATATGTTCTGCGTAGCCGCGACACGATGTACAAAGCCAATGCGGCGCATGCTGCTAGATAGCCAAAGAAAATGGCGTAGGCGCGTTTGTTGCTATCCATCCCATAGGGTGGAGGCTCACGCCTGAATGATGGTGGTATGTAACCTGCTGGGTTCCTTGGGGGCGCCATGAGAAAGAAATCCGATTGTGAATGAAGTGAGGAATTTTGGCTTACCTGTGACGTATATATCGTTCAACAGACAAAGCAGCGAAACGTGTTCACTGCGGGTCAACGGGTGAATGTTGATTGTCGTGGATATTTTGAATTAATTAATTCAATGCCGAGCGGTTGTATGGATATGGTACAACGGTAGAGATCAAATTGACATAGCCGGTTGTCAAAACTCCGATTGCCGACGTCCTCCTAAAACGGATAGGACGAAACACGTGATGACGTTGATGGCACGTGGGCGGTGACGTCCGATATTCAAGGCCTTTAGCGTCGTTCCCCCACAACTGCCAAGCACGGCTGTCCAGAACTTCTTTCCAAAACCCCAACTTCTTCATTCTTCAATCTCATCATCTTAATTTTCCTTCTTTCGCTGACTCGCTAACATAATCATCTGTCGTGGTTCATTCTCGTGGGCACGAGATTGTGTGTCAATTGCCACTGTGAAGCTTTCATCAGGTGAATATCTGATGATGTCAACCACGGACCAACTCTGACTTTTCCACCGCGACCCCTGCCAGCAACAACGAACACTATATTATTTTCTATCTTTTCCACTGTCCAGAGTTCGACGTAGCTGACGTCACTGACGAACACAATCTCTATACATTGTGGGACACATCTTATACCAACCATGAGCGACACTCCCAACTCCGGCAGGGATACTACCCAGGACATCCAGGAAGCCAAAATCCTGTCCAAGCATCTTGATCCAAGTTACCATGCCGACTTTGATGGGACCCTAGTGGCAGAGGAAAACAGCGGAGAATCTTCGAACTCTGTAGACCAGGCTACAGCCGAGTCGTCGTTGCGACTGCTGGGCGGAGATGTCCACAGAGACCTGTACAAGATCAATGCAAGGTCCAAGCGTGCCAAACTGCATCAACGAGCGGCGACCTTTTCCCACCCATCCGATTTTGTAGAACCTGACCACGATGGACCAGCTGTTCACGAGCAACTAGTTCCAGGAGGTTTCAGGAGGCAATTCCTTGAGCGACAAAGCAGGCGTGTTAGTTACATTGCTGCTCCAGTCACCCGCAACTTTGTCTCTTTCCTCGATCTCTACGGGAGCTTCGCAGGAGAAGACTTGGCGGAAACGGACGACGAAGATGCCATTGAAGATGAAGAAGATGAAGAGGCTGGCGAGAGGAGGCCGCTGCTCCCAAGACGCAGGAGCACTAAGAGACTCCGAGGCCAAGGCGACGCGTCAAATGTGAAGACATTCTTCACCTTACTAAAGGCTTTCATTGGTACTGGCATCATGTTTCTTCCGAAAGCTTTCAAAAACGGCGGAATACTATTCTCCTCGATCACTCTCCTGGTCGTATCAATTGTCACCTCGCTATGCTTTCACCTCCTGCTACAATGCCGCAGCCAGTATGGTGGTGGTTACGGTGAATTGGGCGAAGCAATTGGTGGCAGGAGACTGCGCTCCCTGATTCTCATATCCATCACCATCTCGCAGATTGGTTTTGTTTGTGCTGGCTTAATCTTCACGGCTGACAACTTCTTCTCTTTCTTGGCGGCTGTCTCTAAGAGCTCAATGCCTGTTTCGGTCAATGCACTCATCGGTATTCAACTTGTCGCTCTTGTTCCACTCTCGTTCATACGGAATATATCGAAACTTGGACCCGCCGCTCTCCTCGCTGACGTCTTCATTCTTATTGGACTCACATACATCTATTGGTACGATATCAGCGCCATTATCTCTATGGGAGGATTCAACCCAACTATCGAGTTGTTCAATCCTCGGGACTTTACCCTGACTGTTGGTTCTGCAATCTTTACCTTCGAGGGAATTGGTCTCATTCTCCCCATCCAATCGAGCATGAAACACCCGGAACACTTCCGTAAGCTCCTATTCATTGTCATGGTCATCATTACGATTATCTTTACTTCCGTCGGTTTCCTATGCTATGGCACCTTTGGAGATCGCGTTAGTGTTGAGATTATCAACAACTATCCCCAAAGCAGCAAACTCGTCAACGCAGTGCAGTTCCTATATGCACTGGCGGTGATGGTCGGAGAACCCGTGCAGCTCTTCCCAGCTCTCCGCATTATCGAAAACAAAATCTTCGGCCATCGCTCCGGGAAAGCCGACACCCTTACCAAGTGGAAGAAGAACCTGTTCCGCACTTCGATGGTGTTGGTCTGTGGCTTGATCTCTGCCGTTGGTGCTACCAACCTCGACAAGTTCGTAGCATTGATAGGAAGTTTCGCCTGCGTGCCGTTGGTGTACATCTACCCTGCTTACCTACACTACAAGGGTGTAGCTACTAATTCCGCTGCAAAGGCTGGCGATATTGCGATGATGGTAGTTGGCGTCGTAGCAATGGTGTACACAACCTGTATCACCATCGCTCGTTGGGCAGAGACTTGAAGAGAAGAATTACGGAATGTCGGAAGTTTGAAGATCAGAGATTGGTAAAAAGCAACAAGTGAATTATCTTGATTACAATGCATACATAGCAAATGGAGTTTCGGGGGGGTTGGTTTCTTGCATATAATCACGGGCAATAAAAGGGTTGTTGTTTGAACCTGTTAGTCATTCCTTTCCATACAACCAATTGAAAGACCATTATATAAAGACTATTATGTACTCCATGGGCTTAGGTGTCGCACTGTTTTGATTATGTTAATTACGTATTCAATTAAACATTCCTACTTGCTGGCTTCCGTATCAAAGCAACATGAGTCTCACTCCCCTCCCCACCAAACCTACTCAAATCCTCGATAGTATTATTCCCCCGCTCCTCAAACCCCAATCTCTTATACAATCGCATCGCCTCGTTATCACTCGCCGTATCAAGGTATACCTCCACTCGTCTCTCATCCGCCAACGGAAACACCCACTTGATGAGCTGCGAAGCCAACCCCTTGCCCCGATACTCCTGTCGCGTGGCAATGTTCTCCAGAACTATTATCACGACACATAAGTCAATCCTTACAGGTCTTCAACGAAGAGCCAGCGTCTAAGGAGAATACAAAGGGAATTCAAACATACGGTAATGTCTCCTACCCCCCAACGTCCTCTCCCTCAACCCCCGCAAACCCACGGTGAACTCCATAATAAGATCTTTGTTACTATCGTCCGGGAGTTTATTCCTATACGCATCGTCCTCGAACTGCCTTCTCTCCTCCTTCTCTTCCAGTGTCTCTTCATCCTCTTCTCCAATTGCATCCTCCTCAGGGAGTTTCCATTGCGCAGCAGCGATCACTTCTTCCGAATCTGATAGGTCACGAATAACGCGGAAATCAACGAGCGGGTTCTGCATTTGCGAGACTATTCCGGGCGCCATGGCGTGTGCGAGTGCAGAGGGGTCCACGTGACCGAATTGGAGGCGGGTGAATGGGGAGGTCCAGGAGTGGGCGAAGATGGAGGCAATGGCGTGAGCATCGGATGGGGACGCTTTGGAGACGGTGTATGTGGTCGCCATTTTGGAAATCGGAATTGAGCGTAGCTTATTGTATGTGTTATGTAGGTTACGAGGTACGCGACGGGAGTATTTGGGAAGTGTAAGATTGCGGAGACGCTAAGATCTATTGGGATGAATATGTGTGCTACACATTCTTCGATGCATAGAGTGTGAGGAATCGATTAAGAATACAATGTCTTCAAGCATATTCCAGAATCAATTCTATTTCATTTCATTCTGTTGACCAAGTCCACTAGGAATATTTCACTTTCGATGATGGCCTAAGCCATTGCATCTCGGAAACTTAGGATCATGGGCTGGAAACGAATTGTGGTATGTCAATTGAGATAAAGTTTATGTTAAATTGATGGAAAGCGGAGACGGCATAAAAGTCCCGAAAACAATATTATTATCGGTGAACTGGCCAGCCAGAACACGATTGAACTACAATTGATACTTAAACAAACGCTGCGGCAGTAGCTATTTCTCCACTATAAAGTTCTCCCCAAATCCGGTCTGCTGCAGCCATATGCTCATCACTGCACGGAAAAGCCCGTAGAATCTTCTTAAAAGCATCTACATCCTTAATTCTCAGTCCCTCAACGCCCCGCCTCACCGCACCAATCAACCAAGTTCTCCAACTGTTTGCAGGTCCACAAGCCTCAAGACTATAGAACAGCGTCGCCAACACCACCTCTAGATTCTTCCCACGAGGCCATGCACTCGATTCATCCACACCTTCGAGAAGATCCTTGAGACGTGCATACACGGGCTCGAAATCACAACTAGGAGCCGAAGATCCCAATCGAACCTTCGCATGGCGCAGCGTCGCCCATATAAATCCTGGCGCACCCAGCGCCCAGACCTTCATCATTGTGACTGTCCCATAGTCCCCACTATGCGTAGCATGGAACTCAATCCACCGCTCGTCGGCTTCGACTGCTAGAGCCGCGTACATCGTTTCAAAGTATAAGTTGCTGAGTGTTTTCGAATCGAGCTTCCCGTGCCAGTCGGATGAAGTGGCGAGGTTTAGTTGGTGAAGTCTAATGACGACGTCGAATATGAAGGGGCTGTCTTTGGGGAAGCGCTTCATGGTTTTCCAGGATCGGAGTTGGGCTTCGTCGAGGAAGGCGAGGGGAAGTGCTTCGGCGTCAGGATATAATGTTGGCGGCCAGACGGGAGGTAGACTCAATGGGATTGAAAGGGAATATGTCGTCCTATGTCTCTGCATCAGAATGACATTGAGCTCTCAGTGTAATGTTCAACTTACCATGTGACTGCTCTTCTCACTTCCAAAGTAAAATTTTCAACTCCGCGTCTACTGACCATCTTGAGCAGTGCGTCCATATGGCCTCTTGCCTCGTTCCATTCGTTATCGAGAGCCTTTGTTTAATAAGTGACCATACTCTGTAAATTTTAAAGTTTTACCTACACATCCAAACGCCAGGATATTGACAGCGAGTACCAGAGATTCCGAGAAATCATCGCCACAACGATCCAGCGTTTCCTTGACGATACTAACGACTTTCGACCTACACCGCAACGTGTCGAAAGTAGGTTGCGCCAGACCAGTCTTCTGATCACGCAGCAAAGCATCCATGTACGATTGCGCACAAGCCGAGACCTGATCAGCGGGGAATGTGAACTCAAAGCTGAACGGAGATGCATCGGAATTGCCTGTATTTTAGAAGAGTGTCAGTCTGTAGTCGACCAATTGACTGCTTTCTCTGGAAGGCAGAACTTCCTACTCACCAAGATCGAAGTAATCTCGAATTCCATAACCAACGAGCGAATCCTTCCAAGAAGCAGACTTCCCGTCGAGCCCTGGACTTCTCGACTTCCTACCCGTGGATTCCCTGGCTCTCATCATCTCTTTGCCCTTCCTCCTATCACTGCCCACACTTGCTGAAATTGGGTCTTCTGAGGATCTATCCTGGCTATGCTGCCGTTGCTGGTGCAAGTAGTTCTTCATGACATGGCTTCGGACTTTCTTTAGTTTCCTTCTTGTTGTTCTTGGATCCTCGGTTCCTGTTAAACTGACGAACTCGTACTGTGTTGGCGACGGCGTTCGTGTGGAGGTACTGCGGGGGACTTCTAATTGAGAAGAAGGCTCCTCCTTGGAAGCGTTATTGTCCATTGCGTTGATACCAGGCGGAGTGGAACAATATGATTGTATTCATCACAGCATCATTGACTGAGGCTGTTGAAGTAGACACTTTATACATCCAACAAAGTGATACCTACCCAGCAACATCTCCTACGGCCGTGATATTTCTCAGCCGCAGCTTCATCTCGTACCTAGCTGAAGCCACTGTTCTCACGGCCGCGTCGATCGACGACGTAGCCTTCGGCGTCGCCTAGTAAGAAAGCATGGCCGAAAGATTCGGGGTTGGGGCCGTAGCATCGTGGATGAACGCATCGTCACAACGGTGAATGTCAGCTTCGAGTTCGAAATGCTCCGAGGAATATCCAGTCAAGGCAGACTTGATCGATATTCGTCGATATTCATATAGATCCATTGGCCAGAGAAGAGAACATCCCAGCTACGTACACGCAACCCGTCTCTCCACACAACTCCCTCCTCCTGCACTATCAACACCTTTCGGACGAACCCCAACCCCGGTGGACGTACCTTACGTCCGAATCCCTTCCATCACCCACTCCACTCACTTCGCGCCCCACCGAACTTCGACGTCCGTCATGGCAGATGCGATAAGCGACCAACATTACGATTGCGCATTAAGCTTAATGCTCCTCCGCTTACCGGACTTGGAAACTGCTAAGCCGGATCAGGTAATTCATTGTTTGGCGCCCTGTGAGAGACTCAGCCTCAGTGTGGCACGTAGGGTTTACGGACGTAAGGTGGGGTTTTTCGTGATTACTGAACTGTTGTGTAGTGTTTTATGCGTCACTATGGCTCAGAGAGTCTTGGAGTCAGGACGAGTTCAGTCGTTGATTGAATTCGAATCATAGTTGTTCACCGCCCGCTGCTGAGGCTGAAAACGTCTCGGAGCGCTTGCCTCCGCGTCGTCTATGAATATATCTAATCCACTACCATCATCCCATATTCACATACATCCGAACGAAAGAAAGGGATTTAAATGACATGTTCGTTATTAAGATTAAATGATTAGTTTCCGTTCCCTTCTTTCCAGAGCACGTCGGCTTTGTGGGTGCCAATTGATCGGAAGTCCAATCTAAAAACGGCGGAAGGAAGGAGAAGGGAAACGGAACAGGGTGGGAATGATGCTAGATCCTAATTCGGCGCCTGGTCCTGAGTGAGGTTCTTTTTAGATTGCTTCGAGAAGGTACAGGGAGAGGGAAGGCCCTTTTCCCGATATTAACATGCCCTTGTCTGTTCTTTCGTTCACTCCTCTAGACGAGTGACTGATACTTCTGAATTTTCTGTCCAGATTTATGGATAGATACATCAATTGGGAACAATGTAAAACCAACACTGACCAATTTAATCTTTCTATCGATTCCATCCTCCCATTTCTGACGCGGAGAAGAAAAGAGAGAGTGGGGTAGATGCAATATCGGTCATCTTTCTGGAAGACGGATCGACGGGGGATGGTCGGAGATCTAAGGCAATGTCACGATATTACAATCTCGGAAACGTTTTATCCTCCCAATCTATGAGTACTCTCCTACTCCACTCTGCCCTTCCCCTTCTAGACCCCAGATCTGAGGGAAAGATCATTAAAAGGCCTCCACCCCCTCATCCCACCCACCACATCAAACAAACAAACATCCAGGCGACCCCCAGAATGCTCCTCCGCAAAATAACGACCCTCCTATCCCTCGCGTCCCTGGCGTCAGCCAAGTTCTTCTACGTCGGCGTCGCGCAGAGCTCCGGCGAATTCGGCGTCTGGAGCCAGAACAAGCAGAAGGGATTCGGGCTACCAGGGAGGTTCGGCGTCGACTACTCGTTCATCGACAAGAAGGGCATTGACGTCTACGTCGACCAGAACAATGTAAGTTTCGACTCTTCCTTCTCTTTGTCGCCACTTTCTTTCATAGGAGGACTTGTAGATTGGGTTGAAGAGAGCCTGGGGGAAGCGAAGGGGTGGGTTTTTGTTGATGTCCGGGATTTTGTAGGGAAGATTTTGAAGGGACTGATACATACGACCATTGGACTATGAAAACAGGGCTTCCCGTTCGCTCAGCCATACTTAAGCATAGTACCGGCGGACTAGTAGTTGAGTGGGTGACCATCAGCGAATCCCCGCTGTTGTATGTTTTTTGCCATTTTTTTGCCATTTTTTTGCCGGTTCGAACGTTGTGTGGGGCTGGCGAGAGACGATGATGGGTGGTGGTGGTACTTGGTGAAAGCTGACGTTGAGGCTGAGGGAACTCGCAGGTCAATCTGTTTCGAATCGCGTTTCTGCTCGAGAGGATGTGCCCTGTCGCCGGGGGTCTGGGGGCAAAGTTCAACGAGACTCATTTCGGGTACTTCAAGGAGGCTGTTGACTATGTCACCAAGACGAAGGGTCAGTTGGTGTACCTGAACCCCGGTGTGAGGGTGTAATTGTTGCTGACGGTATGATCTCCAGGCGCATATTGTATCTTGGATCCGCACAATTGTGAGTCTCCCCAAATCTGACACTGACCTCAAACTCCACGGGAGACTAACTGCATCGCCATTCCAGACATGAGATACAACGACCCATCCCAACAACCCATGACGGGCAGCATAATCGGCGACACATCCGACAAAACCGCCGCCACGACCGCGCAATTCGGCGCCTTCTGGGGCGAACTCGCCCTCCGCTTCAAGGACAACGAAAAGGTAATCTTCGGCCTCATGAACGAACCCCACGACATGGCAACCTCCCTCGTCATCCGCAACAACCAAGCCGCCATCGACGCGATCCGCAAGTCCGGCGCGAAGCAACTCATCCTCGCGCCGGGAAACTCCTGGTCCGGCGGCCACTACTGGACGAAGGGTAACGACCCCAACACGCAGCTCACGCAGCTCAAGGACCCGGAGGCCAACCTCGCGTTCGATATTCACGAGTACCTCGACGAGGACTACAGCGGCTCGCACGCCGCGTGCACGAAGCCCGCGAGCGAGCTCGATGGCGTCACGAACTGGCTCAAGCAGAATAAGTACAAGGCTATGATTACCGAGTTTGGCGGTAGCAACACTACGCAGGTGCGTCCCTCCCTTCCTCCTTCTTTCTTCATTCTATTTTTTCTTTCCGCGAATTTGAAGACTCGGTACTGACGCCGTGAACGGGAACAACAGTGCGCGCAGATGCTCTCCGACATGGTGAAGTACATGGACCGCAACGACGTGTACATCGGCTGGACGGCGTGGGCGGCCGGCCCCTTCTGGGGCAGCAACAGCGCGTGCTGCACCGACTCCAAGCAGTGGGGCAGCCTCGAGCCGACGAGCAAAGCCTCGGACGGCAGCCCCGGGCTGTACGAGACGGTGTGGTTGAAGACGCTGCAGCCGCTCGTGCCGAAGATGCTGGTGTGGAGCGGGGTGTCGAGTGTGAATGGGGGCGCGTTGACCGCGAAGCCGGCGGTGTAGACTGGACTGGGGATGGGCTTTTTGGGAGGCTGGAATGGGGGTGATGGGGTGAGTGTGTGAAGATGTTAGGTATAAGTGGATGGGGAAGAAACGTACGCGGCCAAAGTCCAGTTCCCTTTCTCACTTATATGGTACAGAGGGTAGGCAGCTTCATGTATCTTCTATACTTGAAGTCGCTATTCAAGAGTGTCCTGTAGCCAGTAAAAGTCTTAAAGCGGTCTCAAACCCCGGCGAAATGAATGCACTGTCGTGTGCATAAAACGTTAGTATGGGGCCAGCCGGACGTGCCTACCGTATATACCTAATATTCAATCTCAAGCTCGAGTTAAAAGACCACGCTACCCACTCATTGCCATAGGACATGCCATCGTAGACATTCGGACATCGCAAGGTTATGAAAGATAAAGATATGGATGAAGTATTACGGCGGAAAACCACATCTATTAAGTTATATATATCACTCTCGAAAAGCCCGCAGTCAAGAGGAGGTAAGCGATGATGATGATATGACGATAGCAACGCCGATGAAAATGCCGCCCATGACAAAAAAAAAACAAACGTTATCCAACAACACCGGGTTCTTTTTTTCCGTCCAGAACGTGTGTGCAAAGGGAAGCGAAGCGCTCAATGTGATGATGATGATGATGATGATGATGATGATGACGATGCGAGAGGGTGTGTAAAATGCAAGCAAGTAAGCCTCTTAACTTTAGTCTTCTCTTCTGATATAGTTGAACTTTTGTTAAAGACGCCATAATGGAGCCAGGGAGTGGGGGGGATCTATATTAGATCCTTCCGCCCTCGACGATCTCCCTGCCGATCAGTTCTAGCTCCCCGCTTTCCGCTGTACGCCTACGCTCGAGGACCCAGCGGTCGCCGCCAAGTTCGTCGTGCTCGCGGACGTAGGTGACGCTGTCGGAGCCCTTGCGGCTGTGTCCGGCTTTCCAGCCCGTGGAGCCGCCGGGCGTCATTGGGGATGTTGTCGAGATGGGCGAGATGAGGCCGAAAGAGCCGCGGTGCTGGGCTGAGGCTGATGCTAGTGGCGATGGGAGACTCAGGTCGATGGACTGAGGATCAGAGGGTGAGTAGGTGGATGCCGATTGATGGCCTGTGTGAACATTCAGGGGGAGTGGTGGAGAAGGAAGGGGCATCGTTGGTGGTGACGATTGAAGAGGGACGTTTGCGAGAGGTGACGAGACTGCCATCCTGGGGGCGTGCGGGTGTAGAGGCAGTATCTGCGGCAATGGAGGTATGTCGTCCCTATCGGAGGACAACGGGAGACTCGATAATGAAGAGCATTCCTTTGCGGTCAGGGTAGGACTTTCGGGCTTGGTCATATTTGGATCATCCTCCTCATCCGAATATTCTCCCGACATGTCGTTAATTGCATCTAGAACGTCATCATCGTACCCATCGTCTATACCACCCGAATCGTCGCTTTCAGGCACCTCCGAGGAATCAGGATGTGAGACGGTGTTGTTGGGCAGCGGGCTGGACGTTCGCGGCAGGAATTGCATGCCCATCGGACTCGAATTCCTAGGACTGTTGCCCGTCGAGCTAGGTGTACCACCCAGACTGGCCGTACTGCCACCGAATGTGCCCTTGCGCAGCTTCATCAGGGAATCCAGGCTCATGTCTGGCTCCTCCTCTCTCCAGCCATAGGGACTCATTCTTGCCAGTTGTGCCAGTCCAGGACTTTGAATTGGCTGTTGACTATCCCGGAAATGATTCAGACTGATGAAAGAATTGCGGGTACTGTATTCACTCCGCTCGGTAATAGGTGTCAGGTTTGGCTCTCGGACTGCGTTCCGCCCACTTACACTGCGGCCCAAGCCAGACGAGCCGAAGAAACCACCATAAGTATTCATCGTGTCTCCCTGTGCATTCGCGTAGAATCCAAACTCCTGTCCATAGAAGCCTTCGTAATCATTCGCAAGTGCTTCTGCATTGGCAGCAGCAATCATGGGGTCATCTTCGAGGGTAGAATCGTAGTCGCTGTAGTCGTAATCGTCCATGAAACCAGAGCTTACGCCGTATAGGTCATCGTCATGTGGAAAGCCTGCGGTCTCTTGGCTGAAGCGGCCGTCATCTGGGATAAGGCTCGGGCGTGAACCACTCTGGGAAGATGCATCGTCCATCTCAGAGGGTGGATGTGCACTGTCAATGCTTGGCTTGCGTGCGAATCGACCCTCTGCCTCAGCACGGTTGGCGGCGTCGGCCAGGGCGCTGTGGTACGTATTGATGTTGCTGAAGTCTACAGTTGGCCTTTGATGAGCCATGGATGTTTTGTGAGCGAGGGACGGTTCAGATTTGTTTATCTGTCGTGTCAAGTCATCGTCTGCCTCGTAGCCAGCATCCAAGGAGGCTTCGGCTGGTAGTTGTGATGACAGAGCTGCATTATCAAGTAATTGCTCTTCGGTTGGCGACTTGACTTTTCGGTCGAAAAGAGGACCCGTTGGGTCGTCGAATACGTTTTCATCAAACTCTCCAGCATCCATGTCTCCCTGTTCTTCAATCATACCATCATCGAAATACATATCATCACCCAGATCATCCTCATACCCCAGCATATTTGAAGCAGCAGCACTGGTGTCATCCGGTGACTCATCATTCGCTTCCGCCTCAAGCCCTCGGTGAGCATCGACTATACCGAGGCCGTGAACTGCATCTGCGGGCGCGTTTATTTGATTCAGATTATACCCGACACCAGGTATGTGCATGTTCTGTGTCATGCTCTCTGACAGCGCGAAGCCAATTACATTGCCATTGGCGTCGTACGGCGTTTGTGGCTCCCCAGCCATTCCGAGAGGGCTCATTGGGTTGTTTGCGTTTATTGAAAGTGAGGAAAAGTCAAAGCCACCCATACCTGGGGCCATCGTCGGATCGCCATAGCCGTCGTCATCGCCGAGCATTGGGATCTCCTCTTCATAACCGCCGTCCATGTCAAAGTCGTCCATATCTTCGTAATCGTCGTAGGCGTCGTCCATTGAATTTGTAGACATGCGGATCTCCTTGGATGCCTTCTCCGCCGCTTTCTGTTTGTGTCTATCCTCCAACTCCTTCTCTTGCGAGTTGTCCGTGCCGGCGATCTGGAAGCTGAATCTAGACGCTCGACTTGTGAGGTGATTTGGTAAACCAGCGGGTATGAATGATGGGTCTGATAGCGACGGAGCTCTCGACCTTGCTGGAGGCGGTGTTTTGGTTGACTTCCTTTTCCTGGGCGAGATCTCGGTGGGTGCATCGGCCATTGTGGGAGTCTCCATGACTGGGGACAGTATCGAAGATTCGAACTCCACGGCAGTTTCTTGTATGACTGGTGGCGGAGATTGGGGTTGCTGTCTTGGAGGAGGGGGAGGCGAGTCTTTCGGGAGTGGAGGTGGTGGTGGAGGCGATTTAGCAGAGGGCGAGTTCCATGAATTCCTCTCCGGCGGTGGTTGCCATGAGTTCCTGGCGATGAAGCCCTTATTCGCTAGCTGCTCTGCTCTGATGGCGGCTTGTGACTGTTCGTAGCTGGTGTCATCGTCAAAATGTTCGCGGAACACGGGTGTATGCTCCCGTTCTACTTTGGCAGGGCTCTGCCGACCGTACTCTACACCATTATCGACTTGCGCCTGGTCACTGCCTCCATATGCATTGTTGTGAGAAAAGTTCCGGTTCTGGCGCGGCGCGCTGAAGTCATGCACGATACGGCCACGGATACTGGGATCGTAGTTGTCTGACATGGGTGGGACGATCGTGGAGGGGTTTCGATGGGTGACAATTGCTTCGTCTGATAGAGGGTCCAGCGCCGGTCCGGACCTTCGACGCATCAGCAATGACATGGGATTCCTGATGTTGAGCCGGGATTTGGTGGACCTCCCTGCCGGTGCTGTGGGTGGGGGTGTCGCCATTTGGTTATTTGATAGCTTGTCACTCGTCCCGCTCCCGAGCGATGTCTGAGATCTGGAGTTCGTCGAGTACGACATGTTGGTGGGGGAAAGGAACGACGAGGATGACGCTGGCGGTGTCTCTGAGTTCTTGGACTGTTCCACCACCTGAGTGAGACTTTGTCCCGGAGAACGAAGGCCGGTGATGGAGCTGGCGTTCGTTGATCTGGAAGACGGGCGCAAACTCTCGAGTCCCGGAGACAGTTGTTCGCGCCGAAGCTGAGTAGGGGAGAGGAAACTTCTCTCCTCCACGACGGGTGACGACACCGCTCCCGTTGATCCATGCGAATACTGGGGACTGGCAAGGCTGGGCCTTGGCCCATTCTTCTTCACTCGAGATGCAACGCGCGGGATTGGTGGAAGCTGGGGAGGATAGGGCGATACGGGGGACGCAGATGCGAAGCTCGCATTGTCAGGTATGCGCGGCGACGTGAAGTACTCTGGCGACTGGACGGAGGGCGGGGCGAAATTGGGAGAGGTTATATCGGCGACTGCGGGATCTGGCGAAGCGATGGTGGAGGAGCCCGAAGCATTGCGCTTGCCATGGCCGGGCCTGAGGTAGGAAAAGACATTCGAGGGTGCCATGAGGGGCGGACTCGAGGGGCGACTCGTGGTAGGTGGGAAGAGGCCGTGAGCGCGGGCGGCGTGGGGAATTGGGAATATGACGAAAGTCGAAGGCGACGACAACAACAACGAAGGGATTAAGCTGACAGCGAGGTGATTGGGAAAGGGGAGGTGAAAAGCCCCTCAGCGCTCAGCGAGGCCATGAGCCAGCAGGAACCATCGCCAGTTGCATGCGGGAGTTGTTGGATTGGAGAGTTGCGAGAGAGTGTTGAGTGGGCAGTTGGGAAAATGTTGTCTTAGACTATTCCGGCGTGACACGGGCTCGGGAGGCGTGGAGGGTTGCGACGGCTGCGGACAGGGCGACGATTCGCGAGAATGCTGTGCGCCGGTGAGACGGGAAGATGGATGGAGGTGTTGCGCGTGGGAGTGGCTTGCCCGTAGTCGGTATGTGTATGTGTATGTGTGTGGTGAACGAGTGAAGATGAGTGAGTGTGGTGGGAGTGAGGCAGCTCGTGGGTGGTCGGGATCTTTCCCAGGTTCTTGTTGGCTGTTGCTTGTACGGTACGAGTAAGAGTATAGTATGGTGGGTATATACTGTTGACTCGCCCTACAGGAGGGAAGGATAGTTAATAGATATTATTTAGTCAACAGTATGATTCCTCTGCTCTTAATAGTCTCTCTGCATGGCTCCTATTCTTCCTTTCAATAAGACATCAGACGTTATAGAACTGTAGACCGTGCTACTTGACCCCCCAATGTTGAGGATGTGGGATGGCATCTAACTTACTGTGTAATTCGACTCTAAAATTCCAGGGATTCAACGCGCGTTTCGACAGGGATCATGATTACGCTGCCCTTTCATTTCCATAAAATTCCATCCAATCCAATTGCTCGACTTTTCTTTTTATTTTCCATCTATCTTTATCCCATTCTAGATCGATCATGGTCCATGGTACTCTAATAAGTAGATTGTTGATCTATCTACCCGTCATGCATCTCCACCAACAACGAACATCTTGATGAACCATCAAGTATTCGAACAATTACACATTTGCGAAATAAAACAGTTCAGCAGTAAAGGAAGACAATAATGAATCTGCATCACAGACCTTTTCCCCCTGAGAGGATGCCAAAACCCCGGTACGCATAACCCATCCTGTCACCCGTGACGTCTCGTCGCCCGGCCGTCTAGAACCATTTGTATACAAATGCCAAACCCACAGACCACGATCTCGCATGTATCTACCTAGGTACCTACCTAAATTACTCGTAGACATACATACTGCTAGACTCTGGTATGACTCGTGCTATATACTAACCAATTTTCGATTCTGTATGTACATGTATGGGTTCGATCATTGAAGATTTATATGAATGTACAGTTTCTCTATTTCTCTTTCAATTGCTTTCTACGAGATTGTATGTCCGTCTATACGTCGAAACCAATTAACAATGCGTGCAGCCTCAACATTATCCCTCATATCGGAATCATCTACACTGCTGGCGGCGGCGACGACGAGGAGGCCGCAGGCGCCCAAGTAGGCACCAGATCAGGAGCATTCAACTTCGTGTTATACGTAGCATTCTTCGGCGTCACCTCCCACTGGACCGTCCCATTCCCCTCTCTATAGTCCGACGTCGGGCACCCCACGGTCCTGTACCCCAGATTCTCGCCCTCGATCTTGACCAACCCCGTCGCGATGTCCAGGCGAGCGAGCGCCCGCTTGAATATCTCCAACGATGCGAGCGGCTGGTAGAAGGGGACCTCGTGGCCGGCCTCGTAGATGCGGAGGAAGGAGAAGAGGCCGCTCTGGCGGACTTGGCCGTGCACGATGCCGTCTGATGTCGTGAGATTGACAAACCCGGCGGATTCGTAGCCTGGTGCTGCTACCTTTGCTGCGGCGGCTTGTCCGCCCATCCAGTTGCAATTGACGTCACTATATTGAAAAGTTAGTAGAGTACCATAGACGTAGGTAGGTATCTCGAAGCAAGTCGGGAGGAAACAGAACGTACGTATCACCATAGTACAGCATAACCTGCACCCCACTCTCCAACAACGTCCTACACGCCTCCAGCGTCCCCGCCTCCCTCCCATCATCCCCCGTATTATCAAAAGCCGAAGCCACAGTCGGCGACTGCGTCGAGTAGTTCTGATACGCGCCGATCGCCGCCTGGACGTCCGCCCTATTCAAATACGGCACGTAGAACCTGTACGGAAACCTCAACGGCAACAAGTACCTGAAATCCAAGTCGTCCCTGCCAGTCAGCTCGTCGATGTACAGTTGCACTTTGTCGAGGCAGAAGTTGTCGGCGCGCGAGCACACGGAGTTCTGCCCCGTCTCCGCGCACAGTTGCAGTTGGTCGATGCAGTTGCCCTCGCCGTAGACGGCGTTGTAGAGCTGCGCTTTCACGGACGCATTGAAAGGGTCGAAGTCGTACGTGTTGCCCGGCTCGACCATGAACTCGTAGTACGACGGGAACTGCACGAGGGGATCCAGCCATCCGTTGCCGATGAGCACGTTCTCGAGCTGGATCTTGTGGGCGCCAGGGATGTCCTTTGCGTTTTGCTCGACGATGTAGGCGTTGTAGATGGGGGCGTAGTGTCCGCCGTACGATTCCGTGGCGAAGTTGAAGCCGGAGCGAGAGTACTCGGGGAACGCGCCCATGAAGCCCTGGAGTGTCTTCCACATGGCGGGCGCGCCGTTGTGCGTCGAGTTCGCAGTCATGGTGTGGAATGGGCGCGACCATGTACCGCAGGTGCCGAACTCTTCGGCGTAGTCGGGGCAGGTGTTGTTTGGTAGCTGGATTGTGTATCCAGCGTCCTTATACGCAGGAATCGGCACTGAGTACGAGAATCCCGTTGTTGTCGGTTGGTCGATGAATAGCTATTCCAATATCATCAGCTCACTCTTACAAAACACCCCCAATATCATACCAAGTCAAGTCAAGTGAAGTCAAGTAATTCCTCAACACTGAATCCCCAATTCAAGTTCGCTTCTACGAGGGGAGGAAGAAGATGGAAACATACCATATTCGAAGCATTCGTCCACGAGTATGGATTATTCACCACCTCGCCATTAATATCAATACTACACGGCCCCAGCTCCTCAAACAACCCCACCATCGACGAGCTCCCTGGCCCGCCATTGATCCAAACCGTCAGCGGCGCAGTACTGGGATCCTGATTCCTCGCCTCGAAGAACCACCTGATCACCCCGTTAGCAACTCATCAAACGTAGAGGGGAAAGGGGTGCGGAAGTGACGAAGGGAAATGGAGGGGAGTTTTACCAGAAGATATGCTGATCCTCCTCGACGTCCGCGTATCCAGAGAAGCTCTTCACATTCGGATCAAGCTCGCATATACCGGGTGGGACTTGCTTGTACCGCACGTCGACGCCTGCGTAGCCCGTCTTCGTGATCAGGTCTGTCGGCGGGGAGACGAACTGCGCGGATGACGGGGCGAGATGAATGAGGAGGTAGAGGAGCGTGGATAGCACCACGGGGCCTCTTGTGGGTAATTTCATCGTTGGTGGTTTGTGGTCTTGATATTGAGAATGGAGCGAAGGCATACAGATCTTGTGTAAAGACACTCAATTCGTGTAATCGCGCTCACGATAACACAAGAGACCTTGAATATATCTCTTAGGAATCGAGAAAATCACTATAAGATCAACACAAGAGTCGCTCAATCGCATTAGAAGGCATTCGATCCTACCGTATATACCCTCATATATACCTGCATGATTCCGCAAAAAAAGTCTATCTACTTACACTCACCCATACGACTTACCCGCAGCCCAAACCAGCACCGGCGATCGCAAGTGAAGCGGAAAGAAACTAAAAAATGGTCTATCCGGTACCGCAACTCCAAGATTCGAACGATGCATGCCGCCGTCATCGCGGTTGTACAGTACAATTTGCGGCTTTATGGCCAAAAGAAGGCACGAGACTGATAACAAGCAGACCAGAACAGCTGTTACCAGGAAGCCAATCATGAGGAGGGCTGGCGGCGCCGATTCCGAATTCCGAGTTCCGATCTCCCCAAACCCTACAACTCAAATCATCCATGGAGTATGGAGAGGGAAGGTGGTTGATTGCGGCTATTTAACCCAATAAGGAAACCGTGATAGTCGGATAGTTTACCTAGTAATGATCAATCATATAGGTCGGGATTTCGCAGCTTTGGTCGACTGATGTTCTAGGGCTAACGCTAGAAGGGGCAGGTGTAGCTTACCTTGCCTAACTTGTTTGCTTTGCTTTGCTAGGATACGAGTACGAAGTGTCGAAGTTTCTTAATAGTTAAGAGTCGAGAGTGGTTTGCGGGGTAAGATTGGTGAGTTCTAGTAGCTCAGGTTAGGTACAGAGGGTTGGCAAGTCGGGCTGGCCACCTGCTAACTTCATGTATCTTCTATACCTAAAGTGTCTACTTAAGAATGTACTGTAGCCAGTAAACAATCTTAACTGTTTGCGATAAACCTTGCTAAGACACTGTTGTAGGCATAAAATACTAGCATGGGGCCAGCCCGACGTGCCAACCCTCTGTACCCAGGTAGCAAGCTAGTGAACGGGTCAGTGTGATAGCAGTCTACCTTTTTTACTTATAGCTACGGACGAAAGAAGGCACTGCGAGCGGCGTGATTGGAGGAGACGGATACGAGGACTTTGAGTGGATGCCGACTCTGGCCTTGAGCGGTGGGGTTATGGGCGGGATGAGACTTGTCGAGATGTGTAAGATAGAGCTTGGATTATTGATTAATGATTTAGAATCCGACATCGCTCCTGGGGTTCGTGTATGGATGTTGGATAGGAGTGGGTAACTAGAGAGGAAAGAGAGGTGTAGGGCGTGTTAGTTTAAAGCGTGGAGATGGTAAGTTGCAAGGAGTAGCTCTTTGTCATGAAGAACAGAGGTGCATATTTACTACTTGTTCTTGTACGATAGTTCCTTGTTGGCTATCTGTATCTGATCTGATGAGATCTCGCTGCCATGAGTATACATCGATTCATAATCATTCATTCCTCCATCCAGCCATCCCAAAACGCCTGCTACTCCATCCAATCGTCTGTGAAAGCTGTGGAGGGTAACTACAGCACTGTTCCGAAGCCGAAGGTCGTCTTGATGCTTCGGATGTAGTATTCACTCCAGTTGCCCTTGGTGGGCTCCTCCTGGCCGATGGGGACACCCTTCCACTCGACTCTCATCACGGTCACCGCGTCCACGTCGTTCTGGTCGAACCAGAGGGAGAGAGTCGAGAAGTGACCGGCAGGCCATTGTGCGAGACGCCACTTCTGCACAATGTGTGTAGGCTCCTCAAGCTCAGTGAACTCTCCCGAAACGTTTCCGCCGAACAACTCGAATTTGCCTCCAGGCTGAGCACCAGTAAATGTCTTGGGAGGAGCACGAGTGAACGCCGCTAGCCTTTGAGGATCGGTGAAGGTCTTGAAGAGTTCAGCGGCAGTGGTGCGGAACTCTGTTGAGTCGGTAATGGTGGTTGTGTTGACCAGCTTTCCTGAGCTAGCTTGTATTGCGCTTGATGAAGCAGTGGCCTCGGAAGACTTGTTGACCGAAGAGCTTGAGTAGACCTTGGGCGTGCTGAATCCACTGGACGGGTTGGTACCAGGGGCATGCTGAATGTCTTTTCCGTGCTCGGTGATCAGAGCCGGGCCTAGCTTGGCGAGGCTCTTTCGAAGCTGGGGGAGGATGTCGGAGCGGACGAGGTCCTTCACGGGTTGTTTGCTCTTCTCGTCTGAGTAAACATCTATCTCAAACTGCGAACGTAGGTCAGTAAATCACACACGACGAGAGCACATAAAGACATTGGGGTTGAAGGGAACATACGACATACTCGTCTTCCTCTGTGTCGTGGGCGACCTCTGGGACAACGATGGTGCCGCTGGCTTCTTCACCTTCTTTGTTCTTGCCTGGAGACGATGTCAGCCAGCTGAACGAATGCATAGAGAGATTGAGAATAATTTGGTTTCAATTGATTTGTACCTACCCGAGTATTCAAGCTTTAGCTTTACATCGAACAGAGTAATGACCTTGCCCTTGCGCTGGCTAACATCAACGTCGCCATCCATGCTGACAACCTTATCGATCTTCGCGGTAACACCATCCTTCTCGGCAGCTACTTGTGGCAGCTCAGTATCTAAGAAGTCCTTTGCCCACACTGAAACATCCTTGTTCACCCAATGCCAATTGTTCGGGTTGTGCAAAACCATCGTGAGCGATGAGTATGTATTCACCGAGGCGGAAAATTTTTCTGTTCACTGTTATCAGCAAGATGTTCCCTTTGAGAATGCGATGCAAGATATTGAGGTGAAGGATAGTCAGATCGATGGAGACTTTGCTCCGCAAGCTGATCCGCATGTAAAGAGTACAAGTCTTCTCGGCCTGGTGCCAGCTGGTGTATCATCATTGGAAAGGGAGGGGAAACATGTTGATAGAGAGTTCCGAACTTACCTATGGCAATGTGGCAGGATTCTACAGCTCTGTGAAGGTTAATGAAGGAGGTAGCGAAGAGTGCAGAGGGGAGATTGTGATTGAAGTAGTGGTGAGAAGAGAAGTTTCGAGAACTTGAAGAAGGTCTGCCGCCAAGACAATGGAGCTAGTCCCCATAACGGGCCGGGGTATCTCCGACGTCCCCTTTCCAATGTGCAAGATACCCACTTGTAGGAGTCCAATTACATGCCACCATGAATGCTTTACTTCAGAGCAAAAATGCCGTTCTTGGAAGCAGTGTAGCTAGGCCTTGCTACAGAATTAATAGGTTTATTTTCACTGTTATAAGATACGCTACTCTAAATTCTGTTCACACACTGCATATCCAGTCTTTGTTGTGTTACCTCGTGCCCCTCTTTGTTCCCCTTCGATAATCTAGAGGACACCTGGGTAGCTTCTTCGACACCTACAACTAATTCCAACACTTCCTTACTTTGATTTCGAAGCGTTATTTGTTTCCGAATTACTTTTTAGAGAATGCCATCATCTTCCTGCAATAACATAACCATACCGAAGGATGGTAAATATCACGTTGACCCATCAAACCCAATGCACATGGTGAGGTACTTGGAAGCGTGGTACCCACCTGGAGTATCAGAGAAAGACTTTCTATGGGGTGGCAACACCGCACAGCTAGCACTACTTGCAGACAATACTGTACTAAAGTACGCCTGGGACAGAGACGACGGTCGCGCGAAGAATTGTCTCGAAGTGGAACATTCAATTCTATCAGCACTTGGAGATCATGAAAGGATCATAAAGTACTTAGGGAAGCACGAGTACGGCCTTCGATTCAAGTTCGCAGCTAATGGAGATGTACGCCGGTACTTGACAAGTCGAAATCCTAGCGAAAGCTCAGAGCAGCTACGAAGGAAGTGGGCGAAGCAGGCCGCTGAAGCAGTAGCTTTTATCCACAGCGAAGGCGTTATCCATTGCGACATACATCCAAATAATTTCCTTCTTGACGAAAACCTTGACATTCAACTCTGCGATTTCGCTGGATCTGTATTCGGTCATCTAGATGGGGGCGCTATGGAAAGCATTCGATTTTTCCTGCCGAGGGATCCAATGACCACACCAGACATCAAGTCAGATTTATTTGCACTAGGGTCTACCATCTATTTCCTAATGTCTGATCGTGAGCCATATAGCAATCTGATAGAGGAAGAAGTGACAGCTCGATATTCAAGAATGGAATTTCCAGATATTCGAAGATACCCGTGCGGACGTGTTATTGAGGCCTGCTGGAAAGGCGACTACCGAAGTGCACAAGAAGTGGTAGAATCCATTCTTGCACTATCTGATTGAAAGAGCTCATACATTGGTTTACAGTAATTGAAGACCATTTTATTGCAATAAGACTCACATAACTACGTCATCGACGCAGCTAAGCCTGCAAGCTTCATGCCCAAGGCTACGTACATATCTGGTTGTTTAGATTTCGAACATCATCTGACACTAAGTTTCTAACCACCATGACAATTAGAGTAATCGAGTTTCGAGGAAACGGAAAGGCTCGAGATACATCCCGCTCTTATTGCCACCGCCCTGACGTGGGGCGGTGGGGACCAATGCCTCAATACCCGTGTGTCGGCCGAATCCGGGATGAGGAATCCGATGAATAGTAATCTATCAAACATTTAAACAACAACTGCATCTTTTGCCTATAGCAGCTTTTCAAAACATCACCATTGCAACCTTTGCTTATGAACAAATCAAAAATGACAGACGTAAAACCCCGCACAGACTTCACAGCCAAACGCCACTCAACAACCTACGACTACATCTCCCCATTGAACCTAGATCTCTCTGGCAAAAACGTCGTAGTGACAGGCACAGCCTGGGAAGACGGCGTCGGATACGCTACAGCGACCGCGTTCGCACGTGCAGGCGCGTCCGCGATAGCAGTCCTCGACCTACACGGTGTATCAGACGAGCTTGTCGCTAGACTGAAAGCCGCCGCAACGGAGGCTGGGCGTCCAGAGCCGGTCGTAGTGAGCTATAAAGTCGACATCTCGAATCCTGAACAAGTCCAGGATATGCATAGAGATGTGGTAGAGCGCTTCGGTGGGCGGATTGATGTTGTGGTCAATAATGCGGCGCACATGGAGCCGTATACGCCGTTCTTGGAGTCTGACCCCGATGTGTACTGGCGGACTTGGGAGGTGAACGTACATGGTCTCATCAACATGGCGAGGAGTTTCCTGCCGACACAGTTATCGTCTCGCGAGAATCACAATGCGCTGTGCACGATGATCAACGTAGCTTCGTCGGGCGCGCTGAGCGTTCGGACAGGAAGCAGCAGCTATCGAACTTCGAAACTCGCGGTTGTGAGGTGGACTGAGACATTGCAGCTCGAGCATGAGGATAGGGGGCTTCTGACGTTCAGTGTCAATCCTGGGGCAATTAAGACTAAGATCACAGCGGGCACGCCGGAACCAATTAGGAATAGGTTGCCGGATCGTCCAGATATCGCGGGTGATACGATTGTGTGGTTGGCTGCTGAGCGGAGAGAGTGGTTGGGTGGAAGGTATGTAAGCTGTCCATGGGACATGGAGGAGCTAATGAGTAGGAAGAAGGAGATTGTTGAGGGAGATAAACTGAAATTGAAGATGGGTTTCTAAGGTGCATCTAGCTATACAGTAACAACCGACATCACAGAAACATCTGATTTTCAAGTATTTCTTGCGCTCCTACAAAAAGGAAAGCACTAGAATGTCTCCATTAGATAAGTTTAACTGGTTACATATTTGATTCTACTTGCCTTGCAATAGCGCACTCCTTTGGAACCACTCAAGATCTAACAAAGATCCGTCGGAGCGACATTGGTGAGTAAGGAATATTAAAGATGTTGTCGTCGTTGTGAGGTATATTAAAGAGATCGGCTACTTTAGTAACCACCCAGTATCGATGGACTTCGATTGGCTTGTCTGCCCATTCTTCTCGTCTTTCCCTGGGACCATTGGGAGCATCTTGGATATGTTAACGCTGACAAGAGAATTCAAAAATTTGAAACTGGCCACTCACTTATGCGTGCTGTTTCACCGTATCTGCGATTCTTAAATGCAAGGACGATGGAAGCCATATCAAATGCTGCAAATCGACTGAAGCACTCACTCCCTATCTTGACCGCAAGATCTATCTCCTGGTCAGTCGTTCCTTTCTCCCCTGACCAGTTTCGACGCAACTCTATAACTCGTTCGGTCCATTTCTGACCACCTCTGGCGTCCTTGAACTCGGGATACAATTGAAAGAGTCCGGCCTGTATTAAGTGCTCTAGAGAGACTACGCAGGATCGATTTGTATGGTTTACTGCTCCTTGGGAGAGGAACTCGCCATGACAGAAGCCTTCTTGCCTGAGTCGGAACTTGAAAAACTCTTCGGTCGGATCTTCTTGTCCGGTATTCGATTCGCGTGCGTTGACCTTCGATTTGCACGCGTTGATTAACCAGGTATCTCGCGCAAATTGTCCCGGGGGAAATTTGTTTGTATCAACTACACATATCTTGATATCAGATGGACGGCATTTACGGTACTGGAGGCTCCAAAGTGCATATTGAATAGCGACGAGTAGGGAGCTAGTCCAGGATGTGAGATTATTGGATCTCTCCCTGCCAGAACATCTTTTAGTTAAATGTTGATATAGCAAACCTGCTGCTTCATGCCTTTCAAAAGCTAGAAGATCGATTCGGCTATACTTTTGTGGTCCAACAATGCTTGCTGTAGAAGCTACCACACTCTCGCCATCCCTTCCTGAGTTATCCTCATCGAACGTCCGGAACAAGTACTGAGGGACAGCTTGGAAGCTCTCGAAGCTCTGAGACTGTGCAAAAGAACTTATCGGTGGGTAGAATAGTGTTGGCCCGGCCGGTATTTTGCTCAGCACCCTAACCCAAAAATTGATCCAACTCCGCCGGTGTATATTTTCACCTGGATCTCTTTCCTCGGCTATTGCTCGAAAGATGTGGAAGAGCTCTGGGCATTCTGAACGGGATTCTTCAATTGGATAGAAGTACTCATCGCCACGGAGAATTCCAAAAGGGCTAGCAGCTTGCTTGTAGCACTCCTCGGCAGTTCTCCACAATATGCTTTGATCGTTGGTTCCAACAAGGATTTCTCGAATGATCTCTCTAATCTTGTCGTCAAAATGTAAAAGCAATTCCTCAACTGTGCTAGTCATGGCTTCGCTTCCGAGTGATTTGAGCCCCATGATAACAGAACGTGCTCTAGCTTCGTTGAGCGCATCGATAGTAGTATTCACACTTGAAGCAATGTTTGCAAGCTTCTTGACCTCCTCATCGAGCGAGCATATCGCCGTCATAGGGAGGGGTTGGAAGGACGCTACATTTCTAGCTGCAGATTTGATGTTTTCCGCCTGTGAGGTAATCGTGCTCGTGAGTTGAACAAGGTTTTTCATGGCGTTCTGGAGGGAGCCTAGTGAATGACTGCTTTTTGGCTGGAGGGGTTCCTGTCGGTGATCTTGTGGAGCGTCCCCGCCAAAGATAGATTGACCGATAGAAGTCGTGACACCCTTAATGTTGGTTTCCATCGCGGGCCTCGAGTTCGAAGTCGAAATACGCGAAAGATCTTGTGGAGCGTCCCCGCCAAAGATAGATTGACCGATAGAAGTCGCGATACCCTGAATGTTGGTTTCCATCGCGGGCCTCGAGTTTGAAGTTGAATCATGCGAAAGATCTCTCTGTCGGTGATCTTGTGGAGCGTCTCCGCCAAAGATAGAAGTCGCGATACCGTTAGTGTTGGTTTCCATCGCGGGCCTTGAGTTTGAAGTCGGAATATAGGAAAGATCTCTCTATGATATAGCTAAGATTCGAGCGGGGTTTGTGAACGTACGTGAGAAGAAAAAGCAACCTCAGCGCGTAATCTGTAGCACCTACAGACTACCCCGCTGACTTGGTCGCACGGATTTCGTGTCACCAGTATGCACCCAATCATTATCGAATATCAATCTCTTCCATGAAGGACCATACAGATAACGCATGCTTGTGAGGAGTGGAAGGAACGTAGGGGCATCTGCATTCCGAGAGGTTCAGGGCTACGTAGAATCGCATATCTGCATTAAATAGAGTGCCAACTGCAGTCTCACGACGCACTATATGTTTGAAGGGAAATATCAAAAATGAATGACAACTCTACCGGATTTATCAATTTGAAAGTTTAAGTACAAATGGGATATTGCGTTACGGGAGGATGTACGGTAGAAACATGTTCACTGCTTCACGGACTTTGTCTACTCTAGGAGAAGGTAGTGTAGGGTACTGAGGTATTGTGTTACCAATGACTTGCATCCTATATCAAGTATGCTGGAAATTACTTCTAGGCTGAGAGAAATTTATTATGTTCAACGGCTATCAACTAGCAGATATCCTCATTTGCACCTGTATAATCATAATAACCCACGTTCAGTTATGGGATTTCTATAAAAGTAAACTTTGTGCATCCGGGTAACGCCCTGCAGATCAACCCTGGATAAGCACAAATGAATGCCAATTTCCGTCCCCCGAGAGCCGGGCACCTTCATGTCTCACCCAATCTATCAGTCTATCACGCTGGCGAGCTAGCATTACTCTCCCGGGTATTCGCCTTCCCCATACTAGTAGTCCTACTCAAAGTCCTTGCAAAGCTGAAGAACCCTTGCTTCAAATCCAGTAATCCACCCTTCTTGTTCGGGTTCGGGTCCGCCTCGTCCATAGCGAACCAGCCTGTCTTCCTCTTCGTGAACTTCCACAGCTCCATACCTGCTACGAAGACGATGACTGCGCCGATTGAGAGTGCCCATTCCCAGGTGATTGGTTTCTGCTTGAAGACTTTGTCGTTGAAACCTGGGATATATACGCACGGGAAGACAATGACGGCACCGACTGCTACAGCGTAGAAGAGGAATTTGTTTCCGTAAAGGTCCTTGAACAATGGGAATTTAGAGGTGGAGTGGGGGTCGAGGCGGAACATGGAGCGGCGGATTGATTTGATTTCCCACGCGGAGATGAGAATCAGCCAAGTGAGTTCTGCGAAGACGGCGGCACGGGCACGGAACACGAGGTTGCAGTCTGGAGAGTAGGTGCGGTTGCACTCGTGACCGAGGTTGCCGTCGCCGACGCCGTAGACGACAATGACGAATGTCAGGAGGCAGAGTGAGCCCATGAGAATTCCGTACACGATCATATCGGTGATGATCTGCCAGCTGAAAACACCCTTCTTGGTGTCGTGAGGCGGGCGCTGCATAATGTTGAAAACAGCCTTTTCGAGACCAAGACCGAACGCTGGTGGACCGGAGGTGACCATGTTGATCCAGAGAATCTGAAGAGGTGAGAGAGGAAAGACTGAGTAGCCATCTTTATCCTTGAACGCGAGACCAAGAACCAACAGGACAACCTCGCCAACATTGGAGGTCAAAAGATGCAAGACGAACTTTTGGATATTATCGAACATGCGACGTCCTTCTTCGATAGCGTTGACGATAGAAGCAAAGTTGTCGTCGGTGAGCACGATGTCCGACGCTCCTTTCGCGACGTCTGAACCCGCCATACCCATGGCGATACCGACATCAGCAGCTTGCAAACTTGGTCCATCGTTGACACCATCACCCGTCATTGCAGCGTAGGCCTTGCGGCGATGGAGGGCATCTATCATTCTGGTCTTTGTGTGTGGTGCGCAACGAGCAATTACCAGAGGAAGCTCAGGCATGGCATCGATCTGTTCGTCGCTCATTGCGTCGAATTCAGCGGCAGTTTTGACAAGCGACTCCGCAACCTCTTTCGATAAGGTGCTGAAGTCTCGCGGAATAATACCGACTTCTTTTCCGATTGCTGTGGCAGTTCCGGGGTGATCTCCAGTCAGCATGTGTACCTTGATACCGGCGTTTGTACATTCCCTCACGGCATCTTTGGTCTCCAATCTCGGGGGATCATAAAGGCCTGTGAGACCAAGTAGCGTCAAGTTCGATTCGACCTTATCTCTTGGTGTATTGTCCTCAAATTGGCCGGGCCAAGTCTTCGTAGCAAGTGCCAGTACGCGAAGACCTTGATCTGCAAGAAGAGTCATTTGTTCATAGATAGACTCTTTTACAGCATCTGTCATTTGCTTTCGCTCGCCATCAACACCGACATCATCACAGAGGTCCAGGATTCGCTCCACTGCACCCTTTGTGAAGACCACAAGTTCGCCATCATTAGGGGACTTGTAGACCACGGACATCCGTTTGACGGTGGAGTCGAACGGATATTCCGAGATCTGAGACCAGCCATCGTCCTTTTCCAATGTCTTCTTGCCCTTGTCGAATCGGTATGCAAAGACCTGGAGGGCAACCTCTGTCGGATCACCCGTCGTCTGCCAATTCCCTTCTTGTTCGTTGTGGCGTACGGTGGCAAGATTGCAAAGTGCAGCGGTTTGTACCAGAGCCTCGAGAGGTGGTGTTAGCCCAGTAAACTCGGTCGTACCCTCGGGAAGCTTATCCTCAAAAGTAGCGGTGTTTTTCACATCCTTTTCGGACTTTGGGTGCTTGGAGGGCAGGTCAAATTTGAGGGCGGCACCAGAACGAAGTGTATCAAAGTGCTCCTCACGGGCCTGTTTCTCTGATTCCATTTCAGCTTTCGATTTGGCAGGTCCGATCGTGATCTCGCCCTGTTTGGGGTTCGAAGGATCTTCTGAATTGCTTATGCCGACGATACCAACGCCGGGTACCCAAGCTTTGCGAACCGTCATCAGACCTTGTGTAAGTGTACCTGTCTTATCGGAACAGATGTTGGTGATGCCGCCGAGGGCCTCTAAGGCGGAGAGCTTTCGGGTCAGCACTCGTCGTTTACGCATTTGCGTCATGCCAGTAACGAACGTGATCGTTAAGACAGCGATGAGGGATTCGGGAATAATGGCGATTCCTGTTGCATTGTCAGTTGGAGCAAACGGTGATTGAGGCTAATGAACATACCAGTGGAGATAGCATAGATGGCCACCTCGCTTGTTACATCGAACTTGTGAACACCAAAAACGATGATGGCTAACAGGATTGCGCATCCGAACAACGTATATGCAAGCTTACTGAGCTTGATCTGAAGAGGGGTTCCATGCGTAAGTCCCAAGAACTTGCCAATGGCATCCCATGTTCGAAGTGCTGCCCCCTTTGCAGGTTGCAGGGTGCCATGCTTCTTTCGAGACATGGAACGGTTCTCTTTTCGCTTCGTGCCCTGCATAGACTGCGCAATACGACCAATCTCCGTGTGCATGCCCGTGAAGACGCAGATGCCCCTACCTCTGCCCTTCGTAACGGTGGAAGAAGAGTATGCCATGTTGATGCGATCACCCACACCACACTCCAGCTCGTTTGTGGACGAGAAATCGGCGTCGTGAACCTTTGCGACTGGGATTGCTAAGGAGAGATTAGTGAACAGAATCGAAGGCAAGGCTGGAATATGAAATACCTTCTCCCGTCAAGATCTTCTCGTCACATTCCAAGTTCATGCATTCGAAGATCCGCAAATCAGCAGGAATTGTGTCTCCTGTCTTGATGACGATAACGTCACCGGGGACAACTTCAGCAGATGGTATTGAGTCTAGATTTCCAGATCGCAGTACAGTTGCCGTGGGTGAAGACAAAGCCCTGAGCGAATCCATTTTCTTCTCTGCTTGGAACTCTTGATAGAATCCAATGAGGACATTGCTAACGACAACAGCCGTAATAACACCGCCTTCAACGTAATCAGAAACTCCGAATGAAAGAGCTAGTGCAAGTAGCAAAACCTAGGTAGACAGGGTCAGATCAATAGTGAGATGCAGTTCAGCATACGACTTACCAAGACCATGGCATTGCTGATTTGTTTGAACAGAACTGCATACCATTTCACGCCACCTTCGCCTTCGAGTTTGTTTTCTCCATACTTTGATCTGAGCTCGGAAATCTGGTTCGGTCTCAGACCCTGATCGACGTCCACGCCGCCTAGTTGTGAGACTAGTTCTTCGATCGACGATTGGAATGGATGGCGGTCATATTGTTGCGAGGCGCCAGCTTTCTTGCTGGTACCCATATCGCTCGAGTACGAATTGGACTCAAAGGGATGTAGTCAGGTAAGTTTCAAAATTGTTAGGGAGGATGATATGGTTCAGTGATAGAAAGTGAATAGTGCCAGTCAGGCATTCGTTCAAAAAGAGAATGACAAGGAGCTATGGTTTAGTTTGACCGTTGATAGTGGGGAGCCCACTACTTATATAGACCCGCGAGGATTTGCTTGTCAAACAGAAAGCTTTCCTTTCGGGTGAATAATGTCATGGCAAGTAGAGACAAGCCTGCACATCGGGCACGGCACCATGTTGTGCCAAGGCTCGGCGGATCGAAAGGCACATGTTTCCTTGTAGAAGGTTTCAAAGAATTCAATCGTTTGCAGTCGGATAACTTCGCAACAATGACGTGACCGTTACACAACTGCAGATTGTCATGGTACATGTCAACAATATCTCAACAATTAGCTAGAGAAACGGGGTCATGGGGACTGAGAAATCGATTTCTGCAAATTATGATGTACCTGCTCACACCACCTCCGCTGCTCAGAGGCGATAGGGAACCAAGTGGGATGTCTTGGGAGAGGGGGTCCGAGCCAATCAAAACCGAGGCCAAGGGTTTCCGCCCTCAACCACCCTGCAGCCTCGCCTGAGGACCGGCTAGCGGCAAAGTGAACAGTTGCCAGAATGGCCTGAGTGGTCGAAATGGGTGGTACGTGATAGTCAAAGCAGTCTCGGCGCAGCGAACAGCTTACGTTTGATCATGGATTGCTGCATGGGATTCTGCGGGAATGGCTCACGTGGGCAACGGATAGCACGGCGCCAAGTTTGTGACGTACAAGACGATGCCAATGATACTCAACCAGCGGCTTCCTTTACCTTATTGGTCTCCGGAGGCTCATCGATGAATTGCGGCGGTGCGGCATCGTCAAGCATGAATCCAGGTACACTCGTTGATTCACCAATTCCTTCGAACTCGACCTCCTCGCCAAGGGCCTCTAGCTCTGCATCGAGCTCCGCCTCATCGACCTCTTCTGGAACATCGTAGCTGCGGCTGATGCTTTCCTGTATGTCATTCCCGATATCCATGAGATCTGCCATCTCATCTTGCATCTTCTCGATCTTGTCGATGTCCACTTTGCCGTACTGCTTTCTCAGCTCCTTGGTGGTCGTTTTCATGGCATCAACCGTGATCATCGTGTTCTTTAGATTATCCTGCATCATGCCGGCTTGCTCCATATTCCAGGATTGTTGCTGGAGCTGATCGCGCTGCGCCTCATACATCTTCCTCTGCTGTAAGACTTTGAGCGCCTTCTGCTTTATGGCGTTCTTTCCCGGTCCATCGCGCATCTTCGCCAGCCGTTGTTGGTATGTGGACAACTCCGCGTTGAGCTTTGCGAGCTTGACATCTAGACTCTCGACCCGGGTATCTAGCTTTGTTATTGTCAGCTTGACGGTGCCAGCGGTGTCACAAGGTTATGCAATCTTTGTTTACATTTGAGATAGCACCGCTCAGGGTCGGCTTGGGCGCCGTGGTCTTTGCCCCAAAGAGGCGATTCATGGCTGTATTTGTCGCAGGAAAATTTGTGTTTTTGTTAGGGTCAGTCGCTTGGGTTGAGAAAGAGGCTGGGAATATGGTGTCGGGGCATATGGTAGTTTGTTGAATGAGGAGAGAAGAGTCGTCGTCGGAAGTGTAGGATACGATACGATGCGTAGGCGGCCGCGATCTCGAAGTTCCCCTAGCGGGGTCCAGGGGAACGTCATCCAAGACAGTCACGTGCCAATGCCAACTGAACTTCAAGGTCATTTGCCTGCATCAGGCCTCGATTATTATTCAGAATGACTGTAAGGCACAACTTTAGAACAAAAGAAAACAATTGATAGGAAAGTCGTGTGATGCTTACTGTAAAACCTGCAAATGATATATCTCCATTCCCGATTTCTCAGCCTCATCCGCCGCTCGCTCGTTATTATTGGTGTCTCGTTGTGCTGCAGGTTCGTGTTGTCACTTACCGCCCACCCGCCCAAGTAATTCCCCCCCCACCAAACCAACTGACGACCGACAACAACTTGCTACTAGAACCATACAATCCCACTACTTCATCCCCTCCACCAGCTTTGTTCGCACTTCATTTTGTATTTGTAACGACACTTCACGACGCGCTCTTTCGTTGTTGCATGGATACTTCTTCAGTGCAGCCTTTCCCTCGTCTGCTCGCTGACTGCTACCTTTTCCGCTAGGTAGCTTGGCCCACTGTATCCTGTCTCCGCCCGCCCTGAGCTTCCCTCTTTACGCGCATGCGCATTGCTCCTGACGGGTGCAGATCCTGGACTCCATACTGACAAAAGGACACCGGTCTTCAGGTCCTCAGCCAGACGAATCTTCTCCCTCTCCTGATGAGACGATTTTCCGCCGCATTCTCCTTCGCGCAATCCTCCCACCTCGCTGGGGCCATTCTCGAGTCCCTCCTTTCCCGTTCCTCATTGACCCCGCCCCGGTAAGCTCAGACATAGGTCCCCACCATGTTTTGGCGATTTGGTGGATATGCACAGCTTTCGTCGCTGGACAGCATCTTGGACAAACCCGACGTGACCGTTGAGGAATTGTTGGATGAGTCGGACCTGATCCAGGAACTCAAGCAGCAGAACTCGAAACTCATCGAGTACCTCCGCGATGAGAATGTCCTAGAGCGATTGCTCCGATATGTCATTGCTCCCAAGGCTTCGGAACATGCGGACGATGTAGGTGGTGACGATAGCGGAGACAAGGCTAGAAGGACCTCAAGAGAGGGTTTCTTTGGAAACTTCACAGGAAGAGCCCGCTCCACATCCACAGCCAAATCAGATGCTGGCGATGGCGAAGAGAGTAAAGAAGAGAAACAGCGTATGAAGTATGCCTACGTCTCCTGCGAAATCCTCTCGTCCGAAGTATGGTCCATTTCCGAGGCGGTACTCGAAAACCAGGAAACACTACGCAATTTCTGGAATTATATCAAGCAGCCAGCACCTCTAGATCCCGTACAGGCAGGATATTTCACAAAGGTCAACGAATCCCTGCTCGACCGCAAGATGGAGGAGATGCTTGAGTTTTTCAAGTCCATCGACAACGTTGTTGCTGATATGCTTCAACACGTCGATTGCCCCATGATAATGGACCTACTGTTGAAGATTATCAGCTTAGAAAAGAGTGAGGGGGGCCAAGGAATTGTTGACGTAAGTCTAATTGCTATCTTGATGATTGTAGAAGGTGAAATTAATTTCCCATGATCAGTGGCTGCAATCCCAAAACCTCATGCCACAGCTTCTAGCAAACCTATCGCCAGAGCAGAGTTCTTCAACACAAACTTCTGCAGGCGACTTTATCAAAGCCATCATTACCATCTCCGCAAATGCCACCACGCAAGATCAGTCAGTCATTGGGCCAAACGAACTCACCCGGCAATTGGTGTCGGAGTCTTGCATCAAGACTTTAATTGAAGACATGCTGCGGGGTGGCAACCCCCTCACTGTTGGCGTGGGCATCATTATCGAGGTCATTCGAAAGAACAATTCGGATTATGACTTGGAAAACCAAGTCGGCCCGGTTCCTAAGAATTCGGATCCAATTTATCTTGGAACGCTTCTTCGCCAATTTGCAAAACACATTCCTCAGTTCATGGAATTGGTGCATGACCCAAATCAGACCATCGCCAATCAGGACGGCACAACTACCACCAGAAAGCGGGAGCTGAAGACAGCTTTCGGTGAGAAGATCGAGCCTCTTGGGTTTGATCGATTCAAGACTTGTGAATTGATGGCAGAGTTGCTACACTGCAGCAATATGGCATTGCTGAACGAGAGAGGCAGTGAAGCTGAAGTAAAGCGCAGAGATAATGAAAGAGAACAGCTAAAAGCTGAGGGTAAACTGACGTCAAGAACAAACACCCATGCTGGAGACTTCTCGACCAGTGTTGACAGTCATGGATTCCACCACGCCCGGGCACCATCGAGCGAGTCACCCGAAGAAGTGAAAAAGCTCGAGGTACAAAATAATTCCGAGGACGACTTTGAAAAGGTGACAGTGTCCGAGGCTGCCTCGGAAGATATTAAGGAAAAGGATCAGATTAGTGAGCCTTTGGAGAAATCACCCAAGATACTTCCTAAAGAAGCGTCCGAAAAATCCGAGGGCGATGGCGAGTTTGTTGATGAACCTCTGTCGCCGGCCAAGGATGCGGAAGCCCCTGACGCAGAATCTCCAGCTAAGCCTGCGGATGATGCCGAATCTCCCACTTCAGCCGGACTTTCTGCCAAGGTGGGAGGTCTCGATTTGGACAATGATACAGTGATGGGCGAGCGACATGACACAACGGAAGCTCCGCCAGTAGAAGCAGATTCGAAAGAACGCCCATCGCTCCTCACACAACAACTTAACAAAACCTCGAACCCAGAAACACTGGATCCACCTGAAGGCCTTTCTCCCCATGCAGAGGACAAGCCTGCACCGTTATTCTCTGGGAAGCCGAAGACCCTAGAGGCTGCTCCAGAGCCTCCATCTAACACATCCAAATTCACTGCCAGTGTTGCACCTAGCGAAGGATCTGAAATCACACCAATTGACGACGACGGTAGTGTGCGATCCATTCTTTTGGGCGGCACAGAAGGCCAGTATCCACCTCAGTATGAGGTCGACATTGATGGAACACCCGTTGTCGGCGATCTTTTGAAGATGATGTTCGTAGAAAACAAAGTAGTTCCTACAATCCTCGTAAGTTACTTCAATTCTAAAGATAACATTCGCTCATTGCCGGAAACAGGATTTCTTCTTCCGATTTCCCTGGAACAACTTCCTCCACAATGTTGTCTACGATGTTGTACAGCAAGTCTTCAATGGCCAGATGGACCGCGGCTTCAACCGCAGCCTAGCGATCGATCTTTTCGAAACAGGTCGGATCACTGACAGAATCATCGAAGGACAACAGGCCAGCGATGAGGCTCAGGCCAAGACACATATGCGTCTTGGTTACATGGGTCATCTCACACTTATAGCAGAAGAGGTACTAAAGTTCACAGAGCGACATCCAGCAGAACTTCTTTCCCAGTCGGTACTGGACAAAGTAATGAGTCAGGCCTGGATCGACTACGTCGAGCAGACACTGGCAGAAACGCGGGAACGAGACAACGCTATACTGGGTGGCGTTCGCCCCGACATGAGCGTAGGACCTCGCCAGGCTGTCCTGAACGCTGTCAATGCGGCTTCCGGCTTCACTAATGACAGCTCTTCGGGCCTTGCTGCAGCAGGACTGACTGGTGGTGGCACCATCGGACTGGACAGCATGGAACTAGCCAACACAGAAAGCTCAGGTGGCGGATACACCTTCGGTGGTGGCACACTACTTAGCGGCTTCACCAATTCGAGTGATGAGGAGGACGAAGAGATGGATGAGGGTGAGGTGGAGCGAGAGCGGCATACGCCCGTGAGTGATTCGGAACAAGTGGGTGAACTCTCATTTGAAGACGTCGAGATGGACTACCGATAATCTACCCGAACCCGACACTGCCATGTCTGCGCGTTGGTGCGTTTCATTTTCCATCACTCCCATTCTATGTTTTGGGCCTGTACAGTGTTTCCTCTCGTTTTCATTCCGCATACACACTTTAAAGACATGTTGTTCGGCCCGGTCAGGAAGACTATTTATACCACCCCAATTCTCTTCATTTACACATGCACTCCTGCCTCTGGAATGTATTACAGATCTGTAGCAATATGCAATCGGAAGCGGGGAGTGACGAATCTATCTCTCCTCTTCTGTTTCATATTCCTAATTGAAGATTATAGAATTGAATGGGTGGTATTTCTCGGGTCTTCCTTTCTCCTCTTGACAATTCTCTATTCCCAATTTCATTCTCACAACCCATTCCCCGAGCAGTCCATCTCCGGCTTATTCCCCCTTTCATTTTCGCTTCCCTAACATCCCGGCGCCGATCCTAATATGTATGCATCTGGATCGCCTTTTCATCTCTCTTATCATAATCTGCGTGCCCGCTCCCCCTCCGTCACCCAACGCGACAGCACAACCACCTCCACCTCCTCTCCCTACCCCTCACATGTCACTAACATGACCCTCTCAAGTCCGGTCTCCAAATGCCACCACCGCTCCAGATCCCCCCGTCGCGCGCCCGCCGCCAATTCGCCGCGCGCCTCGCCCAACGCAAACTCGAGTTCGAAGCCAGCCAGCAAGCCGACAACGCCGAAGACGGCGACGACTCGCTGTCGGACCCCAGCGCCCTGGCCAACCCCGACGACGACGAAAACGAGAAGCAGAAGGACGGAAGCAGGGCGAAGGAGCCGCACGAGCGGTTCACGGGCATCTTCGAGGGCATCGAGGACGATAGCAGTTCGAATGATGGGAGCGATGATCTGGATCCTGAGATGGAGAGGAGGGAGAGGGAGGGCGCGTTGGTTGCGTAGAGTGTGTGTTAGTCTGAATGGTAGGGGCATTGGTGTCGTTTTGTGGGGTAGAGTGTGAGGGGGTGTTTGTTTCTTGGAGGACTGGTTTAGGTAGGTCGGGTGATTGTGTTCTTGGTGCGTGTGTGCAGCTTGGAGGCTGGCATGGGGTGATGATGATATGGCAACTTTATGATGGGATGGACTGGATGGGTTTCGGCTGGGTAACTGCGAATGATACCTCTCTAATTGAATGTCATACGTTTACATATGTGCTTATTTGATCTGGGACGTACATATTTGATGTGTGCTCTCGGATGGTCTTGATTGAAACATTGTAGCTTCGCTACATCAATAGTCCCATGACTGAAGCTGAGAAGATTTTCGTACGATACCATTTGAAAGTTGTCTAGAAAAGGTCCAAGCTAATTGATCAAGTAAATGTCTAACAGATTTGCATGGAATAGTTTGTTTCCTAAGGACGAAGAAGTTGCTTTTGTAACTCCGCAATGATCTAGTACCCACCAGTTCCTACTTCACTCATCGGCTTGAACTCGACTGTCGTAGGCCTATCCGTGATACCTCTCCTCTTAGCTTCCTCCATGATTGCCATAGTAGCCGTGGCCCCTATCCTCGTCACTCCCAGTGACATAACATGCAACAAATCATCAAGTGTTCGCACTCCACCTGCCGCTTTGACCTGCACACCAGGTTTCCAATGTTCCCTCATCAACTTCAAATGGCGCACTGTCGCTCCCGCATACGTATACATTCCATTATCCTGCTTAACAAACCCGTATCCCGTAGACGTCTTGACAAACGCAACTCCAATCTCCGAACAGATCTCACATAGCTTTACAATGTGTCTCTCTTCCAGAAAATCGTTCTCAAAAATGACCTTCAGAATCGCGCCACGGCTAACAACCGCCTCATTAATTTGTCGTATCTCGTCACCGACGTATTCCCAATCCTCCCCTAGGGCCCTACCGATGTTGATGACCATGTCGATCTCGTCGCCGCCTTCCTCGACGGCACGGGTCGCTTCGAAGACTTTGACTTCTGTCGTGCTGTTGCCGTGGGGGAAGCCGATCACGGGACATACGAGGACTGAGGTTCCTTTCAGGGCGGATTTTGCGACGGGGATTAGGTAGGGTTTTATGCAGGCTGTGGCGACGTTGTAGTCCCTTGCGATGGAGAGACCCGCGAGGATGTCGGCGTCGGTCATGGTTGGGTGGAGGAGGGAGTGGTCGATCATCTTGGAGATGGAGTTGAGGGTGACGGTGATGGGGTTGTTTGAGGTTGCCATGATTGTCGGTGTAGTGAGTGGAAGCGTAGTTTGATTGTACTTCAATTCTATTTTGTAGCTGGTTTTAAGATTACTATGGTAGCCACTACGAATATATAAATACTCAAGTATGTTCGATAGGAATTATGTGTAGCAGCGTGATGACCTGCACGTTCTATGTTCCGGCGGACCAGAATTACCCAGCTTGGTTTAGCAAATCTTTGCCACCCATTGTCCTCGAAGTGTAATTGCTGTCAGTTCTCGACACTAGCAACTGGATCCGTCTTTGATAGGATATATTCACACGTAGGTCTGGGTGTCTGGATTTTCTATGTTTCTCAACAATCCCGACTGAAATTGCTGATACCGGCGGAGCTCGAGCGTCAAGGTGGGTACTATGGAAAACTTGAGTCAAGATTAGAAGATTGGAATCCGATGGAGACATCTTATCACAGGTTCCACCGGAGCAATGCAATGCACTTGTAGCTTGAACCGAGCAATGGGAAATGATATTTAATCCATGATGAACAATGCGAGTATGACGCTCGTTCCCACTTCGTTCCCTATTTTCACGACACACTCTTCTCATTGCCCACTACCACACCCAACAACAAACCAAACATTGCAAGAATGGGCATTGCCGATGACATCAACACCATCGCACGCTTCATAGCCTGCGAAGACATCCCCGGCCTGCAATCAATCAACCCAGTCGACTGCATCATCCTCTGCGTCTCCTCCGTTCTCCACAGCCCTGAGACCGTATTCAACATCATCCAAGCCCGCCCCTCAATCACAAAAACCCTAGTCCTCTGCGGCGGCATCGGCCACTCCACAGAGCCCATCTACGACGCCGTTGCACGACACCCGCGCTTCAGGGATATCGCAGCAGACGTCGGGGGCCTGCCAGAAGCACAAGTCCTGCACGTGATCTTCGAACGTTTCTATGCTTCGCAGTTTGCAGAGGATGACCCGGCTCCAACGATCTTGCTGGAAGACCGCTCGATCACCTGCGCGACCAATGCTACCGAGGCGAGGAAATTGCTCGAGGCGAACGGGTTGGGTGAAATCGAATCTATGGTGATTGTACAGGATCCGACGATGGTTCGCCGCACGGTGGAATGCTTCAAGAAGGCGTATGAGGGTGCGGCGCATGTCCCGAGATTCGAGGGGTGTCCGGTGTTTGTACCAGTCGTGGGTTCGGGTGCGGGAGGTGGGTTGGAGTTCAGTGCGCCGGTGGTTGCGAAGGAGGATATGTGGCCGATGGAGAGGTACTTGGAGTTGGTTATGGGGGAGATTCCGAGGATGAGAGATGATGGGAATGGGTATGGGCCGAAGGGGAAGGGGGTTATTCCTCATGTTGATATTCCTGTAGAAGTGGAGAAGGCGTACGGCAGGCTGTGCGATGCTATTCCCAACCGTAGATATAAGTCAATCTAGATGAGTAATGAACTTTATGTTGCAAGCCAATCAATCTTTCTGTAGTGTTGAAATATGCCAATAGTGGTATATTGTTACGGTTGGAAGATGGATAGCAATTGAGTTTTTGGGTATTGGATGCGCTCCTCGTGGTATTCTTATCTACTGACTTCGTGTCTATATGCATCTATAAAATGTATGTCAACTTAGATGCCGTATCCTATTTCCAACAATAATGAATCAATGGCATATACAAAACGCGTGAGTTACATATATGATCGAACCAAACCCCCTACCAACTTGTCACCTGCTTACATCTATCGAACCCGCCTCTTAGTTGTCGTTCTGGCTTCAACACTTTACCCTGAAGCACCGTGTACTTGATTATGTTTTCACAATCTTCTGGTCGCACTCGCGCTAACCATATGCACTGCGCAGCTTCACCATTACCCTCCTCCTCCTGAGCCTTATTCACATCCAGCACGACGTCTTTCTCCTTGTCATCCTGAACACTAAGACTCTCCAACGTATCCTCGATGCCGTTGACTTGGCCGTTCAGCCGCTTGGGTCTGTCGATCGCAGACGCTTTTCGGTAGATCATGACGTTCGCGGAGAACTTGTGTCCACCAACGTGGTTTATGAAGTATATCCCAACGCCACCTGGTCGTTCATCGTGAAGATCTCGATAGAGTCCTAGAGGCCGAAGGTGGCGCTCGAATTCTTTGCGGAGGAGTGGTGCCGATTGTCCGCATCGTGCGTCGCGAGTCTTGTGGCTGCAGAGGAGAATGAGGTACTTGTGAGGGCAGGGCCGGGATGTGAGGCCTGAGGATGGTGCTGGCGTTGCAGTTCCAGAAGGGACAGCGGAAGATGTTTCGGAGGAGGGTATTGATGCTTCTGATGCTGGCTCTCTGACAGTATCTAGCGGCGTAATGTTGGTGGGACCGGTATTGACGAAATCCGATATCAATGACGGCGTGTTCGCTTGAGTGACGTTGTCTATTATTTTGAAAGCGGGTAGTAGGAGGACTGATGTTGAGTGGTCAGAGTGGTCCGGAACTGGGATGTTGGAGGCGGACAGCATGAGTCTCTGTGGTCTTGTGGTCAGCAATGCGATCTATGGTCCTCGAGCAAAGGGATATACATACGCCATTCGTGGGTTTCACATCGCTCCGGTCAACTGCCTCCATAATGCTTCCCTTCTCGTCTACAACATCTCGAACCCAATCGGTCTTGCCTGTTGCGACGAGCAGATGTGTACTCCATCCCTTGATGTGACCATACAGCTCCTCTGTCTCATCAACCTCGAATTTCCTCGGATATTTCACCGTACAACTTGCGCAATCCGTCAGACAGTCCTCTCCATCGATTGTGGGGTCAGTCTTTTGGAATAGTTCCTCGGTCTTGCGCGCTGTTATGAATTCGCCGGGTTTCCTGTCGGTTGTGGGGAGGGAGATGGAGGAATTGGCCGGAGTCAGCCTGTAATAGAGGTTTTTGAGGGTGGCAGTCATCTTGTAACCTGTGGCCTTGGAGGGGAAATGCGAAGTTGGAGACATGACGGAGGTGGGCCCTCTGGGGAATTTTAAATCAAAAGATCTGATTAGATGATTGAGTAGCGGAATTAGCGCGCGTGGGTCCACAGTCGGAGGTTCGGTAGATGTGGTTAAACGCGGCCGGTTTTTGTTCTTCGATGATTCGTGCTGGTACTCGTAGTCAACCACCCACCTAGGCAGATGGGTACGTAACTATTTTGTTGGTGCTGGTCCGTCGTCCGGGTGAACTCTTTTCATGCCATCGGCTGTTGAAAGAACGAACAACGGCACTGAAGATTGCAATACGAGGCCGCCCCTCCGTTGCGTTTAAAGTTTACGATTACGACTACGGTACTTCGTCCAGCACACGCAGGAGCGATCCCACTGGGCTTATAAGGAGCCGTGGTCCCCAATACACCGCTCGGTCTTTCATTATATCCGAGCTGCTTTTCTCCGATCGCTTTCTAGGTTGCACGGTAACTATACACCTCCCTCCACATTACGCACTCATCCAACGATATTCGTCATCACCAACGTGAATATCCCCGCATTACGACCTGGCCTCTGAGAACCACCATCGCGGCCGGGGTTCTTGAATTAGTCAGCGGCTACTTATGTGTCCATCCTCGTTCAACCTGATGTGCCGATGAGGCTGAAGACGCTGAACGGGGCACCATTATGCGATGATCTCGATTTTGGCTCGAATCATCTTCTTGACATTGACGAAAAAGATTCAGCCTTTGAGGCTTTTCTCAGTGGAAACCGAGCGCTGTCACTGACCAGCGACTCATCTAATGTGATCAAATGGCGCCATGTTGAACTTCATCCTGGTCGACTTCGCACGGAACTGTCACCATATTTCCCCAATTCACTGTTGGACGGAAATACCTCAAACTTCTCATGTCCTGAAATAGGTCTCAAGTCTATGTCACAAAATTCCATGGTGCATGATGGCAGTACCTTTCTTGAAGCCACAAGCCTGATCGAGGAAGATTCGGTTTTCCTCGAACACTCATTCATTGTTCATGACAACCTGGTTTCCTCACAGATTGCTCTTGATGATGCTCAGATGAGTGCCAATGAGTCCCGGGAATCTCTGTCTTCTACGTCTTTCCTAACATCGTCTTTTAATACTGAAGCCAGCACGTCGCGCGAGGCAGAGAGTCAACTACCTACGCTTCAATTGCCGTCTTATCTGACTATTACATCGTTGGGGGAACTTCCAGATGCGCAGTACCTACGGTCGATCTATCCCCAAACCCCAACGCCAAATCTTTTATGTGCCTTGGTTGCTCCAATTGAAAAACGCCAAGTATCTGTCAAGAAGGGTCGATATGTGATGGATCTCTACGACCTCATAGTCGGCGACGATACCAGACCGAGTTTCAAAATTTCCTTCTGGTTTCGACCGATTCACGCAACAAGGCCGTCTAGGAATCTCGCACAGGATAAGTTGCGTAGTACTCTAGACGCTGTACGCACAGGCGATATGTTACTCATGAGATACATTGCTTTGAGCATCTATCGAAACGAAGTCTTTGGCCAATCATTGAATGCCAACATTAGCAAGGCAAGCACATTGGTAGAGCCACTTTCACGGCCCGATGGTACACCAATCTACAAGCACGTCTGTCCGATTGCAGTAGAAGAAAAGCTCCTTAATGTGAAAAAGTGGTCGAGGTCACGCATTGCAACTCACAACGAAGGATCGCAGAAAAGGAAAGCTACCTCGAGTATGAAAGATGCGAAGACGAAACGAAAATTACGGAGTCAGAGATCCACAGACACTTTGCCTCCAGATACTCTAGAGGCAGCGTAGTAGCACATGGTCTTTTATACGATCATGTATTGCTTTAGCATTGGCTACACGATTTATGGTGGGCCGTGTTTCATCAAAGCTCCATGATCAAATCCCCATTCCTGGGACTTCGGATAGAAATCAGCACGTGGAGATTAGGCCTAGAAATTAGCGGCAGCCTGGAAGTTCAACAAATAACCATTCGAAATTCACAACGGTCAGAGGATTGACGGAGATTTCAGTGACGTTTAATCTGAAAGTTGCGATGGTAGGGCTAGGCAGTGTCACAGAAATCGTCCGTGCCCACTCCTCCCATTTTACCATTTCTGCCATGTCTAAAACCGTCTCGCTTTATTGACTATCCTAAACCTGATAGTCTGCTTTTCTCTACCTATTCTCCAGGTAGCATGGATATATAATAATGTCTGTGGATTCGAAGAAATAACATTGTCCCTGTATCCGGTCTATCCATGAGAAGTTGCTTCAAAGTGAATGACCGGGGATGAGTGGGATGAAACATGATACACCAATAAGGCCCCAAGCTACTGTTCCTACATCATGGATGCGAGGAAAACAGTACAGCAGTTTTGAATGTAAACCGGCAAAGGTTTTATCTGATGTCGACATGACGGTTACCATGTACGGTCCCTGGTCCAAAGAACAAAAGCCGAAAGGTACAATCTTGTCAAGATGCTCGATTCTATGAAGACGAGTTAATTGATGAAAGGACAGAGCCCATATTCGAAACAATGATCATTCATTGGCTACGGAGGATCACCTCAATCTACGTGAAGGAAAACAATGTTTCGAACTACAACCCCACATCACCATAATTGAACTATCCTGAATCGGGAGATTGTTACTCGTGAAGTGTATATCATATGGTCCGTTTAAGGCATGAATTACATTTAGTCCAATCCTTTTCTTAAGCAAATGGTGGGGGCGTCCACGACATTCTCTACGTGCACATGCAGACAATTGGCATAAGTACTAAGTAAGGTCTCAGTCTCAATGGGTCTTTGAGGCTGTCTATCCGGCCAAACTTTCTTTCCTTCACCGTTTCACTTTCGTTCTTTTGAATTTACTCTCCATTCGCTTCATTAGGATCTTGATTGGTCTGTACGCTCATTTCTTGCTGGTCACGATGAGATTATCCCTTTCCTCTCTGGCTGTGCTGGCCACTTCATTCGTTTACCTTACGGGAACGTTAGCCTTCGATGGACCTAGCTGCCCAGGTGCAGTACATGATGACACTTACTTTAGCGTAGTTGGTGTCCAAGGGTGTGGAATCCACCCGCGACTGGAGTTACGTGAGCTTGAAAAGGACCCTACTATGTGGAATCTTTTCATTCAAGCTATGGCCAAGTTCCAAGCAATGGATCAGGCAGATAAGCTGTCATATTTCCAAGTAGCTGGTATGTCAACAAGTCAAATTTTTCACTTTTATGTTGATGCACAAAGGTATTCATGGTGCCCCATTTGGACCATGGGATGGTGTAGATGGCGATGGACTAACAGGATATTGCCCTCATGCATCCAATGTATTTGGAACTTGGCATCGCCCATACTTAGCTCTGTTCGAGCAGATTCTCCACGACCGAGCCGTGGAAATTGCAAATGCATTCCCCCGGGGCAATATCCGAAAGGAATATCAGACCGCTGCAGAGAAGCTTCGCCTACCGTACTGGGACTGGGCCATGAATCCAATTGATGAAGAAGAAGGTTGTATGCCTCTCAGCATGCGACGATCTACCATGCATATTACCTATCCAAATGGGACTAGCGCTACCATACCCAATCCTTTGGAGCGCTATGAATTCCATCCACTAAATTCGACTGACTTCGATGTCTTGCAAGGATTCCAATTTCTGAATTGGAATACTACCATCAGGTACCCATCAGACGGTTATTCTCCCACTGCTGTGAGCCGCAACGACGAACTCAGTGAACGCATTGGGGCCCAACAAGTCAACAATCGCGACACGCTTTACAAACTCCTCACGGTATATCAGCCGTTCAATCAATGGAGTAATAAGGCAAATGGCGGGAAAATTGGTAGCATAGAGACTTTGCATGATGGCATACACAATACCTTCGGTCTTGGGCATGTGGGTATCGTGGAAGTTTCAGCTTTCGATCCTGCCTTTTGGTTACACCATTGGTAAGATTGTCGTATCTAAGTCAAGAATGCTATGCTAACATCATAATAGTAATATTGACCGTTTGATTGCGATATACCAGAAACGGTATCCCGATACATACGTAGAGGACAGTCCTCAGGCGAAAGCCTCGTACTACTATGCGAAGAATAGCACACAGGGGCCTTCATCTCCCCTCAAACCGTTCCATATGAACGCTAAAGGCGACTTCTGGACTTCCAACGTCGTAACAAACTGGGAGTCATTTGGGTACACCTACCCCGAATTAGTCGGCAACCCAGACAATGCTACACTCACCAAATCCATCAACCGCCTCTACAAACCAGATACCCAGGGTCTCAAGACCAACCAAACTCTCGAGACACGTGATAGCAATGGCAACAACACCGCCAATGCAACCGACTGGATGGTCGAAGTCAACATGCCCTCCGACATACAGATCACCTACGCCGTTCGAGCCTTCCTAGGCGAGCCCAACCCAGACCCCCGACAATGGCCAACCGACAAAAACTACGTCGGGCTGGTAGCATCGCTCGCCTCACCCCGAACCGACTCCGACGTCATCATCACCGCCAACATCGTGCTCACCGACGCGCTTGCCGAAAAGCACGCGAACGGCGAGTTGAAAAGCCTCGAGAAACACCACGTCGAAGCGTGGCTGAAAGACAACTTCCACTGGCGAATCCAACAGGTCGACCTCACGGAGATTCCGCGTGACAATCCGCCCCCGGGCCTCAACGTGACGGTCGTGTCTGTGCCGATACAGCTGCCGGAGGCGGACGACGATGTTCCTGTGTGGCCGGGCGGTACGGCTGCGTTCGAATACAAGCCAAAGGTGCAGGCGCCTCCGCCGGTGTATCCGCCGAATTCAACAGTGGGTGGTGGTAGAAAGGGGGGAAGCTGGAATGGCACTTCTTGGAATCCGGGTCTTGTCAATGGTTCACATGTTCCGGTGCCGGAATCGAGGAAGCCGAATGTTGTTACGCTCATTCAGACTCAGGTAGTCACAGTTGATCCCCCTGCTGCCACGGTGTAGCTTCCATCGATCTCGTGAAAGAGGTTTAGGAGTATGCTTTGCACACTTTATGATCAAGTTTCTGCATGGATGAGCTAATGATTATTTCATTTCTTTTCTGAGGAGATGGCGTTAAACCTTGTTCCATTTCTTCGGATGTGATGGGCTTCCAATGTTTTAGCTACCTATGTAGACGAATACTTATATTGACAGGTGCATGCTAGTCATGAACTAAAGTCAATCTTGAAAGAGCATATGCTAGAATGATATGATGACTCTACTAGAAACATGAAGCAACAATTTAATCAATTGAGCGGCTAAAATCATATGGGATGTATGTTGACTGAAAGAAAGAAGACTGAGGTTTGTTTGCCCCTCCATGGCGCTCGGACCAATATCTCATCGGACCTAAAGCTATGGCGATTTTGGCGTTGCTGACTACGTGAATGCTTAACCATGACTCTCGCTGGAGCTCCGTCGAAGGCCGTGGAACTTCAAATAATCCTATCTCGACACCTTTGGTGATTGTTTGCCACAAATAAACCTTTCTCTTATTCTTGTGATCAGAGTTTGAATCTCTGGAAAACAAAACCTACATGTTCCCGACCTGACGTTGCATTCGCCGCCGTGGCTCTGATCCACCCCGTCGCCATTGATCGCATTCGACGACTTAACCTACGCAACAAACAGAGTCAAACTTCACAGTACTTTGCATGGTCCTGAGCCTTTGATTAAGTGTATGTCATCATCTTAAGTTTGACTTCTCTTTAAAGTCTCTCTGATACTGATATCATATTTCCGCAGCTCACGCCACGGCCATGTTCACCACCTTCAGTGGAAGTACGAAACGACCACGTCAAGTCAACCTCTCGGGACGAAAGACACATGCATTCGGAAGCCCGGGTACAGGAGCCGGATCCCAGGCCGCATTAGACCGCGCACAACAGGACCGAGCACAAAGACAGCGGGAGCGAGACACACTCAAGGCTGCTCAGACCTTACAAAGACTATGGAGGGGCTATGCGTGCCGGAAGGTGGTTTCTAATCAGCTCAGGCAGGAATGGGATGGAATAGAAGGGTCGGCTGGTGGCTCTTCTCCCCCCAGGCCATATGATACAGAGGAGGAGGCTCTCGCACAACTGCAACGGCTGCTTCGGTTTGCCTCACCACACAATGGGTCGGATACTTCGCGGATACAGCACTACGGGCTGCGCCAGATAGCGACCGCACAGAGTTTACAAATAACGACGAGGGGGCCGTGGCCGTTGGCATACTTGAGGTTACAGAGGAAAATGTTGAGAGTGCTTCAAGACCGGCTACACCGATGGAGTAAAACAACAGGCAATACTCATGAGTGGGACCTGGACGATGATTTCCTGATCATCCTCCGTTTCATCACGCAGCAAATACCCGCAGAGACCTCGCAGAATGCCACGCAATTCTACCAGACCCTTGTTCTCCTCGTTATCCGCCGGGTCATGCTGCCAACACCATCGAACGAGAAAGGCGCATTGGATGAACCCCTCAGAATACTTTTAGACACGACGATTACGCCCCTTACCACAGTGACTGGATATACTTTGAAAGCATACGAAGCGTTTGGTACGACTTTTATGACAATACCCATCCTGGCTGCAGATACCGCTGCATCAAAAGCAGTCCGAGACTTCTTCGCAGCGTCGATCAATTACAAACTGCTTGCAAACGCTCTAGCAACGACATTTAAGAAGGTGCCGGTACAATCACACCCCGACACGAGGGAAACATCGAGTCGACTCATCCTTTTGGCCTGCTTCGTTTATTTCCACCGTTTCGCACATAATTTCAAGACACCGGAAGCAGACTCCGCGCAGAAGGATTTCGTGACAGTGATTTCCTTATTACTAAATTCGCTCCCAATCAACATCATCGAGGGCCATGGCAAACGCGCCGATCAAAACGACGAAACCGCATCATCGAGCACATCAAACGTCTTTTTGCGAGAACAAATCCTATCCTTGATAAATAAAGAGGGTATTGGAAACCTCCTTGCAGGATCCATACAGTCGACAGACAGCTCAGAAGATGAGAAGGTAGACGAGGCCAGACAGCTTGCCAATTACGCCCTGGCCTTGCTTAGATTCTTCCCACGGCGCGGTGATGAGATCCGGATGTGGCTTTACATTGGCCCTTCAAACGGCCAGAACTCATCTCGAAAACTACCAGCCATAAGGTACTTTTGGGAGGCTTCCAAACGTTCATTGGTGTTTGGTACCATCCTGAAGGATTCCCGCGCGGCAATCGAGCTTTTGAAACATAAGGCAGCCGTGGAGAAATCCAGCAGCTCATCTCTGAGCTGGCAACCTGCTGAACAAGAAATCGAACGAGGAGCTGCATTGGCTGATGAGTGGAGAGTCATTCTGGTCTTTCTTGAATTGTATACTTTCGTTCTTAAAGTCACCGACGACGAGGAGTTCTTTTCCGGTGGCAACGAAGCATCCTCGGGACAAATACGTGATAACGCACTTCCTTTACCAGAAGTCAAAGAATTGACGACATTCCTGAAAAATCTTGGTTTCACATTATATTTCAATGCTTCCGACATCATTTCAACCGACGAACGCGACACGAGTAGCACCGGTCTCACTTTCTTCAACCCCAAGGCTATCGACGTACAACCCACAAAGCCGGCAGTTGAACCTTCAGTAGGCGGTGTCGCCGGGCTGAGTTTAGACTATGTCAAAGGGCTAGTTACGGGACTACTCCGCATGGTTTACGAGCGTGACTCCAGACGTAAATTCTTGCCATCAGACCATTGGCTTATGACATCTCGCTTCGATATGAGTGGGTTCATTCCAGCTGTTGTGCAAGAGGAAGAAAGTCGACATAAGATTGAGGAAGAGGATGCCGAGGACATTGATGACGACGACGATGACGATGAGGAAGACGAATTAGATGACACTCCACAACTGATCGGAACCAGTCGAACGCAGCAACAACGCAGACAAGAGAGGTTGGTTCGCGAGCAACGCAAGGCCTCTAGGCGAAGATATTTGCAGGCAGTTGCGCCTCGGTTGGAGATTCTGCAGAATATGCCCTTCTTCATTCCCTTCACGACGCGTGTACAAATCTTCCGCGAATTTGTTCATCTAGATATGACTAAACGTCGTGGAGCCATTGACCCGGATGCATGGCGAAGCAGGGTCATGCTTAGGCCCGATGCTCCCCAGCAATTCGCAAGGCATGCCGCAAGCATCAGGCGTGAGCACGAGTTCGAAGATGCTTTCCGACAGTTCTATCCATTGGGACAAGGTCTCAAGGAACCTATTTCGATCACTTTCGTGGATCAATTCGATGCCCAGGAGGCCGGTATCGATGGTGGCGGCGTTACTAAAGAATTCCTGACTAGCGTCACAAACAGGGCATTCATGCCTACAGATAATATCGACATGTTCATTGAGAACGACCAGCATCTTCTCTACCCCAATCCATCCGCTATGGAGGAGCAGAAGGAGGTTCTGAAGCAGGCAGGTCTCCGTGAGAACTCCGCAGAGTTCCGCGCTTTGGTCACGGATTTGTCGCAGCGATACGAGTTTTTGGGTCGCATTATTGGCAAGTGCCTGTACGAGGGTATTCTAGTCGATGTCAACTTCGCACCCTTTTTCCTCCGCAAATGGGCCCTGACCGGAGGTACTGGGTCCGCGCCGAAAGAGACCAGTTACCGTCCTACTCTCAATGATCTACGCGATCTTGATGAAGCGCTTTATCAGGGGTTCCATCAATTGAAGACATATCCCGGCAACGTCGAAGACTTTTCCCTCAATTTCACAGTCACGGACAACATTGTTGTAGACCATAGCACAACGCCCAAGAAGACCAAAGCAATCACTCGGGAACTCATACCAGGTGGATCCGATGAGGCTGTCACGAACCAAAACCGTCTCGTCTACATCACCTACATGGCTCGCCACCGTCTCCAGAACCAACCCTTCGTGCAGACTGCTGCTTTCCTCCGTGGTCTAGGCAGCATGATCCAACCAAGCTGGCTCAGCATGTTTAACCACTCTGAACTACAAACCCTCATTGGCGGCACATCCTCCTCAATCGATATCGACGACCTCCGACGTAATACCCTCTATGGCGGCACCTTCGTCATCGGCGATGACGGCCTCGAACACCCCTCCGTCCAGCTCTTCTGGAAAGTCCTCAAAGACCTATCTGACGGCGAGCGCCGCGCGGTCCTCAAATTCGTCACCAGCACTCCCCGCGCACCGCTCCTTGGCTTTGGAACGCTCAACCCTCGGTTCAGCATCCGGGATAACGGCAGCGATCAGCAGAAATTGCCTACGGCGAGCACGTGCGTCAACCTGCTCAAGTTGCCGATGTACAAAGATGAGGCTACATTGAAGGAGAAGTTACTATATTCCGTCTTCTCCGGCGCTGGGTTTGACTTGAGTTGAGATGTGGATCACAATTTCATATTGCACAACACCATCCCCTCTTCTCATACTCCCGGCGGATCATGCATATTAGCGATCATTAGATCTCCTTACTCTTCTTCTTGATGATTTTCATTTCTCGTTCTTCCTCTACCATGGGAGAATTCGGTGTCTGGAACTTGTGTGGCTGTTATGGATTCATGGATGACGACGCATTGGCATGCATGATGGGAACAAACGATCAATTATGAGTAGATTTCTTTTCTTGCTCTGATAAATATATACGTCTAAAATATAGTGTCATGTGCTCATCTTGTGGATGCTTTTCTGGTGATTGAAGGGATCAGTTTGCGTGGTTGTCGCGAATGCTGAATGCGTGGATGAGGGGGGCTTGGAAAGGTTACCGGGCTCCTACACACACAGACACTCCGTTTATTATTCTGTCTGGGTTGTAATTAGAAGGTTTAAGGTTCAAGAGAGAGGATAATTTGCATGAGGATTCACCTTCACATTTATGTTCACCATTAGTACTGTTCGTTATTGCATCTTAGCTATACTTGATGTGTGATATTTACTACGTGTGTAAGGTACTATTAAGGGTAGCAAAGTTAATTAAATTATATTCTATATGCTGAATATATTAAAATAAGTAGAAGCAAAATGTTATTAAGTGAAATTAGCATAATCGCTCTAAATTACTTAAACGTGAAGCCCCCTTAGCCACCTAGATGTTGCTTAGACCCGCCAAATTTCCTGCAATGTCGTCTAAGAGGGACATGAGGCTATCCAAACGCTCATATCATAATATGCCAGAGGGTTCAGTATCCCAGACATGTGTCTGTCGCGCCTGGACGGGCGTCTTGTATGTCCAAATTCTCTCCAACTTTGCTCATACCAGTTAAAGTCCTTCAAGACCTCCACTTAAGTGGAGTTCAGATTGACTTCGGTAGCCTCACCCACCATCGCTAAAACTAAAATGCACCAAACCTCGATGTTTGAAGCGCCGCGATGAAGAATAGTAAATTCTAATTCTGCACCATGTTGGGCATTGTTGATTCCATTGGAATGCCGGCTTTTGCAAGAGACTCTCGAATGGGTCCGTCAAGAACTGCTTGTGCTTTCCTGACAGCAGCACCAATTACTGCTTGACTCTCTTTAGAGAGCGAACTCTCTTCTCTTTCGGGGAACACTTGATTGAAGTCATGTTCGATCTGCTCTATGATTGGATAGATTTCCGTCCTCAGGCGTGTTTCCCATTTAGTGAACACACTGCCAAATTTGTTCAAGAAGCAGGTCTTAACCTCCGTGTACGGGCCCTTCCTCCGGTCGCATACCCCCATTTTGAATGTTTCGCATCGAACGGCATGCTTGGTCATTCTCTTGCCCTTGCCTTTGGTGGCTTGTGATTGTTCGCATTCAAGGTATAATGATTGCATGTTTGCTGTAAAGGGTGCAGTCTCGTTGTTTGACATGCATTTAGAGATGAGAAGCCGTGTTGATCGTTGCAGTGGTTCCACGAGAGAGTCCATACTGGCTGTAATGCTACCCTTCTGCTTTTCAAGGGTATCGAAGAATCTCAGATATGTTGCGGACTTGACCTGTTGTTGGACAGTATTGCGGAGACATTGCCTAATTTGGGTTTGCATATCCTCCAAGATATCATCGAATGTGAGGAGAAATTCAGAACGAAGATGAGGTAGTCCGTGGTCGCACAAATGGTTCAGGACAGGCTCCATATCATCCCGCATAATTTGGATCAGAGAGTTATTCCAGTTTGCTGTGCCACAGGCACTTGTCTTCCAATGGCCCTCATTTCGGACGAATGCAAGATGTCCTGCAGGGTTGTATTTCGCCCACTTGTCGCACAATGCTTCAGCCTTTTCAATCCAGATGCTCTCACGTATCTCGAATCTATCCTTGACCTCAAGGATGTTATCTGAACAGAATTCTTTTATCACCCTGCCGCAGCACATAAGCATGCTTTCGACAGCATTAGTCACAACCTTCCTTAGCAATTCACGCCTTAACATCGGCCTGAACCCAGAGCACGATAGTGCCATTGAGCTCAGCAATGCCCTGACTCGGATGTCACAATGACGCTTGAGGGCTAATGACCGGCCAGATTTGTGCGGCAAATTTAGGAGAAAATGTCGTAGGGCAGGAATGCCTGAACGCTGAACACTTACGCCTGGCGGTTCTAACGGCGAGTAAGGTTCCAAATGCTTCATGTACTCAGTACTGGTGACGCAAAAGACGGGCAGTTCATGGGCACCGCCGGCATATGTGCCTTTGGTAAGTGCGCTATGGAACGTGCGAAACTCGTGCTCCAGCTGGCGACTACGTCGGGCAATTAGAATCTCCAGTCGTTTTATGTCAATGTGCTTCTCATGAATGGCATAGAGATCCCTTTGCTCATTCAACGTAATGAGAAATTCAGATTTTCGTGGAGTGGTCTTAAGCTGCTTCTTGATTTTCGTCATTTCGGAGTTGATATGTTTTTCTTGCTCGCTCAAATATTGAAGGTCCTCTTCTTCATCGACCTTGAACTCGGTGCGCTTGTCTTTCAACTCATTGACTTTATCAATCTGAGTTATAACGACAGCGACACTATCTCGCTTTCTCCTCCAAGCATCTTCAATGTAACTCTTCACCGCTGCATCGTCATCAGCTCGTTCATTGCGATGCACAACGATCGTCCAATCGGCTCGCTTTAGCACGCGTTGAGCCATTTGAACTCTATGCCTATTGCTGTCCGACAGACCGGGCAGATCAACGAGAATAATATGTCTGTCTAGAATGTGATGATCGAAATTCACGGTTATCAGCTTGATTAATGGCCAGACTGAACACTCGAGCTCGCTGTCGTCTCCTATTTGAATCAGGGGTCGTAGACAGGTTTGTGTAAAGGGCTCCAGCTTCTCAGACAACTCCTCAACTGAGTGTGCAGATATCTGGGAATACTGTATGAAGTTCACTAGCTGACTGTGTATCTCCCTGGTCCAGATCAGCATTTCTTTTAAGACTCGAGGATCATCGGGTGTCTCCGCCTGCGCCAAAAATGTCTCAGCATCTTCGTCATTCTCAAATTCAGGACGATGAGCAAAGAGCGCCAAGAAAGTTTTTTAGCCGGCATTCCTAAGTCAATTTGGTCAGTATCTCGGGGCCCTTCTTCCTCCTCTGGCTTGAGAAAGTGATTCCAGTAGTCCTTCAAAGAAAGTTTGATCAAGCTCTCACACTTGTCAATTGGAAAAAGCTCCATCTGAGCGACAAATCGAGTCTCTTGGTTCTCGAGTGCGGCTTGATAGGTGATTGGAACGAGAGTTCCTACGGATCCTGATGAGACCAATGATAGGCCATCGATATCGAGAAGAGAGTTGATAAGGCAAGACTTTCCTACTCCAGAGCTGCCTAGGAAACATACCAGAGAAGGACGTGGATAGGTTGGATCTTGCAAATTATGTAGGTGGGTGAGCATATGCTTTAACTCTGCATTCTCCTCCGTGCTGTCTGAAACAACTAATTGAAGCTGTCGAATCATTTCTTTCGTGCGACCCTCAGCAAGTGCGAAGTCGGGGTGATACATTGGTAGATCGGGAAGGGTCTCGGTCTTGGGGTCATATACTATGTCGCGTTCATCGTCATCCTGGGATCTGAACTGGTCGCTGACGCTCTGAAAGTGGGCTTCAAGACGAGATGTACCTTCATCTTCAAAGCTCTTAGCATTGGCTTTCACCTTCTCAACTTTGCTTACTTTTTCGTTTCCTTGTCCTATTGTTGTCTTTTGCCTCTTTTCGTGGTACTCGTTTGAAGCCCGCAGGCCTTGATAAGAGAAGTGAGCCCTTGCACACACCAGGTTCCTCTTGAGACACGCTGGACTCCGTTTTGGAAGTGACAGGACTTGGCAGTTGGATTTCGCTCTGAGGTATTTGGAGACTTCTTGTTGGCTCAAACAGTGGAGATTTCAATGGACTGATCGGCATTTTGATGATCAGCGAGAGTCAAGTTGTCGATACCGCTTGTGAGATTAACCAGGCAGCTGTCCTTGAAACCTGTGTAGAGTGGAAGCACTGAATGGTGATAGAGAGAGGTTATGGAAGAAAGAGATTAGGGCAAGAGTTGTAATAGAGAAGATGGAGGAAGTAGAAGGTGAACGTGAAGTGAAGTAAAGGGTAAGGTACGAGTGTGTGAGTGTGCGAGAGAAAAGATAGAGAGAGTGTGAGTACGAGAGGGAGAGAGAGTGTGTGTGTGTGAGTGAGTGAGAGAGGGAGAGAGGAAGAGAGGGAGAGAGGAAGAGAGGGAGAGAGGAAGAGAGGGAGAGAGGAAGAGAGGGAGAGAACGGAGATGTAGAAATAGAGCAAGAATCAATCACGGAAGTTGATATCAGAGGTTTTAAGGATACCAATTAAAGGCAAGGTACCAGAGTGCTGAGCATGAGTAGAACGTTCACTTGGCATGCAATTAGATGTGAAAGACTTGGAACATGTTGGGAATGGACTTTCAATAGACTGAGCCTTTCATATTTTGTTAGCATACGAACAGATAAAATAATTGATGAACTGCCATGTGATTGACTTTTCCAACAATTTCAAGCATATGCAATGAGGATGGTTGCAGAACTGAATGGATAACGTCCTATATCATTCCACTGCCTACATTGCGCCTGATATAAGCATAAAAATTCTATCTCTGAGAAGCTCAACTGTTCGGAGAATTGCTGTTAGACAACCTATGTTCAAATTTGACATGTGAATGAGATCCTCAAAGGCTTGGGATATGAATGTAAAGTTGGGAGTTGAAGCTCATCTGGGTGTGCCTTGCTATATCTGAATCAAACTGTCGGACATTAGACAGTACGAATAGACTCCTATAGAAGGCCACCCTATGCAACCAATGTCTTTCAACATGAGAAAAATGCACCATGTTCATATTGTGAGACTTTGCAGCGTATATAGAGCTCACGTGACACAACGACAACACGCGTTAAGCGCCATTCCAATCACACGCGAACCTCAAGCTCCAAGCTTGAACGACCAAATCGAAAATCCCCACACGCAAACATGTCGTCCGGAGCAGCGCCCTCGCGACCTTCCGGTGACCGGCGCACATCAGCTATTCAGAAACGACAGTCAATCTTGCCGAAGCCTGCGTCTATCGTCCTCGATCCTTCCGTTATCATCGCCCAACACGCGCAGTTGACCGGTACACAGCCAATCACGATTGGCCCGAATGCAGTATTGCACCCTCATAGCAGGATATCAAGCACACTTGCTCCTGTCGTTCTTGGCGAGGGGGTTGTTATATATGAGAGGGCGAAGGTGGGCGTGGGAATTGGTAACGGTACCGATGCCAGCCTTCGAAGAAGCAGTACGGCCTCTGCGCGAGACTCAATACGATCGACTAGAGGGGAAGGCACCGTCCTAGAACGGCATGTAGTCATAGAGACTGGGGCAATTGTTGAAGCAGCAGAAATCGGAGAAGGCAGCCTGGTCGAGGCGGGTGCAGTTCTTGGGAGGGGCTGTGTGATTGGCAAGGTATGATGATCTTTCAATTCAAGCAACAGCTATCAGGAAATTTTGCTCATCCTTTCTTCTCTAGTACTGTACGATAACATCAGGCACCATCATACCGGGCAGTACAAGTTTGCCAGACTATACAGTTGTTTATGGCGGCACTCAGCATCGTATTGATCAAACGCTCAAAGCACGTCCCGAGTTGCAGCAGGCCAGACTTATCATGCACGAAAAGCAATTGGAGGTTTTCAAGAAGCTTATCACCAATCATATTGCCAAATGGATGTAAGGGTCACTCCGATTCGATCATTAAAATCGCGGAATGTTCTACTTCGGGGAGAGTCGTCCGATTATTCGCACCCACAGACCGACTGAAGACAGGGTGAGTATTGCCCTACTCAGGATGATATGGTACGCGTTTGTTCGTATAGCCAATCTGGGTCTCGACTTTTCAGCGCTTTGTCTACCTCAGCTTCTGCCGACCAACCATACAGCTCCATATTGGTATCTCCAATCATGGCTTTGCCTGTTTCAAGGATCAGTCATTCTTCGAACACTATATCATTTGCTTGAACATACCAATTGCCGGAACATGGATCACTGTCCAAAGGAAGAAGTACATGAAGTATTCTGCCACAATACTCATATTTCCTTTCTGACCGGAGATCTTCTTTCCACGCTCGACAATCTTATGGATCCGAGGACCTCGGATTTCGTGGAAAAGCTTGATAGCAAGTGCATTGGCTTCTCTCTCATTCAGTTTGCCGTCCTCGCCCAGTTTGAGACACCTTGCAAGCAATAACGATAATGTCTCTGAGTCTTCCAAAGCCTGGCTTGCGCCTTGCCCCGTGGTCGGGTCCAAAGCGTGCGCAGCATCTCCTACGAGCACTATTCCGTTTTCGCCCCAATGTGGAAGCTCAGGCACTACCCATGTTGGATAGATGGACTCAACTTCAGCATGATCGAGCACAGTGTGTAGGATAGGATCCTTCCAGTTCTTGTGGCGGTCCCTCAATTCCTGTTTGATGGAGGCCGAGTCAATGGCTTTTGTCTGTGGAAGATTTGATGTCTCAAACGTAGACCACCACATCAAGGATTTAGCGGACGGAGGACCAGCCGATGAGTATCCGAAGAAACCATTTCTGCCAAAAGTGAAAACCATTCTACGATCTTGAAGGATTTCATCAGGAATTTCTGTTCTCAAGAATCCTCCTACACCTGACTGGCCACTATAAGTCGTTAGCTTGGAATGTGCAGGATAGAGGCCCAGAACTGACAGATAGTATGCCTGGTACTTTTCGTCAGTCCCAAATAGCGCTGTCCGTACTATGCTTCGTGAACCATCTGCACCGATCAAGAGATCTGCTACATCGTCGATTGTATTGCCTTCTCCATCTATACCTTTTACAATTGTCTTCCCGGTCTCTTCGTCGCGTTCGACATGCGTTATCCTTCTGTATTGTACCACTCCATCACCGACATACTTGCGAATTGTTTCCCAAAGACCATGCCTAGAACTAGCAACAGTTGCCTCTTCCTCAACGCTATCTGGATGGACACCCTTGTCCGATGTTTTCTGCTTCCCAAGCGTCCATCCATTGGCACCCTTAAACACGTAGTGCTCAGCTTTGAAGCCCTGTTCTATAACTGCGGCATGCAATTCCGGATCAAGTCTTCGTAAAACTCCCAATCCATTGGGAGAGATGCCTAGACCGCCGCCTACCAGTACCGTAGATTTCGATAAGTCGTCAAGGTTGAATCCCTCGGGAGATGTGTCTACGTCGGCAGGGGTTGGTGGATATTTTGATGCATAAAAGCGAGGAGCGTGCGATTCATAGATGATTATCGAATGCTCGCTGGACAAATGTTTGCGAAGGTGTAGATAGGTAGACAGCCCGCAGATTCCTGCGCCAACAATAATAATCTTCATGTTGAGATTGCGGATAGTTCGGGTCGACGATCAATGAAGTCATACCATCAACTACATCGCCTTGGGATCGGCCAGTCTAAATAGTTGTTGGGTTCAATGTCGAGCACATACTTTTCTTTCGCATCTAGAAAAATAATAACCGTGTGAAGTGGCTATCAACAGACGCGTGTGCAATACGAACTACGATCAGGCACCAACATTTCGAAGTCGGTGGCGCATCATGTGGATTCCTAGTGCGTAATGTTAAGCGTGGTATTAAGGGTCCATTATTGTATCCGTACCTGATCACGACTTCTAGGCAGCGCTACGAAGACTTATGCGAGGAAAGGCGGGACGAATGTCATTGGATTAAGTTGAACTACTCATCCAGAGGGTTGGCACGTCGGGCTGGCCCTATACTAGTATTTTATGCCTACAACAGTGCCTTGGCAAGGTTTATTACAAGCAGTTAAGATTGCTTACTGGCTACAGTACATTTTTAAGTAGATACTTTAGGTATCGAAGATACATGAAGTTAGCAGGTAGCCAGCCCGACCTGCCAACCCTCTGTACCAACTTAGTCCACTACTTCAGCTTTCGAAGTTGTAAATAACCAAGACTTAAACCGTTTATAGGATTACGCCATTAAAGAGTGGCTGAGTGTCGTGCTTTGTTCAGCATGAATCTCTGCCTGCGTCCATATACCCACCCATCTCCCAGAGCTTATAACATTGATAATTATATACTCCTCCAAGGACTTACTGTTTAGAACCCTCATGTTATGGACAGTTGTAGACATGGTTTACAAAGAGACATTACAATCCCTCATTCCGCAGCGTAAAGCAACGCTGCAACTATTAGGCACACAATGATAATTATCCTCCAGCAGCCCATTTGCCTCTGACACCTAGCCTAGATAGAAGCAAATTTTGACAGACAAATTCACATACCGCTCTGGAATTGAGGTTGGCAATATATGAGTACAAATTGCCCGAGTCGGTTTTGCAGGTGCCGGTGCCAGATCCTTGGATGCGACGAGGCTGTCATTGGCCCTGGCAGGGAGCCTGGATATTTCAACTGTTATCTTCACCATCTTCCCCACATCTTCAACTATACAATCCACGTGCTCTCTAGGGTATCTGAGATAGAATTCTATTCATTGGAGTTGAACATGTTACGTTCATTGGTCTGTGTTACTCAACACATACTCTACTATCACATTAATAATGTCGATCCCTAGCAAGGTGCAAGGCCGCTCCAGGGACCTCAACGGCAGTTTTCATCCGTGGAGAAGAGCATTGCCATGTATGATCTTGGCCTTGTGTTACATTTGAAAAGGTATTAAGATGTCCATGCACCCGGACGAACGGTAGGCGATTCAGAGGGAACAGTTGCACAGAAATCAACATGGTAGGAACCACTCGAGCATTTCTTCTTGCACTGGTAGTTGGCATCGTGAGTGGCAACCCGGTCAAGGCACCATTCAAACTCAACAGGTATGACAGCTAAGGCCACTTTGATAGAGCTCTGTCTTTTGACTAACGAACCTTGTCAGGAGAGATGATGGATTCCCATACCCCCTCGATGAGGTAGACAGAATGTATGAGGAGTCTCTTGGCAAGTATGAGGCATACCTTGCCAAAAAGAATGCTTCATCCCATGGATGTACCCTCGAGACAGCCGTGAGAAGGAAAGAATGGTGAGTAAATACGTGTCTTCTATCGTTGTAACTCTAACCAGACCATAGGCATGACTTGTCGGTACCCCAACGGGAAGAATACATCCGTGCAGTACTATGTCTTCAATCGAAGCCACCAAAGGCGGACACAAAGAAATACCCAGGTGCTAAGAATCGATATGATGATTTCGTCTTGACCCATGAGACGCAAGCAATGCACTTGCACTCCACTGTAGGTTCCCATGTATCATTTCAGCAGTTATAAAACTAAATTCAAGTCAGCCTCACTTGTTCCCAGCCCACCGCATCTATCTCTGGGCGTACGAGAAAGCCCTGCGTCAAGAATGCGGATACACTGGCTATCAACCGTACTGGAACTGGGGCCGCACTGCTATCGAGCCGACCAAGCAACCTATCTTCAATGGTAATGCCTCCAGCATGGGTGGGAATGGTTTGAAGGTCAAATACCCAGGAGTCCCGACCACTGGCTTCAAGAAACCCTACGACATCATTCCCGCCGACGAAGGCGGCGGCTGTGTTACAACTGGTCCATTCGCCAAGTATGTTACAACACCCCATCATCGACTAGTACACTGACTTTCTCCGTAGTATGACCGTAAGCCTAGGTCCCATTGGCAAGATCCTAACCGATGTCCCACCCAATCCTCGGTCGGATGGTTTCGCTGCCAATCCACGATGCCATCGTCGAGATGTCAACAAATATGCCGCTGCTATGACTGCCGCCAACTACACATACGCGCTGATCAAAGGAGCCAACAACGTCGATCTCTTCCAGAAGAACATGCTTGGTATGCCAGAGAAGAACGATTGGGGAGTTCACTTGGCAGGTCACTACACCATTGGTGGAGACCCAGGAGGCGTAAGTTCGATACCACGTGCGTGTGTTACACTTATACTTACATGGCGATAGGACTTCTTCTCCTCTCCTGGTGACCCGATGTTTTGGTTCCACCATGGCATGATTGATCGCATCTGGATGATATGGCAGCTCCAGGATCCTGACAAGCGGATGAATGTGCTTCCGGACAACCCACCGAAGAATGATGTAATTGATTTGCAATGGTCGGCAGACAAAGCTAACACCTGGGATTTGAATGATAGTATTGGCGGGTTCGAGGGGCAGTTTTGTTACATCTATGATTAGTAGCAAGAGGCTAATTGACCCATTTCGGGGTTCAGTACATAACTACATCTACATCAAATCAAAGTGCGAGATTTTCAAGTCCCACTTTGCCGAGGAAGTGTTTAAACTTTACACGCTTACATTTTCTTCAAACCCACAGGCGATTATAAGTAGAAATCCTATGTCCGGCGTTTTCCATCACATGTGCATATATCTGCTTGACGATATCAAATGTCACCTAGTACCGCCTGTTGATCGTGTCTATGTCCACCGTCGTGATGAAACTTAACTTCAGGATTGGGGTTGACAGATGAAGTCTGGGACAACACATTCCCGTGGCCATCGATAGACTCCGCGAAGAATAAATCGGCCTCTTGAACCTGATAATCTTGCAAGTCAACCACGAGGCTCGTCTCAAAGGATTGCCTCTCACTTTCTCCTAGAAATGTTGACTTCCCCTTGTGCACAGCATAGAACCTCCACGACTTCGCTTCTGTATCTCCGTTCCATGAAACGTACAGTTTCAAAGATGAATCCTTCTCCTTAACAGCTACAATCGCAGGTGGCTCTCTCGGCTTACCCGTCCACTCGAACCTAAAGCCGCGGTAATTCTGGACTCCAGCTCCAACTTCAAAGGAATCCAGATACGCATTGAAGATGGGCTCGCTGTCATTCGCACGGAATTCTGTGATAGTGCCTGCTTGGCCCCAGTTGACGAAGAAGTTTCCATTCGGGAGTATCTGCGTGTTTCCTTGGGATGCCCCCAGGACACGATCAGGGTGTTCAACTTGTTGGATCAAAGTCGCAGTCCAGTCGGATGTATTAAGTGCAAGTAATTTTCCGGTGGAGTAGTCGCGAATCTTGCCCTTATCGCCTCCCTGATGGCCATTCGATCCTGCGCCGTTATCGAAAAGACTAATGTATTCGATGGAGCCTTTGCGCCCTTGGAATCTTGCATCGTGCTGGAAGGCGAATTCAAGCTCATCGCTGAATGTGAAATTGGATCCCTTGCCCCCAAGTTGCCAGATGATAGCGCCAGTTTTACCATCAAGCTTGTACAGGGCGCTGACGTGGCGACCGGAGACGAGATAATTGCCCTGGTCATCCTTGTCGACGCTGTTAATGTGGAAATAATCCCAGGCATCGAAAGAAGAAAACCCTTCTCGCGGACGCTGTCCAAGCGAAAGAACACTCTCCGATGGACTGACATGATCTAAGCTATGCCATTCAAATAGGACCTTGCCAGTATGAAGGTCGAGCTCTACTAATTTCAGCATGGATAATGAAGTAATCTCAGCTTCGATATTTACCTTGAACAAGTGCATCCACAATCCACTTCTGCGTCTCATTTCCTCCATATGGGGACAGATCCAAAGGAACCTGGTCGTAAATTTCGACTAATGCCGTCTTGCCATCTACGATCCTGAATTCGTGCAAATCGAGTATTTTATGGTTGCCGCCTCGAATGTTCAAAACATGGTCATAATGCTCGTCAAGCAAAGTAGCGTGTCCATATCCGTGTCCGTGTAGCAAATCTATGGTTCCTTCGAAGGCTAGCAGAGTATCTTTGCCCTTGTACTTTGTGACCTGAAAATTGGACACGAAACCCGAGAAATAGCCCACGCTTGACCAGATCAGGTCGCCATTGTCGCGGAAGATGTAGGCTGCTGGTTGCTCAGGCTTGTCTGTCGCATCTTGCTTAACATCGCGATTTGCGCTGTACGGTGCTACGAAAATGAAACCTGCGCCCACTGCCTCGGTTGCAGCAATGGTGATGTTGAGTCGCGGGGGAGAAAGATCAGGCCTGGACCGGTATTGCCAATCTGCCAAGCAGGCTGGTACCAATGTTGCGAAGAGAAACGGTGAGAACTTCATTTTACTTTGTGGTCACAATTTTTGTAGCATTCCCAAAGAACATGTTAGAATGGTGCATCAAGGTCACTTATAGGTGCTGTAATTGTCTTGGTCCCACTTGGATCGCGCAATCCTACGCCATTGTTGCCGAATCATTTTGGCGAATGAGCGACGTACGGTATGACAGGAGAGGAGAACCTCATCCATTGCAACACTACCGCCGCGTATGAGGTACGTTATTCATTCTCAGCCTCTCAACCTAAGGGGGAAGTCGGAAATAGTCCTGGCCACCCACTATTGTTATGATCACCACCTAAGCACTGTTGTATCTAGTAAATAATATTATAGCATTTAGTATTTAAATTTAATAGCAATATTGCGAAGCCTTAAGAAGTGTTTTTAATATAATGTTATTCTGCCCTCTGAAGTGTCTCTGTAGTCAATTAAATAGCCTCACGAGCCTTCCTAGGACTATTTCCGACTTCCCCCTTAGGCTGAGAGTCAGCCTCATTTCGAAACCGGAAAGACTCTTTTTTTTCATGATGCATGGCCATTCATTGTTCCCATTGTCGCACGAGACGGAGATAGTCCCAAAGCTCGCCTTCGTAATCGATATTTCAAGATTCCACAGGGTGAGATCGCCGTTCAATTCGATCGCATTATGAGCTACACTGGGCATGTGCTGCGATGGTTAACCTCGACGTTGGGGATGCGTGACCAAAAGGTTTATTGCGTAGCTAGAGTACAGGCGTTGTACACCGTTGCAACACTGGTTACGTCTTTGCTGCATAGCCACCAATTCAACCTTACACCTGCTTTACTGTAAATCTAGAAAGATCCTATAGTGTACTTGGTACCAGTCCTCGAAGTGTCACTTGTGGTGTCACGACTGACAAAAGTACGGACAACGCAAGCAAGAAAGACCGGAAATATATGACTGAAGAGCCCACACTCCGTGACAATGTTTCTGCATCGATACCAGTTGTTCAACGGTTTGCAGACCAATCTGTGATGAATTTAGGAGCACTCACAACGCGCTTCGTACCAAAATATGGCTGTACTCAATCTGTTTATGCCTGGGTCTCCGCTGATAGCGCAAAGATTCCCTTAGAATTCTCCTACTTTTATATTCTTGGCCCTCAGAATTACACAGATTGTTACCCTTCCGACTATGTAACACGATCGGACGCATATTATTCTCCTGGACTTTGTCCTTCGGAGTGGTCATTAGGGTGTACTTCGCAATCTACGAGTGATGGACTGATAGAAACTCAAGCGATTTGTTGTCCGAAGTAAGTATCCCGGAAACTCATGGGAAACATTTGTAAAGCTGAAACAGTTATGTAGATACTATCGCTGCGTGGAAGGGCTGCCTATCAGCAAGTCCTGGCCTTGTCTGAGCTGGGAGCCCAACTCAAGAACCATGTTGTATCCCAAATCCTTCAACAATGACTATTATATAACCTCCATAAAATACATCTACATCCACGCTAATGGCATTGGTGTAAGATGGCGCGAAGGAGATTTCATGACCACTTCCACACCATCGCTAGGATTAGCACCAACAGCCAACGGAATTCCACAAACCTCAACTTGGTCCGAATTGACTACATCGAACACAGCTTCGGTACCAACATCCCCGGTATCAAGTTCGCAGAAACTTTCCAAGAATACATATGCAGGGATAGGTGTGGGCATTGGCATTGCCACTATAGGTCTGTCTGTCATAGTCTTCATGTTGCTAAGAAGACGGAGAAGGTTTAGACGGACCAACACGGTGAACGCAGGATCAACTGATCAACATACGCTCGAGCCGAGACGTGGAAGTAATATAGAAGAAGCGGAAAACATAAATACGGCGGAGGTTCGTGCTCATGAGCTTGAAGGATCACCCCAGAAGATGATAGCCCATGAGAAATAGGAAAGAGATGACGGGATTACAGCGCGTACTAGATGAGTAACATGATTTTCGAATTGATTAATATTTTGGAACCTCCTGATGCCCATCTAAACATGTCTCCGCAGACATAATATTTACTGGTTTGGTTGTGTTATGACGTCCGACCCGTTCCATAGCTTGGGCCCTGGGATATCGTAGCCGTCTATCTTGCGGTGAATGTCCACAAGTATTCCTTTATCCTCAACTTTATATAGTTCGCGGCCAACATTTCCACCGTCTAATCTTTTCGTTTGCTCGCCGGCCAAAGTTGACCCTCCCGATACCCTCAAATTGACACACTGAGGATACGCCTGCGCACCATACTTCTTCTCCGCGACATGTAGCGCAATAATCTCATGCCTCAACACATAACTGCCCGGCTCGAGTGCTTTCGGTATCTTGACCGTCCACTGAAACTTATTCGCAATCAGGACGTCGCTCGTCCAAGTGCCGCCCAGCTCCACCCAGCCGGAAGAATTCAGCCAGCCCAACTGCCCAATCTTGACCCACTCCAACTTTTCTTTATCCGCAGTGCTGCAATCGCCGCCATCGCAGCGAGCGAGGTAGTCCAAAACCGGCCCTTTGTGACTTGTCGGCCATTCGTTCCATTGCATCGTCAGTTTCTCGCCGGCGGTGGCGTTCACGTGCAGTGCGCCGGGTTTGGAGTTGAAGTGGCATGCTATGTTTGTACTGTTGAAAGCCGATGGCGAAATATAGTTGTTCCCGAGATTTGAGGCAGACCAAGATGCCAGAAGAGGTAATGGTTGGGCACTCTGAGCGTACTCTGGGTCCCATCCTGGGTACACGGTGCCACTGGATGTTGTTACATTCGTGATCCGGCCATGCGCAGCGACATGTTGCAAGAGGGCAATGCCTGGAAAAAGGAATGCATTACGCATCGTGAACACGGGAGACTGTAGAAAACGATAGCTCAAAGAAATTCAAGTTACATAACGCAAGGTCTATGCAAAGATAAAATCTAATGGTTTGGCATAATGAAGTATTGAAGTCGGCCTATACTTCTACTTTAATACAAGACATGCTAAACAATACTTTCCTCAAATAGTCTATTGATAACGAAGTGCCCAACTCAAGTACGAATACAAAGTAAATCACCTCACTTCCGCTGGCTCCGAATACCTTATATTATTCTTCTGGACACTATAGATTGCATAGTAACCATTATTTGTGTGTCGTACCGACCACAAGAGTGCGGGTCTTTGATTGGTTAAAGGTGTAGTACAATTTGTGCGGCACTCTATTTGACGATGGGATCGGCGCCTGAATGCGCCTAAAATGAATGTGTATCCATGTTGAAACTCCTTTACTCTATTGAGTTGAAGTCTCTGAAAAGGCAAACGAGGTGTCGATTGCAATACTTTGCGGTTTAGGATTCCGGGAACACTAGAACGACGTTGAGTACATCGATAATACGTGACCATTCGAGAGCTTGACATACGAACTCTGCTTTTGTAAAACTTGATTCAGGTAGGGTTGCCATTCATTATCTTCAAGGGATAACTCAGGTAGTATATTAGAATACTATATAAAATATGAACATAACTTAGTAGTGTGTTGGTACATGCGAAGCGAAAACGTTCAAATGACAACTTTACCTCCCTTACCGCCTTACCAGGATAACCAAAGACTTCTCCACAATAAGGAAGCCACTATTGCCCACGTCACGCGCGATCAGTCTGCCTCCAGCCAAATACCACCTCTTTCCTTTCTTCTCATCTTTGTTCTTGTGCTTTAACAAGTGTTTTACACTGACACTCTTCTCGTTCAGAGCTCGCTTATCATATTTCGACGCCTCATTGAAGACTTCGGCCATCTTGCGCAGCTGTGCCTGACCACGTCTTTGATGTAAATACTTTGGAGGAACCTTGAGGCCGATTGCAAGTTCTGGCACGCCTACTTTCCAACACTCAAAGTGCTCCCGGACCGTTCTAGGCTGCACTGTACGTGCGTTGATGCGACGGGTGATACGCTGAATGGAGCTGGTACGACGGATAGGTCGAGGAATTGGATCCGTCGTATTGTTCGTGTCGTCTATCAAGTAGAAATCAGGACTTGGTGTGCGAGGCGGGATGGATCTCCCAGGCGGCTGGTTTGATGGTATGACGATTTGAGAGGCGTAACTCTGGACGAGACTGTCCCGATTCTTGTTGGGAACCAATCCTGAATTGACTCGGGTGACAGCCTGAGGGCGGCGGGGACCAGGCCGCAATTTCTTATTCTTCCTGGCCTGTTTCCATCGATACTCGTCGAGGGTTCTCTTGAGCCTGGCAATGACCAGACTCAGGATGATGGTGACCTTGACATTCGAGTCGGAACGCGGACGTGGTGTCGTGCTTGTGAGCTGACCGCGTGGATCGTTTGGAAACAGGTCCAGCGCAGCGATCTTCGGCATCATCACCTCGATGTATGCCTCGATTTTGTACAGAATGTTTACTGTCTCCGTGCTGATGAAAATGTTCAACAGATTGGAAGACAACACCAACTCCGACTTCGCGTCCGCTATTTCCTTCTTCCCGCTGGTGGACCATTTCCACTTGTTGTAGGCCCCCAGACCTCCATCTGCTTTGAATCGCTGGAATTTCTTCAAGACTCTCTCTTGCTGTGTCACACTCGCTTGGCATCGCTTGATGAGTTGAGCGAGCTTCTGCTGCTTGGCTTTCGCAAGAGCAGTCTTTTGGTGCATGAATGATGCTTTGTTAGTTACTAAGTCCGACTTCACACTTTCCAGGACTAGGGTCATGGTGTGGACATAATCGGCGGCCAGGCGGATCTCTTCTGGAGCTGCTTTACAGGCTTTGTATAGATCGTATGCTTGTTTGAGGAGGCGAGCAATGTCGAGGGCGTCGCCGATATTCATGATGGATAATCCGGATTGGGGGTGGACAATGGAATGGAAGGTTCAGTCAGTCTCAGTCAGGCTGAGGACTTGTAGTATATAATTTCCAATTTTCTCGACATTTTGATCAAGTGACGAAGGGTCTACAGCCCCCAAATGTTCTCGTTCATCACTCACCGGCGCCCATCTCTTACACAGCGTCATACCCTCCTCTGCTCGACACCATTACAAACCGTGAACACAATGCAAGATGCGGTAAGACGCTGGACCTGAAGTGGCTCAGGCATCGCGAACGACTTGCGTTAGGCAGCGAACCATCAGAAACGAATCAGAAGACCGATGTCGTATGGCTGTGCAACCCCACTAGGTAGCTGAAGGGCGGTCAGGACAAGGATGGGATCCAAGAGATTGGGGGTTGAAATGCCACAGGAAGGCTGTGTGGCCCTCGCGGGACCACCATCCCGTGGGACGAAATTCACATTGGACGTCAAAACATTATTGAACCCTGGGTTGGTGCTCTATCCTGCAAACTGCGTTCATGCACACTGTAGGCTTGGTAAGCTTTGTTGGAGAACATTTGCTTGCGTGGAGGCATTGCTCATGATGAGACAGATCTTGCCTAACACCCTATGAAGATGAACAAGCACACGAGGTTGATAATAATCTTAACACCATAGTTACTGCCCCGTCGATGGATGTAAAGTGACTTCATTTATGTTGGTGCCTGTGGTCATACATGTCTTGGCGAAAAGTCCGCTGTGAAGCACTTCATCGAACATTTACAGACAACAACCAAAACGCACAGCAGATACGGTATGACCCAGACGTTGAAAAACCGAGAAAAAATGATGCGTGATGCAAGAAGATTGATACAGAAATGTTCACTCGACCTTGGATTGATACCTACGGACCTTGAAGCTTGAAATGCGGGCCTACGCACGTGGCGTCGCCATACCCAAGCTCCCCAAAACAACGACGTCAACCTTTTGGACATCCGAACTCTTGGAAATGTCCACTTGTGTACGCCTGCCTAGGTCTTCTTTTCCCACTTTCTCTCCAGGCTTCAACAATCAACCTCCGACATCGAACCCCATAAGCTCCTGCGTAACCGCAAGACTTGTGCAGGAAATCCGAATCGGCATCAACCACCACACGCGACCAACTCCATAACCTTATCAACTGCGAACCCCGAAATCAACAAAGGCACAAAACACCACCACGCCAATCTGCACTCCCTTTCTACATATCCTCACCCATTCTCTTGTTCTTTCGATCACTCTCCCACCATGGCGCCAATAAAGATCACAATCCCCTCAACCTCGACCTCGACCCCCGCGTCCTCCAAACCCTACACAACCTACACCATCCGCCTCACGCACCCCTTCCCGCGGCAAACTACCACCCTCACCAAACGCTACTCCGACTTCACGCACCTCGACTCTTCCCTCCGCGCACAAGTCGGTTCCGCTCCACCCCTCCCCCTCCCCCCGAAATCCTCCTGGCTGGGCGGCGGCCTGGGAAAACTCGGCATAGGCTCTACGCTAGGGTCGCCGGAGCAGATCGCCGAGCGGCAGAAGGGGCTGGAGCGATACCTCGTCGCGATCGAGGAGAGCGAGGACGGGAGGTGGCGGGTCAGCAAGGCGTATCGGGACTTCCTAGGTCTCAACGATGCCGATGGCGGGAAGAAGGGCGGCGTCGCGGAACCCGGAGCGCAGTTCGGGAGGGATAGGGTCAGGGATGGAGCGGACTGGTTGGATAGGTTCGGGGAGGTCAAGAGCGCGCTGCAGGATGCGAGGTTGTGGCTCACCAGGAGGGAGCAGGCGGGTGCGGCTGCGGCGCAACATGAGGCCGGTGCGAATGCGAAGAGGGGGCTCGTTCGCGCGGGCACGCTGATAAGTGCATTGGAGGAGGGGCTAGAGAGGTTGAGTAGGAAGGGTGGGAGTGGGGATGAGTGGAGTGGGGAGACGTTGGGGGATGGGGAGATCAGGAGGAGGAGGGATATGATCAGTGCGGTTAGGAAGGAGAGGGATGGACTCGAGAGCGTGTTGAATACCATGGCGGTCAAGTCTGCAGTCGCGGGATCGGGTTCCTCGTCGCCTTCGACGTCCTCGGCGGCTGTCACGCATGAGCAGAAGGCGGGATTGTTCAAGGGTGGTGCGAATTCAGGTCGCCGCGTGCTGGGTGCACCAGCGAAGGAGACCGAGCGGACGCGCGAATTGGACAACGAGGGCGTGCTGCAGTTGCAGAAGCAGATCATCGCCGAGCAGGATGAGGATCTGGTCGACTTGACTACCATCGTGAGGAGGATGAAGGAGATGGGCGTGCAGATCAACCAGGAGATCGTCGAGCAGAACGCTATGCTCGGACTGCTGGACGAAGACGTGGAGAGGTATGTTCGGTCTTTCTCTAACCCCTTCGTGTTTTGCATACATTCAATTGGACTGTTGGCTAACCTTGAATCTCATCTACAGGGTCGATGGCAAGATGAAGATTGCAAAGAAGAGGATCGCAAAGATCAGTTAAGCCCAGTTCTTCACCACCACTACTGGCAACGACACATTTTGAACCACGGATGACGATTACTTTTCTTCCCTCTCTTTCAGCATAGCGAATTTTTGGTCTCTTGTCTTCTATACCCATCCTTCACCAAGTTTCCACGTTGGGGAGCACCTTGGTCTTGTTCGTACATTCACCTTTGTGTGGCGCATCTAGATGCATTTGAATTTCATATGTACACGATTTTATTCTCTTTCTTCATATCATGCTCCATTTGGTGAGAAGCTGCTGCTGTTCCAATTTCATATGCAAAGACTTGTTTCTCTTGCCCGAATCGTATGTACAACGTGTTTTGTCTCGTACCATACCAGTTGGACCCCTTTCTTACGCGATGAACTTAACCTCCCTCTTCTCCGCCTCCGCAGCAGCAGCGACCTTATCCGCCTTAGCAGCCTCGAACGCGCGCACGACGGCCGGGTACCAGATATTCGCCATCTTGGTGTCGCCGGCGTCGTTGGGGTGCACGCCATCGCGGTTGTCGGCCGAGCCGGAGAACCCTGTGTACTGGTCGACGACCCAGATGGGGGACTCGGTGGCGTTGAGGCCTTGGGCCCAGGTCGGGATGGCCTTGTTGAGCTCTTGGATTTTGCTGTTATAGTTTCCCATGCCGAGGGGGATGATTTGGGCGACCTATTGGTTGGGAGGGAAAGGGGGTTAGTTGATGGGGGTTTGAAGGTATGAATGGATGAAGAGAAGGGGTGGGAGGTTGGGTACGTACGACGATCTTCATCTTGGGGTTGCTGGTCCTCATGGTGCCAACGAGGGTAGTGAATGCCTTGATGATATCCGCGACCGCCTTGTTCTGCTGCACGATGTCGTTGGTGCCGAGATGCATGGTGATGACGTCTGCGGGATTCTTCTGCAGCCAGCCGTCGAGCTGCTTCTTGTTCGCGATGTCGATGGCCAGGAACCCGGAGTGGCCCTCGTTGTCGCGGTCGTACTTGGTGTCCTTGCAGTTGTTCTCCGTCTTCCCCGAGCCGACGAAGTCCACGCTCTTCCATTCGGTGCTCTGCAGCTTGTTCCATAGCTTCGAGCGCCAGCAGATGATCTCTGTGATAGAGTCGCCGAAGGGCATGTACCGGAGGGTTGCGTTCTGGGCGGTCACCGCGCTGGCGAGCGCCGCGAGAGATAGGAGCTTGAATGAAACCATTGTGCCTGAATTGAGAGATGGAAGACTTGCTCTGATGTTCCTTCTCTTTCTCAAGCGATGCTTTCCCCAATTTTATACTGCTTCCCCAAGTAAAACATTTCGGACAGAACTCGGGGTATGGAAGAATTAATCAAAAGACGATGCCGACGACATCTCCCTTTGGCTGACTTAGATCGATTTCAACCTGGTTCATCTAGAGTCCGCACGTGCATTGCACTTGGGGAAGATCTGTCTCGCGACAGTGATTGGAGAGGAGATCTGGAAGTGAGCTTCGCGAAGGTGGAAAGCCAGGGTAAAGCCACCGCTGGAATGGCTCATCTCGCCCTAACCGGGTATTTACAATATATATCGGTTTGACAAGGCAGTTCTAAACAAATGCTCATGCGGGGTATGTTGACCCACTATATTGGTCGCTTGAGGGGAGGACAACCGGTTCCAAGCAAATTGGATTTAATCTAGGTCATGGATATTCCCAATGCCAAAGGTGCGCAACGGATGCATAATGTCGCGTCTCCAAATCGAGGCCCCCGTGGGTGTACGACATGGAGCAATAACGGTAAAGCAAGATGAACTGTTGGAGAAACCGAATATAGCTCAGAGATCCCATTTGGAGAATTGGAGTAAAAGAGGCATGCGAAATCTGCTCTTGATGTTTGGTGTGTATATGTAGCCCGGCTTTAGTGACGTCTGGAAAAACAATCAGCACAAGCGTGACATTCCTGTAGTGGAATCCCGAGTCTTTGTAGATATGGCCCAATGGCTTTCTCCAGAGGAGCGCGATTTACCAAAGTTTTGTGGCAATGTACGCATGAGTGAAGTTCTTATGTTGCAGGGTACTGGCATAATCCTAACTTGTCAGCGTCATCGCACTCGCACTGGCATTCTTGACTAACTTGGCCCTGGCTAGCCAAATCATTCTGTGCTACGTAGTCAAAGATTAGATGTCCAAAGTAACCCAGTCTTGATTGGTGCAAATGCTCGATTCATAGATGAGAACGGAAATTCGATGCAGCTACTTCCGCCGACACATCTCCGAGCGATATCACACCAAGCGAGGTACTGCGAACTTGCAAGGTACGATAGACTGGCCGGAAGTCCTTCGGATTGAAACATGAAAGTTTCTAGTTTAATGAAAAGTGATCACTGATTCCAATCGGCGAGAAGGAAGAAGTTCGATCGATGAGACGTGAATTAAGATGGAAAACCGGAAGATGTATGGGCTGGGTATATATTGGTTTGCATATCAAAAGAACTACAGTACATCAGTTCAGTATATCAAAGAGGGGAGTGGAAGTAGAGCAATGTACCTTATGAAGAAGGAGTGAGGCTCCTCCCCGAAGATAGGCAATCTATCTTTGCATGAGAAGGCGACTGTACGCCACCGTCACATTGACTTGGACGACGATTAAGCTTACTGAGCAATTGTTAGGCCCCTATTTCTCCAGTACATACCAGTTTCCTAATATAGTCGTTTCTGCCATGTTACCGTCTTCCAAGCCCACCAAGGACTTTGTTCGCTGCAGAGCTGACCTTCAATACATCGCGGTAGGTCAAGCTTATTCGGGTCGCCCGCTCGTTCCGTCCCCCGGCATCCTCGAAGACGGACGAATCGCCCAGAATGTCCCAATTCGCGACGGTATCCTTGTTAAGATTTTCATCCACCTCGATTGATGCAATTCCATGCAGCAGGTCTACGTATGCAGACGAGGTCGTGATCAAAAGTGATCTAGGTTCTTGAAGAATGCGTGTGGGTAACCTATATTGCGAAGCGGGGCCTTGACTTTTCGATTCATCCACGAGAGCCTCATTCATATGTTCCTCGTTTAAGTGTTCCGTTGGTCCTTTTTGAGCTGGGGTGTTTGAAATCGTGGCGGACTCTCGAGGTTCCCCCTCGCTCCCCACAGCCTTCGGGGTGATCTCCAAGCATATAGATCCCCCCAGGCTGATAGTCGCTACCACATCAGCGTAAGCACTTCCATCCTCGTGCGGCATGATGCCTTCTCCTCTCTTGTACTCATTGATAAGCACATGATTCGGCTCCTTGTGGGGAGTGTGGTCAAATATGCCAAGCATCTTGAATCGGTCAACCACAGGTTGGACCAGGTAAGGCGGAAGAGGTGCCCCCAGAAGAGTGTTATTTTTAGTTAATGTTGATGGGTGAGCTTGAAGCCGACGATGTGAGAGGGTGACCCAGCGATGGGCGGGGATCTGGGCATGTTAGAGTGTGTCATACCAGAGACGGACGTGACGCGAGGCCATTTCCCATCGATGATAGTGTGGGCCGAACACTGCCGTGTGCAGATGCTAATAGTAGGATTACAGTACCTTTTGCAGTAGAGATGCCTCCTCCTCTGGGGTGATAAAATTGGGCACATAGTAGAAGTTGGGTGGCATCTGTTGGATTCTGAACTGCTCCCGCGGGTCTACCCCAGATCGGGACCCTTCTTGCGAATTAATTGACGTGCCCTGCATCATGGTCGATACTTATCCACTTCACGGCACTTATTGATATATCCAGAGCCGTGATGTGTTGCGAATTGTGATGTTGAATAATTGTGGCATGTACTAGGTAGAAGGTCATGTCATCGCGTGTGCACGTGATGAAATGTACACCTCAGAGCAAGATTGTGGATTCACGAGTATATAATGTCAATTGTCATGTAGATAAAATTGTATTCATTCAAGTTTATCCAATTGGAGTAAAGAGCTGAGCTCACTTCTCCTCCCCAGTTGAACAATTTCTCTCAATTGTCACCGCAACTTCTCCGCAACAAGCTATCAAAGCATGAACCCAGAGAAAACCAAAGAAAAGTAAAACGCCCCCATAGCTGATGCCGAAAAAATGCTATTTACATGAAAAACAGATGAAATAAATCATATCGATCACCCTTGAATGAACCCATGATAATGCCCAGAACAAACACTCCAGTCCCCGCCTAATACATGAGAAAATATTGACTGATGCAGACAGCAAAAGAAAAGTAAATATGGAGTCGAAATCAAGTCTGGTATTCAGCCCAGAATATGGAGCGAGATTCTGCGATGCCGCTGGAATATGCAAGAATGTAGTGTAGATGTGTCGCTCACATAACAGTGCAGCCTCCAGGACCACTTCGAGCTCGTCGCCGCCGACCTGCACCTGCGGGGCCAGCCCCTCCTTCTTCTTCGTCGGCGTGCAACAATTGAGCTTCCCGGGCTCTTCTTCTGCGTCTTCGGCCTCCAGCCCCTCCTACGCCTGCTTCTTCATTTAACATCATCCAGTCAGCCCACTTACGCTCTAAGCGAGCGGCAGCAGCAAAGTCGCCTCGTAGAACGCGCTTTGTGTGTTCCTCAACAGTGGGTTGCCAATTGTAGAAGCATTTCAGTCCAATGATTTCTCTGGGATAAGTGGGCGTTGTATCTGCGGAGGTGGCGGGAGGACGTGATATCTCGGCGTTCCGGGAAAGCACCTCGCGCACTCCCGTCCATGTTACGTTCGCACAGTCGTACGCCACGATGCGCAACCCGACGCGTGGTCTTTCAGAGCCAGTCAGATTCCTGGCAGATCGATTGCGTGTCCTGATACTAGATGCAGCTTCGGTGAGGACGAGATCTGAGATGCGGGTGTTGTCCATCTCCAATGATGACAGAGTCGAGCAGCTCTTGAGAATAGGAAGCATTCCAGAGTCTCCCAAGTTCTCACAGTACGAGATGGACAAGTGTCGGAGAACGCTAGCACATGGAGACGCGGCAAGGCATCTGAGGACTTCATTTGTTAGGTCATCAAGCTCCTCCAAATCCAAATGGGTAAGCATGGGACATGTGGGAAGAAGAGCCACTAGTGACGTGTCCGAGAGGCCGTGGCACTTGGAGACCTGCAGGCCTTCGAGGTGCGGAACATTGTCCACCATTTTTAGCACACCATCGTCCGTGATGCCGCGGCAGCGGGTAAGATCGAGATGCTTGAGCTTTCGTGGCGGAACAACAGGGCGGTCAGTGAGTAAATCGATCTCCGGGTCAATGCCCTGCATGAGGACAGCGAGGGATTCATCATTGAGGGTATCGCAGTTCATGAGTACGAGACGCTCCAGGGTATTACGCTTGAATAGTTCGGACATGAATTCGATATCATCCCAACCTCGGACCTCACCGGCTCGAAGATCACGCAGGCGAGTGCAGCTTTCAACTACCTTTCGTAAGCCGCGGGTGTCAATATTATTGCACCACGAGATGTTCAAGTGTTCCACTCTCTGACAATTGGATGCGATGATCTTCATCGCGGCATTTGTTGCTCCCGCAAGACCAGACAGGTTGATGTGGACGAGTCGGCTGTTCTGTAGGAGGAAACAATGGATAGATGTACGATCGATGCGGCACCCTTCGAGAGAGAAGTTCTCCAGATTCTGGCAGGCTTGGGCAAGTCCTTTGGCATTCCACTTCTCTCGGAGCTGCAAGCATCCCCTCAAGTTTAGGTCGCGTACAAAAGGTCCGGCTGCGGTGATGATATTAACAAGAGCATTGGCGGGAATGTCTCTGTAGTAATCGGCAGTATCCAATTGGCTCCAAAGTTGACCGTCATAGCACATAGCATGCCATGACTTGGAAACAGACGAGCAGCGAACAATCTCCTTGGGTTTCAAGTATTGCAGGATCTGCATCCGGATTTCGGCAGGCATGTCTCCCCAAAAATTGAAGTTTGGCCTTCGCTGGATCTTCTTCTGCACTGGACGCGAAAAATAGTCTCCCGCCTCGGCCAAGCCGTGGCTCGATGCAGTTCGAAGCTCGGATGGAAGAGGTACTGATGTTGCCCCAGGTGTGAACATCCGCAGCCTGGTCTTCTCATCGAAGATCGGGCTCCCCAAGGGACTGCCTGCTACTGAGGTAGGTGCGGTGGAGTAGCCAGCAGAGAGCTCGGAAGAGTAGGAGCTGCCGTAGGAATGGCCATAAGGCGAGCCTGGTGATGCTAGCGAGACGCACGACATGGAAGGCTTTCCTGGGCTCCTCAAGCTCTGCGATCGTGCTCTCGATATTCCAGCCAGGCTCGGTGAAGAGCTCATCCGCTGAAGTCCTTGTATAAGTCGTTTGCGACCTTTTAATTTCGGTCGGTCGATCGGGATGGCCTCCGTTCGTGGAGTAGAAGGGTCGACGGGTGTCGTGCCATTGTCGACGATGGTGTCGACCACGACCGAATCGATAGAAAGGGGCTGCTCCATGGTGAATGGCAGTGTCTTCGGAGAAAGACTTGAGGAGAGCCAAATGCAGTCGTTCGGTCGGGAGGAAGCGGATTGACGAGGTGAGGAAAGGAGAAGAGGTTTAAACAGGTTATAGAGGATTGATATCGACGAAACCCTCACGAGGCCGATCTCACGGACTCTGTCTCGCTCAAAGCGTGTGGGAAGGAGGAAAACGACGATTACGAGTAGTGAGATGGGCCGTTCGCGGGCTGGATGGTGACGGCGCGATATCGATAAGTACCGTCGGTTCTAGAGCGGGGAAGGCGCGGAGTAAGCCCGAGCGACGCGGCTGGAACCCGCGTGAGGATTGACACAATTAGGACGAGGGAGAGCAGACAGATCAAGAGGGCAGAGAGAAGGAGGGCAAAAGAAGGAAAAGAAGAGGGCGTAAGGCTAATGTATTGGAGCGAAGGTAGGAAGCAAACGGAGGGGTGGAGGACATGAATATGAGGAGGAATACCGTTCTGAGTACATAGCAAGGTAGGATACAGTATAGTTCAGTATGACACGGTAGATTCCATACCGTTGCCCCATTTTCTGATAGCGGGGCTTATCGCGCTCAGTCTATCACACTAGAGCTAAGCCAGATGTGGTATCAGCATGAATCGCCTAAGCACCTACTAGTTCCAAATGGGGAAAGGGTCAGGTCGGGGTCCACGTGCCGTCCCCCGAGATGTCACCCGCCCTTCCAACCTTCCCATCAATCCCAACCCTTCACGTCTTCATCTTCGTTCGTCCTTCTTGTTTCGTGGTCGCTTGACCTACTTCATTCTTGTATCTTGGACTTTGGGCTTGATCTTTTGAAACATCTGTCCTCGTGGCCCGATTATTCACGATAACAGAACAAAGCTATGGGTCAACCACCCATCGTTCACTTCATCCCTCATATCAGCCCTCATATTCGGAGTCAATCAGCTACTTCACGAATACAAGTTGACTACCTTCCTCAACCTTCTCTCTGCCGCGGTTAAACGTACGAGTATCGTACCCATAAGAAGGAAAAAAAGTGGTTGAATTCCACAGGAGCATCCCTGCGAACTGCCCGACTGGTAAACCGGCGTTATGCAGGGCAACAAAGTCGCCATCCGTCTCAACGCCATCCAAACCCTTTCGTCTCTAGTATTCCCCACGCCGCCCCGAAAATCCGTTCTCTCCAATTCTACCGAGTACCTCCACCAGTGATTTGATTTCCCTTCAGCATTCAGCAAACTAACAACAGGAACACATTGAGCTTACCGAAGCCCAGTCTCGGCTTTGCGGGATAAGTCAACTACTTATACATGCACCTCCAACGCCTCCGTGACATCGTTCGTGGACTATCACTCTCTAGGAGTGGCCTAAGCCCTCCTCTCCCCGTATTAACCCATCTTTCGAAACACTCGAGCTTCTGAAGACTTTTCTTAGTTTCTGGGGACTACAACGATCTATTCGATTTCTCCGTCGAATAGCAATCATTCGCAATGTGGATCACCTTACTAACCTATTCTCCAATTCCCACCTCGGGGGCATTTCTAGCCAGGGACCTTTGAGCTCAGTACCTCCGCTGATCGGCACGCTCGCCAGGGGCGGTGGGGTTCAATGTTTGCTCCATTCAAAACGTCCCGACCAGTACGTGCAATATTCCTTATCGGGATAGAAGACATGTAGAAAGCGAATGGCCATGCAAGAATATTTGTAAAATTGCCTTGCAGCTCTGTTGCAGCTACGATGACTCTCCGGCTCTACTACTGTGTCTAAAAGACGTGGGGTGTGGGCGCACCACCGCATCCTGTACAGGTGATCATGGGAATCTATATAATGTCCATCTGACACAGCATATGCAAGTATGCATCTGATGCCTCTCATCTGCACCACTCGAGCCTTACTCATGCTCACCTGTCCCTCTCATCTACATACCTTTGAATCCCGTATCGCTCGCAACATCGTTCGCGAGCATCGCGCCATATCGCGTTGGATGTCGGGGATCAACGTGTGCGATCTCTGGTCAATGACTTTGATTTGGTTATGGTAGTGTATGGAATCTAGTCTAGCCAACTACGCATCGGACTTCTGACCAGCCATGTTGGCTTAACACTTTGTCCGGATTGACTTGGAAACCAAATCTATCTATCTATCAAAACTAATTGCGCTCTTATTACTGTAGAGACCTATTCTTTATCCTACTAATTACTGTCCAGATTGCATTCGCAAACCTCTTGGCAGCTATATCTATCCTCTCTACCGGCGCCGCAGCAAGCGTGAGTCGGAAAGCGACGCGGTGCAGCTTGGTAACATCACTCGTAAACCAACTCCCCCTACTAACCAAGACGCCATTATCTCTGGCTTGCTCGAAAATCGCCTCTTCAACCTCAAGATGCTGTTCCCATAGGCTGTGTTTGTCGACAGGTTTTCGACCGCACATATCAGACACATCAACCTCAACCCACACGAACATACCCACATCTGGCACCCTCCATCTACACCACTTCTCCGGCATATGCTCTCTCATCGCACGTATCAAAACATTCCTTCGCCTCCCATATTCCCGGGCCAAGTTCATCAGCCATCTCAAAAACCCTTCATGGCCCCACGTCTCGTCCAGCAATTTGTATAGCATGACCTGGCTCGGGCCACTAGGACACAGCGCACCGACTTCCGTCAGCGCAGTGAACTTCTTTATTACTTGCGACGATCCTGTCACCCAACCTGTGCGGAGGCCCGGCGCGAGGATCTTCGACGCAGAGTCAAGTCGGAGGACGCGGCCAGATGTGTCAAGTGAGAGATACGAGCACGGCAATTCCGCGAGGTAGCCCTCCAAATCCGACCCATCGACCGAGTGTTCTCTGCCCTCATCAGATGAACAGCCTCCCGATGCTTCACGCTCGCTCAACGGAAGGTAAAAGTACGGATCATCCTCAAGAACAAACAAATCGTGTTTCTCCGCGACCTCATAAATCGCCTTTCTCCGCTCGACACTCTGCGTCACGCCCGTTGGATTCTGCGCCGTAGGGATCGTGTACAGCACGTGCGGCTTCGGTCCCCTAGCCACCGTGTCCCACTCACTCAATTTCCTGTCAAGGTCGCTAGGCACGATGCCCTCCTCGTCCATCTCCAGCCCCAGCACATGCACGCCCTGCGAACGCGCGCAGGCGATAGCGCCGGTGTACGTGTACATCTCGGCTAGCAGCGTGTCTCCAGGATTGCACAGCAGGCGGAGCGCGATTTCCAGTCCAGACGTCGTGCCGCATGTGAGGCAGACCTCCCAGTCGCGGTACGGGGGGTCGTGAAGAAGTTCCATGTGTTCGGTGAGGAAGCGGAGGACTTGGGGGGAGCCGGTGGAGTGGCCGTAGTTCATGGCGAGGGCGAGATCGTAGGCATTTTCGCCTTGGACGCAGGGCTGTGTGGTGAGGTGGAGAGATGGGGGTGTGAGGGGATCGTAGAAGTCGCTGGATAGGCATGACGTTTGGATCGTTTGCCATGGTGAGTACTGTGGTGAGGGTCGGGCGGTTCCGAGTGTGATTAGGTCTGGGTGTTGCTGGTCTGTTTGAGCCGCCTTCAAGTACGAGACTGTCAGGTTGCCGGCTACTGTGCTGAAGTGGTGGTCCAAGATTTTTGCAGCCGGCTTGGAGTCCACGGATTGGCTTTTGAAGTCATTAGAGCTTGTGAGAGGCGCAATACCACCAGGTAAGGGCTTTGCCGTCTCGCGGGCCTGCTTGATCCGGGTGAGCTTCTTTTGTAGCATTTTTAGGCATATGGGCTGGAAAGGAAATGTCTTTGAGAACGAGACAATCTTAAGTTACTCCTTGAAATAGAGCTTCATATTATACAGTTAAGGAACTGGATCTTCAAGGATGCGTCTATCGGAGTATCGAACCCATCCCGGAGTGTTTAATCATTGTCTAATTGAAAGAGCCCAATCTGCATGTCTTATCTGCCTTGTAAAATGCCAATCCGAATCACTAATCATCCGAATCTATCACCTCATAAATGTGGGTTCGCACGATCAGTTTTCAATTCGTGTGAAGATAGTCCTATCTGCCATGTTTACATAGCGGAGTAGTGGAGTAATGTTACGTAGGTGCGCTGTGGCTCCGATCGGCGTAACCCAACACGCCGAACCCATCAGTCACTCCTTTCGTTCAAACTCTTCGAAGCGTCACGTAAGGTACCTCCAAACAAAACCGATATAGATCAAAAGAGTAGGCGCATAAAATGCATCAGTTGAATGTCAGTCTGGCGATCGTTCCGGAGACAATGGCTATAAAGATTTCCGTCCACGTTACGTCGAGTATTGAGATTCACCAGTTCTACTAAGCGGCATGCGCAGAAGCCGAGGTAATCGATTTTTAATAGATGGAAAATTGGGCTATATCAGCTGTTGATCGAGGGAAGGATGGCATATTTAAACAAATGCTGCGGAGCTTGCTACTATCGTAACAAACTGTCTTCTGTTCGGCCAAACACAATGTATAATCTGCGCAGAGACCGCAAATGAAACACGTAAAGCTTGATTACTTTGGCATATCTTCAATACGCATCGGCAAACGGGACTCTTATAATTTCTGTTCGATGAGTTGTTCATCAGATGGGTATAAAAAGACTAGGAGACCTTGGGACACTGGCAATGGTAATAGGACCTTCATTGCAGCCTGTGTACTTGTTCCTTGTGTCTGAATCTCATCCATCATCGAAGCCTCTTACTCTATTGGATTGGAAGGCAAGATTGAGCATCTTTCCTCGGCCCCCCCCCCCCCCCCCCCCCCCCCCGAAAAGGGTTTGATCGATGAGTAGTCAGTCACTGTGGCATTTCTTCTGCCATGCGATCGTAGCACGCCACTTGTAAAAGCCCCCATAAATAACACATAATTACGCAGTACTACGCTATGCATATCAACCAGCTTCGCCTTCAGGCGTCAGAAGCAGCGGGTGCTCGGACAAATTAAGCCAGAACGCCGGATCAAAGTCCAACCCATGTGTACTCCAATCGTTCAATTCGACGTCGCTACATCTTCCCGGAGACAAAGCTGTCGCCTCTGGCAGAACCTGTGCATCAACATGATTGGCAAACCTGTTGGCTATCGTGCGATCCAGAAGATTCTTGATAGCGTACGCGGCACCAGACAGCAGCGCATAGTTCGGGTCTTCTGGGTGGAGCAAGGCTCCCATCTCGATCTCGGCGACTAGTACGCTCAGATCGCGGATGACTTTGGAAGGCGTTGTGTGTAGTGCAGCGCGGTCTAATGTGTTGTAGAGCAACGCCAGACAGAGAACGCCTGCGGCAGCGAGACCGTAGTAGGCCACCTGATACACGTTAGTATTGATGAATGTCCCTTTCGAGATATGTTACGAGATGCGATTGGTGGGTGTATACGGCAGTATAGATCTCGCGTCAGGCGTTACGCACCTTCCAGACCAGTGAAGTACCCGAGTTCGCCAAACGTTCCTTGAGCACGATCGCCTCCACCACCAGGCTGAGCATGTCCGCCGATGTACGTAGCAGCTCACTGCTGGGGCTCGAGACGCGAGGGGTAATAGTGAGCTCTAGCAGAAACCTGACATGGGCAAAGTTTAGCTTTGCACTCGCGAGGAAGTCAATCTCCACATGAGGCCTATCGTATTCACACAGAGGTTTGTCAAGACGAAGTTTTGCAGGTATCTCGGACCACTGTGTCGCTACGGCGTTCCGTATGTGACTATAGATGTTAGTTTGGCCCAAGAAATGGATTAGATTAAGACTTACTTGGCTCTTTGAAGCCTGACTTCATGCGGTTCTTTGTGTAAGTTGAGAACATCCTCTTTTAATGACGCACAGAGATGGTGCACACGAGTATCGGCACGATAGGTAAAGACCTCGTCAAGTGCCCAGGTGTCAGGCAGATTCGCTGTCGGGCAATAGCTTTTCAGCATTCGTGGTGGGCGTCCGAGGAAGATGGAGCAGTTCTTGTCGGCAGAGTATGTGCGGCTGAACGCAACGAAGCGTAGCTCTCGTAGAAAGGGCGCCGTGGTCGAAGGATCTCCAAGCTGTTCGTGATAGCCCAGTGCGAACAGCGAGCTCACGACGTCTCCTAGCCTGCGCCAGGAATGATAACCTGCACTGTCAGCTCGATCATTACAAATTTGTTAATTTATCAAGTGCAATTAGAGTTTTGTACTACATGACATATTGTCGGACACATCTCTACGCTTACAAAAGGCCAATGAAGGGAAGCTTCTGAGCCAACTTCATTAGGTGGAAGACAATTGATGAACGTGTGGAAAGGAAAATATGGTGACTCACTCTGGTCGCCATCTACAAGCGAATGTAAAATGAAGTTCTCGTACTGCAGGATCAATTGCAGATCGTTTAGGCAATCTAACGAGATGGAAATATCGAGGCAGGTATCCGCAAACTGCATAGCAAGTTTACGCACAGCTCGGCGCTCTTGTTCTGATGTGTATATCCCTTCAAATTGGGTAATATCGATGGTTGCACGCGAAACGCTCGTGAAAAAGAGGCCAAGCGTCTCCCAGCGAGCTACCTTTCTGCAGAAGAGCTGACAGAAGGTTTCAATGGTGTCAGTGGCAGCTACCCTAAGAGGCCTGCAGGACTCAGTGAAGAGCGCTCTTGATGCTCTCGTTGTAGCTGCAAGGCCTTCAAGACTTTTCAATGTGTTGTTGTCTCTCAGAGCAATGGATGAGCATGCTGCTCTCGCGCAAGATACTGTAAAGGGCTCAGCGACAGGTAGGTTGATGCCACTCGCGACCCAAGCCTCGACCAGAGACCTCCAAGCCTCCAGATTTGCAGCGTCGAGGACCTGCACGATCAATTTTGCGCCTTGCTCAAGCCGATCAATACTAACAGCGGCGCTGACGGCATTCAAGCCATGATCGACTTCGTCTCGAGAGGCAGATCTCGAATGATTCCAGTCGTTCTCGGAGAAATGGTCAAAGAAGGTTGTATGACTTGATGTGCCAAGATAGCCCGGGTTTGGATATCGTCGAGGCTGCCTCGGAGTACCTGTAGACGGTGTAGACGGCGCAAAGACGTGAGGATTTGGTGGCCCAGCGCTCTGTGGTGTATCGAAAGTGCGTTGTGAAAGGGTTCGGAGTGCTCTTTTCTTGAATGGGCGGTCTCGGTACGAACATTGGTCTGCGATTCGTCTGTGTGCACATCGTTGACAGACTGGCTTGGTGTGATCGCACGACAGCTTTGAAGACCGGCACGGATCGCAAGCAGGTAGACGGCGGGACATTCTGCTTTTGAGGTCAGAGTCTTAGACGTCTGGTGTACGGAGTAGACCTAGAAGGGGTTGGAGGTTTTCCTAGAATATTTAGTAACCACGTAATCTACCACCCTACCTTAGGTACAGTGGTATATCAAGGCTTGTTCTATGTTGAATTCTAAGTACATGTTGCCTTATGTAAGGACCTGTTTCTATTTTACTTTATTTTTCTCATATCAATAATTAAAAAATAGCTTTGGATTTATGTTTTCAAAACAATTATATTTCATTGTAGCTGGAGCAGAGAAACATGGGTACATACCTGGTATTCGGGCCTTCACGGTTACGCACGGCCTATCTCGTAGACATGAATGAAACCCCGCAACGGCCCGGTGTACTCTTCACCTTAATATAGCTTTGATTTACCTAGGTAGGCAGTAGTAGGTAGTTAGCTTGCTGATAAAATACGTCTGATTTGGTACTCCGTCCATTGTAAACCGAAAGGAGTGTCGGAGTAAACAACCTCACCTTGCCGAACTCCACCTATCTATAACTGCCCCTCATGCCAGGTTATGTTCTGCAATCGAACACTCCACTGACTGCAACCCTGGCCTGAGTATAGATTTCTTTATTTGCAATACTTTCTTATTCCACAATGTCGGAGACTATGAAACTCGCAGAATACCTGTTCACACGCTTAGGTCAATTAGGCGCTGGCGCCGTGCATGGAGTGCCTGGTACCTTGCAACATCTTTGTCTCGTCATTGACAGTGCTAATTGCCACACTAGGTGACTTCAATCTCGACTTGCTCGATTATGTCGAGCCTTCCGGTCTTCTCTGGGTTGGCAATGCAAACGAACTGAACGCAGGATATGCCGCAGACGGCTACAGCAGGATCCGAGGTATCGGCGCGTTGGTGACGACCTTCGGAGTGGGCGAGCTATCCGCCATCAACGCCATCGCAGGTGCTTATGCTGAGCGCGCACCTGTTGTGCACATTGTCGGGACGCCGAACCGAGCGACGCAGGACGGCAGAGTAACTGTCCATCACACTTTCAATGATGGCAACTTTCGACGATTCGGCCAGATGCACGCGCATGTCACCGTTGCTCAGACTAGTCTGAGGGATCCCCTCACCGCGCCCCAGGAGATCGATCGCGTCCTGCAACAATGTCTGATACATAGCCGACCTGTGTATATCGAAGTTCCTGTTGATCTAGTCGGTGCACCTGTTCGAGCAGCAGGCCTCAAGACTCCAGTCGAACTTCCCGAGCCCATCGAGACTTTGGCAGTGAGCGAAGCCATTGAACAAGTACTCGCGAAGTTATACGCAGCCAAGCGACCCATCATTCTGTTCGATGGTGAATGCAGAGCGCTCAACATCTCTAAGGATGTTCGGTCGATTGCCGAAACTACCAAAGTGCCTACATGGACAACAGCCTACGGTCGAGGATTGATTGACGAGAGCCTGCCCAATTTCCAAGGGATATACAAGGGCGCCTTCGACTCAGAATCGATTCAGAGCTTTTTCAACGGAGCAGATCTGGTCTTGGTCTTCGGCCCTCATTTTAGCACGACAAATTCCTATGCTCTGTCTGCAAAGCCTCGACCGGAGATTAGCATCGTTTTCTCAGACACAGAGATTGTCATCGATGGCAAAGTTCTACGCGACATACCTGCTCGATTAGCTACTTCCCAGTTCCTATCTCAACTCGACGCATCCAAGATCGCACAATACTCAGCATCCGACGTGCAAAGTCTCACATGGAATACACAGCAGCTGAAATCGTTCTCTGATATCGCAAAAGATGAGGTCATCTCCCACTCCAGCCTCTGGGACTTCTTCGCCCCCTTCATCCGGTCTGGAGATATCGTCATGGGCGAGACCGGCACGGCCGGCTATGGCGTCCGCGAGATGCGCACTCCACCCAATGTCCGCATCTTCGTGCCCGTGACCTGGCTCTCAATCGGATATATGCTTCCTGCTGCTCAAGGCGCCGCGCTGGCCCGGAGACAGATGCTGGCGCAGCAGAATGGTACTGCGAATGGCGAGGAGAAGAGTGGCCGTACGATACTTTTCATTGGAGACGGTAGCTTGCAGATGACGGTACAGGAAATCTCGACTATGATTAAGCACAACCTCGACATCATCATCGTGGTGCTGAACAATGATGGATACACGATTGAGAGGGCTATTCACGGACTCAAGGAGTCGTACAACGACGTTGCGCCGTGGAACTATTTAGGTGCGCCGGGATTCTTTGGCGCAAAGGCTGGCGCGTTCACTGCACAGGCGAGGACGTGGGGTGAGCTTGAGAAGGTGTTGGCGAGTAAGGAACTGTCAGATGGGACGGGGTTGAGGATGGTGGAATTGATCATGGATCGTGAGGACGTGCCTAAAGGACCGCTGGCGGCGTTGATGGGCAGGGAAAAGAAGCGCACGCAAGGGTTAGAACCGAAGCGTATGGTGATCCCATAGTTCGTGAACCGGAGTCTGTATTATCGAGTAGAATATACAAACTGCAGAAGGTTTCAGTGGGCGGCCGGAATCTGCCATAGATACACTCAGTAGTACTCTACAAAAGAATCATTCTTAAAGCAGTATGCAAGTAGCAATATTAGGAATCTTGTAATGCTCACGAGCAGGGGCACCCGGAGCGGCCATATTGTCTATATCGCAAAGGACCCAATGCGCCGATAGCTATCCTAATCAAAGATGTTACGATCCATAGAACTAAGATCTAACAGGCAATAAGATGATAATAAGCATATCTAGATAGTTAACTAAATACTTGAGAAGGGTAGATTATGTAGATGTTATAATCTCTTTACTTAGCCATTATTAAGAATAGTCTGACATATAATGCAGTCCATTCCCCGTGTATTTCATTATGGTTTTGTCCGAGGGCTAGCTTCCCACTGCGCAATGAGTTTCTGTATTCGGTAACCAGTAGCCCAGCCCAGATCCTCTTCAATACCACGTAGTAGATTAACAACCATGTCACGCTCTTCCAGCCCACTTAAACACTGACCCGCCACAAAGAGCGGTTGGACAGACTGGATTCGTACACTCTCAGTCGGACTGGACAGACTGATTCCGCATATCTCCCTGCTGTGGTGGGCCGCCTCTTCTTGTATGCGTCGATACGAATCGAGACGCTCTGTGAAGTTGACACGAGGCACACGTCGCTCTGGCGGTTTGTTCATAAGAAGTAGGATACGGGCCATATGGTAGTTCTGCATTGTCGAACCGCAAGTGGGAATGGTGTACGTGATCCTATCGAAACTATGCGGACAGGTGGGGAATGCGGCGTCTACGCCTGACCCGATCGGTGGCGTCCGTACGAATGAAGAGAGCGAACTGGGAAGACCCATGCTCCATCTATGAAGCGCCATATCGAGGTCTTTCCACTGAGAACGAAGCTCGTTCTCAGATGGCCTGTCATGTTGCGGAGTGCTCCCGTCAATATTAAAGTCACCCATGTCTGCTATGAAATTGACAATCCTGCCCAGAATCCAGAAAAGAGTATGACTGACGAGATCTTCGTCTGTCTGGAACCAAATATTGGTGCTAGTGTCCGTCGCGCATCGTAGTTGAGGGAAACCATTTACTTCAACAATAAGGCCACTCTCGCGCCACAAGTAAGGATCATTTGGGTCCAACCTTGTGTGAGTCTCGTGGATAACTGGTTCTCGTCAGCGAAGAACTTGAACTATCACATGTTCACCTACACGCGTAAAGGTAGTCCTGCCTGACAAAGTTCCAGAAGATGGACCGTGTGGACAGACCACGCGGTGGAGGTTGAGGAGATATTGTGTCAAGGATTTGGGCTGGCGCAGTCTTGAGGAGAGGAAGAGCGCTCAAATGCGCTGACCACTCTGGCCCCGGTGCATCTAAAAGCTCGTATACACAAAGGATGGCGATCGCCGCAAGGGCTTCTTCGGACCGGTGACTTCGTTCAACCAACGTGTTACCCACATCGCTGACTTTTGTGATCTCATCGTTTAATCGGCGAATCGCATCGTCATAATACGCGGCGCTCTCATAGTTCCAGTTCCGCGTGGTGAGGCTCGTTTTCCAGAATACACTTTGGAGATGAGGTAAGGGCGTGTTCCACGCAGGTTGACGGGACTCGAGGAGTCGACGGATATGTTTCGACGCAAGTGCACAACATGCACTTCGAAGTAACGGTCGTGTGGCTGCCAGTCTAGGTACGTAGAAAGTGAAGTACGCAGTAACATCGTATAGGTCCATCCTAGGGAGTAATTAGCTCAGTCGTTCGCTAGTAGAAGGTTGCAGCGCAGCCCGTACCATTTCCCCGGACCTTCCTTGAAATACCAGATAAGCTGGATCGACAAAACCGAATCAGCTGTATCGACGCGTGTTCTCTCGACTTGGATGTCATGGCCACCCTCGAATGGGCTACCAAGTACAATGGTACCGCTGTGGTTTGCAATGTGTAAGTTCACGGGCTGCTGTGGCGTATCAAAATCAGCTGGAAAGTGGTCTGTGGGCTCTGAGACTACGTCTGATACAGCAGTTTCAGGGCTAGTAACTGGCTCATGGTTGCTTGGAGATGATGCTGGTAAGTGCAGATGCGAGGGTGAAAGAGGCACAGCATGGTTAGGGGAGTGGCCAGTAACCACAGGGATGATGGGTGGTGAGAGTGGTGGGCGCGATTGAGGAGATTCTGGGTCCGCTGCCTCGTCCAGATTAGGGTCGTTCACATACACAAAGGTGACTAGAAAAGCCTATCAGCATTTGCTAACAGTGGACTTGACAAAAGCAGTGCATACAGATTTTCTCCTGACGGTCGCTCCCGCGATCAATACCATTCAGGGTAGGTGAATAATGGGGGTTAATGCCCGAACGGTTGTCGGTTTTTACCAACTTGTCTTGATGACGAAAAATGGAGCCTTGGATACAGTTGCGCCCTGCCTTTCTGCATCGATTGCACTTCGGCTTCCGTTCATCGCACTTCAGCTTGCGTTGCCGACAAGTCTCGCTGCATCCCAGTCAGATCAGATTTGGGCAATCGCAAGTGAGCCAAACCATCCAGTGCGCGACTTCATGCTTCGACCTCTTCCCTCAAGCATTGAGCGGGATTATACTGGAGACAAGAGCCGAGAGCAGCAACACGTTGCTGCGGCTAGCGGATTCATCAGCTCTCTGGTCGATGCCGAGGGTCAATAGAATGGCTTCTGTAAACTGGAAAAAGTGCGATTCCACATCGTATGTATGTATGTGTTGAGGCGAAGTCGCATAAGTCAACTTTGACATCAAGCTAAAGCACCTCGGTTTGCTTACCCAATACGGAATGAGAAATCAACTCTTGCCTTTTATGAAGTAGTGGACTTCCCTACAGCAGGTAATTAATGCGAGGTACCACACTAAACGTGATCTACTTGTACTGTAGCCCACTAAGTGTCCCTTGTTCTAACCTTGAACGCGCGCTTCCAAAGCGAATATTGTCTGCATAGTTGCTAAACCGGCAAAGGATGCGCTGGTCTAAGAATGATCCTTATGGTCCATGCTAATCCTAAGAGAAGCTTCTTACGATTGACTATTTCTGCTGATATCCTGGATGAGGATTAGTAGATTCCAAATGGCCTACAAGTGCAGCCGCCGCCAAAAGTTTGCACTCTCCGAGTGCAATAACCGTATCGTTGTATATATCTCATGGGCCCATGCATGAACGCCGCGAGCATCCGGATAACTCATCGGGTTGTTTCCCTCTTCGCGGCATTACGGGTTCGAACGCTTCGTGTTGGCTTGAAACCTGTAGAGCATAGTTCAGTCACGCGCCAAAGAGATCTTCTCTGGACGAATTCGATGCGATTCCCAGACCAAAAGTTACCTAGTCGACAGTCAATTCAGCTCTATGTATCCAGCGGCTCCCCTAGTGGAGACCGCTTTGATTACCGGATTCAATGCGGTAGATGCAATTTTGCCGTATTTTCGGATGCCACGTACGGGGAATCAATGTAGTATTTCGTCAAGTTTCTCGCTTTCATGATCTTGACTGACCCACGCATTGTGTCTTGAATTGCAATCTTTCCAGGTCCGATCCGCCTCGCCTGATGTTGCGTACCAATGCTCCTACGATCACAAACCCGCCATCATTGAAAGTACCATTCATTATTCATTCACGCGGCCCTGTCGATCAGCGTAGTGCAATGAGCCTTCGTGTCATCTTCACCGGCGGATCTGGGCGAATTGGCCGACGAGTGATAAGAGAGCTAGTGAAAGCAGGACATGAAGTGCTGAACCTGGATCTCATCAGGTTGGACGATGTAGACGTCCATACGATGAGATGTGATCTTGCGGACAGTGGCCAAGTTTTCAGTTGCCTCAACACGTATATGCGCCTGGGGGAGCCTTTTCCAGCTTACCCACCACGAATCCCAGACGCCGTGATCCACTTCGCGGCCATGTCGACACCCATGATTGTTTCAGATGGAGAGACATTCAGATTGAATGTGATGGGTACACATAACGTGATTGAAGCTGCCTGCAAGTTGGGGGTCAAGAAACTTGTTATCGCCAGCAGTGTGACAACATACGGCGTATCCTTTGGCCAAGGGCATTGCGAATTCCCGTCCTTCCCCATCGACGAAGACTTGGACGTCAACCCTACTGACCCATACGCTTTATCCAAGGTCGTTGGCGAACGCATTGCTCGGAGCTACGCCGCCAGGTTCGGGATGGATATCTATTGCCTTAGGATCGGAAGGGTGGTGGAGCCTGAAGAAATCGAGGATGTTTTTGAGAGCTATATCTACGAGCCTGAGAAGTGGTACGCCCACGGGTGGTCATATGTTGATGTACGCGATCTTGGACAGATGTGCCTGAACGCACTCCAGGTTTCCGGCCTTGGATATCAGATCTTCAATGCGACGAACAATTCGATAACGAATGTCACTCCTACGATGGATTTTCTCAAGCTCTACTACCCTCATATACCAATCACGAGGACGTTAGCCACGTTCGAAGCGCCAATCTCGAATAGAAAGATACGGGAGCTGCTTGGTTTTGAAGAGAAACATGATTGGCGACAATATTTCACAAGATGGAAACAGTCACTCGCAACTTGAAAAGATTGCCCTAAATCAGCTCGCCCAATCAGTGGCTATCTTGGAGGGTGATACTTATTTACCGTAAGATTATCTGGGCTTCGCACTTTATCTTATATGCGTTTAGCAAAGGAGGAGGTATACGGCAGGTAACGCTTTGTATGAACTGCGTTCTTTTGACCTAGTACAACTATTATAGCCATGATACGAGCTTTCGCACGATCTACCTTTTTATAATGCCGTTAAAGGTTTCTTGAACATCTTCCCTCCGGGAAAACGCCCCCTCGTTACGTACATCATGCTGTTAAGATCACTCTTATCCCATGCAAGACAAGAAGTAGCACATTAACTCAGTTCAGAAGTCTCAGTTCAGGAGGATGAAAAATCAACAAAAGATTTTAGCTACCAAACTATATAGCGCCCAATTAAAGTGCTATAGCCTGTAGCGACTTGACAGTGTCAATGATGCATTCTTGCAAAGGTCGATAGCGCATGTCTAAAGCTTGATTGGTTGAAAGGTTTTCGAAACCATAGACATCACTTGGGAGGTCGCTTGTGATTGTGCTCGGGAGACGGTCGCAGTACTCAGGAAATTCCTCCTGGATGACCTTGGCAATATCTGCGTTACTGAAATGACCTGCAGTGACGAACAACCGCATACCAGCTGTTCGTGGAAGCTCCGCTGCTTTGACGTGTGCAAGAGCAACATCACGAACATCCACCCACAAAAACGCTCCTGTTGGTTCCAGATGGTCTTTCATTTTGCCTTGCATCATGTCCAGAATCCGGGCGCTGGAGGTATTGATCCTGTCCTGTGAAGCCAGATGTTTCGGGACGGGGCCGAACACTGAAGGGGGATTGATGGTTGAGATGGAAAAGTTTGGTTTTTCCATTTCGACAAATTTCCATGCCGCATGCTCCGCGAAGGTTTTGCTTCCTCGGTAAGCGGTCACTGGGTCGGAGAGTGCTTCTTCCCAGGTGACCGGGTTCCACGCAGCCTCATCGTAGATGGCAGGGTGCTGCTTCGGATTGATCATGGAAGCAAAGGAAGAGGTGAGGACTAGCCTTCTCACCTCGGGCGCATATGCTTTAATAGCTTTTAGGATGTTTGTCGTGCCTATGACTGCTGGATCCAGCAAGTCTCTTTCCACATCGGCCACATCAAAGCGAAATGGGCTCGCCGTATGGAGGACAGTATCAAAAGGTGGAGTCGACTGCACAGCTTGGTCGAAAGCGCCATGCACAGTGATGTCCTCAACTACGACATAGGACAAGTTTTTGCGGGTGATCTCGTCGAAGCGCTCAACGATCTGTCCTCCTTTCAGATTGGACCGTACCGTAGTAACCACAGTGTGCCTGACATGTTTAGCTTCTCTTATTGGCACACAAAGATCTTCAAACGTACCCTCTTTCAAGAAGATATTGTAGACAATATGTGGCAATGAAGCCGCTTCCTCCAGTCAGTAGGACCTTCATGGTTGTCTTTTACTCATATAATCTGGACCACGGTTTTGCTGCGCAGTTAATTCTTATAAGGGCAACAATGACTATGGCCTGAGCGGAAGATGTTCAATGCGAACGTACCTGGTAGTTTAACGTGCTCGCGATACTTTCCCAATCAAGTCTATACTTGGATCGGCTGCAGATAGGACCTGGCAAGGTCCTTGGGCCATGGGCTATGAATTTGCCTCTTTTCGGGGAAACTATCTGTAACCGTACAAGACAATCTCAACATTTGAAGAGATAACATAACGTATCTCGGCGTTTGTCTATTCACCCTAACATGGTCTTAGCCATCTATTATCTCTTCATATTTCTCCTCCCAATAGCAGACCTTGATAAAAAAGGCTACTTTTTATATATAGTTAAAATCTATAGCCAAATTATATACAGACGTACTATAGTTAAGACCTTAACCGATAGCGTAAAGGTGTGGACGTAAATGTAACTGATTCCGAGTCTATATGTCAACCTAATAATGTTTCCCATACACGATTCTCTAATACTAGCATGTTGCTTACAGTGCTGCCTGCTCTACCTGCGGGTCCTGGATCATTGAAAGCCGTCACGTTTCTAACATAGTCCGCCGTGACTTCCAAGACACTACCACCGGTGATCGGGACCATGATGGAAGACGGGTCTGTCGCCGAGTCTCTGGGATTCTGTGCAATCTCTTCTTTGCATACAAGGGCGATCATTACTTCCGCGACCAGCTCAGGCGTTACCCATTCATCTTTTCCTTCTTCAAATGCTCGCGACTTTTCCGCATGCTCAGTCCACAGAGGCGTCTTTACGACGCCAGGTGCAACAGCAGCGACTCGAATACCGACCCTGTCCTGCAGTGGTGCCAAACATCGCACTAGACCGTTGATTGCATGCTTGGTAGCACAGTAGATGGGGGCTGCCAGTGGAGTCTTTTGTCCCGCTGTGGAGGAGATAAGGATGATCGACTTCCGGTTCGTTGGACCAGCCGCAGGCTTGCCAGACATAAAATGAGAGATGGCAAGTTGCGTCAAACGAATCGGGTGGGAGAGGTTGATGTCGATAGAAGCGTATCGTCCTGCCTTGGGATCGTCAATTGATTGCTCCTGTCCAGGCGGTATCCAGAAATTGGAGAACTCCGGCTCGTACACGCCGGCACCAGGGCATACGATGTCGACACCTCCGAAATCATGCACTGCGAGATCAAAGAGCTCAGACAGCTGGTCCCATTGTCGTACATCTGTTTTCTTGTAGACTGCACGAGGTTGGCCGGATGAATAGGAGTCCACCAAACTCTGTGCCTCGTCTCTCAGCTGCAAGTCTGCAAAGATGACATTTGCTCCATTTTCTAGTAGCAGTCTAGCAAAAGAAAAGGATATGCCTACTATCGCTTAGCTTATGGTTTCTATTCGTCTTTGATAACAACAAAATGGCATACCAGAACCTGCGCCCGTTACAATGGCGGTTTTGCCGTTGAAATATTGTGACATGACTGTGCCAACTGGTGTTTCAGTAAGCTGAGATTCGTATGAAATAGTCCACTCGATTTCGGGGCAGTTCAAATAAAATCAATGGAATGATATGCGTATGCACGTTGCGGGTTTACCTAAGGGCGATGATATCACATTTTAAAGGCGAGCTTGTCTACACTTAGATGTGAGCCTGAAGGGGTAAATTATCCGAACAAAGCTGCAAGCCCGACCCTCGCACTAAACTGTAACTACCCTACACTTTCGGGATTCGAGTTGTATACAGAAGTAATGCCAAGATACTTCCATGCGCGATCTGTAAAATATGGGCCAACTGCCTTCTAACTTCTATAGGTCATGTTGGCATCTGATATGCTTAAAGAGAGCTTTCTTGAGTAAGGTTAACAATAGGCTGTCAAGGGCCCGGCATCTAAGGATCAGGAAGGTTGCTCTTAAGTAGGTACTTAATGCTGCATTTGTGAAGTTACGTTACAGCATCTTGAATACTCGAATTCGTTCAAATCATGTCTCTTGATACTGATGTGCTCATCATCGGCGCTGGCCTGTCTGGGATTGGTACTGCGGTCCAACTCATCCGCCGTTTTGGCACATACAACTTCGAGATCATTGAAAAAAGCAACGACATAGGTGGCACATGGGCTTTGAATACATATCCGGGTTGCGGCTGCGATGTATGCCGGCGACGTGATATCACCAAGCAAACGCTGACGCCGTGATAGGTTCCGTCTCATTTCTACTCATTTTCGTTCGCGCTCAACCCAGATTGGTCCCAGGTCTACCCTATGCAACCTGAGCTGCATGCCTATTTTCGCTCGGTGGCAGAGAAGTATAAGATACTTCCGCGAGTCCAGTATCAAGCTGCTGTGATCAGTGCAGCGTGGAATGAAGGCTCTTCCACCTGGACTGTGGAAGTACAGGACACAAAGACGAAGGCTATTCGACATAAACGATGCAAGATTCTCATCTCTGCCGTGGGTGCATTGTCCGTCCCACGAGATTGTGATATCCCCGGCGCAGCGGAATTCAATGGTAAGTTGTTCCATTCAGCGCAATGGGACACGAGTTTCGACTGGGTATCAAAGGATGTTGTCATCATAGGTGCGTGCAAGTCAATTGTAAGCTCTGGTGCTGGCTAAGACTAAAGAAAAAAACAAGGAAACGGATGCAGTGCCACTCAAATCGTTCCTGCGATCAGCCAAGGCACAGGAGCGGTTCATAAAGTAACACAATTCAGCCGACAAGCCCATTGGCTTGCCAAACGTGTCAACTCAGAGTACTCTCGGTCGTTCAAGTGGGCGATGCGATGGGTACCAGGCGTCATGAGACTCTACCGTGCGTGGATCTATTTCAACAAAGAGCTAGGTTTTCAAGGTTTCAATATCAAGAGTGGCGAGAAGATTAGAGCTAAGTGGGCGGAAGACGCATCAGCATACATTCGCCAAACTGCGCCCGAACGTTACCGCGATGCACTGATTCCTAAGACCGTCATCGGATGCAAGAGGAGAGTAAATGATACGGGTTATCTTGAAAGCCTCCATCAGCCAAACGTCGAGCTCGTCTACGATGACCCTGTGGAGAAAATTTCAAAAAATGGGCTATCTACAACCTCCGGACGATTTGTTCACGCAGATGCCATTGTGCTAGCGACAGGTTTTCAAACGCATAGATTCTTGTTCCCGATGAAGATCACTGGCGAAAATGGCATCACTTTGCAGCAGCACGTAAGAATCCCCACCAATGAGCTTGTGAACAATTCTGATTGTTGGAAAGTGGGACCAGGTCAGTGATGGTACTTCTTCTGCATATTTCGGGACATGCATCGCCGGATTCCCGAATTTCTTTACTTTAATGGGGCCCAATACGATCACGGGTCATCTTTCCGTAATCTACACTGTGGAATGCCAGATCAACTTCATTCTCAGGATCATAAAGCCGATACTGAACGCTGTTCAGAGACCCAGAATCAGCTCAGGGGGTGCTCAATCGGTTAGGGTGAAGCCTGAGGCTGAGCTAAGGGACAATTCCTGGATCCAAGAGAAATGCAAAGCCCTTGTCTGGAGTACCGGTTGCACGTCCTGGTTTATTGACCCTCATACCGGCCGGAATACCCAGATGTATCCCCAATGGATGTTCCTATTCTGGCTTCGTAGCTTCTGGATCCCATGGGAGGATTTCGTCTATTCCCCTTCGTCGTCAAAACCCAAGCCAGTGGGTTCTTTATCTACGGTGTCACTCTGGGTGAGGGTCTTCAGCCTGCCCGCAGTGGTTGCTATTGGGTGTCTTGCCACGATTGTATTATTTCGCGACTGGCATCTGATTATTGCAAATAATATTCCATGGACAACATCATGAAAGTTCTGTATTGAATTTAGATCTTTTTACACATCGTCAAGAATGTCTAGAACAAGTTTCCTTATAAGATAATTTGCAGTAGTAGAATAACAAGCGTCTATATTGATACACACGAGCCTCTGTAGCTACTAAGGATATCATGCTTTTTATAGAAGACTTAAACCGGACAAAGCACGTCCATCCGTAGTGGACCTCAAAATCTCGAATTAGACAAGAGATCCACTGTCTGGGAAAATTTGAGGGTACTCGAGGAGGCGCTGAAGGTGAACAGGGTCAGCAAGAGATCATTTTATAGGTGAAGATCGCTCGCTTGCTGAGATGAAATGTGTGCATGGCGCATATATGGCTGGTGCGGCGGTAGCCCAGAATTGTAGGACACATTCTTAATCTCGTAGTCAAGCACTGGAAGGGCAGGCCAGTCATGGTTTTGGGGACAGCTCAGCACAGTAGGGTCCTAGAAATTCACAAACATGTGACTGTATGAAAATGTACTGAGGATATTATTTCCCTCTTAGGGTAAGGATAAGTTGGGAAGGAAAGAAACATTGTCACAAATGTTCGATATGGTGATGACATCACGACGGTCGATGCTGTAGCTCAAGCCTTAAAAACTATACCCAGCACAAGCCCTAGGTCCTGGTCATGCCCTCCTATTTGATTCATCTTGATACACCCCATCCGGCCACCAAGAGCCCAGGGGATCCCAATGATACAGAGAGACGAAGCCAGTGACGCCGTTTGTGGAGAGAGATATTCAAGGTACTGCGGAGCTAACAGAAGTAACGGAAGGCAAAATGAAGGGAGTAGAAAAGTGAGTCAAAAGTCTACGAATAGCGCCACACAAAACAGCCATCTCCCCTCCAATGCCGAACTCACAAAGCAACCAACGTGCCAACAGCTGTCCTGATTTTAGATGCTCCGCGATCAAAAAAAAAAATAGCAAGATAAAGGGCGAAAAAAAGAGCAAAAAACATACAACAGCGGGGATTCGCTGATGGTCACCCACTCAACTACTAGTCCGCCGGTACATTGCTTAAGTATGGCTGAGCGAACGGGAAGCCCTGTTTTCAATGTCCAATGGTCGTATGTATCAGATATGCCTTTTTGTTGCCACTATATACCTACATTCCATTTCACAACCTCCCAACCCTCGTTTTCGAACAACAACTCTTGCTCCTCAACCCCTAGCACTATGACGCGCCCGCTCCACCCCCCTCCTTCAAATGCCCAACAAACCTCCCATGAATCCCCCTCCAATTCTCCTCGCACTTCCCCTTGACAGTCCCGACAAGCAACCTCGACGCACTAATCTCCACATCCTCCACGAGACTCCACTCGCTCCCCTCGCCCCCTTCGTCGTTGTGCTCGCCGTCCGCGCCCCGCACCACCTCCGCCGTCTTGACGAGCTTCCACGTCGTGCGCTGCACGAGCCCGAGCGGCGCTTTGATAACCCACTCCACGCCGTCGTCCGTGTTCGTGAGAAGCGATTCGAAGGTTACAGTTGAGTCCCACAGCCCGGCTGGGAGCGCTTTCATGTGGTCGGTTACTTTGTAGCGTTTGGTCTGCGGGGTGTCGGGCGGGGAGGGGAGCGTCTCGTAGTGTGCGAGTTCGGGGTCGAGCCGGATGAGGAGGTCGTGGTTTTGGAGGTGGGTTATGGCGGTTGGAAAGGTTACGCCGTGGGGGAGGGTGGTGACGTGGTGGAGCTTTGCGGTGGTGTTGAAGACTGGTGGTGGAGTTGGTAAGGATGGTTGAGGTGGAGGAGGGTCTTAGGTGAGAGTGAGAGCGTGAACGTACATGAGGACATCTTGTATGGCTGGTGGTGTCGTTCAGGAAGTCTTGATGCTGGAGGTGAGTCTATGATGTGATCTCAACGGGTTGTGTGAGCGAGCAAGCGTTCTGGGCGCGTAACGAAGGGTGGCTGTTCAAGCGAATGTTTTCGGCTCCGTCTATCAGTAGAGATTCAAAATATTATGACTAGGTGAGGTGAGTTTCTAAAATTGCAGATATGAGTTGTTAGGGAATGGGATGAAATGAAGTCGTGAGGTCGAAGATCCGCAACGACTGTCATCATAGACATTCTGTTTCAGGTTATTAGCGACATGTTTTAGGTTGCCTTTTAGGGAAATATCGCAATCTAGGCTGCAATTTCACAGATGGGTCGACATTTCTGAATTGACCATGGATCATTGCAAGATGAAGGTATATCCATGACTCTATTGCTGTGAGTACCTGTTTGTCGGACTTGAAGGTGGGGTTGCTACCTCCTCCCTTCGAACTAACCGGATAAGAATAGCGACAAAGAATCAAGGAGATACTCTTCTAGAATTGTACACTTGCTTATATGTGGGAGTATATACAAAGCGTCTGAAAAATCAAGTAAATAGCAAGAACCTTAGGAATATGTAACTCCATTGCAATGCATCAACATGCTCATTGCGATCTACTGTTCTTTATGTAGGTCACGATTGAGCCTACGGTCATGCAGAAACACAGACTAATCTCCGACATCGATGCTTTGACACTTCGATTCAAGCCTTATCACCGCTCAATTCTCTCCTAGCTATCAATTGCTGATCGCAGAGAGTAACTTATTCTCCCCGTAGTACTCATACTCCATACTCGTGTTCATGTTCATAGAATGGCAAACAGCGGGGAATCGGAGGTCCAGCATGGCGATCTCGGCACCGATCGGAGCTTTTCTACGCCGACGTTGAATACCCATGACGTGACCCTTCTACACCTCGAACGTACCTCAGAACAACCATCAAATACAGATTTTATGGCTTAGACCGTGTCTAATATCATCAATGAATTACTCCAATGGTAATTTTAATCTCTTGACAAAAATTGATCAATCAATTGCTGCATCACCTGTGTAGCTATGGTCATATATACCAGATCATGAGCTCATAATGATATACAACTTCACATTCCAAACAACCAATCCTGGCACGATCAAACCGGAGCTCAAGGGTTGCCTAAAAGGATGTTTATAGCGCAAGTACTAATGTTCTAGCTGCCTAAGCTTCATCAAACAGAGCTCTCATACGAATAGCTTTCAGATCCTATAAAACTGAAGAACACCCCTCACTTCCACCCACTCTCCCGCCCTACCGCTCTCCTCCACCAAATTTCCATCGACACCATCGCAAACATGTCCGACTCACTCGGCCAGCTGTTCACACAACAGCCTCCAGTGCTCTTCCGAGTAGCTCAACTCGTCGGAATTACCGGAAGTGCATTTGTCTTCGGTAGGAAAGCTTTGTGCATTCACCCTTGACGACCCAAAGCACATAGCTAACAAACCTTCAACTGCAAAGGCCAAAATGCGTTCCTCTCCTACGGCGCCTGTCCTACCATTATGGAAGCTCCCGCTCCCCTAGCTGCCCGCCAATGGGTCAAAATGTATAACTCAGCACACATCGTTGGCCCCATCACCGCCATTGCGAGCGGTCTCTCCGCCGCATACGTTGCCTACAACCGTACGTCCCGTCTCCCCCAACTACATATCCCAAAATGAAACAAGGAGAAAGCCGAAGGACGCGGAAGCACAGAAAACTAACACCCAATCCCCAGAGGCCCCCGAATCCCTCGCCTTCAAACTCAACGTCGCGGCCGCCGTCCTCCTCCCCAGCATCGTCCCCTTCACCTACGCCTTCATCGTGCCCACCAACAAGAAGCTCTTCGCCAAAGCCGACTCCCTCGCCGCCACATCTCTCGACAACAAGGCCGCGGAAGCCGGCGTCGCGAAGGAGGAGACAGTGCACGCGCTGATTGACAAGTGGGCGACGCTGAACTTCGCGCGCGCGTTGATCGTGGGTGCGGCGGCGCTGCTGGCGGCGTGGGCGGCGGCGGATAAGAGGGAGGTTGTGGGGTTTAGGGAGATTGCGTTGGATGTTGGGGCGAATAGGTTGGGGAATTAGGAGGATGGATGTATGTGTAGGATGAGGGAAAGAGAGGGAGTGTGCTGCGGGGGTGTTTGGGAAATATTGTATGTATATATATCACTCAGAAACCGTAAGATTATGTTAAGGTGGTTATTTTCATTTAGAAGTCAATTCGCTCGGTATACCTAGGTAGCCTTTGGCATCCATTGTCAGAAGAAATTTCAATTGATTCCATGTGCATAACTTTTGATAGAGCATGCTCCGGCAGCAATTCCAATTTCCACTACCAGCCCGGGATGCAGCACTCCCCTTTGCCATGCCCAGCGCACAAGCAGAGCCCGTAGAAAGCTGAAAGAAATTCCAAAACGCCCGGTTCCAAGAGACCCCATTCCCTACGATCGAAAAAAAGAGAAGAGGTGAGAAGTAAAGGCAGTCGCCCCGCAAGACCAATGTGCCATGATCCATTGATCTGACTGCGTCTCGGCCGACTGTGAAGTAATCCCAAAACGCCGGTTCGAAGAAACTCCACCCTCAATAACTTGGAAAAAAGAGAAGACGAAAGGAAATTTGGGATGTCATCCTGAAACATCAAGGTGCTGGGTCCCGTTGGCTTGATTGCATTCTCAGCACATGACACGGGGGTGAATGGCTGCTCATTTCCCATCTCAGACATATGAGGGAAGGCATATGGCCCAGCATGGATCGCAATGCTAGAACTGCAAATGGTAGAGTCCGGGGCTGAACTCTAGTTTTCTGCTTTGCGCTTTAGATTATGTTGCTTTGTGGGAGTCGACTTGGTTCCTTTGCGTCCGGACTGTGCTGCGCGAGCAACTTTGAAAAGCTCTATGATGTCGGCCTCGGCCTGCTTCGATTCATCTGTTTGATGCTCGCTTGCGGTTTTGCGAAGCCAATGGTTGATGTCGATATTTGTCTTGGCTCCTTGTTTAAGAAGGATCTTCACGAGAGCAATTGATCGGATTCGAATAGCATACCTCAAAGGGGATTGTCCTACTGGGTTATAGCCACGGCGACCCGAGAACCTCTCCACTGAAACGCCTCTCGCTACAAGTAAAGGTATAAGGTCTGTTTGATCATTCTCAATGGCGCTCATCAAGTAACTTTGGGAGGGACTATGCTGAGGGGAGATGTCGATATGCCTTTGCTGGATTATTCTCTTTGCAATGTCTCCAAATCCGCGCTTACAGATGTATCTGAATGACTCATTCATCCGCCGTTGATTCTCATGGCTATGGCCATATGGAAGTGTGTTAAGAATCGTTTCGATATGATCTTTACGCCCTGCCGCGGCTGCAATCGCCCACCACCCAACCACACGTGCGCGCCAGAATGCCTTGTGATCCTTTTGGACGATATGAAGTAACAGCTCAAGAGTTGAGTTGGTTTTCATACGCATCGCTGCAATTATCGCTCTGTGGAGAAGATCTCGAACCCGATACGTTTTTTTGGTCTTTTTAAGATTGTGCATAAGATGGACGACCGAACCCTCCTTTCCCTCGATTACAGCACATTCAAGAGGGTATCCAAGAACAACTGACTCCTGTTGTACGTCCAAAGGATGGTCGAGAATTAACTTCTGGAGAAGGTGTAGATCCCCAATGGAGGCTGCTGCTGCAATTCTATCCACATTGCAAACACGTGAGCCATCGAGATTATGACTGCTACTATCCCAGGAACGCCAAAGAAGCGACCATATAGGGAGATTCGATGTTACCCTGCACAGAATCTCGATGCATTTTTCCATGGGGTAATTTTGCCTGTCTTTTGAGCTCTCCACGAAATCATTGACAATAGCCTGTATACTCGAGGGGACGAAAGGGTGGCAGCCGTTCAGCTGTTTTATTCGATATTGGAGATATTCACTTCGAATATGGACGTTTTCACTTCGGATTGCAAGGAAATGAGTTCGATAAGGGTCGTACATGCCTCGAGAGTAGGTAGATTCCCCTCGCTGATAGATTGTAAGCGGAGTAAACGAAACACCTTGAAATGCCTGAAGTGGTTGCTTCGCTAGAATCTCGAATTGAATGAAGGACTTGAAAGTTTCTAGTATCCTCGGTCAACACAAAGTCACAACCTGAAACGTGACTATAATGCTTACTGCAAACATCGCGTCGAAGCCAGGCTTTGACGACGCCCACATCATCAACGTAGAGTCGTATGATTTGTTCCAGAACCTCAGGCGGAACATCGAGTAGATCCATGGTAGTGAGCTCTTGTTCAATCTGCTATCGCGGTTGGGGGTGTGTGAGGAGCTTTATGTAAGGCTGCGAAGTGATAGAGGTACGAGTTAAGTATGAGGCTTTTGAAATATACTGGATGGCGAAACGAGGTTGTGGAGTGGTGATGGAGTAGTAGTGAAGGTAAAGGAAAAGGTAGTAGTTCGAAACCCAACGCGAGGCGAACAGCAGCCACTGGCGGTGAGACGGCACGAACGCAAATTACCTCCACTGATCTGATCTGCGGAATGACAAGGAACAAAAGCAATCTCACATTAGCGTTACTTGCAGATGGTGAAAGACATGGTGTAGGTAAAGGAGTGCTTCAGTGTTGGTTAAATTAAAATCCAGAGTTCATCTTAGCTAATAACTCTATTAAAGTAAGGAAAAACGACGGAAAGAATCGTCCAGTTCCTTTTTTCTATATGTTTCCCATGCTCATAAGATTTATTTGTGCCCAAGCTATTCCGAGTCTTCACCACCATACAAACCACCACCATGCAAAACACCACCATGCAAAACACCACCATGCAAAACACCACCATGCAAAAACGCTCTACAACATATCTCAGCCTGCTTCTTTTGACTTTCTGGACAATCCTTTGCAGCTTCGCGACGATACTCGTCAAAATTAAAGTCTGCCTTGGCTCCATGTTCAATGAGTATGTTTGAAACAGTAGTATGACCATGACGAACTGCAAACTTCAGAGGGGACTCGTGTAATCGCGCACCACAACGGCAACCACAGAAGTCGTCCACTGGATATCCTTTCTCTATAAGAAGAGTTACTAGATCTGCCTGTCCATATTTTATGGCACTAAGCATAGGGTTTGAGTGTGGGTCGAACCTGCCCGGGGGGATGTAATATCCCTTCTCGATGAGTCTTCTAGCCATGTCTCCGAAGCCATTGTTGCAAAGCTGGTCGAAGCCCCAATCTTCCGAAAGCTCCATTTCGTCCTCCTGGAGCTGCGGAAGATGATTGAGAATGGTGTTTAGGAGTCTACGGTCTTCCTTATAGAGTGCCGTCTCCCACGATTCTTCTACAATACTTGCGTAGATAGCGGTATGGGTTTTGCCGAGACATTCGAAGATGAGCTCCATCATGTCATGGTTTTTCGTTTTTCTCACGACCCCCTCAAGCGCAAGCTCCAATTGAACTGTGTCTAGATCGTCTAACTTTAGCTTTGGGAAAAGGTCAAGCACCATCTTGACCGAGGCCATGTGTCCTCCAGCCACAGCAGCTTGGAGTGGGAAGCCAAGAGCGTCTGACCGTTCCAATACATCCATTGGATGATTGAGAATCAACCTCCGGAGAGCTCGCTCGTCTCCTATGGAAGCAGCAGCGGCTATTCTGTCCACATTGCTAACAATCTCTTCGTCATCATATTGCCATGTTCCGTCCCGTGTTCCGTACCCTCTTAGTAGTATACCTGGATTGTCGGTTAGGGCCGCTATACACAAAGCCGTAGTATATTGTTCTTGTAGATGGCCTTCATTCTCTTGCAATTTCACCACAATCTCGGCGTTGATACCCCTCAATTTCAAGGAGATTACCGGTGGAGCGTTGTTTGGCTGCTGGATTCGATATTGAAGGTATTTCATACGCTTGCTGTGCGTCAAACCTTGTAGTATGAACTTTGGAGGGGTGCGGTAAAATGCTTGCTTTGGTTGCTTCGCTAGAACTTCGTATTCTATAAAGTAGTTGAAGGTTTCTGGTTATCTACTGTCAGTACATTGTCGAGGAACGTCGCCTTTGAATCTGGGACCTTACTGCAAACATCGCGACGAGACCAGGCTTCCAATATGCCAACCTCGTTGACGTACAACTTGATGATGAGTTCCACAATCTCAGGTGTACAGTCTAGCAAACCCATTATAGTAGAATGTACGTGGAACTGTTATTCCTGTCAGGTATGTGTTGTAATGTTGTTTGGAGGTTATGGTGTGATGAAGACAAATACGAGCTCGATACTTAAATACCAGAGCAATGTGTAAGTCAGAGGTAAGTGCATATCAAGCAATGTGATGTCCTTCGTTGATATCAGAGCAACCCATGGGTTCACAATCAACAACATAATCCCTTTTCGTCATTGATCTCAAAGGAACAGGTAAGTTGAGAATGGACAAAGTCTTTGTCTTCATTGAAATCATTATCCAATACCAGACTGAATAAAGGCTAACGTTCTAAATTTAGCTTTCGTAGCAGACTAAGATCGTTGTGACAATGAGATGGGATTTCCTTGTACTGGATCTCGGAGCCTATCTTGGCTGGGCTTGACAAAGACCACGTAGTGAAGACTTGTTCCGAATCCGAAAGACCATATCGCTTGCATGTAAAGGTTCTGCAACTGACACGCACATTGTTCTAGGTTCTAGAATCTGCCAAGTAACCAAGAACGATCTAGCATCTCACTTTAGTGTTACTTGCAGATGGTGAAAGGCTCGGCGAAAGTGAAGGGATATGCTTCGCTCCTGGATCAATGATGTTATACTTTATCTTATTTAATGCCTTGATGATGCTCATAGGTCATCTTAGGTAATGCCTTCAGTGAAGTAAGAAAAGACAACTGGTAAAAGATCCAATCATCTTGCTCCTGTTTCTATGCATTTTCCATGACTATCATCGAATCCATTTGGGATCAAATCATGATACGGTATAGTCAGCCTTCGTCACTCCTGAAAAACGTTCAGCAACTTTCCCTAGCCTGCTTCTGTTGACTATACCTATCATCCTTTTGGCTTCACGATAATCATTGCAATTGAAGTCTACGTTGGCTTAATCTTCAATGGACATATCTGCAACAGCAGTATGCCCATGTCGAATAGCAAGCTCCAGAGCGGACTTTTGCAACCGTGCACCACAACAGCAACCCCAGAAGTCGTGCACTAGATAAATCCCCCTCCGATAAGTAGACATAAGGAGAGGCAGCTAATCAAGCGCGCCAATCACGGTTTCTGAGCGGTGGCCATTCCGCCGGTATACTAGATCCTTTCCATCGTAGGTCTTGTTCTTTTGTGTCCGCATTGTGCGGTGTGGCGCCAGCAGCGTTGATAAGCTCTCGTATATCAGCTTCAGCCTGCGTCCATTTATCTCTCCTGTCCTTAGACGCTATGATGTACATGGTAAAAACATCATCGACATTGATGTTTGTCTTGGCACCGTGTTCCAGGAGTACCTTCACGGCAGTAGTTTGACGAAGTTGAATAGCATAAAATAGAGGAGACTTATCCGGGCCTCCCCATGGCATGTCCGGTGGATAACCGTGCTGCAGAAGGAGACGTAGCATATCCGCTTGTCCATGCTCTATGGCGCTTACCATATGAAAACCTTGCAAATATTTAAGATATCCTTTTCCGATAAGTGCTCTGACAATATCTTCGAATCCGAGCCTAATAAGATGATATGAACTCAGAGTGACGCTGCTTTGTGGGCGTGGTGGAAGATGATCGCAAATGAGCTTTATGAGCCCATAATCCCCCAAAGCTGTTACCAGGTCCCACGACTCCTCTATGAGGTCCAAATAGATATCATCGTGGTTTTTCTTGATGGATTTAATGATAACCTCGATGACTTCAAGTCTTTGTCTTTTCGCTCTTGTCATTGCTCCACGAATTGCTCTCTCTACCTTGCGTTTCGATTCCTTGGTCCATTGTTCGATTCTCGTTAGATGTTCAAGCAAAACCTTCAGCGAAGCCATCTGCGGCCCGACTACAGCAGCCTCCAGTGGATAGCCAAGTACAGTCGAGTGCTCTATCATATCCCCTGGGTGATCAAGGATCAACTTCTGGAGCCAGTGATTATTCCCTACGGAAATAGCGGCAGCAATTCTATCTGCATTGCTGACAATTGCATCATCTTCATAACCACGTTGACTGGATGTTTTAAATTCCAGTATATTAAAATTGATTGTGGCGGCGACGTTGCAAAGAGTCATGAGCGACTGCTCTTGTAGACGACTTTCTTTCTCTTTCGAATTCTCATCAAGTTCAGCGCAGAGGTCCATTAATCGTTGTGCAGTGATCGGACGGTCACAGTTCGGCTGTTTGGTTCGATATTGAAGGTATTGCATCCGATGGCTGTGCGTCAGAACGAGCTTTTCGAAACCTGTGAACACATGTCCAAATGCCTCCCCTGGTTGCTTCGCTAGAATTTCGTATTCTATGACTGATTTAAAGGTTTCTAGTTTTCGTTCGTTAGTATGTTATCAAAAGGTTATAGTTAGACTGGGAACTTACTGCAAACATCGCGTCGACACCAAGCCTTTGCAATTCCAACCTCGTTGACATAGAACTGTACGACGAGGTCTAGTATCTCAGTAGGAATACTTAGTAGAGACATTGGAGGAGAAACAGATCAAGTTGTTGACGTCGTAAGGTTGTGGAGTGATGAAGACAAAATGTGGGGTACTTATAGCTCAAATCAAAGCTTAATGCAACAGGTAAGTTCAAAGTGAACAATGCATTAATCTTCATGGATTTCAAACTATCGTTAAGTTCAATGAACAATGAATGATTATGTCTTCATTGATTATGTCTTCATTGATTATGTCTTCAGTGGCCACGTGCAAGGACCACCAACTGACCTTCACCAAGAAGTGAACGTAGGCAACCGTGCAAGGGCTCTCTCTCCTCAATCTCATCTATAGTGGACAACTATCTCATCCGGTAGTGATGCTTGATTACCTGATGCACTGTTACCTGGGATATTCTGTAAGGAGCTAATCTCCCTACCCTCAGTGGCTGGATAGCTTTCTCGGTTGAATTCGAATTCAGTATTCTGATTGCAATCAACCAATTCTCCATCAGGTTGATTGCGTAGGATACTGACCCGTGGCAGCGAGAGTGAGACTCATGCCACTACTGGATCGAGTACAGCTGGCAGTTATTCTGGCCGGGCTTGACATATCCACGTGGTGAAGAATCCAAGTGAATTCAAAAGATTATAGCACTTATATGCGAGAATTTCGCAGCTGACATGCATACTCTATTCCCTAGAATCTGCCAAATCACTGAAACCAATCTATCATTGATATTTTAATGCTCCAATTTGTATTATCTTCGGACTACGCAAAGTTATTTTGGAAATCGATATCGTACTTCGCAGCCCCATTGTCAAGGTAAAAGTTCGTCGACCATGGGATATTGAAAAGGTCCTCAATGCGTTTCCAATCTCTATGTTCATCAATCGGTAGCGAAACATCCTTAAATCCTCCATTCAAAGTTTCCGGAACGAGATTGTAGTGAGGACCACCATCACTTTTTGGGGCTTTGAACAAGGGCACCAGCCCTTCTTTACGAAGGTATCCTTGGGACCATAAGTTGTGCAGGAAGATACGAAGGTCTTGGTTGGAAGTTATGTGACCCGTATCCTGGACCATTCCACCCGGGCCTATGTTAATGGAGCTACCTCTGGGACAGGAGAATTTGGCTCGGGAATTCACGGCCTGCCCGTTTTTATCATTCCATTGCTAATATTTCTCATCTCAGTCGTTCATGCGTAGGCAAATTAGAAGCAGGATTTCAATACTCACAACGCGCCAGTATGGACCCCAGCCAGGTACGTGCCATATATAGCGGGTCTTGCGATCATCAGGATCAAACGCTTTGTTTGAATGATACGCGGTTATGGCGGACTGTTTAGTCTGTTTGAGCATTACTGGTCACCCAGACGCACACGTAAAACCTACGATGGATGTATACATGTCAAATAGACGACTTCCTTCAAATATCAATTCATCGAACCATATAATTGGCGACGAAAAGTGAAGGTGCAGAACGACCCATTTGTTGACGTGTTTGTGATCTGGCCGGTCTTCTCGATGATCTCGAAAATAGTGTAATAGATACGAATTCTCTTCTTGAGCTGTCGGATCCATTCCACGACGAGGGCCAATCCAATAAGCGAGCTCTAGAAATGGGCTATTTTTTCTGTCTATTAGTATCTTGTACGTTCAACACCCACAGAATATAACACAAGGGTGATCCCATGCGGCGGTACACGTACCCAGGTTCTCCATTGCCTTGGACCGCAGCGTACCACTCCCATCTTGCGTAATGGAATGAAAGAGCACCTGCAGCAGGAATCAGTTGGGATATCCATCCACTAGGGGTGATAGAAGTACCTGCGTTAATACCGGCCAAAATCCAGCCCAAAGACGGTATATCGGGTTGAGTTGGATTACCTAAGTTATCATCTATGAGGCGGGGACGAAGGCTGCTTTTACCGCTAGTATTCGTCGACTTCGTCTCGTGGTCTGGTCCTAGGTTAGGATGTAGGTAGCACACGCCTAACGTCTCTTTGGCTGTCTCCTCTGCCAACTCACCCCATCTTCTGGGGTCCCTTAATACTCGCAAAATTATCCGCCGCGATGTTTCTAGGGGACGCATTTTGAGATAATCTACCAATTGAACAAACTTTACTCCATCCATCGTACTGTCGAAGATTCTCATTATCTCGCGCTGCTCCCCAACTTCGTTCCCACGACGTTTAGCTTCAAGGACAGCGACAAGATACTCAACAAGCACTAGCCAATCGTGCTTGCAATCTTGACTAAATTCCTGAATTGATCGTTTTGAACTCTCCGGTGAGTGCTCCTCTGTGTCGTCAGGGGCAGCCGAGTCGTAGTTAACATCCTGGTCACTGTTTACGATATAATCAGTTCGATCTGTTGCTGCAGAGTAATTCCATACATACTATTCAATCGGTGGAAGCGACTCAGGTGGGCATTTGTTTTCCCGGCGGTCCTTGAGATATCTGTGAGGCAGTTAATGCAAAGTATCAACCTTGACACCAAGTCCAACTTGCGAGTCCAAGGTCCTCTGAAATATTTCCACATAATTGTCGCGGTCCCCTCTGACTTCTCCGCGACAACAGTATGCCTCCTCGCCTATTGTGCAGTTGTGCTTTTGCACAGCGAGCATGACGTAATTTTTGGGACAGGATGGCTCGCACACTTTGTCGCTGAACCTGTGCGTCTCCTTGGAATACCAACCGCAGCCTAAGAACGACGAAGGAAGTGTTCCGTCATGGCAGCAATAACTTCGCAGCATATCTAGGTACGATATCAGTGAGATAGACTTGGGTAACGGAGGTAATCTGAACGGACTGTTCTCGCATGCTTCCTCTCCTCCAAATCCCCTCGAAGCTGTCAAACGGACCTGAGGGTATTCCTTGCTGCACCAATTGCCACTGAATGAACACCCATGCCATTTGCATTGCGAATATGCACTAACGGAACGGCCATCTGAGCAACATGCAGTCTGATGTCCACCATTCGAACAGTTCGTTTTCGTAGATCCGACCTCCACCTCCGAGGTAGCGCAGCCTGGCGTGCATTTTTGACCGTTTTGCAGGCCTCGCCACAGGCAGTTGGGAGTGGGTTGGCCTGTGGGACAACAGAACGTTTGGAATCCTTCGTCCATGCAGTGTTCGTGGTTGCTCATTATCTTACCGGGCTCTCCTCCTGCTATCGTTTTCGCCTCAAATCCAGCATCGCAAGGCTATGTGGTGTGTCGAGAATTAGTGCAAATTCTTGCAGTGTGGATGTAGTAGTAGCATAATGCTGTTGATTCGATGGAAAGTTGAACTCACTTCTCCGCAGTTGGACCATCTACACATTATGCTACTTTCACCACCGGGTGGATTGGGGGCGTCTCTAGGTTCTAGACTTTTGGTACTCGCCGTGTTGAATAAGATATTTGTCCATGGCATAGCAGCCGCAGCCGCGACGAACAACACGGGCCAGCATCTCATGATCAGACAATTTTTGGAGTATCCTTAGGAAAGACTGTGGATGCGTAAATGATATGAGCAGTTGCGAGGTACTTATCATACAAATATACTTGAGGGCCGCTGCACTTGCTATTGCTTCTATGTGCTGTGTTGCCTGTCGGAGTTGGACCAATACGACAGTAACGAAGTACAGCACAATATGGGAAACTATCGAACGACATCTAATTAATTTCATTCTCTAGTGTTATATCTTGATCATGGCCCGTTTTTAGGTAAATAATCGGCTACCACTGTGCCGAAGCTGTTCCCGTCGGGAAGATGTATTACAAAGATGCAGAGACACAGCGAAGAAGGGATTGGAAGCATAAGTAGTATCTCGCTACTATCTAGATTGAGTGACTTGTCTCCGGCGTTTAATTTACTCCAACTACACAGCAACGTATTTGATATGTGATTTACCAATCTCTTCGTCTTATCCAAACGACACCATCGCTTAAAACTTTAAAGTTCATCACACGAAGCACCTCGCGAAAGCCAGACGATGACACAGAAACGTCTCGTGATGATTCCGAACTCACAAGAATGTTTGCTTCTCGAACGATCCGAACACAAGTCCACCGACACACCATATCCCACAGTCACCTGTCAATCCCCCCCTTTTGCACATTCACACCTTCGCGAACGTTACTCGTACATCTGCGGACTTTTCTCGCCTCTATCAACCTTACACCATATAAATCACACTAATTACAAATAACTTCGTCGCCGGTCACGTTACGACTATTCTCATCTCTTCCCACGTACGACGAATCCGTGCTTTGAGATATTTCCAGTTTCTCACGGTGAGCCGATACGGCTGTACGAATGTGCATCTCGCCTATACCTATACGATGTTCATCGCAGCGCATGACTTTTCGTGTTCGCTAGGGAATTTATGTGCGAACGCTCAGCCGTGTCCTGAATATGCTGGGCGGAAATGGAGAGCTAGAGGTTCCTCCTTGAAGACGCCCAAATGCGCCCTTACCAATTTCCAGCATCAATCTAGACAATGCAAAACCAAACGCTAGAGTCAATGTACGGACGTCCCCCTTGCCACCCATACACAACCACAGACCCAGCACACCAACAGCCATGCCATACACCTACACCGACCCAAGGGGTGAGTGGCTCCGAGTGCAGATGTGCAGGTGTGTATGTTTCACGTTTGTGCGCCTGGCTTTTTCTCCCTTTCTCGAACGCCACCGCCACTGCTGTTTGTTCGTATACGTGAATCAGAGAGTCGATAGAGTTTCCTACAGAGGTCTCGATAAGTTGAATCGAAGTGAACCACTCCCTTGGGTGCGCGGGGAGGTGTTAAGGTTTGCGTGGTTGCGTTGTGGGTAGGTGGGTTTGGTCTTGCTTTTATTGAAATGTCTATTCTTATTTGTCAATGTATGCGAACGACATTGCAGTTTCGCAAGAAGACGATTTGGTTGAGCTAGAGTGTAGATCAAGTTCCGTAGATCGCAAGATTTGGTCTATAGAACGTGGACGAGGATAGAAAGAGTGTGCGTGTGAAGTAGAAGTATGTAATTTCGATATCCGCTAACTATACAAACACTTCGCTATGCTATGCCATGCTATGCTATATTATGCCTCGCTATGCTATACTATACACCTTAACAGAACTCCCTGCGGAAATAAAAGTAGACAAGACTTGAAACAAATTGATGGAATCCTTTCCGCTCCTTTGCGCCTAATTTCTCCCCTGTTGTTGTCTATCTTTCTTCTCGTAGGAAACGTCTTGCTGGAAAAAGAAACATTGTTTGGTTGGATGTTTGGATGTTGTTACAGTGTGCGTGTACACGGCGCTATTTTCTTGCTTCGTCCCCACCCTCACCAAATGAGAAAATCCCCGACGTTGGTGTATGGGAAATGTTGTCGCTGCTGTTCTTGTTCTTGAGGCGTTCCGCTCAACGTCGCGGTAACGTAGGTCTGGAAAAGACCACACATAAGCCAGACAGGTCGGTCAGCCAACCAGATCAACTCGCCTGCACGCCCAAGCTTGCCTCCTTCCTTCGTCCCAAGGCGCGCACTCTTCCTGTCCGTTTTGTTTAATTGCGAGGCTACCACACCCCCCTTTATTGTGAAACGTCGGGGGAAGGGAGGATTTTGCCACGATTTCTCCGCGGAGTATTTTGTTTTGATTAGGAAGATGATGCAATGGACCACCACGGTGCCACATGCCCACAAAGAGGTATTGCGACGGGTTGGAAGTACGGCTTGGTCGAATGGGCAGTACGGCGCAGAGGCATTTTCTCATCGTCCTTCCTTTTCGATATGGCAATGGTCGCGCGATCAATGTTTCCGGTTTTTTTAAGCGCCGGTAGCGAGGTCGTGCTTGGTTCGGGTATCGCAGCGAGGGTTACTCAACTTCAACTGCGCATGTCCATGGGCGGACATATTTCTGTCGCGAGACTGTGCAAAAGCAGCTGTGTCCTTGGAATAGGCCTCCTCCAGCCGTGCGAGGTCTAGGTTGACATGGTTGGAGTACGCCACCAGCTCCAAATGGTGAAGAGAGAGCGCAATGAACATCTCGCGTGCGAGCCAATGTTGCTGACAGCGAGACATTGTTGGCATCGTGATTGGTGTTATTGCTGATTCCCAGCAGGTATGAGTCGAATTGGGGATATCTTCAGGTATCGCACACCTCCTCTTGGGATGGGTGTTGCACCGACGGTACAACATAAAGAGCATGGAAAATTTGGTCCGCCATATCATCCTCGATGTCAAGAGGTTAACTCGTTGCCATGACAGCTCCAGGTCTAAGGAACCCTGGAAAAGGACATTGAATGTAAGAATAACACTTCAGCTTCGGCGGTCCTGCGGCGTGACAGTCGCTCGTATGCGTGGGATGATACAACAATGATCGTAGGAGGGATGCGACCTCGCTTCCGGATCGATCTGGGATTGCCATTTCCAGGTAGTCAATTTTCCGGGGTTGATGCGAAACGACCAAACCCATCAGGCAGTCCTCCGTCCAGTCCAGTGGCCCTTTAAGGCCGCATCAGCCTCAAATTTATGAGCCTGACTTGGCTACCTTGAGCTCTGTCTTCTCTGGCAGACCCTCGTCCCAAGGAATGAACTTCTGTCGGGTGTGTGTCGGCATGTGCTTTACCAACGCTGGCGGAGCAGGATCCCAATTGATTTTGTGATCTGGGGTCTCGTTCTTGAAACTTTCCGATGCGTACCCTTTCGTCTTCTTGACGTAAATGGCATTGTCTGGGTTGTCGTATGCTACGTTAACAGAAGGTACGACTGCAATCTTTCCGTACCCGTAATACCAGAGATCCTTGTCGAACAGTTTCGGCTCTCCCTGGAAGGCCTCGCCCTTGTAGTGTCCTCTGAACTTGATGGTCTTCTGCATGATGGGCTCGGCCGTGAAAGCCACGATACCGTTCCAGCACGAGAAGACCTGGAACGGCTTCCTCTCGTTGTAGCGCACGAGCGTTGCGGGGTGACCTGGGAATAGGGCGTTGACGTGTGTCCAGGCTCCGTTGTCCTCGATCCTGAAGAAGGTATCGCCAGACATGTCGCGTGCGATCCACACGTCATAGAAGGTGGGGTCTTCGGTAGCTCTCCAGTCCATGGCGCACACGTGGTCGGCGCCCTGGTATACACGCTGGTGGAGGAGCTCAAGGACGTCCTCTGGGCAAAGGCTGACATCGTTAGAGAAGATGACGGTGGTGTTCTCCGCATAGTGCTCTGGATTATCGATCAGGTCCTTCATGGCCATGTTTCGAAGCTCGGCCAGCGCCTTGATCCGGTCAACCTTCTCGCCCTTGGGGTTGATGTCACTGGTCTGGAGGAAGTAGCGACTGCCAAGCTTCGTGATTTCCTTTTCAAGCTCCTTCAGTACCTCGTAGGTACCATCGGTTGACCTCCCTTCGACAATGGACAAGACGCAATTCTTTGGACCGAGGAACTTCATGGTCTCCACAATGGCTCCAAGGGTACTGGGCAGCAATTCTCTGATCTTGTAGAGATCGAGCGCGAAGAAGTACTTGGGTCGCGAACCAGCTTGCGGGCGAAGGTACGCAAAGCGGTTCTCGTCAAGAGCGGGACACTCGAGACGCTGGAGACCCTTCCTCTTGAAGTCCATGATTGACTTGACGTAGGTTTGTGCCTGTTCGAGAAGGACGGGATCTCCCGCGGGCAACTTCTGGGGGGCTTCTTCCACCTTCTCATTCTTGTCGGCTTCTATAAGAGAATGATTAGCTGCGTCACTGAGGTATGGCGATTATAGTGAGTAGTCTTACCTGCCACGGGAGTTTCTGCGGGTTTAGCTGGAGTGGATGGTTGTGGTACGGCAGATGTGGTGGGTGCGACAGATGCGATAGATGCGATAGATGCGACCGATTCGGCAGATGCACTGGGTGCAGCAACCTCAGCTGGATGCGACCCAACACCAGGCAGTCTGACGGAACCAGCTATCTGCTGAAACTTCTGGAGGGTGTAGCCTTGCTCATAGTAACCGAAGCCAACCAGAAGAAGGAGAATGGCGGACAGTAGTATAAGTGCCTGGAAGAGGGCGCGCACGCTCCTAGTAGTAGGCATGGCGACTTGGAGCGGGAGGGCTCCCGTGTGTTAGTCAGTTAGAGCGGTGTCAGTGATGGTGATGATGCATGGAAGGTGTGCCTTTGGTGAAGTAGCGAATGTCGAGTATAGGGTCAGTGAACAGTGAGCGAGTGATTGAGTGAGCGAGTGAACGGGCGGGGCGAAAATGAGGACGAAAAAAAAGAAGGAAAAGACGAAGTTAAAAGAAGAGTGTAGTGGTAGATGTAAGAAAAGATGAATGGGGACGGGGGGGGGCGGCCAGGATGATATGTATGTAATGTGTGGTTGTGTGGTTGTGTGGATGTCTAGGTACTCTACTCTACCAGTAGGTTAGTAGTGCGACCTCAGGTTGTATGTACTATGTATGCAGTGCGCGTATGTGTCTGCAGTGCTGTGCTTATGAACTCTTTTGTTGGCTAGGTCTTTGGGGTATTATTTAAACTGCTATCTTTCATTATTACTACGCCGTACAGATTAGCTTCCCTAAAAGCTACTACCACCACCTAACTTGAGTCTGTGTGTCCGTCCGGAGGATTTAGAGGGAAAGGCCAGATGCGGTTGCTGTGCGCGGTGGGGGGTTTGAGGACGGGACCGAACGCACGTTTAACAACCACCCATGTCCTTGTCAACGAGAATAGTTTGCGTCACCCTTTTGCGTATTGATGGGATAGTGGGGAAAGGGACATGTAAAGTGAGCGAGAGTGCTTGATTACTTCATGACCATGAGAAGAAGCTGAATGGTAGTGTCGATGAACGGTATGGTATTGATGGTATGGTATGGTGGTGATAGTTTTTTGGTGGTGTGGTAAGACGAGCGGGCTGGGGCTGTACAATACTGTGTAGCCCCGAAGGCAACCAGCCGCCACCCACTGGCAGCAGCAGCCTATAATGGCCAATGACGATCCCGTAGTCTACGTTTCTACATTCTGCATCCTTCATCCACATCTACACAGTACTAGCCTCAAGGTACGTACGTCCACCGTCCACGCAATCTTCGTCAACTGCTTCAAGGCCCGGCATGATGGCCTCGTGGGCCTCATGGGAAAGGGAATTGGAGACCTTGCTGGCCGGACTCAAAGGCTCAGTCATCTCTTTTCTTTCTGTCGGCTTTATTCTTTTCCCTTTCGTATATTCTCTCCCCAAGACGATGGGTGCCCAAAGAGATTGGACAAAGTGCTTGGTAGCTCCACGTTCGCACATTTCGCTGTACATCACTTGATTCACCTCATTCACTCCGATGACGACTAATGATTAGTGTTGTTGATAAGAAAACCCGACCTGTATGTGGGTGGACAGTTCCCACCTGGACTTCCAGTTTCAGTTCCTTAGTTCCCAGGGTAAATCAACAACATTGGACAAGGTGAGGACGGAATGTCAAATCTTGTTTCCATTTTAGCCTGGAACAAGCTAATACGAAGACATAGGACATGGACCGGGGTGCACCCATAGCTATGGGAATGGCCTCGTAACACAGGGCAGCTAAGCATAGCGAACAAGCAATAATAATCACAATAACTTCTGCGTACCTTGTCTCTCTACTAACTGATCCTGGCGGGGATGGATGCGAACCGAAGTGAGATTTGAGATTGACAGACAAGCTTTTGTCCGTCCACTTTTCCGCTACCATGTCAGCATCTCTATCATCGACCAATCATGAGGAAGTAATGCTGGTTGTTATGGATTGTTGTTTGTCTAGATTCGCAATCCTACAACCCACATGCATCATCGCCATCCTCATCTTATTGACTCTTCCCATGTACGGAGTATGTTCTGTTATATAGCATGATCTTCTTAAAACATGCATCGCCCAATTCGAACATTTCTCCCCTTTGACTCCAGCCATATCTCTGTTCCACGATCATCTAGCCAATCTAAATTATCATGGTGAATACGAAGTATCCAAAACCCTCCCTTTCGCAATACAGAGTGCAAATTACCAATGTGTACAAGTACCATACAGTGTCAGGTCCGAGCGACTTTGGGCTTTGAGGCTGACACCAGCCGAAGCCATCTGAGCAGTGCGCAATCTCCACCCAACGGTCCGTAGCCTCATACTACTAAGTAGCCTAATTGCGACTCCTGCCCACTCGATCCTAACTCCCTCAGTCTACGCCGCACTTGTACAAATCGAATCGAACCCCGTTCCTGTCACACAGACCCTTGATGGCGTTTCTTGTTTCTGGCCTGCTGTCTCATGTCTCTAGTGAGTCTGTCTGTCTCTTGTCCGTCCCTAACTAGTGGACATGATCGGCTAACTCTGTTGCAAGAATAACTGAATCTTCGGAAAATAACACCTCATACATTGACAATTAGACACTCGTACAACTAAACGCATACTCCGTGGACACACTACGAGTATCAACTCTTTCCTGCGTGAGTCGCCTACCTAGATCTTGCAATGCGATGCGATGTGAGGAATTGGCATGCGATGGGCGTTAACTGGATCAGGCAGTCCCAGTCGACCCCGGACCCTAGCCAAGTCACTGTTATCAGTTCCATTACTCGTCTTTGTACGGAGCACTGCGTGGTAGGCTGGTAGCTATGTGTTTCTTCCACTCACAACTCACAAGCAAAATTACAGTAGGGAGCTAAGCCTATTTTTCTCGGCGTCAAGAAATTCCAATGCTTGGCTTTCAGATCCCCGGCCGCTCCGCTGCCTGGCTCGCGCACAATACCCTCGAAAGGGCGGTACCCACGATGCCATCGCTGGCCTTGCACAATGACAACTCGAACTACAAATCTCCATAGTTGTCATATCTACTCCGTAGGTAGTTCCTGACGGAGCAACTAAACCTGCTACCCACATAGTTCACAGCATGCCTCATAATGCCATCAATGTCCTACCTAAATCATGCTATGCGAAAGTCCAACCATGCGCGAGCCAGGCCTCACGTTTTGCAACCAAATACACAGTACCAGTCTCCGACGATCCCTCGCCGTTTGGTAAGCTCCGCCCGCGTGTCATCTCTATGATTCCACCTCGGCGGCAAACTGTGATGAAACACAAAAAACGAACTGCCAGCTTGCTGCGCCGTCGGCCGTCGAATGTCGAATGGCAAGTTGAGGCATACCAGCGTCAATCGTGTCTAATATTGCGGCTTTACATCGGTGAGCTTCAGGCGATGGGTTTCATTGCTCCATCGGTTCAGGTAGTTGGGCGGTTAGGTGGTTTGGTTGGCTGGCCTCCCGCCTTAGGGGACATAGACAAGTAGACAGAAACTAACTACAAGTAACCACACAGTTGACAATCATAATTAATCACTCAAAAGACAGCAAACAAAAGTCGCAGCAGGATCTTGGAGGCCAAGATGCCAGGCTCGTGCTTTCTAGAAGATCCTTGGGTAAATCGGACCGATCCAGAACATAGCAGAACATAGCAGAACAACCGCCGCATACGGGAGTCTAATTTCTGACAGGACGGGAGCAGAAAATGAGACAATCTGATGAGCAGAAGGATACTTGCCGTTTTAGGTAAACTATGCGCCTCGGGGCATTTGAAACCGTGAATGTATACTCCGTAATTGCAATTATTTCCTCACGATTATTGATGGGCTTCATCATACAATACGAAGCGATCGCCATTCTCCCTTTCTTTTCGTTTTTTTTTTTCAAGGTAAGGATGATGATGATGGTACGCCACCAGTAAGCACAGCAGCACCAATGTAGTGAGCGCATGCGATGTTGCCTCCCCTAGCTACGAATACGGCTGAAAGAAGAAGAGAACCGATGTCACCAGCCCAGTTGCTTATTCTTAGGTAGATTTCCCAATCTTCTCTTCATTACTTACTTAGTATCGTGATTGCCCCTCGCCCTTGCGCATCGCCCTTCTTAGAAGAGACAATCCATTCAGAGACAGCTATGAGTAACTGATTCTAAACAACAGACTCAGAGTCTAATACAGACATACAATATTGTTGGTTTCACGGCGTCATTGGCTATTCTTACCATCAGCCTTGCCACCACTATTTACCATCAGTACATTGGTATGTAGTATGGTAATGTGCCGCTACGGGTTCTGCGCCATCTATTGCTGGTGCGGCACTGCAAACTGCAGACACTTAGAATTCCGCATCTCCAGCAGTCCTCCCTTTCTCTTTCCCACGCGACACAACGATAATGCGCCAATAATCTTCTGTGGATAATCCCTCGTGCAATCCCAGGATTCACATCCTCCCTAAGCTTTTCTTCTATTGTCCCTGATTATTCACGCGTATTGGCCGCAATGCCAACAATCCTTCCTCCCCTCACGATACCCGAAAATACAAGTAACTTCAAGCATCCAACACCAAATGCCAAATGTGCCAATACCCACGCCTACGGAGTTTGTCTGCTTTCTACCTGCATTGCCCATTTCGGTTTGTATGCGTGGATGCTTCTAAGCGCCCGCCCACGAGACTACGCCCCTTCTCGCCGCCCCCTGCTTCATGCAGTATTTACAGGTAGGCAGATATGTAAATGGGTAGGTATGTCGTCACGGAAGAATTATCTGCGCTCCGTATCATCGTTTTCTCATTGTCCGCAACTGTCAACGGACACCGAACTATGTATGTACATCCAATACTCAACTTACCTCCCTGCGCCCACGCCCGCGCCTACATCTCGTATGCAGGTACACCCGTACAAATGCATTGCAAAGCAAGCATTCACTTCACGTCGTCGCTTGCCACGATAACTGCCATCCCATGTTCGACCCTCATCCTTCTACTCTTCCTCCTCCTGCACACTCTTCCCATTCCGTACATACACGATAATATATATTATATTCTCCCGGCACCCCCCTGCTCCCGCCCCTTAACCCATCCCCCTCCCCCTATGGAGAAAAAAAAACCCTTCTAGAACTCCTCCCTTCAAATCTACCCTGCACATTCACGTTCTCCCCCCCCCACGGAATTCCCCCCCCGTTATCTAGTCGTACTACGGGAATCCTAATCCCGTCCCGTCACAAACCTCGCTAGGAAAAGATGCGCGAGTCATGCAGGGAAGTCGGACTTTCTGGACCCGCTTGGCCACTTCCGGGTTACGAGCTCGTATTCTTGCGGGTAACGAGCCCGTATTGTAACAAGCTGTACTTTATTTGAACTGCGTATGGGAATTGCGTGTGCTGCCGCTGCGCTACGTTTGCAAAAGGCGTGTAGGAGGTTTTTTAGGTGCACGTGGAGGTGGCGGTGTGGGTTTGCGGTGTCCGAGGTACTCGTACCCGGGCGTTTGAGTGTGTGTGCGGCTGCTTGAGGCTCAAGAATATGTGGAGGCGGTACGAGGTAGGTCTGATGTGCATAGGTGTGTAGATACTGGCAGTCTTGTTGTGAAGAGTTCTGTGTATGTGATGCAAGTGCGAGTAGATTGTGATCTGCGGAAAATTTTGATGGAGAAATGGCGACGGTAGAGATGAGGATGGGGATTGAAAGGACTTTATGATGGCATGCTTTTCGCGATGTGAATGCAGAATGGAAGAACGGCTGGGAGGAAGAGACTTCGGGTGTGTCTGTATGTGTCACTGTTCCTGAGTTGTATTTCTTCTTATCAAACTGGCCTGGCTGTTGTTCTTCAACTTCACAAAAGTTTACTCAACTCAGTTGGCTGTTTCTGAACAAGGTAGAGGATTCATCGTCCCCAAACTGCCCGTCAGTTCCATTAGGAATTACATTACGGAACTAGTCGGATTCGGGTGGATTTGATGAGTGTTTTCGAATAGCTCTTGCTACAAATGAATTTTCTCTTCACTTCTCCTGTAGATCTTACATTATTACAGCTACGTTCTTCACATATTGTACTTATTTCTTTAACTTTAGAATCCTGATGGTTGGTCCTCATTGTTTCGAAGCTTCTTTCTCGTCCTGCTTCTACAGGGTGGTAACGAATTATTGCATCGTTCGTTCATTCGTTCGCTCTTCGGGACACGGGACGGGATTAGGTTGAGAAAACACTTCACAAAGAAAACGACATCGACTTTTACAACAGAGCTGTACGCGTCACACACGAAGCAATACGATTCAGGTGCATGCTAGAGAGTCCCGTATATACGAGTCATACTGGAAGAATAGAATGGCACGTCGTCTTCATCGAATGAGTAGATTCGGAAGGGAGAAAAGGGCCGAGATACTTCGCGAGAGGAAAGTAAAAGTTTTGAGCCTGAAGTTGTCTGGCTGTTCGGGGATGCTTCGGTAGAGGGGTGTGTGCAGTGTCGTTCGTACTCTTTACCGTTCATCCTAGCGTTGTTGTAGTGCCAGTGTCAGTGTCAGTGCCAGTGTTGGTGTCGATGAGGTAAGTGCGTGTATTTGGATTTTGAGTACGTTCAATGTGTATTCCATCTCACTGTCGTGTCAGTTTGTTGATCTATTGACGGCTGCAAATCTTTCAAGAGAAGATTGGGTTTTTTTGTCCACGTTGGTCGTGTTGATTTGTAATTGGATGACTTAATTGAAATGATTTCAATACTTAACAGACCCGTAGAAGGGATATTTAATCTGTTCTAATGCGGTGGGTAGACTTCAATGTTCTGTACTCAATAAATGCTAGTATTAGACAGAACTTGAAGGTAGAATTGTCAGTCTCTGTGGACGTCCTGGTATCAGTTAATATTGGGATTCCCACGGAAAGGGTTTTGGAAACAACGAACGGTACACCTACCCAAGCACAGTCCAACGCACAACTTCAAGACAACCATGAATATCTTATTTAATTTGATAATCTCTTGTTACATGCACATGAGACAAGTATGCTATGCCGGTAGGCAATTGCGTATTATTAAAGCCTCCAAAGCAGGGGACACTACAAGCACGACCCGAAGTCAGAAATGAGAGTATATCACCATTTTTAATGGCCCTTCCAAGGTCGTAGATGATGATTAAAGCCTCCCGAGAGCACTTATGTATCTTTCATGCCACTCCGGACGCCCAGGTAATTAGTCTCTGAATGGATTAAGAACGGTCCTGTTATGCCATGGCATACAAAGAGAAGTATTTGTAAGTGTCTTTCCTCAGTTGAAACGCTCATCCTGACCATTTTTTAGTCTAGGGGTGAAATCTTTATTGCTATCTATTCCATGCAAGGAAGCTTGTCTCGAGTGTTGTTGATGATAGTACAAAAGCCTCTGTCTTCCAAACCCAGTCCTTCCCCTGGCATTTCCTTAACAGAATCATGGCGATCTCCAGAATTTTCGATTGTAGTGGTGGCTCAGTTCAGATTTGCAAGGACCAAACTCTCATGTTCCGGACCGCGACCTGAAGACGAAGTCGGTATTGCGCTCGGTGGTAATTGCCTTGTCTCTCCTTCTTGCCATTCGTAAAATGCTCCTCATCAGTGCAAATCCCGTATGACTGCAATCTCCGAAATTACCATGGGAGGATACCGATCATGTCATCATAGTGCGAGTACACTCTCAATCTGCTTTGATGGAGTCGAACGCGTTGAATTATTCTCATTCGACGTATCAATTGACCGGCAGAGAGTGCGACGATGGGCGGGTGTATCGGCAAAGGAGTTAGCATCCTAAATGCTGTGCTTCCAATTATTAGAGTTGCAAAATGTTCGATCATATTGAATTTGCAGCAAAGATTGTTAAGTCGGTAGATTGCGGGGCTAATTGTTTCATTAGCTGCAATATCTACGACACATTCCTTTACCGTCCACAACCCAGCATAAGCGGCGATCCAAAGGTGAGCCCCAAACACGGTTCCACCCCATATAGAGACATCAGGATTGGATGCAAGTATCTGCCTTATAAGTAGTGCATCTTGAAGCCCGATAGCTATCCAGAGGGCAACGTCTGCTATATTGTCGGCGCAAAGCTGCCAGATCATGCGCATGCCAATTGAGCGACATGGCTCGGAGACGAATATGTAGCCGTACTCGGGATCCAAAAGTTGGGCAACCGCCTTTAGAAGATTATCTCTAAACTTCTTATCGGTATTATCCTTGGCTCTCATAATCACGTCCACGGCGGAGTCAAGTAACGCGAACAGGCAGCCGATCGGTCGGGAGCGTAGGCTACTCGTTTCGAAGGCGTTACGCTCGAGGTGCATGGGAAGGCTTTTGCAAAACAGTTGCATCCAGCTTGAATTGCAACGAATAGTTGGATTCCAGTGCTTGTTGAAGACGTCATATGTGATAAACCTCTCGAAAGTCTCTGTACACAGCTCACGTTAGTGACATGCCCGATGCTGGAAATCATCTTACAGTGACGCTAAGGCAACTTACTGCACACAGCACGCGCCTTCCAGGCTTCATTGATCGAGGCCAAATCAGTGTAGTGGCCTATAATCTGCTGAAAGAGCTCAACTGGGAGGTCAACAAGGCTCCGGGCCGCCGTCTGCGGCGTGATAGTGTCCGGACTTGGGCCAAGTAGGGCTGCGGTGAGGAGTTCAACAGCGCTCTGGGCCGCCGTCTGCGGCGTGGTTGCATCCGGGTCCAGGTCGATCAGGACTCCAGTGAGGGACTCCATTTTGGCGGGACAGGATTCGAGTTGAAGGTTGTTGGCTATCTAGTCTGTCAGTGACGTCGACGAACTGAGCCGAGTCACAGCGCGCTATAGATAGTTGAACGTTAGGGCGATGATCCTTCCACACTACAGACAGAGAGGCTAAAAGAATATACCTGATATAGGCCAGTGAGGGAACACAGAGTGTGCTGTAGATAGATAGCCAGGCGTTAGGGCGGTGATCCTTCTACACTCCGGGTAGAGAGTGAGACAAGTATACCCGGTATAGGTCAATGAAGGTACACAGAGCGCACTGTGGATAGGTAAACGTCAGTAGAGTGATCTTTCCACAGCCCATACAGAGAAGGGGAGAAACATACCTGATAAGGGCCCGTAAGGGTACACAGAGCGCTCAATCGATGTTGACTTACTGCCGCCGTGGCAGGGAGGTGATGGCAGACAGGAAATGAGAAAGGTGTGAGAGTATAGAAGAGGAGGAGGAGGGATAAGTAGGATTAGAGGTAAAGAAGAAGAAGGACAAGAAGTAGGAGGAGGAGGAGGTAAAAGAGGAGAAGGTAAAGCAGCAGGGCACGCTACCGCCGCTTTGACGCGGGGACTCACCTCCGCCAAGCACGTCTTCAGAAATTTAATCCTACCTCTATGTGCGGTCGTAGCCTTTCTGTCTAGAGGGCCATGCTTCAGTAGTATATATACAGGTGTAACTGGTCGAGCGTCTTTTGCGTCCTGGTATACTCCCTGCAATCTCGTAGTCCTGCCAGGATCCGCCTCATCATTCACTCACGGTGCACGTAGCAAGATGGTAGACCTCGTGGTAGTTGAGAGCGCCGCTGACTATAGATATTTAAGGATAAACTTATATGTCATCGTCCGTATATATGCTGATAATTATCCTGTTGCCATCATGAGGGTGCAGTGATAACACTGAGCAACACTGAGCACCCCTCGCCAAAATATCTACAAACAACCTACAGCAAACCCCTTTACCTAGAAATTTCTTTCTTCACGTCTAAGCTAGAGCAATATACCATGTCATACTTCTGTGTGCTCTCCGGCAGCCTGCCCTATAACCCTCTTTCAACCTCAGTGTCAACACTAATCGCACGCGCCACCCCACCGCCTCGCTCAACTCCCCACTACCAAACAACATACAACAAACACCTCCTTCCCAAAATCTCTTTCTTGTCCCTTATCACTACAACTATTACGCAATCGCTGCTTCAGATCCCTCCATGACACTCTCCAGCGCCCTGCTGGACTGCTGCACCGCGAACCCAAGCGACGAACCGTGCGCCAGTGCGCCGCCGCGTCCGGTAGAAAGGGAACCTGCACGCCCTAAGTGTCCCTGAATATTGTTCCGGAGCCTATATATATCGTTGTTTGTTGGAGGGGTGCGTGGTGTCTCCAGGTGGTAATAAATGACTTGGTACCCGCGGGTTAGGTGGCGAAGCGGAGGGTGAATGTCGGTCAGACTACATAAACAACGAAGGCAGGAGCGCAGAGGGTGCGAGAGATGTGTCACATATCCGTATCGCCGCCTGTACTACATTGTTTAAACCTCATTGATCTATACCTCCCACAGTGCCTTCTTTCCTACCAACCAAGTGAGTTTAGTCCCCACATGCGAACCTTCCAAAAACGGCTTACAAGGGCTATCTACAGGTACAGCGAGATCAAGCGCCTGATCATGGGCCTGACCATGGGTCCCGACAGGTTCCAGAAGACCCCGTGTAGATACTGCTTCGTCGAATATTACACACATCAGGATGCACCCGACTGTATGAAGTGCATCGGAGGCATGAAGCTCGACGAGCGGATATTTCGATGCGATCTGGACGAGGGCTTCGCCGAGGGCAGACAGTACGGGTATATGACCTATCTCTCATACATCTCTGCGCTCCTGCCTTCGTCGTTTATGCACTTCGACCGCGCTGATGCTTCAGAGTGTAAGCGTGCCAGGATGGTCACTGTGTGTTCTGGCAGGGTGATCTATGAGGTGCCCAATTGTCACGGTTGGTAGGATGAGGTAGTTGTCACAGTGTAGATGGTGCGAGGTTCAATGTATTGTGATATGATGTAAGATTCGTAGACTATGTACTGAGCTTGCCCTAAGGGTGCCTTCACAGGAGTGCGGCATAAGTGAGAGATATAGCTAATCTGCATGACTGCAAGAGTGAGCCCATAAACAGAGCATACAGCATAGACGCCTGAGAGCCAGTAGCAAAAGCAAAAAGGAAATGCCAAGAACTAAAAGGTGAACGTAAGTGCCCCAGCTGAGGGTCGAACCCAGGAGAGGAGCAAATAAAAAAACGCAAAAAAGCAACTTCGGCCAACGGGCCACCTAGATAACCTGTTAGCATGTTTCTCTTAATGAGAGATTGTAGATTGAAGCTGTTTATATACCTGAAAAGGAGGTAGTGAGGTAATAGAGAGAGGTGAGTGAAGCACGCTGAAGCTATCCATACGAGAGGGTCAGAGGGCACTCATAGGGCAGTAGTCACGTAGGTTGCTTCATTTGCTTCATATAGAGGCTACATAGAGAAGCTTGACGCTCCAAGACAGCTCAACGGCTCACTAATCTAGCATGATGATGCTCCATTGCCTGTTCCATTGACGTATGCGCCATCGGGGTCGCCCAGACACTCAGCTTAAAGTTCGTCAGCATCTCATTCGCAGATAGGTGGGGCACGATCAAACTTACCAACAGTCACCAACTTCAAGTTATTCTGCTTAGCCCAATTGATCAACCAGGGCGTGAGCGTGTTAACAGTGCTAGCATATGTCTCATGCATGAGAGGAATATGTCCATTGCCGCTGGCGCCGGCCTGGGTGAACTTCTGCTGGCTCTGCTGCGGCGTCTGGTTGTTCCAGTCGCCGGTGTCGATGTCGTTGGTGATGACACGATAACCCAGGGTCTTCATGGTCGACAAGACGGAGCCGCCGGTCGCGAGGTACGGTGGGCGCATGTAGGTCGGCTTCACGCCGATGATGTTGAGCAGCGCCGTCTCAAGCTTCTGCATCTGCGACGTCAGGTCGGCTGTAGACATGGAGCCGAAGTTCTGCGGGTGCGACCACGAGTGTGAGGCAATTTGGTGGCCGGCTTTGTAGGCGTTCTGCAGCGCCGTCTTCTGGCCGTAGATGCAGCCTGGTCCATTATAAGTATCATGATCATGTTTTAGATGTATCGTTGTAGTATACCATATAGTGTGCCCGTCACGAAGAAGGTTCCCTTTGCCCCACCCTCTGTAAGGGTGTCAACAAGCTTTTGGGTGTACTGGTATGGCCCGTCATCATAAGCAAGAGCGATCTGTCCTGGAGAAGAGCATTTCTGAATGACCACACCAGCTGCTGGGCCTGCCTTCTGCATCATTTGAATGGGGTTTAGCAACGGGAAGGCATTGCTGCCGATTGCTGCGAGAGACGCGACCAAAAGCGTTGTGAGACCCATAGCTACTTTTTGATTGACGATGTTTACACTCAAGCCTACGAAGAAGATAGACACGTCCGACCTTTAAATATATATTCCTTCTTAGCCCCGGACATAGTAGTTTATGGAGCCGTATCTAGACAGTGTAAAGTGTGCTTGGCGCTACTTCTTGTAGATCACAAGTCGTTTATCCGGGGTAGCGGAGCGGAGGCATGTCCTTATTTGACGATAGAGGCTCCGACATGAAATTAGATACTCGAATTCCCCCGTAGCTGCGAGACTGTGCGCCGTACTAGTTGGATTATCTACTACTATCGGCTTGCTGAAGCTCGCGAATAATCAGCGAGGCGTTAAAGCCATGATCAACTATTCAATGGTTTGAAGTGTTGATGTTTCAACCGAAGCCATCACGCATTATGGCCGTTCATCCGATATGAATGAAGGGAAGCGCTGGCGTGGTTTCATATCGGGGCACGAAGCTTCCACCGGGTAATAGGAAGAAATGCCGAAAGCTGAACCACGTGATAATTGTCTATATTGCCACACTGCTACTGAATGCACAATGTGCGAGTAATGGGTTCAAGAGTTTTCCGTTGTTGTAAGTGGTGGTTGTTGATACTTCGACACCTCCGCTGGCGTTGTGTGGCTGCGATGGTGATGCCAGCAACCGACCTACGCTGCACTGTGCTGGGACCACATCATTTCGACCAGACAGATCGACTCTGAATCAAGAGGCGCAAATCCTGGACCATTGTCTATCAAGCTAGCTTGTGTGGGTTCCTGCGGTCTTTCGAGGTCGCTTGCGATTTGTATCCGATCGAGCGCAAGCTCATTTGGATGAGGGGTTTGGAATACAACATCTGTTTCCCAAGCACCAACTGCGAAAATGCCCTTAGCGTTCTTTCGTATCAGTTTGGCCAGTCTTCGACCTTCGGGAGTGTGGTAGCCTCCTATGGCTTGCCAGGCGATTTTGGTGGCTACGAATCCGATCGTGTTTGACTCAAATGCTCCTGTGCTCTGCTCGAACAATTTCAACTCTACACTCTTCATAAGATTATCCGCCCCAGAAGCTCGTAATGCAACGTTGTTCAGCGATGGTTGTAGGGTATTCAAGATTTCGACGATCAGAATGTATCCTGTGTAGTAGAGCATATGCACAGTTGCTGATCGGAAGTTTGCGATGCGGACCTTCCTTGCAACGTCGGATGACGGCTTATGCATTTCCTTCTCATTGAAAGCTTCCCATTTAGGATGAAGCCTTTCAAGCTTTTGGAAGAGGCATTCCGCGTCTTCTATGACGGAAAGACGATGGCTAGGGTCAGCTGATTGTAACGCGAAATCGCGGCGACTCATCAATTGCGTACAATCGGCAAGGATATCAAAAACTTGGTGACGAAGTTGTCCGGCATCGTCTTCATGAAGTCGTGGTAGGTTTTTCCACTCCTCACGGGCATATATGGAAGCTCTGGAAGTAGCGAGACCACTGATGATTGACAAGACACGCAGACCGTGGAACAATACCAGAGTGTCCTGGGAGTACGGGCAAGTCGGGGGCCCACGCAGTTCTAGGATAGTTTCAATGCCTTGAATGTGCTTCAAGAAGTGATTAGGTCCTGTTGGAAGGAATATCTCCAGCAACATGCAGGTTAAGGCTGTCAGCAATGTCTCGTTTGTTGTTTGCAATTGGGTTTGTGCTAGGTGTTGATTTAGGCGAAGTAATACACTTCCGTACTGCTTGTAGCCTGTGTTCATGAGAGCCTTCTGTTGGTGTCGACTCCCGTAAAAGGTAGTCGCTAGACTTAGGATGGCACTCTTGAGCAAATCAATACCAGGATCCATGTCCGACTTTAAAAAGACAGCATTGCAAGCCAGTTCCACAGGCCCACCCCGGAGTAGCTTCTTGCGGGTGTATGTCAAGCATATATCATCCCTGAAGGCTACCAGACTGAGTTCATTGGGTAGATTAGAGTTCTGGCCAGGAATAGACTGGACTCCACTTATTGGAGTGGACTTTGCAGATGCGTTGATCCAGGTTGTGCTGCGAGGACCATCACACTCTAGGCCACGCTTATGGCAGCGCTGGCATGTTGGCGGCGTCTCATCTTGGTGGCAGGTCAGTCAAGCTCTATTCACTCTAGCATGATAATTCCGGCATTCAATTGGAGCTGCAAAAGGAATAATGCTGTAGTTGTTGCAGATCGTTATCCTAGTTGGAACTTGCCTACTTACCACATTTGATCCGACGACGACGACAATTGGAACAACCTTTAGAACGACCACCTCGACTAACCATTGTGTCTTAATTTGCACAGTATCAATGGCTTCACCTGTATCTGAGTGAGTGCATGTGCGCAAAAGGAGGTTTATATTCGGTGAAAGATGCGAAGGCCTGATATGGGATGGCCCCGCTTTATCTCGAGCTTAACTGCTTCTGGGTCAAAACGCGAGTATTATCATCCTTGTATAAATGTCAGCATCCCTAAATGGATGCATCGAAAGGTATTCCACGCGTCCATGAGTATGACTATTCGTGAGAAGATGCATAAACTCTAACTCGGGAAGTCAATATCCTACTTACCAGTGATGCAACATCAACCTGTACTTGGGTATAAAACGACTCATCGCAGACAATATATCGTCCTGCTCGTTCACTTCTACCATTCTAAGAATACAACCTTAAATCGCCATGGGCAGCACGTTAATCAAGTTTGTTAGAATCTTTGACGGTCTTCGCATTCTGGAGCAGCAAAATGTAACTATTCGTGGAGGGTTGACATTCTTGAATGATTACGGCAATGCTTCTGAAATTATCAATGGTTCAGGCATGACGCTTTTTCCTGGGCTTTGGGACACTCACGTCCATCTTTCGGAGACGCAACCATTTCCTACGGAACAAGATGCCCCTCAACTTGATATGACCAAACACGGCATCACGACTGCAATCGAGTGCGGCCGGATGAGCAAATCGGAACACGAGCTCAACAACGTCACAGAAGGGTTTCCAGAAGTTTACTACGCGGGCAATTTTGCGACATCAACGGGAAGCCTGCACAGCACATTCCCTTCTGTGGACGAAGACAATATTGTTGATACGATTGAAGATGCGACGAGATTCGTGCAACGACGCGTGGCCGAGGGCGCAGACTATGTCAAGATAGTAGCAGACAACCCAGGCCCAAGCCAGGAGGTCATTGACCAGCTGTCGAGGGAGGCTCAACTTCATGGAAAGCTCACCATCGTGCATGCTGCCCGCAAGAAAGCCTTCGAGATGGCCCTGAGCGCCAACCCTCCGGTTAACTTTATCACGCATGTTCCGCTAGATGTCCCAATAAGCAGAGAAGATGCAGATAAGATGGCCGAGCTTCAGATCACAGCGATTCCAACATTGGTGATGGAAGAGGCGCTTGCCAAGTCGGGTATGATTCCTGGAGCTCGACTGGAGGCGGCCCTGGAATCGGTCCAACACATGATTGCGGCGGGAGTGCACGTCCTAGTCGGAACGGACTCTAATGGCTCTTTGATCGGGCCGCGTCACGGGGAAGCAATATTGCGAGAGATGGAACTGCTGCAGCAAGTGGGGATGAAGCCGTTGGACGTCTTGCGAGCTGCAACTCAACTATCGGCACAATGTTTCAAGAAGGACGACAGCCGTGGTACGATTGCCGCTGGCATGCGGGCCGATGTTGTGCTTGTTGAAGGGGATCCCACGAAAGACCTAGGTTGTTTGACCAAAGTCAAGAAGGTATGGAAGGCGGGGAAAGTGATCTACTCCGTAAAAGAGGATGACGATGTTGATGCATCTGATTTCAGCATCTAATTTGGGGGGTTGGGATGATGAATGCGTGTGTGCGACCGTACGAGGGTAGACAATCTGATAATTGCAATAATTACCTATTGCGGAAACAGTTGGTGAGAGACGTTGGCCGAATATCCGGATTAGCGAGTGATAAGAGACGATGTGATTTGCTCTGAGAAGCCTCAGGGGAGGGATGGGGTTGTTGGAAATGTTGGTCTGGAGTCTGGATGTTGGTGGAAGATGCTCATCGGTCGCCACGTGCCCTCATCCCTCCCTCGTACTTGCTTGGCTTTGCCCCTATATCGGAGAGCTATTCCAACAACAATCTAGGTACGTATTAGCTACTGTAACATTCTCGACCACGTAGGTTATCTAGGTATCTAGGTAGGTATGAGAAATCCCATAACAATCGAAGCACCTAGCTACTGTGTACGAAGAGATGACTCAAATGACATTGTACAATAGAGACGTTGTGGCGATGCACAGCCACTTCCTAGAGCGTCGGTCCACGTGATCCCTAGATAAGGTAGGCGCTAGGCACTAGATCGTAAACAACCATGGGGGGATTCTTTCCTGGTCGTTTTCGGTGACGACGACAAAAGACGTCATATGTATGTACCTTCCAATGTACTCCGTACCAACTCTAAGAACAAACAAACACTGTCTCTCTCCTCTCAGTAACCTACTCTTCTTCTTTCTCCATCACAAACCAGTCCAGGCACATACTCAAGTTCAAGCCCAATCTCAAAACTCAACATCCAACTCTCAGTATTCTTAATTTCAGCGTCCTCATCTTCGTCATAATCCTTGACCAAGCTTATCCCACCTTGGTGTAAGCTTCATTTTCTTGGGTGGACCGCCTTGTTTCGTCTCCTGCGTCCTCATTCGCCACGCCCTGGCCACCCAAGCCACTGCCCTGCCCTGGCCTCAGGTCTTAACTCTCTTAAGGACCGACCATTAACCATCAGCCTCCCTCGTCTTATCTTCCCTCTCTCTCTTTCACCAAAGTACTGTACTCCTTCTGTACCTTACTTTACATCCAACACCACCATCGATGGGAAAAACTGACGACCCCTCCTTACTTCAGAGTGTCAAGTCAAAGGCGAAGGCTCTTGGCTTGAAACACCAGAAAGGCGGCGATCCAGTCTTACCCACCCACTCTCCTTCTCCTACCCCAGTCGTCCGTTCCGACGACCCATCACGCAGTGCTTCCGACAACACCCTCTCAGAGAAGCCCTCGCGAACTGGAAAGAATGACGCAAAACAGCGCGACCGTGAGGTCAAGCGTAACAATGTCGCAGCCGCGGCAGCCTCATCTTCACCACATCCAGCTTCGTCTCCCAATAATACCAAAGCTGAGGGAGCGGCAGGTGCCACCATAGAGAAAGCCCCCATGCCCACGCGCATGAAGAACGGAACCATTAGATTTGTCAAACACACAAAGGATGCCCTTTGCTACAGCTGGATCAACCTCCTACTGGTCTTTGTACCAATCGGTATCGCCTCCCATCTTGCCCACCTTGGCCCCGAGATTGTCTTTGCCATGAATGCGGTCGCCATCATCCCGCTCGCTGGACTTCTTTCCCATGCTACCGAGGCCGTCGCGGCAAGACTTGGAGACACCCTCGGAGCCCTGTTGAACGTGTCGTTCGGAAATGCTGTCGAACTCATCCTGTTCATCATCTTGTTGGCCGGCGATCAGATTCGCGTAGTCCAGGCCGCCCTACTGGGCTCCATCCTCGCCAATCTACTCTTGATCTTGGGCATGGCATTCCTGCTAGGAGGCCTCAGATTTCAGGAGCAGGTCTATAACAGCACCGTCACCCAGATGAGTGCTTGCATGCTCAGTCTGGCTGTCATGAGTCTTTTGCTCCCGACCGCCTTCCACTCCGCCTTCTCTAACTACGATACGGCCGACCGAGAGACACTATATGTCAGTCGTGGAACTAGCGTTGTCTTGCTACTTGTTTATATCCTCTACCTGCTGTTTCAGCTGAAGAGCCACAGCTACATGTACGCTAGTACTCCCCAGCATATCATCGACGAAGAGTCGCATCCGGGAGTTCTCAACGACATGTTCAACTCTTCAAGTTCATCTGACTCCTCCTCCGATTCAAGCAGCACCGATAGCGACAGCTCGGCTGGATCGCATACAACTGCCAAGAGGATCAAACGGGCCTTCAAGAACCGTAGACGTCGCAAGTCGAGCGTGAGTTCCAAGGACACGCCTTCAGCTCCCTCGGTAATGACATCCCCATCCGTTGAGCATCACAAGAGCTACTTCGATAATCAGCGCAACGGAAATGTCGAGGACGAGTCTGCCATCCACTCCAACCCCATGTCGCGTCGAGGTTCTGTGTTGAACGCCATCATGAGTGGCGATGAAGCCGATACTGATGAACGCGCCCACATCCCGGTTGTTCGCGATTTCGAAGCTGGCTCATCGGGCTCCTTGCCTACCACCAAGAAGGAGAAACGTAAGAGCAAGCACAAAAAGCATCACAGGCACCACCGTAAAGTCTCGCACGAGGACAAGGAAGAGTCCGCTCGCCCATCTTCGCAGCATGTAGACAGCAATGTCCGTGTGGCCTTTGCCGATGAAGTCCAGGAAGCGGAAGCTGCTCCGGCTCCACGTCGTCCATTCAGACCCGGATTTCCTTCACTACTTTCCAATAACGTGTTCAACAATCCGCAGAACCCCCCTCCTGCGCCCGGTGTGGCTCTCGCAAACTTACGCATGGCTGGTCCTAGGGGTACCAGTCTGCGCAGAACTACCTCGCTCCCGGATCGCATGAATCGCATTCAGACGCAGACGAGTGAGACTGCTCGCCCTGCCGTGTCTCGCGCTGCCTCCGGAGCACCGTCTGTTGTGATCGAAGAGCCTGTCGAGGAGCACGTCATGTCACGAACAGCAGCAGTCGTCATGTTGATGATCAGTACCGCGCTCGTCGCCGTCTGCGCCGATTTCATGTCTGATGCGATCGAGCCCATGGTCGAGAAGACGAATGTCAGTGCAGCCTTCATCGGTCTGATCATCCTGCCCATTGTTGGTAACGCAGCTGAACACGTTACTGCCGTCACCGTTGCTGCCAAGAACAAGATGGATCTCGCTATTGGTGTTGCGGTCGGCTCTTCCATCCAGATTGCCATCTTCATTACGCCTTTTATCGTCATCCTTGGCTGGATAATGAATAAGGAGATGTCACTTTACTTCAACATATTTGAAACCGTCGCCCTTTTCGTTACGGCCTTTGTCGTCAACTTCTTGGTTCTAGACGGAAGAAGCAACTACCTAGAAGGTAGTCTGCTCATTGCTGCCTACGTCATCATCGCCCTCAGTAGTTTCTTCTACCCTGACGGCTGTGATGCTTCACCCATTGGTGGACAGGAAGGCACGTGTTAAACGAAGACACTACTCAGGGGCTAGAATTCGCATCTACCATTACGTCCGCTGAGTGAGTAACTCGAACGAACGTTCGAAAGTGGTGTAACAGTAGGTCCGCATCGGATCACTGTTCAGGCACCAGCACTGTCATTATCGACCTTACCTTTACTTTTGACTACAACCCCTCAATTTAATCCAGTCAACATCATTACACTTCGCCACCCTGTCTGGAACTAGCTGAATGGGATCTCGCTACGACCTGAGGATATATTATATAGCAGATACAATTCACTCCTTTTTGGATCTGTAATGCGTGCGAGTACGTCTCATCACTATGACTAACCAACCCCAATCCTTCGAGAAGGTCATGGCCTCGCGTCCTTGGCACGAAGTGACCGTGTGCATGTTGTTTGGATCCAATCACTAATTTTCATGTTTACTTGAAGTGACAGAACCTTTTTCGTACTAGTTCTAATTGGCCCCGTGCTTTACTACAGACTGAAGTGATAGGAATTGTTGTGTCACGCCTTCCACCACAACCACAACCCCCTCACCACTCACTACGAAGCACATATAATCACAATCTCACTTCGACACAACTACCCAACTAACCAACCAACCAACCAACCTCCTTTGCACCCTACCGTTGACTCGCAATTCTAACAATTGGATCAATTGCTTACGTTTATTCGACACGGCAATTTTAACGTCAATCCACGCCGGTGCTCTACACTACCACTTGTGGTGGCAGCAAGCGGAGGGAATCTGAGCCTCGGAGCCTCGTTCTCGAGCTATTGAAACATGGCGCAGACTCCAATATCCGTACCCTACCAGGCTCCAGAATGGCTCTCCGTTCCGTATTGCTCGAATGTAGGAGGACACAACAATACACCCCGGGATCGTAGAAGCCCTCTTGGACTACGGCACATGCTGGGATAGGTACACGCCCTGTTTCGAAGAATCGCTGAATGTCCTCGTTCGGAGTGCATACGCGAGTGGCAGCATGCCACGCGAAACATACGAACGTCTCATGAAGCTCGAGCACGATGCCATTTTGGCTAGGCAGCAGAGGGAATCGAGATCCTGACAGAGGCTAACATCTGGAAGACTTGGATGTTCATGAGTTCTGAACCCATCCGCCCCGGATAATGCGTTGTCTTTTCTGTTTTGACTCCGAAGCAAATCCCCATTCGGACATCTTGTAAAACTACTGTATCCACATCGATGCACTTTCAATCACAGGATATGAGGGGAATGGAGTTTTGAATCTGGGATAGAATGGAATAACCGTTAATGCTGCCAAGCTCGTGCTGAAATGATGGTGATATGTCGCTGCAAATTGTGTTTGATGTGGAGGTGAATATTTCTGAGAACTTCTGTGCGGGATTCTCAGGCGTGGCTCATCACTTGCTGTTATGCCAAGTCACTGGAGAGACAATAACCCGTAAAATGGAAGCCGTAGCCTTATTATGACAGAGGATTAGTGCAATGCAGAAGAAACGTGACGACTCGAAGAGCCGGAGAATTGGTGTGGCCTGTTGATGGTTCCGCAACTGTTGGTACATTCAATTGGTCTAATGAGGAATCAAATTACATGTCTCCTCCTCTGCCTCCACCACCCCATGTCTATACACATTGGACTTGTCTTCATATTTTATCCACCCATGGTTTCCACGCACGTCGTTCGAACCGCTTACTCCTCATCGCCGAACTCAGCCCGTCCGGCCTTGGAGTTAAGGTACTCGTTCCTGCAGCCCCTGTCAGCCCCCGTCACATCCCCTCCTCTCAATTCGGCAAGAACTCACCTCTCAATAGCCCACTGCATAGCGCTGTATGCGAGGATGAATGGCGGCACGACGTACAGGACCTGGTTCCTGCTCCTGCGGATCGTGTTCCAGAAACCCTTGGTGAAGGCACCCGCGAAAGGGCGCTGTCGGTTAGCGGAGAGCGCGTACTGGTAGATGCCCTTGGAGGGCTGGCCGCCGCCTTCGAGAGGGTTGCCCCAGCTGCCGATGTGCCACCTGTGAGAGAGTTATGTTAGCGGGGGGTTCGTCTTGTTCGGCTGGATGGTGGTTGCGGATGCGAGTGTGGGTGTGCTGTATAGGCTGGGATATGTGGGAGGTGTGATATTGGAAATGGGGTTCGTGGGAGATCGGGATGCGCGGGTTGTGTGTGATGATTGATTGATGTGGTGCGAGTGTGTCTGATCGTGCGGTGCGCAATTGGATCCCGTTGGATGGGCTAGACGTACGTGTTCTTTATGCGGGCGGTCTTGTCGGATGCTCCTCCTGCCATTGTGAAGGTTGTGTGGATGTCGGAGATGCGAGGATGCGGGTGGTGAGGGTGGTGGGTGGTGGTGTTGAGTGTCGTCGTCGATCGGTCGTCGTTCAATTCGAGGTTTGAACAAGCTTGTTCGATGGGATTTCGGAGAGAGAGTGCACGGGCCGCAATCGGTGCTGTGCGTCCGGTCGTGAGGACTAAGCTGGTCTTGCGATGCTCCGGTTGGTCGGTTCGGGTATCATAGAATTCAAGATGGCTATTATGTAGAGATGGTTTTTATTTTTGTAGGGTATCTATTTACGTAGGAAAGATAGAAAGATAAACTTTCTGCCTGAGGAAGGTGCGAAAGGTGAACAAGTTCCATCCGAATGAATTCACACAAGCGTACCTATGTAGAGCGCCAACGCCTTGACTCCGAAAAGCACATACCAAACAGATCATACATTCACACTGCACACGCCATCAATTCCCTTCATTCGCTTCCAGATGCTCGGAAGGACTCATTTTTCAGGGACGCAAATCGACTGGCCGACCTGCAGCCTGTCACAATCAATGTACTGATTCCCCTCGATCGCCAACAGCTCCTCTACACCCAAACCATAGGCTTGCCCCGTCGACCAGCAGGTTTCTCCTTTCGCGATTTGAACAGCATTGTAGCCTTCAGCACAGTGAATCTGGGTCCCACCGTCAGCCCCCGCATCGACGCTGCTGAATACGAACTTGAACAGGAGGAACAAGACGCAGAGGACTAGGAGCGCGAACGGGAGCATCAGTCTCACGGCCTCCGTGTGGCCCTTCTTAATCTGGTCGTCGCTGACGTATGCGGCATCTGTGACCGAGGATGGGGGAGCCGACGTTGGACTCAGGACGCCGAACCGGTTGCCCGGGGAGCTTTTGTAGTAGTCACCCGTGTGCGTCTCGATGAAGTAGTATACTTGTTCGTCGGCATCGTAGCCTATGCGCTTGAAGCCTTCGGGAAGACGCTCTTCGTCCTGTAGAATGGAGGAAAGGTTAGCCGGGCTGTCAAAGGTGGTCGTGTGATGCATGAATACCTACACTGTCTCGATTTGCCCAGCGACCCATGATGATGTGCTTGGAATGTTTAGTATAGTAGGTAGTTAGGTGTAGTGTAGGAGTACATTCGAAGGCGTTCGTAGCGGCGAAAGACAATATATGTCGTTTCACGTAGGGAATTGTTAGTTTGCAGAGTGTGATGGTATGCTGACGGGATCAAAACCGGTGAAGCAGTGGGGAGAGATGTGACGCGTGTGCTGCCTTGGGCAAGTAATGGGCTACGCCGCGCGAGTGGCTGTGCGAACGGTCCGTTTCAAGAGTATTCATGGAATGTCGATCATTCGACAACACTTATCATCAATTAAAATTGTAATGACGGGATAGACTGCTAGCACTATTATTTCTATGCATTTGTTTCTAATTGAGTTGGAGTTTAGAAAACGTTTGGTGGCGCCCAATTCATCACTACAGCAGTCCATGCTGGTTCGAATAACTTGATCTGGTGGCCATTGCTCTAATGTCGATTTCAATTCACGTTATTATTTATGATTAAACTCCTTCACTTGTAAAAATTTCAATGTCCCGAATTGAAGCTTTCATATTGTCTAGACTAGCAGAAAAAATTGCCAAAACAATTCAAATTCATTCAAATTCATCTTAATCTTACAACATTCAACTTCATATTGGTGTTTGAAAGCATTGGAGCGCCAATCAAACAAATGTTTGTAGACCAGCACACGGTCCATCGTTGAGGACAATATGCTCTGGAACAATGCCATCTGCAAAAGGTGCCGCAATTGCCACCGTCTCTTGATCTGACGGATATCGTGTTATGTGACCAGTGCCAGTGGTGTCAGTAGCGAACAACAACCCTCCAACACCGCCGACAACGAAAGCATCGGTGGAATGGTCGTTCGGTAGGGTCAAATGAGCCAGCCCTGACAAAAAATGCACCATTCTATTCTATATTAGATTCCATTCCTCTTACAAGCCGATCTAGATGGTAGACATACTGTGGTACTGGAGCATTGTGAAGTCCACCATCGTATCTGGGTGGAAGGATCGTATACGCGAAGTTGGTAACGTTACTGATTGTAGCACTTTGTGTGCCGGATATTCCGGGTATAGAAGACCGTTTGAAAGGCGTCTGGAGTTGCCAGCATTCGAACGCTGAATCATTGTTTTTGGTCAACAATGCGGTGGCTATGAGGTGGGTTTCATTTGGTGAGGGTTGTGCTACTGTAAGGCTCGAGAGAACCACAGAAACAATTGTAACGAGCAACATTGTAGGTATGAAGAGGATTGGAAAATTCCAATGATAAAGTAGAGAATGCTTCGGTTGGCTTTTGGAGCTGTTTTTAAGACTTATTAGCTTCATCATCGGGTTCAACAAAGAAATGTCACACGTTACTCAAAGGGTTATCCCAGCCATGAAGGAACATTCAGATCAGCCCTCTATTACTCCAGAGTGAAAGCAGGAAAAGCAAAATTCACAATGCAGGCTCAATATATTGCCTGTACATATTATCCAATAAATCACGGTGCTGGCGTCAGCTGTCAAGAAATCATTGTAAGATGAAGCGGGGAAGCAATGAAGCACCGCATGTCTTATGTCAATGTTGTTGTATGCTGCATATGCATGCAATGAATCGAGGATTCAATTCCAAATGGCTCACATCAATTCGCATTGTCTTTGGGGTTAAGTCGGTGGGGGCTGCAATAAGTATATTTCCTGTGTGGGTTGAGAAAAGAAATGTTGTGTTGATGCATGTAGAGAAACCATTCCCTTGCTCTTGAACAGTGAACCAGCAGCGCATAGGGATGGTTTTACTATCCATACTATCGACCATTTACTCTTTTCGAATATATGTTGGCTGGCTCGCAAGGTCAGATACGGTAGGCGAGACTAATCGTTTATGATGTCACAGCCCACGGAAGGTCCATGTGAACGAACATGGAATTGCCTGTTTAATCATGAGCCGGACACTTCGAAGATCTGCTAATCGTCTTCGCATTCTCGAGAACGACCGTTCGATTGATAGCCTGTTCGAAGAAAAGGCGTGGAGAGATCAGAGGGGTCGGGACCTTAGGTAGGCAGTTCGATTAGTCACAAGATGTATAGGATGCACGGGCCGGACGAATATTCTAGCGACTAGTCTGTCGAAGTCGTCACGACTGTAGCCGACGAGCGGCGAAGCTTTGCCATCACCCCATTATCCATCCACATCGCAGTCATTCTTCTGCCTGCGCATGGTCTTAATTGCCAGGTGCAGAACTCCCCTCACACTCCCATCCCTTCCGCCCTCTCACCCCCGCCATGTCTACCCTTCTACGCCGATCAGCCCATCTAGCGCGATTCAATAAGCCAACCCTCACTGCCGCATCGAGAACCCCGTTCCTACTTCGAAGGCGGACACCATTCCCCCAGTGCGTATATGCGCAGCAGAGAGCTAGATTGTTTGCATCTGGCTCTCCGCAAGACCCCAAAAACAATAAGGATGAGGTAGCGAAGGATCAGAAGCAGCCCGCCGCGCCGGAGGAGGCAAATAAGAATACACCCAAGCAAAATGCGCAGGAACAGAAAATGTCGAAATTGTCGGAAGAGGAGGAAAGATTGTTAGATCAACTGGTGGCTTTTGTGTCAATGGGTGTACCGAAGTCTCAACAAAAGGCAATCAAGGAATCCATGGACGAGATCAAGAAGACGGGCATCCCGACTGAAATTCGGGAGGAGATGAACAAACTTCAGCGTGGCGAAAAATTGGACCTAGCTACTGCGGCGAAATTGTCAAGATTGACGACCAACTGGGCCCGCAAGAGCGCAGACCAGATCAAGTTCAACCAAGAAGAGCCCCAGCAGAAGTCGGGCGCACACGATCCAGGACCGCAAGGCGAGAAAGCAAAGGGAAGTGGAGGAGGACCCAAATTCGATGGCAAAATGGATTGGAATACCACAGTCATTACAGCTTTCCTATCCTACCTTCTCTACAAGATGTTTGTACCGGGCGAGAACAACAAGGAGATAACATGGCAAGAGTTCAGGACAACATTCCTCGACAAGGGTCTTGTTGAGAGGATAGTGATTCTCAACAGCAGCAAGGCTAAGGTCCACCTTCATCGCGAAGCCGTCGCAGCCATGTACCCGGAGTCCCCCGCTGTCAGCCAAAGCTTCTACTACTACTTCACAATTGGTTCGGTCGAGGCTTTCGAGCGCAAGATGGATGACGCACAGTACGAGTTGGGAATTCCAAGCTCCGAGCGGATTCCAGTGGCATACTCCAGCGAGATCTCCTGGTTCGGCACATTCCTGTCCTTTGGTCCAACATTACTCCTCCTCGGATCGCTGTTCTACTTCACTCGACGTGCTGGAAGCGGAGGTGGCGGCCAGAGCGGCATCTTCGGAATGGGCCGAAGCCGAGCTAAGAAGTTCAACCACGAGACGGACATCAAGGTCAAGTTTGCGGATGTTGCTGGTATGGATGAAGCGAAGCAAGAGATCATGGAATTCGTCTCCTTCCTCAAGGAGCCCAGCCGTTTCCAGAAGCTTGGAGCCAAGATTCCCCGAGGTGCAATTCTCTCTGGACCCCCTGGTACCGGTAAGACTCTTCTCGCAAAGGCGACAGCTGGAGAGTCTGGTGTTCCCTTCTTCAGCGTAAGCGGTTCGGAGTTCGTCGAAATGTTTGTTGGTGTTGGTGCTTCCCGTGTGCGTGACCTCTTCGCAAATGCACGCAAGAGCACACCGTGCATCATATTCATTGATGAGATTGACGCTATCGGTCGTTCACGTTCGAAACAAAACTATGGCGGTGGCAACGATGAGCGGGAGGCTACCCTCAACCAGATCTTGACCGAGATGGACGGCTTCAATACCACGGAACAGGTTGTTGTCCTTGCAGGCACCAACAGGCCCGATGTCCTCGACAAGGCTCTTATGCGACCTGGTCGTTTCGATAGACACATTGGTATTGATCGCCCAACAATGGAGGGACGATCCCAAATCTTCGAGGTCCATCTGAAGAAGATCGTGACTAATGAGGATATGGAGTTCTTGAAGGGAAGGTTGGCCGCATTGACGCCAGGATTCTCTGGTGCCGATATTGCTAACTGTGTCAACGAAGCTGCCCTAATTGGTGAGTGCCTATGTGCCTTAATATTCTCAAGTACTTTATCTAACGTGTCCTAGCCGCCCGAAACCAAGCAGAGTCGGTCACTATGGTTCATTTCGAACAGGCCATTGAGCGTGTCATTGGTGGTCTCGAGAAGAAGTCACTCGTCCTGAAGCCAGAGGAGAAGAGGACTGTTGCTTACCACGAGGCCGGCCACGCAATCTGTGGATGGTACTTCAAATGGGCAGATCCTCTGCTCAAGGTATCTATCATTCCTCGCGGCCAAGGAGCTCTTGGTTATGCGCAGTACCTACCAGCTGGCGACACTTACCTGATGAATGTCAATCAATTGATGGACCGTATGGCTATGACCCTCGGCGGTCGCGTCAGCGAAGAATTGCACTTCGATACGGTCACTTCAGGTGCTTCAGACGACTTCAAGAAGGTCACTCAAATGGCCACTGCTATGGTGACCAAATGGGGAATGACCAAGAAGATTGGTTACATCTACTTCGAGGATGATCAGGGTAATCAACTCCAGAAGCCTTTCTCTGAGGAAACGGCCAAGAACATCGATTCAGAGGTCAAGCGCATTGTCGACGAAGCATACAAGCAATGCAAAGATTTGCTCACCGAGAAGAAGCACGAGGTGGGCTTGGTCGCGGAAGAGTTGTTGAAGAAGGAGATGCTTGGGCGAGAGGATATGATCAGACTACTTGGTCCACGACCATTTGAGGACCCACAGGATTTCCACAAATACTTCGGTGGTGAGCATGGCAGAGTTCCCGGCCTCATCGAGCCACAAGGCGACAAGGGTGTCAAGGGCCCCGTCGTCCCACCTGCACCAGCAGCGTTCAAGAGCACAGATCTCGACGCCAGCAGGTGAGGTGTTCATTACAGAAATTCTAAGGTAATTCTGATCGCATGGTATTGGTGTATTCATGGGGTCTTTTTTCTTTTGGCATACGACCGACGAGCAGCATTCCTCCACTCGTATAAATGTATTATATATCATAGAAAGCGACCGAGTATGTCGGGCTTTGTATAGTAGATTATGAACAAAAGCCTTCATGCTGTAGGGTTGTACTCATACTTACGACGTTCATTCAAAGTGCTTGACTTTCCAGAACTCACCCCGTGAACATCCAAGAGCTTATATTGAACCCATACCATTACGAAATACCAATCAAGTTCAATCCTATGTCCTGAAATGCTCACTGAATCTTCGGCAGAAGTCGTAGCCCGTAGCGTTTTGTCATAATTGCAGTCTTGTATCGAACATCAACATTGGTTCACAATCTAAATATCGTTGAAATGATTTGATTGGACCCGAGTCTCTTATATTTTACATCCAATATGTGGATATCTCATATGAGTGGTGATTCTGTTGCTTTCGCAACAAACACATGTGGTGAATAACGTCGCAATGCGATTTCTTCCCTTAAAAATCGAAACCATAACCCGACGCCATGCTGAATGCAACAGAAACGAAGTTCTGTATTGTACTGTACATATCTTTACATTATTCTTTTTCTTCTCATAGATTGTCTCCTTAGCCCTTGACTTCCTTGTCGAGTAGCTCTTTCGCTTCGTTGACTTTTGTGGCCAGGTAAGGGCTGCCGCCTCGATCAGGGTGGTTCAGCAACATAAGCTGTCGGTGCTTCTTGCGAAGAAGTTCTTTGGTTATGCCTCGCTCACTATTTCCCACGAAGTCAGCTAAATTCTTTCGGTCGTTCCAGGCGACAAGTCCTGCTTGGAGGGTGTTGTAGAACATACGGCATCTCCAAAATGAGCGCGGCCTCTTTCCTCGTCATCTTGGGCTCGAAACCACCCTTGTAGTATCCTCTGCCCAATGCGCTGCCCGCGGCGCTGGATCGTCGCACTGCAACATATGCAGCTCGGCCCTACAATTTGCATTGTTAGCATCTGTGTTACTTTCTAATGTCTACTGATCGAAGATTTGCCTCATATTGCTTAAATCAATCAGACCATGGTGTCACTTACGAAAAAGGCTGTGGCACCAAGACCAAGCGCTATTGCCCACGCGGATGCCATGGCGATTGTGTAGTTTGTCGGTGAAAAGAGAATTTAGCTGTAGGCCTTTGAGAAGGATGTAGATCGTTGATAGAGAAAATGCAGATTGCGGAGGAGGGTCGGGAGTTTGATGTGGTCCGTGCGAGAAAAGTTGAAGACTTGGCGCGGCGAAATATCGATTATCCCCACCAGCTTTTGTCTACCTCAGTCTCTCCATACATCTCCAAAAACTAGGACTCCGGCGCCATGAGAATCGAGACTTGCTGTGAGTATGCACTCAATAATGTGCAAGTATGCAGACTAATGTGTCAAAGACTTCTGTTCGGCTCCGGTCTACCCTTCAAAGGGCATCGTATGTGTTCGCTGTCGCATGCACTGCATCTTCAATCTAATTCTTCCAGACTTTCGTGAGAAACGATGCTCGGGCCTTCAGGTTTTGCAAAAGCAAATGCCACAAGGTATGCTTTCTGCCGCAGCTTTGAGTCGGATTTCGGTGGCTAATGGCACTTTAACAGAACTTTAAAATGAAGCGCAACCCGCGCAAACTCGGATGGACCAAGGCGTTCCGCAAGGCGCATGGCAAGGAAATGACCGTTGACAGCACATTGGCCTTCTCTCAACGCCGCAACGTTCCCGTCAGGTACAACCGCGAGCATATCCAGACTACACTCAAGGCCATGGCGCGTGTTTCGGAGATTCGGTCTCGTCGCGAGCGTGCCTTCTACAAGGCCCGCATGCGCGGTAACAAGCAACGACAACTTGAGGAGGACCGCAAACTTGTCGAGGAGAACCAGCACTTGCTGCCGCCCAACCTGCGTACCGAGAAGCCTATTCTCGGCGTCGAAGAGGACACCATGGAGGTTGACGTCCAGAAGGTCAAGGAGAGGGTTGAGAAGAGGAGGAAGGAGCTCGAGGCTATGGGTGTCGAGGACAGCGAGCTCGAGAGTGACATGGAAGAGGAGTTACCGAAGATGAAGAGCAAGAAGAAGCTGCGGATGAAGGTCGGTGGTGGCATCGAGCGGATGGATATCGATGCTTAGGTGGCTTCATTGGTTTAAAAAGAGTCATAGACGGCCCAATCTCTTCCCAAGATCATGGAGTGTCATATCAAGAACATGTCTCCTAGAGCAGAGCATATTCAGCCCCTAGCGCGGCAATCACTATGTTGAGCTGGATAAACGAGCAGGGCCCGGAGTCAGGCGTCAACAGGTTTCGCAGGCATAAGAAGGTTACGATTTCTGATACCTTTTTTCTTAGCATTTCTAAATCATAAAAGCCATCAATATTCAATCTTCGATTTTACCTGAACAAATATTCTCTCTCCATCTCACTTTCGAAGGATTCTTGCCGGTCGTCCGACGAGTGTGGTTCCGGGGAATTGGTCATCCCTGAAAGTAGTACACGTAGTAACGCGGTACAACATCCAGATTCCGAACTCCCAATTGCGACCCTGCATTCTTTGCCTTGGCAGAGCAACATCCCTTCAACGACTGACATCACGAGACAGTAGGCAGGACATACCACCAGTCATGTTCAGTCCGACATTATTCAAGTTTCTCCCTGCCATTTTTGGTGGTCCTCAATCCATACTTTCCAGCGAACCGTCCAATATGGTCAACCTCACAGCAACACTCAGTAGCCTCATCACCGCGAATCACATCCTCCATTACCACAGCATACTCGACTCCATGGGACACATATCAGTACGAAATCCAAAGAACAACTCTACATACTTCATCGCTCTCCAACTAGGGCCAGCCGTGGTATCCGGATTGGAGGATATTGGCGAGTACCTCATTGAAGATAGTTCTCCAGTGAACGGCACCCAAGGAGGATATGCAGAAAGATACATACACAGCGAGATCTTGAAGAAATATCCGGACATAAATGCAGTAGTCCACAGCCATTCGGAAGATATACTACCATACACAGTACTTGGAAGTGTCCCTTTGAAGCCGGTGTATCACATGGGTGGTTTTCTAGGTACGTGGGCTATAGTCTCCTAGACTGTGCGAATATAAGTTTAATGTGAGCAGGCGATGGCATTCCCAACTTTGATATTGAGAGTGTTTACAACGACGGCGACGCCCGCGATTTCCTGGTAAACACAATTCCCCTAGGAGCAGCACTCGCCGATAAGCTCGGCGTGAATGCTTCTCAGCCTACGTCTCCTTTGCATACCATTGCTCTGCAGCGAGGCCATGGGTTTGTCGCCGTTGGGACATCGATTGAGCAGGTGGTTGATTACGCCTATTACGCAGCAAGTAATGCAAGAGTGCAGACCAAAGCTTTGCTGTTGTCAGGGGCCACAGGCGGAAGTGTGCAGTATTTGAACAAGCAGGAAATGTTTGATAGTAAGAACATGAATTCGTGGATTGTATTTAAGCCATGGAAGCAATGGGTGAGGGAAGTAGAAAGGAGTGGGCAATATGAGAATAGGTTAGGAACACCGCCTATGACATAGAATTAATGGATTATTAATGAATATCTGATTTAATTTTCCGCCCGATTGCTACCATCATTGAAACTACATGATCTGTTCTGGTATGCCAAGGGTGCATGCAGTAACACAAGGAAATTTCATCCCACTACAGCAATGAACCCGAACGAACTGATTATCTTGACGATATTGGTCAAAGTTAAGAGAAATAGTGTCAAAGTTTAGCTTTGGTCTTCAAAGTTTTCATTGTTGTCGTGATTTGTGACTACTTGGGCATTTATAATATTGATCAACGGTAACGTAGGTGGCATACGAGCCGTGGGGATGGACGAGCCGTGGGTCGTGCCAAGCCCCCACCAAAATCGCAACAAGTTTGCAACAAAGATGGCTTTTACAACAAATTACAACAATTTGCAACAAAATCGTGAGAATCAAATACAGCTTGCCTTACAGGCTCTTAAAGAAGACGCGACACTTCCACTTCAACGCGCTGCAGCACTCTACAACGTGCCTCCAAGTACTCTTCGTGATCGCAGGAAAGGACGACCATCACGACGCGATTGTGCACCCAATCTTATGAAGCTTACTCTAAATGAAGAGAGGGTAATTCTTGAGCATATTATCGACTTTGATATGCGTGGATTTCCCCC